CTTCATCCCATCATGGAACCACACATCACCATGCCTGTCCACAACACGGCATGTGAAGTGGAATTTTCCAAAGTAGATCAGACCACACAGCCTATACCGCTCAGGATGATCAGGCAGTGTGACTTCAGTGCAAATGTCTGCCTTGATGTTGTGAATATTCAGTGCTATGAATGCTGGAGGCTCATCATATCTGATGCATTGATGGAGTGTGCGCTCACACTGGGGACACATCTGAGAAGTCTTCTGATTGAAGATGGCACCCATCCAGGCAGTCACACTCTGACCCTTGTATGACCCTCCCTTGTACAGGCTGTTCTTCCAGATCTGCTTGGATGTGTCCCACAGAATATTGCATGCACCCTCAGACTCGCTGGAATAATGGCAGGATTGACAGGAATAATACTGGGACTGAGTGTCTTCAGAAGCCTTCAATAGTTCACGCACAAGGGCATAGATGTCCGTTCCCACTGGGCCATTAGGATATGTGACTGGATCCTGAGCATGGAGAATATCCCTGACTGACTGCCTGATAGTGGCTGTGTAGCTGATTATGTCATCAGAATTGCCACTGAAGTGACCAGTAAGCTTTGACAATAATGCATTCTGCTCAGGTACCGTTGTCACCGCAGATCAGACCAGATTTGTTTGGGCCGAAAACGCTCTGAAAGTGACTTTCGGGCCGGATATGTGGCGGATTTGTCTTCACACAAAAGCGGCACTAATCGGTCACAGAACCTGCATTTACGATCCTTTCGTGGCAGATTTGTTAGCGCCCGCGCTGATGGTACCCCGCCGTCCGTCCCATTCTGGATCCCCCTCCTCTCGCGCATCATAGCAGAGCTTGTGCGACACATGGATAACCTCTACATAGCGTGAATACATACAATATTACTGGTACCAAGTTACGACCGCCCAATGCGCGTTCGCGCGCGTCCACCTGCGCTGCGAGGTACCCTACCCAGGTGGGCCATGCGCGATCGCGCCCCCCGTTGCGCGCGGTCGCGCTTGACATCCACCGATGCAAGTACTCCTCTCAGCAAGTGACAGCAAGCTAGATAGAAGGCAAGAACGTCGTCAGCGATGTATAAGACCGCCGTGGACGGACACGAAAAGTCGCCCACCTCCTAGACCAACCCTCCAACTCCCTCCCCCGTCCAAAGCAATGCCAACCTCCGCCGCGCACACACACGAGCCCCCGTCTCCCAGCAGTGCCCCGGCTGCATCGAAGAAGCCGCGTGGAGAGATGACGAAAGGCGGCTTCAACTTGCCTACAAACTTTGTCACCCAGCTGCAGAGGCGCACCCTCGGAGCTCGCAACGACTCACCTGGCGGCATGACTTCCGGCGCAGCTACCCCACGCGCGCCGTCGGGCACGGCTACCCCAGGCCCGACGACGACTTCAGGTGCGGGTTCGCGCGCTGCGACGCCCCGCGCGACCGCCGGTGCTACTCGTACGACCACGCGTCAGCGAGCGACTACAACTGCCGGGGATCTTAGTGCGCCCATTGCGAACCAGGACCTGTTGGGGTTGGGCGATGGAGGAAGCGCAAGCAGTGAGCAGACCATGAGCCGCGCGACGCGATGTTGTAACCGTGCTCACCAGCGTTGTCAGACCGACGCCTTGTGGACATCGTGCTGCAGCTGCGTACCACCATCGACCGTCTTGAGTCTCAGGTCGCCGGCATGGACACCGCCATGAAGAAACTCCAGGGGGGTCAGTCGCAGCTGTTGACCAACACCGACAAGGGTGAGATTGAGATGTCCGAGGTCCGCGAGGACATCGATGGCCTAGTCCAACGGGCCGACAACCACCACGGCCGCTTGAGGGCATTGGAAGACGCCGTGGAAAACGCGTCGCTTCAATTCCTGGAGGGGGCACGGGATGGGGTATGCGCAGCTGATGAACAGCCGAACCTCGCGTACGCAATGAGCGAACTCGAAGCGGGCGCGAACGCGACCGCGGAGGAGCTGAGGAGCAGCTCATTCTTTGTGAGCGTTGCTAGCCTCGACTAGTAGGGGCAAACCACTCACACCATTTACAGGCCGTTATCCGCGCCGTGTTCGTCGGACTTCTGGGTGTTACGAAGAAGGCAAAGCCTCCTACTCCACTGAAGCAGGGCTTCTGGACCACCGAGGACGACAACGACCCAAACCGACTCTTACGCCCCCGGTGGGACGACGGTTGGGAAGCTAACCGTGAAGGTTGGTCGCTCGAGGCCATCCAGAAAGTAAAGCAGGACGGACGTAGATGGTCGACGTCCTTGTCGCAACAGATGCTTGACGTCTTGCCCGCGGACCTCGTCGAGAAAGGGCTGAGCACAAGCTTCAACACCTGGGCCAAGCGGTACCGCGATCAGCGTGACAAGGACGCAGAGACGCGTCTGAAGATCAAGATTGCGAACAGGCGTCGCGCGCGGAAGCATACAGTGAGCATTTGGTTTGGATATGCAGGCGTACACACTCACCTGATATGCTCGCATCCTCAGAAAGCTTCCGAGCGTCTCCTCTACCGCGACCAGGTTCCGGAGCTCATGGACGAGTCTTACGACTGGGTTTTCCTGTGGCAGTACCAGTCCACCGACGAGTCTGATGCGGGTGGGCCAGCGTTGGTTGTGCACCAAGATGCTGGGGCACAACCTGTGGTTCTCAAGACGTCAGGATCGCGCTCGAAGCCGTGGAAGAAGCGCGCACCTGCGTATCGCAAGGCAGGGGTAGGAGGCAAGGAAGTACTGTTCTCATCGAGTTCTGACTATGTTTGGATCACAGATCACGCCGCACCTCGACACCGTAGATGAATTCATCGAGGCTGCCCACGTTGAGGATGAGGAGGACAACTGCAACGGCACGACGCACCATGCCCGCATCCGCGGTGAAGACAAAGCGACCTCCGACTCTGTACTGCCCGTCGTGCGCCAGAGGAAGAACCAGAAGCCGGGCGAGATCCCAGTGACCAAGATACCCCTCGAGATGGTCGATCCAGCCTGGCTCAAGTCTGCGCACGGGCGGAAGTTTGCCAGCCTGAAGTATATCAGTGGCTGGGTCGCCGGGGATGGGGATGTAGATGGGGGGACCGAGGGCGACGATGAGGACAACGGAGAGGGCGAGGGAGAGGGAGAGGGAGAGGGAGAGGGAGATGCACAGCACTAGATTGTCATGGAAGCGGCAGTGATAGATGACCATAAGGGCCTAGAGGGGGCATTAGAGTAGAGTACCGGACATGTCTGGCCGTCGTGGCACAGCGGATCTCAGATGACCGCTCATTATGCGAGGATTTCATCCTCATCTTGGTCGGGTTCCTGCGCACACTGAATAGGCCATCAGCGCCTCCGCAGCATGGGAATGCACAGTCAGCAGGGGCAAGTACACGTACATGGTCCAGCGACATTGTCACCCACAATGGAACCTCCTGATGAACAACATGTGCGAGGGCCAGGTGGCCCGACAGCGAGCGGACGTCTATCACTCTCTGGCTACCCAGGGAGTCGTATCTCCAGGTAGCAATGCCCAGGTCGCTTGCCCTGTCAAACAATCTATGAGCATGAGGATGCGGGCTGTATTTGATGCATACCGTAATGACCAGGGCATTTCCGGCAGATCGTCATCGCGCAGAAACGGGCGCACTACTGCGCAAGTGGCGGTCAGAGGAGGCGAGACAGCATCGTCACGCGGGTGGACTATATGGAATAGGTAGTCAATGCGGACTGCCTGCCTGCCGTCCATGTATGCATAACAAGACTTCGCGCCGCGCGGCGAGGTCGACGCGCCGTACCGCAGCCCGCACACATCCACCGTTGCGTGCGACTTGACGGCATTTGCGACGAAAGACTCCCCTGGGAGCAGTGTTGCTGTGTCGGGCTTGAGCTGAACCCGGTCGGCCCATTTGCTTCGCACATGGTTGTACACCAAGACGTAAAGGCCGAGCTCTCGGAGATTGACATCGCGAGATTGCCGAGGCCTTTTGATGATTGCTGAGGACAATGGACAGTCAGTTAAGTGCGCGAGCATGATCTGGCGTCACTCACCCATGTCTTGTTGAGCAGCCATTGTAGCTATCATGGTAAGCAAGGTCCCACGCTGCGATGCACTGGCAGAGGAGTCGCCCTCAAGGAGGGCGCGGAGCTTGTTAATCGCATCCGTATCTAGCTCGGTCTTCGCATCGCCCAGTTCTTCCAGATGCTGGATCTAATTTACCGCGGTCGAGTATTTTAGTCCACACCGAGGTTGTGGAACTAGGCACTCACAAGCTCGTAAAGCAGTGTTACTTTGGTCCAGCCCCGCATCATGGTACCTTCCAGTTCGCCGCCTGTGTGACCGTTGTGGCGAAGCCGCGAGAGGAATCCGTTGTTGCGCTCGTAGGCATAACACCACCAGGCATAGACAGGCCCCAGACAAAGCACCCACCACCAGAAGTGCATCATGATGTGAAAGTACGGTACCAGATGACAGAACATGCGTGCCCAAGACTGACACGCGCGCTCGTGACAGCCCGCCGCGCGCATCGTCTCGTCCACGCTGATGGACTGAGAGCCGTAGATCCGGATGGCGGTGGCCCACTCCATTGTCGTCTCGAAGTGCTGGAGGTAATTGCGGCTCATGCGGAGCCCTGCTAGCTCCTCCATGTCAGCAGCGGTGGTCTCGGGGTTGGCGGCAACGTCGGCACGCCGACGTTTGTTCAAGAGCTCTTCCACGCGAAGGCGTGCCTTCGCAATCTTGGTGGAAGAGCGAGGTAGCGGAGCGTTGGTATTCGGTATGTTGCCGTCCACCTGCCAGGCAACATACAGAGCGACGACGAGGACGCTGACGAAATTGCGCCATTGATCAGCCTTACCGGTGCCTCCAGTGATGATCTTGAAGTGATCAGATCTCGCAACACTGGTCATATGTCCGATGACTTACCCCGACCGGTGGCCGCGACACGGATGCGGGCCACCAAATGCTCTCGAGAAAAGATTCTATTTTCTCGAGCGGCTTGTCGCGGCGGTTGCGCTGTGTGAACATACCACCCTTGTACAGAATTGACTGGATGACATGCTTGGTCTCGCCTGAGCCGCACATATGGTGTCAGTGCATATGTGGACGCATATATGAAGATCGTGTACCTAGATATGCAGCATGCATGAAATCGGGCGGCGAATCGCGCCAAGGGAGCCAATCCGGCAGCGCGTCCAGGATGGCCCATTGGCAGCCGCGTTTATTCAGAATCTCCTCGCGGTTTTCTGGTTCCTCGTCGCGGGACAGAAAGGCGTATCGCAGGAAGCGCCAATCGTCCCGATATTTGAATCCTGTGGGACTGTGTTATCCACCTGTACGTGGGACACCTTGAAGCACCGAGCGTGCTTACTTGTGGGATCGTAACATTCCGGATTTACGAGCGAGCTGAATGTGGCCTCACAGACGTCGCACATGAACGTCTCACATGAGTGAGCGCGCAAGCCGTTGAGTTTGTGGGTTGCAGGTAGGTCGCATGTGATGTTGTTGAGGTACGCGTGCAGCGGCTCTGGATCAGCGTCCTCAGAAATCTGAAATAATACGCCTGTGGCCACAAATAGTTAGCATTTTCCCACATATACAAGGGAGCGAGCCTGATTTACGCACCATCATACAGCTTCCGTAGCTCTTTGATCAATGGGCGTAGGATGCTATTGAGGTGCTCCGTCGTAGGCTCAGTCGGACCTGGTATCACGCAATACAGGATCGTTTCCTCGCGGCGGAACCGGACACCGCGAGGATTGTTGCAGACTGTTATGTAGACTGCACCCACGGAATACCCACCCCGCTTCATTGCCCGGAACCTGTGGTTGCATGAGCGACATCTTGAAACAAAGCTGGAACATACCAGTCAATATTGATTTGTAGGACCAGGCCGTTGGGCAGGGAGACAAATTGCTGGTGGATGTCGTCCACATCAGCATCCTCGATGCCCCATTCGCCCCCTCGACGTCGTTGCAGTCCGGCGGCGATCGTACGCCACCTCCATCCGTCCATGATATCGTACATGCGGTAGTTCGGATCAGCCCAGCCGGGCCAATCATCGCCCAATATCGGAGGAGTCCGACGTGGCTCCTCCCCCTCGCCGCGCCACGCGTTCCAGTCCTCCAATTTGCCTGGCCGCGAAGCGATGCGTAAGAGGGAGTGGATGAGGGCGGTGGTAGGGATGACTTTCACTGGTATGCGCTTGGTCTTGCCATCCGACATGATCTTGTTCTCATAGAGGACCCCAGAGCAACCGTCCTGTGTACACGAAGGCCCTGCCATACCATATAGCCGCGAGGGATGATGTTGATCCCAGCATACATTACAGACGAAGTAGAAGGTGATATACCGATCCGGATCAACACCGAGGCGACGAATCACCGTGCGGAGGGTCCGAGCCATGGTGTCAAGCCCACCAACCTCATACCCTGCAGTGGTCCGTAGAGCCGTGAGTGTCGCATGGTATCCGTCCAGCATGTGCTTGCATAGCTCCTTTGTGGCTCCGTGGACGGCGTTGGCTAAGTATACTTGGACGTAGGCATCCCGGATCAGTGGATGCTCGGACAGCGCTGGTGGACGCCCGTGGACATGGCTGTAGATGTTCGCCTGGTCATCCTCGGCATCCTCCATTATCTTGTCGAAGATGTCTTCGTTGTTGGCAAATAGGGCATCGTTAGAGATGTCAATGCCGTCCTCCACGTCCGCCGCGGCCGGGCTGGGAGAGCGCAAGGGGGGGACCGCGTTGCCAGCATCCGGGCGGTCCGGAGACACAGAGCGTATAGCAGGGCGAGACGAGCCGTAGGACAACGAGCGGGCCCAAGGCCGAGACCGAGAACGAGAACGAGAGCGAGAACGAGACTGAGAACGAGACCGAGCAGAATTCGAGCGAGAACGAGCAGGAGCGGGAGACTGAGACTGAGCAGCAGAGCGAGCGCGAGTGGGAGAGTAAGACCGAGCGGGAGAGTGAGAATGTGAACGTGATGGACGTCCGGACGGCTCCCTTGACTGCAGGCGGACCGAGTGAGATCGCCCTCGAGCAGGTTCAGGGGAGCCAGCATATGAGAGTGATGCACCATCCCAGACAGGAAGAGCAGGAGACCCGGGGGCCCCATTCACGAGATCAGGCATGTCAGGTGTAGGCAAGCGCACGGCTTCAAGCGGGACCTCTGGAAACAAGAACACACCAGAGTCATTGAAGCTGTCCTCCCCTCCCTCTACTACTCCAGCGCGAGGGATTGGTGGAGCGCGAGCATGCCGGGCCCTGAGTCGTTCAGCTCCCTTGAGATGAGAGGTGATGATGTCCTCGGTGTGATATTGAGGTAGTCGACAGGCAGCGCAAGCGGGACAGGTGCACGGTCGGCGAATCAGAGAATCAAGTCGAGCGGCTTTAGGCATCGAGAGGGCTGCAGAGAACGCTGAGTGGAGGGGTTGAGAATAGCAGGAAATCGTCGGATGTCGCGTGCGCAGGCTGATCAACGAGGAGTGAAGCTAAGTTTCGCGCGCCTATTTACCACGCCGGAACGGGCCTTCCCCTCCCCGATTAGGCAGGGGCCGGATGTGTTGCGGGCACATCACCAATGAATTCATCCCTCAAATGTGAAAGCTACATATTGCCTACATAACTCGCTTTCACCCCGCTTTCATCCGAAACAAAACTGGGGGTGATCTGCGGTGTGTCTGCCACTGTTGCTTACACTCTGTGCAGACTGACAGCAAAATAGTCAGAAGACTGTCATAAGCACAGCTGTAGTTGGCATTGTCCCACTTGAACCCAATGAAATTGACCGCAGCATGCACCTGTTCACCACGAGGCTTCTTGGCACCCCCTGCATCACAGTCATCCTCTCGCTTACGCTTCACTGACTTCTTGTCCACTGTATTGCTCACAACTGACAATGCTTGTGTGCCCTTGGCTGCAACATATCCAGCTGTCTTCTTTGGCTGATCAGGTAGATCTGGTTTGGGCTGCTTCCTGTCTTTAGGCTTTGCCTTCTCGACCATCTGCCATGGAGCATCTGCCTGTATGTCTTCAATTGGGAATGGATCACCAATATTCCATGTTAAGGCCCTGTGCATTGTCTTTGGCATGAACTTCTCCCCCTTCCACTTTCTGAATGAATGAACAAGCCCATTGCGAGTAATGCCTGTCACTTTGGGTGAGATCTTGCCCAGGTAGCGCAGCTTGGTGATTTCATCCAGCAGCTCAAGCTCTCTGAACTCCTGACGCAGACTCCCAGATATTCCACCAGTCAACTTTCTTGGGTCAAATGGCTGCACAATAATAGTCCCATTGTATGTAGATCCTCTGGACAAGCATGTGTAGATTGACTGGTGAGAGCGGCAATTTTGCAAATCACACACATTATGTGGCCGGGTACGTCCCTGGGATCCAAAGTCTGTCATGGCAAAGTTGGGAATGACTGACACTTGGTCACGGGAAATGGACAGGAAATTTCCATTGGGCATCTTGCACCTGATCTTGCGTGACTGGTGGCTGATGGGCACTACATTCTCTGGCAATCCATCCAATTTCACAGTGGTAGGCGCAGCAGTGAGCTTGACAAACAGTGTTTCAAGGGTTTCCTTGTCCTCGCTGATAGGTCTGGACTTCCAGCCAACAACCACACCCTCTGCTCCATTGGTCACACAGCATTCAGTCGCTTCATTGATCTTGATCATCACTGGCATGCCCACACACAGAGTCAATTTGCCTGGCAGATGGTCAGTGAGGGTGTGTGACAAATTCCACAGACAATCCTGGAGCTCAGCACTGAGAATATTGGTGGACCTTCGAGGGTTCATGGTCTGTCTGCGCTGCTTTTTGGTTGCATTGTCATCTCCATTGGCTGAGAGCTTGTCCACAGAATAAAATGTAGTCAATGGCTGGCCATTTTGCCTTGCAAACCTCTCACATCCCAGTTCATTGATTTTATCTCTGTGTGTGTTCCATGCAGTAATAATAGACACATTGCGGAAGCATGGCTGGTTCAACTTGGGTCTACCTGGACCACGTCCTGCAACACGTGACTGCAGAAGCTTGACATCCTCAGGTGTGCATGACTTGTATCTCAGATTCTCTAGAGCTGTCCTGAGCTTGGCATCATTGGCACCCTGTGACCGCTGTCTCATGTTCTCGCGCAGAATAACCACAGTGGTGAATTGATGCCACAATGCCTTGCCAATGGATGCCTGCTGGTGTGCATGACTGTGGGTGCGGTGGATGACACGTCCAACTTTGTGCGAGTACAGTGCATTTCCACTCATGGCTGGGGGCAGCTGTGCAAAGTCTCCTGCAAAAATCATGTTGATCCCACCAAAGGGTGCCCCATCATTCTTCAGTGCTGCACACATCTTTGCACAAATAGTATACACACTTCCACAGTCAACCGTGCTGATCTCATCAATGAACATGTACTCCACATTCTGCAGGCGAGCACGCACTTGGAGCAGGGTGGCCACAGAGTCAGAGGATGCATTTTGTGTAAGTGGCAGTGGTGTCAATGAGCGCCTGAGCCTCCTGGTCCTGTGCCTTGAATGCTTTGCTCATATAGTATGACCTATCAACAACCTTGACCTTGTTGACTTCATCATTGACTGGGTGAGTACTCGCATTGGCAGGTTTCTTCAGTGCAGCCTGGGCATCTCTGGCATCCAGTATCTCTTGGCGCTTGGCAGCAAGCACATTCTTCCAGTCTGCAGAGCTCATATCTTCCTTGCTGTTGAACTTTGATGGCAGTTCAGAACTGTTCTTCTCTTTCATGGGATCTAGCCAGCCTGAAGCCTGGATGATTTGTTCGGCCTGCAGCATTTGTGTGCGTCTGCTTATTTCTGCATTGCTCAGCTCTGTCCAGTCGTTGGTCCGCAGCACCATCTCCTCAATCTCACTGATGTTGAGCTCCCCATCATCATTATAATACTGAGTGTCCAGGTCATCCAGGGTGGCATTATCCATGTTGAATGGTGAAGGACCAGTCTTTCCCTTTTTGCGAGCTGCAAACAAGTCGTCCCTGGCATCATTGCACTCATATTTGATATGGAAGAATTTCATGACCTCCAGCTGCCGCTCTGTGAATGAATGGCCATTGAACACATCATCCCAGAGCACATCCTGGCTTGGTCTCAGATCCTGCCCAGTGCGCCAAGGCTTGAAGAGTGTGAGCATGGTCATGCAATACTGTTCAAGGTTGCCTGCATCTCTCCTGGGAAGTGAGCCACAAATGAAGTTGGGAACATATGCCTCAGACTCATCCAGCAGCTTCACATGATGGGTGTTATACTGTGGATGATTCTCATGGAACTGCACATATTTTGACCTGGATTTCTTGGGCTTAGGTGCGCTATCCGCTTCAAGCTCCTGGTTTGATGTCTTTGTGAGCAAGAGTTCATCCTCCGATTCTTCTTCTTCATTGGCTCCAGCACCCTTCAATTCTGCATCACTGATATCATAGTTGTCCTCAAACTCCGAGTCCACATCTACTGGCTCATCAATATGCTCCTCAGATTTCTTGGGGCCCTTTTTACCGTGCTTGATCCGCTGCTTGTCTGCCAGTCTGACCCAGTCGTATAGTGACATGTGCTCATACTCAGTGGGCCGCCATATATAGTCCTGCACAGGTGACAGTGCTATGATGCGCTTGGATGTTCCTGAAAGTCCGAGCATGACTTTGGTGGTCCCTTCCTCGGCAATCTTGGCAGAGTCCTCCCATGCATGCATAACCTCATACACATATCCTCTCCAGAAGCAGGTGCGGAATTTGTGACTTTTGTAGTGGTCTGGATGCTTGAGCAAATACATGGCTGCCATGGGTCCACCAATTTCAGAGCATGCAGTGAGTGAGTTCACTATCTTGGTAATCAGTGACCGAGCCTTCTCTTTGGTAGACTTTTGACTGCCTAACAGCTCCACATTGCGCTCAAACACCTGCTGGATAGACTTTCATCACATGGGTTCTAAGTGGGGTTTTTGTTATGTAATCAGCAACATAGGCTATGACAGACTTGATGGCAGTGCCCGACAGCAGAGAAGTGACATCAGTGTTCCCGCGCATGAGATAGGTGACTGCGTGGGTGATGGTGTTGATCCATGCCTCTCCCTTCTTCATGATAAGTGCACCTGTGCTTGGGTCTACCACAGTCTCTGGATGGGTCTCTCTGGGGAACCGGGCTTTGCAATTTCCATTTTTGTCTGTACAGCCTCGATTATCAAATTCAGGTTTGTCAGATTTATCCAGATCAGCCTTGTCTTTCTTTGAGGATGCCCGGCATGTATGCCTGTTCGACAGATACAATATTTCATCCACTGTCTGCTTGAATCTGGTCCACCAGGATGCATGCTTCTGACACTGATCACAGTCTGCTTTGGTAGAGTGGTCGCACTTTCTGGGTGGTGGCTCTGGCAATGTCTCTGTGGGTGGGACTCTGGATGGATTTTTGTGGTCTTCCTTTGCTATTTTCTGCTTGACGCTCTCCATGCTGCCTGTCATGAATTCACCCATGTGCACACTCTCTAGATATTCCACCATGGCCTTCTGGAAGTCCAAATTTCCTGGGGTGTAAGGGACTTTTTAATCCAGATAAGCATGTGCATGTGCAGTGTCAGTCGCCCCTGTTGTTCCACTGTCCCATAATATCCTGATGTTTCGCCATACAGCCCTGGTCGATCCAATCCCACCCCAAGAACATGCTTGATAAATAGATCCACCATCATTTTGAAGAAGCGTGCACCCGCCACTGGGTTATTTGCAATCAACCGCAGGCGCTCATTCTTGTCTCTGAACTCAGGTACAAATTTCAGATCAGTGTCTGCAAAATACAAAGCCACAGGGTGCTTGACATCAGCAGGAGCAAAGGTCACAAACCAGGAAGGAGCACCGAGGTAGGAGACCAGTGACCATATTTCATTGCGCATATATTTCTTGCTTGTGATAGACCCCTGCACCTTATAATTGATGTGATCTAGGTCATTCAATATTTTGAAGCAAGCCTTTTCATCTTCAGTCTCTGGTTTCATAGATCCTGTGCTTAGCCGCTGAATAATGTCTGCCAAGGTCGAGTCTTTGATGTTCAGAAGCCTGTTAGCTATTTCACCAAACTTGCTCTTGTCTGCCAACAAATATCCTGCTGTGGTGGATTTCTTGATCTGCTCATGGTTTAATGCAACCAGTGGAAACAATGGTTCTAGTTGAAAGCGCTTATCATGGTACATCAGAAGCTGTTGCTTTCTTCGCTCCTCAGAAATGGGTCGACACCCGCTTGCAGAATTGTTCAGTCCACCTAGGCCATATGGGAATAACCATGGGAACATCTGAGGATACAGCTGAGGATTGTGATATAAACTCTCCGGCTCTGCAGATTGGCCTATACCAAGTACTTTGCCTCCTGATTTGAAGTGTTTAATAGCTCGTGCAGTGATCTCATATGGTCTGACTTTTTGTGAGCAGCGGATTCACAATGCGGGGCTTTTACCCCCAGAGGACGTTCCGCAAGCACCGCAGAATGTAGCTTTCGATCATCGATACGGGTCGAGGGCTACAACGCACCCATTGGATTCGGGTGCGCACATGGGAGCGCAGGAACCTCACACCGCGCATATGTCCGCATCTCAAGGGCCTGTGTATCGTACAGGCCGCGCAGATCACACACGGGATTGGTGTAATCCACGCCGATCTATGGGACTATCCACTCATGTTGGATGGGAACCTCTGACCGCACCCGCGGGTCAGAATAATGACATAGTCTACACGGGGCCCGCTTATGGACCTCGTGATAGTATTACTATCAATCATCTACTGCAGATGATAGACGAAATGGTGGGCCCTACGTCCATCGGGGATCCCCCTGCGTACCTCAAGGTGGCGAAGCTACCGCCACCCAAGACGTACGACGGGAAGGATGACCTCGACGCACTCAAGGTGTGGCTACGGGGCCTACTCAAGTACTTCAACACGCTCAGGATCATGGGTCCTGAATTGGATCGAGAGCGTGTCCGCATTCTTGGGCAAGCTGTTAGCGGGGAAGCCGCTAACTGGCTGTACAACACTGTACAGTCCCCTTCTAGGGAAAAGAAGGACTGGCTATTCGAAGAAGTTGTAATAGCCATGTACCGCAGGTTCATCCACAAGGACCTGAACCTGAGGGCGGAGCAACAGTATGCTTCGCTGAAGTACAAAGCCAGTGAAGGCGGAGTAGCCGCACTGTATGAACGGCTACTCTACACGTCGATCCGACTCTGGGAACGACCTACGCCATACCAGTTGCGTAGTAAATTCATCAGCGCGCTGCCCGATGACATCGTGCAGGTCATGACCGTGTTAAATGGTCTATCGCCGTACGAGACCGACATCACGCAGCTATACCAAGCTGCGTATGCAATTGAACAGAGTTCTCAAGCCATGACTGCGAGGAAACAGGCACGGGAACTTACCCGTACTGGCAATTCCTCGAGTACCACCCCGAAAACATCGGGGGAAGCACGCCCACACCCAGGCGTGCGGACGACCATGAAGAAGTCGTCCAGTTCCGCTCCACCACAGCGTAACCCAAACTATAAAGCTACGTCAAGCTTTAAGAAGCCTTCGAGTGGAAATCGAAGTGCGAATGCGCCAAACCAGGCACATTCGGGACCGCAGTCTGCTTCTGTGGTCAGGGTCGACTGATCACAGAAGGCTCCTTTAAAGTGCTACAACTGCGGTCAGATAGGCCACTTTGCGAGCGACCCGAAGTGTCCTAACTTCGGGAAGAAACCAGCGTCAGGACAACGCTTGTTCGCGCAACGAGTTATTAACGATAACTCGGACCAGGAAGACGATCCTGGTGTACCTGAGAATGACCCAGCTGCTGACGGAGCTGGGGACGTAGTAGAAGCGCAAGAAGACGCTATCGAAGGAGTGGACGAAAAGGATGACGGGGTATATCCGTCATCGGACAACGACCTGGAGGGATCTCAATACGATCCTGAAGGCAAATTGTACCAGTCGTCAGGAGACGACGATGGGGACTATTTTGGTGCTATGCGCATTGCACCAATAGGAGAGGAAATCGAACCTCTCCAGTTCCATACCATGGCAGTAGCCCCCACGAAGGGCTACAAGCAGGCATGGCTGTACGACAATAAAGTACACCGTATAGAGGATCCTGCGGCGCAACCCGCAAGGACTATCCAGTCTCAGTGCATGCTTTGCGCTGAAATATCCGTAAACAATGTCGTCGCACTGGCATTGTTCAATTCAGGATGCACGACGGACTCCATTACGCTGGAGTTAGCCTATCTCAGTCATGCAGATAGGATAGATTTGAAGGAGCCAGTTGGTTTACGACTGGGCACCAAAGGCAGTAAAACGCGCATCAACTATGGCGCGCAGGCGGAGCTCAGAGTAGGCTCCGTTAAAACAACGCAATACTTTGACGTTGTAGATATCGACAAATATGATATCATTCTTGGAACTTGGGTGGAGAGGGCCATGACTGGCAGATCCGATTGATGAGGTGGAGGAAGGTGTGGCTTTCTGAAGGCTTCCAAGCCATACTACTGCAATGATGATGGCTGTTCTACCTTGTAGAATCAATTAACAAATATATCAGCAACATCATTGAATAGAGATTGAAAAACTGAATCTGGTGGTATATAATACTCGTGGGTGAGGCAATGATGCCATCAGGTCTGTGCCATTGAGCACTTATTGCTAATTGTGGCATTGATAGAATTTTGTGTGCACATATGGATTCTCCTCATCCATAGCTTTCTGGTGATATACATTTGATGACATATGGACCAGTAGGCACCAGATTATTGGTAAATTTGTGAAGGCAGCCCAACTGCAATACATTATGTGTACTGTTAGCTCATTTTGTACCATAACATGGGATCAATGTCTATCTTCAGAAAGCTACTTTCAATATGGATCTAATGGTGGTATGACTATGGTGTTGATCTGCCAAACAGTTCATTTGATGCATTGGTCCCACTATCTTCTGTGCTATGGAATGAAAGTGTGTTGGGATGTGATGGTAAGACCAGGCATATGACAGAATGAGCATGAACACTATATAGTTGCATACAATCTGCATTATCAGGACCTAGAAATCTATTTATGGCTTTGTACTCCAATTGATGCCTCCAAATGGCATCCTGTTAACCCACCAATAGCACCATTGTGTAGAGCTCAATTTTCTGAACTTGACAGTATATAACACTTCATATGTTGCTTAGGAATTCATTGATCTAGACCCACTTCAATCCCCCATTAGTGACATATTGTGACCAATTGTCACTTATAGGGGTCTATTTGGCCCGTAGTTCCCTCAGATGTGCTCACAACAATATACAAACAACCCCATTATATTCTCCTGATCCATAGCTTTCAGGTGATCCCACATTTGTTGGATTTGGTGAACATTGTGTGAGGTTGCCAAACATAGATGCTTGGAGCCAAACAGGTCACAGTAGAGTCACGTGACCGTGCCGCACGGCATATGCCTGTGTCGGATTTTCGACCCAGGCGTATGCCGGGCGGCAGGATTCAATCTCCGCTTCAATTTGACTAGTATCATTGATAAATGGGCTACAAAAGCATAGATGGGTGGATTCCTCTGCTATTCCTTTGGTAAATATATATGTGTTATACACCATCAGAACGCTATTTAAGAGCTCTACCTGATGGTGACACTTACAAGTTTTTATCTTATCTCTGTAGTGTTTAAAACTCAAGACCTCCTGCAAACCAGAAGACTAAAACAGGTGTTAAGCCCACAATTCTGCCAATTGTGATGCTATTGATATTGGCTCTTTTCCAATGTGTGTATTCTAATGTGTAGGATAATATTCCCATGCAAAGTCATAAATGTAGTGAATGCTTGGCTTTCACAGCAGATAATCAACAAGTTGCAATAGAGTTATACAAAAATACACAGAATTGTGTTTTATGAGGTACCCTGATTACCAATAAATGGTGATTTATGTACCATTGGAATCTGCTGGCTGAGCTCTATACAATGGAGATGTTTTTCAAGGGTTTTATGCATTATATAGTGCAGAAATGGCCAGACAATGTTAATGAAAGAAGGCTCTGTAAAGCCTGATCTGGTCCGCCAAATAAGCGCCCAAAGCGTGATTTGGTGAAGTCCGATGGGCGCTAGTAGATCGCGCTGGGCCAGCGCGATCTACTAGCGCCCATGGTACTTATAAAGAATTTTTGAAAAGCAGGCGCTTTTTGGCAGTATTTCCCTAGCTGTTTCACCAGTTCTCATCCATATGGCACAAATTATATATCATCAGAAAGCCCTTTACAAGCTCTACAACAGGGTGCTACCATGGTTTTGAAGCAGATTTAATTGGTCTGTTAATCAAGGAAATACTTGGATTTCAGTCTTTTCATGATGATATTTCCTTTACTACTTCACCAGATCTCATCCATGTAGCACATACTATACTATATATAAAAGCTCTTCACAAGCTGCACACCATGGTGCTATCTTGGTTTCCATCTGTTCCAAATTGCACTCTAAATCCAAGACATACTTCATTTTTACCATTTTTGCAAGCCAGAATGCATACAATAGTTTTCAGATCAATCACTTATGACACACAAAAACAGATATGACCCTCTATTTTAGTACATAATACCTCAACTGATAGCTGACTAGCCTCTCTTAGTGGCATGTGGCATCCAAATACTACTACCAGATCATGGCTCTAAAAGGAAACTAGGGGTATAGTACTTGAACTACACTATATCGTGTGTTAAGGGTCTGTTTTGATACAGTGCATAGCCTATAGGCAAAGTGTGCAGTGAGCAGCAGATGTGCTGTGCAACCTAGGGTTACACAAGCACCCAGGGAGAGGCTTTAGATGTGGTAAGAATTGTGATTAGAACAGATCTAAGGCTAACCCTAAGCTGTGCTATTGGAATCCAACCCTAACCCTGTGAACATTACAAAATTTTGTATGTGGCGCCTATCAGAAAGCTAATGATGGGTAAGTAATTTTTTCCCACAGGGTCGACTTTCCGACATGCAAGTTGGCAGGAAGGTCACCCCATAAGAAACGATTTCTTCGTTCCTCATCAATCGTAGTATACTGTCAGATTCGGAAAATTGAGCTCCACACAATGGTGCTATTGGTGGGTTAACAGGATGCCATTTGAAGGCATCAATTGGAGTACAAAGCGATAAATAGATTTCCAGGTTCTGATAATGCAGATTGTATGCACATCATATAGTGTTCATGCTCAGTCTGTCATATTTCTAGTCTTACCATCACATACTAATACACTTTCATTACATAGCACAAAAGATAGTTGGTACCAATGCATTAAATGAACTGGTTGGCAGGTTAACACTTGCATATTGCATATAATGGCATGGTTATACCACCATCAGATCCACATTGAAAGTAGCTTTCTGAAGATAGACAACAGTCCCATGTTATGGTACAAAATGGGCCAACAGTACACATATTGTATTGCAGTTGGGCTCCCTTCACAATAATCTGGTACCTACTGGTCCATATGTCATAAAATGTATATCATCAGAAAGCTATGGATCACAAGATTCTATCAATGCCACAATTAGCAATAAGTGCCCAAGGGCACAGACCTGATGGCACACCAACACGGAATCACATTGTTGTGCCACTAGCTTTGGCTTTGTTTGTTTTCAGCCACAGCTCAAAATAATATGCTTGTTAATAGGTGATTGTATTGTGGAACATACTACAATTATAAATCACCAGAAAGCTGTTGATGAGTAGAATGCAATGGGGGTGTTTGTATGATATTATGAGCACATCTGTGGGTGCTAGGCACCAAACAACCCACCATAAGTGACTCTGGGTCACAATTTGTCACCAATGGGGATCAGTGTGGGCCTAGGTCAGTGTTTTCCCAGGCCTAATATGAAGTGTTATATACTGTCAGGTTCAGAAAATTGAGCTCTACACAATGGTGTCGTTTTTAGGTCAATGGAATGCCATTTGAAGGCATACATTGAAGTGAAAATATGTTCAGGTCCAGATAATGCCACTTCTTTAATGCATTTCCAACGCTATCTTCTGCCCTGTATAATGAAAATGCCTTGAAATGTAATAATGAAGCTGGATAGATGAAGTGGTGGGTATAAAGGACCAGGTAATGTGCATGCACTCTGGCAATGACCTCCAGCCACAATTAGTGTTTGATGCATCAAAGCTTGTGTATTCTATATAAAACCATGAATATACTACCATTAGATACACATCAAAACCACCTTTCTAATGATATATAATAGGCCTGTATTGTGGTGAAGAATGAGCCCACAGTGGGCAAAATGTGTTGCAGCAGTGGCTGAGAACAAACAAGACCACATTTAGTGGCAGGGGAGCTGTGCTCTGTGTTCCCCTGCCACAGAATGTGGTCTTGTTTGGTCCCCATCACAAATGTCTCAATATCTTGGCCCCCCCTGGTCCATATGCCACAATATATATATCGACAGATAGCTATGGATGAGCAGTCTATATATTCAGAAATAATCTGGATGTGGCCAGTGCAGCTACCACTATTCACAACACCAGATCCTATCAGTGCCACAATTGGAAAAAGCGCCCATGGCACATGACCTGATGACATCACTGCCTCACCCCCAAGTGTTATATACCACCAGGTTCAGAATTTCAATCTCTATCCAATGGTGCTGTCTATATGATTGTTTAATGATCCTAACAAAGGCTCAAACCATCATGAATGCAGTGTTACAGCTAATGTGTGCCATTGGACCATATATGGCAACCTGATCAGGTGATGAGATTACATAAGCATGTTCAACTTTGAACTCTGATGCGCACATATCTCCCTCTCTCACTTCTTCCTCTCACCATCTCGCACTATGCATACCCAGCACATTCTATACTTGCTACTGTGGTATAGTAGCCTTCTGACACCATGTCAGTAGCTGCTATATCACAGTGCTACCTCTTCTACCATTGCTGTGAGCAGCAATATTAGCAATCTGGCGGTCACTAGCCTTCAAGGTGCATTCAAATCTTGGTCACACTTTTATTGATCTAACATACCTATAATTATCCAGGGGCACCTTTTGGTAATCCCCTAGACAGGGTCATTACCACGGCACCCTACATAGGGTTACTGTTGTACAGCGGTGAGGTTTTGAGGGACACCTCCATGACAAGTCCCTCATATCAGCTGCCCTGCAGTGAGGTTTCAGGGACCACCTTCGTGACAAGGTCCCTACACGCACACAAGGGTTTAAGGGACACCTGTGTAATAACAAGTCACCTTTATGCACACATGGGTTCTAGGGACACCTGCATAACAAGTCACCTGTATGCACATAGGGTTTCAGGGGCCACCTGCATGACAAGGCCTCTGAATTCAATTCACTTCTATAAACACATTACAGTGACGGCCAAAAGTACCTCCCCACCCCCCCCCCATATTTTTGAGTTCCCTATAAAGGCAGCATATATTAGTCTCATGTATACCACCACTAAGTACCACCCTTCAAGTTATTTCTAATGCATATGTTATTGCTGCTTTAGCATCTAAGCAGGCCGCGCGAAATGTGGGCGCTTATTTTAGCGCTTGCCAGCGCATCAGCCATCTCAGGCTTGTTCCCAACTTCCACCACTACCATTCACACACTGCACATATTCACCCACACAATCTATTGCTACACCTCTTCCTCTAATCCTCTGCACATATGGTTTCCTTGTCCTGCGATAAACGAGCAAGAATACTGGGTCTTCGCTATCCCTCCTCTGAAACCCCTACTTCCATCAGTGCCATCGCTCGTGCCACTGGCCATGATCGCAAGACCATCCGTAAAACCCTGAAAAGGGTTGAGGAGACAGGTACCCTTCATCATGACCTGCCCCGTCCTGGCCGACCACGCATCCTCACTCCACGGGACATCAATCATCTCAAGCTTGCTCTCGCCCGAGGTGAAGTCGCAAATGCAACTGATGCCCAGCGTCTGCTAGCTCCTCAAGCCAGCACCCAAACAGTGCGTAGAAACCTTTCTGAGGTTGGGCTCTGTGGACGAGTGTGACGGGAGAAGCCATACCTCAGCGCTCTCAACATCAGGCAGCGGCGAATGTGGGCGCAGGAGGTTGGGGATTGGGACATGGATCGGTGGAGGCTGGTTGTCTTCTCAGATGAGTCTAAGTTCAACCTCTTTGGCTCGGATGGGAGGCAATGGTGCCGGAGAAGGGTTGGGGAGGAGTTCCTGGACCGGAACGTGAAGAAGCGTGTTGCGGGGGGAGGAGGAAGTGTGATGGTCTGGGGATGCATCACCTCGAAGGGTGTCGGGCGACTACACTGGATCAACGGGATCATGGATGCAAAGAAGTACTGCTCCATCCTTGAGGAGTCCCTCCTGGGTACCCTTAGCGACCAACACCTCAGTCCACGCAGCGTCATTTTCCAGCAAGACAATGACCGCAAGCACACGTCCAAGCTCGCCCAAAGCTGGTTCGCTGAACACAAGATCCTCCTCCTCCCCTGGCCCTCCTCCTCTCCTGACATGAACATCATCGAACACGTCTGGAGCGAGCTAGACCGCCGTGTGCGCGCTCGCAATCCTCTTCCCCGCAACCGTGATGAGCTATGGACTGCATTACAGGAGGAGTGGTACGGACTTGATTCTTCCTTCATTCAGAAACTGTATGACGCCCTTCCTGATCGTGTTAAAGCCCTTGAGGCTGCTCATGGTTACCACACTCGTTACTAGACAATATGCTTAGTTTGTATCAAATTATGATTGATTTGGTGCAGACTCACAGATGGTCATAATGACTGGTTGGCTTATAGACAGAGATCTGGCACCCAGGCATTTATCAAACTAGCGTGTAATAACAGCACACTATATGAAGTACACATACACAAAAGGGCATAGCCTATATATAACATGATTTGAAAATATTTAATATATAAGCACCAGCCCCGGGGGTGGGGAGGTACTTTTGGCCATCACTGTATAATCATTCATGAACTGTGGTTGAAATCTGTCAATATTACGATTGATGAGGAACGAAGAAATCGTTTCTTATGGGGTGACCTTCCTGCCAACTCAAGTCGTGTACGTGGGAAAAAAATTTAGAACCCAGCTGATCAAAGGTTAGTTTTGAAATAGGCGCCACCTACGTCCTTTACTTACAAAACTTGGGTTAGGGTTCCCCTTTATTAGCACAGCTTAGGGTTAGCCTTAGGTCAGTTCTAATGACAATTCTTACCACATGTAAAGCCTCTTCCTGGGCGCTTGTGTAACCCTAGGTTGCACAGCACATGTGCCGCTCACTGCCCACTATGCGTATAGGCTATGTACTGTATCAAGAGAGATCTTCGACAAATGTTATAGTGTAGTTCAAGTACTATACCCTTAGTTTCCTTTTAAAGCAATAATTTGGTTGTAGTATATGTATGCCACATGCCAGTAAAGGAGGCTAGTCAGCTATCACCTAACATAGAGCATCATATCTGTTTTTGTATGTTATCTACCATTGCCAATCACTAAAGTGATTGATGCATCAATAGGGTGCCAATTAAAGGCGTAAATTGGAGTAATAAGATGTTCAGGTCCAGATAATGTAGTTTCTTCAATGCCCTGCTAGTACTATCTTCTGCCCTATATAATGAGAGTGTTCTGGAATGCTATAATGAAGCTAGGAAGATCAAGTAGTGAGCACAAACACTGAGTAATGTGCATGCAATCTGGCATGGACCTTCAGCCACAATTGGTGTTTGGTGCATCAAAGCTTGTGTATTTGATATAAAACCATGATTGTACCACCATTAGATGCACATTAGAAGGTCCTTTCCAATCATATATAAATGTCCTATGTTGTGGTGAGGAATGAGCCAACAGGGGGCAAAATGGGTTGCAGCTGTGGCTGAGAACAAACAAGACCATACTTGGTGGCAGGGGAATGCAGCTCAGTGTTCCCCTGCCACCAACTGTGGTCTTGTTTGGTTCCCAACACAAATGCCTCAATATCTTGGTCCCCAGTTGTCCATATGCCACAAAATATGCATCAACAGAGAGCTAAGGATGAGCAGAGTCCATATATTTAAAAATTACCTGGATGTGACTCATGCAGCTGCCACTATACACAGTACAAAATGCTATTAGTGCCACAATTGGAAAAAAGCGCCCAAAGTACATGACCTGATGACATCATTGCCTAGTGTCATATACCACCAGACTCAGAATTTTGATCTCTATTCCATGGTACTGTCTATGTATTCAGTAATAAAATCTGGAAGGAGCTCAAACTATCATAAATGCAGTATTGCAGCTGATGTGTGTCATTGCACCATATATGGCAATCTGATTGGGCAATGAGGTCACATAATTATGCTTATAGAGTGTGTTCGATGGGGTAATCCATGTTTGAAGCATCAAATAATAATAGAAGTGTCTAAACATATTGTCTTGCTGAATAATGCCCTGTTGCCCTTCAAATAGAGGGGATACTGTGAGCATAAAAGAATTACTTCTCAAAACTTAACTACACTCATGGTAATAATGTGACTCTAGTTACTGATATTGTTTGGATTATAAATTGACCTGCTAATGCTGAGAGATGATCAAGAAATGCTATAATAGTGTCTTCTGCAGAGCTGAATAACTAGTTGTGGAATTAAATGAAGTCTGGGTTGAGCCATGTTATAAAATGAGAATATTTGTGTCTTGGCGAGAATTGTCAAGTGACATATCTGATTGTTATAGCTGAGTACCCTGAGCAGTTAAGGTAAGCTTGGATCATTGATCTACTTGAATACTGTGACATCATTATACTGTACCAGTGGAGGAAATTCCCTGGTTTCATTTATGCAGTGTCTCTAATACCATCTATGTCAGGTCACATCAATTTAAGTGCTATATCAAATGATGCATATTTGAACACTTTGGAGACAATAAAAATGCTTAAAACCAACAATGGGAGTTTTGATGTCTGAATTTTTTAGCAGATGAAAGCAGTGGAATTAATACAAGATCAATGCACATGGATGATGTGGATTGTTCAAAGGCTCATATCTACTACATATATCAAAACAGCACCCATAGTGTGCTCTGGGCCAGATCTAAATGCATTATCAATCTAAATTCTTAGCCCAACCATATGAATTATACTAAGATATATATACCCTCATCAATCGGACCTGCCAGTTATGGCCCTCTCCAGCCAAGTATCCCAGTGGTTTCCACAATATTCCGCAATGTTCCGCAACATTCCGTGGGTTTTCCGGCATGTTCTCCTCCTGTCTCCTTGGAATATCCTGGTGTTCCCTGGCTCTCTGATGTTAGGCTGTCATGTGCACATCATCCGGAACTGTCTAGAACCTTCTGGCAATTTCTGTGCCTTTGTCAGCTGAAGTAGTCCAGCATGTTCTCCATGACTGCAGATGATCCTGTGTTGATGGTTGGGTTCCTGAAGTTTCTGGTACCTTCCGGAACTGTCTCCTGACCTCTGGGCTAGTCCTAAGCATTCTGTTGTCTGCTAGGCTGGTCTCTGGTCCTAGGTCTGTCTGGTGAGGATGCTCCTATTGCTGGCATACCCTGGACAGTTCCGGTAGGCCCATGTGCCAAACCAGTTTGGTGCATGACATTGCGTCCACCTGTATATATAGTAATTAGTAGCTACTATACATGGCAACATTTGGGAGGCTTCTACAAATGGCGAGGCGGGCATTCCAGGCGGTGAGTAAGCAAATCCAGCGGTCCTCCAATTCCGCAGTGGGGCAGTCGGGGTGCGCCACGCTTGGTGGCGCTGCTCACCTTACGACACACATCATCCACATGCATTGATCTTGTATTAATGCCACTCACTGCTTTCCTCTGCTAAAAAATTCAGACATCAAAACTCCCATTGTTGGTTTTAAGCATTTTTATTGTCTCCAAAGTGTTCAAATATGCATCATTTGATATAGCACTTAAATTGATGTGACCTGACATAGATGCTATCAGAGACACTGCATAAATGAAACCAGGGAATTTCCTCCACCAGTATAGTATAATGTTGTCACAGCATTCAAGTAGATCAATGATCCAAGCTTACCTTAACTGCCCAGGGTACTCAGCTATAACAATCAGATATTTCACTTGACAATTCTCACCATAATACAGATATACTCATTTTATAACATGGCTCAACCCAGGCCTCATTTTATTCCACACACGGTTATTCAGCTCTGCAGAAGACACTCTTATAGCATGTCTTGATCATCTCAGCATTAGCAGGTCAATTTATAATCCAAACAATATCAGTAACTGGAGTCACATTGTTACCATATTACCATAAGTGTGGTTTTATTGATTTTATATAATGGTCATGCCATTGACACATTGATTGAGGTTCATTTTCTGGGATTATTAGCCCCCGTTGAAGCCCAGACAGCTTCCAAGTAGGAGTGTACCCATATCTATCACTTGATTTTGGGAATACATTCATCTTGGTAGCTAATTTCATGCCATATAATGGATCAGACATACCTTGATCAAGGCCTTGATTGAATAGGCCTTGAATAAATGGCCTGATCCTATTCTTTAGATAGAAATCATGTCATAATACATTTATTTCATTGAAGTTTTGGGAAATAATTCTTTTATGCTTACAGTATCTCCTCTATTTGAAGGGTAACGGGGCACTGTTCAGCAAGACAATGTGTTTAGGCACTTTTATCATTATTTGATGTTTCAAACATGGATTACCCCATTGAACACACTCCATGAGCATGTTTATGTGACCTCATTGCCTGATCAGATTGCCATATATGGTGCAATGACACACATCAGCTGCAATACTGCATTTATGATAGTTTGAGCTCCTTCCAGATTTTATTACTGAATACATAGACAGTACCATGGAATAGAGATCAAAATTCTGAGTCTGGTGGTATATGACACTAGGCAATGATGTCATCAGGTCATGTGCTTTGGGCGCTTTTTTCAAATTGTGGCACCAATAGGATTTTGTATTGTGTATAGTGGCAGCTGCATGAGCCACATCCAAATCTTTTTTTCATATATGGACTCTGCTCATCCTTAGCTCTCTGTTGATACATATTTTGTGGCATATGGACAACTTGGGGCCAAGATATTGAGGCATTTGTGTTGGGAACCAAACAAGACCACAGTTGGTGGCAGGGGAACACTGAGCTGCATTCCCCTGCCACCAAGTATGGTCTTGTTTGTTCTCAGCCACAGCTGCAACTCATTTTGCCCCCTGTTGGCTCATTCTTTACCACAACATAGGATAATTATATATCATTGGAAAGGTCTTTCTAATGTGGATCTAATGGTGGTACAATCATGGTTTTCTATGAAATACAAAAGCTTTAAGGCACCAAACACCAATTGTGGCTGAAGGTCCATGCCAGATTGCATGCACATTACTCAGTGTTTGTGCTCACTACTTGATCTTCCTAGCTTCATTATAGCATTCCAGAACACTCTCATTATATAGGGCAGAAGATAGTGCTAGCAGGGCACTGAAGAAACTACATTATCTGGACCTAAACATCTTTTTACTCCAATGTATGCCTTTAATTGGCACCCTATCCATCCACAAACAACACCATTATGTAGAGCTCAATTTTGTGAACCTGACAGTATATAACACTTTATATTATGCCTGGGAACCCACTGACCTAGACTCAAATTGATCCCCATTAGGGACAGTTTGTGACCCAAGTCACTTATGGTGGGTTGTTTGGCTTGTAGCACTCACAAATGTGCTCAGAATTATATAATCCAAGCCAGGATGCATGCATGAGTTGATGATGCATCAATCACTCCAGTGACTGGCAATGGTAGATAGCATACAAAAACAGATATGATGCTCTATGTTAGGTGATAGCTGATTAGCCTCTTTTACTGGCATGTGGCATACATATACTACTACCAGATTATTGCTTTAAAAGGAAACTAAGGGTATAATACTTGAACTACACCATAACATTTGTTAAAGATCTCTCTTGATACAGTGTATAGCCTATATGCATAGTGGGCAGTGAGCGGCACATGTGCTGTGCAACCTAGGGTTACACAAGTGCCCAGGAAGAGGCTTTACATGTGGTAAGAATTGTCATTAGAACTGACCTAAGGCTAACCCTAAGCTGTGCTAATAAAGGGGAACCCTAACCCAAGTTTTGTAAGTAAAGGATTTAGGTGGCGCCTATTTCAAAACTAACCTTTGCTCAGCTGGGTTCCAATTTTTTTCCCACATATACGACTTGAGTTGGCAGGAAGGTCACCCCATAAGAAATGATTTCTTTGTTCCTCATCAATCGTAATGGTGTGCTGCCATGATTGTATGCACATAGAGCAACTTCAACTTGTCCTGGTTGAGTATACATTCTAATATTGTTTTTACATCGACCATCTAATTCTAGTTCTTTGTATCTTGTCTCTAGATCACAAAATAAGTTTCAGGAAGTAGATTCGTAGAATCAGACTGGTGGGAACCACCCACAACCCAAGTTTTTGACCCAGGTGTATGCTGTGCAGCAGGACCCGGGCAACTGCACCAGATGTCTACCCCTTTTGGGTGCTTAGTATAAATCGATATTAATGGTGATAATATAGACGGGAAGGCCTCCATAACTTGTAGGAGACAGCCTTAATGCTATAGCTACCACCGTACAAGGTTGTGCTGCAACAGCTCAAGCAAGGGTTGAGATGTGGGGCCAACAATGATTTTTTTGTTGGCCAAATTGCCACCAAATATGCAAGTCCAGATAAGCTTTGGTGCTTAATTTGCCGCCCAACGAGGAAGAGTTAGGCCACGAGAAACCCACAGATGTGTTCTATTGATTGAGTACTACACAATGGTGCAAACATCATAATATCCGGACATGTATTGAGTGAGCTACAAGCCAAAATAGTTAGCATACTGGGAAAATAGGCACTGGGATGGACATTTGGTGCAGTTGCCTGGGTCCTCATGCAGCACAGTCATATGATTCTACTGTGACCTGTTTGGCTGTGAGCATTTATGTTCAGCAACCTCACATGATGTTCACCAAATCAAACAAATGTGATATCATGTTACATCCCATGTGCCCAACCTCCAAACCCCCGGGCCAACCCCCGAACCTCTGTATGAACTACCGGTTTCCAATTCTATTCCAACTTCTTCTATTTAGACCTTTCCCTCTTGGCGCGAGGTGCCAAGACACTTACCTAAACAAAAGGCTTATTGTTTTCAGACGCGAATTATATCCCGAAGTCCCGGACTTTCCTTTACGGTACTTCTTATTGTTTCCGAAGACAATTAGGCTTCTCTGTATTTAACCGAACTGGATTGTACTAGCTACTCAGTTCGGATATCTCGTTCACTTATCCATTTCCTTTCTACCCTCAAACCTCCAAACCTCCAAACCTCCAAACCTCCAACCTCCAACCTCCAAACCTCTGACCCCCAAACTACGTCTCTAAGCTTGTCTTCTATTTTGCTCTCGACCTCTCCCCTCTCCTGTCCCCCCGACTCTCTAGTCTCGTCCCGGAACTTTGTCAGTTCCGGTACTTGTACTCCCGACCCCCGAGTCGGTACTTCTCGTAAACCGAGGACACCCGACAAGTGTGCCTGGTGCGTTACTAATAAGATTGACCCACCTCAAACCTGACCACATCACGTGCACGTCGATTGTCACATTCGAGCGATTCTGAGTGGCAAAAAGTAGAAATATAATTACTGAGGTGTAAGGACGGATCCTGAAGGAAAAAGCGTGGATCAGTTGATAGCTAGACATAGGCTCTACAATCTGATGCAGCCGTTTTGGAAGTAGATGCCTAGGGAGGAATGGGTTGTCATTGCACCTGAGTTTTGCGGAGACAGGCGCCTAACAGATAGCCCAAAAAGGCAGCGGTCAATATTTTGGATTACGCGGTGGCGGCCGGTGCTCGCAGAGAGTTTGCGTGCCACCAGCAACGTCGGGGTGCGGGCCGGCAGCTCAAGAGGCCCTATGCCACAGAAGGGGAAGTGGGGGAGGGTCGCGTGTGCCAATCTCGAGCATGCCAACAAGAAGCGCAGGCTGAACACGCACCCGGCACCCGGAGTACCCACCGCGAGCCTCCCCGGCGGCGCGACCCACGGTGGTTCACCGACTCGGGATACGGCGGACAGGGAGAACGTGGTGAGCCTGCAGATTAGGCTTCTTCTGACATGCTTCTGACCTCAATCATGGCAGGACCCTTTACAGCGGGCCGGTTCGGATAGTGCCTCTTCGCGAGTGGCTGGTGCTCGCACTCAGCGGCAGCATGGCACGCTACCTCCACTGGGCTCCTCTCCACTACCCTCCTCAGTTAATAAATCATACAAACATGCTCTGAACACCTACCAGCACGCTGTGAGCACGTTCGATAAGATTTGCCAGCCTACATGGAGTCCTGTGCCGCCTGTTACTGCTTCGACACCTTCTAGAGCCCCGCTGGAGTCCCTGTTCCCCTCCGGCTCTCAGGTTGCCTCTCCCCTCGTATTTGGGCCCGCGACAAACCCCGTTCCACGATCAGTGACATCACACCCGTCCCTGAGCACGCCCGCTTGCTTGGTCAGCACATCTACAGCACTCCCGGGTGGCCTGGAGTGTCAGCCCTCTGCTGTTCCACCCGCTGCGAGCACAGGTGCCGCCTCTGGAAGCCACTCTGTCCAGGGCCCAGTGCGACCCCATTTTCAACCGCCGCCCTCTCTACTAGAAGCTACCAATGCCCTGAAGGACATTGGCGCTCTCCTGCGGCCACGGAGAAAAAATGGGAAGGGCTTCTTGCATTTCAAGCTCGGTGATGACCGGCTCCAGCACCGCATGGAACAAATCAAGATGTTCCTCGGTTTCTTCGTCTCGCAGAGCCCTGGAAGCGGCTGGATCGCGTCTTCTCTGCAGACTGCGAAGGCCTACCAGCTGGGACCAGCAACGGCGAAGTCCCTGCGCAGCTGGACCCGCGCCTTCATCGCTGATCGACATGCGCTTCCAAGCACAGCGGCCCGACCCTGGCAGCTTTCCCTCCTCGAGCGTCGTCCTGATTTGCGGACTGCGATCGAGGAGCACCTCCAGAGCGTCGGGAAGTACGTTCGAGCAATGAACATCGTCCATTTCATGTCAGAGCCGGCAGTTCTGGCCCAGTATGGGCTGACGAAGCCCGTTGCCCTGTCCACGGCACAGGTCTGGATGCACGCCCTGGAGTACCGGTGGACGAAAGTCCCAAGCGGCCAGTATGTGGACGGACATAAGCGCGCGGATGTGGTCAGCTATCGGCAGGACAGGTTCCTCCCTGCAATGGCCTGGACCGACAGCTGCGCTCGCATGTGGGACAAGGACGGCACCGAGGTCACAGCAGCACCCCCATCCATTCCTCTGCCCAACTCTACCCCATCTATGACATCCCGCCCTGCTGGGGCCCCTGACACGATCACGCCGCCCCCGATTCCAGTCTGCCCATCGAGCGAGCATTCATCGGCTTCGGCTGCGTTCTCAACCCAGTCACCGCTCCCCCATCCCCCTACTGGCACACGCCGTGTTGTGTACTGGTTCCATGACGAGTCTGTCTTCTACGCAAATGACAGACGGAAGACACGATGGGTGCACAAGTCTGAGAAGGCAGTACCCCGCACCAAAGGGGAAGGTGCTTCACTCATGGCCGCCGACTTCGTCTCCGCTGACTATGGCTGGCTGCGCTCTCCTGACGGCAAGGAGTCCACTCGAGTCCGCCCTGAAAAGAATCGTGATGGATACTTCACGCATGAGGAGATCCTCGCACAGGCGACTGCAGCAATGGACATCCTCGCACGGCACTACCCTGATGAGGACCACGTCCTGATTTTCGACAATGCCACTACTCACCTGAAGCGCGCGGCGGATGCCCTCTCAGCGCGTCACATGTCCATGAAGCCGACACAAGATGACAAGCCAATGTTCGGCGTGGAGACGCCTCTGCGCGGACCAGACGGGAAGCCGGTGTACGGGCCAGACGGGAAGGTCCTCAAGACGAAGATTCGCATGGAAGACGCACGATTCAAGGATGGCTCACCACAATCACTCTATTTCCCTGCTGGGCATCCAAGAGAAGGCGTCTTCAAGGGCATGATCATTATTTTGCAGGAGCGTGGTTTCGCAAATGTGAACACCTTGCGTGCACAGTGCCCCGCCTTCAAGTGCCTGCCACCTGCCCTTGATTGTTGCTGCCGCCGACTTCTCTTCAACCAGCCTGACTTTCGAGATGTCGAGTCCCTCCTCGAAACGCACTGCAAGGCTCGCGGCTTCACCGTCTTGTTCCTACCGAAGTTCCATTGCGAACTTAACTGCATCGAGCAGTGTTGGGGGTATGCCAAGCGTGTCTATCGCAAGCTCCCAGCATCCTCGGCCGAGGCCGATCTTGAACGCAATGTGAGCTCCTCGCTCGACAGTGTCCCACTGGTCTCGATTTGGCGGTACATTGACATAATTGTCCGAGTATTCATATTTTCGAGTCCAGGCTGACATTAGGACGCAATTTTTAGATTCTACACTTGTTCCCATCGGTTCATGGACGCGTATTGGCGCGGTCTTAATGGCACACAAGCTGCCTGGGCCGCAAAGAAGTACCGGAGTCACCGAGTTCTGCCGGGTGATATCCTGGATGAGCTCGACCGTGCTGACATTTCTTGACTGACTATATCAGATATATTACACCCCCCTCTTGACCCTACTGTCCTTTCCTGTAGATATCCTAACCTACTCACCGTGCATAGTGTATATTCTAGTATTGATATCATGCTTGTAGTACCCGTATGTTCACCTAGTCACTTACTGTACAAATTGAGTCCAATATGCCCTCTGACGCCGAATTCACGTGCACGTCACACCGTGACTATAGTAGTCAGGTTTGAGATGGGTCAATCTTAGTTTCACGAAGTCCTCCCTTCCGGTGCACGGTGCTTCGGGACTTTGTTAACCCCCGAACTTCCGCGCACGGTCCTAACATATCACCAGAAAACTATGGATTAGGTGAATATAATGGGGTTGTTTGTATATTGTTGTGAGCACATCTGAGGGAACTACAAGCCAAACAAACCCCTATAAATGACACTTAGTCACAATGTGTCACTAATGGAGAATCAAAGTGGGTTTGAATAGATGTATTACTAGCTAATACCTAGAGTGTTATATACTATTAAATTCAGAAAATTGAGATCTACACAATGGTGCCATTGGTGCATTAATAGGATGCCATTTGGAGGCATCAATTGGAGTACAAAGCCATAAATGGATTTCTAGGTCCTGTTAATGCAGATTGTATGCACATCATATAGTGTTCATGCTCAGTTTGTCATTTGCCTGGTCTTACCATTACATCCTAACACACTTTCATTACATAGAACAGAAGATAGTGGTATCAGTGCATCAAGCAAACTGGTTGGCAGATTGACACCTGTGTATTGCATATAATGGCATGGTCATACCACCATTAGATCCACATTGAAAGTAGCTTTCTGAAGATAGACAATAGTCCCATGTTATGGTACAAAATGAGCCAACAGTATGCATACATCAGCAAAATCTCGAATTCTCCTAATTGGACTTACGGCAACTTAGGGGCTTATCAAGGTCATAAGTGCCATAATGCAGTCCCTTGGGAGACTGCATTATGGTCTTACGGTGCCTTATTGCCTTGATAAGACCATAAGACACCATAAAACAGCGCAGGATTTTGCTGATGTATTGTATTGCAGTTGAGCTCCCTTTACAAATTTCTCTATAATCTGGTGCCTACTGGTCCATATGTCATAAAATGTATATCATCAGAAAGCTATGGATGAGGAGAGTCCATATGTGCACAAAAGATTGAATATCACTACTGCAGCTACCATTAAATATAACACTACATTCTATCAATGCCACAATTAGCAATAAGTGCCCAAGGGCACAGACCTGATGGCATCATCGCCTCACCCACAAGTGTTATATACCACCAAATTCAGATTTTTAATCTCTATTCAATGATGTTGTTTATATATTTGTTAATTGATTCTACAAGGTAGAACAGCTATCATTATTGCAGTATTACAGCTTAGAAGCCTTCAGAAAGCTACACCTTCCTCCGCCTCATCAATCGGACCTGCCAGTCATGGCCCTCTCCACCCAAGTTCTAACGATGAAAGAATCATTCACACAATGATAAATTCAAATTGTTGTTCTCGGCAGTATTTTGGTGGGTATAGTGTAAGAGGCCTTATTTTTGAAATATCACAGTCAACTGTCATTGAGTTTGTGACACTACCATTCTCACAAAGTTTTGTGCCTGTCAGGATATTGTGAGCAATTTATACAATTGTATCCAACATTTGGAATGAGTTTGCATCACATAGCGAATGAGGCTTGTCCTTGAGTGATGTTCAAATACTCAGCTTGGAGTACGTAGGTGGGTGACCGTGACGGACGTGTGACTGACGCGCGCCATGAAGGAAGGGCAGTGGCGGGAAGAGTTGGGCGCACTCGACCATCACCACCGCACTAACCGGAGCCCCATGGCGTCTTCCTCAAGGTCCAGCGGTCCCCCGCCAGAGCTCGGCCAGGACAGCATGGATGTGGACGGCCCAGCCCCCAATGGCAGCGCAAACGACGCGATCCCCGCACCGCGAATCCGCGCATCCTCCATGCCCGCGACGCTCCGGGCGAACGCTTACCACGTCGGCTACGTATACTCGAGCAAGATGATGTCGCACAGCTGCGTGCATGGCCACTGCGAGCAGCCTGAGCGCATCTCGCGAATTTTTGATATACTGAACCAGAACGACTGTTTGAAGAAGATGAAGCGACTGCCCATTCGGCGTGTTTTACGGGAGGAAGCGCTCCTCGTTCACAGCCAAGCGCTCTGGGACAAGGTCCTTGCACTGCATTGTAGGTCTCCCCTTCGGCCATTCGCAATTCGGATCGTTCCTGTTCATTTACTAAGACATTCTCTGTAGCGCTGACCGACCAGGATATAGCAGACTCGGAGGCATACTATAATGACCTGTCCCTTTACGTTCATCCTACGACACCATATGCCGCTCAGCTAAGCGCAGGTGGCGTCATTGAGGCTACCCTAGCCGTCGCCCGAGGGGAAGTGAAGAAGGCCTTCGCCATCGTTCGTCCGCCCGGTCACCACGCCGAACCGGACGAACACATGGGCTTCTGCTTCTTCAACAACGTTTCAATCGCCGCCAAGGTCGTCCAACTCAAGTCGACCCTGAAGCGAATTCTCATTCTGGATTGGTATGTCAGGAACACCAAAGAAGGCAGACGTAGCTGACCGCCTCCCAGGGACGTACATCACGGTACAACCTTCCTATCCGTGCCACGGATCAGGCGAAACTAACGAGAAGTAGGCAATGGCACGCAGCGGGCCTTTTACGATGATCCATCCGTCCTTTACATCTCCCTTCACCGCTACGAAGGCGGAAATTTCTATCCCAACGGACCGTTTGGTAGCATGACATCCTGCGGCGAGGGCGCAGGTCTTGGCTAGTACGTCACGAAGGACGCGTTCTCGACCCCCATACTGAACGCCCGACACAGTTCCGTCAATATACCCTGGCCAGAGAAAGGCATGGGCGACGCCGACTACATTCTCGCGTTCCAGAAGATCGTTATGCCTATCGCCTTAGAGTTCTCCCCCGACCTCGTCATCAGTTCGTCTCTGCACCGCCGCGTGCATCCGTGGTCTCTCACACCCTTTTTGTAGTTTCTGCGGGGTTCGACGCCGCCGAAGGCGACGACCTTGGCGAATGCCACGTCTCTCCCGCGGGCTACGCCCACATGACGCACATGCTTTCCTCGCTTGCCGGCGGAAAGCTCGTAGTCGCGCTGGAGGTGGGTATCTCCTACCTCTTCCCTCGAACATTGCTGAACCTGAGCCGGAACCGAAGGGCGGGTATTGCCTGGACGCCATCGCCGCGTCCGCATTAGCAGTCACACGTGTAGTCCTCGGGGAGATGCCGCCACAGCTTCCACCGCTTACTGCATCTGAGGCGGCGACGGAGACGATCTGGCAAGTCTCTGCGGAGCAGAGCAAGTACTGGAAGAACCTCGACCCTAAAGTGTGCGAACCTATGGAAGGTAGGTTGCAACCCGTTTCTCGCTAGCCGTGGACTGAACGACTGTGGACGCTTCGGCAGAGCTCGAGCAAATCGCATTGTCGCTACCAGGTAATGATAGATCGCTCTTGAGAACCTTTGCATGCGACTAACGCAACGACGCAGAGCTGCTGAAAGCTCACCGCCAAGATTATCTCTTCCGCACGCACGGGATGCTCGAGGTTCCTCTCATGAGCGCCCCCCTCATCGAACGGTTCAATGCTCAGGTGTCGTGCACGTGAGTAGGAGAATCCCATTTCTCCACACAAATCGGTCTCTAAGCATGCGCACACCGGCAGATCCGATATCATGGACAACGACACCCTCATCGTCTTCGCCCACGAATTGTGCGTGCCCCTTCTCTCCCGTCGCGTGATATTCTCAACCCAGTCTCCACAGCGGCAATTTGGCCGTAGAGCTGGACTCCGTCACGCATTGCAACGTCCGCCAGGAGCATTCGTACCTCGTGAGCCCCAGTGCCCAAAATCATTTATGTGCGCTCCTAACGGACGCCTTCCAGATTGACTGCTCCAAAGCACTACTTACGTGGGCGAAAGCCGAAGGGTACGCAGTACTAGACGTTAATGTCTACCCTAAACCCTTCCCGAAGACGAAGGTATGCTTCAATTAAACCTGGTGTTTGACACGACAACACTAACTGTGCATGGAAAGCTCAAGCACACAGACGACTACGGAGGCGCGGTGATGGTATACCTGTGGGATAACTACGTGCAGTATGTTATGCCCGCCTACATCACCCTTTCTTGCTCACACACAAGCGCAGGCTGACGGGTGCTCGACGAGTGGTCCTCGTCGGCCACGGCCCTGGCTGTAACGCCATCATGAGCCTGATTGCCCAGCGCGGTTTGTGCTCCCGTCCCCGTGTGCAGAAACAGCTGCTGACCCTAAGTTCCCAGCCGCGAGTGTGCTGAAGACTGTCGAAGGCGTCGTACAGGTCGTCGGACTGCACAACGTCCCCACCACCCCGCCAAACACGCCCTCCCTCCGCCAATGGTACTTCGACGTGAGTCGCACGCTACCGGACATGCCACCCGACAATATCTGACCCCATATGCAGAACTCCATCGTCGTCGTACCGTCAAACCACCCCATCTTCCATGACTCAAAGACGATGAAGAAGCACGGCCAGGTCTTCCGCATCGGTGAGCGCGGCACCGTCCTCCTCATCTCCAATCGTAGCTTATACGCGGCCCTCGCAGACGAGGAGAAGCCAATCAAGCTCATCATCAAGGCCATGCCCGGCATCCAGGGCTTCATCAAGGACAAGTTCTCGAATGCAAGCGTGAACGGAGATGCCACCTCCTAGGACCACCCATTTCTTTCCCGAGCCGGACGTGTAGACATGCCTCCTCTATCCCTTCTGTTGTCGATACTCGCTCTCCTTGTTATGTGTGGAATACATGTTGTCCCAAACCAGACCATCGAGCACACCGGAGGCGCCTGCAGGCTCCTTGAGTAACAGAGACAGAACGCAGGGTAATATGTTGTCCAATCTATGTATTGACTAGCGCAAAGAGAGCGGGACGTATGGTTTTCTCCAGCAGCCGCTCCCACGTCACTAGGACGGGATGGCATACAATCAGACAGATTCTGCGGCAAGCGTCAACCACCATAGCAAGGACGACTAGAAAACCGACTCACGCGAAAGCAGGCTGTTAAGCTTGTTGACACGCGACGCAACGCTGAGGTCGATAGTCTTGTCACCGAAGTCCACGACGACACCGCCCAGCACGGACGAGTTGATCTACAACCCCACAACCAATCAGCCCTCCGCCCAAATCCCATCCACCAGTCCAAAACTACACACCTTGTTAGAGATCTTGAGCGACTTCGCCGCCTGCGCCGCCTGGCTCTGCTTCAACAGCGCCTCCAACTTGCTCTGCACATCCCTCGGCAGCGGCGCCGCGCTCGTAATCGTCACATTCAGCTCGCCCTTGTACCCCGCAACGAGCTCATTGAACCCCTCAATGACACCCTCCGTCTCGACCAGCCGCCCGTTCTGCGACAGCACGACGAACAGGTTTTTCGTGATGTCCGACGGCGCCTCCTTGCCCGCCGCGGCGTAGAGGGCCGCGAGCCCCGCCTCGCGCTCGCCCGCGGACAGCGTCGGGTTCGAGATGAAGGTTGCAAGCTCGGGCGTCGCCTTGACGGCGGAGTGGATCGCGTTCAGCTCGGTCTGCACCTTGCTGAGCACCTGCGGGGACGACTTGAGCGCGGCGGAAAAGACCGCGTTGGAGTACTTGAGCGCGATGGTGCTCGCGGCGCGGCGTCCGAGGCCAGCGGAGAGGGCGGCTGAGCGAGCGGCAGCGAACATCATGGTGAGAGAGACGAGGGAGGAGGTAGACAGGTAGCTGGACGTCGGTGGGCACGGCGAGCAGCCCTCGTCACTCCGAAACGCCCGACTCGGCAACGCCCGGCCCTTGCCGGCTCTTTCCGAGTGCGTCCCGCATGGCGATGGTCGTATGTTATGTTATGATGTTATATGTGTTATAAACTGTTTGCTACATTCTACTGTACTATACATCGCTGCTGGTAGAATATGCATGCAATTGGAGCCTCTATGTGTCAGGAAAACGAACGTGCGACTATGTGTACGATACGACTAGCGATGTGCGGAGAATGCGACGGACGTGAGTATGTAATGCATCGGTGCACCCGCACCGGAGGAGATGGATAACGTGGAATGGCGAGAAAATGCAGGAGACCAGGGGAGATGCGACAGGCAGGGATCCAGTATCTAGAAGGCGCGGTGCGCCTCGTGCGTAGGGTACTCTTCTAGAGGCGTAGGGACAGACGAAGAGATGTTCCGGCTATGTCGCTGGCCGGGGATCGGGGACGACGCCGCTGTCGACGTCCGGTAGGTGTATGGTGGTGAATGCGGCGAGTCTGTCGCCGCTGAGGGTGGCCGTGAGTATTGGAACGACCATCTCCGCGGGAGCGTCTCACCAAGCGTCGTGCTTGATGTTTCGCTCCTCGGCGTCAGAGATACGGACGTACTCGGTGGTGAGGGGTTGCCCGGACGCGAGTGGAAGTACTGCGACGGGGCCGTCGTGATCGTCATGTTGTCCTTCTTCTCCTGCTCCCCGCTGTAGCGCGCACCGTCGCCCTTTTCGGCAATCGACGAGTCGCTCGGGTTGCTCGCCAGCTCGGTATCGCCAGGGCGCCGTGTGCGGTAGCCACAGCACACCGCGTACTTGAACAGGCGCCATAGGCCGATGTTCACCAGGGTGTTGAAGAACATCACCACGCACGCGACGGAGAAGATGACCGCTGTGACGGCACCGATCGCGACGCGCGGGATGGGCTGCACCGAAAGACTCTCCGCAAACGCGATCATAAGACCACTGCAGACGAGGCGGGTGACGCAAAGGTAGCCCATAAGGAAGTCTGCGCGGCGCGTGGGGTACGGCTTGAGGATGATGATGCAGCCGAGCAGGAGCGCCTCGAGGACGACGAAAAGGATGGCTTGCGCGATGCCATGGGCGAAGCCGAACGCGGTCACGAGCGCCTTGACGACCATAACCGTAAGCAGCGCGATCACGTAGTACACCCGATTCTCGCGGTACGGCGCGGTGAACGGCGCAACAGAGGCCGGGGCCTTCTTGTCAGACCACTTGGCCGTTGGCAGGGACGACCGGACGGCGAAGAAAGCGGCAGGGAGGATGATCGCCATGAGACCGAGGAGCAGAAAGACCGAGAGAAGGACTGCGAGCCACGAGTCCTTCAAGGTCCACTGGTTAAAGGTGAAGACGAGGATCGGAAGCGCGCATAGCAACGCGGCGCGAAGTCCCCACGCCTGAGCGAATGCCGGATACGTTGAGCGGAACCGCTCAACGCTGGGATGCTTCCGCCCAAACTCGGTGCGCCCAAGTCCCAGCGTGATACCGTACACCAGCGCGAGCGCGCCCATGGTGATCGCGGCAATAATGAGAGTCATGAAAAAGACTGTCATGAACGCGTTGGCCGTCGCGATACCGATTGAGCTGGTGAAAATGGGGATGCCGGCCTCGAGGACGTTGGATGATTCGTCGGTGACGGTGGCGACGTTGCCGCCAACGAGGACCTGAGTGGTCGGGAGGGTGAAATTCGACGCCTTCAATGACGTGAAGTCGGCCAAATTGATGCGTGCGAGGGACGACGCGGACTCCACAAGCGACTGCGAGGCTACGAAGCCGGCCTGGTTGTAGGGACTGAGTTTGCGGTTGACGAAGGAGATGGCTCCATCGCCACTCTCGTCGGACAGATGCCCGCCTGTGAGCTTGCGCATGTTGTTGATGGACGCCTGCATCGAAGAAGATGCGGAGGCGGTAAACAGACCGAGGGCCCATGCGAAGTTGAAGGTGTATGAGCGGTAAAGGGAGGGGTAATTTAGGGCGAGCAGACCAGAGAGCGCGATGGTCTGAAATAGCGAGATGGTATCAATCAGGCGGATGGGAGCGAGTGAGGAGCTGCTGCCGAAAATAGACTGCCATATGGCAGCGGCCAGGGCGAGGAGGGCGATGCTGGCGGCGGCCCAGACTGCGCCAGTTTGGTGGGTTGACCAGCCGTTGGAGAGGGTGGATTGGACGCAGGCCCTGACTTGTCCGGTCTTGACGTCGGTGAGGGTAAGCTGAGCGTACGCCTCTAGATCGGGGATGAAGTAGGCGATCTGGGGGAGATTGGAGGCGACATCAACATCCTTGGGGAGGGAAATGGAGTCGGAACCGGTAAAGTTGTAGAGCGGGAGCGGGCAGAGAGCACCGTCAAAGAGAGAGCAGATGTCTAGGGTGATGTTGACGGGTTGCATGCCATAGACATTGAGAAAGAGATTCGCGTTGACATTGATGTTGGCGACCTAGAGGCGCGTCAGGAACGGAGCGAAATGAAGAGCTGAGACGGGTACGCACCACACTGGCGGCAGAGACGTTGAAGACGATGGACTGGTTCTTTGCAAAATATGCAATGTCAAACTGCTCGACAAGGAGGGACTCTGGGGGAGCGCAATAGGTAACGGAGGAGGTGACTGGAGGGGTTGTTAGCGCGTTATCAATACAAAAAACGCGAGGGACATACAAAGGGAGTCTTCGCGAGCAGCGACGAAGACAGTGGGGGCGAGAAGGACAGACGCAAGGGCGAGTCGCAGCCGGGCGACGGAGAAGAACATGAAGGGCGAGAAGACGGGGAGCAACGGGAGCTAGAGGGCGGACTATAAGGGCCTGGCGTTGCGATTGTGCACGCGGAGGAGGGGTGTATTGTTCATTGTACTCACCGCTTAGCCGGACTTCTATTGTTGTTCTTCAGCGTTGAGGCTGTGGGCGCGGGAGTGCGTTCGGAGCAGCCGCCGTTGTGCTGGAGGAGGTGGGGGGAAGAGAAGAAAGGAGTGGGGGCGTGCCTTGGCACGATGGAAATACTTGAGCACGACCGAGACGACACGAGCGACGATGACCGACCGAAACAGACCGCCGATGGGCGCTTACACGGCACCCGTCCTCTCTCCAACAGGCGCCCAGTCGATCCGAGATCTGGGCGCCGGGCTGCCAGTGTTGGCGCAGTGAGCAGCTACCCGACACCAACGCTGGCCACAACGCGCCCCTTGTTCTCCATCGACTCGCGATTCATCCTATCCGGATGGCGATAGGTACGCCTCGCGGTCGACGCGAGTGTTCGAGGGTGGTGGTGTCAGGCTGCTTCGTCAGGCACTGGACCGACGTCCGAGTCTAAACGCGTACTGACTGTGCACTCTCCGGATCGCCGACTAAGCCTTCTCCGGCACCTCCCCCTGCTCTCACACGACCCCTCCGCAGCGGCTCGACTGCACCCAAGCACACCGCCCTCGGCTGCCTCGCGTTCCGTGCGTATGCTTGCATCGTCCCATTCTTGCTGGCCAAATACTGAACGCAAACACAGCTCCTGCCAGACAGCCTACTCAATGGCATTCACTCGCTCCGCTCCGTGTCTGCGAGCTCCTCGAACATGATGCACTGCATGATGCCTGTAGCTACCCGCAGAACACCTGCTGTCAGCGAACTTTCCCGACGTCCTCCCATGACGCACTCCGGCGCGTTCCTTTTCGGGTCCTCTCTGGGAAGAGCGCACACCCGATTGGCGTCAACTCCTCGACGCACTCGTCGGAGCCCATCGGGACACTTGCTCTTCCAGCGCCCTCTACCCCGATTTAGTCACCTCCTCTAACGCGACAAAGATTTGTGCGCAATACGTCTTCGAGTCCGTCGGTCGATAGCGTTCATCAGGCCGATACCATCCTACCCTGTGCGTCAAGATGATCACTCCCCCGGCGTCAGAGACTTCTGTTGTCTCATCAGGACCACTTCACCTATGTGTTCTAATCTCTTCAAACCTGCCCCTGCTCGCCATATGCTCTGACTACCTACTACCACCCCAAGACATCGAGCAGGCGCAATCTAGACGAGCACAATTGGAGCACAGCCACCCCGTACCCTTTCATCGTTGCGAATCGGCCCATGCTTGACACCGCGGCCTGCTCCTAAATTGGCCTGCTTCATTTACCGCCATATATCAAGGTGACGCGGTGTGTTGACATACTTGGCCCCTTCGGCACGCGCGTCCATTAACCCTTCGACCATGGCACGAAAACTGAAAATCCCGAGCAGCTGTCTTCGGGGCCGGGAGGCTTTCCCCGACGTCCGTCTTGCATCCATCCCCAAGATCCTCACACTCGTGTCGAAGCCCTTTCTGTCGCAACTACCCCAGCCCGGGCCCTACACTTACGCCGAACTACCTTCGTCGCCAGATTATCGGCCATCGTCTCAAACCTCGCTTTGCTCAAAAGGCCGCGACGATCACGGCACGTCGGAGCTGGTCACACGCAGGTTACTGCCATGCGCCAAGCGCGAGGTGCAGGGTGGAACTCAAGGCGAGTTGCGACTTCGCTGTCTTGGTCGAAGGACCTCATCATCGACTGAGGATCATGTATGCCATGATTGGCTGGTTTGCCATCCCTGAACAGGCGGCGTATGGTATGCCATATGCTGTTCCGTGCTTATTCGTATCAGTTTGCTCGCAGTGACTCCATCTGCCCAACCATATCCGAGAGTGTGAGTCGCTCACGGCCCAGGTACCGTCGGCCCATGGGCCGGCATTATGGCGGGCATGGTCGTGAGAGGACGAAGAAAGGTGAAGAAAGCGAAAACTGGTTTGAAGTACATTGCAGGGATTACGAGAGAGGTGTTGAAGGGTCGTGGTTGGAGCAGCTACTGACTAGATCGACAGGCGCGGATACCAAGGAATACAGGAGATGGCGTTCATAAATATGGTTCCAGATGAGATACTACATGAGCAATCGCAATCACTGCCTCCCGATCATACCGCGACGTCCAGTCACAGCAACAATACTTTCTTACAAACTGGGCAGCACCCGTGTGCACTGAGCCCCTGGCAGATACGACTATGTATGCTCAATAAGTAAGATCGACGAAGGCGCGTGGCCATTCTCACCTCGGGAAAAATATGTGTCCACATATGGTTGCGACGTGGGAGTCGCCCATATCCTTCTAGCAGGACTTGCAATGATACGAAACGCTCACGGCGTGTTCGGAGTCCCCTTGATAGTGAAGCGGTCAGTGGTTTGGAAAAGCCCTGTCGAGACAACAGACAACTTACCGGTTGCATCGGCATCTCCTGTTGCACGAGCAGCCGAGCATGAACGCCAGCCGGCATGTGTACACGGCGCATGCTGCTTGCACTCCGATAACCCAGCTTCATCGCTGTGGCCTCCTACGGACCGGGACCCCGGTTCGACGAGCGATAGCGACGACATAGCACTCGTGAGGTCCCGAAGAGGCGGCATGCCAGGCGGCATGCCAGGCGAGGATAAGTAGACCGACTCAGCAATCTTCTCTGCCACACTAGGCGTCCCCTCGACAAGTTGCAGCGTGGCTTCCGCGCCGTGGCGCTCCGCCGAGCATATGGAGATCTGCGAGCGTGGCGATGCCGGCACACAGGTGCTCTCCGCATCGTAGTATGAGGATGCCTGTGAGTCGCTCGAAGCTTCAAGTGATTCCATGCTGATTAGGAATGGTCAACACGTCGCCCCGAAGTAAGAATACATGATTTGCGGACCTAGTCGAGGCTGTATCCGCGATATCCGCCTCAGCAGGGCCGACGACGCTCGCATAGGACACGACTGATGCGCAGTCGTCAAAGTTGTCGCCATGCTTGTCTTCCTCTGTTGTTTCGCTGCCAGTGTATGACGACACGCTGCTGATGCTTGATCGCCTTGCAAGATCACTCTATAGAATGAGTACGGCAGAAGACACCTATCAGAATCACAGCTCCGAGCATAGTTGTAAAGCAAGTACCCACCGGTACAGTGACCTCCACGTCCGTCAGACTCGGTGTCCCCGAGTGGCGGGCTCTTACATCTCGAAATCCTTCTGCTTGGTTTTCGAGATCCGGCGACGCGGCGGAAGTACTATGCTGTACGTAGCCGTCGGCAGCATTGGACGTATCGGCTGAGCTCTGTGCGGACGAGAATGTCGGCATCCGATCTCCGACTCCAGGCACGTCGAGTTGTTCGGTGGGTATCCACTCGTCCTAGAAGGTGAAATACATATAAGTAAGTTATACTTTCTTGACATAAACCGCTGATACTGTACATTGTCATAGCTGTTCAAGTTGCCCACATTTGTCCTGGATAGCGTGGTTGCAGACTTGGGGCTCGAGGCCTCGGCTTTGAAGGCATCCTGCTCCGCCGTGGATCTGAGCAAAGCATTCGCAAAAATATCGCGGGTCGAAACTTACGTGAGTTTTCATCGTTGACGGTCTCAGTAGGCCGCCATAGCGCATGAGGGACTCGTAAGATATGAATGGCGCTGTGAGCTGTAGTAGTGCGGGTGAGAGTGTGGGTGCGGGTGTGGGTGCGGGTGCGGGTGCGGGTGCTCGTGCTCGTGCTGAAGGTGCCACTTTATGGCGGGGGACGCGCTGCCAGTATATGGGTTCCTGCCATTGGTGCCCAAATTCCCGCGCATGCTTTATCACCGTGGCCTGGTGCTGGAACTTCCCTTTGCATTCCCAGCAATATGGGGGCTCATTTTTCTTCTTTGAGCATTTGTTATGGTTGTTGCGAGTCTTCTTGTTCTTCTTTGACATCGTGAACCGCTTCTAAAGATGGTAGGAACGTCAGAAAGTCGCAAGAAGAGGTGAAGTTCTCGACTTGACTTACGACTCCTGGGGGTGTGAGGAACGGAGGAGGTGATGGTCAGGACCGCCATTTTCCCAGAGATATCCAGTTTATAAGAACCTCCAGCACGAGGACGACACGAACTACCGCAGCTATAATACACCTGGAGATTAATGCGTCTGGAATTCGGCATTGCCATACTGCCGCGGCGCGTGTGTGAACGATAATAGAGCACACTGATACGGGACGGAGGTGCGCGTGCGTGGACACCATGGGCTGAGCTTCGTGTAGCTCATATGGGAAGAGGGTGTTGAAGTAGGATAGGATGCATGGACGCGATCGGAGAGCTGTGTCGCGACTCGTTGGCGCCCGCACCCACAACTTTTGGCCTCTTTTGGCACCACTTCACATCGCGGCATTACGCCGACAGCCAAGGTTCCTACCTCCCCCAGGCTTATTCGAAGTTCCACAGGCACGCCTAAAGCACAAAGCATGGCCAGGCGTAACGGGGTAAAGAGACGTGTTTAACTTTGCTGATGTCCCTGTAAGATATGAAGATTGCATATCGTAGGCAGCACCGGCCGTCGGGACCTCCACAGAGTGAGCGAACGTCTACCCATTCCTTACGCATACCCGTTCTTCCCCGGAACGACACCGAACGCAGGTCCGCCCTTGCCGAACATCCTCTTGACATCGTCCGCAAGCTCCTCTGGGTGCTCGTGCGCAGCGAAGTGCCCGCCGTGCTCATGCTCTGATTCGAACACGATGTTGCCCAGCGTCTGCAGCCACCTAATGAAATGAGCGATCTTGTTAGCATGCAATATATACACCGGACTCGAGTCCTCTACAACATACTTTCTCGGCACCCTGTTCAGTTCCTTGGGGAAGTACGCGAATCCGAGCGGAATCGACGTCCACTTCACGCCCTCGATAGCCGGCCGCTCAAACCCACCCGTCATCTCCTTGTAGATCCGCACAGATGCGCCCGGCCCTGCGCGCGAGAACCAGTAGACAGACACCCACTCCAGCACTGCACAGAATCAGTCAGTACAGGATTGAACAGCAACCCCAAAGGGCGAGGTCTACCTTCATCGTCCGTCCACGGGTACCCATCCGTCCACTCGACAAGCTTCTCGTAGATCCACGCCAAGAGACCCACCGGCGAGTCTGCGAGACTGTATCCGAGAGTCTGTGGCCGCGTGGCCTGCTCGTGCGAGTACCCCGAGCCCTTCGACCTGAACACCTGCGACCGCGCCCATGCCTCCTTCTCGCGCCTGGTGTACGGCGTAATGAGGCGCGTGAGGTACAGCCAGGGCGAGGCGGAGAACTTGGGGGCAGTGGCACTGGAAGGGATTACATTAACAGGTGCATTCGTCAAGAAGGTGATACATTGAAGTACTTCGTGTAGTTGGTGAGCCAGCCTTTGACGTGGGCGTGGGCGTAATGGGTGGATAGATATCCAGCAATCTGCGCCGAAGATGTCCCAGTCAGTAGGTTGATTTACAGTAGGCTATGTTCACCACTTGCATAGTGTCCCCAGTCTCCTCCCTGGACGACTGTACTCGTGCATCAGTTTCCGTTCTACTCGCGAAGAAGGCTTAGTACGCACCGTAGTTGTCGTATCCGAGGCTGACCATCAGCTTGTTTGCTACCTAAACGGTCATCCACATCAACCTCGATAATCGTTTCGCGTTCGGCATACTTACTTCAGCGTATTGTTTCGAAGCAAACCCTTTCTTCTTCGGTGCCTCGGAGAACCCGAAGCCAGGCAGGCTCAGCGCGATAACATGAAAGCTCGCCTCATCCGGCTTGCCGGCAGTCAAGAGCGGCAGCAGCTTCCTAACCTCGAGGAAGTGCCCTGGCCCTACAACGCGTGCCCTTCGTCAGCATTCGCCACGCTCACGGTATCCAGCACGACACCCACATCCATGAATGAAGAGCAGCGGGACCGCATTCTCCGTGACGTCGCTTCTCTTGTGCACATAATGCACATTCAGCGCCCCAAAGCCCTCCACGTCGATATCGCGCGTGAACTGCGGCAGCGCGTTGATTCCCGCCTCCGCCTTGCGCCAGTCGAAGCCGTCCTTCCAGTACGCAGCCAGACGGCGGACGTCTGCGAGTGGCGCGCCGTACTCCCACCCCGCGTCGTCAAGCTCGTCTGGGAACCGCGCGAGCTCAAGCCGCTTGCGCAGTTGGTCGAGGTCTTCGTCCGGGACGGAGACCGTGAACGGTTTCTCGGTCGTGGCAGTGGTCATGCTGCAGGAAAGACTCCGGAGTTCAGTTACAATGTGCATTGATCGGCGTACACCGGGGGTTACCTAGTCAAACGTTTGTCGTTCAAGTTTCGCCGAGATTCGCAGCGTGCCTTGAGGGTGGGTACAAGAGCTCTGCAGGACGTTAGACCTTTAAATGTGAACGGGGCGCTCAGGCTAGTGGTACGGTCGCAGAAGCCCTGAGCGGACTCGCAGCCAATTTGATAGAGAGGGCGTACTATTAGTAAGTGTTCCACGTTCTGAGTCGAGGCGAGACGTCATCCGTGTCTCGCTTCTGTTGGATTCGTCAGAAGAAGGGCTCCGTGCGCAACGCTATAAACATTAGCATATGGATACTCCTGCCATTCTCGGACATGTGAGTCAACTGCTAGCTGATACTGCGCGCGCGAGAAGTCGATGGTGCATGCAACAGGAACGCGGTGATACGCGCAGGAGGGGAGTCAAGGGCTCGTATGCGCGTCTGGCCAGTCGGGCCACTCGACTGTCCAAGTTGGTCTGTCATTAACCCAAAGTCCGGAGAGCTACGCGATGCAACCAGAGTCTAGGAGCCCCGACACCTGTCGGTCTGTCTAAAGATGCGAAAGAAATGAAGATGAGATGCGCGTAAGTAGGATGGGGGTCAGTACGGGCGTGTGTAAGTCGTCTACGAGATGGGTGGTACAGTCCTTGCGGTTCAGTTTGTGTATTCAAAAGGGGTAGCGTCAGTAACGTGAGCGTATGCGGCGAGTCGAGGGTATCAAGGGTGGGTATACGAGCTCAGCCTCAGAGCTCCTGCAAACAAGCGCATGAGTGACGGCAGAGAGTGAGGAGAGAAGAGACGTACGGTCATGGTCAGGTTACCAGAGAGCAGCCCTGTCGATGAAGTTAGCTTAGGAACGGATGCGTCAAAGGTATGACTACGTACTGTTCTCAAGCACGCAACCGTCGGGGATATCAATACGTTGGCCCTCGTTCGCGACGACTACATAATCCAAGTCAGCGCCCGTCTGAACGCCCCGTATATATCTAACTCACCGATGACAGTGCCGCGCAGCGTAACATTGCGCCCGAAGTACACATCGCCCGTAACCGTCAAATGGTCGAGCTCGATGATCTTGGGGATCTTCTTGAAGCGCTTCTGGAACTGCGCGATCTTCTTGAAGTGGTCCCCAAGCTTGATCACCGGTGTCGTCCCAAACATCCTGTTCGGGTTGATGACCAGCTGGCCGTGCTCGAGCGAGTAGATGTCGCTCTTGATGAGCAGCAGGTCCGAGCAGCTCTTCACGGGCAGGAAGCGGTTCCGCGGGACGTTGATGCCGCGCGCGTTCTTGAAGTGGCGGATGGCCGCGCCCGCGGCGGTCTCGAGCTGCACAACAGACGCGCCGTCCTCGGTCACCTTCGGGTTGACGATGATCTCGAGCTCCATGCCCTCGTTCTCCATGACGCGCTTGAGCGCTGGGGTCACCGCAGCATGAGGACCGAGTATATGCTATACGATACGACGCAACTTACCCTTGAGGTTGACCCACAAGTTGTTCGTGTTGAAGATCTTGAACTTGCGGATCGACTTGAACTCCTCGGTGTGCTCAGAAGGGACCTGGGCAATCTCGAGGAGCTGCACGTTGCCCTCGTAGTCAATAAGGGTACCACCCTGCAAAGAAAGGCGTTAAATATTGAATGCGCATATACGCAGAAACGGTAATACCTTAACATCGGCCTTGGTCTTGTCCGTGACCTCCATGATGAATTCCGCCTTGGCGTCAACCATGTGCTGGAGAATCCTCTGGTCGACAACGGCACCCAAGTTGTCCGAGTTCGACACGAACAGGTACTCCTTGCCCTCCGCCAGAAGCTGGTCAAGGACGCCAGAGTGCATCAACGCATTGTAGAGATCGCCGTGACCGGGCGGGTACCACTTGGACTTGTTGTCCGTCGCGGACCCCGGCAACGGGAGCAGCGTCTCCTTGTCGATGCGGGGGTAGCGCGACTGGTTGAAGGTGGTGATGCGCAGCTGCTGGTTGGCGTACTTCTTGATGATACGGAGCGTGTCCTCATGGGTGTTGAATGACGTCATGAGAATGAGCGGCACGTCCACGCGGTGCGTCGTGTTCAGGTGCTCAATCTGGCGGACGGTAAGGTCGAGGAAGGTCATGTCGTCCTTGACCTCGAGCGCACTCTTCGCGCCCGTCATACCTACGTCAGTGGATGAGCATAGGGTCGTAAACAGATAACGCATTCGGCACATACCCATAGAAGTACCGAGACCACCGTTGACCTTGAGCACGGCGAGTTTGTTAAGGGCATGTGCATCGCTCTTCGTGGGCAGGTCGTCATACGGGACGATCTGGTCCGCGGCGGGAGACTTGATACGGTCCCAGTCGCTGGCATTCAACCGAGGTAAGCGCGGAGTTGGGTCATATGGGTCCCTAGATGCTTACAGCTCCTTGCTCTGGGCCTTCTCGGCGAGGTAGCGGGTGAACAGATAGAAGAATGACTGCATCTCGGTATCGAAAGCCTGCCGAGCACATGATGAGGTCGGCTGAATGAATTGAATAGGTAACATCAAGGGAAACCGACCTTCTTGGTTTCGGGGTCGGAGACGGAGTTGACGAGCCTGTTAAGCTCATTTCGCATGTTCTTGGTTGCGACACCGGTGGTCGCGCTCTTGAAGTGCTGTTTGCGTTTAGATCGGAGTGAGCGAAATATGTCAGAGAATTGCCCCATGCTGGCGATTGCTACCATGCAGGGGATTGGGGGGAGGATGGCGGAGATGACGCTGCTTACGCGCGGAGGGGAGGATGAGACTACTGACCATGGCAGACACGCCTCTTGTGCGAGGCGCCTTCTCGTGAAGCTGCGCGGTGAGGGCGGACATGGCGTGGTGGATGCCTGAACGGGTGAGTAGAGGATGGTGGCTCGACAGCAAGGCGGGTGCGAGTACTTGAGGAGGGGAGAGGGAGTGTATTTAAGCGGGGATGGGGCACCGGTCGCTTGCGATTCTAGATTGGGTCTGCCAACTGACGACGCCAATCCGATCGCCCCTGCTTCTCCCCACGGCGCGCGCTCCCCGACGCCGACTCACAGACCCGCCCGCCCTGTTCGCTATCTTCTGTTCATCCATATGAACGGATGGGCGGACAGTAGCCGCTGTTCCCCACCAAACACCGCAAGTGTTGCCCTGCTTGACAGAGGGCCGGTCGATGATACAGGGCGCGGCCGCCCCTGCCCCTGGTCCCGTCAATGAATGCGGTCCCTCTGTCGATGTTCGCGACCACTATAGCCGCATATCCAGGGCACAAACCGAAGGCAACGTGTTATGTGTCAGCCGCATGTCTTTGCACGAATGACACGGCGGACACTGACGGACATCGCGCACGCAAACAACGTGTGCAAGGCACTCGCCGGCAGTGCAGCCGAGCGAAGAACATATACCTTTCTCCGAATTTGGCGTACCCTGCCCTTACCGACGCTCGGAAGCCGCACAGAGGGTCAGAGGTGTTGATAGAATTGACTGCGAAAGCACAAAGAATAGCGAGCATGGAGAAAGAGATACAAGGAAGGCCTCCGCGCAGCAACGCCGACCCAAATTTAAAGTTAATGCACGTAGAATTCGAAACTTCGCAAGTCCTACATGGGCGCCTACCGGCCCGCCGGACGATTTGGGCCCAGGTGGCGGTGGCTGAGCGTTTTTGGTCGGAGCTGCTATTCCATCAAACCTTGTTCTGTGAACTGTAAGCGTGCATCCACGCTGAATCTGCCGTGCAGGTCACCGTCCCTCAAGCCCTCAAGACCATCCAACATGGGTCAGTGCCGCCCTTTGATTCTTTGCTTATTGTGTCCCCAGTGCTGACCGGGTTATTTTCTGTGCTCCTCGTTCGCCAATCGCGCCAATCGCTGTCCGACCGCTTTTTCCGCCTACGGTGATCCTCTCAACATGCAGGTATATCCCGTTCCTCAAGGCACAAACGCTCCGAAACGGGTGCCCAGCGCCCCCACTACCGCAAAAAGAGAAAGTTCGAGCTCGGCCGTCAGCCCGCCTCCACCAAGCTCGGCCCCAAGCGGATTCACACCGTCCGTGTCCGTGGCGGTAACCTCAAGTACCGTGCTCTCCGTCTCGATGGCGGCAACTTCGCGTGGGGCAGCGAGCATGTGACGAGGAAGACGAGGATTATCGGCGTCGTACGTATCTTACTACTCCACCAAGCGGCCTCCGTCCGTTTTGCCGACGATATATATGCTCATAATGACTTCACCATTAGGTCTACAACTCGTCTAACAACGAGCTTGTCCGGACGAACACCCTCGTCAAGGGTGCCATCATCCAGGTCGATGCGGCCCCCTTCCGTCAGTGGTACGAGGCGCACGTACGTATAGTTTTTTTTCAGCATAATGCTGTGGTGCTAAGATTAGTCCGTCCGTAGTACGCCCAGCCCGTGACGAAGCGTGGCGCGAAGAAGGATACCACTGCGACGGAGGGAGAGGAGGCGAAGAAGCCCTCGAACCACGTGCAGCGCATCCTCGATGAGCGGAAGAAGGGTGCGTACCATCTGCAGTAGTATCCACTGCAACGAGCAAACACTCATGGTGTTGGTGCAGATGCCAAGGTGGACCCCCTCCTTGAGTCCCAGTTCGCCGCTGGTCGCTTGTACGCGTCCATCAGCAGCCGGCCTGGACAGTCGGGCCGTGCGGATGGTTACATTCTCGAGGGTCGGGAGTTGGAGGTGAGCGATTTCCGCATTGGGCCCCCTCGGGGAGAGTGGCCGGGTACTAAACGACATGCGCCTTTCCCAGTTCTACCTGAGGAAGATCAGGACGGGCAAGCAGAAGCACGCCCACGCGGCATAGGAGGGTCGCGTGATTCGACGCTTCTTGTTTGCTGACTGGCCTGGGAGCGGGGGAACGGAAGGCAGGCCTAGCACGATAGCCTGGGTGTATACAAAATGCTGCTATGATGTTGACGATGATGTACCCGCTCCCGTTTTCTGCGCTCCTTACTGTATGACGAGTATGTCTCACCCATGCGACCCGCAATGCATGTCTGTTCCGCCCCGAGCGCTGTTGTATTGTGTAGTGTGCAGTGGCCGGAGTCTTGTGTGTGTGCCGGGTATTGTCGCTGTGGCCATGGCCTGTGCAGAGAAAGGGCTGAGACTTGGATTGTGATGTCAGACGCGGGGGCGGGAATAAAAGGGGGCGTCTAAGCCGGAGGGGAAATGTGAACTGACACGGGCGTTCCGACCGCGTCGCGTGTGCTCCTCTCCCTCGCCCAACGCTCTCTTCCTCCTGTCATCATCCCACCCCTCGCCTCCTCCCCCGCCCTCTCCTGTATATTTCTCCCTCGCATCGTCCGCGCGCACTCGCGTCCGGTCCCTGCCCCACCCCATGCCCACCGCGATGGCGGGCTCCAGCTCGTCCGTCCTCAAGGGTCAATGGCGTCCAACCAAGATCATGAACATGCGCGACCTTTCTCGCGACGATGACTTTCTCAGCCACCTCCTCGTCGAGAAGCTCGGCACTGGCGACGTGCCTCTCGTCGTCCACAAGATGGACCCCTCAAGACGACTCCCAAAGACTGACGCTGAGCAGCTCCTCCAAATCGTGAGACGCGTGAGTGAACTTTCGCCCCCCGGCTCTCGCGCCCTCAGGCCGCGCGTGCCATGTATCCTTCATCGTCCCCTCACGCTTGCCCCGCGCAGTTGGTTTTTGCCAAGGGCCCCCCTCAAACTGCCATTCGCCAGGCTGTCGACGATCTGCTATCGTACGTCCCCCTGCCCCTTAATCTCCTCTGTCTCCGCTCATCCCGCACACCTAGTCTGACGGCCGTGCGGTACTATATTCGATCCTATACCCAGAAGCAAATCAACGCCTTCGCCACGTAGGCCGCACCCCCTTGTTCGCTTACGACCGCGCGCTCACGTTCCTCTCAGCCACGCCTCCCGCTACTTCGAGCTTTACCTCCCGTCGGGCTCAATAGAGATCGCCCATACCTCTCGATACTCGCACCACACCGGGAAGTCTGAGCTATGCATTCTCGCCACCCGCCCGCTCGCCCCAGGCACTGTTATCTCCGAGCTTAAAGGCTCCATGGCGGACCTAACCGACGAGGAAGACAAGGAACTCAAGGGCACAGATGTCGGCCAAGCAGACGGAGCAGGAATCCGCCGCGATTTCAGCGTCATCCATTCCAAGCAACTCAAGAAGAATCATCTATTCTTGGGGCCCGCCCGCTTTGTCAACGTACGTGGTTTCTACGCGAGCTCGACTCCCGCCACATCCCGCCACAATGTGCGCTAACCGCGCAATGTTTCCCGATACAGCACGACTGCGACCACAACGTCGAACTTTTTCGCGAAGGTCGGTACATCACGTTCCGGGTGATCAAGCACATCGGAGTTGGCGAAGAGGTGACGGCGCACTATGGCGACGGCTACTGTGAGTGCTTCTTGCTGTGCGCTTCCATCGCCTCTTCCTGTTCTGACGCTGTGCCTGTCGCTGCTCGTAGTCGGCCGCAACAACCGTCATTGCCTGTGCGAGTCGTGCGAGAAGAAAGGGCGCGGCGGATATGCACCGCACAACGACGATGAAGTATCGGATTCCGGCTCATCCCCTGGTGGCGCTGACTCGGATGGTGGCGACTCGGACTGGACCACGGACGAAGATGCGGCACCGCCGGCCGCGGTCAACGTCAACGTCAACGAGCGCCGCACCCGCCGTGGCGTATATGCGGTCCTCCCGGAAGAGGAACAGGGATCTGACGCTGAGCTCGAGGTTGAGCCGGTCCTCGACATCCCCTCCGACCTCACCGACCTCCCGCTCTCGAGTGCCTCCGGCGCGGCTGGGCCCTCGAAACTCACGGGGCTTCTGACGCCGGACACCGAAACCTTGCCGGCAGAAAGCTGCCCACCCTCGGCAGCGTCTACGCCGCGCACAGCGACGCCTGCTACCTCCTTCGTGATCTCGACGCGCGCCCAGAAGGCGCGCGCGGCGTCCGAGCTTGAGAGCATCAGCGCCAGCCTCAGCCTCAAGGGCAAGGGTAAAGCCCCCGCAGCAACTTCGCGCTCCGCGTCGGCGGTTCGGCAGCTTGAAACGCCGCCCCTTACCTCCGACAACGGATCCGTTGCGGAGGAACAGACCCGGCGTTCGTCCTCGCGTCTGCGCACACGAGGCGATGTCGCGTCGTCGGCGTCGCGCCTCAGCACACCGATGGTGGATGTCAAGGGGAAGGCGTCTGCGCACAGCTCGATCGTGGACGTGGCGGAACTGAAGGGCAAGGGGCGGGAAGACCCGGAGCTGGAGGGGCGGACGTTGAGGCGGCGGGCCTTTGTGCCTCCTGCTGCTCTCGAGGCTCAAAGCGCGTCCGTGAAGAAGCCAGGAGATGGTCCGCGTGGGGTCGACGGAAGGCCGCTGCCCACATGCGTCACTTGCAAGAACGTCCTCCCTGTAATCTCGGTGGACCACCAAGTTGTATGGGGTTTGGCGTTGGGACGGACTGGCAAGAGGGGACGGCCGCGGAAGAACGCCAACATAGACTGCCCCAGGTGAGTAGCCTATTCATGACCTTGATATTACTTACCAACCGTGACGTGCAGGTGTATGCGCCACTTCGCCATATATGCGGTGAAATGGCCGTCTCGCCTCCCTACTGATGGCACTCCTGCCTTCGTCCCCACCCCTCGGGATAACAGGAGCATGACCCCTGCTTACGCCTCAACGGCGCGAGTATCCCATGCGGCCCTCGCGACGCTCAACCACAAGCTGTCGCACGCCGCTTCAGGCTCCCGCTCCGCCTCTGCCTCCGTCTCGCACAACCCGCACAAACGACAACGCACTGTCGAAGAAGAGCCCGAGGCGCCTCCTTTGAAGCGACAGAAGCTTCAGAGCGTGAAGAAGCAGCGCGGGCGTCCGCCGAAGAACAAGGTCGGCATGTCGTCGAAGGCGAAGGAGATGCTCGGCGTAAACGAGCGTCGCAGCGAGCGCACACGGCGACCGAGCGCAAAGCTACGCGAGAGCGAGCCTCCGCCGAAGATCAAGCCCGACACGCTGTCGTCTTCTTCGAAAGCCCCTGTCTCGTCGACATCGACGTCTTCTGCGGCTTCTGCGGGGACCGATTCTTCTTTGCTGTCCACTGGCGCGGCGGCAGAAGGCGCGGGTGCACCGGGAGAGGGGAACTTACCTGCTCCACCGGCTACCCCCGTGGTCGTCAAGAGGGAGGTGGTGAAGCTTCCGACGCCGAAGTCGCTCGCCGTGGCAGCGCAGCCTCGCGAGTCGAATGGTCGGTTTGGCAAGAAGGAATCCACCAACGGCCGGTACATGCGGAAGAACTTCCAGTTCACGCCCGGTGGTCGCCGCCTCGCGCGGGGGAGAAAGCCGAAGCCTGCCTCGAAGCCGTCCACGGGCACCGTGGTGAAGATCGAGCACGACAGCTCCGCAGTACAGGCCGTCCAGGCGCCTTCGTCCCCTTCACAGAAACGCATCCACGACAATGGAGAGGGCGCAGAGGACGAACGGGCGAAGCGGCAGCGGGTTGAGGCGGTGGAAGTGCGAGTGGAGGTGAAGATCGAGGGGGAGGAGGCCGACCTCTCAGGGGCGTCGCTGGAGGACGATGCCTCGCAGGACGAGGAAGAACAGTTTTTTCGGAGGCCTCGCATGACGGTCACTAAAAGTGGCATGGGTTTCCTCTCCCGCCCCAACCCCCTCAACTTCGCACGCCGTAAGTGGACTTCGGTTCCTCCCGAAGATCCACCTGAGATACCGGCGGCGACAAGCTCCTATGGCCCCCATTCGTCGACGGACGATGACGCGGATCTGCCGGTGACGCCGCAGGATGATGTAGAGACCCAGCCCGTCGTCGCTGTGGACGAGGGCGAGCTCTCGGACGAGTACGATGACTACGACGACTATGAGGACGATGACAAGTCGGACGGCACCCCGGAGCGTGTCACCTTCCGGCCGGCGCTGAGCATGGGCATGGGCAGGAAACCGGGCGGTTTCGCAGGACCCATGACATTCAAACCTAGTCCGTTCAATCTGGCGCGGCGGCGTTGGGGCCCCAGCCCCAGCGCAGCGGCGACCCCTGGGCCGGACGAGACCCCGTATTCTGCCGATCCCCTCAACGCGCCTTCGGGATCCTCGCTCCCAAGCTTCACGGATCTATTTGAGGCGGACGGAGAGGACCCTGATGATGCGCCCGCAGAACGCGTGAGCGAGGCTGCTGCTCCAGGAAGCGTCGATCCCGATGTATCTTCCGAAGAGGTGAGCTTGCGGGCTCTGCTTTCGCCCCAGGCGCTAGCTTAGCTAACCAGTACCCTCCCCGCCTCCTGCAGGAGGGCTTCCGCGGCCCCAGCATCCTCTCCATCTTCAAGCCCGGCCGCCGCTCGTCCTCGTCCTCCGCGTCAACCGCGCTGGTCGATCTCACCGACGACTCTGAGCGGATGGTCGAGCGCCTCGTCGCGGTGTCCCCGAACCCTCCGATGTCCTCCTCCGGCTCCGACTCGCGCCCGACCACGGCCAGCTCCGCGCCTCTCCTTTCGTCCCTCCCGTCTCCCCAGAAGTCTCCCGGCATGGCTTGGAAGCAGACCGTGCTGCTCCCCATGAACGTCCCCTTCCTGCACACCTCGCACACTACCGCGACCGTCACCCTCACCGCCGACATCTCGCCAGCGCCCACGAAGCTCATGCGCGCGGGCTGGGGCGACAGCGGCAGCTCCGACGAGACGGACTACTGACCAGTAAGATACCACACCCCTCCGCGAGGGCCTGCCTCTGCTCTGTTTGACTTGTTAACACCTGACAATGCTGCGTCGGACACACCACAAACGATGGGTCGCGCTTTCTTATTGCTCCTTATTGTACTGTTATATCCCCTCCGTGTTATGTCGTGCTCATTGCTGCTGCTGCCGTCACTTATCACTGTTAGCATACCCCCTTTGCGACTGTATATACGTGTATGTAATTGTGCTCGAGGCTCCGCCCGGGCGGTTTAATGGCGATCGTTAAGCGTTGGCGTGGCTCCGCTTGCCCGCGCTCGTAGATGAGAAAATGTCGAATGGTTATGGGTGGTGTAATATCAGTACATCTGCTACTTTGAACGTCTAGACTCTACTGCTGCCCGTCCGGTTTCAATGAACTCCGTCCCGCACGCAAAATCTCGTCCGTCGACAACAGGTTGACCGCGATGACCGAGCTGCATAAGTCCAGGGTTAGTCATTGGATGCCCGATCTCGCAGAAGTTGCACGTACCATGAGTGGAGCATCTGCCTCTTTACACGGTAGTTGTCCCAGACACCTTGTACGGTGGGGTCGAAGGGCTCTCCGGACTCGAGGTCGATACCGACTGCATTGCCTTCGGCCTGCTCGTCCTGGAGCGCGACAATCACATCTTGAACGTCAAACCCGCCGTTCGCAGCGAGGGTCTTCGGGATGATCAACAACGCCTCCGCGAACGCGCTCACGCCCATCTTCGCGCGGCCCTTCGCGGCGGTCTTCACCGCGCCGACAAGGTGAGCCGCACACGCGACCTCGAACGCGCCGGCCCCAGGGATGAGCGCCTCGTCCTCGATCGCGTTCTTGACCGCGCGCAGGCCGTCGCGCAGCGCGTCCTGCGTCTGCTGGATCGTGTGCGGGTTCGGGCCCTTGATGAGGAGCGTGACGCCCTTCGGCTCCTTGACGTCCTCGATGAACGTGAACTTCTCTTCGCCCAGCGTGTGCTCATACACGAGCCCCGCCCACCCGAGCACCTCCGGCGTCAGGTCGTCGACCGAGTTCTGCGCGACGCCGCCGCAAATGAGCTGTAGGCTGCACACAATACGTCAATCTCCAAGTGCAAGATGTATGCACGCGAGACGAGGGCTTACCGCTCCATGTTGCGGCGCTTCGCGCGGCGGAGGGCAAAGATGCCGTGCTTGGCGAGGATGTCGAGACTGAGAGGGTCGATGCCCTTTTGGTTGATGATCACGAAGTTCTTCTTGCGCTCGTTGCTCCCGACGGCCTGGTCGCAGACGAGGTTCTTGAGCTCGACGATCTTCTTCACCTTCTGGTCCGTGAAGCGCCGCTCGGACTCGACGAGCTTCTCGCGCTGCTCCGCGGACGAGTAGAAGAAGCCCGAGTTGACCTCGCTGGTAAGTTGCGTCAGCCATTGTCCAAACGCAGTGCGAATTATGAGCGTGCTCACGTTTTCTCGTACTCGAGAGAGACGTTCAACGTCAAGATGAACGCGTTCTCGACGCGCTTCGGCATGTCCGGGTGCCGTGCGCCGTGGTCGAGGACGAGGCCGCGCACGAGCTGCGTTTCTGACGCTGTCCTGTGCTGCATCTTCATGATCTCAATCATATGAAGATCGATGGGCTCGCGGAACTGGTCAGGCGCATCTGCACAAGTGGGTTAGGTATTGGTCTAGGAGACAGGAAGTAGACGCGTACTTGTTGCAGGGGCAGGGGGTCGGATGGTAAGGACAGCATCGACGACATCTGCTGCGAGTTGTTTTGCGAGTGCGGAGTTGACTTTGGTGGCAAGAGAGGTGTATGCGACGTTAATGAGGGTTGCGCGGTCAAGCTTGACTGGCCTCTTGAACGTATCAAGAAACTGCGTGGCTCTGGGGTAAGTATTCGCGTCGTCTCGCATTTTCAGGGTGTACGCACTGCAAGAGCCTCCTTCTTTGCGATGTCAAAACCTTGGCCGATCACAGTAGGATGGACACCTTCGGAGATGTAGCGATCGGCTTGCTTGAGGAGCTCGCCGACGAGGAGAACGACGGAGGTGGTGCCGTCACCGACCTGATCATCCTGAGCAACTGCAGTACGTGCAATCATAGCCGCAGTAGGATTTTGGATCTGCATCTCGGAGAGAAGGACTTTGCCGTCCTTGGTCATTTTGATTTGACCTGAGCCATCGACGAGCATCTTCAGGGTTCCCCTTGGGCCTGTAAGAAGTCAGTACAGATACGAATTTAGAGACCTGGACACGCACCGAGGTTGCCCTTTACCACAGCAGCAAGACCCATCGCTCCGGTAGTGTTAACCTATAGGGCGTCCGAGTAAGTCAACAAGTACGCAGAGAAGGAGGTTTGCTGACCTGGAGCGCGGCGGCCCTCCTGACGCTCTCCGCCTTGGGGTTGATGAGCTCGATGCTAGACGACATGGTGAGGAGAGGGGAGGAGTGAAAGCGTCCGACTCGAGTGCTCTGCAGACCTTCAATCGCTCCAGAAACTCGCAGACGCGCCTTCCTCAGCGTCTAACGCGTGTCTTACATAACGTCCCAGATTGGGAAATTCTCGGTGTCGCCCTAGTTGAGCGCCGGACCGCCAGTGCGTAGAACATCCTCTCAACATCTCTCTCTCTCACCGTGATACAGCAGCCTATGTGAATGGCGTCCATCAGCGAGCGACGGATTGTGGGAGATTTGGGGCGTACCTGAATTGACTGCAACAGACAACTACATTGACTCAAACTCAGCGAGCCAACCATCGTCGCGTCGAGTGAGCGTGTCGCCGCTAGCGTCGTCAATGTCTCGTGTCGGTGCGGCGCATTCTTCTCAATGTCTTGAGCTATCCCTTCTGACTTGTAAACTTCTGTGCAGGGCTGCGTCTGACAGTGCAGCAGTAGGCTGCACACACTCCATGATGCTTCTCGAATCTCCTTACGCTACAGTGCGACCGGCTCTCGGCAACGTACTCGGCGACTCGCTTTGCGACATCTAGGCTCCTGGAGACGCCCTGGGCCCGCTAAATACTTGTTGCTTCTGAGCTCGTCTTATGGTGGCCACTCCGTGATCTACATGCCCCGTTTCTGCTAGTACCACTCCCAGTAGTGTGCTCAGGAGAGCAACCAGGTCGGCCGCGTACTGCGAGGCTGCCTACCGGCCACAGACGGCTACCTGCAGTCGACCATGTCGGGCTTGGCTTTCGCGCTCGAAACCGCCACAACAACATACCCCAGATATCAACAACGTTGACCCGGGGATCAACGCGAATGCCGTCTGCTACGCTACGTACTACGTACTACGCCTTTCAGCGCTGGCTGCGGACGCTGCACAGCTGCATAACCTTTTTGGGACCGGTTTGACTACGTTCCTCCAGGTACGACTCGCTTCTGAGTGCAATAGCTCCTTTTCTGGGGCTCACGGCAGCTCATGGCCTAGTTTCTGATGTCGCCTAGCAGCGTCCCAACCATGTCTCGGACGCAAGTACGCATCACAGAGCTTGGTTGCCCCAATCCCTCGCAATGCCCTGCAAATCCCTCCATTCCCGTGGAAACGCCCCTTTAGATCGCCGGCCACGAGCCTTTCCTTAGGACGACCGCCATCACGCGGATGCGCAAACATTCTCCCTGGCAGGGCACCCATTCGTGACCACCGGCGTTGGTCCTCGCCGATCCTGCATATTTAATGGCCTCCTGCGCTGACGTTTACAGCACAAACCACTCTCCTCTCGTACCCCCTCGCCACCACCCATTCTCCCAACTTCACGACTATCCACCATGAGCAACACGACCACTCCCGCCCCCGCTCCTGAAGTCCGCAAGGACCGCTTCCGTGTCGTCGGCCTCATGGCCAAGAGGGCTGACCTGACGGACGAGGAGTTCTTCACCTACTGGCGCGAGAAGAACGGCCCGCTCTTCGCGTCCCTCGAGATCGTGAAGAAGAACATCCTCAAGTACGAGCAGGTAAGCCCGTCTCCCTCCCTTCATCCGTTCGCTCTTCACCTGACTTACCGCCTCTCGTAACAGCACCATTACAACCCCGCGTTCGAGGCGGGCATCTCTGCGCAAGGGTACGCTCTCCCCGGAGACTACCGCGGCGTCGCCGTCTTCGAGGGCGAGTCGTACGAGAAGATCCTGGAGGTCTTCCTAAGCGACGAGTACAAGCGCCTCGCATACGATGACGAGGCGAACTACATCGACCGCAGCAAGAGCGTGTTCCTCCCCGGATCCCTGACCACCTTCGTAGACCGTACCAACTAGATGGTAAGACGCATTCCTTTCTGCGCGCTCGTTGACGGACACTGATGTAGTGGCTGGGCTCAGTAACAACACCTTCTCCTGTCTGTCGTCGTTGTATTACAGTGTGTAGCACGGCCTTCAGCCTTATAAGCAACCAGTGAATCAATTCCAAGCTCCTTAGCGAACTCTCTAAGCGCATGCTTTATCCTGGCACTGACCTTCGCCGTTTGCTGTTGGCGGTGGCAAGGTAACTTTCTAATATGAGTATAACTCGCTTGAGGCCTTCGTGACTCGTCAGCAAGGTAAACAAAACATATGTCGTTTAACCCATGCGTTTCATTCTTCCCTCACTCAAGCAGGCCATTGATCTCGGCGGCCATAGGGGGATCTAGACAGCTACGCTTGCGGCGCGACCGTGCTGCTATCAAATTTGAATTGCGACTATTTGTACATATTGACAGGGTGGCCAAGTTCGAGTCCGTTCGCTCTTCGCTACAGGGATACAGCTTACACTCGACGATGTATACCGAACGCCTGCCGCCTTTCGTCGAAGCAGTGGCTTAGTACTCAGCGCTGATTCATCAACCCCCTATGGGGCGTTGCTGCTGGCCAGCATCTGAACCATACCCATTTTACGTTGGCCGGCATCTCAGTAAGCAGCACGTCCAACCCTCTCTGCACCAGCAATATATCTGATTAGATCGAACAGGCAGCGTGTCAGGCTCGTAAGTCAGCACTCTACGTCAGTGGAAGACAATCGTGCATTGCGCTATGACACTCTCCAGCTTGACACCTGCGATCTTCGCCCACTTGCATCTACCCTCCGCAACTGGTCGCTTGGCGAGACCGGTCCTCGCTCGAGTCAGGAGAAAGCCCGACTCCCTCGCGCCTGAGGCTACATGCTGCGGTCATATGATGACGGCCAAGAAGCAGGCACCCATTCCTGCAAATATGGCACACGACCGACGACGAACGGGGACTTTGACCATGTTGCCCACTACAGCCTGCCGAGTGCTCTGGGCACAAATTCCCAGTATCCACTCGTGAGCCGTGATCGGCTGCAGCAGCCAAGCTCTCGATATCCCAGGCCGACTACTTGTCCGGGTCACTTGCGACCGAGCCCGATGGACGAGCTAACAAGGTCATCTCAGGGGCAGGTTTTCTATAGGCTGGCAGTAATGATTGCGTCGATTCCTAACGAGAAAGAGCGACGAGCGATTAGACCCCGCTGATGCGACCCGCCGGGGCCCCATGCCTGCTGACCGCCGACCTGTCGCTCGTGTCCTTCTTCGAGTTCGGTCCGACCGCTCGCATGGAGGCATGTCACCACAGAAATCACTCAGTCATTCGCTTATTCACTCTCTCATCTGCAGACTCGGCGATCAATCGATTTGGACCCCCTCAGAGCGCGCTATATAAGGCCCGACGCTGAGAGCCGGCATACATCGTCGTGTACTTCCTCCGACAAGTCGTCCTTAGGCTCTACAGTCGACATGAAGTCCCGCGTGACAGCCTTCTGCCTAGTAGCGGCGCTTGTCGGCGGCGTCATGGCTCAAGATCCTACTGTTCCTGCGGTTCCGACTGGGACACCAATTCCAGGGGACTACAACGGCCCATACAGGCCACAGGTCCATTTCACGCCCCCTCAGGTAAACGGATTCATTCCAGCTCGATTACGTGAGACTGACCTGGCGTGATAGCACTTCATGAACGACCCGAATGGTATGTTCTTGGACGCCAACGGGACCTACCACTTGTACTATCAGTGTAAGCTCGATTATTCATTGCAGGATATCTTGTCATTTGACGTATACCTAGACAATCCTACGGCAGTCGTTGCAGGAAATCAACATTGGGGCCATGCGACGAGCAGAGACCTCTACCACTGGATCAACCAGCCTATCGCACTCTTTCCGCCGACTAGCGACTCCGGAGTCTTCAGCGGGTCCGCCGTCGTTGATGTCAACAACACTTCTGGCTTCTTCCCCGACCAGGACAACGGCGTCGTCGCGATCTATACCCTGAACACACCTACGGCGCAGGTTCAAGAGATCTCCTACTCCCTCGACGGGGGGTACACCTTCACCGCTTTTGCTGGAAACCCGGTCATCGACATCGGGTCAACGCAGTTCCGCGACCCTAAGGTGATCTGGTACGAGGACCACTGGGTCATGGTCGTTGCGCTCTCCCAGGATTTCGCTGTTGCCATCTATACCTCTCCGGACCTCAAAACCTGGTCTCACGCATCCGACTTCAGCCATCGCGGCCTCCTCGGCCTCCAATACGAATGCCCCAATCTGGTCAAGTTGCCTATGGAGGGCAGCGAGGACGACATCTACGTGCTGACTATCAGCATCAACCCTGGCGCTCCCCTGGGTGGGTCCATCACCGAGTACTTCCCGGGCTCGTTCAACGGCACGCACTTCACCGCGGTCGACGAGGCCGCACGCATCGCCGACTTCGCAAAGGACAACTACGCGGGACAGTTCTTCTACGGAACCCCGGACGGCGAAGACGCGGTGTCCATCGCGTGGGCGTCCAACTGGCAGTACACCCAGGTCGTGCCGACCGCGCAGGAAGGCTGGCGCAGCGCGATGTCGCTCCCGCGACGCAACCGCCTCGCGAACATCACACGCATCGGCTGGGACCTCATCTCACTCCCGTACGACCTGCGCCCCGTACTCGGACAGCAACTCGCCTCGCGCACCGATGTTGTGAACAGCACGCTCGAGGTGGACTACAGCGGGGTCGCGAGCAACGCCGTCTACTTCGAGGCGAACGTGACGGGACTAGCGGGCGTGGGCAGCGCGTCGACGCTCAACTTCATCATCCGGAACCCCGAAACGGGGGAGTCGGTGCGCGGCGGGTACTTCTTTGGCGACCAGTTCTTCGTCGACCGCGGTGGCGTGCGCGGCTTCGACAACCCATTCTTCACCGACAAGTTCTCGACGTCTTCCCTCCTGCGCCCAGATGGCACATGGACGTTGTCGGGCGTAGTCGATCGGAGCATCCTCGAGGTATTTGTGGATCGCGGCACGACGAGCGCGACGGCATTGTTTTTCCCGACGCAGCCGCTCACGGTGTTGACGCTGTCCACCGCACAGCTCCCTGACAGCGTGTCCGTCAGTGTGGCTGTATACGCATTGGAGAGCGGGTGGAAGGGGAGCGAGAACGGGGAGGGTGTTGTGGTGGGCAATGTCACGACGACTGCCATGTGAGAGATGGTACAAAATTGTCGTCGCTATATTTGCGCCATGTACACGTAGTACTTCGCTACAGTGTCACAAAAATTCATGAGTGCTCTTCTGGGTGCTGTAAGTAATGAGTAGATGACATCTCCTTGATATACCCCGGTGTGCTCCGCGTATTAGAAGGTTGAAGCTTTGAAGGGTGACGGTCCTGGGTGAGTTCAAACCGAAGCAAAGCCGTAGGCGCCTAGTTCGAACTTACACGGCCGACCCTCCCCGAAAGCCGACCCGCCAGAAAACAGCAATTCGACGTTCGTACATTCTCCACAGAGTTACGTACAATTAGCTAGATTAGGGCAGGCTTTAGCGTAGCACGACGTCAATGGACCACACCCTTTAGCTCTCTCTCCACCTGCGGTGACCTTCTCATTCCGTCCGCTGCCCCGAAGTGCTACGGCTCTGCAAGGATCCACAACGCAAGTGAAAAGGAGTACCATGAGCACTGCTACGCGAGACAAGTAAGTCAGAGTCAGACGTTCGTGTCCAGCTGAAAGCGCAGTGGGCGTACTTCTTATTACACTAGCTTCTTAAGCTTCGTTCTATCTCACACACTCATTGAATTTCGACAGCGACAGTCAGCTCTCGGAGGTCAGCACCGAATTACGTCCAGCTGAACCCTTCGGGACGCTCGTCCAGGAGTGTATAAAGTCAGGATCTCGGTAGCACGTCTACCAGGCCCATCTGCTGCAACTTAACCCAAATTCTCTAAACTGCGCGTCGACCCCTGGATCTATCATGTCGATCGACCTCAAAGAGTCCATAGTGCCGCAGAAAACGGAGTTGGCGAAGATGTTCCCTTTCAATGAGGAACTATACTCCCTAGAGGGCAAGGAGCTCGAGTTTATGAAAAATCAAACCGGTATTACAGACGAAGACGAGCTCAAGAAGCACATCATCGCTGTCACAAAGGCGGCTTATGAGGTAAGTCTGACTCAACGCTCCCTAGATTCCTTCGATTAACGGCTTGTTTGTATAGGTCTTCCCATATCCGTGCATCCGCCGCTATGCGTTCCTCGCGTGCGTTGTTAGATTCTGATATTGGTGTATTGAACCTTTCGAATAAACTAACACAACATTCATCTCGTGCATAGATTGAGGCTCCCTTCTCTACCTGGCTATGATCGCCTCATCGAGTTGGGGAAGGAGCGCAAGAATGCTGTGCTCCTCGATATAGGCTGCTGCTGTAAGTGCTTCAAACCGACCAGTCCTGTTAGTAGTGGGTACACTTGCTAACGTCTGATTTGTCTAGTCGGAAACGATGTCCGAATCGCCGCCGCGGACGGATTTCCGGCCAAGCAGATTGTGGCCACGGATCTGTATGGAGGTACGTCTCCGGGCCCTCTCGTATGGCCTCAGAGCAAGGATTATTGCGACGCTAACACCCCGTCGCAGGTTACTGGACACTAGGCCACAAACTCTACCGAAGCACGCCGGAGACATTCCCGGCGAAGTTCCTGGCTGGGGACGCTTTCGACCCCATTCACCTCGCCATAGCTCCTCCGGTATACGCGGTGGGACCAGAGCCTGTGCCGGACCTACCGAGCCTGACGTCGTTAAACCCGCTGCACGGGCATGTCGCGGCGATTCACACCTCCTCGTTCTTCCACCTCTTCAACGAGGAGCAGCAGCTGCACCTCGCGCGCGCCATGGCCGGGCTCCTCTGCCCGCTGCCGGGGTCGATGATCATCGGCACCCATGCCGGCGCGCTCGAGACGGGCTTCACGACCCACGACGTGGGTGGCGGGAACGACAGCGCGGCGGGCGGAAGTGTGTCGATGTTCTGCCACTCGGCGAAGAGCTGGACGGAGCTGTGGGACGGACAGGTGTTCGAGAAGGACAAGGTGACGGTCGAGGCCAAGACCGTTCAGATTCAGATTGGGGAGAGGCTCCGCCATGTTTTGCAGTGGTGTGTGACGAGGCTCTGAGTACTTGATTGTCTGGGATGATGCGCGCGGGGTGCTTGTAAGAACGCCCCGAGCCTGGAAGGTCTCAACACCTCCCAGGTGCGCTGCTCGTGGTACCTGCAGCTAGTGCTGCCACGACTTGTATTCACAGTACCAACATGTACCAATTCGACATTGAGACCCAGAGGTTTGAGATTCAATGATCGAAGTGATGTTGTAGCAGCAGCAGATTCTAGTCCGCATATTAGCCGTGTAACATCATGCGAGAGCCGCGCGCACTGGGTCTGGAGCCGCTGCATCTGAAATCATCGTTAACTATGCCAGTGGACCATCCCACTCCGGCCACGGCTAATGAACTCGTCATCTCGCTCTGCCAGAAGTACAGAGCACTTCCCTTGGCATGTACGTATGTATCACACCTGACCGCGTCTTGCGATTCTGCTCCCGGGACGACGCTGTAGCCGCCCTGATTTCCCACCCAATATCGATGTCGCGCGCTCGGGCTCGGCTCTCGGCTTCTGTTCACGCTCTATGCTCGCTGTTATCGGCCGCCGTTCTCGAAATGCTCAGCATGTGGTATTTCTTCGGCTCTGCGAAGCTTCCTGGGGCTAGAAGGCAGCGGCTCCGCTGGCTACTGCGATGTCGTTCAGCTCGACCCCTCACCTAGGCCTCATGACCTGCCTGGATGCTATCTAGTCTCTCCCAAATATGGCCTTCTCCCGCGACGCGTACGGCGTATGTATCACTATCGTCGCTGTTTGACGCCAAGTTCGCCTCGTAAACAGCCCAGAGACTGAGAGACTCAGGCGTCTGCAAGTAGTATCTAGGATACACGAAGACCTAGGCTCGGTGACGCCGGGCGTCCTGGTCCCGAACGTCCATTACAACACATACGTTGCAACAGCCCTACACACGATGTCAGCTGCCATCAGAGTGGAATCGCATCCCTGCAGGAACGCCCTCAGCCGTGTGCTTGTCGTCATCACTGGTAAGTACCCAACATGGCAATCACCTGGCCACACCTGGGACGTTCTCCTCAGAAAGCGTCCACACTCCTGCCTGTCCTGGACGGGTCCTGGGTATATAACTCCTTGATCTTTATCGGGAACCTTACCTCTATCCACGATCATGAACGACGCACTATCCAACGCCGTAACTTCTGCTCCCGCACCGGAGGCCCGCAAGGACCGCTACCGCGTCTCCAGTCTTCTGGTCAAGAAGAACGGCATGACGGACGAGGAGTTCTTCACCTATTGGCGCGACGTACACGGCCCCCTCTTCGCGGGTCTGGAGATCGTGAAGAAGAACCTCATCAAGTATGAGCAGGTAAGCATCCGGCAGGAGTCCGCGACGGCAGCATCGTGATGAAGTTCTACCGTTCTTACTCGCACTTCTACCATAGGTGCATTACAATAACGCCTTCGAGAAGGGCGTCTTGGCCAACGGCTACGCCGTCCCAGATTTCCATGGGATCGCTGTCTTCGAGGCAGAGTCCTTCGAGAAGATCCTTGAGATCTTCGACAGTGAAGAGTACAAGCGCACGGTCTTCCTGGACGAGGACAAATTCATCGAGCGCAGCAAGTGTGTGTTCTGCCCCGGCTCCCTGGTTCCATATATTGGCTAGCCTCAATACAGGTGAGTGTGGCACAATCACCTTCGTCTCTGCTAAGTGATACAGGCGACTCACTTAAGAAGAACAGCTCCCCCCCCTCTCTTACAGCACTTACGTCCGTGGAAGATTCGAAGATCATGTACCACCACATCCGAACAGTACGATGATGTTGTGGTCGCTCTTGTTGTAACATAGACGGCCCAAGCAGGAACAGTTCGAGCATCATGTACTATACAATACGAAGGCAACATCGTATGATTACATTGAACGCGTACGCTATCCGTCGATAGCCACAGCCTACGCTCGTTTGTCTACTGCGCTAGAAGTGTCGGAGACTTGCCGAGCGGCGTTGAAGCCAGGAGGATCATTACAGGAGCAACTACCTATCCTACACTCGTCAAACTACGAAGCCTCATGCGAGAACATCGTCCAAGTTTGAGCGTGTCCGGACTACCGTCAGTGGTCGTCAGCTATGATTCCCCGCAAGCCATACGAGGCGAACTCACCTATAGCTTGTCAATGATCGTGGCGAAAGGGCCGGCAAGTATCTGCGCGTTCTCGTGGTCGAAGAAGTTGTGCTCGTCCGGAACAACGACGCGGAGATACTCCTCGTCCTGGAAGATCTCGAAGATCTTGTCCAGCGACGTCGCCTCGAATATTGCGATCCCGCGGAAGCGAGTCTGGGACTTCGCGAGGGTCTGCGCAGCGATGATGCCCTCATAATTGGTGTCGAGGTGGAACTGCCGATAGGCCAGTATATTTGTCAACTTCTATCCGGTACAGTGTGATGCGACGTGTGACTTACTTGCTCGTATTTGAGCAGGTTACGCTGGGCAATGGCGATGGACGAGAAGACCTTAGCATGGACGTCGAGCCAGTACCGGTCAAACTCTTCGAAAGAAAGCCCGGGCTTGGGCGCCATTAGCACCGCGAGGCGCACGCGGTCGGTGCGCAGCGAGGGAGTAGCGGAAGGTGTCTCTGAAGTGACGGCGGCCATGATGTTCCGAAAGTAATGAAGCAGGAGGCTCGGTAGATATGTGGGCTAGTATGCAACGGGTGACGGGTACCAAGTGCAGGTCAAAAATCACAGCGGGATTTATACGTGTGCGGTCTGGCCATGTGGGCCGCGGCGGAGGTAGGAACCTGGGTACTCATGAGACCGCTCGAGCGTGGAAGCCAGATGACCAACCGTACCGTTCAGAAGCCGGAGCGAATGTGTTGTTTTCGGGCTCTTGCCTGCAGGCCCTCCCCGTAGCGGCGGTTTGCCCGTAAGGTCGCCCATATGCTCGCGCATCACGGCGCGAAAGACACCACGACTCGCGCGTTATTGCGAATGCGGTAGTACGGCGCCTTCATTAAGGCCGTTTGCAGAGCAGAAGGTCGCGTAGAATCCCCGGGACTGGATGGTCTGAAATAGAAGATTATACACGTCCGGGCGGCCAACACTATTGGCAAGAGGGTATCGAAAGAACACTTTTAGAAAGCACCGATAGAAGATGCGCATTCCTTTTGTGATATTGCCACGGAGGCCGCCTGTGTGTTCACAGTCAGCCTAAGAAGGGTCGAGTGGTGATGAGAAGTGATAACAGGTTCGCACCTTGGCGGCATGTCTGTCGAAGACACATCAAGTGTTCTAGGGCAGTTTTGCATGCGTGCAGCGGAGCAGGTGTAAGTTCGCTGGAATTCAGTAATGGACATGCTAAGTAAGAATGGGCACTATATTGGGCGGCCAAAGAAGCCAACTAGTGGCATGCTCGTGATCCTCGGCCTACGATTGGGCTTCCTTGATTCACGCATGCAGAGTTAGCACACAGCATCGTTGCCCTCGGGGATCTGTGGTGAAGGAAAAACGTCAGAATCTGCAAACGCTTGAGCTTGACGAACACAATACCTAAACAGCCGGCAAATGTGACGTAACGTCTTCGTCGAACCCCCTCCCGCAGGTTCGCGGTGTACCTGAAAGTTCCTCTATAACGGTATCGTACAACAATGCGTGGTATGGAATTTGTGTGATAGGAATACAGTCTCGTGGGGATACTTCTCTAGCTGGAAAGCGTCCGTCAGAACGCCGAGGCGAAAACCCTCCGACGCGTGGCGCGGCGAACTCCTCGCCAATCTCCTTTTCGATCCCTGCAGCGTTTCGAGCACAAGGCGGCAGAGATCAGCTGCGGGATCTCCATGCCGCCATGACTTCGTCCAGGGAGCTCACGGTCCAGCCCGAGCCCATAGCGGTGGTCATCTGCGTCCCGGTCGCGTGTGCGACTTCCTTGATTCCGAGCTCTAGTGCTTCCGCGTTTGCAGTCCCGGCGGGCGGTGGGCTGCCGAGGCACTCCTGGCGGGCCTTCTGCGCAAGGCCGTTGAGAAGGGTCAGAAGTGTCGACGCGGGGACACTATTGCGTTCGAGGTACCACGACAGCTCGCGCGACGCTTTCCACTCTGCAGATCCCTCTAAGAATGAGGGTATCCCCTCTCCTCGAGCGTATCGGGCCAAGAACGCCTTGAATAGCTCCGTCTCTCGGAAGCCGTCCAGCTGTGTGTCGAGTCCGCGCAGGGCACCGGAGAGCGTGGTCTCCCTGACGAGAGGTGGCCGTGGGTTGTTCTCCGTCCGTCCGCTAAACTTCCGGTCGAAGACTTTGCTGTAAAAGTCCGCGGCAAAGCGCAGGTCCTGCAGCCTCAAGGAAAAGTAGACTGACTTGGGGGACATCACACGGAAGTGGAATGCCGTCAGAAGCGATTGCAACGTCTGCGACTTGTCCTGCAGCATGCAGTCGAGCAGCACCGCGTGGCAGTAGGACTGGAAGAGGCGCTCTGCTGGGGTCTCTCCGTCGTCTCCGCACAATCGATCTGCAAAAGAGAGGAACAGGGGGTCGTTCGACGACGACGCGATGAAGTCGTGAAGGTCCGCCGCTGGGTGGGCCTTGACGTCCGAAGCCTGCGGAAAATCGAGGGTGGCTGCATCTCCGGTGCCTGAACCGGAGCGCACGAAGAGGCTTCGACTGCCTTTGGGGTCCTCCATATATGTCAAGAAGGCGGTCCGACGCTTCACGAAGAGTGTCTGGCTCCGCAACAACGATTCTCTATGGCGCGCGAAGTTGGCCACGTCCAGGTAGAACGGCCAGTACCGGGGGGTGTCCACCCTGATCGAGAGCACCCTGTCAATCTCCGGGACGAGAGTCGGAGCAATCAGCTGCGCTGTGCCGATTAGGTTCGTGTCTTTGACTTTGACCTTGATCGGGAGGTAGACAATCTCCTTCGAGTCGACGTCTCGGGCCACCAGGCAGCGCGGCTCCATCGCCAAGACCCAGAGATGTCGATATGCTTGCAGGTAGGCCTTGTTGTCTGCCGGGTTCTGGGGGAAGCGAGGGTAGAACGCCGCGACGAGGCATGCGATGGACGCGTCGGAGGTCCCAAGCGTGTAGCGTCCGCCGCCAAGGAAAAGGAGACCGATGGAGATGCTCGTAGCGGTAAAGCACCCGTATCTCACGCTAGTGTTGTGTACGCCATACGCATAGCGGAGCCGCCGCAAACAGTTGACTTCTCCGCTTCCAGTCATGACCATGCCCACAGCGAGAGAGATCAGGTTCAATCCTTCTCGCAAGGCGGACCGCTTGATGCGATGGTCATACGCCATACCTTCACGACAAATTATGTGAGATGAGGATAACCTATGAGTAGGAGAACGTACCGTTCGCAAAAGCCACCTGGCTGAACATATCCCAGTACTGCAGAAGCAGCCAGTACGCCTCCTCCCTCGCGCTCCCCGCATACTTCAAGCCGATTGCGAAGCACGAGCCCGCGAGAAGGTTGTAGTACGCGAGCTCGAACGCGTCGTCCACCCGCTTCCCGCGGAAGCGCGAGTCCATGGCCATCACGACGACGCGCGGCAGCTGCGCCATGAGCCACGCCTTCGTGGGTGTGATCTTGTCCCACATGATCATCGCGCGTGCCATCGCGCGCACGGTGAGGAAGTTTGGCTGGATCGAGTTCAGGCCCTCCAGCGTATACGGGATCGCCAAGATGTCTGCCACGTCCTGGCGCTCCGTGCGCAGGTACATCAGACCGAGCGCGACCGTAGCGGCCGGGGACGTAATGTTGACATCGAACGTCGGTCGGCGAGGCTTGCCGTTCTCGACCAGGCGCGGCTCGCCATGGATCAGGAGACGGAGCCGGTTCTGGATGACGAGGTCCGCCGGGGTCGACGTGCCCTTGCCCAGAAGGACCATGCCACAGGCCAACGCAGCGGAGAGGGTGTACGCTTCGCGATACTCGTTGCTGATGTCCGGTTGGTAGAGATCCCGTCGGCTGATCTGGTTCAAGCAGACCTCCGCCATCCTACGGTGTTTAGTCCCAAGATAGAGAAGACCGATGCCCATGAGACCTGCCGCCTGCGTGATGAGTGGTACGTTGAGGTCGACATCTGGAGTGGGAAGCAGAGCGGGAGTATGGACGGCGATCAGCTTCGTGACGTGCTTGTTGCTGCTCCCTACGTTCGCAGCGGCAAGACCCAGGAGTACGCCAATGGAAGTCATGTCGTGCTTCGGGGTGAGATAACCAAATGTGTGCCAGGTCAGCATCTCTCTGAGGTGCCCCGTAAGCCCGAGCGCATAGAGGAACCCAGCATGCTCCGGTGTCAGCTCTGAAGGTCGGTTGAACTTGATCCACGAGCTCTCGATCGTCTGGGCCTGCGAGGATATCCGAAGCCCCGCCGCGACGCCGTTATGGAACTCACCCCAGCTGAAATACTCGGGAGGCATCTTCAGGATTTCCTGTGAGTATAAGATGTTCGCAGGCTGCACCCGCACTGAGAACTCCATCTTAGGAATGGCGAACGACTCCTTCGTCACCGTGTGCATGGACCCGAAGGTGAACACTGCTCTCCCCAAGGGGAGGGCGAGGATACGTTCCGTGATACGATGCACGGTGAGTTGCTGGTCCCTGATCTGATCTGCCTCGCTGCAAAGGATATTGGTCAGATTGAACATACCCCATGATATAAGCATATACATATATACATACTTTGCTTCAGGGCGATCGGGTGTGCGCACGTAATGCACGTTCGCGGAACACAGCAACCGCGCAACGTCCTCGAGCCGCCGATCCTGTCCAAAGCGCATCCGCATGAAGTCGTCCAAGTCGAACTCGACGCCCGTGACCTTGCTGTGGTCCCCCGACACCGCGCGCTGTACATCCTCGATGACTTGCTGCGACGACTTCCGTCCCATCGTCGGGTGCTGAAACGCCTCCGTGATCGGTTGAATCCCGAACTGCATGGCACACTGGCCACTCACAAGGAATTGCCTGACGGAGCGGTAGCCATTGTTCACAGCAATAGCTGGCTTGTCGGTGAATCCTTCCGCAAGGTCGCTGCGGCCAATCAGCCGGTACGCCGCTACGGACCAGTCGCCGCCCGGAGAAAGCTGGCACGTCCGCAGGGCTTCACGTATCGGGGAGGCGATACCCAGAGGCAAATGTTGCAAGTCCTGGAGCTTGAACTTCATGACGTCCAAAAGCTGGAGAGACGCCACGGCGCGTGAGCGCGTGTTTAGCGGCCGCCCTTCCCAGGAGTGATCGGTTAGCATCTTGTAGAGCGCGGCCATCGAAGACGTCCGCAGGAGGGGGTCCAGCCGACCGAAAGCACATGAAGGCTCCAGTTCGAAGCGTGCTCCAAAGTTCAGGCTGTTGGACCAAGGGATCTTCCATTCGGGGTTGTTCAGTCGGCCGTATAGGATCGCCGTCATGTCTGGAGGCCAAATCGGCAGTCGTTCGTAGACGTGGTCGAGCACTAGCAACCACATTTAGTATTCATCATTGAGAGCGTGATAGTGCAAGACTTACCTGTCATGGACTGTGGAGGCCAAATGGGCATCGCGTTCGGACAGAGACGCTTCCAGTAATCCGCCCATTCCGGACGCACGATCATAGCAAGTCGACAGATCAGGGGAGCGAGTCTCGGGACGTCCACGAAGGTACAGACGGTGAGTCGCCTGTCCTCGGCGACGTGGTGAAGCGCATGCAACACTGCAGCATGCATGGCGGTCGGCTTTTGCGAAGGCTTCCGGAAGGGTGCGTCGCTCGTCGACGAGCCAGGCAGATGCAGCCTCCGCAATGCAGGGTCTTCCCGGAACCTCGCGATCGATTCGTTCGCCGCCAGCTTTTGCCACGCTGCACCCCCCGCGTATGCTGGGCTGTCCAGCCGTTCGCCAGGCGTAAGATCGAGAACCTCCCATAGCGCTTCTTCGAAAACTTGAAGTTCGACGCCCTCTATACACGAGTACCTTGCTAAGGACCACCGTCGCAATATTGACTGGTGTAGGGCGAAGAAAGGATCCGCAGGGATTGTCAAAGCGAGCATGTGCAAGGCATCCCTGACCAAACTATCCCGCAAGGTAAGATCAAGAGAAATGCGAAGGGAAGAAGCATCCGAGAGCTCCAAGGTGACCGCTTTATCGAGAGCATGAGAAAACCCAGTGATCCGCCGTCTGTGTCTAGGGTCGACACTCGCAGAGGTGGTAGGAAGCCTCAAGTCCAAAGGTAACTCGTACGTCCCGTGGGTCAGCAGCGCAAGAGAACTGTCAGGCTTGAGCACCAACAAGTCGACAATCATCTCGCGGGTGGCGATAATGGGGGAGATGGCGTTCGCTTGTATCCGGGATGTTGGGTGCATACTCAGAAAACCTTGATTGTCCCACGCCAACTCGTAGAGCAGTGCTTCACCGGTGGCAGGAAGGCATATACCTAGGCGGGATCTAGGCACCTTACCAGCCCAGCGCTGATCGAACATGGCGACGGTAATGTTGTCGCAATCCGCGGTCCTATAGAAAGGATTAGTGCATTCGTAAATAGCCAGAATGGTGTGCGGACGAACGCAGATTCCGGAATGATCTCCTCGCGAAGCTTTTCGGCCCAATAAAGAGGCTTCAGGCGATCTTCTTCGGCGGGGTCGGGCACATCTTCCAGGTTCACCGGTTCCTGAAGGGCCATCTTGTTCAGAGTCGCACTCAACTCGAACTTGCCAGAGGGGTCGACCGGGAACTTGATGGGCAAGTTCCATTGCGACTGGGAAATTGCGCCGCCAACGAGACCACTGCCAACAAGACCATCGCCCATGAGGTCCGCCATCGTGGTAGTCGTTGTCAGAGTAGGCGCTAGCCCGGACGGGACACCACCGCGTTTTGCAGCTGCTTTGTCTGGCGAGAGGCGTAGGTCGTCTGTAGCTGCATTAGCGTGGCGCAAGTGGGCAGATGTGTTTCCGGACATGGAAGTGCGCTTTGGATGGTGGCTTGGATGGGCCCCTTGTGTCGAGTGTGGGACCTTTGTGCGGATCGAGGGAGAGGCATAGACATATCTCCAGACAGTCAGCCGGTTCAAGTCGACGTTGAGGGTGACAATCAAACCAGGCATCAAATTCCGGGGTTCTGTTGACACCCAGAGAATACGCTCGTCAGGAGGGAGAGAGCCTTGCCCGGCCGCAAAGTCGGACCTCATCAGCAGTGGCTGAGTATCGAAGCCGCCACAGATACCCTCGGTGATTCCGATGATGGAGGGTTCGGCGAAGGGAGTAGTGAGAGTGAAGATCGTCGTCAGTGGCTCTGCGCCGGATTGCTTGTTCTCTTCGAGTTCCCAAGACTCGACCACGCGCTGGATGAAGAGCCCGCAAGGTTGGACCGGCCACGCCCGTCGGACGATGAAAGGGAGATTCAAGGTATGCTCCAGCCCGTTCATGAGGTAGATTTTGGCCATGCCGCGAAGGAAGATGAAGACTCCCCGAGTGCGAACTTCCGGATCTTCTTCGCGCTTCTTCTCCATACGAGACTGAGAGTAGGGCCCGAACGTGGGTTTGGTGTCGGGTTCTATATCAGGAAGCTTCTCGCTAGGATCTTCCCTGTAATACGCGGGGGTGGAGGGGGTGGAAGAGGTCACTTGGCTAGGTTGAATGAATGAACCGATACACGCCCACTGGACTGGATCAGTGAAAGACCATTTCTTCCGAAGAACACCACCTTGACTGAGCGATACAGTATGGGTGTCCCAAGCGAGAAGCTCTTCGCCGCTTTCTGGACCAGACGCTCCATAAGGGGTGTATAACGAGGATTGGACTGAAGAGTCTTGAGTGCCTCGGGATGCCCGGAGGGTGTTACGGATGGCTCGTAGAAGCGGTGAGTCGCTGTCAAGAGACTCGGACGAGCGTGACCGTTTCCGCGAAAGAGGCTTGGAGGTGAGGGGGGACGGAAGAGCAAAGAACGGAACAGAGAGAGGCGTAGTGGAGGCGGACATGCTAGATCGCGTCTTGAGGTTCAGATACGCCATGTATCAGCATTGATGGATTCTTACCGTGTATTTTGCCTGGGCGTAGCTAAGACCTGCCCACTTCCTGATGATTGACTGTCCGGGATATGTTGGCTGTGCGGATGAGAGAGCGGGCAGTGTGGAGTCGTTTGGGTCGATGCTTGAGAATTCAGACCACTAGATCAAGTTCCTCGTAGCATAGAGCGTTGTAAAGAGAGCGAGAGCGGCAGAAGAGGAGAGAGGATGAGGGAGAGTGGCAAAGAGCACGCGGGCTGCTCACTGGCGGTGGCAAGACGCGTCTGCGAACAGGCGCCGGTGAACGCGTCGGCTGTGGCTGAGGGTCACGCGCCCCTCCCATCTCCTGCTTCTCGTCCTGCGGTGGGTGGCCCGGGACCGGCACTCCAGTCGGGCCATGTTCCTGATTTCACCAGCTTTCCTCGCTCTCAGTCTCTCCTGAACGTCGACCACCATGTCTGCCAACGATGAGTTCCGCAAGCGCACCCTCGCCAGGCTCGACAGCGTCAAGAATCATCTCCAGACTTCCCCGCGTGGCGCACGTCTCAAGGGCAAGGTGTGCGTGATCACCGGCGCAGGTTCGCTCAAGGGGATCGGGTACGTCGTATGCACGCTCATGAGTGACGCACCTGGCTCAAGTGTATGTCTCAGACGGGCTTCAGCCCTAATCTTCGCGCACGAAGGTGAGCGTTGGCTTGCCTCACACGCGAATGGCACATGCCCTGATACCCCGTTTAGGGGCACGGCATCTCTACCTGAGCGACTATGACCCGACCAACCTTCCCGACCTCAAGGCAACGATCGAGAAGTCCTACCCTGACGTCAAGGTGCGCATAACACCCCTCGTCGTGAGAACCCGACCTTAACCCTGGCCTGCCCAGGTAACCGCTATTGAAGCCGACGCCGCAGACGAGACGGCCGTGTCCAACATATGCAAGCAGGCCTTACAAGATGAAGGCCGTCTCGACGTCTTCTTCGCCAACGTCAGTACCTTCGGATCGCGTGTGTGCGGTAGTTCTTGCTTATATCGCAACCCTAGGCCGGCATAGCGACCGCGCAGCCGTTCTCTGCGGTTTCTTCGGAACAGTTCATGAATGTCATGAGAGTGAACGCATTGTCGTAGGTTTCACATCCTCATTTGGGATCATGCGGCGCTTGACTTCTGTTTCAAGTGTATTCCTAGCAATTAAGTACGCCTCAGAAGCCATGTTGAAGACCAATCCCTCGCGCGGCAAGGAACACAGTGGCGGAAGCATCATTCTAACTGCTTCAGGTAACTTGACATACTACGCTCTATAACTGAGACTTATTCTCGTTGTCCGTAGTTGCGGGAGTACGGTCCGGCGCGGGTCCGACCGACTGTAAGTCCATACGACCTCGTCCAGACACACCTAGCTGACCCCTTCACACAGACAGCGCCAGCAAATCTGCGTGCGTAGTTGCCTTACAATCCCCGCTCAAATGCTAACCCTCGTGTCCCTCTCCAGTGTGAATAGTATGGCCCAGACGGCCGCGTACCAGCTGCGGCACACCGACATCCGCGTCAACAGCATCTGCCCAGGCCTCATCGAGACCGGCATGACGAACGACATGTTCACGCACGCACGCTCGAGAGGCAACGAGGCCAAGATCGGCCAGCTCAATCCTCTCGGCCGCTACGGTTTGCCGCAGGGTACGTAAGACGCCCCTCTGGATTGTAGAGTTTGCCGCTCACCTGTGAGCGCCCTACAGAGATCGCGAACGTCGCACTCTTCCTTGCATCAGGTATGTTGGGCGTATATTGGCTATGTGATTGCCCGGCCTAACATGTACTTCACACGCTGCAGACGAATCGAGTTACGTGAACGCCCAGAACTGGGCCGTCGACGGGGGGCTGTCCGGTTCGCACCCCGTCGTTCCTGGAAAGTTGGCATAAGGCCGGGTGGATAAATGTACCACATGGTCAGATATGTATCTAAGCTTGTATATAGTGGTTCTATTAGCGGATGGATTGGAATGTCGCATATCCCGATCAAAAGTGCACGATGGATTCTCTAAAAGTCAGTGCAGTGCCTTGAATCTTAACGCTCGGCCTGTGTGCTGTCCGCCATGCTTGCACAAGGCTGTTCATAGCAAGCAATATATATTTCCAAAATTATGCGAAGACACGTTCTTATTGAGGAAGAGGTCCGCAACTTAAACCGCCCGAGTCGTGGACCCCATGCGTGTACACGACCACCCACACGCTCCGCATCCAACGCTTGGTATGTCAGAAATGCCGTAAAAGGATAGGGCCTGCCGAAACGTCGCTGCGGCATCTCGCGAAAGCTACAATGACACAAGCCGGCAGCGTAAGGCAACTCAGCGTACGGTCTGTCCGAGGACTCGCCCACCCGACCGCGTCCCTGTATACACATCGACCCCGAGACGTTGCGCACCGGAGTCCGAAGGGTCCTGCGCGATCCGTCAACGGCCTATCTTCGTGCACAAAAAAGGATTCGTGCCTACCTGTCACTGTGGGCCCTCCCTGTAGGGCCGCAAGACTGTGAGAGGCCCCCGCTCTTCGTCCGTCCGCCCGTGGTCCAAATTGCGGTCGGCCGACGCGCACATCTTCCGCAGATTCTGATCGTCAAAAGTCACCGGGGCGCAGAGCGCTCCATCGTCTTCCTTCGTGCGCAGCGTGCGGAAGCGACCTTGCGTACAAGACTGCCCCCTCGACCGAGGCCCGGCCCCTGAACCGTGAGAGGTCTGTGTGGTCCAGCGGTCGTCGGCTTCGCGGCAGCCTTCCGGTGCCCACACTCTGCCTTTTTTGTCGCGAAACTGTTGTCAAGTTCCGCGCCGAGTCTATAATGGTAGTCAGCACACCGGACAGGACTTCACCTCGCGCCGTGGCTCACCTATCGACGCCAACATCAACACCTTGCACTCGTGAGGGGACACGGCAGTTGCTCGGCTCCACGCGCAGCGTGCCACAAGCGTACACGTCGGTACGCCCTCCTACATGAAAATGGCAAGGTTAGTAGCATAAGGTTGTCTCTCATGAATCTGGGACATGGCATTCCGCTTCCTGTCGAAACGAGATGTCTGCCCCGTTATGAGATGAGGATCTCAGGCCATCCCCTCGATGGCTTGAGATTCTTCCATTCTCATGGTGTGTATCACGGCCGTTGTCTGGTATTTTACCAGGCAATGATCGTAATACATACCCTGAGACGGAAGAACCTCAGTCCAATCGAGATTGGTCTGAGTACTCCCGAGCATTCAACGTATCTTCCGACCGTCGAAGGGCTGCACCAGCTTTGCCGCGAAATGTCCGACAAAGATGGCAGCTCTCCGACTCGGCCCAGTAGATTTATATTCAAAATAATACACACCTCCGCCTGTGGATATTGCGAGCTTTCGCGTCGCGGTATGCTGACTGACGTTCGTCCTACAGAAAGGGTTACAGACCGGCCACGGTTAACCACCTCTGCACTGTGAAGGGTGAGGCTTACTAGCTGGCCAGGGACCGGATCTGGTCCCTAGCAGCCGAGTCCGGGAGAACGGGGGTGATTGCTGCCCACCACCCTACGACAGCCGAGGGTTTTATAGAGTCTCGGAGGCACGATCTTCAACCTATCGTTTTGCCGCAGGGGTCTTACTGCTGCATGCGCGTGCGCGGTGCGCGGATCTTCTGGCGTAGGAGAGAGCGGCGAGAGTAATTTGTTCTCCGCCTGGTGGGTCATTTGCTCATGGAAGATCAATTTACTGTCACCCCCGAGCCTGCAGGGCAGAGCACTCGTCTGCGCCGATTTTCTGGGATCCCGGAGCAAAACCGCGCTCCTGCGGCAGGCGAGACTCGATTCTAGGAGCCGCTCGGGCCAAAGCAACTACAACTGCCAAATTTGCGCTCCGCACTTTCATCTCTCCGCGAGCGAGAGTCCGCTCGCGTCCTCGCACCCCGCCAGGCGCTCCGACCACGCCCCTCCCTGCATCGCCAGGCCCCCTCCGCTCCTTCTCGCCAACGCTCATGTCGTCTACCAAACCCTCCCGCTTGGCGTCCGCGCTGCTGCCTGATCGCGCTCCAACTCCCTGCTGTCCTCCTCGTCGCCCGTCCACCACGCAGCACCCTGCCGGTAGCACATGCCGTGCTATCTTGAGACGAACGGACGCCCCGGCCGCCCACGCTGTGCCCCCACATTCCCCACACTTTAGAAGGACAATCAGCGGTGGATAACGGAAACGGGCGCATCAGCGCGGTGCACGGCTCGACGGTCGTACGCACCCCCCTTTGGCTCCCGTGAGTCACTGATCTGCCAATCGTCCTCGCGGGGTCCCAGCCCGAGGCCTCGCGCCGCATCTCCCTCCCCCGCATGCTCTTCGGCCAAGCCGTGCACAAGACAGGTGCACCCGCTCTCGGCGAGCCGCGGTCGCCTTTTCGGTCGCAAGCCAACCTGCTGGGCCGCGATTCTCCCCCATCGCGAGCCGCCTGTCCCCGAGATGAGTTGGCAACGAACGCTCCTCCTGAGCGGGTGCACTTCTGCCGTGCAAAATGACGCGTATCGCGACCACCAGCCGGACCTGCGCAAGCCCACACATCGTACGACGACGCATGGCAGAGCCCTGCATCGGACGACCCGGCTTACGACGATCCTCCACATTCACTCCCGATCCAGTGTGTCCGGTCATGGGTGCGTGTCACGCCGCCCATATTGACGACCCGCGGCTGCGTCTTGAGGCGGCTCTTTGGTGGGATTGACGGACCGCCGACTCTTGGCTCTCATCGCGCTCAAAGTGAGTTCAGCCGTCCGTTTACGGTGCGCCTGTTTCAACATTGACCCGACCACGATGCTTCCTGAAGTTTTTGTCTGGACCCGACGAGGAGGCGGATCGCACATCGGGAAAGAGCCCTACCGAACGCCAAACGGATCCTGGTTTGTCTCCTGACCCGTCGCGCAATGCAAACACCATTACTAGACCCTCCACCGACGAAATTGCACCGCTACCAAGTGGCCGCATCGCACCTGTATGTCGGCTTGTTCGGCGCTATGAAGGAGCCCCAGCCCCACCTCGCTTCGGCCAGCCCCTCTGCCCTTCGGCGCATGACTGCCGAAGCTGATCCACGACTGCTTGTCCATGGCACTGTCCTGTAACTGGAGGCTCATCTTCCGCTCTACCAGACGCCGCACTGGAGCCGCTTCCGAACGGAACTAGCGGAACGACCGATCGTTACAGCATTTGGAACGTTGTCTTCTGCCGCCTTCCCGCCGGTAAGTCTATCTCCGAAATCGACCCTAGGTTCGTGGCAGCCCGCCCGCTCCTTGCTCGCAAGTCGTGTTGAGTGGCATGCGATTCGCTACAGACAGAATTTGACGATGAACCCTTTGTCTCGTACACCGTACCTTAATTGAATCACCAGACCTCAGACCTCACGGCCTCCTCTACACCGAACATGCGAGGATGGACACGTTGCGTTCATGCCAGAAACCCGCTCCGGTCGTCCTTGCGCTGCACGGAATCGGCACCGTCAGTTCGTTCTGATCCTGCAACCAAATAGCCACACGACGTACCATGCGCGACCCGTGACTAACGCCGAGATACAGCCTAAACAGCCTCTCGCAATCCTCGTCGCCATGGAACGGATACTCCGCCCCGAGCCTGTAGGCTGCCGCGAACCCTGACGTAACGGCCAGTTCGTGCATATTTAAAACTGTGTCACAGCGCACAGCGCCAGCGATCAGCGCTCATATGCCAAAAGTCAAATTCTAACACATACCAGACCACGCCCCAGCATAGCTGCCGAATAGCGTATGTACGGTGAGCTGATCCGCTCCTCATCAATGAATGAGAAACGGCACGTACTGCGTGTTGCGCTTCCCGTTCACAAACATCATCCACGGCACGACCTTTGCGTAATGCTGCCAGCGGTGGCTTTGCTGCTTCCACCACTTCTCGCAGATGCGCTTCTCCTCCCCGATCTCCCCCCACGTCCATAGGTTCTGGCTCCCCTCCCGGTCGAGGAAAATGGTTTGGAACACGTGGTTCTCGAGCTGGGGCTCTGGCCTGCCCGCCGCGTCCTTCCCTGTGCGCACCTCCTCACCGGCCTTGCCCTTCTCAGCGTCCTGAGCATCTTTCGTGAATTCTGAGGGCTTGCACTCGTTGCGGTGCTTGGTGTGGTCGGACGAAGAGATGGGGCCGGCTGGCTGCTCCCCACGGAATTGCGGCTGATAGTGGGTGAGGTCGAAGCTCATCTCAATCTTCGACTTATCCTCGGCGTACTGCATTGTGTAGTATAGCGGACGGAAGTTGCTTTCGGCGAACTTGAAACTCTTCTCCATATCCTCACGCTCCTCGTCGCTTCCGGCTGAAGGAAAGGGGGCGTTATGCCCTGGATTATAGCGAGTCTCGTAGTACTTCGTGCCCGGTGAGTCATTTTCGCGAGCTCGACGGCTATACATAGCTCACCTTCTTCATGTAATCCAAGTCATTGTGCGTAATGGTCACGTCGTAAAGGTATTTGACGCTCCCTAGAATTCGCCTCTCTATCCACGTCGCTTCTTTCCCTAGAAGCTTGAGCGCCGCATCGGCGTCGACCGCGAGGATCAGCTCATCAAACGCATCCACCTGTGGGGCCGTCTCCAGATCCGCAACCGCAATCTTGTACTCAACCTGCACCGGCCCGTTCGTCTTCGCAGTGCGCGAAACGACGCGGATCACCTCGTGGTTCAGCTTGAAGTCGACATTACCCCGAGAGGCGACCTCGGATTTCCAGGCTTGGTAAACGTCGTGGAGCTGCCATCGATGCCGTACAAAGTATTGAATGCTAAATTCCAGCGTGTATATTCGCAGTAAAAGCCGGCCTACCTTGGGAAAGGCGAGCATGGTGGGAATGCTCGCCAGGAGACTTTTCGGGTCGTACTCGAAGAGCTTCATGCTGGGGTCCATGAAGACACGTTCCTGAGGGTTCACGATGTGAGTGATGATTAACTCATTTGGCGTGTGATTCACTCTCACCAGGATGGCCGAAGATACGTAGGGCGTCTGGTTTCCCGTGCCAAAGAAGAGCGCCACGAGCGGGTAGACCATTCTCTCCCCGAAGCCCGCGGAGAAGCGGAACATCTTGAGCATGACGTGCACGGGGATCATAGCGAAGATGGGCTCAAGGTTCTTGATAGTCTTGAGCGCAGAGCCGAACCTGGCGATGTCGTCCTTGAACTGGGCGACAAGCTCCGTGGGGAACACGTTCGACCAGAAGTTCTCTCCCTTGCCGAAACTGATTCTATCCGTAGGTGCGTATAGGTGTTGGGCGCTGGGCTTGAACGTTGTGGAAGGGTACGTACTGCATATCAACCTCCGTAGCTTCGAAGCCGAGCATTCGAAACATGCGAAGCGTGTTGGCGAACACGGGGCTACATCCTTGTACACCATCATTAATATAGGAAGCACCATACTTTGCAGGGTCGATGTCGACGGAGGTGGCCATGCCGCCAGCCACGGGCTGCTTATCGAACACGGTGACCTTGAACTTGTCTGGATGCTTGCTCAGAGCATAAGCGGCGGACATGCCAGACGCTCCGGCGCCGACGATGCAGACACGCTTTGGTGTGGGAGTGGAGGGCGCCATGAGGCCTGAGGATGATGGAGGTAGAGAAGAGAGAGGTCGTCGCCCTCTCTCTCCCTGAGCTCGAACTTGAACATATTCCACCGCCCAAGCAGACGTCACCCTTTACGCGTTCACGATCCCGTCCCTCGATCGCCTTCAGGTGAAGTACAGCTCCCAAATTGGGCAGCGGGCGTAGCGACGCGATCACGTGGCCGCGTCTGTAGTGCAACTCCCATCCCAGCTTTCCTCAGCCTGTTTTTGACTGAGCAGAGCCTTCGAAATAGAAGAAATATTGGCGACAAGATGTTAACTGGTATACAAAAGTGGCAGAAAACTCTAGTCAGTCAAGGGGTTCCTTGTTAGTTCCGGTTTCCTGGTGTGCGGATGTGCGTCGTGAACCAAACCAGTACGCAGCGATAAGGCAAGATACAGCAGGGACGGGGCTCTGCTACACATCCCGTACCTGCTCCTCCATCCACGCCCACAACTTCTTCCCCAACGTCGCATCCGTCGCCTCTTTCCGAGCTTCTCCCACCCGCGCCCACGGCACAAGATACTAGATCACCCGTTTCAGCGGGATTCAGAAGAGGATGAGCTTAAATGTACCTCTCCGCCAAGGCCTAGCCCGTCTAGAGACGTCCCGGCCCACAACTGTGTCAATGCACCCATTGATGCCGAGTGTAGCAGCGGCGCCTGAAATTCATGTTCAGTAGTAGTTAGATTGACACACGGCCCGACTTACCGACAGCACTTTCTCAATCGACGAGACGTGCCTCTGTGCCTCCGTCCTCAGGTTACCCGGGTGTAGCGAGGTCGAGATGATCCCCTGGTCGCCGTATCTACGATTTAGCTCGTTCGAGAAAACGACCGTCGCCTTCGCGGCAGAAGAATCGCCCACAAGCATCCGCGACCGTAAGCGACACATGTTCTCGCGCACACGCGCTGCCAAAGAAGTACTCACAAACTTGCTCTGGAAGTGCAGCTTCTGCGTCCCGAGCTTCTTCCGCTTCGCGTGCTCTTTGAGCGTGTCAAAGTCGATCCCCGACACACACGTGTGCGCCGTCGACGACGTATTGATCACCCGCACCCGCCCCTCCGGCGAGTGCGACGCGCCCGAGAGCAGCACCGGGATTAGTAGCTGTGTCAGATAGAAGTGACCTGCGGTGAGCGGGTCAGTTAAGCCTCCTTCACGCGAAAGACGCGTGCACGGACCGAGGACGTTCGTGCCGAATTGCAGGTCGTAGCCGTCCGCAGTCAGCTGCTCTACGGGGGGGAACATAACGCCGCCACTGTTGAACAGCACATGCAGCACCGTCTCCTTGCTATTTCTCAGCTCAACTCATGCGGCCGCTAAATGAGGATGTGTCTAAGACTGACCTCATGAACTCTTGCGCAGCGGCCCGTACGCTTTTCAGATCCGCCAGGTCAAGCCGCAAGAAAATCGCTTGTCGTCCCGTTTCTCTTTGTAGCTGGGCGATCGCGGCGAGAGCCTTGGTCTCGTTCCTCGAGGCCATGTATACCCTCGCGTTGTGCTTGAGTAGCGCCTGCAAGTCCCAAAGCGTATATTAGCCACAGCGCGTCCCAAAGACAGCCGGAAAACATCTCTGCACCTTCACCGTCTCTCTGCCAATCCCCGCATTCCCACCGGTGACGATCATGACTTTGCCGGAAATATCGGGAATGTCCGCCACGCTCCATTTCGCCTTCGGCGGCGGCAGGAGGTGCGTACGCACGTAGGCCATGGAGCACAGGGTGGGCGAAGCGGCTGTCGCGAAGTCGACTTGCGACCGTACTAGTGCTGCAGCAGATAGACGTGACTCGGTGAGCTGAGGAGCGGCCGGACACAGGGTGGACAAGCGACTAAGGCACGTCAGGGGACGGAGCCACGGCTTTGAGCAGATGCCAAAATCTTGGGAAGCTACCGGAAGGCCTTCCGCAGATGCTGATAGCTGATACATTATATACCGAGCTGCCCACGGTAAGCGAGCGCGTCCCTACTCTCCCAGCCACGACGGGCTGACACTCGCATGTCACCGACCGCCGCCGCGATGGATCCATTACTAGCACCAGCCCGCGCGTCTCCCAGCTAGCCGCGCGCCCACACATACCGCCAGCCCATGAGTTTGACGCCCCTGGACTTCAACCCAACTGCGAACAAACGCCCGCGCCACCAGGCCAGATATCGCGCGAACCCGGCTACTCAGTCGCGACGCGAACGACCCATAATGTACCCATGTCTAGCTCTGTACCGCGCGGCCGCATGTCGCGGTCGGGTCGGCCCCCCGCTCGCGTTTCTGACGGCGCGTTGCAACGAGGTTTAATTTACCCTGCGAAGCGCGTACGCGCGCGCGTGCCGCGTCTGCGGAGCAGCAACTGCTGGCCCGCGCCGTGATGAGCTGAGCTCTCCCAAGCCCCGCGCTGCTGCGCACCCCGCGCGCACGCCCCGGGCCTGTGACGGTTGCTGATAACGAGCCGAGAAGTACGAGCAGACATGTTTCCCGGCGGCGGGCAGCCCGCCAACCGCCCGCGGCCGCGCCCCCCGCCCGGTGCACTCAGCTCGTTCAGCTCGTTCAGGAAGACGCTGGGTGACAGATGTGATCAGTCATTCAGTGGCCGATCGGAGCATCCGCGCTGCAACATAACCAAACGCGACCCGTGCCCGAGGCGGAGCGGAGAAGAGAAGAGAAGGGCAGCGGGAGGTGCAGCGGAGACTGAGCCTAAACACGCAGTGCGCCCGGGACAGCTGGCGACAGGCGTAGGACGGGGGCCCGACGGTTCGTCGGCGCCAGGAAGAGAGAATTTGATGATCATCGATCCCACCGAACCTACAGGGCGATCGCCCGCGTTTGTCCCACCGACCTGGTGACTTGTGTGTGTCTGTAGAACCCGCCGGCGCGGCGCGCGCTGCACCGTTCTAGTCATATTGGCCACCTGTTAGTGCACTCGCCATGTTAGTGCACTCGGCAGGGGCACAAGTTACTCCGCCTGCCGCTGCTGCAGCGTGCACCCAGACCCCGCGCGCGTGTGCGTTTGGAATGCCGTCATGACAGTCCAGCGTTATACGACATACGTCCCGAAGCTGAGGCACCCCCACTGCGCCGTCAGAACCTTCTATTCATACACACTGATTTACCACCGGTGGCTGGTCGCCGCTAGGCCAGGAACTCTTGGATCTTCTTCGTAATGAATGCCACATCCGTAGGATTGGCACCTCCCCCCGCTGTAGCGAACAAGTGGCGATGAGCGTCTTGCATTCTAAACCCGCCGGAATGGCGGAACGTACCGACGTGCCCCCAGACGCTGTCGATGATGACCAGTTCGGCATTCTTGAGCACCGACACCTCGTTCGCGCTGTCCTCAGGCTGAACGATCCGTCGGCGTCGGAATGAACGTAGTGACCACCGCAGACCGCAGGGATGGTGATCAGCCCCGAAGTGCTAGAACCCCGCGCAACGCAGCAAAATGACGCACGCAGAAGTACAGGTCCGTTTTGCACGGCATAATCAGGCCCTTCGCCTTGATCGCCCCAAGACAGCCGACGAAATCGCCCCCGTCGCGCACGGACGATACGTCGCCGTTCTGCCAGGTGTCGAGCAGCGCGAGCATGTCGTTCGCATCCCAGTTCGCGACGTACCGGCCCTCCCATACCTCGCGCATGAACGCGTCCAGCGTGGGATAGCTAGCGCCCGGAATATTGATAGCGCGCGCTGCCGTGAGTGGCACGTCTCCGGCACCGGAAGAGCAAGTAAAGCCCGACTTACAGCCCGCCCATCTCGTAGAGGTGCCCGCGGAACCACTGGGGTGGATCTGTCAGATGGATAGAAGGCGCGGGAGTGGTGGGGGACTCTCACCGCCTGTCCGTACGCCCACGCGCAGTACGCCCGCGCAAACGCCCTGATGGCGACCTGGGGCGTGGACGTGTAATGTCCGTCGTTGAAGTCGCGGCCAGCCTTCAATGCAGCCTTCGGGCCTTCGAGGAAGCTGGACAGGTACCGAAGAAGCTAAGATCAACTCATTCAAGCCGAACGAGGAACAGGGATCTATCTCACCACTTGTTGTGCGGACTAGTCCGTGCGGACGAACAGATGGCCACGAACCTCTCGACGAAATCGGGGTACACCGTTGCCCAGTGGTAGGCCTGGCAAGGTTCAATGTATCACCTCATGGTCTGTTGAGGTTGTCAAGGCAGCACTATACCTGCTGTCCACCCATCGAGAACCCGACGACACAATACACTTTCTCCACGCCGAGATGGCGGAGCACGGCATGTTGAGCACGGCTTGCATGCGGACGTCAGACCTTGGTCGGGTAACGCCAACTCCGCTGCAGGCAGCTCACATGTTGTCCTCGTATGAGATCGCAGGAAAGTACGGGCCGTTGTACGGCGGCGGCTAGGATGACATTAATTACGGTGGCCACCGGAAGCCCGTTGACATTCGCGATTGCTCACCGTGTTGGAAGGAGAAGAAGACTGGTGGGAGGCGTCAGTTAGTCGTAGGCTAACCACAGGACGCCGCGCATACCTCGCCGTTGCAGAACAACGCAAAAGTTACAATGAAGTACTTGCTAGGATCGAGCGCCTGCAGCGTGTGCGCTCAGTTGGACACGGTTCTCCGAGATCGGGTCATTGCATTTGGTAGCACCTTGCCTTCGCCAACGAGGTAAGACTGGCCTATAGAGTTCCATACGTCAGCGCGACTAGATGACGGCCTGCTTCACTACTGACTACCAAGGCCCAGCTTGGCTCCGTAGCACGTTGGGAAGACGATGCATGGGTTGCACGCATTCCCGTAAGTTTGGTAAGCGGAAACGGCGTCAGGAATGACGCCGCCTGAGACCTTGAACCGTCCGTGGTGATGATACTGGAGGGTAGCTGCGGCCATTTGTCGCTGGTGGATATTGGGGCGTACGACTCGAACAAGAGATAGCAGGTGTTGTGGCAGCGATAACCCCTTGCGCCATGCCCGGACGCAATTCTCACATTACGCCCCTGAAGTCACACGGAGACCCCTTCGACGACCGTGAACTACGCCAAGCTCGGGCCGTCGGCCCTCATTTGCTCGTAGTAGTTTCTCGTGGCGCATCGCGGGCCGATGGGTGTTCTGAAATTATCTTAACCACGACACTTACAACAGCTCTGGTGACGTGAGAGGCTGGGTCAGTGCACTGGACGCAGGCCTTAAGAATGCTCTCCATACCGAGTACAGACACAGGGCACGTGTAGGAGATCTCGCCTACTAAAATACAGTCATGACGGTCATGAATTAGCCAATACGGTGGACACGATATGGCTACAGAATTTTGGCCACAACACCTCAACAGTGAAAGCGTTGCGGAAGGAACCAAGAAGTCAAAAGCAAGATATCGAGCTCATGTCTTAGTTGATGCTCAGCAGCTTAACCTCTGCAATGCCGGTTAGCGGTCATATCCCGTGATAACTAACGGTGTGTACTTACCAAAGATGAGAGTCGAGTTGGCAGGGATGCCGGACTGTGCCTTCTTGCCGTACGCCATAGGCGCGGGGATGGTAAGGAGACGCTCGCCACCGACTTGCATGCCGACGATACCGACGTCCCAGCCTGTATACTGGTCAGCGAAAGGAAAAGAATGGCCACAAAGAAACTCACCCTTGATGACCTCACCCTTGCCGAGACGGAACTTGAACTGATTATAAAGGTTAAACAACTGGAAGTACGGATGAGGGTTGTCGGACATACCGGCTTGCCCTTGGTGTTCTGGTCGAAGATCTTGCCGTTCTCAAGCTTGCCGATGTAGCGCATGGAGACCATGTCACCGGTCTTGGCCTGAGGACCAGTGCCGGTCTTGTTGTCGACGAGCTTCACACCGCCGGCAACGGTCTTAGTCTCAGCCTTGGGCTTCTCCTTCTCAGCCTTTTCCTTCTTCTCCTTCTTCTTCTCATCCTTCTTCTCGGGCGTAGCGGCGGGGACGGCCTCTCCGCTAGCAGCCTTGAGCTTTTTCTGCTTTTTCTGCTGGGACTTGGAGAGCTTTTCGTCGGTCTCCATCGCGTCCGAGTCACGGGGACGCTTTTTTGAGTCTGCTGCCGACTTGGCGGCGGCGGCATCGTCGATCTCCTCGAAGCGGCTAGAGAAGCATGAGATCGCGCAAAACAAAAAGCACGAACTGAGAACGTACCCCTCATCGTCGGAGCTGGGGATTTCCAGCTCGTCGGGGTTGATCTCGACGTCGGAGCTGACATCCTGCAGGTCGAAGTCCTCCTCTTCCGAATCATCCTCATCACCGTACGGATCCTGGTCGAAGGGGTTCTGGTCTGAGGCATTGTGAGACAATGGACGTGGACAACTCTAGTGCGGTGACATACCGATGTAGTTACCGGTCAAATACACAGTGCTTCGAAGTGTTAAGCTAATGAGCAAGAGAAACATGTGCTTCAATAAAAATTACGCACTTCTTGCCGACAACCTCGATCAGGTACTCCTCGTCCTCGGTGAGAACGACATCAACGGTCGCTTGCTCAATCTTGAAGGAGTCAGCGGCGCGGACTAGTTGAACGGCTGGCTGTGCACATACCTTGCCGGGAGTAAGAGAGCAGAGGACGGTGGTGGAGAGCTCCGAGTTGTCGTTCTCCTCCTCCTCATCGTCCTCCTCGTCCTCGCTGTCCGGCTCGTCAGAGCCAGGGCGGCGGTACACGAGCTTGATGGTCGTGCGGCTGTTCTCGTCGGTGATCTCCTCACCGAGAGCAATGTTCGTGATCCGGATGTCACTGGGGGGAGAAATGACGGACGGTTCACCGGGGGTCGCGGTGATACTCCTACGAAATTCGCAGACACATTCAGCGAGACGCGCGACGCGTAGATAACGGCTGCGACCCACCAGAGAGCGACAGAGATGGCCATTTTTGAGTAGGGAGGGAGGGGATGTGGGTGCGGGAGGCGTGGTTGACCAGAAAAAGTTGGTGAAGCGCGCAAAGACGCGTCTGCGGAAATTTGAGCGCGTGCGCAAACTCCGCCCGAATTCGATCTCTCCTCGACCTCGACCATGGTGCGCGCGTCTCCGGCCTCGCTCGCGGCGGGGGGCACGATGCTGACGACGAATACACATCCTTCGCGCACAGTCCAACGTTCTGCGACCATACCTTGCTGCCGTGCGGTCCACGCTTACCGCGGCGCTCACGCTCGAGGACTTCTCGTCGCAAGTAGGTGTACCACCGCGCTGTCGCCAGGCAGTGTAGCTCATTGCGCAGTAGGTCGTCGAACGGCACAACAAGCCTGAGGTCGAAGCCGCGTACGTACATGCTTGTCGCTAATCCATACTACGTGCTCAGTCCTTGCAGCGCATCCAAGGAAGTGCTCCTTCACCCCCTGACCATCTCCCGTAACGAGAATGAACGCGTCCTCATCGAACCCTCAATCAACTCCATCCGGCTAAGCATCAAGATCAAGCAGGCGGACGAGATTGAGCGGATACTGTGCCACAAGTTCACGCGATTCATGATGCAGCGCGCGGAGAACTTCATCGTCTTGCGGCGGAAACCCGTCAAGGTGCGTGTCATGTTCCCCTGGGTTCTGCTATATATCAAACTCTGGATCGCAAGGGCTATGACATCTCGTTCCTGATCACGAACAACCACACGGACGTCATGCTCAAGCACAAGATCGTCGACTTCATCATCCAGTACGTTCCTCGCTATTAATCCCTGCTGCGTATGATTGACCTCTCGTAGATTCATGGAAGAAGTCGATAAGGAGATCAGCGAGATGAAGCTGAGCCTGAACGCGCGTGCTCGTGTTGTTGCAGAGTCTTACCTGACGGCGGTTCGTGCCTTCTTACCGTGGATCTGACGTCGGCTGACGCGTTATCCAAGTTCAATGTCTGAGGTGCCGACGAAGGTGCGAGGTAATATATACCACTCGGGCAGCGCAGCCTGCTTGATGCTTGAACTGCCAAACGCACACCCGAGTTAGTGTAAAGTAAGCGCAGTGGGTAGGAACACGAAGTGTACATCACCGGGAGCAGGTACCAATGGACGATATGGAAATGATGCAGTAGGAGTCGAGGACTACGATGATGCACGCAACGCTGGCCAAAACGTCCGCGGCGTTTGAACCCCTCCTACGGCGCGCTATTCCCTTCCGATTGACGTGGTCTTGCTGTGCGATCGACCCATCAACTTGAGGATTGCACAATCTGCTGGCACGTCGAGTTTTCCTGAGATATCCAACTTTGAGGCCCCTTTCGACGACTCAAACGAGACATCTATCTCCCCTAAGGACAGAGACCTTGTGCTGTGTGGCGGGTGTGAAGTCAGTCGGTGCTGTGTGTGCTCCGCCACACAGTGCAAGTTCGAACTTTAATATCCAACCGTATACATACTCCGTTGCAATGTCAAGCACTTGTGTATGCGTGGTAGTAATACATGCCTAGCGGCTACCGGAGTAGACCAAACTCGAACCATAGACTATTGTGTGTCGAGCATCCACCTTGCATGAAGTTCCCGACAAGAGTCTCCGGCGTAAGATTTCAGTGAAGCCATTACGCCAGTGACCAGTCCGAAGTTGGCGGGATTTTCCTTTTTGAGACAGGACAAGAAGCGCTGATGGATGACGTATACGTGTCCCAATACCGCAAGCGCGTCGAGCTCCGCCATAACACGCTGGACTCGTGCCATCCGCTCTCTTGCTCTCCACCACCTCGTACGATGCCCGACCCACGATATGTCGCCTTTGCCGCCCTCACATCCGTCGTCCTCTTTGGCACGCTCTACTCTGTCGGGTACGACACCTACCTCGACACCTCGAACCCCCTCATCACCGCGCAGCCGCACCACCTCCACGAAACAGACTACTTCGCGTCCAAGAAGAACCCGCTGAACGTGTACTTCACGAAGAAGCTCTGGCTCTGGATCACTGCGACCTTCCTCTTCCACTTCTCCACCAGCCCGAGCGCGATCCGCACCAAGGCGCGCTTCTCGCAGTACCTCATCGCGACCGCCGTCTGGCTCGCCTTCACCAGCTGGTTCTTCGGCCCGCCCGTCTTCGACCGCCTCACCGCTTCCACCGGCGGTGAATGTGTCCTCCACCTCCCCTCGGGGGCTGTGCTCTCCGTCCCCGCCGAATACTGCTACACGCGGGGCCCCATATCCCCAGCCACGCACCCCGCCCTCTTTCCCGCGTCTCTGCTCCTTCCTGACGGCAGCTGGACCGGTCGCGCGCGACTTCGCAAGGGCCACGACGTCTCTGGACACGTCTTCATGCTCACGATGGCCGCACTCTTCCTTGTCGACCAGCTCCGGCTATCGTTCGCGTCTGCACCTGCAGGCCGTCCCTCCGACTCACAGTGGTCGCCCGCGCATCGGTGGTCCGTCGTGTTCGGCGGCGTTGTGACCCTGCTTTCTACGTTCGCTATCTACACGACTAGTGTGTACTTCCACACACCGTCTGAGAAGTTCACCGGGTACAGTGAGTGTCTATCAACTTATTGACCGAATGATATCTGACCGGTATGGCAGTCTTGGGCGTCGCAGGGTTTGCGCTCACTCAATTACCTCACTACCTCAGCGCGCAGACGACCAACGTCACGCAAGAGAACCTGGCACGAATCTCTGAGAAGGTCTCGTCATAATATTTGTGAGTACATGAACATCGTGCACAATCGGAATATGGGAATTGACAATATCAGCTCAGACGTATCCGCTTGGGGGTTTTCCGGACCTTCAGATGCGTTCATGTTGGACCCGTCTGTCGTTCTAGTTGTACTGTAACGTGGCTAATGCTGTAATGATTTTGACGCAGTACTGCTGATTTTAATGTATTTGAAGGGCGCCTGCTGGCGCGGATCTTTGCTCGTCAACTCTGGCTTCGCCGCTCGCGTTGGCGCGAAGATTTGACTGACCCAGGTGAGCAATGACATCGCTCACACTTTTGCATCGCTGGTACTATAGTGGCGTGCTACTGAGGATGGGGAGCCTTACTTCGGTGATCCGAGGAATCCGTTCGCCGACGGCGCCTGCGGTGTCTACCCTACTGCGTCGAGATGGGCCCAGACACGAACGCGTCTCCCTCAGGTCGTCGAAGAAATGCCAACACGTCTTCCGCTCGTGTACGTGGGCATAGCCGCTGCGTGGAACTGCAACTGTCCCGTTCATCAGGTCAGTTATCTAGCACAGGTACAAGTGGACTACATCCAAGTTGACACCGTTTGTTTAGAATGCTATTAATAAAGGTCACTCTACCCCCACTGACGCTGTCGAGTATGGGTAAAAGCGTCTTACCCGCAGTCGAGGAGGCACGAGAAATATGCGGTGTTCGATACCGGCACGGCCGATCTGTCGTCGAACTTCGACCGGGCATTTAAGGCCAGCGCGAACCACGTTTAGTGTGAAAAGTTCGCGTCGCGTTGCACGTCCGCCCAAATTATTAGGCACTGATGGCCAGAAGGCGTTGTCGTTCGCGTTCGCAAAGCTAATGATTCAGAAGCTTACATCCAGACGAAACCTGCCCGCCTCTCTGCACTGGGCGAGTCGCGCGTGCCCGTTGCAATCCCGCAGACCAAGCAAATGTACGTCGTACTCACACCAAGTTCTTCTACAGGCATCAGCGCCGCTGGTGGAATCGTCGTGCGCTCGCTCGGCACGCATCTCTCGACGGGCGCGTTCACGTCCATGGTAGCCGTCGAGCTCGTCTGGGTGTGAAAGTCATGCACTGCAAAATCTGCCCATGCCTCGAACAGCCGGCTCGCCGGGTATTCTCCCAGCGATCTCGGGGGTTATGTGGCCCGCAAATGGCGGGCCCACCACGCACAAAACCACGACGGATGACTTCCACAGCCGCGACGCCTTCGACTTCAAGGTCCTCACACATCACACATGCCATTCTTATGCAACGAGACGAACGCGATCACGTATGTCGCGTTCACCGCCTGGCTCATTTGTGAGCACTCCCCCAGTGGTAGTGGGAGTCGGTTATAATATTCAGCCCACTGGTATCCCGTCCCCACAGTACACGCCTCCACGATCACCCTGCTCGTCTTGCGCTCCTCAACAGACCGCGCGGCGCGCCCATACGGATCTCTTCCCTCAAACAACATCACTTCCTCGTCCCCGTGACACGCTTCGTCCCTCGTCACGACGCAGCCGTAGCCCGCCCGGGGGCAGCAACAAATGCAGACATAGGATGCAGCGCCAGATGCGTCTCCTCCAGGCCCGTATGGTCCGCCCGCGGTGAGCCCGATGTCGTACGTCAACCCGTACCACACGACGCTCAGATACAACGAACAATTACAGATGATTGGGAGGGCATACTTCTCTGCGGTGCACAATCGAGGGAGATGGGGCTGGGTAAAGTTGTATCTTCCGGAGGTCCGGTTTGCGTCACAACAGTCATCGGTGGCTTTGAATGTTTGCTGCTATGAATTTGGCTGCTCTCATCATGTTCTTGTACGGACTCTATGGGTATCGAAGGAGCGCACCCCTCCTGCTGTATTGTATACCGTGCGTAGTCGATAACGCCTGTTCTCGCACTCACTACGATAGTTTTTTGAAGGGTCTTCTATAGATCTGCGGACGCACGAACTTCTTGACCACCTGCAGGGGTATAAGGCCAGACATTGAGGAAGTACTCGGGGGCGCCTGCTGGCGCAGATCTTTGTCATTCGTTGAGATTGGCTAGCGCAGGAAGGCATGGCTGTCTTAAATGAGCAGTGGCGTAGCCCACACTTCTGCCATTCGCGAGTGTGGAGCAGCCTTGCTCGCACGATCGAGTTACTTGCTTAGTTATGAAGATATTCCGCAATTGGGCGAATGATACGGAAACCTAGGTTCCCGGTGGGGTGCAAGCGTTGAGACGAAATCGCACAGAGCTTCGCGGATGTCCAGGCTAACTGAGTTGCAGAGCAAGTGGACCACATCATGGGGCATGGTGAGAGTACATAAACAACACAGTAGACATACGACGTGTGGCGAGAAGGCGGTCCTGGCAAACGCGTCCTCCAATGATTTTACCGCTCTCCCGAGCTCCAGTCCAGCTCCTGGTGAGCGCACCCGCGACCCAGCAAGAGCGACCGACGGCAGGAGCAGGCTCGCAACCTGGCAGCGGTTTATGCCGAGGCCTTCGCGACGCTCTTGCGGACGACGTCTCTCCGCGCCTTCTTCGCGATCATGACCGCGAAGCGCTCGAAGTCGTTGAGCTTCCTCCGCTTCTCGATCGCCTCCCGCCTCTGCGCCCATGCGGACTTGTTCCACTTCTCGACCGTGCCCTCCTTCTCGAGGTACTTGCGGACGACGCCGGTGCCGGCACCACGGGGGAGAGAGGCGAGGACGAAGGGAGTGAGGGTCAGGTGGCGGAAGGGGAAGGACTGGCGGGCGACGCCAGTGGTGGGTCCATCGATGATGGCCTATTAAGCGGGACATAAGTTGAGAACGACGGAGGTTCACATAACGCATTGATTGTTTCGTACCCGGTTGTGGTCAATGATCTCCACAATCACAGCGATGTTGCCCTCGCTGGGACCGGACTTGAGGAGCACGACTGGGGATTGCGAGACCTAAGTTTTCGGAGACCTAGCGGCTGCACGGGGAAACATACCACGGCCGACCTCGACGAAACGCTGGAAGTTTGATGGTTGTGCCTGCAAGGTAAAGCGTATGAGCACATATGCTTGCGGTTTCTTCAGCACCGAGTCCCGTCCAGAAGGCGTCCAAGGGTATCCCGTATTGCGCCCAACCCAATATTGCCTGCCCCGCCAAAGTACCCGGATGTCATCCAAACCTCCGACATGCCATCCATCTCCAAATCGCACTCCAAATCTCTCGATTCCACCTCTACGGCACCCTGGACACTTCGTAGGACGTACTGGCAGCGTTTCGGACACTCACCGGCATGTTGGGTGCTTGAGGATGTCGTTGAGGCCGTCGAAAACTTGGGCGGGCTGAAGGGATGAGATGCTTACGTGAGCAGCGCGCGCGCCTGGGTATGAGCGCTTGAGGCGCGTGGCGGGCGTCTACGGGATGTTGTACACCGCCGCCACGTGGGTGGAGTTAAGTAGGTTCGAATCCGAGACGGTCTCTCGGTGACGGTCAAGTTCGCCCGCTTGCCGGATTGCGGCGGATTGGTCCGCACCCAGCGTCGGCCAACAGCTCTGGTCTGGCGTGCCACATCACCCAACGAGGTCTGTCTTCTACCGTCAGAACGATACGCCTCTCGCCCGCGATTCTCTCCGCTGTCCGCACACGTTTCCGCTCGGTCTAACCCAACACATGCCCCGTGTCCGACACTCCATCAGCCGGTTGAACTGTCCGGAGACTAGGCCGCAAACTTACCGTGAGCTAGGAGGTGAGAACCGCCCAGTTTTACAATGCATTCCTATCTCTCCTCATCGCGCCTGAACCGCCTCCCCGCAGCTCCTCTTCGACTTCGATATCGATCCCTGCACGGTCATAGGACTCTCCGGCGTCGTCGATGACTCGCTATCACGTATTCAGCGGTGCACCCGCAGCCAGGGACGTGGCAAGGCCCCCATGCCAATTTGAATGGCGAACAGTATCCTCCCACAGCCTCAAGGCTCCTCCCCTCACTCTACCCCCGACCACGCTCGCCGCGGCGAACCGGCGAATCTCCATGATGTACGAAAACGTAATCTTCGCGGAGTCCCAAGAAGACAACGACCTTCCCGGTCTTCCGGACGGAGACGAGTCACACGGAAATGAAGAAGTCCAACCCGGTGCGTCGTGCTCTCCGTCTCAATTTAGCGGCGCCGGCCTAACCCTTTGCAGAGGGCCAGACCACCATGATAACCTGGCCGCTGACCACGCAGGCCACCGAGGAGCACTCGCGCACCAGAGGGGACATATCATTCCTTCGTCCATCTGCCAGCATCTCGCGTATCCGTTCCCAGCTCGGAACGCAGGAATCCCAAGAAACGGATTCGTACAATTACTCTGACGCATCCTCAATTGGACAATTCCCGGCCTTCCATTTCAGCCTCCACACTCTCACACCGCTGTCCACGCTCATCGACCAAGCGAATGCCGCGCGCGCAGCGGGACGCATGCCTCTACAGAAGGTGTCCCACAAGGTCAGCATCCTCGCTGCGGTCCTCGAGGTCGACGGTCCAGACAGCATCCGCATCAAGAAGGGGCCCGACGCTGGGAAGGAAGTCGCCCTGCTCAAAATCATCCTGGGCGACGAGTCTGGTGGTATTTGCAAGCTCGCCGCCTGGCGTGAGATCGCCGAGGACTGGGGCGGACTCAACCCGGCCGTCCCCACGCCCGCGACGAAGAAGGGCGACATTGTCCTCCTCGAAAGTGCGTCCCCGCTTATCTACTTACTCAGCCGTCGTCCTTCTTTTTCCCTCCCCTTGTCTTGGGCTCCCCATTATTCTCCACACACTCGTACACCCCCTGCCCGGTATGGCTCACACCCTGGCTCCATTCTGCAGGTGTCCTCGCTTCATGGGAGCCAGATCCCGGCGGCACTTCCACGACCAGCATACCTATCAGCCTCTCCGCATCCCCCCAATTGAAAAGCCGGCTCGAGATCTGCTACCGCACGCTCCCATCCGCTCCGCAGGACGCCCGCCTCCGTCCCGACCTCCGGCTTGGACTCAGCGATGCAGCCGTGCGCAAGGTCGCCGGCGTCGTGCGCTGGTTCGAAGGCGTCGCGGGGCTCGCGCCCTGATCGAACGAACGCTTGCTCAGCAGCATGGGACGTCTTCGCACAGCGGAGTGCGCCTCCCCGCAACCCTACCACTCCCAATCCACAACCAGTGGTCACGTACCACCCTCCGTCGCGACGCAGCGGAGCCCCGCCCAATCCGCCCATGGCCAAAGTGCACCCTCTCCATTCCATTCCCAACCCAAAAGCCCTTCTCACACCGGGCAATCCAGAACCGCCGCGACGCCTTCCCCACCGCCGCGACGCCTTCCCCACCGCCGCTCACACCCGGACCGCCCCCGCTCCCGCCGCCCGAGGCGTGGCGAAGCACGCCCACGTCCGCGGCGCTCTGCCAAAGCGGTGCCCCGCGCGTCCCACACGAAGCACGTCCATATGGCCGGCTGCTGCGCGACCCGGGCGCGCGTTCTCGAACACGCACGCCAACTGCAAAAGCCTCCGGCCTCAGGGACCGCACGCTTGTCTGACACGGAAGGACGCTCTGAGATCCGCCTCGTGCAGCAGCATGTGTATTGTCGCCGCCCGCGGCGCAGCCGCGAAGGTCGCGCGCAGTGACGTGCTTCGAGCCCGAGAAGCGAAGCACCCGAGCGGAATGAACTCTCACACTAGAGGCAGGGCCGGGGGAACTGGGGCCTGGGTGGCGTGGGCAGGGGCTTGGGGAGTGGTACACCGTGGGTGTTGTGCATTCTGTTTGTTTGGCATCGGCGTACGTAGGGTATACGTATGGGGGATAGTCCGAAGTGGCTACCTAGCGGATGCAGTCGTCGAGCGGAGAGTCCGGTGTGCGGAGCAGCCTACAAAGTCCCTGGGAGAGTCTCAAAAATGTCCGGCAAAGCGTAAACTGGCCAGCACGAGCGGGGTGAATGGGGAAGGATAAGTGAAAAAATGTTCAAAGGAATGTGAAGGAGGAAGTCCGAGTCCTCAGGACGGCGTGATAAAAAGAGGGCGCCCGCGACTGCTGGGAGCCGCGGGACCGGGGCGGGCGTAGGCCGACGCGCGGGGGAGAGGGGTGTGTATGCAAAGCAAGCGAGCAAGACCGACTAGCGATAGAGGCGTACATCGTACGGGGGGAGAACTACACTACGTAATGTACCTGTACGCAAGTTATACGAATTCTGCAATAAGTCCGAATCGTCCGCGGGAAAGGAGAAGAAAGGTAACGGTGAAAGCTGCGAGGTACGATTGTCTAAGAGTACAGTGTGATGCAAGTAGTAGCGGTCGCTGGTCCGAGGGGGTCGAGATTAGTCCGATGACGACACGTGTAGGTAGATACAGTTGTTTGTAGTAGTCCGTGCGAGCGCGAGGTGATGGGGGCAGCCCGGGGCAAAAAGTACGAAAGTCCGGCACGGTGGGAGTCAGGTCCGAAAGGGAAAAATGTGGCAAGTCCGTCGTAGAAAGCCCGCGAGGGGGCGGTAAGTCCGAGGAAGTGGGTGGACGCGGTCCGAAAGGGGTGCTCTCGAAGCGCGGAGATGGCGGCCATGCAGCGCCAGTACAACAGCTTGAACGAAGATAAACAATAAAGAGCGTAAAGTTCGTAGACGAACGTGAGGGTGCATGACTGTCCTCGGAAAGGGGTCGGGCGGCGTGCGGTCCTGATGGCCGCCGACGGACCGGGCCCCTTGCATGGTAGAGTCGTAGAGGGCCGTGACAAGCTAGGTTCCTCTATTCACCGTCCAGGCAACTTTGGACTTTTGCGGAGTGATAGGCTGTACACGGCTGTGAGCTCTCAATGGCAACAAGCGACGGCAAGATGCGGCACGCACCGACAAGAGGGAACTTCGCGCCGAGCTTGGTCATCACGAAGAGCAGCGCCTCCAAGTCGGCGCGGACCTCCATCGTGTTCAGAGGATCCGGCCACGAAGATTGGAGACGGGTGAGCTCGTTCTCGAGAACCTTGGCTGCGCTCGCCCAACATGACTGCGGAGCCGACCGGAGCCGTCAGCATTGTATCAGCGAGTCAGCGGGAAAAGAGACGCACCCCAATGACAGGATCAAGGAACTCGAAGTCGGCGTCCGTGACGAGCTTCGTGACATGAATCAACGAGCGTGCCGCGCGCAGGGACTTCTCACGCGAGACGCCATCGTCGCGCATGAACGGCGCGTGGAGGCGGATCATGGAGGCGTGCGCCAGACTATGGATCACGATGAGCGCGTACTTGTCGTCAGGGATCGCGCCCCCCACTTGGTGCAGAGGGAGGAGAGTCGTCGTGAAACGCATGATGCTATGCTCGAACGCCGTAAAGTTCTCAGAGAATGAACCCGACGCAAGGGATCCTATCAGGCGCATTGACGGTATCAGTATACAGCGGACGGCAACAGCGGCGGCGGCGGCCAGAACAAGTGACTCACGAGGGCTCCAGCTTGATGACAGACGGTTGGCGCCTTCGAAGAGCGCCGACGCCTTCACTCGCAGCGCGACGGTGGAAAACCCGCTGAGCGTGCTCGACTGCCCCTGCTGAACAAAGAAGCCACGGATGGTGGGCGAGCCGCCGCCCACGTCAAGGTCCTCCTGTGGGATAATTGATCAGCTGATGTTTCTCACAAATGCGCAGAATCTGTCGACCCACGTTCTCGTAGTCTTCAATGCGCTGCGGCCAAGGGGTGGTAATAGAAGCCAGGGGGTGATCGCTGTCAGGAAGCGTGGCTGGCCTCCGCAGTACGACGGACCAGCACCGGTCCAGGTTGTAAACTTGCCAGAACGTCGTGATTCTCTCACCCCGCTCGATGTTATCCTGAGGCGGGGGAAGGTCGAACGTCGCATCCCAAATATCCATGTTCATCGACTGAGGTGCAACTCCTATCTGATGCAGACGGCACTGTACGGCCAACGTGGAAGCGGCGGCGGAGTAGTAGCTACCCTCCAGAAAGCGGCCGTTGGACAAGTAGTACAGCGAAAGCAGGCAGCAGGCCTGGATGAGATCCACCACTCTTGACGAAAGCTGCATGGCGTCTCCTAGTGAAGCCATGGTACGTGACAAGTAGAGCTGCTCGTATTGGCTGAGAGAACCAGGGCGGGAGAGGTAGCACGCCCAGAGATAGATGGCGTTCATGAGGACAGGATGGCGCTGTTCTGCTGGTGGCAAGTTCAGGGAATCTCTTAGACGGCCGACGTGGATGTCAAGTCCGCACTGCTGGCGATGAGGGATGAAGATTTCCAAGCTACAAAAGCAATCATTAGCAGCGAATAATGAGATTGTAGTGAAGACGGACAGTATGTGATCGAGGGGTGGCGCTTCCATGCCGTTGTAGCTGTTTACTCCGTGAACGGTAGACAGTCCCTGCGAGAAATGAGCATACGGAAGTCCACCCAGAGTACGTGAACGTACGACAAAGTTGAGTGACTCCCATGTTGCAGGGTCGACATCAGGCGTAGTGACGCTCAAGGGGCTCAGCATACTGCGTGGGTCCTGCTCACCAATGGGGAACGGGATCGGGGAAGCGGAGGCAGAGTAGGTGAGCTTTCCCGGAGAATCGTAGCTTGAGGATGACGAGGACTCTGAGTAGTAGGGGGAGAGGGCGTGGGGGTCGAAGAGGGTCATGGATGGGGCGGACTGCTCTGGGTTCTCGAGCTCGCGGACGCGCATCTCGAGGCGGGCGATGTGTTCGCGCATGATCTGCGTTCTTGTCTTGCCTTTGCCGTCGTCATATTCACAGACGTCGCCCTTCTTTGCGCGGATGCACTGGGCACAGGCGGGCTTCGACCCGTCGCAGCGCTGGGGGAAGGCGGGATGAGTGCCGCATAAGGAAATAGGCTAGAAGACATACCATCTTTCGCTTCCGACAGCGCAGACATGCCTTTCCTGCGTGGAGCACAGCATAGTGAGCGGGGAGCTTGGGGAAAGCGGAGGGGGTGGGAGAGTTGTGGGAGGGCGGGAGCGTACCTCTCTGCAGCGGGGCCGGGCCGGATGTGGGAGAAGTGGGTTTCCGCTCCTCGGCCATTACAAAAATAGTAGGATAGAAAAGTGAAGAGAAAGGCGGGCACGGGGAGCGGGGGAGGGGGGCTGCGGAAAGGGGAAAAACCAAGGATGCTGGCCGGTGGCTGCGTCGGGCGGGAGGGGAGACGCTGCGCCTCAGCGGTGGGGGCGGGGAAGAGAAAGGGGGGAGGGGAAGGGGAAGGGCGGAAAGGAACGGGGCAGACAGGCTAGGAGGCGGGCGGGAGGAGCATTGGGATTAAGTAGAGCGCGTACTTAAGAGTCCTCTCTCGCTCTCGGGTCGGATATGGATTCGGATGTTACGGAACGTGGCGAGCCAGCAGCCCAAACCATTCGGCCTTGCTCGCTCAAGCGCCTCCCCCGACAAAGACTGCGACGCGCGAGGCCCCCATCACTCCCGCACACGAGCTGCTCTCACTCCGGCCAATCATCCCCGTCCATCGATCCCTCTTCTCCTCTCCTCCAGTCCGGCGTGCGGGCAATTCCAGTCTGCAGAGGGAAGGTGTATTCGACGCTTGTCCTTGTCCTTCCTCCGCGAGACGTCGGATCCGACAGCGGCGACAGCAGCGAGCAGGGTTCACTCAGCGAGGCACTCGACGCTCTCGCCCCCTGTCTGGCGCGGCGCCTGCCCGAGCGAGCCTCGGTAGCGGCGCGATCTGCCGAGAGTGACTAGTGACCTAACGGCGCCTCTTTCCGCGATCGTATCGGCGCACTGACTAATTAATCCTCCGCCCCTCCTCCTCCTCGACTCGACGCCCAATCCACCTATCTTCCTCCGAGGCTGTGCCCTCACCAGAAGCCTGATCATGATCCTCCTTCCCCTCCAGACTGCGAACGACCCCGGCAGTACATCCGCCTTGTCTCGCATCCATGTATCATTCCCCGCGCGCGCTCGCACTCCTCGTCCCTCGTCCTCACGCCGAGGCTTGTAACCTACCAGCTGATGATTCATGAGGGACACAACTGACAACCCGTGTGCGTCCATTCGAAACACCAACACCCACACTGCTCTCTCCGGCTCCGGTGCCACGCACCCGGAAGCCTCGGGCCTCGTGCTACCGCCCTCCGTCTGCTGCACGCCTCACCCCTCCCGAATAGCCGCCGCCGGCTCTCTTCTCGCGCGTGCGCCGTCGTACCTACCGGCCACGCCATGACCGCATCTGCCGTGTCTAAACTCTCCGCGACGTTTTCACATCCTGTGCAGCGGCTAAGCATCTTGCACCGGCGCGCGCAACAAGCGTCCGCCGACCGTACCCATCTGCCGGGCTCCCCTCCCGACTTCCTCGACGACGCCGGCGGGCGTGATCTTCAGGGTTCTCCCTCTCCCCACACCCTCCTACCTGAAACACATGTCGGCAGATCCCATGCGGCCGCCCCCACTCAGCTCGCGCTCGTTAATCAGCCCATCGCCAGTCCGATCCCACCCATGCTGTGGCCGGCGGTACTCTGCGCTGTTCACGCCCAGCGAGTGCATTCGCCACCGTTCACGCCCAGCGAGCCATATGCGCATCGCGGCCGCAGAGTCTTCCCTAACCCGGTAACGATCGCCTCAGAGCTTGAAGCTTCTTTCTCACCGCGCTCCAACGCCCTCTCACGCGTCCCGGGGAAAATTCGCGCAGAACGCGCGCGAGGCCACGCTAGCGCGCGCAAGGGGCGCGCCCGCACGTACGTAGCAACGGCTGCCCTTATCCGTTCCGTGCCAAGGCTCGACCCTCCCTGAATTCCCGCCTCCCCGCGCGCGCAATACACTCGCCCCCCTCGCCCAGCGCGCTGCTGACAAGCCCTGATGTCGATCTAAGGGCCGCCCCCCCGCGCCTGAACAATTGCAGTCGCGGGCCTCACCCAGGAGCCAGGACCTGTGGGCCCCGCCGCTAGGGCCCCCCGCCCCTCTTCCCGCGGACCCTCGCCACTCGCTCGGAACCAGACAACGCGTGCGCATCTGCCCCATCTCGATTATTTTCGATTACCGATCCATCACTTTCAATGCCTTCCTGCCGCGCTCGAGGGCGGCCGCGGCGGCCCGCCCGCCCTCGCGGGCCCGCACCGGGCGGGACTGGGTCGCATTTTTGATCATGCATTGCACGCCCGTCGCGCCCTGCGCCGCGCGCTATCGTGCCCGCCGTGCGGGGTGCACGCGGCTCGCAGACGGCCGCGGCTGCAGCCGACGGGTGCGCTCGTCCTTCCTGCGACGGTCGCATCCCCAAGGTCTTCTCTCCAGCCTGAGCGGACCGCGGTGCTCCGCCCAGCATCGGACTCGCATGCAGCGGCGACTTCTCGAGACGGCTTCTGCTTCTGCAGATCAACAGCACAACGGCTCGTTAGCTTGCGCATCATGACTTTGCTGTTTCAGCGCTGGCACCGTCGCGAGCCTGTGCGAAACAATATCCGTGCGCTGACGGCCCGGTAGCGGCTGGCCTGATCCTTGGTGGTTAGCTTGAAGAACCTCGTACGTTAGCTGTCGCCGCATGTACATAGCACGTCCTCTTGCCGCCGCTGAAATCAACCTCCGAGTGGTACCGAATTTGAGCACGCGTCGAGCGCGTTTGGGGGGGAGCTTCTACGCGAAATAGGATGTCCGACCTCTAAGCGTAGTCTAGCTTGATCTCGATGCTTGGCGCCCCGATGTGCAATACGTACATAGGGTGTCGCACACAATTACTTGGTGAAATCAATGACTAAATATATATCTGCATACTGCCGTACTTGCATTGAACGCAACTCAATTAACTTGCTGATACCACAAAGCAGGGCTGACGAGAGCTGACGAGCCGTGTTGAGTGGCAGGCACCCTGCGTACGCGTCCGACGTCTGCTTCTTGCTGCGAGAGCAGACAGCGGGTGATCTCCAGGTTGGCGACCAGTTTGCGTGTCCAACATGACGCTGCAAATGCTAGGGAACAAACCGCTAAAACAAACATATCAGTAACGAGAAACGGGCTGACACAACACCTCTTCGCGCGTCCGACACGCACTATCGGTGGATGCAGCTCGGCGCAAGCCGTCGACGGCGCATGCCATGGGGACACCGCAGCTATGTTTCCGTTTCCACAGATCATGCCCAGATCAACGCTGATCACTGATGGACGAGCTGTGGGTGCCCGGTCGGGCCCCCACTGCACGGTGTTCGTGTTTAATTGGGGCGGCCATCCAAGTGAGCACACATAGGCCCGGCACGGCGTCTCACAGCGTGCACCGCCCTGAGAAGAGCACAGCACATCAATATTGAACGGCGGGGAAAGGACGCAGGAGGGACGCACGCGAACGCGTTTCATGCAGTGCTGCGTAGCCGTCTTCTCCCATCGCGCAGACGGTGCTGAGCGAGCGGTGTCGACCCACAGCTCGCGTATAGCACTTTCGCCGGAGTGCTGTTGGCGAGCTACAATCTAGCGAAGATGATGTTAGTCAGGAAGACGCGGGTGCTAGTAAGCCGATAAGCTCTTGCCTGAGTGGGCTCCCCAGACGCATCCTACGCCGCCGAGTGCGAAAGCGCGTCCCGTTCCGCGCTGTTGTGGATGGTGGTTTGAGTGACCGAGGACGAGGCACGGAGAGTGTGCCGGGTGCCTGGGGGCGTCTAGCGGCGGGACGGATGGGGCGGCGGCTTCCTGCCCGATTCGGCCTCGATTTAGCGAGATCGACGAGCATATGGACAGCCCGATTGGATCTGCCCTTCACACCTCGTCACAGATGAGCACTGCTCCAGCAGCCGCCGCACGAATATTATTCATGTTTTTGCAAATTCCGTGTGGTCGATGTCAATGTTTCCCCACATCAATCCACGAGAGGCGCATTCGACATCGGGCGAGCATCGTGCAGACGGCAGTCGGCTCTTCCAGCGCACGGACGTCGGCCGTGCGCCGCCACAGACAGCCTGTCTGCATCGCTCCTTGCGCCTAAACGTATCGCTTACACAGCCTTGCCCAACGCCTTTGCTCCGCCCGGCCTCTTTTGCGCTCAGAGTCAACGATCACCCGGCAAACTTGCACAGCTGCTCCTCGTGCTCCCTCACCCTCACAGCACGGAATGGGCAGCCCCCGACGCGACGCGACGCGCGCCCTGCCACTCCTGTCTGCCACTGGCCCGCCCTCCGGAGCCCCACTCGCTCTGTTCCTCCAAAACGTGTTCCGAGATGCATTAAACGCCTCCCCGACAGATTATGCTATGCGCGTCACATCCCAAGCCCATGCAACAGCGTGCAGTCTTGGAGTAGCAACTGCCGGTGGCCGCACGCCTCTCCGGGTTTTTGCTGCTGATCGGCAGTCGACCTTCATCCGGTCCTTCGAGTACGGAACCCCGGCTCTTCGCGATGACAGCTAATGACAATCTACCGCCCCCTCGTCACTCGTGCAACCCGCGGATCCCCGGACGCGGTCTTTGAGAGGTTGCTTGGCTTCTGGACGTGCTAGAAGCGCACTTCAATCAAGCGTTTGTTTGAACACCGCTCCCACCCTGCTCCTACCCTGTCCCATCCTACTGCGACGCTGCAGCCGATGTATGGTCCTGGGAATAGGGCCCGATAACATTATTCAGCACATGATGCCGGAATTAACGACCAGGGCACCCGTCGCAAATGGTGGCGGCCTGGACGTGGCAGCGCAGTGGCAGTGACCGTCCTGCCACGGAGATCCTCATTCTGGGTTAAGGGTTGTCGTTCGAATGTTCGAACATCTTCCCTGCAATGCGGGAAGCACGACCTTCTGCACCGCCCGTGCACAAACTGTACAGGCCCTTCGCGCACCTAACAGGACCTTCCGGTGCAGCGCGCGTGAGTGTTCTTCGTGCCTTCCCTGCCACCTTGTATGACGTGCCTGATAGGAGATCTGTACAGGTCAAGAAACGCGGGGACCCATACGCCGCATATCAAACATCATTCTTGAGCAGCTGAAAACCCGCTGCATGGCCAGCCGGTTCACAACGCGCCTCGTTCAGCACGTTGTACTTGTTGCAGGGAGCGGTCGATTTGCTCATTGATTTTTATCGGACAGTCCAGAGATCCTCCGCCGGAATCCACTTTGCCGCCGACGGTCGGGGCGTCGAGCCTGTTCTTTTGGGCTCCACCCGTTGATTAAAATTAATGGCTGTCTCACCAAGCGCGTACTAACCGCGATCGATGGCACGCCTCGTGAACTATACTCAACGCTCAGCATATACGCGGAACCGAGCGGCCCGTACAACGCATCTTCCGCATTCTTTGTTCTTCGTTCGACGGTTAACGCCTCCTATATGTCCTCAGGTGCGTTATAATTGCGTCAAGGAAGCAGCGACTGTCGGCGGCTGCTGTCCACGGCACCAATTGATTCTTTAAAGACGCTGCTGGAACCTATCGGACCGCACCGTGAGCCGATGAGCCTCCCCCCACCGCGTTTTCATCATCTCCGTACTCCCTCTTCCTTCTGTCTTCACACCCCGGTCTTCGCGCCGCTACGACGCGACACAACAGTGCAGCCAACGGCTAACAAAGTCGACACCGTGACATGCAGCGTCGGTCAAGCCTCTCCATGCATTCACACACGCGGCCGCGCCCTGCCCTACACAAAGCCATGCCTCTCCGGCACGAACAAACCTACGGCTCTATCGCGAACGCCGTACGTCAAACACCCTTCCTACCCCGGAACAAACGGCTCACCCTCTCTTGGATCTCCCGTCCTTCTATCCCCTTCGATGATCGTTTTCCAACTCAGTCCTCACTCTCTGTCCTGCAAACCGCAACCCCGCGCCTCGCGTCTGGTACACCCCGCCCCGTCACCCGTGGGTCCCATCAGCATGGGCCATCTTGCCCGCATCCACCCCGTCCGTCCCCGTCCGTCCTTGTCCTCCGCGACCCGTCCCTCCTGCCTCCGCCCCTGGCCCTGCCCCGCGCGCACCCCCTCTGCCCCCACCACGCTGTCAGCACCCGTGCCTCGTCTCCATAGCGCTGCTCATCACCCGCCCAGCAACAACGGCGCGCGGCGGTCCCGAGGGATGGACCAGGGGGAGGGCCTCGCACGGCCGCCGGCGTACACTGCCCGCCCCGGACGCCATCGCCATCCCCGCGGCCGCGTAAACCCAGTGCCTCCCCCGGGGGACGCCGCCATGGCATCTGCCATCTCTGCACCGACCGGCGCTGCTGTGTTCGCGCGTGCTCTCTCGTGCTCTATACTGGATTCCTGGCTCCCACCTTCCCCTTCGCGCCTCAGTCGTCTCTACTGGCACCGTGAATCTCGGCCGCGTCTTCTCGCGCGCGGCATCAGCGCGCTTGCGGGGTTGGGGGCGTAAGCGCGTACGTCCAACAAGCCGTGCCGATCGTACATGGACTTCACAGTGCAAGCCACCTGGGACCGGACGGCGCTCTCAATCGCGGCAGTCGCGATGCTTGCTTGCTCTAAAGCTTCCTGGACACACATTGAAACACGCGTTCAACACGGGTTCGGCACAGCGCACGTCAACAACATAAGCGTCGCAGGAACATAATTCATAGCGTCAACATGTCATCTCGGATATACGTGCAAGTGGGTGAGCAAAGCAGCCGGTGCGCACGCCTAGCGCGCCTATATATACTGATGAAGCTTGAGGAAGGCGGCCGTGCTACCTGTGGACGGCCGGGCACGACGTGCGGACCACAGGTGCCGCACATCATGCGCGAGGAACAGCGCAGAAGAGGAGAGATACGAGTCGGAAAACGGAGAGAGGGGGCCGGCAGCGCAGGTGAGCACGCCAGTTCAAAACCCGGCCGCGGTGCGGATCGAGTTGAGGAGGATGTCGGCGGAGTCGCCGCCGGCCTCCCACATCGAGAAGCCGCGCAGCTTCTGGCTCTTGATGAAGTCGCCCTTCGACGCGAACGAGTGCGCGTCATCGAAGGACACCATCACCTGCGTGGCCTCGTTGTAAACAAACGGCTGCCAGCGAAACGTCAATGTCAGTATGTTTGCACATGCGATACAAGATGCAGAACAGCGCACCGTCTGGCTGCAGTCGTCGAAGCGGTAGTTGATCCCAGGTGCGGCAGTGCCGTTGGCGTTCAGGAACTTGGCGTCAATGAGGCCCCAGAAGTCCATAGTGCCACCGGGCGTTGTGGTGAGGACACCGCACCCATCGTCGCTACCAGCAGGGCCGTCCCATTTGTCGCCCGCAGGCTGCTGCGCAGCATCGAACTTAGGGTATGCGTTCAACGTGTTCCCGGCCAATGCATCAGCCTTGTCGACGTGGAAGGAGTGACCGTACGCGGCAACCCCGAGCACGATCTGGTTCGTAGGCATGCCCGCGTCCGACCACGCCTTGACGGCGCTCACGGCGCTGCCCTGCTGCTCATTGGGGCCTGCGCACGTATCGTTGAGGGGGGCGTTGGGGCCGACGCCGGTGGACCAGGAGCCCCAGATGTCGTAGTTCATGATCGCGATCCAGTCGAGCACCTTGGCGAAGCCCGAGACGTCCGCGGACGGGGTCGCGTTGGCGTCTACCCAGGGCGTGATGGAGGTGGCGGCGGAGAGGACGAGGTTCTTGCCGACGGGGTCGGTGCGGAGTTCCTGGAGGAAGGTGAGGAAGTTGGCGGTGTCGTCGGGGGCGACGGCGTTGCACTCGAGACCGGTGGTACCAGGGTACTCCCAGCTGCGCGTAGCGTTAGCAATAATTCATGCAGCATGTTGGTAGCTAGCACGTACTCAAAATCGATGCCATCCAGGTTGTATTTGGTTGCGAGCCCGGTAACGGTCTTCACAAACGCAGTGCGGTTGGCCGCGGTGGCGACGTGGTTCGAGTAGAACTTCGATCCAGTCCAGCCACCAATGGAAACCAGTGCTTTCACATTCTGTTGACAGAGATGGGCGTATGATTCTGGAGATGGCAACATGGCAACGTACGTTCTTGTGGGCGGTGTCAACGAACTGAGGCAGCAGCTGGCCATCGGAGTCGTCCAAAGAAACCTCGTTCACGTCAGGGGTGGTCGTTCTACGAGTAAACGCCATCGTCAGAGCGCGAATCCATAGCACCCGGTATAGCACTTACGCAAAAGAATACGTAAGGTGGGTGTATTTGCTCCAGCTGACGTCCGCGAGAGGGAAGTCAGTCGAGTGGTAGCCGGCATACCAGCCGGCTGCGACCTGAGAGGACTGGGTAGAGCTCGAGGAGTTGGAGGAGCCCGAGGGTTTGCTTGGGCAAGTACGGCGCAAGCGCGAGTGGGGCTTGGCCTCGGTAAAGGGAATGGCGACTGAAAGAGCGAGGACGAGGAAAGACAGCATGTCGCCGAGAGCAGGAAGGGGAACGGGGCAGAAGAAGAAGAGAGCCTGAAGAGCAACCTTGCCGACGCTGGCACTTATAGCCCGCGCTTCCCCGCGTGTGTGCACCGGATGGCACACCCCATCATCACTTCAAAATACCTTCTCGGATTGGAACGCACCATAGATGGCGCTGATTCGACAGACGTGATCAACAGTCGCTCAGGGTTTGTTCACAGTACGTAGAATGAAACATCGGTGGCGGCTCTGAGTTTGCAGGCATAGCACAAACACGCAGTTGCTTGGGAGGTGGAGGCTCGGGGAGGGCTCGGGTGGACGAGAACAAGCAGCGTCCGGGCGACTCGGCCTCGCCAATCGCCGCCCTGGCTGATCGCAAGGCACAGCTTCTTTGATCTCAGATTCGCGTCGTACCCACGTGGAATGACGCACAATCCCGAGAGACTTCAAAATGTGCGCCTTGCCGACCTCCTCTATTCATATTCTGCCAGTGCCACTGGTTCAGAATATCGCGACGGTCTCTGTGGACACGATGAATGCTGAGCTCACCCCAGGTATCTATACCAATATAACGCGCGTATTCTCACTGCGTATGTCAATCGCAGTCAAAAGGTTGGAGGCTCTGTATCTTAACTTGTCCCCCTAGTACTGGTATGCATAGATCTGAATCACCCTCGACAGCCTCTTTATCACCAGGCCCGTATAATCCACAAGAAGAAAAGCTCATTATATACTACGCGTGATGCGCCACTGACCCTAGGTTTAGTCTAAGTATACATAAGTATCGGCATAGGCATCAATTGTCGCCAGTGCATGAAAGGGCGAAGTGTTGCGGGCGGAAGCATTAGCATCCTGTGTGATATCCCTACCGTCTATGGAAAACCCGACTCAAATCCGCCAGACCCCACCCGCCATTCTCCCCATCCTCAGACTCTGCACCGCTCTCGTCCGACCCGGAGCTACTGTTCTCCTCCGACGTGTCCTCATCCTCGTCGCTCGCACCGCCCACCTCCCTCCCGAGAACCGCATCACACCCGGGTTGCTGTATCTCCACAGACAGAACAAGCGACAAACCCGCCCCATCACCAACGGCAGCGGGACCAGCTCCTGGCATCCCGCGGCCCAGACACAGCCGCAGGCTGCGCTCCAGGCCGCCCGGGGTCTTCGAGTGCAGCTCCTTCGAGACATACCCGGCGTGATGCGCCCAGGACGAGACGTGCTCGGGGTGGTCCATTCCGTGGTCCGCAGACATCGCGCGCTGGATGGCCAGCTGCGTCGCCTCGTGTCCTTTGAGGATCGCGACACTGAGGAAGCCGTAGTCCTGTCCGTGCTGGCACGTGCAGCGGCCGATGGAGAGCACGACATATCCATTTGCATCGGATAAGCGCAGACGCTGGGGTGGCATCCCGGGCAGGATCTGTAGTTGAAGTTCTGAGCTGCTAGTGGTGCGGGCATGGGTATGGCCTGGCATGACCTCGATGCGGTAGCCCTGTCTGCGCAAAACGCTTCGGCACCATGGGGCGAGGCGCAAGGTGATAGGCAGCATAGTTTTGTAGAGGGTTGAGCGAATCTGTCGGTCGCGATCTGCGTCGTGGATCGCGCGAGGCGCACGGGAATGAATGTAGACGTCGCTGGTAGAGACACATTGGAGCCCCTGCTGCACCTCCTCGAACGGCAAGGTGACGATGCGGAAGTAGTGGGAGACAAGAGTCAGCACCACGTTCTGCGTGCGAGAGTCGTCCGCGCGCATGACATCCTCAGCGCGGCCGACGTTCCCGACCACAAACTCAGTATGCGCGCCCTCGGTGCACCCACCGGGGTTCTGCGAGCGGAGGAGCAGGGCCACCAAGTTGCCTTTTTCGTCCTCGCACGCCAGGAAAGCCAGGAAGGTCTGAGAGGTAAGGCTTTCGGAAGACGCTCGGACCAGGGGAAGACGAGTGTGGACACCGTAAGGCGTCGTCGTATAGATCGGGTGCTCTGCCTCCTTCCAGCCCAGGCGGCGTGCGAGCCTCCTAGCGGAGATAGGAACCAGATTCGAGCTCTTCTTGAACGCCTTCGGAGACGACGCGAACAAATATTGCTTCTTTGAATCGATGGAAGCCGTCCTGGCAGAGTCGCGACGGACAGGCGGGCGAGGACCGGAGGGATGTACCACTCCCGAGAATGCGAACCGGTCCTCACGAGGGAGGATGCCGCCCCAGGCGAAGACAGTCTGATCCGGGATATTCTTGCAGATCTCCTCCTGGAGCCGCACGAACGCGTACTCGCCCTCGCCGTACATAGGTTGCATGTGGACCCCGAAGATACCCAGCAGGCAATACGCCTCGTCCTCCGGCTTCGTCGTCTCCCTGCGCGCGGCCCAGGACATGCGCCGTGCGACGCTGACGGTGTCCAGTGCGCGACGGTGCGTCAGGATAGCCGCGTCGATGCGCGTCGCGCGCTCGATGACCGCGGCGAGGTTGTGCTTCGTCCCGATCACGGTCCACTTCGCGGAGAGGAAGATGACGACGCTCGGCGCGATGAGCTCCTGCAGCGTCCAGCCGCGCCTGAAGTAGACGCTGTCGCAGAACTGCGTGGGCGGGATCGACGGGTGCGCCCCATGATTGACAGCGCCTGGGCACCCCACGTCCGCGAGGTACGCGTAGCAGACGGCGGCGTGGCGGTACCACTCGTACATCGAGTTGATGGCCTCGGAGAGCTCCGCGCTGCTTGACTGGTCGATGCACCCAAAGTCCAGCCAGACGAAGTGGTACCCGTCCGCGGCGGCGACACTGCAGAACATCCTGATCTTTTGGGAGAGTATACGCTCGTCTATAGGACCGTCGGGATACTTCGCTTGGATCGCGAGAAGGTCGTGGTAGGACTGTTCAGGGGGAGATCCGTCTCCGGGCTTCGCCCAGACGTGGGAGAGGATCGCATAGGACACCGAGCGCGGGTCTTCGAACCAGTGGAACCTCTTGGTGGTAGTGTTGAGCAGACGCATGGATTACTGTCAAAGAACAGGTTAGGAGGAAATTCGTAGATATGAGGAGCAAATGTCGTGCTCACAGATCGCAGGAGTGGTCTGGACGAAGGGTTTTGGGGCGGTAGATGATAGAAATCGAGCGAGGTACGACACAACTCTGTGAGGACCGTGTGTCGCCCTCATCTGCCCCAGCATATATACCCATGCCTGTGACAAATTTTGGGCACATCTGAACGGAAGTAGCTGCATGGTGGCAGACTGTCCTGTGTGCCGATGGAGTCGGTGGTGGACGTATCAGCAACGAGACCCGACGCGATGACAGGTGTACGTTACCAATTTTCTGCTTGGCCCACTGCAGCCGTGTACGCGAGTGATGAAGAGTTTCATAGCGGCCTGAGGGGAGGGAAGGGATGCAAAAATGTCAAGAGCGCTTGAATCACCACGGCCACGAGAGCGTCGCCCAACGACAGGAGGTAATTTCCGAGGGAACACGGCGATCCCGCATTGGTGTCAGATGCAGTGAAGGTTGCGCATCATATGCGCTCGCCGAGCTCTGATGGCGACAGCAGGTGAGTGGACGCAGCCCTCAATGTCAATGTCGACGCGTCGCATGCTTCGTCGCCCGCACGTCTTTCCCTCGGGCCCGTTGCAGCGGTGGGAATTGGATGCTGAGCGCGCAGGGGCGTCCACGATCCTGCATCATCACTAATCAGTGGTACCCCCCACCCCCAATCATCACGCTCTCTCCGGCAATGTAACGAGGACAGTCAATCCCAACGTCATGCAGTAGGACCGCAGAAATCGGAATGTAGTGTCCTGCACTGGAACATATACCGACGTCAAGAATGGAGGGGCGACGCTGCAGTGATGCTTCCTTCGACCTAAGTATGTCTAGCCGAGGCGAAGCGCGCTGGGACCGCCGACTGCGACGGAGATACTGCCCTGGAATGTCCAGAGTCTTCATCTGTCTGGAGGCAAAACATTTGTTGCGAGTCGTGGTGTCCTGGCGAAGCTAGCCACGCCTCTGCGACAACACGAGGACCGCCCCCGTCCATCTTCGCTGCGGCGCCGGCGCCCCGATGTCAAGCACAGCATGGACGGACGGCAGGCTTCGAGGGCTGCAACATGAGCACCTGCAGAGCAATCATATACGCATCCACCTGGCTGAATAATACAACAATAGCAACCCCGTAGCTCACCGTCACGCCCTAATTTCCTACGCGTGCCTGCTCCGCTTGCGTCCTTTCCGTCCTCCCCCATCATCGGAGGCCTGCCCTCCTCCAAGCGGCTGTAGTCTCTGAAGCAGCGAAGTAGCACTCTTCGAAACGGGGCCGCCCCCTCCCGTCGGAGCCGGCTGGCTAGCGGCCTTCGCAGCACCCCGAATGCTGTATCCTCCTGCGGGTACTTTGTCCAGGTCCGGAGACGGCCGTGATGGGCGCGAGCGCGCAGAGGATGGCGGTACGGGTGGCCCAGAAGCGTTAGAAGCAGAAGACTCTGTCCGGCGTTTGGCCGGGATTACCGGCTCGGTCCGCTCAGAGTCCCCTCTTCCCCTGCGACCTTGACCTCGGTCACGCTGCGCCTGCTCGCGATCAGATGCAGCGCTGGCTGCTGCCTTGCCGTTCTGTGCACCGGGATTGAGGCGGCTCAGGAGGGAGGGTATCGGTGTGGAGTCTGCAGCTTGCGCAGACGTCGGCGCCTGGTTCGAACCGCCTCTACTTTGTTCGCCTTTCCGGCCATCGGTTCTCGCCTTCTTCGCCGATCTCGATGCGCCGTCGTCCGCTTCCAAAGCTCCAGGTGGTGTTACCAAACGCCCAGATGAATTGGTTGACGAATCCTTCGCGCCTGCGGCAGAAGGAGCAGGTCGATCCCTAAGATGGGGAGGAGGCTGTCTCTGGCGGTCAGCACGAGGGCCACTTGGTGCTCCCACGGCGCCCGACGACGCGGCCGGGGCCGTGGGGCGTGGAGGAAGCGACGGTGGAAGGCGATTCCTGCGCCCTCTCGGGCTGGGGGGAATTGTTGCCCTCGAGCTACTGGGACTGGAAGGCGTACCCGTGGCCGGTCCGTCCGAGTCGCCGAGTTTGCGCTTGTTGATGTTCATAATCCTACGTCCCTCGACCTTGCTTGCGCCTGTGCCTGCGAGACCGTTGCGGCGCGCTCCGTTGGCTGACTTGTCCGCATGTATGTGGCGTACGTTACCTTTCTGTCCATCAGATTGTCCTACGGGCGCCGACGCGTTCGCCTGGGAGGCAGGTGCGGCGGGAGACTTGATCGGATCGAGCAGTAACTGCAGTGAGCAAAGAAGAGGGGGGTTTGTTGGACACATGCGGCGAGAACGAGAAGCGGCCTATTGCGAACCCTGATCACGCTGTGCACTTGTGCTTGCGCTGCTTTATCCTCGGTATGTGCGTCTTGTGGTCCTGGGAGCGACTCGATGCGGCGTAAGGAGGACACGATATGAGCGGGCGCCTGCGAATGGGTTTCCTTTGCTCGCTATAACATAACGATAATTGAGCTCTTGAATTCATCTCCAGATGAGGGGTGACCTTACGCGAACGATCCCCTGAAGTAGAGTATGGCAGGCTGCCCATGGCCTCTCGTCCTCCGATTCCATATCGGCGAACACCTTATTTCCACGTTAATTTCTGGGAAAGGGGTGTGATGATTTCGACTAACCTGCAACAACACTGAGCAGATATCAAGGAACTGTTTCCGCAGAGCCCCATCGTCTACAAAGTCCGGGCCGTTCCCGACCTGCTTGGCAACATCGGCCGCGGGAGCAGTCGGTGGCGCCCTGACCCCCATCTCATCATAGACAGCAAAGGTTTCCGCGACCCTCCGGATGACATAGGCTTGATCGTCTTCTGCAAGACGACCAAGTACAAGCTTTGGCGTGAGGTTTGAATAATAGAAACGGAGCAGGTGCGAAGGGGTGGATAGCCGGTTCTCGATAGTGATGAAAGAAGCCAAGTCCAAGTAGTAGCGCACGTTGTGGAGTGAGCCGCTCTCGCCACCAGATGGAAGGTCGGACTTAAGCATAGCGCGAGCTTGCCCTAGCAGGAGATCCAGCAGTTCTTTCCCGCGGGAGGAGGGCGGCTTGAACGAGGGAAGAGACGCCATGATGTCCTTGACGATCACGTCCAGTTCACCGGGGGGCAGCTTTATGATGGCCTTGAACGAGGTGGGAGTTAGTTTCATGTATGAATACGTATGGACTGCGGTAGTGGCGCACCTTGAACAGGCTGTTTACAAGGACTTGTTCTGCAGGACTACCGGCAGTGCTCGCATGACGTTCAACAAGCGATCGCTTCGCTTCGCCAGCTAAGAACGCTAGAACAAGCGACCGCAGCCTGTCCCGTATCGCTTGCTCTTCCTCGTCCAGTGGCTCGTCCGGTGGTACGATCTGGTCGCAAATTACGCCAAGCGTGATAGTAGGATCCATGTCAAGATGCTGCGTTAAAGCACGCTTGACGAACGTGACTTCTTCTGGCTCATCTGTGCAATGTACATGTCAGAATATTCTTCCACGAGCATGTGGCGCGAGGGAGTGGCGTAGAATTTATGCGGAAGATAACGGTAGAGTTTCGTGGGGTTCAAGGAGTGTTGATTCCTTGCAGTACATGGCGGAAGAGCTTGGATATAATGATTGGGACTCACCACTTTGTAGAAGTTGCACCAATACGTCCGCATTCCTTTTCACCCATTTCTGCTGCTCCCGGGACACATCGACTATGGCAGCGTATCCTTTGATGCGAACCTACATCCCATATGCTGTTCAACGAGGTGCTGGGTGCGGAAATACGGGACAAGACGTACACTTGAGACCGGGTCTTCACAAAGGTCGTAGACGGCGTTGATCGCGTCGTCTTCGAGTTCCGGGAAGTCTCTGATGAAGAGCTTTACATTGGTGGCGGCGATGACCTTCAGCGAGGGGTGGGGAGAGTGCGCAAGGTCAATGAGACGTTTGAGGGTATCCTTGCGCTGCGGACGCGTCGGTCCATTAGCATACACCTAAGCGAGCATATAGACTGCTGTACTCACCAGAGCAGATGTCTTGACCGGAGTGCGTTCTGCGCGACGCAGTAGATCCTTGATATCCTTTTCTTGCTCCGCGAGGCTCTTGGAGTCCATGGCGGATGGAAGGAGGACAACAGATGGTTCGGTCGGAGGCAGGCTGCAAGTGTAGCGTCCCAACCCAGGATGTCCCTTTCTCCGTACCAGGATAGCATAGGCGCTCATGCAAACATGCCATAATACAAGTGACATCGCTCGATTTGGAAAGCCTGCAAGTTGAGCTTCCGTCGCTTCCTTCATCTCCGTCGTCGTAAGGCCGGCTCTACTAGTCTTCTCATCCACCTTCCTAACAAAGAATATCTATGTGATAATTAAAGTCACGGGTATAAATTATTTGCTCGTCCCTCTGACTCAAAAGCACCTACGTTGCGACGCTATCAAGATAAATGTGGTAAACAACCCTACTGTAGGCTTGTTCCCTTTTGCGAATCCTCTGACGCTGCACCATACAGGGATTCGCATTACCTCCGTACTACAACGGCTAAACAATCAAGACTTCTCAGACAGCACGTACTGAATCTCCGGCTTAATGCTCGCCAGCATGTCTTCCGTTCTCTTCTTCGGCTTCCATCCTACAGCGCGTGACCTATTTGCCCTGCAGCGCGAGTTTGAGCCTAGGCTCTCGGACTGCAATGATAGGCGGAGATCAGCAGCAGCCCACCTAAAGCCAATCTTGCCGATCAACTCACTCCGTCAAAGAAATTGTCCACTTCTTCCTTCGTGAACGTTGTCGGTTCATCAGACTCGGCCAGACCGAGGTCCTTTAAACCTGCGCCGATAGTCTTGGCCACATCGAGGAGTACGTGTTCTCCGTTCTCCCCGAAGTAATACCCTTCCTTACCATGGCCGATATCCTTGTTCCCGATGACGTTGTTCAAGAGGACTTCGTACAATTGCACGACTAGCGTTGCCTCAATGTCAGAAGCCATGCAAATGCATAGAATAGCAGCTCACCGTCATCGATGTGAACATTAGGCCACATGTTCTTCCCTTCGCCCACCATACCAGCCTGGCCTCTTCTTTTGCTGACGTCGATGAGCCTAGGGATCTGTTGTGACTGTGGATTGACGATGCCCGCGTCCACTAGGGGTCCCGTGGCGAGGCCATATATGGTCGAAGGAAGCACGATGTATGTCTTGACATAACCTGATAAATCGGTGAGTCCGCGAGGTTCCATAGGTATCGGGGCGATAGATCTGACCTTCCTCGTCTGCCGCGATGACAGCCCGATCAACGTCCCTGTGCGGCTGTTCCGGCGGCAGCTTGGCGAGTTGTTCGGCGTCGCTATCGTCGTAAATGATGTCGGTGGCATACATGCCCGCGGCGTGGTCTGTCAAGACACCTTTGGTGGGAGTCAAGACTCGTCTTACACAGAATTGGGAGACGAACGGAAACGCACCAGTCCCTGACTGCGACAGGACCGTCAGGCGTGCAACGGAATGAAGGCTGTTACCCAACTCACCGTATGTATAAGAGTTGGAACCTTGCCGGTATCTTGGTACTGTTGCTTTAGACCGGCGAGAACGACTTTCGTGGACTCGAGATGATCTGCATCCGCCTAGAAAGACGATCAGCGTCTCTCGTACTCTGGAACCATTGCTGCGATGGAAGCGCACGCATTCGAGCACAATATTTGCCCGACTCGCCAACGTCCGTATCTTCTCCACATCATCAAGCTTTCCCAGGACACTCTTGACGCCGAATTGCTCGAGCTTATTGGCCTTGGCCGCGTCTCGTACCAGAACGCTGAGATCGAACGGCGATGGGTCGCTGCTGGAAAGAAGACGTCCTAGTACGCTTCCTCCGATGTAACCTGTGTGAGCAGATGCGGTCAGCTCAGAGAAGTGGAATTCCCACCGGCGTGGGGTATTTGACGATCTACCTGTTGCACCTAGCAGAAAAACATTTACTCTGTCCGTGCGCGACATCATAAGTACAACTTTTTCCTGTTTTGTCGCAGTAGAAAGATTCGTTCAAGACGTGGTGTCTCAGGCTGTTGCGCAGCTCAGGAATGCGTGGTCAATTAGAAGGCGTAAACTTACTCATTAACTGCAACTCTTGGAGAGGTGCGCTCAAGACAACAAGTTCATCCAACGTGGCAGCTTCAGCCTATATATGCGATGGGAATAAGTAGGTACCGGCTACGTCATGGGATACTGTTGATACGGGCGCCTATGTTTAGTACTTTACTTACCCGCGCCGTCCGACCTTTTCCATCGATGCATCACTTCGCGAGTTGTTCTATGTCAAGACTGCACGTATACGTAACGATAGAAGATTTTTGCTGGTGGGCGGGGGATGTATAATGGTCCGATTCTTTCCTGAACAGAGGGGGCGCAGGTGAATTGTACGGTCTACTGACTGTTGCCAATATTAACGCCATCACTGCTGCGAGATCGCTATCGGCGACCGCATGGCATTGAGCACTATCTAGCTATGTACTAACGTAGTACCTCACCACCGGTACCTATACGCCTCTCACCTTCCGCAGAAAAGCAACCAACCAGTTTGCCTTCCAGCAATCAATTTCCAAGCTCTACAAGCCCATCGTAGTACGTATAACTTTATCAGCATAATTCCTCGAGACATGCACGTACTCACCGATCCCGGGCAATAGCATGTCATGGACGTTCAAGCTGGCGAAGAGTACCCTGTTCTGCCCGAAGACATCATCCATGCTATCCTTGAATACCTGCAACACGATAAACCTACCCTCGCCACCTGTTCCTTGACCTCTCGCGCCTGGACGTCTCTCTGTAGACGTCACCTCTTTCGCGACATCACGGTCGAGATAAGCCCCTACAAGCATCCAGGCCGAATCGAGGCGATCGTGTCCCTCCTGCGCGATTCATACGACGCTCGTGCATATCTCCAAACACTCACCTTCAAGGCCGACATATACAACCCGTTCCCGGCGAACCTGGACGTAGTCACCTTTCGTGAGATTCTGGAAGCTGCGCGTTCTCTCCGTCGTTTCACTCTTGTCGACATGCTCCTCATCGATGAACACTCTCGGAGGTATACGACGGCAGCAAACACCCAACCTACCATCAGCTTGCCCCACCTAGCGATATCGAGTAACCGTAACCTCACCGAGGGGGAATATGTGACACTACTCGACGTACTCCTCCAAACATTCGCACACCTAGAAACACTGGATCTGGATGTCTTCATGGGCGCATCTACTCATCGCGACGAAATGGTATCCCTGCGACTACTTGCCAGATATTCGGACATGGCGGTCTTTCCAACCATCGACAACTTGGTTTTTCATCCACCATCAGACCTCCCGCTCCACCCGCTGTATGACATGTTACGCGACTCGCTGGTTTCGAGTCCGTCACCCTCGAGCGTCTCTTTCCACGGCATCCGCAGTGACCACGAGGAAGTGAGGGCCCGGGTCTCCGAATTCTGCGACATTGTGATCGACGGCGCCCGAGAAGTCTTGCATGAGCTGGAGTTCCACCCGGGAATGGCCGTCTTCCGGCGTGCTGTGAGTGCATGTACGTCCACCTGTGCACAGTATCTATTCGCAATTGCTGTCACTGACGAGGCGTCCTTCTCCTTTGCTATAGCCGAAGTCTGGAACTTGCCCAACCTCTCGCGGCACCACCGGCTAAGGACCTTGACGCTCCCCCTGGAATGCGAGGAATTTCCCTACTCGGGCGAGGAGGTGACTTGGATGCTCGATTCGCACGCGCACATCCTTTTGCGACACCCACCCTTGTCTCTGGAGCGGCTCGTCCTCAAAGTCCGCATTCCGTACAACCGGGACACTGTGCCCTATTTACAGGGATATGTGAAGTATCTGACTCATGCACCGTACCGGTCGTCATGGGCCGCTCTGGACGTCGCGCTCTCCAGCCTCCCGTCCTCCCCTCAGGTCGTCATCGACTTCGTGGGCCCATGGCAGGGCGTCGCGAGCGCGGGGGAGCTGGAGCGCTGCATGCGGGATCTTCTACCTGATACACACAAAAAGGGCGTACTCCGCGTTGCTCTCGAAGTAGGGTCGTTCTCTTCCAATGTCATTTGTTCCTGCATCACTCATAATCTCTTTAGACATCCTTTCCGCGCTGGAAATTCTGAAGGTAGCTACCTTGGTATTTATATATGGGTGGAGGTTGGATTGGCTCGGATCGCTATCGCACTCCGGGAACATATAGTTGTACACAACCGGGCCGCACTCTTGTCTTTCAGATGCAGACGAGGGAGGAGTGTCATAAGCCACAGCAGACTGTTCGCACAGTGGGAGTGTGGCGCGTGTTGATGCGCCCATACAGCGCACGCGTACGTGGAACCTTCATCCACAAAAAGCCGACGACGAACTTGAGCTCGTTCGTACTGCTTTAAGCAACTTGAACCAGCTCCGGCGACCTCAATGCGCACGAGGACATTTAGAGTGAGTAAGTGGAGAAGGGAGAGTGGACCGGGAATAGCCGAAACGGCGGGACCCCCGCGTTCGCTCGTGAAATCGATCCAAGTCGACTGAGCACCTCATATCTAGCGCTCCCCTCCAGAGTCAGGCGACATGCTCGCCGCCCTCCTCGTCTCTCTATCCGTCGCTGCCGTTCTCGCCTACTTCGCAAAGTCTGTGCTCCTTCGTGCCCCATCCACCTCATCAGACTCCACCGCGTTCGGCACCAGCACGGGCCTATCCTCCGAGGAGCAGCGCAAATACCGGGAGCAGATCCTCCGCAAACGCAACACGCAACAAACGAGCACCGAGAAGGAAAAGAAGTCGGAGACCCCCTCAGTCATGCAGCCCGCACAGACAGACCTCGCCCCGCCTAAAGAGGATCCCATCACCGTCGAGCAGCTGAAGCAGTACGACGGCTCCGATCCGTCACAGCCGATATACGTCGCAATCAAGGGTGCGTCCACATTTCCGCCCACCATGCGTGATCGTCCACCCACCCCTGCTTCTGCTAGGCACGGTATTCGACGTAACGCGGAAGGCGGACACGTATGGCAAGGGCAAGTCGTACAACCTCTTCGCCGGCAAGGACGCGTCCCGCGCTCTCGGCATGTCCAGCCTCAAGGAGGAGGACGCCGTCTCGGACTACAGCACCCTTTCCGCGGCGGACCTGAAGACGCTGAACGACTGGTTCGACTTCTTCTCGTGCGTACCGCGCGTCCTCTGTATTTAACCCGGGGCCGTGCCGAGACTCATCCTCTCCGCAGGAAGCGCTACAACGTCGTCGGGAAGGTCGTCGATCTCCCGCCTCAGGGCTGTGCGTCTGCGCTATAGCCCCGGATGGACCCAAGATTGCCTATCTACCTCTGTACGAGTATGCTCGTCCGTCGATCCTATCCATTTTTTTTTGCTTCGGGGGTGCATTCTGCCCGACCTCCGCATCGCTCCCGCGTTCAAACCTCCGCTAGCACCGTCATCGTCTTCGACCAGGGAGGCTCTTGATCGCCTGCTGACCATGTGAGTAGCTTCGGTTCACACCATCGGAATAACACCACAAGTCGACCAGATACCGACCGATCTATCATTGAGGCTCTCTAAACCCCGCCCGTCACGTCTATTAGCATCATCCAGGGTACATGGATCTCATATACTCAGGGCTCGCCAAGGCGCGCTTGAAGGTGAACCAGCCTATACAGTCGCTGTCGTCGTGAAGCAAACGACTGCATAAGTGGCGCATATGGAAGCCGACCGCTGATCCTGCTCGCAAAATACAGCCGCGACTGCCATTCTGACTTAGAATCCCGCACAGCGACCGTCCTCCAATCTACACAGAGCCCCACTGGCGTGTGTAAAACGATAGTCCGACGCTCGGCCATTAAATTTACACCACGAAAGCTCGCCGACCAAGTTCGAGGCCCAGCCATGCTCCGCCTTCGATTTCCACACAGGTACGCCAGACATGTAAACGCTGTCATCATTGGTATCGGCGACAGAACACCATACCGGGCACGCTCCCACACGCCGGACGCTTTTGCCCACCGGTCCCGAAAGCTTCCAGTTCAGGCTGCAGCACCCGCGCTCTGTGTGTGCCCTGCGCCATCACGAGACAAGGTACACCTTTCGCCGCCGCCGCTTCCTTTCCCATCGCGCACGGAGAGCGGCGCGACCCTGCACAATGAATCCAACGAACGCAGAACAACGAGGCGGCGTTCGGGCGAGATGCGAGTTCTGCCGCGCGCGGAGCCACCGCACCAGTGTCTGGGAGGCCGAATCTTGTGAGCTGCTCGCTGAGGTATTCTTGCGTATTGGACTGGCTCGTCTTCTGCGCGCCCACCACTCGGAGTGCTGGGAGCGCACGGCCTTTGCCCAGGCACGTTTGCACCCCCCGGGGCCCGTGCTCGGGGGTGGCGGGCGAGCCGCCCAGCTCGCCAGTTCTCAGGTGCTCTTTGTGCCGGGTTCGCAGGCGTTCTCGCGGCGGTCCGGAGTGCGGTGTAATTCGGCGTCACTGGAATCCCTGAACGAGATGACAATGTCGCGGCATCGCCGTTCGTGTTGCTGAGGGCGGCGGCGGCGTGCCATCGATGTGAGGAACGAGCTGTCCTGAGCGTAGGTCTCGAATGCGGGGCCCCAGGGGGGGACGCCTCAGTCGCATCGGACGTAGGCGTGGAAGTATCCACTCTACCACACATCTGTGGTAGGAGATGATCAGCAGGTGGACGGTGGACCGCACCGACATGGTCGGGAGAAAGACGGTTACTTCGGTGTCTATGCACAGGGCATGTCTGTCGACAGCAGCGGGGAAGACACAGGGGAAGGTGTCTATGTCGTGATGTCCAAGGGCTGTGCTTGTGCTGGAACTACGATGGATCCTTGTACGGGGCGGTCAAGAGATCAATGTCTGAGTCATCCTCCGCTCCGCCAGACAAACTTACAGCACTCTGACGGACCGCAGTTGGCGCATGGTACTCTGCAGGCAGGAAATGGGCGTCCTAGGCGAGCGCCATGCACATGAGCTTCGGCAATAACCTACAGTGGACCCAATCAACGGATGGATATAGGTGACTGAGAGGGCGCCGACGTTGCGTTTGCGCCGATTCATCCATGCGTGTAGGGGCGTCTACATGGTCATATCACCGCTGTGGATTAAACCTTGGTAAGTATATCGTGCCGGCACCGCCAGAGGTTACTAAGGCGTCGCTGTTGAACAAGATTAAGCAGCCTTCTAGTGGACCAGTATTACGGCAAATGGATCGGACGTACGCATGTTTAGGGAAGCGTTTCTGCAGGCGGCTCAACAGACGGCGTGTAATAGGCTTCGGCTGTAGGCTGTTCGGACCGCATCCAGTGCGGCCCTCTGTGAATGTTGAACTGAGCCGGTCGGCGCAAGGACACACCGAGCGACGGCGACGTCCACTGCGCTTTCTTCCAGCTTCTTGTACATGGCGGCTACAGGTGCGGGCGGCGACGCCGCCGCCGCGTTCCTCATCTTTCGAAGAGAAGCTCCTTTGCTCCATTCAGTGGACGCGCACAACCGTCACGACACAAAGGGATGGTCAATGACTCGCCTGCAGTGTCATCCGAGGGTGCGGTGTGGCCATGGTTCTAGGGTAGATTGCCCGCGCCGCGGGGTGTGCCCGCCACAACGGCCATTGACGTCCCATCGAACGCGTTGCACGCGCGTTTGCTTGCAGTAGCACTAACGCCTCCGGAAGGCTACTTGACGCCGAGCAGACTTCGCGGAAAAGGTCCGCAGTCCCTGCTCTGGCAGCTGCATGACGCGCACCCGCGTGCACGCAGCCCTGAGCCTGAGTTGGGAGTCCGGATCTGCCTCGCAAAGGCCGGGTCACCGCGGCCCTTGACAGCTCGAATGTCGGAGTGAGAGAGCGGAAGTCGCGCAGGCAGGCGGCACTGAGACGTACCTTCTTCTTTTGGGGAGCTGGGGAAGCGGGGCGCGCAAGGCGAAGGTGTCGGACTGTTGGGGACTGATGCGGCCGTTGGACGCGAGAACGCGTGATGGTCGCGTCTCGGGCGTCGGGCCCGGCCTGCCTTTCTCTGCACCAATTGTCCCCCGCGTTCCTCTGTTCCCCCGCCCCGCCTCCGCCCTGCCGCCATCGTCCGCGGCACGCGTTCATGCGGGGGAAGACGCGTCGGCGGGGTCAGAGGAAGGAACACGACGCGTGCAGGGCGCTGGGGAAAAGCCCGGCCGTCTACAGCTACTGCGGAAGGGCGGTTGCACGACGACGAGAGGGCGGCGAAAGGGGCTTTCGGGGTCTGTACGCAAAAGGCGCTTGGGAGCGGGAGGCACGAGGACTTTAGCGAACACGTTGCACGACTGGCGCAGGGCCGTGGCGGACTCGCCACCATTTCGCATTTCACGCACGAGCGCTGACGCGGCTTGCGCGACGACGACCGCGCCCGAGAGCTGACTCCCGCTGCAGCGTGTTCCCGAGAGGCAGCCGCACTGCCCGTTCGAGTCAGAGTGAGAGTGAAAGACCGCAGACTGTGCAGTGTGCACGCGGGCTCGTTACGTGCGCTGGGCTGGAGTGCAGAGCGACCTGCCGTTTTGAGCAGATATACCACCGCCACAGCAGCCTACGACCCGCCCCGTACAGCCGTCGCCCGCTTTCTTCCCAAGCGTCTCCTGCTTGTCCTCTTACCCCCACCATCTCCCCCTCCCACCTCTCCTCTCCTCCACCATATCCTCCCTCGCCACCCACCTAGCATTGGCTCTGCCACCCCCACCCACTCGAATACATCACCATGGACGCCCTGCGCTCCCTCGTGCAGCCTCTCGTCGGCGGCGGCGGAGGCTCATCGATGATTGACGGAATGAAGCTCGTCGTCCTCGGTGGCACCGTCGAGACTGCCCGCCGTGTCGCAAGCTCAGGATGGTACGCCGCGCCCCCCATCTGCTGCGCTGCCATTCACTCATCATTCCCTCGCAACCGTACTGTACATTGTCGGCGATGACGCATCCCAGGTCCCACTTCATCAACTGTAAGTGCTGCCTCCGGTTCCGTCGCACGCTGACTCACCTTCCGCGCGCCCAGCCTTCTTCCTGACCGCCCACTTCTCCGAAGAGGACTACCCTTATGACTGGCTGATGCTCTGGTTGTCGCGTCGCCCAGAGTGGCAACGCTCCCGTGAGTTTGAGACGACAACGCGCTCATCCACTCCGGGGTTCGGCTCCCGCATCGCAGACAACTCTTTCGGAGACGATGACGAAGAGGAGGACGACGGCGCACCTGGTCGTGTCAAGACGCGCGTCGTCTTCCAGCCCACCTCTAACACCACGCACACCATCTACTATCGCGGACACTGGCTCCGTGTGAGGCGGTGGCGCAAGAACGACTCCGGCAACGAATGCATCTCGGTTTCGGTGGTGGCCCGCAATAACTCCATCCTCAAGCAGCTCGTCCTGCAGGCCAAGAAGGAGTACGAGGCGGAGGCCGTGCACCGGATACAGATTTACTTCGCCGACTCCCACGGGTGCTGGCGGTGGACCGACTCCAGGCATAAACGTCCAATGTCGTCCATCGTCCTCAATCCGGGCGTAAAGGAGATGCTATTGTCGGATACCAAGGACTTCCTGAAGTCTGAGAAGGTGCGTAAATTAACTGTGCCGATCGTGGTATTGGGATTGCCATACACACCTCGGCATGCCTCCGGCTTTCCCTGAAGCGATCTGCGGGAGCTTGCGCTGACGCGTCCTCTTGCAGTGGTATGCAGATCGCGGCATTCCGTTCCGCAGAGGGTACTTGCTCTACGGTGTGCCTGGCTCGGGAAAGAGCTCGCTCATCCACGCCATTGCTGGCGAGTTGATGCTCGACATTTACGTTGTGTCTCTGTCATCATCGTGGATAAACGACAGCACGCTCACCACGCTCATGGGCCGCGTGCCCGCGCGGTGTATCGTCCTCCTGGAGGACCTCGATGCGGCCTTCACGCGTAGTACAAGTCGAGACGGCAGCGCAACAGGTAACCCTGAGGGAGAATCTAAGGAGAAGGCGCCTGAGCAGACCACAACGCCTAGTTCATCGCGCCGGACGCGGAAAACCGAGCAGCTCTCTGACGTGAACACTCTTAGCTTGAGTGGCTTGCTCAACGCGCTGGACGGTGTCGCTGCCTCCGAGGGTCGTCTGCTCTTTGCGTGAGTTCTTTCTATCGTAATCCTTGTACGTCATAACTCACCAGTCTACACAGGACGACCAATCATCTTGAGCGCCTCGATCCTGCCCTCTCCCGCCCGGGTCGCATGGACGTCTGGATTGAGTTCAAGAACGCCTCGAAATGGCAGGCAGAGCTGCTTTTCCGCAACTTCTTCCCATCGACAGACGAGGACGATGTGCCCATAGAAGGCGACCTCGATAGTATTGAGTTGCCTACAACACCGCCCTCGCCGTCGGCGGGTTCGAGCTCCACGCTGTTCTCGTCGATGGCGTCGACATTCTCCTCAGTCCCGACGAGCCCATCAGGGTCGGCAAGCCCTCTGTCGCCTCTCCCCTCTTTGCCAGATGGCCTGCCGACGCGTCTGCGCACGAGTTCAACTGCGGGACGCCGAAGCCCCAGTGCCGGCAAGGGGAAGGAACGGTCGCGCACGACGAGCGACGCCGGGCTCATGAACCAGGCATATCTGCCACCCCCCGTCGAGGACGAGATCATGGAAGCCAAGCACTCGGCGAAGCCCCTCGACGGCGAGACGCTGGCGCGACTCGGGAAGGAGTTTGCGGACGCGATCCCCGATGAGGAGTTCAGCGTAGCCGCGCTGCAAGGCTGTGAGTGTCCCGATTCTCTCGTCCGCTAATCACCTGCGCTCTTTCCCCACTGTGACCCGTTTCACCCCTTCCTTTGTCCACATCGCGGCAGCTTCCTCCTTTCTCTCCGGGCTGGTGCGTGCGTGGGGGCGAGTAGAAAGTATGCTGACAGAGTTTCTTCTTTGTTGCGATCGGCCACAGATCTGCTCAAGAACAAGTCGCGCCCTGAAGCTGCGGCACAGGAGGCTGCTGCGTGGGTGCAGAGCGAGCGGGCGATGAGGGAGAAGCTGAAGAGGGAGCGAGAGGCGCGAGAGCTCAAGGAAAAGCTCGAGGTGAGTTATCCGATCCAGATCGATTATCGTGATTCCCCATCCCAATTCGTCGCGCGCGCCGTCATCCCTCTCGTGTTCGCCGGCCCGCCCTGGCCCGCCGCACCAGACGCGATGGCAGCCGTTTGATGCGCGTCGTCGTCTTCTTGCTCTCGACTGTGCACATTGTTCTGACGACGTCCTTGGCTTTGCAGCGCGAACAGCGTAAGAAGGAGCTGCTCCAGAAGGAGAAAGAGGCCGCCGAGCTCAAGAAGCTAGAAGAGGCCGAGGCGGCGCGCAAGGCCGCCGCGGGCATCGCTGTCGAGCCGCAATCGGTGACCTTGCCTCCGCTACCCCCGCCTCCTCCGGCTGTCGAGGCGGAGAAGGAGAACGCGGACGGACGCAGCCCCGCGGAGGACGAGGAGTCGTCGACCGAGGACGAGGATGAAGGCAGCGAGGCGCATCCTGTCGTGGACTCGAATGGGTTCATCGTGACCGAGGTGTGGACGTGACTCCCTGCTGCGTCTGACGCCGCAGTGACGGCTGGGGACGGCGGCGCGGCCGAGCTGTCGGTTTCCGTCGCTGCTCGCGGCCCAGGCGGCGGCGGGGATCCGACATCCGACGTGGAGAACAGACAGGCAGACAAGGACGATCGATCCGTGACGGGCGGGACAGCGGCTGCTGCTGAGGCTGCTGCCACGGTCGCGGTGCAAACGGGAGTCGCGCGTCGCCACGTGGGCGGGTTTGCGGTGCTGAGGATGTTCCCGATGGCCGAGTTTTATCTGCTTCATGTTTATGTTTTGTTGCAGCTCGCACTGTTCGGACGTTGAGAGGCCGGGCGGCCGGAGGCGCGAGGGCGGTGGCGGGCGACAGTACGATGCTGGTCGCGGCGCGGCGCGCTCGGGCTCACGGTCTGCCATGGCAATTTGTTCTGGCTGATGAGGCTACTGTACATATACCGACCGGTCATACGTGTTCACATAGATACTTGCATCTTGGAGATTTACCTGCTCATGTCGATACTGCTCTTATGTCCACTGCTGTACCATCTATAATCCCAACAATCATCACATTACCACTCGTACGGTAGCAACGTTGCGCGCGCGACCTTGGAGTGAGAGGGCAGCCACAGGGACCCCTGGGAGCGCACCGCGGAAGCTCTGGGCGCTGATGGGCAATGTCCAGAAAGGGAAGAGCCGGTCGCCAATCAAGCGGGTGAAACGGGCGCTTGTGGGTGTTGCAGGGGGCCCAGGGGGGCGGATCCGCCGTTGGGCCGTCAGCGCCGTGTCTTGTTCTCCACCGTCGCCTTCCTCTTCCTCCTCTTCCACCACCGCACAGGCTTTTGCCGCCCCAGCCCCGCCGCTCTTTTCTTCTCCTTCCGCCGGCTCTCCTCCTCCTCCTACCCCCATATCTACACACAATGGGTTGCGTCCAGTCCACCGGCATCGACGATGAGGCCAAGGCCCGTGCGTATCCATCAACCCCTGCTGGTCACAGACCCAAACCACGTACACCGTGTCACTTACGCTACCTCCTCTCCAGGCAATGACGAGATCGAAAACCAGCTCAAGCGGGACCGCATGATGGCGAAGAACGAGATCAAGATGTTGCTGCTGGGTGCTGGAGAGTCGGGCAAGGTCGGTCTGCTTGTTTTTGCTCAGCACTGCGGATATCTCATATCTGGCTACCTCCTCCTCTCAGTCTACCGTCCTCAAGCAGATGAAGCTCATCCACCACGGTGGATACAACGAGCAGGAACGGGACTCGTACAAGGAGATCATCTTTTCCAACACCATTCAGTCGATGCGGTAAGCCGGGTCGTTTCCTCGGCGTTACGCCTAGAGCTAATTCACCTACCTTTCCTTTTTCTCCTTAGTGCCATCCTAGAGGCGATGCCGCACCTCGACATTCAGCTCTCGCCCCAAAGCGACGCCCGCCGGAACATCATCCTCTCTCTGCCTGGTCAGATCGAGGGTGACATTCTGCCGCGTGATGTTGCGGACGCCGTGCGCGGTTTGTGGCGGGACCCCGCAGTGAAGGAGGCCGTGCGTCGCTCGCGTGAATTCCAACTGAACGACTCCGCCGTGTACTACTTCAACGCCATTGACCGCATGGCCGCGCCAAACTACCTGCCCACGGACCAGGACATCCTCCGCTCGCGTGTCAAGACCACTGGTATCACGGAGACGACCTTCAAGGTTGGCGAGCTCACGTACAAGCTCTTCGACGTGGGAGGCCAGCGGTCCGAGCGGAAGAAGTGGATACACTGCTTCGAGAACGTCACTGCTTTGGTCTTCCTGGTGTCGCTAAGCGAGTATGACCAGATGCTTTACGAGGATGAGAGTGTGGTATGTAATCACCTCGCTACGGGATCAGTCATCGGTTTTCACACGCCTCGGCTGGTAGAACCGTATGCAGGAGGCGTTGACCCTCTTCGACTCAATATGCAACTCAAGGTGGTTCGTCAAGACCTCGATTGTGAGTGATATTACCATAACCTCCTCTCGCTTCGCGAAGGCGCCGTTTGAGGGATTCTGACATATTGGACGTCTTCTCTAGATCCTTTTCCTGAACAAGATCGATCTGTTCGCAGAGAAGCTACCGCGGTCACCACTAGGTGACTACTTCCCTGACTACAACGGCGGGGACGACTACGACTCGGCGTGCAACTACCTTTTGCACCGGTTCGTCTCCCTCAACCAAAGTGCCGCGACGAAGCAAATCTACGCACACTACACCTGTGCAACAGATACTCAGCAGATCAAGTGTATGTGTCCAAAGCTCTCGCCACCGTCATCTCAGCGCTAACCGTGTCTGTTTGCATATCTTTTGACAAATTCGTGCTGTCATCCTGACTTCGCACTGTCCATCTCGTCTGACACCACCATCCGCCCTGTGCACTGTTACATCTTGCCACCGGCTTCGTCTTCATCCGACACGCTTTCCGACACGCCTCGGACCTTACTTGGCGTTCCGCAGTTGTCCTGAGCGCCATCCAGGACATCTTGTTGCAGTTGCACCTTCGGGAGTGTGGTCTCCTATAGATGGGTGAACAGGCTTGCGGGCGGCTGTGGCGGCTCGCATGCGACACTTCGTCCTCTCCATCTTTCCTGTGCCTGCTTCTGTTTTGTCCTGTCCCCCGCATCGTTCCGTCATGTGTTCCATCAGCCGTCCTGCACCCTCGGTCCACCATCATGATCTCTCCTCACTCGGCCTCGCGTGCGCCTGCTGTGAAGCAGCGCGCCCCGCCCAGCACTGCACTACTACCGCCTACTGTACATAGTTTGGGAAATGTTTTCCTGCGTCTCTCACGCCAGCACCATGGCACCACGCGCCGCTCCTTCCCTGCCGTCGCCCCCCTAGCACCCTGCGCGAATCCCCTCGAGCAGCAGACGCCGACTACCCCCGCCCTTCTTACCGATCCATGACGCCTGCTACCTTCCCCTTCCCCTTCCTACTCCTTCTCGCTAGCCTTTTCACCTTTATGGTTGTGCTCATGTCTGGTTGTGTCTGGATCGTTGTAATGACTTACGCAGTTTCCCCCCTTTTCCGTGTCTCCCCCATATTTCCCCCTTACCCTTCTACTGTCCGGCCGGCCTCGTTACCCCTTCATGTTCTTGTCCCTTGATAGTCAGCTACATAGGCATAGGATGCTCCTCTCGTTCTGGCATATACGGCGCGGCCTTACTCGTATACCTCCCTAAGTACAGTCTGTCCCTCCCCGTCCGCCCGCTGCGTGCCGCCCAACTATCACCAGATGCGCGAAGCGCATGCTCTGGCCCTCGAACAGCACCCGGCGCTGCGTCGCGGCGTCCGAAGTTTAGGTTGGCGACGAACGGTAAGACGAGATGACCGTCATCAAGGCACTGGCTGACCAACCAGCACTGCGATGTGCGTCGCCCGCATGGTCCGCGGGCGTTGCGAGCCCTGGCTGCGCTCACAGACGGACCCCGGGGGCGGCTCGTTGGTGGGGCAGAAATCAAACACACGCGCGTCGGGCGAGAGGCTGTGCGGTGTACATTTCAAAGACAACTTGCCAGTCGACCATGTCGCCAGTCGAGACCCCGGACTGGACAGAAGCTAGCGTCGTTGAACAGTTCTCGCGTTCGCTGTCTGGATCGTCGCTGTGTGCTACTGGCGAACGACACATAGCGATGGGAGACGTCTCGCAACTCTATCGTGTCGACGAAGTGGCCGACATGCGCGAGTAGCCCGGTCGACATGATCGGCGTCGATCGGTGCGTGGCGCAACACCTTCGCTCTCACCGGATACTCTCAAGAGCTGTCTTCCTTTACTTAGGAGGAGTGTCTGTTGGATTTTTTGCCCGAACGGGGGCAGACAGAAACACAAGCTCCAGCTCCAGCTGGATCACCCTTACCAACGCCCCGCCAATGCAGCTAGTGTTCTCATATCGTAAGTTTATAGCTTAATGCTCTTCAGTCGCAGCGCCGCTCCTCACTTAATTTCCTTGCTACTAGTACTATCATCGCGTGGTCGCACTTTCATGCTTCCTTTAGGAGAGCTTCTCGCGATGCCGACCTGCGTGCAAGTGCGTGGCCTACCGCAGCACCAAGCTACCCCTGCTACAATACGAACCCGCCATCGCTTCCCGCACCCACTGCATCGCCGGCACTACCGTCTCCCAACATCCTCCCAGAGCTCGCTCCGTCCTTGTCATTGACGAACGTCCAAGATGGTCTCTTCATCGAACACAATATCGACTACCAACGCATCGCCCCCATTCAACCGGCCCTCGGCCGACATCATCTTGCGGAGCTGCGACCTCGTCGATTTCCGCGTCCAAAGTGGCATCCTCATCGAAGCATCGCCCTTCTTCTCCGACATGTTTGAGCTTCCGCAACCTCCCAGTAGCGCCGCAGAGGCCACCCCAGTAGTCGACATGACCGAGGACGCCCAGACGCTCGACCTGCTCTTGCGACTTGTGTACCCCATCGTGAACCCGCCGTTGGAGGAGCCGATGCTGATGCTGCTCGTGCTGAAGGGCGCTGCAAAGTACGATATGGCGCTGCCTACGTCCGTCGTATCGAAGAGACTTTTGGCCATCACACCCAACAAGACATTGCAGGTTTGGGCAGCGGCATGCCAGGTCCGCACGGGCCTCGAGGACGTTGCACGTCAGGCAGCGGTTGCCCTTCGAGCATCGTGGAAGCACACCGAAAACGAAGCACTATCGCTCATGGGCAACCTAGGGGATATGTCGGGGATCTCAGCTGGCGACTACCTCCGGCTGAAGCAGTTCCTCCGGGCTCCGCAGTCTGACATAGATGCGGAACGTTTGGCTCTCTTGAGCCCGCCGCCTGAAGCAATGGCCCGCCCGCCACCCATCTCCCCGACCCCGTTTTCTACAGACCTGCCGTCACCGGATGTGATCTGTCGCTCGTTGCCGCAAGGGGGTCCGGGCTCGGAGCGGTCGTTTGAGGCCCATCGTCTTGTTCTCTCCATGCATTCCCCAATATTGAAGACACGTCTGAATCATACAGTCGGTGAGATCCCATCTCCAAGCGACCCAGATTCGAAGGAGACATCATCGAACGACGCGCTCGCCACACTGGAGCTCGACGAGAAATCCGATATCGTGTCTTTGCTCTTGAAGGCATGCTACGACGGGGAGGAGGGTCTGCCGGCCGACCTCGACCTTGCGACCGTCGCTGAACTGTTCCGCGCGTCCCGCAAGTACGAGATGACGCGAATTGCGCGCCTGGTTTGCGGAGCTTGGGATAGAGTTGCGGCTCTTAATCCCCTGGAGGCCTACTTGGTCGCGATCAATCACGGATTGGACGAATACGCTCGGGCAGCTGCGAAGAACGTGCTTATGGGACCGATCGCGAATGCCTACACCACTGTCATGGAGGACGCACCAGCCCTTGCCTACCATCGTTTGCTTTTGTACCACGATACGTGTTGGGAGGTCAGAAGAGAGCGATTCATCGCATTCGGGAGCCGGATACTAAACATGAGCACGTACTACGGAGGATGGCCGCAAACTTCCGATGACAACTTCAGAAAAGCCCTTAACGACGCCGGTAGGGCAGCGCATAGTGCGCCCTCCAAAGGGGGTCCCAAGGACGGACTTCCACAATTCCTCATAGATACGTTGTCGAGAGACGGCGGGTTCCGCCAATGTGGACTCTGGAGGTGCATGCAGCCCCTTTTGGAATTCGTGACTTCTGTCCCGGAGGCAGTGGTGGCTGCGGTCGACGATGTGTGTAGCTTCAGCTTGGGTCCGTTCTGCGGAAGTTGAAACTGATGTCACACTCAATAGGTCCAAATCACGCTCACATGAGCTACCGAGCGTTCCCTGCTGGTACAGAAGAGCCGCTATATACATACCACTCATTTTGTATGTGTCGAAGATGTCTAACTCGGATAGCGCTTGGCGAGTAGCAATCCTTCTAGTGGGTCCTCACTGATGTGTCAGCCTTTGGGTTGCTTTGACGGATTTCATCTGGGTCCTGGAGCGTCATGCATCATGGGCGATGCCACGAGGTTGTACTGCTACCGTGGGTGGAGTGAATAAGACTATTGATCTCGTCAGATGGACGTCGAGAAGACTCTTATAGCCATGATCAAAAGAGCACTCGGTGGTGAATACGACACCAGCAGGATTTGAACCTGCGCTCGGAAACCGAAACAGATGTTCGAACTCATGATTCGAATCTGTCGCCTTAACCACTCGGCCATAGTGTCTTGAAGGCACAGTGCAAAGACATTTATCCATCGATTGTTTGAGCAGTTAGAACTCGAACGCGTTAACAGACCCTGCGGTAAAACGTACAACTTGTCTACAGACAGATACGAAGCAATATATTCTTCTACAACGCCTTCGCAGCGGCCACAAACGCCTTAACCTTTTCAGGGTCCTTCCCAGACCCATCCGCCTTCTCAACGCCCCCGCTCACATCCACCGCCCACGGCCTCACAGTCGCAACGACCTCCTTCACGTTGCTCGGCGTGAGTCCCCCAGCCAGGATGATCGGTAGCGTCTCCCCAGTCCCAACCTCACCCTTCTCCACAACACCCTTCGCAAGCTCCAGGTCTATCCGCGACCCCGTGCCGCCGCTCAGCCCGTTCGCGCTCCCCCGCGGTACCGCGTCGAGCAGCACGAACTCGTGCGCGCCGGAGCGCGTGATGCCCTCGAGTCCGTTCCCGTCCGCGTCAACGTGGAACACGCGCACGGTCGGCACTGGGATATGACGCGCCCACCCATTCGGCTCCGACCCGTGCAGCTGCACCATGTCGAGCTGCGCGTCCGCGACCGCCTGCAGGATCGTCTCGAGCGACTGGTTCTGGAACACACCCACGACGAGTGGCCGGGCGGAAGATTCGCCGGCAAGCGCGGCGGAGAGTCGGCGCGCGTGTGCGGTGAACCACGGCTCGTTCTTGAGCTGCGCCGCCGCAGCGGGGGCTTCGACGGCGGTGGCGTGTGGCGGGCGCGCAAGGCGATGCCCGTGGACGACCGCCGAGATCTTCTGCGCCTGCTGCAGCGAGACGTGCCGCTTACTCGAGGATACGAACATGAGCCCTAGCATGTCCGCGCCTGCCTCGATCGCGGTGAGAGCCTCTTCCTCCGTGCGGATGCCACAGATCTTCACCAGCGGCGGGGCAGCCTCAACGGCCTTGCCCTTCGCGTCCTCGGGCTCGGGCCAGTCGAGGAGCTGGCGGATGAACGCCTGGGTGTCCTTCGCGCGCATCAACGCCTCCCCAACCAGCACAGCGCCGACGCCCTGCTCGGTGTACGTGCGGACGTCATCCGCACTCTGGATGCCGCTAAGCGCACAGAGCACGACATCGCGCTCGCGGACCATATCCACAAGCCGGCTCGTCGTTCCCATGTCCACTTGGAAGTCGTGCAGGTTGCGGTTGTTCACGCCGATGACCTTCGCGCCGAGCGCCAGGGCGGCCTCCATTTCGCGCGCATTGTTCACTTCCACAAGGGGCTCCATGCCGAGCGACCGCGAGTACTCGTATAGCGCGTGCAGACGCGGTACGGGCAGCATCGCAACGATGAGCAGCACGCTGTCTGCGCCATGCAAACGCGCCTCTGCGATCTGGTACTCGTCGAAGATGAAGTCTTTGCGGAGCACTGCCGGACGGTACGGGAGCGCGTCGATGGCCTGCCGCGCGAGGCGCATGTCCAGCAGCGTGCCCTTGAACCAGGTCGGCTCGGTGAGCACGGAGATGACGGACGCCCCGGACAGGGCGTACGTCAGAGCTTGCTGGGCTACGTTCGTGGTCATTGCGATCGGGCCCTTCGACGGGCTGGCGCGCTTGATCTCGGCCATGAGCGCGGGCTTCTTTGGGCACTGTTTGAGCCGCTGAACGAACGAAACCGGGGCGGGGGCGATATTGAGCGAGAGCAGCGTATCGAGGTCTTCGGGTGTCGTCCCGGGTGTCTTCTTTGCGAGCTCGACGTCCTTCGTTCGCTGCGCGTAGATCTTCTCGAGGATAGTCGGCACCTTGGAGCTTGTGCTCCCGCTCGCGTGCCCGTTGGCGCTGCCATTGGTCTCGACCACGCTCGCAATGCCATCGAGGCCGAACGCAGGCAGGGAACCCTCGGTGACGCGGTATGCTGGGTTGCCGTCCCAGGTGCCGCCCCGGATAGAAAGAAAGTTCTTGAGGAGCAGGTCGCCACCCTCGGAGAGGATACTCTCCGGGTGGTACTGTACCGCTTCGAGAGTGTACTTGCGGTGGCGGACACCCATGATGACGCCGCTCTCCTGGGTAATCGCGGTGATAGCAAGCTCGGCCGGGAGTGTGCTCGAGGACGCGCTGAGCGAATGGTAGCGAGTAGATTTGATGCCCTGGGGAATATCCTTGAAGCAGCCCCGGCCGTCGTGTCGGATGGCGCTGACTTTGCCGTGCATAGTCTCTCCGGCGTAGCTAGAAAGTGCGCGGTCAGCGACGGACTCAACGGGGATGAATGGTGCATGGAAGGGAAGTAGTATCTGTCATCCACGCACTGCACGGACACGCCACTGGGAGTGGACCCTAGTGGAAGAGTTCTACAATGCTTACAGGTACGTAATACCTGGCTCCAGTTGACTGCGTCCGCGGCATTTGGGGACGCGAGGAGCGCAAACAATCCATGCAGAGCGAGGATCTTTCCGCGAAGACACATGCGGGATACGAAGCCGAATAGGCTCAAGCTGCGACCAACCCGGGCCATGCAGATCCTATACTGACATTCGCGCGCAAGCGATTCGGTCCCGCCAGACGGCAACGCGAGCTAGAAAATGTCCATACGCTTGCCCAGTACCCCACATGTGTCTTTTCAAGATCGCGCGCGTCCTTCGCACATGCATGAATTTAGAACAAGCTCACAGAACTGCGGCGGCGCTGCCAATACCAAGCTCGACTCTGCGCTTCTCCGCATACAACGAAGTTCCACGGATGACCGCAAGCACATGTGTATGGGGGTGGATCTCCCATTGCTTCGCGAGCAATGGCATCGTACGCCGATCATTCATCCCGCACTGCGTTCCGAACAGCATACACGCGGCATCGGGCGCGTGCTCGCGCACAGCGGAAATTCTCCCGGCGCGATATATCTGCTCAGGAATTGCCGGACGCAGCTCCTCATAAGCAATGTACGTCGCGCTTCCTTCTCCAGTTTCTTGCTTCCATTTGGGCGCGCATACACCATTCCCTCGTTCTGAGCAAAGAATATTGCACTCACCCGATATGGCCCCCAAACACGTCCACGAGACACTCGAGCCCCATGCACACGCCCAACACAGGCACCTTCCCGGTGAAGAACCTGATCGCCTCGCACGAGATGCCCGAGTCCGTAGCGGGATGTCCAGGTCCGGGCGAGATGATGAGCGAGTTGATCTTCAGCAGCGGGAACGCGGCCGGGGAGATCGCGTCGTTCCGGATGACGGTGACCTGTGCGCCGAGGAGACAGAGGGACTGGTAGATGTTCCAGGTGAAGGAGTCGAAGTTGTCAATCAGGAGCACGTCAAGCGGGCGCGCGAGTTCAAGCGGGAGAACGAGTGCCATGGTCGGTCGCAAGCAAGAGGAAGTGTAGCGGTCCAAGTACGGGATGGAGTGCTACGCTGGCAAGATGATTTCAGGGTAGACCGGGATTTATAACTTCAGCAGTTCCGTGAACCGGATGAACTGAGATGTTGGGACTTGGAGGAGACGCCTGAGTGTGTATTCCGGTGGCGTTTGGGTAGCCGTTTGACAGATGAGCTGGACCTGCGACGCAGACGGAGACTGCAACGGACGTCCGAGTCGGAAGTGAGGTGAGGGGGCAGGAGGAAGCTCGGAGGTTCACCATGCGCTGAGCTGCTGAGCGAGTCAGCTTTTCTGACCCTAACCTCGCCTTCGGACTAGTTATAATCCTCTTGACTCTTCAAGCTTCAAGCTTCATCGACATCCTTTAGCTAAGTTACATTGGTTCGAAGACATTATGGCGTTGATTCCAGACTATGTTCGAGGAGCGTTGGACGACGCAACTCATGCGTTATAGCCTAGGTGGAGGGTAGTATCATGCTTTGAACTCTGCACAGGTCCGGGTTACAATCGGCTAGCCGATACGCGCTCACTTCGCGCATGAATAGAATCCAAAATGGTGGGATGTAGGGTGGCGCGGCTCGTTCACATGTTTCTTCCGATGATGACTATCGTATACGTTCTTGGAGTCGTCATGAGCTAGAATGTCGCGGCAAGGAGGAAGCAGGACAACATACCCCACATGTTAAGCGCCCGCGGTGAATGTGATATATCCCTCCTCGCCTAAAGCGGCATGAGCAGCGCCCATAGCCAGACCCGACCAGGGCCAGCGATAGCAGCCTGCACCCATCCTCCATGTCGACGACGGCGACCGACCCTGCGGCGAGTCCGTTGCTCCTCCAGGATCCCTCCGCACCAGCCTTGGTGCTCTCAACAACACCGCCGTCGGATCCACCTCCACCCTACCCCTCGGGGCGCCGCACACGACAGGCGCGCAGCGGACGCAGGCGACGCAACGCTCCCGACACCAGCGAGTACTCGCATACACAAGCACCTTCGGACGAATATGAAACACCACCCGTAGCCCCGGGCAGCCTGCACTGTGGCCCGGAAGGAGTTGATGATCCAGATGCGACGGAGACGACCCCCCTGTTGAGCACAAACCCCAGCTCCCCGCGTGCGCTGCTGCCCGCGGGCACGGTCCACCGTCGGCGCACGCTCTCGCTCACCAGCACGTTGCACTCCTCGACATCTCTCGCGCCATCGTTCGCGCAAACGCTATTCTCCGCATTCCACCCGGAGCGCGATTCGGACCTCGACCCGGAGTGCCGTGAGGAGGACGGCGGGGAGCATGAGGAGCTGGAGCCCGAGCTCGAGAGCCCTCTCGTGCGCGACTACGACCAACAACAAAGAGCCCTTGCAGCGGACCTCTCCGGGTACGCCCACCGTCATGCTCAACGACAGCAGCCGCTCTCAGCCGGCGCGCGTTGGCGACGGTACTTCCAGCCCCTCGGGCGGCGAGCGTACTACTCCGCGCTCCTCCACCTGCTCGTCCTCAACTTCCCATACGCTCTAGCAGCCTGGATCTTCCTCTTCGTGTTCACCCTGGTGCGTGCCTTTGTCCCTGTCCCTTCCTGCGCCTCTGCCGCGGATGCCCGGCCGTTGACGCCATATGCTAATCTTGCCGCGTTATCGCTATGCCCTTGACAGGTTGGCACATGCACGCTCATGGCCCTCCCCCTCGGCGCGGTGCTCTGCTTCGCCGACCTCTTCGGCGCGCGCGTCCTCGCACGGGGCGAGCTCGCGCTGCAGACGAGGTTCCACGGCCCGCTCGCCTATACCATCCCCTGGCCGCCCCAGCCGATCTTCACGCGCATGCGCGCCCCCTCCCCCGCACAAATTGAGTCGGGCGTCCCCGCGAACGCATCCGTGCCCGAGGGCTCCTTCTACAAGAACTCGTACGCGATGTTCACGGACCCGACGTCGTACCAGGCGCTCTTCTACTTTCTCGTGCTCAAGCCGGGCATCACGGTGCTGATGTTCCTGCTGTTTGCGGTGCTCGTGCCGGTCGCGGCTGTCCTGGTGCTCCCGCTCCCGGCGGTGTTGCGGCTCGCGCGGAGGATGGGGATCTGGCAGGCGAACGTGGCGGTGGAGGGGCTCTACTTTGCTGCCCGATGAGCGGTGCGGAGTCCGGACGGCGCTGGAGCGCCTCTTTTCTAGCGTACTGTATGATAATGTATGTTACTCACTTCACTTCTCTCATTTTCCGCTCAATATTGCAACGTACGCTCATACTTGCACCGTTATAACTCTGACATATCTACATATATGCGCATGTGAGATCCTTTGCACGCCGCACTTCATACCATGTAGATAGACGCTGCAATGAGGTAGGCTTACCTGACGGAGTACTCACTACTCGTCCGGACCGGGAGGCTTCTCGTGAAGAGGTGCAGTTAAAAGCCGTACCGAGCGATCGAGGTACCTGAATTTGTGCACGAGAATGTGCAAAAGAGACATAGAACGCCGATTGCAGAAGAAATACACGACGTCTGCCACGACATGTATCTGCAGTGTGCCCACCGAAAACGGAAGCGCGAAAAAAGAGCCCGGCAGTGTTCGAGAAGTCTAGAAGGCTATGAGTGCTTCTGAAGGTGAATAGCGCAGATACGCGACTTATACACACATAAACTGCATGATTTTTACATGTAAAGGAGCTCTGGCCGAGAAGGCCGCGGGTATATAACAGGTTGTTGACGAGGGCCCGGTTCCTCAAATTGACAACGTTGAAGCACGGGAGATAGTAGGGTGTGTGAAGGATAGCCAGGAAGAGTCCCCTGTGCAATTCGAACAGGTAAGAGCCTGTCCGAGAAGGCGTCGAGGCCGATACCCTCGCGATCGTCGGGAGATTAGAGCTCAGCGCAGACGAACAGATGCAGGCCTTGGCGCGTAGCGTGCCTAGTAGAGAGAAGAGGTTATGAGGATTCCTCACAACGCAGAGCAGAGACGCCGCGGATGTGTGCAAGAAAGGCAAGTCGGCCGGGTCGTTGGCTGTCGTCGGTTTAGGATCTGAGATGGGGTGATCGGGCGATCTCGATGTGTCCATAGACGGAGGAAGCTGGGCGCTTGCAGGAATTGTCACCTTCACTTCGTCTGTCCGTGTCGACAGAGGCGCAAAGACGGCACCGGTGGCAGATCCCTTCAACCCAATGCTCGGCCTGCTCTGTCACCTGTGGCTGCGACAGCCGTTGCACCACTTGGAGTTTGAGTTGGCCGCGCCGCTCGTCCATGCCCGGCGGGTCCAAGTCGACCGGTGTCCGAGTCGAGGAGGTTCGGCGGCGATGGGCACAGGCAAACGGAAGGAGCAAGGTGCTATCGTAGCGCAAGAGTTGTCAAACGGCTCACGGAATCGGCCCCGTTGGGGCGCGCACACAGAAGCTTCGAATTCCACGGGGGCGGTCTGTTCGCGATCTGTGGACGGACACCCTGCCCAATCGCCCGCCCGCCGAAGCTTCCCTTGCGCTGTCCATCTCAGTGAGCGGCCCCAGCCTGCGCACGCAGCTCACCGCTTTCCCCGCGAGTTTTCCACGGCGCGTGATGTCATCCGGGCTACTTGCGGCCCTTTCAGCCAGCCATCGAGCACCGGTCAATCCAGGACGTGCTCGGCAGCAGTCTGAGCCCACAACATATATAAGCACCCGTCGACGGTGCCGGGCCCTCCAGCTTCGCGCCCTATCGCCCATTTCGAGTGCAGTCCGCCATATTCCTGGCGGATAACCTTCTTGTTTGTTCCCGCTTCTATCTGTCTACTACATACCCCTCACATCTGTCCCCTCCCTGCTTCACTTGCTCCGCCCCGTCACCTTCTCCTGCCCCGCTTTCCCCCTTGCCTCATCTCTCTCACCAGCGCCCTCGAACTATTATCATGCCCTCTGCAGAACTTCCGAAAGTACGTCCCTCATCACTCACAGCTACCGCCGTGCTAAACGGAGCCACCTAAATCACAGCACGCTCAGATCCTCGTCATTGGCGGCGGTCCCGGTGGCAGCTATACCGCCTCCGCCCTTGCTCGCGAAGGTTATGATGTCGTCCTTTTTGAGGCCGCAAAATTCCCGAGGTTCGTTGTCACATCCTGGAACTCCTACTTCGCTTACTGACAACCTCATCCACAAAAGATACCATATCGGCGAATCTCTCATACCATCCGTCAGACATTTCCTACGCTTCATAGATGCGGAACACAAAGTCATCAAGCATGGTTTCGCCCGTAAAGTGAGCACTCCGAACCGCTGTTCGGATCCCCCTTCCCGCCATGCAGGCGGCTCGCCGAGCATCGTCTTCTGGGGGTTTCGTATCGCGCTGGAATAGCGCCTGAACATCCTTGTTTGACAGCCCGGCTCCGCAATCAAATTCAACCAGTATATGCAAGAAGGATGTGAGTATCCATATTTCCTTTCGACACTCCGTATATCCTTGGCGTGCTCGTCTAGGCCGTCCACGCGACCCAGAATCCGCGGGGATCGTGCCTCATGCCGACACTCCTGTCAATCACCTCGTCCCAAAGCTGACCGCTCCCCTCTAGACACGGACTTCGTCGCGCTCGGCGCGTCTAACAGCGCATGGAACGTCGTCCGGTCCGAGTTCGACCACCTACTCTTGCAGCACGCCGCAGCATCCGGCGCCCATGTGTACGAGCAGACGCGTGTCACCGAAATCCACTTCGAGGAAACCCCTCCCGCCTCCCCCATCCAGCCGCGCATCGACTCCCCGCTCTCTCGCCAATGCCAAGACGAGCGTCCCACCCGGCCGGTACCGCGCCGGCGGACGAGCGCTGTCGAATTTGCACTCAACGACGGTCCGAGCGCAGACTCCCTCGGCCGCCCCCAGAGCGTGAGCTACGAGACGGCGTTCGGTGGCACGGGCGAGATCACCTTCGACTACCTCGTCGACGCCAGCGGACGTGCTGGTCTGATGAGTACGAAGTAAGCCTTTCGGGCGTTCTCTACCTGTATATGCGCTAACGCCCTCTTGTGTTAGATATTTGAAAAACCGCAAGTTCAATGCTTCGCTCAAGAACGTCGCGGTATGGGGGTACTGGAAAAATACGGGCATGTATGGCCAGGGAACTGACAGGGAAAACGCGCCCTTCTTCGAAGCACTCAGTGGTGAGTATCGTCTACTGCACACAAACACTCCTTGTTATAGTTGCTGATACGTACCTTGCAGATGAGTCCGGGTGGGCGTGGTTCATTCCCCTCCACAAGGGCCTCACATCCGTTGGCATCGTTATGGACCAAAAGCAACTCGGTATCCGGTCCCGTGCTTCATCATCCGCTAGTGGTTCCCCCTCTCTTGGCAACAGCGTCCGCCGTGATACTCTCTCAGCGCGCACATCCTCCACTCTAGCGGAGCGCTATCTGTCGTTCCTGGAACTGGCCCCTGGCGTGCTTGATCTCATCGGCGATGGCGAACTAGTGTCACTGAAGACCGACGAAGACGATGACGAGGATGCGGAGATCCCGGTAGCGAGGAGTGCCAGCGACTACAGCTACTCCGCATCACATTACGCCGGTCCCGGGTGGAGGTTGGTCGGGGATGCTGGATGTGAGTTCGGTTGGTTTCAGGCATGGAACTGCACGCTAATCGTATGCAGCCTTCATCGACCCGTTCTTCTCCTCAGGGGTGCACCTGGCCATGACCGGCGCACTATCAGCTGCTGCTTCAATCGCTGCCTCAATTCGAGGAGACTGCCCGGAGGCGGACGCAGCGGCTTGGTACAGCAGCCGCGTGTCCGTTTCCTACACGCGGTACTACCCACATGCTAAAAGGCTCCCGAATGACACTGACGCACTCGGGCAGCTTCTTGATAGTCGTTCTGAGTGCATACAAGCAGATCCGGTGCCAGTCCGAGGGCATCCTTGCCGACGTCGACGAGGACAACTTCGACGCAGCATTCGCTTTCCTCCGACCAGGTCAGCGCGCCATTACCCGCTTCTTCTCAAGGCCGCACTAACCACGCACCCTGCAGTGATCCAAGGCGGAGCCGACATGGGCGCGCGCCTCTCCGAAGACGAAGTGCAGCGCGCGCTCGACTTCTGCGTGCACCTCTTCGACCCCACCACGCCCGAGCAGCACGAGAGCGCGCGGCGCAAGATCGAGCTCGCGAGCGGCCTCGTCGGTGCCGCCCACGACGCCGCGGTGCCTGACGCGGACCCGCTTCGCCTCCTCGACGTCCGCGCGCCCGTGGTCGACCCCGTGCACCTCGAGCAGCTGCTGCGTCAGCAGCTGCACCTGCAGGAGAACCTCCCCGCCTCCGCGTCGGGTGCGCACGGCGGCCCGCCGCGCCCCCCAGACATCGTCACGCAGGAGCTGAGCATGGTGCTCAATAAGGTGAACGCGCGCCGCGTCATCCACTCTGAGCATGGGAACGGGCTGAACAGCCTGGAGGAGGAGGAGCTCGCGGGGTACGCGTTGCGTCTGCGCCTGGGCGAGCTCGGCCTGCGTCGGGCGGGCGGGGACAAGGGAGCGGGTACCAGGCCATGAAAAGGTCGAAGGTCGAAGTGGGGGGAGGCTGTAAGTTATGTGTCGATATGTGCGTTTGATGTGGGGGCCAGAGGACCGCTTTCCTTGCACTTTGTTGAGGAGGGATACGATACCAAGATGGAGATCTGAGAATGATGTATTTGCCTCGATGTTGTGTGTAGTTGTATGTACTCTGTTGCATTCGCTGTGGAATCCTATACGCTTGTACGCGTCATGCGCGTCGTCATCGACATCGTGCAAAGCGAGAGCTCTCTGGGACTGGGACCAGCTCACTCTGGGCGAAGTTAGAACTAGGATGTGACATAGTCGTTAAAACGAGCGTTCGATCTACGGGAACAACAGACGCATCTATATGCAAGTAGTACTGTAATATCGGTCCTCTCCCCAGGCTCTTGTCCCCGAGGCGTCCACACACGAGCTCCATTGAGTCCCGGCACAGCCGCGACCCCTCCTACAACTTCTCCAGCGGCGTCTAGTCCCATTTGATGCGCCGCGCGTACTCCCGGATGTTCGACACATACGAGTCCCGCACCTCGTCCCCCGCGCCCGTCGCGACCTTCAGGATGATCTCGTTCAGCGCAGTCGACCCCAGCACGTCCACGTGGTCGCTCGTCGTCCCCCCGCCCCGCGGGATCGTCGCGACCGGGTTATGCGGTAGCTGCGCCCATTGCCGTCAGCCATCCAGCTTTGTTTTTACAAGCAAACAAGCAAAAGCAGACAAATAGTGAGACGTACCTCGACAGTGACGACCTTGATCCCCGCGGGGTTCCACCGCTCGCGCTTCCAGCCCTCGACACACATCGCGCCCAGGCTCAGCAGGCTCACCGTGCCGTCGCCCTCGCCCATCTTCACCCCGTTGAGGATGCGCGGGCGCGTCGCGTCGTCCGTGTACTCGGCGTCGATGTGCGTGCTGCGCGCGAGGGGGAGGTCGAGTGGGGTGCGCGGGGAGACGCAGTCGGCGCCGGTGGAGGCGTCGGCGTTGTCGGTGCAGACGGCGAGCGGCTGGTCGGGCTGGACTTCGTCGTATTCGTATTCTTGCTGCGTGTACCAGTAGGAGCGCTAGGAAGGAAGGGCATAAATGGAGCGACAGTCTGGAGGGGAATGAAGGGGTACCTCAGTCTCTTTGCCGTGTCCGTACACACAGTACATCTTCATCGAGGGCGCATATGGTAGCCTTCGGACGTTATTAGTCAGCGCGCGTGTGTTTGCCCGCTTTCGAGACGTACTGAATCTCCAACGGATTCGTCCACTTCGTGAAGTCCAAATTGTTCGCCTTCAGCTTCTCCACGTCCCGCTCCAGCCCGAACGAGTAGTTGCTCGCCAGCATTTTCTGCACGTCCCGTCAGCCCTATTCCCCCACTGCTTCCCTGCGCCTCGCCAGCCTCCAGGACAGCGACTCACTTGGAACGTTGTGGGCGTGCGCTCGAGGATCCACGTACCCGCCTCGGTCGACGTCATGTTGAACAGCCCGTCCTCGCCGTCGATGCCGACCGAGTTGTTGCGGAACGAGATGAGCGCGCCGTGGCTGTGCGTCGTGTTGTCGAGGTCGTCCGGCGCCCACGTCGCGTTGCCCCACACGTCGTCGCCACCCTGTCCGATTCGTGAGTGAGCAGACGGGAGAGGAGGAGGCGGTTAGGGAGGGGCGCGCCTTGATCCACATGCTGGCGCTGCCCGCCCAGCTGCGGAAGAGCTTCTGGCGCTCCTTGCGAGAGAAGAAGCGTTCGAGGACTGTAAATCAGAGCGGAAGGCGTAAGGGATGCAGGGTAGCGGTCATATGTCGAGAAATGACGGACCATATGCGCCGGCCGGGTTGATCTGTACGGTGTCCTTCATCTCCCCAGAGAGGAACGCGGCCATCGCTTTCGCCTGTCCGACTGCATCAAGACCGGTGAAGTATCCTGGACTGAATGCGACATACCACGCCCTAAAACGACATAGGGAAACTCATCAGTGATTGAAAGGAATTTGACAGGAATAAGTAGCGCACCAGATGCGTTCCGGCGACAGTGATCAGTGCTTCGATGTGGTTCTACCAAGGGGCAATAAGTTCAGTGCGCTGGAGGACGAGGGCAACGAGCCAGGCTCATACCTCGACCCAGTCGGGGCCACCCTTGCCGTGTTCCGGAGACTCGACCCATTTCATGCTATATGCGTGTAAGTAATGTGGACCGCGTCGCTACACCGCATACGGGACCGGGACGCACAAATACTAGGTACCACGATTAGTGTGAGGTAGGCACTAATGAAGAAAGTGCGCGACGTACCAGGATGATCTATTCGTGCGCATGTAGGAGTAAGACACATGAAAATGTATACGAGCCGCGGAAGGAGTACTGACCGAGCTGCCCATGGAATGCGCGGTCAGGACGACCTTGCGATTCTCTCGTGCCCTGGATGCATGATATGAGTTACGACCTAGCGTACTCCAAGAGCTTTGTGAGTGTACTGCTTACACGAAGCCTTCAATAGTCGCCCGGAGCTTCGAGAAGTACCCATCCCGCTCCTCAAGGTTGTAGTACGACAACCGCCAGTCGTACGGAGCCAAGTGTAGGTTGTTGGTGTCGTAGTTGACAGCTGCAAGGTTCTCGACGATCTTTGACCTGGAGACACCCGAGGAACAGGTACGTAAATATATTCGCCTTTCCACTACATACATATGCACAGGCGCGAGTCGCGACGTACCATAGCCAGTACCCCTGTATGAAGCTGCTCGCTGCGTCAATGCCCTCAGCAGCCCTGACCTTTGCACCAGGTGGGTCTAAACCAGTAACGGGGTCGAGCATGAGTGCAGCGATCCATTTGTCGCGGTTGAAGGTGACCTGGGAGAGCATAGAGAACCCTCCCCAGACCTTCTTGCGGAAGAACGCCCTGTAATCGGGTGAGGTGGCCCATGACTCCAAACCCTGTGTGCTATACGCGTTACTACGGATGGTGGCGTGTACAGGGGAGACACTTGCGGTAGAGATGATACCGGGAATGAGGACGACAGGGTGCTTGGCGGATAGACCTCTCTCGGCGATCTTCTCGCCCACGGTGAACTCCAGACCGTTCGTGTTCAGCTTCCATGGCTCCGGGATATTGCTCCATATCCTCTGCCATTCGAGCTCAACACGTGAGAGGTCAAGTTGTGGCAGGTCCAGGTTGGGGAACTCGGGCATGGTGATCTCGAACTCGTCCATGAGGAGAGCGAGATGGGTCTGGAAGTCATGAAAGTCGCTGGGCTGCACGAATATGAAGCCCAGGAGGATACCCACTTGCCGTTCTGTTAAAAGAAGGTACGACACTAGTATACGGAAAGGACTTACGGATCAGGCCTAGGGGAAAGAGGAAGCGACGGGTAGCATAGAAGTGTCGTGCATCCTGCCGAGACGATCTTTATGTTAGAGCCGGGACCGGCGGCCGCGCGCGCAAGGCGTGACTGCATTTCCTTACCTGCTTGACCACCTTTCCCTTCTTTTCGAGCTTGTCAGCGAGCTTGTCGGCTAGCTTGATCTCGAGCCTGTCCTCCAAATCGTCAGCAGTCTTGATGGTGTCTTTGTCGTGTTGTTCGTCAGGGCGGTCATGTTGGGCCAGGACGGAGTCGGACTGATTTCGTTTCTGCAGTCCGCGGCGCGTGAGGGTCATGACGGGAAGCTGAGAGGTCGTGCGTCGTAGCGGGGTCTGCCGTCGTGTCAAAGAGAGGAGTGCTGCGTTATGGGGGCGCTGCACAGTCTGGCACAGAGCCGCACAGTTCCGACCTGTCTACGATGACGGCGGCGACGCGCCTGCGAAACCCTATCACATGCCCGCCGCGTGTCTCTTGGCCCTAACCCTAACCGTTCCACTTTCGTCATCGATGACCAGAGGCCTCTGGCTCACCTAAAGCGACCGCCACCTCCATAGTATAGCCTGCCTCCGGTTCTACTGTTAAGAAAGCGGGTGAGTGACGGTCATCCTAAAGCATACTGCAGCATACACTCCACCCACCTACATCAGCCCGAATGCGATTCTTCCATGTGGCGTGGCAGCGGCCGCTTGAACAACACTCAATTTGCCGCGTTGCTACCTCTCTCCTCCCCCTCGTAGAGTAGTATTCTCGTCTGCCTAAGGGAGACAACTTCGCCTCCATGGGGGCGCACCATGACGGAAGGATGTGAAACGTGGGAGCTGTGGACTCATCGCGACCTCGCAGACTCGCAGTAATTGGGTGAGTACTCACATGCACAAGGAGCCTGCTGCCGCAGTTGTGCGCATGCTAAAGCTGACCTTTGTATCGCTTCCACAAGCCTGTCGGTCAGTGTGCAGTGCACCCGGTCTCCGGCAGTCCTTTGTGATGCCCTGAGCCGTGATAGCCTTGTCTGCGCAGTATCTCTTGGCTGGCCTGTGCACCTGTGTGCGTTTTTCTTCCAATCTTCATGTTCAAGTACACTGAGAGCATGTTAAAGTGTCATCCAAAGTTCTCAGCTGGAATGACAGTCGATATTTTGTCTTGTAGTTACTCCGAGCTACCACTAGCGTTGCACTACGGGCGGTAGCAAACCCTCCTGCAAGTTCGCACGGCGCCTACGTGTCCTCTCACGGCATCGCCATTTCTGCGTCGACGCTCTCACAGATCCACTCTCTATCACCGCTTGTGCGACCATTTGTCTCCTTCAGGTATTAGTCGGCGCCCACCCCGGCACCGTCGCTCACTCTCCTCCTCTGGGCCCACCGATCTCACACCGGCGCCCCCCACGCACACAGCCCGCCCGGTGCCAATCTCCCGTCGCGAACGCCAGGCGCACGTCCGGCAGGCGGTACCCCGACATCTGTCTGCGCCCTTGCAGGCGTGGCCCTGTCCGCTGTGGGAGATCTTCCGGCTCCGTGGGCTCGGAATTTACCAATCGTGCGGACACGACCCGAGGCTGCGACACTTCCCACTGACGTGCGCGCCGCACAATGCTCGGAGCTCCTCCGGACGGCGCGTCCTATAAACCAGGCACGCCGACGTCTTCCTCCTCCTCTTCAGCCACCCCTCTCTCTGTCCGCCCGCCCTCTGTTCCTCCGCGCCACCACCACCTCCTCGTCCGCACCCGCCTAAGCGCTAGCTATCCATCATGCCTCCCCCGGTCAAGACGCAGCCCCCCACCAAGCTCGAATTCACGATGAACTCGTTGCGCAACACCGCGCTTTCCACGGATGACGACACGATGCACTACGAAATCGTCACACGTTACTGGCACCCGAACGTCACCAAGATCAACAAGTTCGACATGGAGACCCGCGAGCTCATCACCATTGGCGAGATCGAGGGCCTGCAAACGAAGGAGCCCCGCGTACGCTTCGGCGGTGACAAAGGCCAGTGGATCTCGGCGACCGACTTCCTGAAATACGACGCAGATAACACGTGAGTCTACGTTTCCGTCTGGACTTCTACGCGTGTACTTACTCCGAACCATCGTTTCTGTAGCGGCGGAACTTTCAAAGTGTCAGAGGACGCTGAGTACCGGTGGAAGACGCACAAGGGCCGCTTCCAGGTGCGTGCCGCCTCTAATCCCGGACGCGTGTGCGTCATCGCTCACCGCCTTGCCCCAACGCAGCTCATTAAGTCCGACGACCCCGAGAAGAAGCCGCTCGCTGAGTTCCACCCACACCAGCGGCACTTCTTCGTCTTCCGGATGTCGAAGCACGCCTACTTCCAGCTCCAGCCAATCCCGGAGATCATGCAGGCGATCGACAAGTTCATCGGTGCGTCATCGTCTGCCCTTCCCCTGTTCTGTCCGGCCTTACATATCTGACCGCGTTCTCCCTCAGTGAGCTATCTCCTGGTCGAGCGCAGGCGGAGAGACTCGCGCATCAAAGTGAAACTGCAGCCAAACTCAAACTAAGCGGTCCGGCGCACGTACACATTCATCACATCCCTGTACCTGTGATATATTGTGGCAAGCCATCCTCTCATTCATTCTTGGGCTCTTCGACGGTAAATTCGACACACAAGGCGTCCACATCCTCGTCTGTCTGTAATGGTCCCTCTATTCTGTTCATCGCACGCTTAATACACTTAGATTCCATACATCCAGGGTCTTTGAAACTATATCCGGCTACCCCTCTTGATACTGCGAGGCCTGACAGATCTAAGGTAGCAAACGCGCGCAAAAGTGTCATTGCTATTAAGAGCGCTCGCTGATCAGCCGCTACCAAACGCCTCGCCAAATGCCGGATATTAGGCGCCGTTAACTTCTTGCTAACTCTACCGCCAACTGCCATGTGCGTAATGCTGTACTACCACTGACTACCATGTCCCGACGACCCACTCCCCTGTGTCTGATATCTCACACAGAGGGGCCGAAAGCGATCACGGCATGTACAGACACCTTCTTGAGACTAAGTACTGCGAAGACCTTTGAACAATATCGGGCGAACTGCATGATGAAGTAAGTTGTAACTTCTTCAAGTCCCACTGACAGCCTGGCCGAGGACCGAGCCCGATATAATGAGTGTCATGTATCGTGCAGCACATGTTCAAACTCCACATCTGCACTGCCGTAGCGAAGGTGGGTGAAACATCTAAGAAGATTTCACCAAACACTGCGATCGCCACGGAGTCCCTCCCGCTGAGCAGCGATCCCCGCGGGACGTTGCGACGCGTCAGTCGCTTATACCCTGCTCAGGTATGTAATCCTCCTTCGCCTGGTGCTGGCTGGCACAGCTTTGCTTATGCGTTATTCAGCTAGAGGGCTCGACACGGTGATCAGACGGCGACCGCTCAGCGCCCAAGCCAATTTGTCCTTTGCGACGCTCGGCAATCTTGAGCTGGTATGTGCAGCTCAACGGTTCTCAGATTTCTGGTGATGTACGTGGATATGGCGGAATGGCTTGGTCACTTCTTCCGGGCCTGCGGATGAGCGTTGAAGCTTCATCACTCTTTTTACCGCTCCTTCGACGAGGAATATACTTCAGTAGTAAGCCTCTCCTCCGCGTCGTTTTCGTGAAATTGTCATTCTGATGGCCTTGTTCACTTTATGGTAGGTCTTGCATCGCTCTCGAGACTGTCGTTCATCTTGGTCACTTTCAGGTAATGCTGTGACACCGCCGGAGGATGCGCTAGCGCAAGATTTTATGCTTCTAGCACCACCCGCAAGCAACCAGATCACTAAGCGCTCCGAGATTCGGTCTCATCTGAACTCGCGTAGGGAAGCCCCCCCGCCCTGCCATAGCCATGCAGCCCGTCTCTTCCCCGCGAGAGACAGGGCGTTTGTGCGTGCTCTACGACGCAAGCCCGTGGATTCGCCTGCATCTCCTTCTGTCGTGCGGGGTACACTGTATCGCCATCTCACTCCACATCCGAGTACTTGTATTCGCCTAGGGCAGGACGTCGTACTTCATATCTTTCCTTCTTTCCCTTTCTTTCTGCTTTCCCTTCTCGTTTCCTCTTCGACGATGAGCATGAGTGCAGGCTCCAACAACAGCATGGCGGCGGCGGCGGCGCTCGCGGCAGAAGACCGAGCCATTTGGGTGGAGCGGAACAAGGAGTACTCTTACCAGCTGTGGTGGTTCGTCGCCAGCTTCATCGGCCTCGTCGCAGTCGGCCAGCTCCTCTCTTGGTTCTCGGCTCGCCTCTTCAGGCCGCCTTGTCCCTCTCCGCTCACAGAGAAGAGTGACGCCGAAGGACGCGGTGCCGTCCGCGCCCGTCGGTTCTCCTGGAGTCGGATGCCCATCGCGCTGGTCAACTACTTCCGCATGCTCGCCTTCAGGAACACCGTCGACTTCGGCGAGAAGTACAGCTTCACCTATGCAGAGGCCTTCATCACCCTTGGTTACGTCGTCGCCATTTTCACGTGGGAGTTTGTGAACAGTGCGTCGTTTTCAAGCTTCGTCCTGCTCTGTGCTGCGCTGACAATTGTGGATAGCGACGGACCTTTTTGGAAACCTCTTGAGCTTTACCTATTGGTCGGGGAGAGCAGGGGCACTGGCCGTTAGCCAGTTTCCGTTGATCACTGCGCTCGGGACGAAGAACAGCAGCATTGCTTGTGAGTTGGATATCCTTCGCTGGCCTCGCCTGCTCGCAGTGGTCCTGACCACCGCTGTGCCCCACAGATATCACAGGAGTCAGCTATGACAAGGTGCGTCATCTTCACTAGTAATCACACACGAAATTAAAACCTATGTCGGAACTCATCAACAGTTGAACTTCATTCATCGCATGATGGCTCGTGTCGTGTTCGTCCTCCTTTGGGTTCACGCGGGCTCCAAGGTGAATACCTTCTCACTGCCGACGCGATAGGTATACTGATAAGTTTGTGGTATTCTCTATACATAGATCATGCAGTAAGTAGAGGCTCGCCAAATGACCGCAGCAATTGTATTGATTTTGTTGTAGCCTTCCACCCGCCTTCTGGAAGACGACGTACATCCAAGTAGCCTTGGCCGCCATCATCGCTTTCACCATTCTAGTGATCGTCGCGCATCGGTCTATCCGTGCTCGTTACTATGAATTCTTCTTCTTCACGCATTTTGCGATGGTCATGTGAGTACATCCTTCTATCTACCCGCTGTCCTAACGAGTATTCAACGCATCCGTGATACCCATGCAGGATTATGCTCATCGGCGGTTACTTACACGCAAAGAACTTCTCTCCGCTCTACACCTACATCTGGCCTTCGTTCATCATCTGGGGAGCCGATCGCTTCCTGCGCCTGTTCCGTCTGGTGTACTACAACAACTACTTCTGCTCCTCCGCCCCGCGGCCCCTCACAGGCATCGACGCTTCCGTGGAGCTCCTTTCGGCCCAGTTTGTGCGCTTGCGCTTCCATCGGCCCCCGCAGCTCAAGTGGACGCCCGGCCAGGCTGCTTTCCTGATCATGCCCTCCGTCTCCACCATCCCGTTCGAGGCGCACCCATTCACGATTGCCAGTGTCGACTCGCGTTACCGACTGCAAGGGAAGTCTATGCCGATGGAGCGGACGGACTCGCTGTCAACGATGAACGACCGGACCGACATGCCTCTGATAGGTATCCCAGCGTCGGAGGAGCTACAATTTATGATCAATGTTCGCGAGGGCTTTACGAAGCGGCTCGCGCAGGCGGCGGAGATGGGCCGGAAGGTCAAGGTCTTCGTAGATGGGCCGTATGGGTTCTCTCCCAACTTGCACGGCGACGACACGGTCGTGCTCGTAGCAGGTACGTCGGAGATCATCTCAGAAGAGCGCACATTGCTGACTGGGGCTTTCTATTCTTCAGGCGGTTCTGGTATCTCTCTCGTTCTCTCCATGTTCCTCGGACTCGTGAGGTAAGGGCGATGCGCTTTATCGTAGCTCCAGCATCTGAAGGAGGGTTTTTCTAGCGACGTCCAGAACGGCAAAAGCAGGTGCAGGAGGGTCGTCTTTGTGTGGTCTATCCGTGATCCTAGTAAGTCCTCCTTTGCGTTCAAGGCGTATCGTGCTTCACACACAACGCCCAGAGCAACTGGACTGGATATCCGAGGCGATGGGCAACGCCCTCGAGGTCGCCCCGGAGAAGCTTGACATCTCCGTCCGTATCTTCATGACCGGCCGCGCACGGATGCCCGACCAGACGCCCCTTATGAGCGACAGCGACGACGACGGAAATATGTCCTCCGACGAGATGACAACACCTACCATGGAGATGATGGAGATGCGCAGGCCTCTGATGAGCTTCGCTGCCGTCCAGCTTACCCATGGTAGGCCGGAGCTGGGCAAGCTTCTTAAGGACGAGGTGTCGGCCACTGTTGGTCGCATTTCTGTCACCGGTGAGTGTGGTGTTCGAAAGATGCCGACACGCAATACTGACGCTTCATCAGTCTGTGGGTCTCAAGCGATTGCGAAGGCATGTCGTGACGCTCTCCGGTTGCCGTTCATCGAGCCTCTGTACGGCGGCCCTAGCGTCGTGCTCCACGTTGAGTCGTTTGGTTACGCATAGATGATTGGGATCGTCAACCCACCCCCCGTACGCTCCCTCGGAATATCGTACATATTATATAATCTTAGCACAGGCACTGCTCGTCAGTCGCACGGACTCTTGTTTGTCATTCTCGGATGGAAGGGGCAGCGCGGCGCACATGTTGAAAGCGCTTTCCGGCTCATCACTAGACGACGCGCTACGTCGGCGTGGCTTGTAGTTCTTAACAGTGCTCGCAAACCCCTTCCTATATATGGTATATATCTTCGACATAGTCACGTATGTGCTCCGAGCAGATGTGTAGCTTATTGCTGGTTTCACGGCGCTTGTCGCGGGGCCTGACGCGCGAATTTCGCGCCACGCGCCCGTTTGGAGGATGTCGACGCGGATCGTCGATAGCTCGCTCATACCTCCATGTAATTCGGTATTTATTTCAGATTCTGAGTCTCCTCATCAGTGCGGAAGGCACGGTCCAAAAATCGACGCGATATTCGAAGTTTAAGTGAACTCCTCCTCGAGCCCCTTCCCCAGAGCAGAACGAAGATTACCCGCCAAGATCCCATTCGATGTAGAGTCCACACTCTGTTTTGCAAAACGGTTGGGCTATTAACCCACCTGAGTTTTGCAAAACATTGGGGTAGCACTACCTACCTGCTCACCTGAAAACAGACCCCCGGAATGTATTGGATGTACATCAAATGCTACGTAAGGTAGTTACGAAGGGTTACAACGCTGACCGGCCCACCAAATATTAAATGTGACGAAGGAAAAAAAAGCCAAAACAAGGTATTGAACCTCAATGCTCACCCACTTACGAAGTAGCCCAAACAGCGGCTTCAACCACTACACCATAGAAGACTTACAAGGGCACATGTGAATATCAATACATCCCTATTTCAACTACCCTCCTGAAGACATCAATGTTCTAAGTTCGCAACCGCCCACTTAAGCAGGCGCCTAGTTCATACCAATAGGTCCCCTGCTGAGCCTTCAGCACATATTATGCTGCAATTTATGCATCCAAAATGGCTTAGGAATCAATATTACATAGCTTCCGGTCGCATTGTTGAGTCCAGGACAGCAAACTTGAGGTATTGTGCACGAGTAGAAGGGTGTTGGAGCGCACGATATATTCTCTGAGCTTGAGCCAGTTCTAATGCTGCTTTGCTGTAGTGGTATTTACCGCAGAGAAAGTGATGTATCTCTTGAACTTCCAGGTTCAAATCTGTTGCTTGCCACTTTTCCTGAAGACGTGAATTTTGCTCCCTTTTAAGACGCATTTAAACGGGCGCTTATAACACAGCCACATTGATAACCCAGTGTTTTGCAAACCGCCCTTGGGCTATTACCCCACGTGTTTTGCAAAACAAAATGTAGACGGCTCCTCCACTCTGTCGTCATTAAGAAAAGCCTGGATGTCGTGCATGGCAGTGCGCTGCACCTCTCCTGGTACACGAACCTCATGAGCGCCATCATCCTGGCACCCATCATCATTCTCGTCGGGGAGCTTCCCGGGGTCATGAAGCTCTTGTTCGGCGCGAATGAGAACGCCGCGGGCCAGATGAGCACACTCGCGACATTTGTTATGGGCTCCCTCATTACGGCAAGTATTCTGCGACTGCTCATGTGATGCGTCCGCGCTGACAACGTCTCTACAGGGCGCGTTCGGCTTCCTCATGAGCCTCGCAAGTTTGATGTCAATCAAAGTCACTTCACCCATCACGCATATGGTCTCCTCCGCCGTGCGCGGTGTCGCGGTGTCCCTCCTAGGCGTGTGGTTGTTCCACGACATCGTTACTCAGTAAGCACGTGTCGTTTGTATGACGACACTCCTCATCCTGATCTCGCGACACTCGCTGTAGGGGCCGCGCATCGTCCATTGGCATCATCCTCCTTGGCTCAATCTGGTATACCTGGATCAAGCACGTCGAGTCGCAACCGGCGACTCCGAGCAAAGCTCACTACGAACCGGTTCCTCTCGAACAGCTCGAGGAGGGCAAGAGCAGCCCAACTGGCCACGCTTCGCACCGGCACTCGCAGTCGGCGCGTGATGCGCGCGACTGAGCGCAGTGCAGCAGCGCTCGGGCGTGATAGACCTTATTTGCAAAGGACGACCATCCCTATGTACGTGGTTACCATAGCATGCCATGACGGTGATAATGTATAGAGGTTTGTTCTGCTTACTTGACTGTGGTCTTCGTCAATCCTCTCGCGCTGAACGTTGCTCAGTGAGCATGCACCACACCTTGTAGGCACATTGTGCGATAAGTCACTGGGTGGAAACACCTCGTGGTCTAATGTGGAGCACGCTAGAGTAGGTGGTAAAACAACGCCGAATTCCGTTTACTCTTGAGATAGAGTATAGGTAAAACACCTGGAATATCTCCTCGCGGGTTTATGGCTCATTGATATCCACTGTGCCCATCCTCACGACCATACATCTGTGCTTAATTCTCAGCCCTTGTGCTGTACATGGGCTACTCAGAGTGTCAGACATCCACAAACAACACAACATGTTTCCTCCGCTTGACCAATGCTAGGCTATGTGTTACATGCATCCGACCATTTTATCGTGTCTATGATTGAGATCCAGAGGCCATCACAGGAACTGATAAGCTCAACCCATGGACCACCTGCTCACCAGCACAGGTGCAAAGAAATGACTTGGGCATGGACGAGTGTGTGCCGCACGCCTCCTATTTACGTCCGCATGTCGTCCCTGCTCGACAGCGGGAGGTCGTGTTGCTTCCCATTGCTGCCCTGCCTTCTTTGCACCATTGCTGGATTGCTGGAGGCTTCTGGGCAAAGAAATGTATGTTGTATGGGGATGTGGAAAAGAGGTAGAAGTTGAGAACAAAAATGTAGAAATGGTGGGAGTGTCCATTACTATAGAAAAAGGTGACAAGCAATGATAACCTGGAACATCAGACATACTGGTAAGTATTTGGATATAAGGGAGACTTAGGACTCACTAGGATGCTACCCACTTTTTTGGTTTCTGTGTCTTCTTTGTAGTTGCTGTGGTGTTCAAACTTCAATTGGTGTTGCTGCACATGATAAATCAATAATGAGAGGGAAAAACATATATTATAGCAATACACTCACTTGGATGAGGGGATTGCTTCTGTTTGTGAGCCCTTGTCCCATAAATGGGTATATTGCGTGTTCTCATCTAAGAAGTGTAAATGTGTGTCAGTGCAATGACCCTGAGTGAATTTTAAATTTTAACAAACCATGCATTTCAACATGCACTGCAAGTGTGTCCTTCAAGGCAGGCAGGCCTTTTGTGATCTCTGTGGACCACCAATTTTTGCCAAAGGCTGCATCATTTTCTTCCAGGTGGATGGTGAATTCTGGAATGGAGTGTAAATTCTGTAAACACTGCTGCATTGCCTCACCACTGATGGCATTGAGCATATCATGCCGACTATGCCAATACTTTCCTTCCCAGTAAGTAGTCTTCAACAAGATGTCACAAATCTTGAAATGTGATGATCGCACATGTCTCAACACTTGTGCGAGAAGATCAGCTCCTCCGGAAATACTGTCTCGAAACCAAATGTGCATGGTGAGTTCTTTCAGAGATACCATCTTACCCACAAATTCAAGGAAGCTGCCTAGTAGAGAGTTGAAGTGAGAGAAGACGACACATGACATGGTTATACTCACCTGACACTGCTGTAGCAGTTGTGAACAAAAATTTCAACTTTGTGAGATTCATCAGTGACCCAAATGCTCCTTGTGGGGGATAGCCCTGGATGTGCGGCAGATGTTCATTCTGATAAGGGGGTTACAAAGGTACAAACAGGTTTGGACATTGAAAGTTCACCCAAATTTCCAAATCTCGCAGGCACAGTTTGTGCTGCATCTTCAATGCTGTCTTCTCCAGGTTGGCTGATACCGCTGCAATCGGTGTGCTATGTCTGCCATGACTATATGTACAAGACTGCAACTGGGGCATTGCCCAGATGACATGGAAGAATTCTCTTGCTGAAGCGGCCGATCTATTCCTGAACTTCAATTCAACCACACTTGTAAGTTTGGACAGCAACGGGACCAGGCAGTTGTGCACGTATTTTGGCGGGAAGCATGTCAAATCTATGTTCATTTCCAGCCTCTGACAGTTCCTTAGTATAGACAAGCTGAGCACCTGGGCTAAGGGTGCATAGCTTCCAAAGAAAGATATGTCAATTGCTCCCACATATTCAGCAAGCTCGGGTCTCGCTATGAATGTATCGGTGATCTGGGTTACACTCTCACTGTACCACAGATGCACCTCGCGGTAGAGGTTGAACTGGCTCCGGGGTAGCCATGCAGAGCACGTCAAGGCGCAGGCTCTCAGAGTCTTATTGCGGTCCGTCCAGACGAAATTGAAACACTCATCGATGATGCACTCACAGACCTCGATTGGGAGGCACGAGTTCTCCATGGTCCTTGAGGCCCTGCAAGAAAGCGAAGTCGCGAGCGCAGCGTAAGTGGAGACAGCAGCAGCGGGGTCGTCGCAGAGGGCAAGACGGATTCCCTGTCAGGACGTGAATTGTATTTGTATCTGCTCCGGTCGATCCGCAACCATGCACCGCATCGCGGAAATTATATAACTTTATACGACAGGCCTCGTGAGCACCCGCACCCTGCGCGTAGAGAGGGTAGCTGAACGTACTATGAACTGCACGGCCTACAGCGAGGCGTGTGCACCGCTCGACACAGCGCGGCTGAAAGGTTAACCGGCTACGGCCTCAGCGCAGGGGACGGGTGCAGCGCGAGGACATCGAGGATACGTACACGCTGTCCGTGCGAGACGTCGAAGAGAAGCGGTAGGTGCTTCCCGGAACTCGGGTCGCCCGGCACCAGAGCACCCGAGGGCGGCGAGAGACGCCGACGGTGCGCGCGGTATCGCAGTATTTGGGCGGAAGGGCTTGACCAGTGGGATGCAGGGTCTCGCGAAGGCGAGACCCAGTGGCCAAAAAAACAGGACGGGGAGAGCTGTGCTGATGATGCCGATGAGGCGAACGACGGATCGAAGCGACACGCACGAGGCGGTGGTGGACGGCAGAGGCGGGAGAAAACACGGCGAGGAAAGATACATGCGCACCTGAGGGCGATGGTCGAACGTCGTTGACCGAAGGACCGGGAAAAGATGATCGTACCGACGGTGCTTTGCACACCGCGCGCGTCGGACAGCGAGCATAACTTCGTCCTATGACCGTGTGGGAATCTTTCACACGGCGGCAGGATAATGACCAGTTGTCAGAGACAACGGCAGTTTAGAACAGAAAGATATGGGATAAACCAATTGGGGACAGCAGCCATGGTCGCGGGGTGAGCGTGCGCGAAGGAGGGGTGCGAACTCACAATGCCAGACAGATTCACGTTGTACGCATGATCTTCACGAATTCGAAGTAGTCGATGTTTGCGAATGCGACAGCAACTTGGCAGTGGCTAAGCATAATTTGTGGGTAAGTACTAGCCAGGCGACACGACTGGCCTGGGACGGGGAAGCGTGGCGGCAGACCAACATGGGACAGCTCCTCCTCCAGGGCGTTGCGCAACAATCCATACACACGAATGCACGCACTATTTTCCCAAGCATTGACATGCGCGCGAGGTCCTTCTCCTGTTGCATGAGGGCAGGTGGTCCTGTCTATGGCTCCATTATCGGTGAGAATTGAGGCGTCGAGCTGCGCCGCGTTCCAAGTACCCAGCAAGCTTGAAGAAGCTTAAGCGTAGTATACGAAGCCATCGAGAAATCCAGCAGCGGATGGTATGAGGTAAACCCAATGCACTTGAGGTTACAAGGGAACGCGAGCGGAAAGACGAGGTCAAGGAAGTTCAAGGAAGACGACATACGTGACCGTCTTGGGAGACTAGAGGCGGGCGTTAGGCGCCGCGCCCGTACTAGTAGGGCGTCCGTCCTGCCATGCAGATGTCGAACAGGGTGACGCGCAGACCACCGGATGACTGCCAGTTGATGTGTGTGTAGAGGATGAAGCAGAGTGTGAGTGAGGAGACACATCGGAATATTCATGTAGGAGATACGGAATTATGCACAGTTCGGACGACATGTGTGCGGCGTGTATATCGCTAGTCCCCCCCGGTCGCACACCAGCTAGATGAAGCACTCTGAACGACGTGTCATAGCAAGACTGACTACCTCTACGGAGTGACGTCCACACAGAAATTCGGCGGAAACACACTATATGCGTACAAGTACACGGCCACGGCACACGCGCGAGCGTCCAGACATCGACGCCGACTCAAAGCTGATACATAATACCGCACCACGAAAGGGGGGGGGGCGACCGAGCGGATCCACGGAGTCTATGGTACAAGCTCACAGGCCCTGGCCTGGCACGAGGGAGAGCATACATGTGAGCGGAAAACTTGGAGCACGGAAGGAGGCACATCACGATAGCATAGAAACGAGATCGAGGGGCATTGAACCAGGGCAATACAACACACCGCAGCGAAGAACAGACACATAGGCGACGACACAGGAGTCCGGGCGGAAACGTGGTGCGCTGGGATCAGCGCCGTTCAGGGTGCCCGCGGAAGGGGTTTCGACAGAGGGCGTTGCGACGAGCTGACCGGGACCCGAGGTCCTGCGGCGCCCCAGATATCGCGGTTTCCAACCCTCTGAGTAATGTGCTGGCTTCTACGGGCGAGTCACGGCCCCCCTCGTACAGGAGCCCCTGGTGTTTCACGCGACGCAGTAGGTGCTGCAGTCGTTCGCGGAGAGATAGTCTAGGAGTATGATTCCGATGCACGGCATCGACGCTGTCCAGCCGCCATTATTCCACAGCTGGGCCATCGAAGACAGCGCGGGGTACGGCCCGGGCTGGGTACCGTTCGTCCTCGCGTCGACGTGGTAAGGGAGGGAGCGATCGGCGTATCCCATAGTCCCTTGGTGAAGGAAGCCGACGTCCATCTTGCGGGAATACACAGGGTCGGCGTACGCAGCAGGTACGCCGGTGCTGTACGCGACGGCTGAGTGCTCAGTGAGCGCAGGGTACGAGCCGAACCCGTCCGGCAGCGGCTGGCTCTGGCTTTGACTTTGGCTTTGGTTCTGACTCTGGCTGGACGAGTACAACTCCTGGCCCTGGCTCAACGGAAACATTGGAGAGCGCCCCAACGACAGCGACTGGACGCGTTGATGGCTGTGCCCGACCGGCGGCAACCCGTTGTAGGAGCGACTCGTTCCGAGAGGCACAGACCCGTGTCCGAGACTGAGCGCGGATTGCAGGGGGTACGCGGGTGACTGCACGTGCGCGATCTGCGACTGGCTCTGCAGCTGGTACGACGGATACGAGGGGCCACTTGTGGTGCCCGCGGCGCCCTGGAAGCCGAGCCCGTCGCTCTCGCTCGAGGACCATATCGACGGACCGCCGCCAAGAGGGTTTGAGCCGAACAGCATGTGGGCAGGAGGCGACGACGCCTGGCGAACGTGCAGCGATCGAGTTAAGTCGCCCTTCGGCGGAGTCCGGTGGAGGACGTTCGCGGTCCTGGGCAGTGGTGACACTGGGCGGGAGCCCCGAAGGCGGCGTGAGGTCCACACTGCGCTTCGGGACGAAGTTGGGAGACCGGGAAGGCGGACTGCGCGGGCTTAGAGCGGGCGCAACCGGGCTAGAGACGTGGGGCCTAGGGGGTGAGATCGCAGGTGGCGGCACACTCTTCGGCGCGGAGACAACAACCGGATCCCGAGAGATAGGTGGAGGAACGGGAGCCGCGCTGACAAGGGGGATTGAGTCGGGGCATATCGGGTTACAGAGGGAAGGACTAACCGGGGTTCCCACACGATCTCATCCTCTTCATCATCATCTCCGGCCTCAGTTGGGGGACCTAACGCCTTGCGGAAAGCGGCATCGACAGGATCATCCTCCGTGCGAGTGATATCTGTCATGTTATCCTCATCCCGATCCATACTGCGGGGCTCGTATGTCAGATGCGGTAGGAACTGAGGAGGTTCTTTGAGCGGGACGTCGGAGGCGGGCGGATCTTCTGAGCGGGTCGTCGATCTGCAGCGGGCAGATAGTACGTTCCTTCGACCAAGAAGCTGCCTTCAAAGACGTTCAGTGGACAGATCTATAACAACAGCATGGCTTGTTACTAGCTTCTCTCCCGGCGTCCGAGACTGACATACCTCGTCCCTAGCGAGAGCTTGTGCGTCTGCAAGGAGATCCGCGATCCTCATGAGTTGCTCCTCGTTTGGATGCACTTGCTCTGGCTGCAACGTCTTCACCTTCGCAGGTCCGCCATTACGATCATCAACGGGTACGTCTTTGGAAGCGGTAGTTGCTCCGACAACCTCACTCGGAACGAACTTTTTCAGCGGCAGGAAGCCCGCCATCTCCACATCCTCGTCCAAAGTCGTCACAAGCTTCGGGAGCTTCTGTTGGGGGAACATACGCCACAGAGCGGTCGCGAACTGCGCATATGATCGCCAAAATTCGGGGAGACCAGGCATTGTGGGAGTGGTAGTCGCACCGCTCGAGCGTCTGTCGCTATCTCGTCTACGGTCGCGGCCCTTCGGCTTCGAAGACGACGGGGTGTCGGGTGCGGCGCCGTTCGCGATGTGCTGCTGCCACGCCTGAGCGAGGTAGCGCAGGTTCGCTCTCAGCCATTTGCTCCCGATTCTAAGAGCGGGTAGTAGCCGCTTAGCAATCCCTCCGACCCGCGGTCTAATCTTAACGATGAGCCTGCTGCATGCGGCGTCGCTAAGTCAATTCCGCTGCCGTACGCGAGGTGACATCACCCCTACTCGTCGCCTCGAGCCCGCGCAGCGACGCACTAGCGCGGGCATCCTAAAGCCATGCAGCCCGTCTTCTGCCCGTGATAAACGGGAGCCTACGCACGCTTGACGACCCAAGCCCGTGAGGTCGACTGGACCGCTTCCTATCTCGCGAGGTGCGTTGTATCGCCGTCTCTCTCCATTTTTGAGTGCTTATATCGGGCCATCCAGGACAGGGTGTTGGCTAAACATCATTTTATTCTCCTTCCCTACCTTCTCTTCCTCAGGCTCTCCGTCCGACGATGAGCGCAGGCTCTAACAGCACCATTCCTGCGGCGGCTGTTCTCGCGGCGAAAGATCAAGCTATCTGGGTCCCGCGGAACATAGCATACACCCATCAGCTGTGGTGGTTCGTTGCCAGTTTTATCGGCCTCATCGCGGCGGGTCAGTTTCTCTCTTGGGTACTGTCGTGCCTTTTCGCACGCTCCACGCGCGAGGACGCCGAGGGACGCGGCGCGGCTCGCGTTCGCCGTTTTTCCTGGAGCCGACTTCCTATCGCCTTGGTCAACCACTTCCGCGTGTTCGCTTTCAGGAATACGGTCGGCGTTGGCCAGACGTACACCTTTATCTACGCAGAGGTTTGCATCACGGTTGGGTACATCGCCGCCCTTTTCACCTGGGAGTTTGCCAACAGTACGCGGTCTTCACTGTTCATCCTGTTTGTTTAGCGACTGACGGCTATGTGTAGCGACGGGCCTCGCGGGGTCTGCCTTGACATTTGGGTACTGGTCGGGAAGGGCAGCGGCGCTATCTGTCAGCCAGCTCCCTTTGCTAACGGCGCTAGGAACCAAGAATAGTATCCTTGCATGTGAGTAGTGCGCTCACTTGCACCAAGTGTCATGGTCCTGACCGATACTATGTGCCGAAGACATCACGGGAGTCAGTTATGACAAGGTGGGACTTCACTCTGTTTCATGTGAAAAAGAGGTCAATGCTGAAACTTTTTGTATAGCTGAATTTCTTTCATCGGATGGTGGCCCGCGTGATATTCATTCTTCTTTGGGTTCACGCAAGCTCTAAAGTAAGTCCTCTCTCCTTACCAGCGCGAGGACCTTGTTCATGGCGACCTACCTATAGATCGCAACGTAGGTCTAGACGTTGGTGACCTCTACGATCATTACTGACTTGAATCCAGCATCGCGCCTGCGTCTTATGAGGAGTGGTACATTCGGGCGGCCTTGACGGCCATAACTGCTTTCACTATCCTCATGATCCTCATGGTCGTATCGTATCGGTCAATCCGATCCCGATACTACGAATTCTTCTTCTTCACGCATTTCACAATGGTACTGTGAGTACGCCATACCTGACCGCTCTTTCAGCTGTTACTCAACACGTTTATGGTGTGTAGCATCTTCCTCATCGGCGGCTTCTATCACGCGAGGCAGCTTTCTATATTCTCTACATACGTCTGGCCTTCATTCCTGATTTGGGGAATTGACCGCTTCTGCCGCTTTCCTCGCCTGGTCTACTACAACAACTACCTCTTCTCTGCCGCCTCACGGCCTACTACCGGTATTGACGCGTCCGTGGAGCTCCTCTCGGCCCAGTTTGTGCGCCTGCGCTTTCCCCGGCCCTCGCAACTTAAATGGACCCCCGGACAAGCCGCATTCCTCATCCTGCCCTCCGTCTCCACCATCCCTTTCGAAGCGCACCCGTTCACGATCGCGAGCGTTGACTCGCGCTACCGCTTGCGCGGCAAGTCGATTTCGCGCACAGATTCTATGGCGACATTGTCAGAAGCCAAGGACATGCGCGACGCCCCGGAGTCAGAGGAGCTACAGTTCATGATCAACGTCCGCGAGGGCTTCACGAAGCGACTTGCGCAGGTGGCGGAGATGGGCCAGAGAGTCAAGGTGTTTGTTGACGGCCCGTATGGGTTCTCCCCTGACCTGTCGGGCGACGATACAGTCGTTCTAGTTGCCGGTGCGTAGGAGCTGCCACTCGGGATCAGACATGGCTAATACAAGGGTATCCACATTATAGGAGGGTCGGGTATCTCTCTTGTTCTCTCGATGTTCCTCGGCCTTGTCAGGTAAAGATGCGATTCATTTCATCTCAAAGCAAACAACTAATAGGTGCTATTCGTAGCGATGTCCAGAATGGAATAAGTCGGTGCCGTAGAGTCGTGTTCATTTGGTCTATTCGTGATCCCGGTGAGTCCATGTCTATGTTAGGAGCGTCTTGCGCCTCATACTCGACTTTCAGCGCAACTCGACTGGATTGCTGACCCCATGGGCAAAGCCTTGGAGCTCGCTCCGGAGCAGCTCGACGTGTCCGTCCGTATCTTCATGACCGGTCGTGGGCGGTTGCTCGACCCAACACCCCTGATGGACGGCGACGGCGGGAGCACCTCCGCGTACGAGATGATGCCACCCGCGATGGAGATCCGCCGCCCTCTGCTCAGCTTCGCCGCCGTCCAGGTCGCACAATGCCGTCCGGAGTTGAACAAGCTACTCAAGGATGAGGTATCTGCCACCGCTGGACGCATCTCTGTTACCGGTGAGTATCAGTTTTTGTAGACTTCGATGTACCAATGCTCATGCTTCGACAGTCTGCGGAGGACAAGCGATTGCGAAATCCTGTCGCGATGCTCTCCGGATTCCGTTCAGCCAGACGCTGTACGGCGGTCCTAGCGTCGTGCTCCACGTAGAGTCTTTTGGTTACGCTTAGATATTCGCGTTCAATTTGTTCGAATCGCCCGTACGCTCGTTCCATTGCGCACATAGATCGTACACCACTCTGGGTTGTACATGCCCCGCTTCTCAGTCGCACGGACACTCCTTAGTGCCGAATGAGAAAGTTCCAGGGACTCAACACTGCGTACATGTTTGACCTTACAATACCCCACAACAGTCCTTTTGGCGACCTAGAAGCTACTTACACCCTTCCTATATTTGCTATATGTATGCTCTACTAGTACTATGTACCCATGGACGGTGTATACATTGATTTGCATGCCTACGTAGTCTTCAGTGTATCCAGGAACGCGAGGAAGTCCCTCTTCGACGCACCGCCTTCCTCCCACTCCGAAAGCACTTCACTCCTAAGCTGCTGCAGCTTAGCGCGCTTCTTAGCCCCATCCTCGCCGAACGCCTTCGCAAGCACGTCGCGCGCCTCGGCCTGCAGCGCCTCGGTTGTCCCCGCGGCCTGCCGACCGTTCCGAAGAATCGGCTTCAGCCCGTGCCCGCTCCGCACCTCGATAAGCTCGTACGCGACCCCGAGGTTCTCGGAAAGGTGCACCGCATTGAGTGGCTGGTCTGCGCCGAACGGCCACATGATGCTGCAAAGCGGCCGTCAGCGTCGTGTCTTCCGTGCAGGCACACTGGTCACCTACAGAGGAACTCCGGCGGTGATCGCCTCGAGCGCGCCGTTCTGTCCGCCGTGCGAGACGAACCAACCGGTGGCCTGGTAATCAAATGTTATTCTTGAACTTCACCGATGAAGAAAGCGGGCTACGTACGGGGTGGTTGAGAATCGCCTGCTGAGGCGACCACGGCGATAACAGTCCCTTGCCGTACGCCGTCACTTTCGCGGTCACCGCGTCCGGGATTGCACCGGCCAAAGGAGAGGCATGGCTCAGGATCTGATCCAAGTGCTGAGTCAAACGAACACCGGCGATGTGTCGAGCGCACTCACGAATGGGAGACCGAGTTCCATCACAACGTCAAGGAACGCCCAGATCGTGTCGGGGGTCTTCACAGGCCAGAAGATACTGCCGAATGAGATCTAGTGCGCTTCGAGTATCAGAAGCCGTAACTCGAGAATGTTCGCAACACATACATATAGCAGAGAATGCTCCCCGGACGTTCGCAGCGTCTCGTCCAAGAAGCGCTCGATCGCGTGGGCCTGTGATGACTGTTGTTTCTCCCCGGCGAGAGCCCGGGTACCGGAAGGCAGAAGCGGTCCAACGATGTACGCTGCTTTCGACAGCTCCTTGTACCACTCTCGCAGGGTTGCGACGGCTTCGGGCTCGTATGATTCAGACGTGACGATGAATACTCCGTCGGCGATCATGAGAGACCTGAACGCACGAGTGTAAGGACGCGTGTGTAGAGGCTTCAAGGCAAGACATACTCGTATGCCGGTATGAAAATTCTTGCGGCAATCTCCTCTGGCATGGGGAACTTTTCGTATGTCAGTCAGATGCTCGATGGACATTATATGCTATATGAACTTACATCTTGAGGTTGATACTCGTAGTCGTACATAGGAGGCATGCCTGGGGCACGGACGACGTCACCACGCGCATTGAGCATCTGTACCAAACCATGCATGAGTAACCCGGACGACAATAAGGCACACAAATTCCACCTACCTCCAACGCTATCTCCACAGGCTCTCTGCCTGTACGACGCGCCTCTTCCTCCGCCTTCACGCGTATATTCCCCTTCCCTCCCAAGCTCTCCGAACCAAATAGAGGGAAGAACGGAGAGAGCAGACCAGGGAACCACAGGTACGCCTTTACACTGTCTCCGCTGATAGCCTTCGCGTCCCGAAGGGACTGGTGTGCAAAGCACTACTTGCTACGGTTCAGTATGCAGTAGACAATCAACGCAGCAGCCCGGACGTACATCGAAGATGAGGGCGTTGGGCTTGGGACCCGAGGGGAACGCCGCCCCGGTCTTCACGCAAACGACCTCCTCCCCGTTGTCGAGCTTTCTCCATGCGGCAGCGAAGGCATCCTCGAGTGTCTTCGACGTAACCGCGCCCTCATGCACCAGCCCGACGATCCTGCAAGCGATCGTCAGGACAAGATCTGGAGAACCTCGCGCGCGTGTGCGGGCACGCACCTAACACGGGAGAGGAAGGCATCTTCGCCGACCTCAAAGTTGCGCAAGAGCTCGGCCTTGACTCGATCAACGAACTCGGGGGTCGTGAAGAATGTCACCAAAGTGGATCCCGTCTTCGCGACGCGCGCGGAGAGCGTGATCAGAGGACGTGCATGGCCTGTGCAAGCGCGATGGTCAGAACGTTGTGTGCGAGAGGGAGCGGCCGATATCATACCCCACGCCTGTAACGGGAAGACAGCCAGGTGAAATCCTACTGGAGAGTCGCTCATCTTGAGAACCGTTATTGTGAGGGAAGAGGGATATAACGGTGCAAAATCGAGCTGTGGGTGTCGTCTCACATTATAAGTGGTAGAACGCACGAGGCGTTCACACGACCAGGGCGCTTGGTAACTCCCACATAGAATGACTCACCTGAGGTCAAACGTAAGAACTGTCAGCGGGACCGTGAGCTTGTATCCACCATAGAAGGTTTTGCAAATCGAGAGGCCGGCCCCGCGCCGTCCCCGTACAATCACTATCAAGGAACTGGTTGGTTGAGCGTTCAGCTCAGGCTCTGCGCAGTCGTCGTGATTGCATAGATGCCACCATGTCATTGAGGTTTCTCTCGCAGACCAGCAAGGTGCAATGCACCCATCAAATATTCCTAGCGCGTAACATCTGAGTGTCATCTCAGCGTGTACTAGCGTACTTCTGTCACGATGTGAGAACAGAACTCAGTGAACCAACACATGGCTAAAAGTACTCACATTGGAGATTCTCATTGATGAGAACATCTCTAACAGACTTGACATGTACTCGCTCGTCCGTCGTCTTTGACGGGTGTACAAGGCATGTTGCCAATGCGAGCGACGAGGTTGATTACCGCCACTACGAAACAAGGTTGAAGCTAATAGCCTCTGATCCTAACAAGGACAAATACTGGCCCAGGTTACCACTACCTCGAGTCCACGTGGCTACCAAAAGTCTCAGATCATTAGATGTGAAGCTTAGAGATTGAGTGTAGCTCACCGATTCAGTGGTGAGCATCGCCATGTTTGACCGGCGCGGCGCAGCATTAAGACCAACAGCCCGATACTGGTACTGTAACCGTCGAAACATTTTACGATCTGCACAGGATGCAAGTGCACTACAATAACGCAAGACAACGAGGGTCATGCGAGAAACAATTCCAGCCGGTCATGTCCAGTCCTATAGCGATCGTGAGATGTGCTCTGCGCACGAGGGGTCCGTCCCGGCCCATAGGTGCTACGTGTGGCGGCCGAATCTCCAATCCGAGATGCACCATCCGGCTCATAACCAAAACGCACCATTCTAGAACGCCACTCCAAACGACGCCAACGCGAGCCCAACAGCGGCGGCGCCCCACAACGACGCGGAGAGGGCGCTGGGTGCTTGTCGTGACGCTCCACTGACGGTCTGCCCGGTGAGGTTCGATGGTGCAGAGGCGCCAAATAGTTGGAGGTTCCGGTAGTACGCGTTGACCGTAGACGGCGGCGCCCACGAGTCGTCGCTGCCGCCGAAGAAGGTCGAGAACCAGAGGCCGCCGATGGTGATACCCGCGTCTGAGCGGTATTGCAGCGCCTGCTCGTCGAGCGCCTTCACGTTGTTATAGCTGCAAGGGGTTGGATACATGAATTCGCTGCCGCCGAGAGCTGTGCGAAGGACGTACTAGAGGACGACTTCGCCGTTTGCCGTGTTCAACGGTTGGTTGAGACGCACGAGAAGGGTCACGCGATTCCATCTGTTGGGCGTCGGTTAGCTGAGTATTAGGGTGAATGATAAGCAAGGGGACGCACTGGCCGGCGACGAAGGAGAACGAGCTCCGGTCGATGCTAGTCCCGAAGCCGTCCGAGTTGCACTTGAAGTGCGAGCTAGAGCAGATGTCGTTCGGTGTTGGGATATAGGCGTAGACTACGATCATACGAGAGAATGAGCGCCGTCGTACGAGATCTTCGCCGGCGCGGGTGCGCGCAGGGCTTGGCGTGCGCCTGGAGGATTTACGCACCTTCGCCAGCGGCCTCCTTACGCCACATGAGTCGCGTGCTGAAGCAGTTGCTCCCATTTGCCGCACTTCCTCCCGAACAGCCATCGGGGTCAAGGCCACCTCTCAACCCCGGAAGCTTCCCTCCCTTGACGAAGTCGAAGTTGGAGTCAAACGCCACCTCGTACGTAACGAGCATGCTTTGGAACGTCGATCCGTCCGACGTGTTCCATAGCGAGTAGAGCTGCATGCCGCTGGTCTCACTGCCGACCTGCCCGGACGGGTATGTCACTTGCAGCACGGGGCCAGTGCTGTTCGTCGTGGAGGTCGGCGCGGGCTTGTCCGGGAAGGGGTCCGCGACGAAGGCAATGTTGGACGCGCCCTGCTGAATCTTGCCCTTGCTGAGCGACCAGCCAGAGACGATGAAAGACTGGGCATCCGAGTTTGAGAGCGTGGCAGTGGGGAAGGGTATAGACGTGCTGGTCGTGAGGGAGTAGATCGACGCGAGTGTGGTGGGGTCAGCGATCTGCTGCGACCACGCGGGGGAGGCGGCGGCGACGACGAGAGTGAAGACGGCAAGCGCAGTAGAGAACATGGCGGCGAGATGTGGCAAAAGAGGGACCTGCCCGCGAGATGTCTATGAGGCTTGAGAAAGGCTTCGCCGCAGCAGTTGTGGACAAATTAGCTTGTCCGTGCTACTCCGCCCAGACCAACAGTTTCACTGACCTGTACTACCACTCGTACGATGAACTCCCGGACGTGCTCGCGTCAAAAGAAAAACTGAACAGGATGAGAGGACAGGTGGTGGCAGTCGAGAGCTAAGTTAGACAACCGCAAGACGGACGCGTTTGGCAACAAGCGCCCACTAATCTCCGCGCTATTGCGGGCGGCTGTATGCGCGTTGTCTCACCTCTCCGTCTTCCACTTCCACTGCTCATGGTCGCACTATCGCCTTAGCTATTCATCGACGTGCAGAACAGCTCTTATGAGCCATCTAGGACATCTTGATGCTGGAACTCTCTGGGCTGTCGACGCTAAGCTGACTGTGGTTTTGTTTTGCCGTCTTGGAAATACACGCGGCACTCGACTCGAAGCCAAAGAGTGAGGCACACTAGACCTGCTACAGCTGTGCTCAAATGTGCTCAGATGGCTCTCTAATGGGATTACCTTAATCCTTGTAGAGACCCCATACAGACGTGAAGTTGGAAGAGAGATGGACGTGTACTCAATCAGACCCAATCATATCCCATCGCTGACTTAAAGCGGCCTACGTTCGATTATGAGTTTGGGAACGGTTGCGTGCAATCGCCGATGATCGTGTCCTGCAGTCTACTTTCACCACAGATGCAACAAGATGCAGGGTAACTTGGTGAGGGCTACACTTGAACGATGTTCCGCAGTACTTGCTCTACTCATCAATATCAATTCCAGTACCAACGCTCAGTTCATACTTGAAGGCCACAGTGTCGCTTTCAGGCTCCAAGTCATATGCCGAATTTCGACGACAAGTCATCCTTTCCTCACATCGGGAAGTTTTGTGATCAAAATGGATGGGCGGCAACAGCATCAACGTACGGGACAGCGGCATGATGGAACCTGTGCGTTACTACTTTCTTCCCTGACACCGCAAGCCGTATATATGGATGATAACCTGATCTACACACAGGCCCGCGTGCCCAGCCTGGCGACAGCCTGCTCTGACTACAGGTTTTGATGGCATACCTCTTCTTGGCGGCGGTATGTCGTCCGCCTCCGACGTTTAAAAAGGTCGCTCCACGATCATGACAATCTGGCTTGCCCCCAGCACATTCACATCCGACTTGAGGTCATTCTCGCTGCACGGTTTCTCTCTTCAGCCCTGGTTGGCTTTCCTGTTCATTTTTCTTGAGAGATTCTTGTAACGAGTTCACGTCCCCACACACGACCTACCTCCGTCTCTACCATGCTCCTCTCCGCGACCGTCCTTATCCTTGGCGCTCTGAAATATGCCGCTGCAGCCCCTACGCCTGCCTTCGACATCAACGTCGGCGTGGGCAGCACTTCCGATGCCAAGACGACCGCTGTCTCGCAGGACGACATCACGAACAATCTGGTTCGTCCCGCACTATTCAGCCGTGCGGCGTATTGCTCGGCCGCTGCCGTGGAGAACTGGCAATGCGGAGACTCCTGCGACGCACTCCCCAACGTCAAGGTCCTGACGGCCGGAGGCGATGATGGTCTCATCCCAGGCTTCTTCATCGCACACGATGTGGACAAGAACACGATCGTGGTTGCGCACCAGGGGACGGAGCCGAAGAACTTCCTGTCGGATCTTAACGACCTCAAGTTCAGTCAAGTGGATGCGAACACCACAGTGCTGCCCTCCGCCGGTGGTGCGTTGTGCAAATAATTGCGGGGCAAATCACATTTACTCATCCGCGGGACTTATACAGGCGATGTGAAGTTGCACGACGGGTTTGCTGAGACGCAGGGGCGGACCGCAGACCTAGTCTTGTCTACTGTCCAGGCGGCGCTGAACTCGACAGGCTCCAAGAGCGTCCTCGTCACTGGTCACAGCTTGGGGGCAGCAGTCGCGAGCATCGACGCGATTATGCTGAGGTCCAAACTTGACCCGAGTATTGAACTCACGTCGGTCGTCTACGGACTCCCCCGCGTCGGAAACCAGGCATGGGCTGATCTTGTCGACTCTATGGTGAGTGTGTGCCCCTGTCGATCACGTCTCTCGTGAGATCTCATGCTCGTGCATATATGCAGCTCGGCTCCTCGTTCACGCATGTCACGAACCAGAACGACCCAGTGCCGCGAGTGCCGCCACAGTTCTTGCAGTTCCAACACCCCAGTAACGAGGTACACATCACCGCCGTTGACCCGTCTGGCGAGACCGCCACGGCGGAGCATTGCCCCGGTCAGGAGAACTCAAACTGCTCTGGGGGAAACAACATTCTGGACGCGAGCGTGACGAACCATAGAGGTCCGTATTTCAACAACATCTCTATGGCGAACAGGTTCTGCACCCTATAAATGTGATATGGTCATTGTCCCGCTTATCCATATCGCGACTTGTGTGAAAGCGAATTTTTGCTCCCTGCTGTCGGTCAGTGGATCGATCCGCGGAGCCGCCGCAGACAATCTTGTGGACTTGCTCGGACTGTTTCTGCGCGGCTTCCCGGACTTCGCTGCATGACTGGCAGCGGAAACCCGCGTCCGTCTTCTCGTGGGCTCTCCCACTCTCCACGCTTTCACATCGGTAGATCGTCTCCAGGCTGCTTTCAAATTTCTATCACCGGCCTTGAAAGTTCAATATGGCCTATCCGATGCTCTTGATATGCCTATATGCCTCTGAATTGCCCGTTCTGCGAAGAACGGTTTCATTGCCGGTGCGCTTCTCCAGTTCTTGAACCTTGCACCCGGCCGTGTGCGAGCCTCGTGTGCTGACCTTAGTCAGTCCGTACGGCTTGTTATGCCCTCGGCACTGCACCCTGATGCTTCTGTCGAAGAACCTAGTGTTCATATCGCACGAACAAGCTTCTATGATGCTCGTGCACGCGATAAGGTCCGCCCATCTGTGTCCTGTGACGTCGTGCCGACGACGAAAGTCATGGTGCACGACCTGCCATCTACGGCGCCCATACAGTAAGTATCAAATCCGGTGCTTATCGCGGCCGAACATAGGCAGCGACTGACCAATGCCCGCGCGCCCCTCTCGCTAGACTTCACAGGCCGAGGTGGGTTACTTGGGCCGTTCTCTCGCCGCCGCATGAGCGGCTCCCACACACGCAGGTTGATGGGAACGGCCTGCCATTTACTGTCTTTTTCGCATTCATTTTTGGCTCCCTGCCTTTTCAGCCGGGATCATTCTGCCTTAGGAGTTAGCCCGACGAAAGATCCGCCTCGTTGGGCGTGCAAGGTGAGCTTCGGTGCGTCTTCCATACTCGTCGCGCTGCTGCGCACGAGTACCTCGCACCATGTGTGCTTCGTGTCTTATCGCTTGGCACGAGGAGAGCTACACTCCAGTTCGACGACACAGCGCATATAAAGGTCGCGGTATTTGGGTATGGGCTCCCCACGAGCGGATTCTGCCCTCGCTTTTGGTCTTGGCCCGCCATGTTCTCCTCAACCCTCCTGGTCGTATGTCTCGCTGCTGTCGCGTATGGGAAGCCGATGGCGCGCAGCATGCAGGTGCATGAGACGCGGGAGTCGGTGCCCTCCGCATTCCAGCGCGTCAGCGCTGCGCCGTCGGACGCGACCCTCAACCTCCGCATCGCGCTCGTACAGAACGACATGGCCGGGCTCGAGAAGGCGCTCATGGACGTGAGCGACCCCGCCAGCCCCCTCAAGGGCCAGTTCCTCACCAAGGAGGAGGTTCGTCATCGGTGCCCTCGATGCTTTATATGCCGTCGACTCACCCCGATTTCGTTAGGTCAACGCATTCGTTGCTCCCAAGCCTGAGACCGTTGCGGCGGTCAACGCATGGCTGACGGAGAACGACATCGTAGCGACCGCCGCATCCCCCGCGGGAGACATGCTCAGCTTTTCGATCCCGGTCAGCAAGGCTAGCGAGCTGCTTGACGCGGACTTCGCCGTGTTCAACCACACCGCGACCGGCAAGACAATGATCCGCACGCTCGCGTACTCGATCCCGGCCGAGCTGAAGGGTCACCTCGACTTCGTTCACCCGACCACTGTGTACGTGTTTGGAAGCTCTATGCCCTGTGTTGGATTCCTGACAGTCAGACTTGCAGCTTCGCCCAGCCGTTCTCTGGCAACGTCTTCAGCTTCGTGCCCGCGCCCGCTGACAGGCCGGTCCCCGAGGTGAACGTGACGTCAGATGCTGTCCCGGCCTCCTGCGCTACTACCATCACCCCGGCGTGCCTCCAAGCTCTGTACGGGATCCCCACCGCCGCCGCCACCCAGAGGGCGAACACTCTCGGCGTTAGCGGCTTCATTGACCAGTTCGCTAACCAAGCGGACCTTAGGGTAAGTTTCCCGTCGAGTGCTCATGTTAAGCGAGGACCTTACACTATGCAATACAGGCTTTCTTGACTCGGTTCCGCCCTGATATGTCATCGGCAACCGCATTCACTCTTCAGACGCTCGACGGTGGTCAGAACCCGCAACAGCTGGCCAACGCTGGTATCGAGGCTGTAAGCTGGCGGCGCTATAATCCTTGCTCTGAGCGGGCCGCTGACGCTGTCTCTTCAGGACCTGGACACGCAATACACGATCGGCATTGCAACGGGCGTCCCAACCACGTTCATCTCCGTCGGCGACAACAACCGCGACGGCGTGAATGGCTTCATGGACATCATCAACACCCTGCTTGGCGAGAGCGCGCCCCCTCAGGTCCTCTCCACCAGTTACGGCTTTGACGAGCCCGACCTCCCCGCGAGCGTAGCCACGTGAGTGTGCACTGGAGTGGCTGTTACCACCCCCACCCCCCGTACTGACGTTCGTGTTCAACAGCAACCTCTGCAATGCCTACATGCAGCTCGGTGCCCGTGGTACTTCCATCCTCTTCTCGTCCGGCGATGGTGGCGTGTCCGGCTCACAGAGCCAGAGTTGCACCACCTTCATCCCTACGTTCCCGTCTGGATGCCCCTTGTCAGTATCCGCTCCCTCTCACGTGCTTGGCATATTCTAACCACTCCGCGCAGCGTCACCTCCGTCGGCGCCACCACCCGCATCAACCCCGAGGTTGCTGCAACCTTCACCGGTGGAGGCTTCTCCAACACCTTCGCAGCGCCGAGCTACCAGTCTGCTGCTGTCTCGACCTTCCTCACCGCGAACGGCAACACGAACTCGGGCAGGTTCAACAGGGCGGGACGCGGGTTCCCCGACATCTCCGCGCAGGGCCAGAACGTCGACATCGTGTTCCAGAACCAGGTCGGCACCGTCGCGGGGACGAGCTGCTCGTGCCCGATCACGGCGAGTATCATCTCGCTGCTCAACGACGAGCTCCGCGCCGCGGGCAAGCCGTCGCTCGGCTTCTTGAACCCCTTCCTGTACTCGACCGCTGGACGTGCCGCGCTCACGGACATCACGAGTGGCTCGAACCCTGGCTGCAACACGAACGGCTTCACCGCACGTGCGGGCTGGGACCCCGTCACCGGTCTCGGCACGCCCAACTTCGCGGCGTTGAGGACCGCTGTGGGCTTGTAAGGAAGGTAGATACGTAACTGTTCGAGGGAGAGCCGAGTAGGCGATCTAGGAGCGCAGTTGTGGTGGTCTGTAGGACGATGTTTGTATAAGCAATGTAAAAATACATGCAATGAACCCACGGGTCACGGTGTATCTCTCGTTCCTGAGTGTGTCCCCAGAGTCCAATCATGAAGACATGTAAGCCGCGTAGAACGGACCACCGGAAATCATACAGTTCTAGCTAGTAGTAACACATTGAGAGTCAATGTCACTGGCACTGCAGGCGGTATGAAATCGCATGGTATTGAGCACAGAATCTGCCACCACTTCTTCGGTTCCGGTGGATCTCTTGGACGGTCTCTCCGCAGGTCGAGCGCCAGCGGTCCATCGCGTTTCGGAAGCGGCTGAATGGGGGACACGCCCCACCGCTCGTCCTCATCATACTCGTCCTCCGTCCAGCAACCTCCGCCGCCCATCATGCGGTCTCGCCATTCCCGCTGTAGGCGACGGGGCCAGTACTCCCCATCATAGAGGCGACTCCGGAGGACAGACACCCATGCCATTGAAGTATCCTCTTCCGCGCACACCGCCGCGACCTCTTCCACCTCGCGCCTCAGCGCAAGCATCTTCGCGGCTGTAGCGCTGCTTGCCGAATACGGTGCGCGGCTCGGCTGGACAATCACGAGACGCAGGCTGGGATACGTCAGCGCCGGCGCGGCTGCATCCGGCTCTGTGCCATCTTCGTCACTCTGGACTGTGTCTCGAGAGCCCGATAGTGGAGGCATGGAAAGCTCGAGCATGTCGCGGACCATCTGTGCCACCTTCGCGCCTCCTTGCGAGATTCGCAGGTGGGTGACGGCGGGTGCGAGCTCGCTCCAGCGCGGAAGCGTGTCCTCCCAAGAACAGGACCTCGGCCACGTATACACGACATGAAGGCGTTGCAGGTTGGGGAAGGGTGCGCCTTGAGAGTCGTCCGTGCCAGGTATTGACCCGCTGGGGAGGGGGGACGCGTGCATGAACAGGCCGTCGTTTCCGAGTAGAGCGAGCTCGCGCAGCGCGGGAAGATGGCACCGCACCGGCGGGAGGCGCACGTCGCAGCGCTGGAGCACAACGAGCGTGCGCAGGGTGTCCGCTGCGCGCGCGAGGAGCGCTGTGACAGGGACGGCAAACTCGTCAGGCTGCGTGAACATCGCGTGGCCCTCGTCACCAGGGTAGTCCGTCCAGAAGTTCGTGAGCGAGACGCGCGTGGGGTCGGCGTAAGTTTTGGGCATGAAGGAAAGGAGTAGGTGCGTCACCGGCGGGTCTTCGCCGGTTGAGTCGCGGATGCGTTCGAGGCATGTGAGGAAGTTCTGCACGTGGCGGAGGCCACGAAGCCTCACGGAATAGAAACGCGCAGATGTGGAGGCCCTTCGGAAGGCTTTGGACGCGAGAGCCAACGTACAGCCAGTCCTGCCGCCATCAGTACACACCAGCCGGAATATTATCTGCCAAAGTGACTGTGGTAAGCGATTGACTATGTTTGATGGCATGGGAGAGAATAGAGATGCTGGGAGGGGGTGAAACAACGAATACAAGGTCAAGGTCGACCATGTACGCACCGCCAGTCACTATAAGAAGGTCGGGGCGCTTCGGTATAGTATTTTTATACGTACACAGCTCCTGATATGGACAGCTGGCGCTCATCCAACCCTGATGCGAATGAAAACTGTCCGTTAACATTCGTTGTCAGCGTGTCAATGCCTAGCGCTTTCGCCGTACCCAGTGAGACGACAGCCTTGCCAGGCTGCTACGCCATGATTTCATTCAAACATGTCAAACTGTGGTCAAAATGCGTGAATGATGATACGGCCGTGAGCGCTGATGCGGGGTGTTGTTGCAAACCTATGTTAGAGTTACAAGTTATTACGAGAAGGCCGTCTTACATACATACATGACGCATCACTCACTGGGTAGGGCACTATATACCACATTGCGTTGGTATCGACAGGCACCTTTGAGGGACCGGAAACCCTTGCCATCGGACACTTCTTGTATTTCGTAGGATCGCGCTATAAGATCCTCGCTAGGTATTTGGATGAAAAGCCCCAAATATGGGTCCGCGCACGTTGAGATCATCACGGTCTCGCGGCCAGCGAAACTTTTCCGGAAGGTCGGCGTACGCGTCGTGATTCGGAAGGATCTCTCCATCTTTGTCGCGGTTGGCCCCTTGGAGAAAGCTGGGCACCTGGCGCAAGATAAATGGCACATTATTCGACGAAGCTGGCACCTACGTCGAAGGATGTGCCTTTTCTTCGTTCACAGGGTCAGGCATGGGGTATTGGCTATAGCGGCGAAGAGTTTGAACAAGAGACAAGCTGTGCGCTCTACAGAAGTAGTGGACGCTGATTCTGAATGTCCGATGCGGAGCGTGCGCATGCAAGGGGTTCTAATGAAAGAGAAGAAGTCCCCAGACCTTCTGTTGTATCCCTAGCTTGAAGACGGCGCCGACCGTGGCCATGGCGCTATAGATGCAAGAGTTATAAGTCATCTTGAAACACTTTTTTCTGAACCCATGGCGCATCACTTACCGCAGGGGTCCAAATACCACATCGGCCCGGCGTCAGCAGGCATCTTCGGACCGAACGCCTCTTTGAGAACCCTGACCAACGCGTTCCGTCTGGCCCCAGCGTACCATGCTCGCAGGCCAGGCCCATCACCATTGTTATAGAACACGATGAGCATCATGTCGGGGTCTTTGATACCATTGCTCTTCGCCCAGTTGGCCCACGAGAAAGGTGCCACCAGAGGCTCGATAAACGCACCGCGACGAAGCCTTGACATCACGTAGTTGATGATGATCTCGTGACTCGGCCACAAGCTCCCTGGATGCGCCGTTCCCCCGAGCTCCTTAGCTCGCGCGTCGATGTCGACACCATGTATGGGAATGAACAGCCCGAAGCATAGGTCTGGTATACTGGGATCATCAGGGTTGCGTCTCCAGCGGAACTTGTCCGGAAGGTCGGCGTCAGGAATTGGCAGGAACTCCATATCCTTTCCGCGCGGCGCCCATTCCCAGAAGCTTTCAGCGGGCACCTGCTACAAGAAAGGGGATGAGTGGTTTGATAAAGCTCACAAGATTCGGAGGACGTACATGCTCTCCTTCCACGGGTTCAGTGATAGGATCCAGGGAAGACAGAACGTCAGATGTTGCAGGGGGCGTGGCAGAGTTGTGGTCAGGCCCTGCAGGGGCTGCGGAAGCAGTAGACACGGCCATAAGAAGCGCGTATAGTGGGAGTGGGGCGAGCGACTGTACTGGCAGTGGATGCGTTGCTGGCTGCTGCAGCCGTTCCCCTGAATGCTCACAATGTACGTAAGTGCCCACGTCGTCAATCAAATTGCACATATCCAAAGCGATCATACTAACCGATGAATACATCAACCTTCGGGTTACTTGTAGCGTTAAACACACTATACTGTTGCATATTCATCGGACTCTACTCATATCTCGGATATCGAGGCTGGGGCAACAGTGCGAGCTCACCTTGTAGAGATGTCCGAGCGGCGTGTAGATCGGCAGGCCTACTAGTAGCATTCATCAGCTCAACTGCATCAAGTTCACCTCGCGCGTTCATTCAACTTGAGCCCACAGTACCAAATGTCCCATGTGGAGCATGCGCATGCGAAGCTCTTCATTCGAACGCGCCAAGAGAGGAACGTAAGTTATCTTAATCCAAGGCGGCCGCCTCAGTCGATGCAAACAGATAGTGCCTACAGCGACAACAGAGCCAGCTCGGGGGCGTTATAGAGTGCCAGAGAATGAGCCATGACATAGTAGATGACCTAGGATGACTCGAGAGCTCGGAGGATGGTATGGCAGTGGAAAGAGCAGTGTATTCAACATATGCGATGCCGAGGAAGGCCGGAGTTGAATAGAGAGCGGCTATTGCCGCGGAGATGCCGTGGGCGTCTAATAACTGCGTAATGTGCCAAGCCCATAGGAGCTCTCGGCGCTTGTTTGTTTGACGCAGTTAAGTGACGTGAGCCGGTCCACCCCGTCTCTCGTTTCGACCACCATCTCCCCCAAGCCCCCTTGTCTACTCGACAAGACTTTCCCAAGCACACTCGCCCTCAATATATGGCCCCGACCTCCTTAGGCCATGCAGGCAACCGCTATCCTCGTCTGACTTACTCCATCCTCTCCCTCGCCACCCACCACCTCGGCAAGCTCCTTGGTTACTCGCGCCAGGATCTCACCAACCATGTCCACTCATACGTAAAGAGAGGCGAAAAGCATGACGCGAATTTCGTCGTCTTCGCTGTGCTCATTCCGGTGCTCGTCCTGCTGTCCGGACTCTTCGCCGGGCTTACCCTGGGTTACATGAGTTTGGACGAAACGCAGCTGCACGTTCTCAGCATAAGTGGCACACCGTACGTCCGCTTGCTGGGCTCCCTCATCTTTTCGCTCACATATATCCCCCTTTGCAGGAAACAGAAAAAGTATGCCGACAAGATTCTGCCCATTCGCAAGAATGGCCACCTCTTGCTTATTTCCCTCCTGCTTGCCAACATGATCGTTAACGAGGCACTGCCCATCATATCTGAGCCTGTTCTTGGGGGCGGAATTGAAAGTGTCGTGGTCAGCACTGTTCTCATTGTCATGTGAGTTACTTCATAGACCCTCATTGTGGCGTACATGCTGTTGCGAATTGGATCCCCTCTCTTTCTGGGGACGCCACATCGGGTCGGAGCAGCGCACATACCGCCGCGCAGAGACATCCTGGCATGTATGGGAGAAGAAGTGTGTGTGAACTGTGAACTCCGCTGCGCCGTCCAGGCAGTCAGTTAGCCCGCTACTATCAGTCTTCACTGGAGGAGCATGAGGTCATGCATGACGGTCATATCTGCTGTTCACCGCCGTGCTTCTGTTCCCGAACCGACTCTCATTTTTGGCTTTTACTTTATGCTGATATTTTCCCTAGTTTCTCTGAGATTATTCCACAGTCTCTCTGTACCCGGTATGGTCTGGCTATCGGTGCCCAGATGGCGTGGTTTGTCAAGCTCCTCATTCTGATTATCGTACGTCATATTGTTTCCCCTTGCATTCGATGGTATTAACGGTCACTTCCAGGGTGTCGTCTCATGGCCCGTGGCCAAGCTGATGGAACTTGTCCTGGGACCTCATCACGGTATTATGTACCGTCGCGCAGGTCAGTTTGGAACCATCGCATATGTGGATATCGTGTCCTGATAGCTGTTCACCAGAACTCAAGGAACTTATCGCCCTTCATTCCGCTGCTGGCGTATTGGGCGGCGATCTGCAGTCGGACACTGTCACTATCATCGGCGCGACTCTGGACCTGCAAGAGAAGGTCATCCGCCAGGCTATGACCCCCCTCGAGAAGGTATTCATGCTCAACCTCGACTCAAAGCTCGACTACGAAACCATGAAGCGCATCTGCGACACTGGACACTCCCGCGTCCCGGTGTACGAGGAGGTCGAAGTGCCGACCGTGATGCCCGTCGCTCTCAAGGGCAACGCCGGTAGCGGCACGGCCACACCCACGAAGACTGCCGAAGACGCGCCGCTCCCCGACCGCCTGCAGAAGGTGAAGAAGCTGGTGGGCGTGCTGCTTGTGAAGCAGCTGCTCCTGCTCGACCCGAAGGATGCGATACCACTCCGGAGTATCACGCTGAACCCGCTCCCGTGCGCGCCGCACAACGAACCGCTGCTGAATATCCTCGACAAATTCCAGGAGGGCCGCAGCCACATGGCGATTGTCTCACGGCTCAGCGTTGAGAAGGCGAAGAGCGTGCAGCATGAGGTCAAGAAGGGCCTTACGCAGCGCCTCAAGGACCGTGTCGGCATGGGCGACAGCTCAGACAGCAGCAGCAGCGACTCCAGCGGAGATGAGAGCGGTGGAACTGGCACCGGCACCGGCAGCGATCCCGACACGGACGGCAAGAAGAAGCGCAAGGGCTGGCGCCGCCGCTCACACAAGAAGTCCAAGTCGAAGGAGAACGCGGCGGAGGCGGGCGAGGCGAAGGCGGAGGCGGTCGAGATGGGCAACATACGCAAGGAGAACGCGCGCGTCAGTGCTCTTGCCAAAGCGATGAGCAACGGTCGTGAGCAGAGCCTGCCGGACGACGCGGTGCTCGGTCGCGAACAAGCCGAGGACGTGAGTTGGCCAGAGTCTCTGAATGCGCAAATCACGATTGCTGACGTTCCCTGCAGTTCGTACAAAGCATGGACCCCTACATCCAGCCTCTCGGTATCATCACGCTCGAGGACGTTGTCGAAGGTACGCGATCAGTCGTTCCCGAGTCTATGCAAAAGCCTTTCTAACCTTTCAACGCGCTCTACAGAGATCATCGGCGAGGAGATCTACGACGAATTCGATCAGGAAGGGCAGGGCCACCTCGGCCCGCTCCTCTCGCCCGACGCGAAGCGCTTCTTCGCGCGTCGTCGCCGCCCGGACGTCTCCCCTGCCGCGCGCGGCGAGCTCACCGCGGAACCCACGTCAATACCGAGGGGTGCGCAGACCGTGCCGTCTTCTCCCAACCTGCACGGCGGTACTCTCGTCGGCTCTCCCCCGCCGCTATCCCTTGCTGGGGACCTGCAGCAACCGCAGCAGCCGGCCGCTCGCAGACGCAGTGGCGCGAGTAGTGTGATCGGGAAGGTGTTTAGCGGTGTGCGCCGCGCGAACACCTTGCCCGGGCCGACTGCAGAGGCGAGCCCCGCCGCGGAGGGGGAAACGGCGCTCGAGGAGAAGCCGAGTGAAACAACGCCCGAGGAGAAGAAAGGCGCGCCCGACAAAGACATCGAGGGTGATGACAACAGCAAAGTTTGAGGCTGTATTGAGCTCGGGTGACGACCGTGATGAAGACGGCGGTGACGATGGTCATTGGGATAGATATACTTGCTGGCGGACGCTCTAATCACGACTGTATACAGTACCTGTATGATACCTGGACGTTTCTCCCTGATGATTGCATGCGAATTTTCATCGCTGCGATGCACGAGGGTCCAACTGAGTATGCTTGTCGTTGATTTTCATCTGCGGACTTGAGTGAGCTGTCCCGCGAGGAACTGCATATTCGGGAGTCTCCACCCTCTACCGCAGCCGGTGTCTGCCGAGGCGCCGGCGTTGAGTATCGCGCGCCTATCTGGATCTGACCATGACCTGTTGCTTTCGTACCGCAATGCGCCATACACATCTCTGGCGACCCCGACTCTTCACTGCGCTAGCATTCTTGAGTAGAATTATTCTGAACTCAGTCCCACGAGCCTCAAGAACGAGCGCGCACGGGCGTACTCCTAATGCGAATACGTATCCTTCTGTCCCCGTATCATCTATCCCTTCGGCGTATCGGTTGTGACCTCGCGCACTTTCTGCAAGTATTCAATGTTGCTGCGCGGTTTCGTATACATGCTAGTTATCTTTTGTAGACTGATTACTGTCACGTCTCTGTCAGTGTATCTTGCCAGCGAAGACGGTCACTGCAACCGTATCATGGCGAATATGTAACCAGATGAGGCCCTCCGCTCCTTAAGCGGGTGTATAGATGTATACAAGAACCACCGTTGAGCTTGCACCGAAACATGGGCGAAGAGGCGCAACAAGCCGCCATTGATCACATCTCGCCAGGACGGAGGACTTTGCGCACCCAAACGGTCTTCTCACCAACCGGACGCGAGTGGTATGTGATGATATGCAGATGCATTGATGATAGCAAAGGTATGTGATGCACGATACAGTACGTGATATAACAGCGACAAAACGATACAACAGTTCACAACAGCAGGCATTGTCCATGGATCGTGTTCGTTCGACTGGCGGCGATGGGCTGAGGCACTGCCTCACCCGTCGCTCCACGTAACCACCAAACGCCCTCTCGCTATGCGTTGACGCAGCCGGGCATCGCGGAGAACGTCCCGGACGCATCAGGGACCGTGGTGTTCTTGGCCTCCTCCGAGATGCTGGACCGCACGGAGGTCGCTCCTGTAGCCTCGGAGCTGAGGCTGGAGCGGCGCGACCAGAACCCGCTGTCGGACTGGCTGTCTTCTCCCTCGGAGGAGGAGGAAAAGAACAGGCGGCGGAGGCTGGGGCTGCTCTTCATGAATCCGAAGCCTTGCTTTCCGTTCGTCTTCTTGGCACTGCCGTTGCCTACAGAAAACGCTTTAGGTCAGCGGTGGTTCATGTGGTGCCTACAGAGGAGCGGGAACACACCTGCCTTGCCCTTGGGCTTGGTGCGGAAGAGCGTCTTCACCGGGCTCTCGAACCGCGTCTCGTACACCACGCCGGATATGGAGTTTTCCGGACGCGCAGGGCGAGCGTAGCGGATGGGCTCGCCATCCTTGTTGGCGGTACGGCGGACGCCTCCCTTAGCGGTAGGAGTCCGGTTGGCGCGGTCGGGGGTGGAGGGGATGGAAAACGTCATAGCGAGGGTGCGGCTAAAGGGGAAGGTGCGTGCCCGTGCCACCGGCGATTTGACGTCCTTCTCTTCCGAGGGGAGGCTGACGTTGGAGGAAGGCGGCGTCGAATCGGTGTCGTCCGCGGCTGACGAGTCTTCCGAGCTCCTCTCCGACTCGGATTCCGTTGAAGACTGGTCCGGACTCGAAACCTCGCCCGTGGTCGGTAGCTCGGGAATGGTGGGCTCGTCGGCGTGATGACGCATGGTGCGCATGGGGTGGAGGACCCCGCGGCCCATGATTGTGCATTGGTTCACGACGGCACGTTGAGCGTTCAGGAGCGGGCGCGTGCCGGTCGTCAAGATTTGTGCGGAGAACGTCTTGGTCCTCTTGAGCGTCTGATGTATCTTGGGGTTTGCGTGCTTTCGCGAATGGTGCGAGGCGTCGGATGGTGAGCGGGTCGGCGGGGGGAGTGAGTCCTCCTCTATTGGGAGAGGAGTCCTTCGGCTTGCTTCGAATTTTGCAAGGTTCTTGGCCGCTTGATCGAGCGCTTTCTTGGTCTCGTCGTCAGCTGCACGTAATGTGCGCTTTGAAGTGCGTTTCGCTCGAATGTATTGCTTTATCGCCGTTGTCGTTATTAGGAGGGACATCGCCAAGACGAGAAGACTCTGAGTAACGAGAGGAGGTCAGAGGCGCTATCATGTGAAGAGGACTATATGCGCACCAGTTGGAATATCGGAGACTCCGGGAAGGCAACGTGCAATGTGATGAGGCCTCCCTCAGATGTGCCCAAGCGACTTGGCTCAAAGGGAGGGAAGGTTGGGACGGGAGAGGGATTGCGGGTGGTATACATGGTGGGCTGTTTGGGTGATGGTGCTTGAGCGTTGAGTGGGAGTGTGGGTTCTGTTCGAAAATCGCGTAGAGTCCCACTATACTTATACCCTGCTGAAGTGTAGCGGCGGGAAATAGCGACCCCGGCGCGGTTGTGTCAATGTTTCCTGTTAAAGGCAGATGCTCCACATATACTCTGACTTAATGCGCAGCCCCGAGCTTTCTTCGGCATAGGGAATACTTACCGTTCTAGCGCTTGGTCGGAGAGGGGTACCGCGAGCACTTCAGCATGCACCACATGTCGGAACGACAGTTGATCTCGCGCGGTAGACCGGGTCCCCATATCGTGTGTGCGGGTAACGCTAGTTTTTAGTCTGTTCTACCGACATCTATAGCGGATGTCACGCTGCAAACTCCTTCGGACACCGGAAGTGCATGGACGGACGAACTGCTATACCTTCCATATTGGGAATGCGGGTGGCGGATGTGTACGGGCGCTAATGTGACAACCGCGCGTCCGCCTGCGTCCGCTGCCCTGAGTCCATGTTGTCGTGCCTCGTCTACTTCACCTTCCTCCTCCGGTCATTCCGAGCCACCCCGGGCCTCACCTAAATGCTTAAGAAAGTACGTCAACCATAAGAACGTGCAGATTCAATGCTACAGTCGCATACGGCGCGCAATGATGTCGCACTCAGAGGAAGCTGACTTTGAAGCTGCGCCTACGCGTTCCAGCATAGCCCATCAGTCAGAATCGCGACGAGCCCCACGCCGTGTGTTCACGATTGGTTGAGGCCGGGAAAGAGGCCATTGCGCGGGCTTTGATGCTAGTGCTTACGCTTCGGCAAGCCAATTTCACACGCCGGGCGCCGTGCTGCACGGTGGCCTTGTGCTCAACTTCGTCCTGGGCGGCGTAGTTACGTACCAGTTCTGCTGATTCATGGTGTCGGGTATTCCGCGCCTTGAACCGTCGAATCGATGGAAAGTACGCTTTGCAGGGTGTTCCGACGCGATCAAAGGTACGTTGCGTGATCGAATTTCCACGCTCTTGGCTCACCCCGCGTTATTGTAACACTGTAGCATCGGTTGGTAGGCATTTTCCAGGCAAAAGTAGAGGTAAAACCCTCGTATTGCTACATTTAACCTTGGCACAACACTTTTTCACGGTCGCAAATGTATACGGTGTCATAAGTTCGCCCTGAATCCTTGCCCGAGTTGAGTATGTTACCACGTTGATGTACCTTGTTGGAGGAGCGGAGCGCGCAGAAGAAGAGTGAGTGATGGTTGCATCAACTTGAAAGTGCATGCGCTTATGAGTCAACGTGTAGGGTGTCATGTTGGAGTGCCCGGAGCGGCACAGGCCCCGCGGCTAAACTCGTCGTAACAGTCTCTTATGCCCTCTCCTTCTCATACAGCGGAGTCGCGTCACTGCGATGAGGCTTAGAAGTCTCCCGTATCTCCACCTTCGGGCACTCACAGGGTGTAATCGGGCTTTTACGTGAAAGAACCTACCGTATCTTGCCGTCAACATGGACATCTCACCCCACCTCACCGCACTTCATGGAAACATTCTCAGTATATATACCGAGCTATCGAGCGGCAAGAAATTTATCCCAGACACCACATACCTCACCCGACCTCCCCAGCATGCTTACACTCTCCACGGCAGCGTTACTGGCAGCAGGCTTCATAGTCCTCCTCTTGCGCCTGTTCCATCATCGAAGGAGCCTTCGACAACTCCAGGGTCCGCAGCGCCTTTACAGCCTGCTCGGTGAGTGTATATTCCCCCGTGAGACCGCAGACGCTTATGATATTCTTGGGCCAGGCCATGAGGTTCATATGAGCCGGCAGGATGAGGTTGGAGACCTAGAGTTCAAATGGCTGCGCCAGTTCGGACCCACATGGAGGATTCAGGGCGCGTTCGGGGTGAGTGCGGTTCAAAAAAAGTACGGGCTTGGAGATTAACGACCTATGTACAGGCGGACGTCCTCATGACGGGCGATCCTAAGGTGAGTGACCTCTCTGGAGTGTGTCCGGCGTGTGCTGACTCTCCACACATCCCAGGCCTTGCAGCACATCTTCCACAAGTCTGGTCACCGCTACGCGAAGACGGTGTCGCAGAACCACATGAACTATCTCCTCGGAGGCCCCAACATTGTGTGGGCTGCAGGTTAGCTTCAATTCGTCCGCGCGGTCTACGCGATTCTTACGCGAATCCGGACTTGCGCAGGGGCGGACCACCAGCGACACCGCAAGGTCATGAATCCAGCCTTCAGTGCACCTCAGCTGCGCTCTTTCTTGCCGTTGTTTCAACGCATCACGGGCAAGGTCTCTCCCTATACTTCTTTTTTTACTTCCCGGCCTCACGCCTTGCTCGCTTACAGCTCACCGAGAAGTGGAAGAGGGACCTGGCAGGTTCCTCTGAGCTCGAAACGGCGGTCAACGAATGGTTCTCGCGCACTACACTCGATATCATCGGGCAGGGTACATCTCACATCTCTCTCACAGTGACTTTCCGGGCTCACCATCTCTTACAGCGGGGTTCGACTACGACTACCGTGCTCTTGATGAAAACGAAGAAAGTGCTCTCGCGAAGGCGTATCATGGCGTCCTGTACGTATTTTTTCCACTCCGACCTCTTCAGCGGCCGGTCTGCTAACAGAGCTCGCTTTTCTAACAGCAAAGACGCCGAGTTCCGTCTGCCCAAGGCAACCATGCTGTTCCGCGCCACGTGGACATACCTTCCGCAGTCCGTCCTGCAGATGTTCCAATACATCCCCGCCGACCCGTTCGCCCGTCTGCTGAACCTGAGGAAGGTCTTCTCCAGATACGGACAGCAGATGCTGAGCGAGAAGCGGCCCGAGATCGACACCGTGGAGAAGGACTCCCGTGGCAAGGACATCATGAGCGTTCTCAGTACGTACCCCCCCCTCCTTGCGACTGAACACCACTAAACGTGCATGCAGTCAAAGCAAACGCATCTTCGGACGCGAAGACCCGCCTGGACGACGACGAATTGATGGCAGAGATGTTCACGCTCACGCTGGCCGGACACGAGACCACCGCAACCACGCTCACCTTCCTCCTATACGAGCTGGCCCGGAACCCCGAGTACCAGAACCGCATGCGTGAGGAGGTTCAGCAGACACGTGCCCGCGTCATCGCTCGCGGCGACACCAACTTCACGATGGAAGACTTGGACAGCATGACGCTGTGCATGAACGCGATCAAGGTATGCGGGCAACGTTTTGACGTGCAGGCCAATAGCAGTCTAACTGTCAGATGCGCATAGGAAACGCTCCGCTTCCATCCCGTGGTAGCCTTTCTTTTGCGCGTCGCAACACAGGACGACGTGCTCCCGTTGTCGATCCCTGTTGTCTCGACCTCCGGCGAGACTATAACCGAGATTCCTATCAAGAAGGGGCAAGGCTTTGTTACGTCGTTCGCCGCGTATCATCGGTATGCCGCAATATTAGCATCATGCGATGCAGATCACTCACACCAGACAATCAGCCTTCGTGAAGTCTGGGGCGACAACCCCGACATCTGGAACCCTGATCGATTCTTCCATATTGACGTCGAGAAGCAGATCAACGTTGGTGTCTTCGCGAACCTGTGAGTCACCCACATACTCGTCCTCGTCAGTAACGCTGATCACATCGTGTTTCTCCCTCAGAATGACGTTCTGTGAGCTACACAAAGCCTGCTGTTTCGTCAGGAACCCCCGCTGACATTTTTCTTTGTTGCAGCTGCTGGTGTGCGCGGGTGTATCGGCTGGCGCTTCTCGTGAGTTCTGCGTATCGCCCTCTCTACTAGTCTTCAAACCGCTGATACATCGACGTTCCCATAGTATCATTGAGATGCAGGCCGTGGTTGCAGCGATCGTCGAACAATTCCAGTTCCGCTTGCCTGCAGGCGCCGCGGTCTCCGACCCCAAGAAGTCGCAGATCCAGCGGGCTCCAGCCGGTGGTGCCATGGTCCCGCTTACCCGCGGCCAGCCCGAGCTCGGGCCTAACTTGCGCCTTCGCGTCTCTCTGGTCCAGGCCGAGTGAGGAGGCGCAGTCCGTGTTGGGAGGAAACCGTGCCAGATGTTAAGATGCAGCTAGGTTGATGTCAGAGTCCTGTTTTAGCCTTATCAAGCGTAATAGATCCTCTTCTTGCCTTCACAATGGTGCTCTTGGTCATACTGTGTAGTGCACATTGCCGGTGCGCACGAGCATGGTTCAATGTGCACCTTAAGATACGCCCAAGCGTAGCTAAGGTGGGAATTACCGCACTTCGTTTAGACATGTTCATTGCAACATCGATATATTTAACACGATGGTCGCAGCGCGGGCCGCGCTGACAGTCCAGGACAGCTCGAACTACTGAACCTTCCAAATCGGGACTGTGCGCCGCATAAGTTTGATGGCGTGAACGCCGCGACGGCCCAATCGGGGCGCTCATGCTCAGTCCGCCATATCTAGCGTCTCCCTCGCTTTCCTTTGCTGCTCCGAGAGGCTTGTCTAGAAATCAGAACGCGTTCAATATATCTTCAATTGGGACGACATTTACGTGCACTCGCTGGTTGCGTCTGATGACTCCCCTGATGCGAACATACTATGCGACGGCTGTCCCTTCTAGACAACTTGTGGCGGGGTTCGGTTGTTGTGGGGTCTGAAGCTGAAGCTCCAGTAAGTGCCCGTTATTGACTCTTCCGGCGCACACCTTATCGCCGTTTCTGCGAGTTTGAAACCAGCCCTGACGCCGTGGGTCGTCGATTACAAACGCGGCGGCTCGCCGAGTTACCGCCGAGTCGACGTTACAGCGGATCCACTGAAAGAAGCTTCGGTGGTATACGGTAATGCTTGACAGCGGCGGCAGCGGTGATCCTCCCCGGTCCCATGGCGAGTCTAGACGAAGGATATGCCGCTATGTGATCGGAGTCCCGACTCCGGTGTATGGGCCCCATGCTATCGTTCGAACTATTCCCGGCCTCACACTGGCCATCATGTGAACACCCTCAGTGCTCCTCCTCTCTGAAGCCGCTGCTCATGGATTGCACGGCCTCCAAAATGAATCTCTCTTGAACTAGGAATAAAATCGGGTTGTCGTGTTGCTTTCACATCGGCGCCAATAATTTTCGGTACGTGCCAGCATACATGTGATGGCTTGAGATTTACCGAGGGCTTCCTAAACAGTGAGCGGAATGGATGTAACTATTGCCTAAGAAGCTCGCTTATGAGACAATGCACAGATCGTCATCGTACCAGCTCGCGCCCCGGGGTCACAGTGGGCGTAATGGTCTCTTATGCCCCCGGCTCGTCTGCTGCAGCAGGAGTTATGTCACGTCTATGATGCTACACAGCTTCTGTGTCCCCTCATCTTCTCACCCTCCAGCCCACCGCTCGCGTACTCTCCCATGGACAAAGAGCCACTTACGTGGGTGAAGCACTCGTATCTTGCCGTCAATACACGTCTTCCGCCTTCCGTCTGGAAGTGCGGGTGACATATAAGGCGGTACCGCTAGCGGGCTACTTTGAGCAGAGTCCCCTGCACACCCGACAGCCCAGCGAAAGATGTTCACCATCCCCTCTGCGATATGTGTTGGGATCGTTGTCGTCGCATTCCTCCTTCGAGCCTTCCATCGCCGAAAGAGCATCCGGTATATTCGTGGGCCTCCGCGTTTCTTGAGCCTCCTAGGTGTGCTAATGTGCAACATTCGCATGCACGTCGAGATGACTTACTGTTAATCAGGTCATGACTACTTGATGAACCTCCAGGACGAGGTGGGAGACCTCGATTTCAAGTGGCTCGCCGAATTCGGGTCCACTTGGAGGATTCAGGGTGCTTTCCGCGTAGGTGATCTCTCACATTGAGAAACGTACCAGAAGCTCAACCTTCGCATGGAACGCGCAGACCGATGTCATCATGACAGCGGATCCTAAGGTGAGTTCAATTCAATTTATTGACAGTCCTGGTCTCATGTTAACGTGCGTGTCTACAGGCTATCCAGCATATCTACCATAAGTCAGCTTACAACTATGCGAAGAAGCAGTCGCAGAACCACATGAGCTATCTCATGGCTGGCCCCGGAATAGTCTGGTCTCAGGGTGAGCTTTCATATTCGACAGTTGCACGTTCGATCGCTTATGATCACAGGCGAGGACCATCAAAGGCACCGCAAGATCATGAACCCCGCCTTCAGCGCCGCCCACCTTCGGTCGTTCCTCCCGTTGTTCCAACGCGTCACCGGCAAGGTATGGCTCTGATATCTCCTTCGCCGTGATTTGACGCTAACGCGCTCATCCAGCTTGTGGAGAAGTGGAAGGCGGAGCTTGCTACGACCTCCGAGTTCGAATCGTTGATCAACAACTGGATCTCTCGCGCTGCGCTCGATATCATTGGACAGGGTACGTGCAACGCTGCTCCAGTTTTGCCGGATGCTCACTTTGTGTTTAGCCGCATTCGACTACGACTACGGCGTTCTTGAGGACGCTGAACAGAGCACATTGGCGAAGGCATATCATGGCATCCTGTACGCATCCGTCCTCCCATCACGAGGCGACTGCTTACAGCGTTCTGGTTGCATATATAGTAAAGACGCCGAGTTTAGGCTGCCGGGCGCGATGATGCTGTTCCGTGCGGCTTGGGACTACATCCCTGTGCCAGTCCTCAAGCTGTTCCAATATCTCCCTGTGGACCCATTCACGCGCATTTTGAGTCTGCGCCGTCTCTACATCTCCGTTGGCAAACAGATTCTCCGGGAGAAGCGACCAGAGCTGGACGCCGAAAAGCGTCCTAACAGCAAGGACATCATGAGTATCCTCAGTGTGTATCGCCTGTCCCAACGCATACCACAGTCCGCTGATGCCACCATTACCACAGTCAAGGCAAATGCATCCTCGGAGGCGAAGACTCGTCTCAACGACGACGAACTGATGGCGGAGATGTACACACTGACTCTCGCCGGGCACGAGACCACGGCCACCACTATCTCCTTCCTCATGTACCAGCTTTCTCTGCACCCCGAGTACCAGGCCCGTATGCGTCAGGAGATCCGAGAGGTCCGTGCTCGTGTGACCGCGCGCACCGGCATCGACTTCACCATGGAAGACTTGGACAACATGCCGCTGTGCTTGAACGCTATCAAGGTATGTATAGCCATGTGTTCGAAGAAGGCGGCCGTTGTGTTTATTGTGATTATCTCCGCAGGAAACGCTCCGCTTCCACCCCATCGTCTCCTACCTCCCCCGTGTCGCGTCCAAGGACGACGTGCTTCCGCTTATGCACCCCATCATCTCCGCCACCGGCGAGACCATCACCGAGATCCCGATCAGCAAGGGCCAAACTATCCTCACCTCGTTCGCCGCGTACAATCGGTGGGTAGCGTGCTTTATTCCGCTCATCTTTTCTCTGACACCAGAGCGACCTCGCAGACTCCCTCAGGTCTGGGGCGAAGACTCGCACGTGTGGAACCCCGACCGGTTCTTCCGCATTGACGTCGGGAAGCAGACGAACGTCGGCATGTTCGCGAACCTGTAAGCAGCGTCAATCTGTCGCGCCCTAAGTAGTCGCTAATCATGCCACGCTTCTTTGTGCGGCCCTACCTCAGCATGACGTTCTGTGAGTCACAAGATGCCGGTCCCCGCTGAATGGCCGTTTACTGATATTCATTCTTAGCTGCGGGTGTTCGTGGGTGCATTGGGTGGCGCTTCTCGTGAGTGTTGATCGGGCTTTTGGCAACCCTCAATGCATTTACGAGCGCCTTCCACAGCATCATCGAAACGCAGGCTCTCGTCGCGGAGCTCCTTGAGAACTTCCAGTTCAGGCTGCCCGCGGGCGCCGACCCTGCTGCCGACCACAAGAACTCGGAGCTACAGTGCGCGCCGTCCGGCGCCGCTATGGTTCCGCTCATTCGTGGCAAGCCTGAGCTCGGCCCTTCGCTGCGCCTCCGTGTCTCGCTCGCACCCACCGAGTGAATGCAGATGCACGTATGCCTCCCGCACTTGTCAAACGAACAAGAGTTAAGTGTGTCCGATGTGCTACTCTGGCTTGATCGCACATCATGCAAGTAATGAACTCACGACTCCAGTATACCTTTCGTATCTGTATGTACGCGCCAACCATTTCAGTGAAGTCTTGTATAGTTATTAGCTAGTACCGTGTAGGGAGAAATACACGATGCACTCATTTGGCCACTTCCCGTTGCACGTTTCGCTTTCTGCGCATCATAAATTCAAGTACGTCTCATGCGAGTAGGAGAGTTACCGCGCAAAAGCCATAGAGATAAATGCTGTGATATTACCGGATAGCTACACGCTCGTGGCGCCTGGTCTGCGATGATGACCACCGCCTTTTTTCCAACCAAGGACGCTGTGTGATTTGAGTTCAAGGTTATTTCAGCCGTCAATCAATATCAGAACGCAATTTTGTCCTACCCGCGGCCAGTATGGGGGTTGGACCAGACCTCGGAATCCAAGAAGCATCCCGACGGGCGGTAGAAGGGATGGGCTATTTTATACCTGCATTCTAGTATAGCAGGCGTCAGTGATATGGCAAGCCCGGATGCGTGACTATATATTGGTATATTCTTATGCCGTAGATTCTATCATCGCAGAATGTCCTGAGGAGTCGCTGGTCAGTACACTACACATGCGCCCTTGCCCTCCCACTGGTCCCAGTGCGGAAGCGCCTCCTGCACGATGAAGTGCGCAATGTCGCGCCGCGAGACCGTGTACCCGCCGTCGACCTCCCCTGCAACGGCCTTGTACGGCGCCTTGCCGTTCTTCGGGCCCTTGTCCCCGAGGCACTCGCCGTCCGTCAGCAACGACGGGCGCACGATCAGAATACGCTGGAACCCGCCCTCCGCGGGGAGCCCCGCCAGCGCCTCCCACCCGGCGGGGAGGATGGTCGGCTTCACGGCCGGCTGCGTCCAGGGCACGCCCAGGCAGTGCGCGAGCACGCGCTCGGCACCGTACTTGTCGTCGTGCGGCGCGCCCAGCAGGAGGCTGTAGAACGCGCGTAGAGCTGCGGGGAGCGTAGCGTGCGACGAGGGTGTGATACCGCGAGAGGTGACAGCCACGAGGCGTGGCTGGGCGCCGGGCGCACGGAGCGCGGCGGGCATGGTGCGGAAGAGGTTGAGAAGCGAGCGCGTGCAGAGGTCGGGCGTGGCGAGTACGATGCCCTTAGTAAGGCTTAGGTTTGGCAAGCCGCCTAGGGGACGAAAACTCGGGTGAGTATGTTGTGCGGCAGGAACATATAAGCAGCGGTAAGTACGTACCGATGCTGAAGAGAACGAGGTCGATAGTGCCGTTGCCGTACTCGAGCGCGGACTCCCAGCCCTTCTGGACGTCTTCAAGGACGATGCCATCGCCCTTCACAAGGTGCGCCTTGCCGTCCTTAATATATGATGTTTTGGCGGCTAACTTGTGTGTACTGGCTGCGCACCGTCCGGCCGTCCCGCCTTGTCATCACGGCACCTACACTCCACGGTGTGGCAGAAGGCGAGGGATGCACTGTCAGTCCTGTGAGTTGTCTTAACGCGGACCCGACAGTTCCTTCTTGTTTCCTTGATTGAAGGTTGAACTTGCGGGCCGATTGACCGTGCCTGGTACCTGGGGTTAGAAGCAGCTCTCGACAGTGGCGCTCCTTTCGTCTACCAACTCTGCACATGGCTGGGGGAGTTCGGGCCTGGGGCTGCCTTGGGCTTGACATGGAGCGTGCACGAGTGCCCGTCGGTGGCTGGGGTGGCTAGTGGCTGTGGAGTTCACATTCTCCAAAGTGGCTACACGGTGCTACGCCTCCAGCGAGCCACGTTGCGATACGCTGGTATCATAGCGCAGCTCCTGCTAGCCCTTCGCAGTAGTTGTGTGATGAACCAGCTGCGCGTAGTCAGTTTCGCGCCACACCGCCTGCGCCTGGCAATTGACATTTTGAAGATACATCCCCTATCCACGGCCCGGGGCCGGGTGGATGTGCGCCACAGTGGTACAAAATGCGTCCGTGGCGGTCGACCCCTGCCACACACACCCTCGCATTCGGATCCCCACCTCCACACAACAATCACACCATGCACGCGTTCGTCCTTGGCGGGTCAAAGAACATCGGCTACTACGCTGCCATCAGGCTGCTAGGTATGCATCCGTCTGACAGAGTCACAAAGTTGGCTTGGTGCTAATAGGGGCGTGTAGAGCAGGGCGCGTCGGTGACATTCTTCCTTCGCAACACGTCCGTGTTCGACAAAGATGCGAAGATCCAGGACTCACCTATGTACGTGGTGCTGCGCCGCACTGCACATGCTAGAGGTTTTTCCGACTGGGCATCATCTAAAGATCAAAGTTGCGAAGGTTGGCATGCGCATATGACATGCCGAACACAACTCTGATATCACGCGGTTTCGCGGCGGTTACTTCTTCTCAACCGTACGTGCCACACGCCGCAAGGGGAATACTGCGCGAGAAACTTGGCACTGTACGACCAGCCTACACGCCTGTGATGCCCAGCTCCTCTGCAATCAGGACCGCCGCCTTCTCGCCTATCGTGAGCGCAGTGGAATACGTGTTCTTCGAAGCGAGACGCCGTCAGGCCCCCGCAGTTGGCAGTTCAGTTCAGAACGAGACGTACCGTGCTGACGTTAGCGGGACAGATTGAGACGTCCGCGACCTTCAGCCCCTGCGCGCCGTACACGTTCAAGCGCGGATCGACGACACCCCCTTGATCGCGCGGCTTCATGGTGCAAGTGCCGTTCTATGGACACCCAATCACTGAACACGAGAACTCTGACGGGAAGACTCGTACGAGGGACGTACCGAGTGCCACGCAGTAAGAACTAATCAGACGGCGTTCATTAGCAAAGTACTGTCGGCGAGAACAGATGAAGTTCTTACTATGTGACTTGAGTATCACATCGATCGCTTTGTCGTCCTCTTCCGTGTATACGAGGTCCGGTGCGTGCACGTCCACAGGCATGCCAGTCAGCGCCTCAGGACCATGCGCCGCGCTCCCGTCCGGGAACGTCGGATGGTCAGGAGCGTACAGGCCACGGAAGCACGACATCCGTCGTCCTATCTCTCGGCAACGCTTATACATATGCCTCATGACGGCGAGGTCATCGGGGCTAAAGGTGATCCCCGGGGTCAATGGTGACTCCCCCAATGTCACAGATACAAGTTGCATACCTGCTGAACACACCTGACACGAAGTCCACGGGCGCATGGGGGTCCTCACCCGAGGTGATGTGTACCGAGCCGATCCCGGAGGGATACATTGAGAACCCCCCTGTGCAGAAACACAGTACATCCGGGGACGGCTGAGACGGACCGACGTACCTGGCACCAGGAATCCATGTCAGCGTGCTACGGCCAAAATATCCGGTTGGAGCACGTACATAGCTAATTCTCCGATCCACAAGATAGACTTCTCGGGCGAGTTGGCATAGAAGGATTCCCACCGTTCCTTGAAGGTTGGCCCGATATCCTCGAGCTCGGCGGGCGTGGGACGGTACTTGCACCCCGCATCGATTCCGCTACCGGGGAAAGGGTATGATCAACATGTATGCACATTTCATGGGAGAAATGTCCATACTTGGTCGCCATCAGGCCCTTGCCCTCACTGACCCACTGTGTAGACCATTCTGCAGTAGAAAGTGGGCGTCAGTGAGACTGTATGAGCGTAAAGAAGGCCGTCATCGCACGTACTCTCGATCTCTTCCTTATCGTTCCTGATTATCCCGTCAAGGGTGACCGTACCTTCCGCGGCGTAGAAGGGGAGGAACAAAAGCGGATGGTCTAACCCAAACCATGTCAGAAACGAGTCTCATGATGCATGACCTGCTGACACGACGCACCGTTGTAGTTCTCACCCACGCCGGGCAAGTCCACGATCGGCTCCACGCCATTCTGCTTCAAGATACCTGGAGCCCCGATTCCTGATCTCTCGAGGATGCCTGGGGAGCCGAACGTCCCAGCAGACACGATGACCATACGCTTCGCCTTCGCGATATGCAGGACGTTGTCCGCGTCCGCATTGATTCGGGGGTTGTGCATGTATTCAACGCCGACAGCCCTCCCGTTCCTTGCAAAAACGTCGTCCATGTAAGTATCATATGATGAATCATAGCGAACAAGAGCTCACTCCATGATAACGCGCTTGACGGTACAAGCTGCCCTAAGCTGCAGATTGCTGCCGTATGAGGCATTATTGTACACGTAGTGATGCGGAACATCGGACCGGCGCCCAGTTTGTTCGTCAATCCATTTGGGATAACGCTGTATGATGGTCCGCTCAGCGGATGACGGGCCAGTGGCCAGAGCAAACGAATACTAACCTCAAAACGGTTGACATCTTCGACCATAGTATTGATATCATTCACAATGGGGCGCCCGGTGTCGTATTGCGCCACCGTGGCAAGATAGTCTTCACCGACGGCATTGCGATATCCTCCGTACGAGACCTTGAGCGGACCGTCATAGCCGTGCGTATGATGTTCGACCCCCGGCGAGTTTTGGTACCTTTCGATCTGTGGTGGGTGTGTCCGTCAGCGAGGACAAACGGGACGTTTTGGGATGGGGGTCACCTTCTTGATGAGGGGTAGAACGTCCTTGAACGCCCATCCCGGGTTATTGTAAACGTTCGCCCAGTCATCGAAGTCAGACGCCGGGGCGCGGGTGTACATCGTGACTTCAAAACATGCGTCAGCCGGTCTCATGACATACTGTAGCCATATGCTACTCACAGTTCACGCTCGATCCGCCCCCAACGCACTGCCCGCATTGCACGATGAGCGACCGTCCATCGAGGTGCTCGCTGGGCCGCGCAACGACGTGCTTCGCGGTGATCGTGTCCGGGCGCAAGTGAGACAAGAAACGTGCGGGTTGTACGTGGGCGAGGTCCTCCTGCGTGTGCGGGCCTGTCTCGAGCATGAGAATGCGTAGAGAGGGACACGCAGACGAGAGACGCCCCGCAATGACGCCGGCCGCGGTGCCTCCTGCAAACGAAACATCGGATAAGGATCATGTTATAACAAACAGTGAAATGATGACGCACCGCCTGCGAGGATAATATCGAACTCTTCTTCGTGCAAAGAGGGAGAAGCCATTGCGCGACTGGGTTAGGTCGAGCGAAATACCCTCAACATGAGCTGTTATATATCAGACATTGTGACACCGTCAAAAAGTCCGAGCCGGGGAGTACACGGTAGGCAGGGAAGCTCGTGTATTGCCCGTACAGAGTGGTTTCATCGAGCGGGCTAGGTTCCGGTCACACGAAGGTGCCTCAACCGCTATGTCAGTTGTTCCACCGCCCTTAATGAAAGTTGCAATCCTGCACATGATCACGAGAAAACCCTATTGTTGACACCACGCAGCAGGGACGGATATGGTTGACGTAGTGGCGTTCGGAATGGATGGCGCAAATCTCAACAATATGTATCGCAGCTGCATAGTCAACGGGGACGCGGGGGTTTCGCTGCGTGCACTATGCTTCCCTCGTCAAAGCAAGATTAACAGCAGCGTAAATGGAAGACCCGAGTCTCAAAATAGCGGGAACTTACTATGGTAGAATCCAACTGGACTCTGTCCGAACAGGATGTCGAGACAACAAGGAACCACTTTCGTATCAACAGGAGTTGCCGCGCGAACTCAAAGCAAAGGAAGGTCCTCGGCACCCAGGTATTTAGAGCGCTTGGCAAATGCCAGAAGGCGGTCAGAGTTCGTGGAGCTCAGTCCTTCTATGATGACCAACGGTAATCATGAGCCATCTTGTCTCGTACTTCCCGTATCATGTATGACCGCCGTAGCGCAAGTACTAGCGAGTAAGCTGAGAGTTGGTGGTACGGGGGCAAGAAACAGCTAGTAAGCGCCCACCGTCTTCCCCCCGCACACGTGGCATTGGGTCGCTTGCACATCTGCAATAGGCTCGTGAACCAGCCTCACGCTCGGAGACGGAAGACAATCGTTCCTCCCGAAGGGAGGCTGGAACTATGTATGTGTGAGGGGGGGTGGTGAAGACCCCCGTGGGAACGGCTGAGATTGAAAATGCCGACGGCACGCGAGCCTCGAGAGTCGCGTTGCGCCGACTCGCGCGTTCGAACCACTGCCAACTGGCACTCGCGGTCGCGTTTCTGAAGATACGTCCATAGCGCGTCCGTATCTTATTTGATTGGCTTGTACGCGTTTCTGCGCTGCGATTTTCCCTGTCCCATATTCGGAGAATTATTTCATAAGTGACAGATTTCGAAGATTTCGAAAACCGTGCTAAGCTGTTGTACAAACCCAATTCTGGCACACAGTCGTTAGTGCCATTTCCGCGCCAAGGCTCGCAGCTCGAGAACACGCCCGCAGGTGCCTCAGCCGTCTTCACGGCGCAGAATGTATGCGTAGTGAAAATGAGGTACCCCGCTCTCTATTTGCGAGACAAAAAGCCGCTGACCGCGCAATTACTACCAGGACGTACTCCGAATGGATTTTACCAGCAGGAGCAGCATCGAGGGCTCTCTGACGGCCTCTGTTCGCTCTTACGCTGGAAGATGGCATCGCTACCGCACGCGTATTTACAGACATAGGCCTGCGCGTTCAAGCAGCCATTCGTTCAGGTTCTTAGCAGGCGCCGTCGGCACGTTTAAACTCAGCCGTTCCCACGGGGGTCTTCACCACCCCCTCTCACACATCGTTCTAGCCTAATCTGCAAGATCATTCTTTGATCTCTCCTCATCCATCTTACACGCTTGGCGGATTCATTCCATCTGCTCCATACAACGCTTTCTTGGTCTGTACATAATTAGGCCTGGACAAGGCCTGAACGGCGTAAAACCTGGACTTTTGCTGTCTCTCACCACAGATCTTGCCACAGATCATCGCCACGCAAACACAGACATGAACGGCATGGACAGATCGGACATTCCCAGTGCTCGTTTCCCCGACCTGCTCTCAGTAAAGGCAGCCATAGAGCGGGGGAAACAGCTCGCCAAGACATATCAAGTGGTCATCGTTGAATTGGACGACATCGTGGTGAAGTACGGACGCCGCGTCTACAAATCCGAAGCCCTTGCGATGCAACTCGTGCACGGCGCAGCGGCCGACGTTCCCCTGCCGCATTTCCATGCTTACTTCACCCAAACGGCTGAAGATCCAGACGGGGAAGGCCGCTGCGGATATCTCGTGATGGAGAAAGTACCCGGAATTCCTCTCATCGAAGCCCTTCCTCGGCTCGACGAGCAGTCCTGCGACAACATAGCGTCACAGCTCCAAACATATGTCTCTTCGCTGCGCTCTATCGACAGCGCAGGCAAGTGGGGCATAGTCGGCAGGAACGGCATCTTCCACGGCGGGCTCTTCCGCTACCTCCATCGACCGTTTACGGAGGACGTGCGGGCCTCCTCCAACCCATGTGTGGCCACTTGCACCAGGGATGTCTTCGAGTACTTCGCGAAGGCGTCCGAATTTCCCAGCGGGGGGCGAGAGCGGAATATCACAGGGTCAGCATCCGACATCGACTTTTCGAGGCCCTCCATGTTCTCCCATGGCGACCTGGTCCCAGAGAATATCATGGTTGACGAGGCGAGCGGATCGATCACGTCGATCATCGACTGGGAGCGGGCGGGGTGGTACCCGTACTTTTGGGACGAGAGCATCGCGTCGATGCGACTGAGTGCCTACCAGAGCGCTCGTACGACCTCTGATCGCTGGACGCGCATCTACAAACTGGCGTTGGGGAACGATGCGGACCGGGGGGCCGTCAGGGCATTCTGCTGGGCTCATTTCTACGCCTTGATTGGAGGTTCAGAAGAGTATGGTTCGTCAGTTCGCTCCCCGTAAGGATCACTCCTCTCGCGCGCGGTTGCCCTTTCTCACGTTGAGGATTGTCAGATGCCAATGTTGTTTTTGAACACGCCCGGAGAATGGCCAGGCCGAATGTGATGCAGTTCATTCAGATCCTTATACTCGATGTTGGGGGCATTTTTTGGGTTCCAGTGTGCTACTGACTAGCGCCGTTTGGGCGCTCCAAGGCGCTATAGCGCATGCTGCGATTCTGTCCAGAACACTATCTCCGTGAACTAGGTGAATGTTTATTTTGCATGCGTGTTGGTGGCTTGACTGCTGATGACGTTGAGCGCAACAAGGTTAGGTGGTGGTGGATGCAGAGAGGGCATATCCCCGCGCGTCACCGTTGACTTCTCGCCAGTATCATACTGTTCAGCTTTGCGCCATCCGAGTCATGACCGGTTGCTACAACCATCACGGCTCAATGGGCCCATACTCCATATAGAGAGCGGTTACACCCACTACGTCTGCTCACAGCCCCGTGTTTTATTTGCCGTGGGTGCGAGTGCACTCGGCATCCTGCTCGTGTCGCCCGGTCGGAGGTTACAGTAAGGAAATTCCAGTAGACGCTTGATACCTATGCTGATGGCGATCCACAGCTCCTACAAACTGAACCAGGTCCTTCGCCTACGCGAACTGTTCGCAACGGGATTTGCATACACCGGCACTGCCAATGAGTGTGCCGGGCGTACTGCGCACGCACCTGCGTCTCTCCCCAGCCGCTATATAATGGCCCACAGTTCCAGAGCGAGGGGTGTCATCAACCACTCGACTATCTAGCCCCTATCATTACCCTCACAATGCTTCTCATTCTGCTAACGTATCTTCCCGTCGCGTTTGCCATTGCCCGTGCGGCTAACCCCACGGTCATCTTGGACAAGGCTGCTGTGATTGGAACAACAAACGGATCGGTCACCAGTTACTTCGGTATTCCTTACGCAGAACCTCCGTATGTTTCTCCGCTCGATTATCGTCACCTTCGTCTCACCCAGAATCACAGTATCAACGACCTTCGGCTCCGGCTCCCCGTAGCTATCACTGCATACAACGGGACCATCAACGCGACACTCCCGGCTACCCAGTGCATCCAGCTTCCGCCGCAGCCCCGCAGCGACTTGCCGGGGGAGATCCTTCAAGACCTGGTTACATACCTCGCTTCTGTCCCCTTCACGTCCGATGCACCTCAGGATGAAGATTGTGTGTGTGCAGTGGTCGCATAAGATATTTGCGTGCTAATACTACTCGAGCAGGTCTGTCGATAAGCGTACAGATACCCGCCGGCACGAAGCCGGGGGCACATCTGCCTGTACTGGCGGTCAGTGATTTCTGCTGACTGTCTCATTTGCCAGACTCAACTGCCTCTGTTCTACCTATAGTACATTTATGGTGGCGGCTTCACCTCCGGCTCTACGGCACAGTGCGTGTCCCGGCTGCGCACTCCTCATACCACTCTACTCATTCATGTGCACTCTAGGAATCCAGGGGATGCGCTGGTTAAAAGAGCGATCGAGTTGTACCAGCCGATCATCTTCGTAGCCATGAACCATCGGTATGATTTCCGTCTTCTCAACCCTCGTCCCCGTCGCTCATCACTTCCGATGACAGGCTCGGGCGTAAGTGATGACTTCATGCGGTATACAACGCTTCTCCTCACTGATCTTGCACAGCCTTCTCGTTCTTGGGAGGCAAAGAGATCAAGGCAGCCGGCGTTGGGAACCTTGGACTCCACGATCGTAAGAGCATGGACCCTTTTGCCGACGGGATTCGTTGACCCCGGCGACTTTAGAACGCGTCGCTCTGAGATGGATCAAGAAGCACATCTCCGCATTTGGTGGAGACCCGGAAAAAATCACAATGTGAGGCTTCACTTTTTTCGTACTGTTCATCTCTTCTCATGAACCTGCACTGATGTTTGCACTGTAAGTAATGGGCCAAGTGCAGGTGCCATCTCGATCGGACTGCAGATGGTCACAAACGGCGGGGATAACGAAGGCCTTTTCCGGGGCGCAATTATGCACGCCGGCTCTCCGCTGCCGACGGGCGACATCGAGACCCTGCAGCCATTCTATGACGCGGTCGTGGAGCATGCCGGCTGTGCGGCGGCTGAAGATACTCTCGCCTGTCTGCGTCACGTTCCGGCTGACACGCTGCTGACAGCCGCTGCAGCGGTCCCGAACCTCTTTGATTATCCGGTAAGCATACAGAGCCTTCTGAATACTGAAGCAGAGCATTCTTCGCTCATGCGTTGTCCCATGTTTGGTAGGGACTTGCGGAGGCATGGGCCCCGCGCGCGGATGGCGTTTTCCTTGAAGCGCCTCCGCAACACCTGATCCTAGCAGGACATGTGTCAAACATCCCCTTCATCACCGGTAAGCTGATTTGGCGGATCCTCTAAGCCGGCATTGACTCCGTGTCACAGGAGATGCTTTAGATGAAGGCACGATATTCGCCACGGGCAGTTTCAACGTGACGTACGTATCGCCCAAGGACCACTCAGGCCCCGTTTTCGCGCTCATTCCCATTTCACTGTCACGACTCCAGCACCGAGGCAGAGTTCCGCGACTTTGTTGCCCAGCATTTCTTTCCAACCACCCCAACGGATGTCCTCGCGCCGCTTTTCGATTTGTACACGAACGACCCCGCGGAAGGTTCGCCGTTCGAGACCGGAGATGCCAACGAGCTGGCCCCCGAGTTCAAGCGCATGGCCGCCCTGCAGGGCGACATAATCTTCCAGGCGCCGAAGAGGTTCTTCCTAGACCAGCGGTCCCTGAAGCAACCTACGTGGACGTACAGTACGTCTATGAGCTCAACCTCTCATCATCCTTCTAGCCACTAATTCACTCGTCCCACAGCGAGCAAGCGCAGCGCCGTCAAAGGCCTTGGATGCGTAAGTCCATGCAGTTTATCCCCCGCAGAATAAGGGAACATTGAATTGACTAACTTATGCATCGAACAGCCGCATGGAAGCGACTCCACACCGGCCCTAGAGGGCAACGACCTCGCGGACTACTTAATCCAGTTCACAGCGACGCTCGACCCGAACGGCGGCACGTCGAACCGCACAATTCCGTGGCCGCGCTACGACCCGCTTTCGCGGAGCATGCTCACGCTACTCGAAGGAGACACGCCGCTGGAGATCGTGGCGGATACGGCGCGGCTCAAGGCGATGGCAGGACTGACGGGATTGTGTCTCGCGTTCCCCTTTTAAAGTGCTTCAGCCGCGATCACCAGTGTCATGTTTGAGTCGGGATGCCTATCAATGTATAGCTCGACTTGTCAGGGCAGGTCTGCAGGTCTACAGGCTGTCGAGATACGGTTTCTTATGACCATACCACTCGTTTGTCCTAGCGGTTACGTTCTTTACTTGGTACTTTCCTTGCTTGATAGCCCTCGAGCCGGGGTACTATACCTCAGGCTCGCTTTTGCTCGCTCTTCACCCGCGATTTTGTTTCCGCTGGCTGGGGTACTATGTCTTGGATAGTTACATGCGCTCATACTACTCTACTCACCTACATAACTAGCTCTATACTGCATCCCGTTATGCACTGTCTAATCTAAACAATCCTTGCTCTGTATCTCATTGGAGGTCGAGATACTCCGCGTTCGACCAGGCTTACAGCTTGACTGATGAGCGTTTTGAGATAAACGAAGTCCACAAAAAAGGCAATATCGAGAAACACATGTATAACTGGTGTTCTAGGACACCGACAGCTTAAGACGATACAACCACTGATACAATAACTCAACAGTACAACCCATCGCATGCATACTGCCGCGAGGGTACAGAAGAGAGGAAAGACAAAAGACCAGTATCGCACAGCGGCGTTAACCGCTCCCGTTTACCTGGGGGAGACCATTCGAGATCGAGCCTTTAAGAGTTGATGGGGCTGCATCATCCCTGAAGTGAGCGGGAGGACAGGTGCGCAATAAAATGGGCGACTTACACGGCGGCGACGGTGGTCTTGGGGCCAGGGTCGGTCGGGAGCGTGGGGAAGGGGGTGTCCGCGCACTAAATGCCCTCGCTTGAGTGAAGCTCACTGGAAAATATTCAAAGGTTAAGCGTACCGCCTGCTCGATGTCCTTGTTGGTGAGGCCAGCGGGGAAGTGCGCCTTGCCGATGACGGGAGCGGGTTGCGGGATCTACACGAGCCACGCTCGTCAGCACCCTACCGCTTTCCAAAGGCCTCCGAGTATTACTCACCAGCTCGCTGCAGTCGATGAGGCTGTCCGGGTCCTGGCCGAGCATCGAGAGGTCGTGGAACACGAACGCGAACATGTCCTGCGCCTTCTGCTGGTTGTTCACGAACGACTGCCACTCGCAGCTCGTGCGCGAGTCGCGCGCGAGCAGGTGGTCCGTCTGCAGCCGGATCTCGCCCTTCAGCGGCGACATCACCTCGCCGTGGTTGCCGCCCGTGCCCGGGAACGCGGTCCCGCGCAGCTGCGTCTCGATGAAGAACTGCGTATCCCAGATGTGCGGCGTCGAGTCCATCGGCGTGCCCGGGATCGTCGGGTCCAGGTGGTCCGTCGCCGCGATCGTGTGCGCGGTGAGCAGCCACACCGTCAGGATCTCGTCGAACTCGCCGGCGGAGGCGTCTGCGAGACGCGCGAAGACGTCCTCGAGCGTGTCAAACGGCTCCGGCACGAGCCCGTCGGGCGCCGGGCGCGTCGCGTCCTTGCGACCGAGGAAGAAGTCGAGGCGGGGGGCGCCGGGGCAGTTGGATGTGCCGAGAGCACCCGCGAACATGATGCTAAGAAAGGGCCGGCTTGTAAGGGCACTAACCGGAACATACAAATGAGAGCACTCACAAGTCGGCGTGCGAGAGGTTGTGGCGGGCCTGAATCGGCGCCTGCTCAGCGACAATCTCGTCAAGACCGATGTTCGCGTGGAAGTTGGTCTCGATGTCGGGGAAGATGGCAATAGAGCCGTCTGCGCCTCCACCGCTGCATGGCCACCGTTAGCGAATCATGCACTACTAGTGGGGTGGGCGGCGGTGTGGCTCAACGCACCCGAACTGGCCGCGGGCCTCCATGGCGGGCGAGAAACTGATGGCGTCGTGGAAGGTGATGCGGAGGGACTCGTGCGCGTTCTCGCCGCACTGGGCACCGTGGAACAGGTTCTGCTGGATGTCGTCGCGGACGGCGAAGAGCGAGCAGCACGCCGCGTTGGTCGCGGTGTTCTTGCCGTCGGGGCAAGCGACGCGGCGCGTCAGCGCAGCTAGCGAAGAAGGCGATGAGCATATGTCGATCCCGGAAGTCTGAGGGGCTTACCGCTCGCGCCCTGGAGGGCCGCTATAAGCGAGACGGCGGAGAGAAGAGCCTTGAACGCCATAAAGTTCTAAACCTGTGAGGAAGATGAGAAGAGAGGACGGGGAGAAGGCTCTGAGGCCATCCAGCGGCCGCGTCGCCCCTCTTATACCCCTCCTGCACCATGTTCAAACCACAGCAGAAAATAGCGGACCCGCCGCCTTCCTCTGCGTTTCGACGACGAGCATGGCCGTACGGCCCCAATAACGCTGCGCGAGCCAATCGCAGAGCACACATTCCGACGGCCCTACCGTCAGCGCAAGCCCACCCACATACCGTGTGTGCGGCTCCGCCCAGCGTGCATTGTAACGACACAAGGGCGGCCGTCCCTCCTGCGGGCCCGCGTCATGCCTCCTGGCGCCCTTCTGCCAGGCGTGGGGCGCGCCCGAGGCAGAACTGCACAACGTCTGAGAACGACGCGGGGCATGTGGTCAGAAGCTATGCATTTCCGCTCAAAGACGCACTCACTGGCGGGAACGTCCAAGAGGGCCGCCCTGGATCGCTGCCACAGCCCCTGTCCTTTGCAAAAAATTTGCATCACACAGAAGGCATGCTCGAGGCGCTGAGACTCTTTTCCTCGACTGAGTGACCGGCTCGCGCGAAAGTATGCACTCAAGGATGGTGCAGGGGGCAGAAAAACCCCTAGCTGTTGAGGCGGCTCTCACAAAGAAGCATACAGCGGCACGTGTGCCTGAAGCAGCCACGGTTATAGACCGAGGACAAGGAGACTGGCGGGAAACGCCAAGGCGGCACTGCTCCCGACGCTGTCAGGCACTGCGAAAGTTCAAATGAACATGTTCAGTACGCTTCACTTCCGCGCAGGCGGCCGACACGCACCGGCGAGCACTTGTCCTCAAGGCATGTCTTCTGCGAGCTCGAAAGCTAGACAACACTCATCTCTGCCATTCAGGCTACTCGTCCGCCGAATGCGTAGAGATAGACACACGACCGTGGCCCCCTGCGCTGGTAACGCGTGCCAGCGCCGGGAGGATCGATTAAACAACCTCATCCGCCAACGGTGCGGGGTAGGGTTCCCATACACATGCCCACACAGGCCCACGTGCCGCACTGAACAGCCTCCGCACAGGAAGCTGCTGATCTGCCCGGGAGAACGCCAAGTCGCCAAGCCCGGTGTGCAATACTGTTCTTCGTGGAACGCATCCCAGGGCAACGGCAGCGTGTCCCGACGCATGTACCGATGCAGCCTTTGCTCCCGACTGGCCGCGGAGAGGCTGGTCTGAAACGTCTCCTCGCACCCGACGCTGTGAGCGCAGTGGTTTGAAGAAGCTGAAAGCACTGCTCAACGTTGTGAGCGAGCAGTGGTTTAGCGCGGAAAGACACTGATTCCCAAGAAAAAGTTCCATCCATGTATCAGCAACAGACAGACCTATATACTTCCCGGGCGTAAGCAACCCCGCCCTGACAAGTCCTTGCGAAAAACACATACCAAGTCAATAAACATACATCCAACGCCCAGCCGTCTCACTCCGACCCCGCGTGCTCCCCCTCCACAGGCCTGAAGCGCACCCGGACCTCCTTCACGTCCCGCCGCGCGCCGACGAGCGCCTCCCGGATCCGCCGCTCGACATCTACGACACCCTCCACGCTCAGCCGCGCGGGCACGTGCGCGACGACGTCCACGAACATGTTCGCCCCAGTGCGCATTGCCCGCAGATCGCTCACCCCGAGGAGGTTCCTCGCCTCCGACGAGGACGGCGACGCGAGCAGTGGCTGGAGCGCGTCGAACAGGGTCTGCTTCGTGCGTGGGGTAACGCCCGCGTCCGTCAGCTGCTGGAATGCGGTCACGAGCAGCGACCAGCCCTGCTTGAAGATGAGCACCGACACGATCAGTCCTACACGCCACACCTCGTCAGTTCCCCGCATTCCTCTCGTGCGCACTAGCAGTGAGTATATGCGCACCTCCGATCGGGTCGAGCGCGAGGTGCGGGAACCACCAATTTCCGAGGATTGCGACGAGCGCGACCGCGCTCCCGAACCCGTCGCTGCGGTGGTGCACCGCGTTCGCGAGCAGCACCGGGCTCTGCTCCGCGTCCGCGACGCGCTTCGTCGCGCGGTACAGCCACTCCTTCGCCACCACGCTCACGCCCGCGAACCACGCCGCGTTCGGGTCGAGCGCGCCCCCGTGCCCGTGCGAGTGCGAGTGCGCGTGGAGGTGCGCGTGCTCGGAGACGGTCGCGGGCACGGCGTGCGCGACGTCGACGATGTACGCGAGCGCGTCGTGCAGCGCCCCGGGGCCCATGCCGGCGGTCGCGCCCGCGAGCGTCTCGAGGAGGAGCTGGTACGAGTGCAGGCCAATGCCGAGCGCGCCGCCGGTGAGGAGGATGGAGACCATGGTCGTGCCGAGCACCTCGAACTTGCCGTAGCCGTAAGGATACCTCTCTGAGGGCGGCTTGCGCGACAGACGCCAGCTGAAGAGCGTGATGATATCCCCGACCAGGTCTAATACCGGAGAGTGTGTCGGAAACGAGCTTTACAGGGCGAAGGCAGGCGACGCACCTCCGGCGCAATGCCCTGCATCCGCGAGGAGCGCGGCAGAGTTCATGTACCAGCCCGCGGCGCCCTTTGTCGCTGTCAGGACGACATTCGAGGCGAGACCGATGAGTGTTATCCTGCTTCCCCGGTCACCTGCAAAAGCGGTAAGTAAGCAATGGGCTCGGTTGCGCGGCCGAAATCAACGTGAAGTTGGAGAGATCACTACTGTCTGAGCAAGCGTAGAATCAATTTTGGGAGGTTAGTACTGAAAGCGAATATATTACACCGCGCGTCTCGGCCCAAAATACGATGCCATGTCCAAACGAATAGCCCTTGTGACTTATATGGACGCGACGCAACGCATAGCGTTCGAATGCATGCACGACGCAGCGGGCCTACATCATCCTCCATGTATGCCGTTATTTTATATTCGGCGGGCCCTCCAGGGTAGTCTCGCGCGTATGGCCTGCACTCTGTCTTGTACAAATGGTGCCTCACGGGGGTGCTGAACAATACACAAACCGGTGCGGTACTCACCTTGTCCCTGCAATGCTTGCACGATCTGCTCCGCGTCCTTTGCGTGCCCATCCTCTCCATGGTCATGTCTGTGCACCAGAGTGCTGAATATGCCGTTGGAATGCGAATGCGAGTGGGAGTGAGAGTGGGAATGAGAGTCAGAAGTGTGGTCGTGCTCGTGCTCATTCGAGTGTGCGGTAGAGGTCTCGGGTTGCTCCGGCTCCTTGCCCCTGGACTGGGTAGAGTATTTGCGACGCGCCGTCAGGGTTGCCATGTCTGTATGTCGTGCAGCGGCGGCGCGTAAAGGCGAAGGAGAGGCAAGAAGCGGGGGAGGTCGGCCAATGCGAGTTAGAGTTGATGGTGAGCCTGAGAACGCGCGCTCCGCAGCGGAAGTACTCCGGGCAGTCTGGACCGTCCTCGGTGAGACACAGCTAGCGGCCGCGGGGCGTAACAACGATCTGAGCGGGACACAAGACGAGGTGAGATGTACCCGGGAAGAGGGCGAGGGTCGGAGCATAAGAGCGGAGGGCGGCGTGTCAGGCACTGACGGCGGTGATTAACGAAGGGGAACACGTCAGGTGTTTGTGCACAGTCGGGCTATAAGAGCGAGCGTCGTGAGAGGTCGTGAGCATGGGAAGTCGGAGTCGTCGTCCAAGCAGGCAGCGTGCGCTGCAGCAGGCGGACGAGGCCTGGCAGTGGCACTGGCCAGTCGGCCGATCGAATTTCCTTGCTCGTGGCTGGGACGGTACCTATGACGTAGCCGAGCCTCCTCCTCGCGAGCCTCGCGGTCCAGCGCTTCTGATACATATCGGGCACATATCTCAAGCCGATCGCAGCCACTATATTAACCACGGTTTACCTTCACATTAATCCGGCCTTCCAGCAGAGCTTTATAGGGCTTCCTCTGGGAGACTAACCGCTCGCAGCTGTGTACAAGCATTGCGATGTACAAGCACGGCACGGCACGCTCACTGCATGATCGCGAAGGCTGAGCCTCCAAGTTTCCCACCGCCCAATGGTTCGGGGTTCGAGTGGAGGAAAGATCTTCACTCAGTCCGGCGAGGGTATGTGTTCGGAATGAATGGACATATTGGTGAAATACTGCCAGGACACATAGGACCCCGTAGCCACGATACGGATAAAGGGAATGAGACTAAATGAGACGGAGAAAAGGGAATGAGATAAGAGAGAGAGAAAAGTGAACAAGATATGAGCGAGAAAAGAGAATGAGATGGAGACATGGAGCAGGGAAAAAAGGAACGAGATATGAGACATAAAAGGTGATCAGAAGCGAAGGGGCAAGCAAAGGATAGTAAAATGGTAGTCATGAGAGTCGCGAGAGAATAATCGCACGGGGAAGGAAAAGTGACGTGTCGTAGCTGCAAAAAAGAATATAAGAGCAGGAAAAGAAGTGGGGGTACTCAGAGTAGGCGGCGCAGAGAACTGTTGGTCTGAATGAACTTGAGGGCCGCATAGACGCATTAGGCGACGGCCTCGCATTGCGTGAAGTAGCTCTCTAGAATGGAGAACGTGGTTGGCTGCGCGGAGTGCACCTTGGGCCCGGGGCTAGAAAACGAGTCGCCCACCGCGGTGTCATCTTCGGTGGTCGAAGATCCAGAGCACGAGTAGAACGACGAGTTGCTCTCATCGTCGCTGCTAGCGTCTTGATAGTCGGACCCAGCATCTGACGACGCATCCGCGTCCGACGCAGCATCCGACAACGCATCCGAGGAGGACGTCTCCGAGGACGCTGATTCGTACCATTCGATCGTCGCCGAAAGGGAGGAGATGTGCTTGTGCGCGCCGTGGACGAGGACCTCGCACGCCCCTGTTGTCTTGTGCAGGACCTCGTACGCCGCTTCCGGCAGTTCGTACTCGTCATCGTCGAAGTCGTCGTCGCCAAGGCTGTCGTTCAAGAGTGGGGCGGAGAATGCCCCAGTGAGGCGACCGCCGAGGCGGAAGGCCTTCTCCCAATCTTCCTCCTCATCGTCAGAGGACGCTTCGCCGATGGATCCGTCGACGCCTGAGGTGACGATAGCGGGGCCCTTGTGCAGGAATTCGTGGACGGGAGCCGGGTCTAACTGACTGCAAGCGTCGATGATCCTCGGTGATCCAGCTTCTTCTCCAGCGGCGGTCAGCGAACCGTTATGGACGACGTCTTCCGAGGATGTAGAAAAGGTGGAGCTAGATTGTAGGACCTGTTTCGTCGCTGCGAAGGGTCCGGCGGAGTGAAGCTGAGGTGCAACAGCGCTACTGGTCGGCGTCTCGAGCTCCTCGGGTTCCTCTTCCTCCTTGATTGCGAAGAGAAGGTGAGGATACGTGTCTTCATACATGTCGAACGAACTGAAGTCGAGTTGTGAGGTCGCCATGTCTGACACCGTCGCCGTCGCCGTCTTGCGGGCGGGAGGCGCTCCTAGCTGGAAGAGCTCGCCGGAGACGTTGGAAAGATTGACAGTTTCTTCTTCGTCGACAGCGGGGTCCCAGGAGGGGAACGGAATCTGCAGTTGGTCTACCTCATCGCCAACGACTCGGACGTCGAGGTCGGCAGACGAGTCTAGCCGCGGGGTGGCGATGGCTGGGGAGTCGGGCTCCGAGTATGTCGACGCGGGGCTGTACGCCTCTAACACAGGGCTCTCGGTGGTATCTTCTGGAGGGGTGACGACGATCGTGGGGATCTCGTTGCTTGCAAGCTTCGGCTTTACTGTTCCGCGGAGGAAGCGGTGGTGTGAACCGCCTACGCCGGGAGTGGAGTGGACCCACTCCCGAGTAAGCTGCTCCCGGAGGGTCCGCATGAGCGGGAGGACCCTGTCCGGAGAGTCCGTCAAGCCTGATTGGGCGACAGACTGTACGAGATGAGCAACATCTACGAAGCAGGATGAGAATGAGGCTGACCTTCACACCGGTTAGGGGTAAGCTGCGGAAGCGACCGAAGATTTTTTGCAAGATTGAGACCCCAGACAACGAGTGAGGGCTAGATACAGGGAGAGGCAAGGACTTGGAGATGTCCTTCTGTAGTAGCGCCGTAGTATCGCTGAGATAGTCATCACGAGAGCTAGATAGAAGTTGCCCGCGGAGAGAAGAGAGCCACCGAGAACCCGAAGAGTTCTTCGCAGAGAGGTCGCCTTGATTCGCTTGGACTTCGAGGTCGACTTCGAGGGTAGCCTGAGCAGGAGTGCGAATGCCGACACGAGTGCCAAAGTACCGACGGACTGCGGCGACGATGCTGAGGACGACGAGGATGAAGATGAGGATCTCGAAGAGGAGAGCGAAGAGGTTGACAGGGGTGACCGAAGTGACGGCGTTGCCGCTCGGATGCGAATGTGTGGAGGTAGCTGGTGCCATTGTGCAAGCGAGCGACGGAAAACCGAAGGAGTCGGGTTGGGCTTGACGGTGCAGAGGTAGGCGACGAAGAAACAACTGGCAAGGTCGAGCATGAGAAGGCACAGCGTATATCATGGCTGGCAAGGTTGGCTGGCAAGGTCAGCCCCCTCTCCTGCGAACCTTCCGGAGGCTGGATTCTTCTGTGGCTCATAGTATTTAGCCTCTGGACATATGTCGTGGTCGAAACTGCGCTGAAGCCTCGGGACAAAAAACCAATGGATGTTACGAGCATCACTTCAAAATTTGATAAGAGCTATGGACCCACGATTTGTCTGCGGGAAAACGCCGCTAGTACGCCGTTGGAGGTCTGGTATTGGGAGGGTTAATCGAGCTGTTGTGATCGAGACTGCGGCACACTGGCAGGGTCACGAACCTACGAGTTTGCATTCGCGGTTTTCTGCATCTCGTGGTATGCGGTTCTCGTTTGGACAAGGTGAGAAAAAAACCTGTTGGGGCTGGGTCATGTCTGGTGTCCCGATGTCAGCGTAGAAGTCAGGCCCTATGAAAACGACTGCCCGATCTAGGCACCGGTGCCGGCGAGGTGGCAGAACTGACTGTTTCTGTACATTATTTCCCACTTGGCACCATAAGACACTATGGCCGAGTGGTTAAGGCGACAGATTCGAATCAACTGTTCGAGCATCTGTTTCGGTTTCCGAGCGCAGGTTCAAATCCTGCTGGTGTCGTTTTTGCTCTCCCCATGCCTTTGGGCTAGGTCGATAAAAAAGTACGAGCTTCACGGTACTTGGCAGATCGTTTACATTTAGCATCAACGTGAACACTGGCAACCATTGGCAATCTGTGTGGCTCGCGAGGACAGAGAATCTTCCGAGTAAGCGCTTAGCAATATTCGGGGAGCACGTGATGACCGGAATGGACGCGTCGGGGGCGCGAGCAATTATGAGCCTCTCCCGAGCGCCTGTACTCTTTCAACAGTCAACCGCCACCACCGACCAAGCACCGTCGCACACCAATCAACCTCCCTTGTTCTCCACCCACAATCACCTCGTTTTCCCCACCACCATCCACGACTCTATCTCTCATAGCTCTCCAGTCGACCTCGGAAGACAACTATGCCAGCCACTCGCACGGAATCTAAGCAAGCCGGTCGCTCGGCTACACACCATTTCCCAGGAAGCGTCGACGTACGTCCAGCAGACTCAGATATTGTCATCCTCTCGTCCGATGACGGCTCCCCCCTCCGAAAGAAGGCTGCAGTCGAAAGAAAGACCGCTCGACAGCGCGCCAAGCAAAAGGCCCGAGCACCACTCCCGCCATCCTCGGAGATCATTGAAATATCCTCGGACGATGATGAACCTCCAGCTAAACGCCGCTCGTCTGGCTCTATGACTGCTCTCGAATGGCGGGTGAAGGAGTTGGAAGAGGTGCGTTGACCTCTCCACACGGGCACAGGGTGAGTTCCTGATAGACCCTGTTACAACCTTGTTCAGGAGAACAAAAAGTGCAAGCAAGCCGTCTTGGCCTCTCAGGCGGTGCGTTACTTTCGTCGTCTTTTACGATCCTGTTCTGACTGAGCAATCTTTGCAGGCGCTACAGGCGCGAGCACCACTGTCCTCCAATCCCCTGGCGAAGGAGGGAGCACCTGTGCCGGACGTTAAGTTCGATAAGGTGAACACGATATACGATTACCAGTATCTTTGGGTCGGTGCTGACATGCTTTCCAGTTTCTATCAACAATAGACGAGCACGTTAGCTGCGAGATATGCACTATGAAAATGTGGAATCCCTACACGTATGTCCCTCGCCCATTCCCACCCTCACCTCGGTACTCACGCGCCGCTCTCCGACCTTTACCAGGCTCGCGTGCGGACACACGTTCTGCAAGGACTGTCTCCAGGACTGGTTCAGTACTACGCTTGCGCAGCACATGGCCGCCCACCCACACTACAACCCGCAGGTCGTCGTGCCTCCACATTGGCGCGCTGCTCTGGCCCGCCCGAACTTGTCGCCTCTGGATCGGCGCCACATCGAGCGGGAGATCCAGAGGCATGCGGAGGCGACCCCTCAACCCGCGTACTCATGCCCGACGTGCCGCGTGGAAGTTCGCAACAAGCCGGCGGAGAACTTCATCGTGAAGCATATGGTGCGCACCATCGCCGGTGCCCAGGGCGAGTCGTGTCCGAAAGACAACGCGCCTCCTCGCCTAGTTGGCCAAGTCGTCGAGGGACCTTGGGACGCCTTCTTCCCGTTCGCCTTTGGGTTTTCGTAACGGTCTGGACACTTGACGGGTCTGTTCATACATTATTCGTATCCGAAGACGCATATTCGCTGTTCGTCCATCGTCATCACCATCATCTTGCACTGTATTCCAAGCGCTACTTTATTCCACGCAGTAACATATCCCCGGTATCTAGCATACATCTGTTCGCGTTGCAGTTTGTTTGTATCATACACCTGCTGCACTGCCAATTCCCCCTGTCATCCGTCAATCCGCCCGTCCATCCAACGATGGCACATCCGGTGCTTGTCCCTGGCCCTGTTTCTGGCCGACCATCCATATGCCCGGGCCGCAGGGACGAGAATGTTGCCTCCTCTCCTGTCAGGCCAACTCGTGTGGGACATCTCGGGCGACGTGGGCGTGTCAGGCGATCTCGACATACACAGGATGTGGTTCTGCAGCCGATGTGCATCCAATAGTCAGAGACAAGAAACCGGTACTCAAAGTAAGTGCACCGACCAGTCGATAAGTTAGGTGAGCATTACATGGTCATAGCGTCCGTCGCTTATCTCTTCTTGCCCTTAGTCGTCTTACCCGCCATCTTCGACTTCGCGGTGCGCTTCGCAGGGCGCGCCGGGACCGGGCCTTCAACGAACTCTATCTCGTCGTCATCCTCCTCCGTGATGCTGCTCATCGCCTTGCGCTTATGCGTCGAGCCCGACCCGGACGTACCGCCATCCAACGCATCCACGTCGATCACCTCCCCCGCGGTCGACACCGACAACCGGCTGAGCGCATGCGCCGACCCCACAGACCGCACCGACGACGCCGGCGACGGCTTGCGCGGCAGCACGCGGTGGTCCGCCGCCGCCCCGGGCGTCCCGCCCAGCGCAGGCAGCGGCGGGACGCCGTCGTCCTGCTCATGGCGCGCGCGGCCCGCAGACGCCGACGCGGGCACGTCGTCGAGCGAGATGCGCGTCTCGCGCCAGTCGCGCGCGAACGCGCCCTCCGCGTACACGTCGTCCTGCATCGTGTGCAGGTTCTCCTCCATCAGGCCGTCCTCGCGCGCGTGCGCGGGGATGACGCGGTCGCCCGTGAGGCGCGCCTCGAACAGCTCGAGCGCGAGCGCGGCGGAGTTCTTCACTGCCCCAGCGCGATCTTCCGCCGGGGCCCCAGGTACGTCCCCGAGGTACTCTGTCCACTCCCAGGGGCGGTTCTGCACGGGGCCGGCGGGGACGAGCGCGCCGGTGGGGTCGCGCGTGGCATAGACGAGGTCCTCGACTGTAGGGTTGAGTGCGACGTACGGGAGCATGAGGCGCAGGCGCGCTTTGTACTCGGGCGGCATGTCGGAAGGGAGGTCGGAGAGGTTGAATTCGGGGTAGTATCGGAATGGGTCAAAAGGCGCGGTTGCCCTCATGTCTGAGGGTATCGCTAAGAATTTGTCAGTATGCGGTAGATGGGCAAACATCTTCTCATGAGGCTCACAATCCAGGGTATAACAGAGAGTATCCATAATCAAAGGGAAGGCGAGCATATTCAATCCTTCGCCTGCGCCGTGAATCTGTGGGCTGTCAACTGACGCTCTGCAAAGAGAATGACAGGACGCATACCAAGGCCAGTCTAGTCAGGTTGGCACACAGCTCCTCCGCGAGCTCCTTCGACTCGTCGGACCAGGCTGCCGGGAAGCCAAGGTAGAACTGCAACAACCGCGCAAGGAAGATGACCGCCTGCGAGCCCCGCGAGATGTCCTCGCTCCATGGTTCCTGCACAAGTGCTGCCATAATGCCGGTCATTTCGGCGAACTTCGCGCACAGCACGAAGAACAGGTGTTCTTGCACCGCCGGGTCTATTGGTGGCAGGTAGTTTTCGAAACGTAACTCCTCCCCCGGTGCCCTCTCTGTCCTAGACGCTTCCAGCCGGAATGGGGCCACTATGTTCGCGATGAGACGGAGGATTTCTCCTGCACAGGACACGAGTAGCGTCATCGAGTTGATCTTGTTGGCGCCGTCCGTCTCCCGGAATATGTCATCTATGCGCTTGAGCCCCGCATTGACGAACTTAAAGACCAGTAAATGATTGCGCACAAAACGTAATATGATTTCCTTACCTTTCCGGCCACAGTCAGGTCGACGTTCGTGATCATCTCGGCGACAAAATCGGCTTCCTCAGGACTCTTGCAGTGGTAAAAGACCCCGCCAGTGAGCTTATCCAGACTCGCGCAAGCCGCGATGCGGGTGGACTCCCGAGACATGCCCTCGCCGAGCTGCTTGATAGTCAGTCTTATCTCGATGGCGGTCGCCGCAAGCTTCCAGGGACTGAGGAGGGAGGAGGCGGAGCTCCATTCGGCGGCATTGACAGGACCATCTGACCGTATGACATGAGAGGTATATCAAGAAATGCGACTTCGGCCAACATACCTTGGCCGGGATCGTTCAGCATCAGGCGTAAAGCGCTAACGAGCGGCTCATGCAGCTCATCGTTCTGGGGATTGAGCCGCTCCTCAAACGCTAGCCGGACGGAGTCCAGGTCACGGTAGATCCCCTGGCGGAACACGCTCACTCTGCATATCGTCCTGCGCAGGTTGGTGGTGGCTTGGCGGATCGCCTCCGGAAGGTAGCGATTCTGCTCGATGAGGACAAGATCTGGGAACCGGACGACCAAGTTGGAGAAGTAGGGCTCGCGGAAGACGTCCCGCCGGCGCGTCTGCAGCCCTTGAGCCTCGAAGACGTCCACAGGCGGCAGCCCCGTCCCACACTCGTCGCGGAGAAGAAGGTGCTCGAAGAGGGTGTTGCTCCACGTCAGAAGCGTCTCCCTCGTTTGCGCCTTCTCCTCCGACGTAACCCTCGCGCCTTCCTCCCATTCGTTGTAGATGAGGCTCTCGAGCATCGTCGTGGTCGTGAGAGCGCCGTAGCAGATGAGGTAGAGCAAGACGACGGTGACCACATCCCAGGTATCCGGTGTTAGCGCGGCGACCTCGCTTCTCCCCAGCGGCGCGAGGAACCAGGCCCGGATTTGCTCGTCGAGGCCCCGAGGTAGATGCTGATCGACGTGGAGAAGGAAGGTGGCATACCGCAACGCGCATGCCCGGCGCCCGGGGACATCTTCAATCATCACCGGGATCTGGCGCAAGCTCGCGATGGTGTTATCCCACACTTTGTACGCCCAGTCCGACGACGTCATGTACTTGTACCATAAGCTGTTGGCGAGCAGCGAAGGTGCCTCTGGATTTGGGTCCGTCGCGAGGAGCAATATCTCCGGGAGCACCTGTGGAACCTGGTCGGGGTTCTCGTTGCTCGGGAAAAGAGCCTACCACGGCGAGTGTCAGCGTGGAAATGCGGTAAATTGGAGGTCCTCTTACGTGCGAGAACGCGGATATATCCGAAAGCATCTGCTCTCGGGCAGCTGGGTCGAGATGCTGCTCGTTGTCGACCTCGGCCAGGAGTTTCAGCAGCACACGGTTCTGCAACCCACGACTTCGCCATGTTTGATGAACCGTCCACAAGGCAGAGGCGACGTCCTTCATGCGATCCATGCATGCCCATACCTCGATGTGCTGCCGAAGGGTCTCGATGACTGCGGTGAGGAGAGCGCTGTTATTCGCATACTCCAAGGTATACAGTGACATCTGTGGCATAGTCAAACATCAAGCATTCCGGGAAGACGATGTTACTTACGTTCAATATCGAGCCATATGACCGCACGCGAGCCATGATTACTGTGGACAGAGTAAAGACGTGCAAGATTCGGCCGTCATCGTCGAATCCTTGACTGCGAAATCATGAATATGTATCACACCCGCCTCCGGTATGTGTCACACTGACCTTGTCAGGAATCTCTTGTAGATAGGCAGGAACCATTGCTTCATGATTTTCAGCTGCTCATAGCGCGGTGCCGCCAGGAGAGCGCTGCACGACTTCCAGAATGTAGTTGTCAATGGCTCGTCGTTTTGCGGCTCGCCTATGTACGCTCGTTATTGGCTTGCAGCACGGACCTGGATAGAAGAACATACCTCCGAAGACCTCGGGAACCAATATGCGCAACTCCTTTCTGATCTCGCGCTCGTTCGCATCTTCAGGCGTCTCCCGTACCCGGAACCCGTACAGGATGACTTTGCGTTGACTAATGACCGAGGCATCGGAGCTGTTGAGCGGTATCCATCTGAGGAAGTGCCTATGCCGTGATCCCTCCTCCTAAAGCATATCGGTCAGGTGTGTGTCAGCAGTGGTTGAACAAGGCTTACATCGCCAAAAGAGAGTCCTGACTCCCCTCGAGCAATGAGCCGTTGCATGTACTGCTCGTACGAGAAGAGCTCGCGCCTGACGAGCTGGCCGAACAGCAGCGCCACCGCAGGAAGGTTCCCAGACTCCCCAGCGACGTCCGAGCCGTCGAGCCAGTCGAACAGCAGATCCTGGATCTGTCCATCAGGCGACGGAGCATCTCGCCGGAGGGCACGTTCTTCGGCCTTGTTTCGCCAGATCTGAAGCAAACATGCTGCCGCGTACGGGCGGTGGTCTCCATACTGTAACGGAGTTACACTCCAGGTCAGGAGGAAGTCGAGCTTCCGAGAGAAAGAAGGCGAGAACTCCGAGTTGTCGTCGAACAGCGAGACGCTCGACATATCAGTCTTGCCGGAGATGGAGTTAAGCAGCTACATGCCTGCAGTGAGCACGCTGTGGTAGAATATATCGAGATTGTCATACCTTGACATCTGACAACGCTGACGACAATGATCCCAGGACGCGGGGAGGAAGATGTTCGAAGAGCATCGCTTCATTCCGTCTTTGGACATCAGAGAGCGTGTCCATGACCGTCTGCCGAAGGACCTGGATGGAAACTTGGGAATTCTCGGCACCGTCCGCGCCAAAGTTCTCCATGAGGACTTCTTGCAACCTGGCTCCATATTGAATGTGCATCCGCGGGCATATGCAGGCATCGGGCAAAGCTAGAAACGCCCGCTGTGAAAAGAAGCGCTGAGTATGCGATGGCAACATGCTTAATGTCTGGTACCTACCGAGATCAAGCTCTTCAGGATATTTGCGGTATCGGGGAGGAATTCATTGGCTGGGGGTTCTTTCATCTATCCAGCGTTAGAATTCTATGCTCGTCACTTGAAGCCATGGCCTCACCTCTTCCAATTTGACTAAGCTAGCCTCAATGAAGGGGCGCACTAACGCCCGGCTAACCAGCATACCGTCGAGATATTCGTCCGCCAGTCGTACCACAAAGCCTGCCTGCGCTAGGTTGCATGTGCTCATCTGTTGCACGAGCCATGCCAGGAACGTTCTGTTGTCTACCAAACCCTCGGCGTAGAACGTGCGCAACAAGCTCAAGCTTCCCGACAGAACGCCGGGAGCAAAGTTAGCACCCTGGATCGCTGCCGTGCGAGCCGCGCGGGAGAAAGCGCTGGTACGTACCAGTAACTGAAGCGCGAGATCCATTTCTGGCGCATGTCGCTGTCTGAGAGAACGCCCTTGAAGGTTTGCTTGATCGATGCAACGAGTCGCGGGGCGCTGGGCAGTGCGATATCTGCCAGCTGCTTCTTCATATAACTCGTCATGACGTTAGCCCATTCCACACTGTACTGTGTGGGGTTGTATGACGGCCTGTTACGCAAACCTGCCTGCAGATAAAATCAGCGCATGGAGGCCGCAACTTACAACGGAACCACGCACCGACTCATTAGCGCCGAATACTCGGAGAAACCATACAGCCCGTGGGATGGCTACATTGTTGGTATGGAGCAGGTCGAGCAGATCATGGCCCTTGGCCCCGTGGGGAACGTTCTTCCCCAGCTTGGATAGAGGAATGTCAGGGTTGGCAAGATCGGCGAACCACGCCAGCCTCTTCCCGTCGTTGAGGGTCACACGAGAGGGGAGGCGGAACGACGACGATCTGGCATAGAACTGTCAGGAAGCCTCATGTAGCGCGAATGAAACTGCACGTACGGGATCGACGGTGTGCTTTCGGCCTTTCGCGCAAAGATCTGATTCATAACATCTTCCAATACGCTCAGCGCGTCGTCCTGCATGAGACGCTTCCGGATCTCATGTTGCTGGCTGTAGTGTTCCGCCTGGGGCAATCCTCAGTCGAGCTAACACTCAGACAGGTGAGATCGGAGCTCACCAACACCTCGGGCTTGAGGACGAGCCCATGCTTGACGCTCGCCTCGGTGAGCGTTTCCTCGACATCGTTCGGCCGAGGTGGGTAGAAGCCGATATACCCTGTTCAATTTGTTAGTGAGACGATGGGCGCTCAAAGACCGAGTGGCAGACTCACCGATGTCACCAGAGGCATGCGCAGGGGGCAGCCATTCCGGCGGGTGCAGCTCGTATACGGGGAGAGGATCGTTCTCGCCCTTGGCCATCTGCACGAGTACTCGTATCTCGAATTCAGCTGGTCGGGCGCAAACCTAAAACACCCACTATCGTACAGTGGCGTTTGGTTGCGGACGAGCCGCCAGTCTCAACCGCTCGCTTAAAAATATAGGGTGGAGTGCGCGCAGCAGCTTCAGAATGCTAGGAAATCACCAAGTCAGATTTTTCCTGATACTCAAGAATGTTGTGACGAGGCTTACGCGTGTCTCTATAAAGGCTGTCGAGTACCGTACGACCTAAGGTTTTGGTGTGACGCCGCAAACAGAGCGATATCGTTCCGCTCCCAAACACAAAGCCTTGCCTGGCGTCCTGTAAGACTGTTAGTTCTCTTCTGGTATTCAAAATAGGCCTCAGTAAAGGGCGAGCGATGTACGATGGGCCGTTGGTGGCATGGTGCAGCGTACGTTACGGTGTAGGCGCCCATGGTACCTCGAGGAGCACCGCCGCCACGTGGCTCTCGGCCTCTTGACCGGATTGGGAACACCATACTTTCGTTCACCGCCGCAACTATGAAACATCTAGATTCCAAGGACCGTTAGAAACTATGTACATCTCTACATTTAATTAGGCTGGCATGTGTCAGCAAAGTACTCAGGACCTGCAGACGGGAAATGATTATTACTACCCGCGCTACTTCACGGTGGCCCGGTCCGATCTTGTACGCCGGCAAGTTGCAAAGCTACCAGGCTCCAGCCACAATCCCCTGCATTTTTGCGGCACTCATAGTACGACGGAACATAATCCACCAATAATCCAATATGTTTGTAGATCACCTATGAGAGTATCGGGACAGGATGCGTCCGAAGTAGGACGCCCGCAGTGCTTCCAAGACGCACGAAGCGCCTGGAGGCGTGCTTCCTCGCCATCCGTCTTCGCCTTCGTCTTCGCGACCCGCGCATGCCGAAATCACGAACGCGCACGAACGCGCAGTTGCTGCTCCTAATGACGCCGCAGCGCTTCTCGCGGAGCCCATTCCCTGCGCCCCGAGCTTCACGCGAGCTGGTAACGCCCTCAACGTGAGCACCCTCAAACGCCGTCTGGCCCCTGGGCGGGCAAGCTGCATCTCAGATGCAGCCACTGGGTGCCGCTGGGTGCCGTACAGAAGTTTGCTGTCTATATGGTAGGCAGAGCCCGCAGAGACAAGCCAAAGCTAGTTCGACCGCGAGAGTACCGCGGCACGGCACCGGACGCTCCGCGAGCTCCGGCTGTGCTGCTGCGCGGCCGCGACAGTCTGTATGTCAACAATCCAGTGCAGCGTGCCAAACTGGTCACAGAGTACTGACTACCTGCAACATGTTTCGGCCGTCACTCCTACTAACCGAATGTGCTGACGGGTGGCGTATCCCAGGCTGAGATTCCGGCGGGGGTTGCGCCGGGTTTGCGCAAGCGCGGAGAGTCATCCGCATTGTCAGCCTCGCTCGCGGCTGAGCGCTGCTTTGTGCACTGATCGGTGGCGGGGATATACTTGGTCTGTGCGCGCGGCGCACTTAGCGCAAGGGCGGTTTTTGAGTTTGAGTTCGTGCATGCGTCGGTCGACGTTCTAGGCCCGGCCGAGTCGCAGCTTGGAAGGACGGGTTCCTAGGCCAGGCTCAGGAGAAGCCGGTCCAGGGGGACGGAGACGAGAGCTCGGGCGATAGCGCGGTGGGTGGAGGGCAGCGGGCATCGGTAAAGGACAATCCGATTGAGGCGAGGCGAGACGGAGGCTGAGGGAGCTCGCGAGTGCACCAGCTCCGTTCTTTGGCACGTTGAGATATATCCGTGCCAGATATAGCGCTCATATACGCAGCAGCAGATATCCCGGCGCAGGACGCGTGTGGTTAAGAAGTGCACCGGTGTGGTCGAGAACCCTTCTCCAGCAGCATCCGGATATCTATGCGCATAGACAGTCGTGGGACGCCGACGGGGAGATGAACGGACGGGCGCGGAGTCGCGGACGGAGGATCGGCACGACCGGAGTCGTGATCTGATCCCAACTGTAACTGAACTCCGATGCCAGATAGATCGCTATATTACGCGTTATATGAGTAACGTTGACACTCGTAGCGATGTCTACGTACCATCTCACATTCCGTAGAAGAGGTAGGAGAGGAGCTCGAGCTCGAGGACACGAGGGCTGGCGGAGGATGCGCGGGCGGCGGCATAATTACCGAGGGGCAGCCGCCGAAAGTTACCGACATAATTTCCCGATCCGGCAATCTGGTCCCGTTTGGTGGCACCGATCATATTGGATCATATTGACCGTCGGCTGCGCCCAGGCACAGTACTGGTGCTCATGGATATCTTGCGAGGAGGCGGGTACAGGCGCAACAATCACTCGCGTGTACGCTGGCGACTGCGTTGCAAAGAGACGGGTCGTGGTCGGCGCGCACGGCGTGGCCGTCCATTCTGTGGCCACAGCACGGGCGCGCCGAGGCGATTATGAGCGATCTTGTGGCGGGGGCGAGAAGTCCAAATGCGGCCTAGGCGAAGGTCCAGGGCGCTCGTGCGTAGAACCTTATGTCGCTCCCGGAGGGCCGCACATGTAAAGCTGAGGTGGTCCGCGCGGCAAGCCAGTCCGCCATGACACATCCGCACGCCTTGGGGATGGGATTATCGTACGCTACCCTGAAGGCCTGGGAAGACGGGAGGGAAAGAGCGGCTTGGGATTGGACGCGGGCCAATAGATCTGTCCGAGCGACACTTTGCATTCGCCCGCGGCCGGCTCGCACGGTGGTTTGTGAGACTCTGACAGACGTCCACGGACAGGCCCGAAAGACTGGGCGCCCAGAACGTTTCTGGGGTCTGCGCTCCACCTGCATTCATAGAAGGGCCGAGGAGGAGGGCGTGAGCGAGAGCGAGGGTGCAGGACGATCAAGTGATAGGTCGCCCACTCACAGTCATGAAGCGTGTGCGGGGCATGCGGGGACAGAGCGTGATCAACACGCACAGAGGATATCTAGAGGGCAGGAGGAGAGCCATGAACTCAGGGCGCCGTGCTACGGCCGGCGTTCATTCGGATTTTCGACGTCACTGGCCTGTTTGCTCTCTTTCTTTGGTCGGGGTCACGGCGGAGAGAGCGGCGTGGGATGTCCGGAGCCTGGCCGGCGCGACACAGATGAGTCTCTTGAACCCGGGTCCGCCTGGGGGCGAGGGTGAGATGGCGCCTGCACCGCCCACGAGCTAGGTCGAGACGCCGCACGCGAACTCGAGTGCAGTGCGCTCCGACTCCGGGTGTGCGCCCTCTGCCGGGGGAAGGTCGAGCGCGGCCGCTGGGACAGACCGTAAGGGGGTTGAGCGGGCGGACATTCCGAGGGGATGCAGTCATGAGAATGGAAGATGATGCGCACATGTATAGAGTGCACGTTCCGAAGGGGAGTACAGTCAGGATTGCCATAAGCAGGTCTCGGTCCTGGCAGCATTCAATCGATCCGGTACGGCCGAGGACGCGGCGCTGTGTCCGCTATGCACTTGTCGCTGGAGCCCCTGTGCGCTGAGTGTGGACTGTCGAGGACGATGCGTGCGACGGGCAGGGGAGGGGGTAGGACAAAAGGCGGGAGAATAAAGGAGAATAAAGGCGGCGGGGCAGCGAGGATGGCGACGACCCGACAGTCTGGATTGGCTAGAGGGAGAAGCGCCGGTGGGCCGGTGGGCCAAGCGTGCTCTGCCCTGACCCGTTCTCTCCGCCGGCCTTCACGCCATCGTTGCGGTCCCTACCGCCCCTGCCCTCCTTGTCCTCCTACCACCACCATCCCATCCCGCGCCGCCCGCCATGCATCGCGCGACTCCTTCCACATCCTCCTCTACATCATCCTCACATAGATCGCGCAGGCGGTACGCCCCACCCTCTCCTCTCCCACCGCCTCGTGCCCATTCAGCTCACACCCCCTCCCGCAGACAACTCACCCGAGACCAGCTCTTGAAGGGTCTGCAAGTGCGTTCATCGACCTCTTTCTTTCTGTCCTTCATCCCTCACACGCGTTCTGGCCACAGATACTCGGGCCTGTCAGCGCTCCACTCCCCCCGGAACTCCCACCCTCCCCGCCCGCCTCTCGCGACTCCTCCCCAGCCCCCGGCCACAAGCGGCGGCACGATTCGGAATCCGAGCATGGTCGCAACAAGAAGCCGCGTCTCAGCTCGGCGACAACATCTCGCCTTCGGTCCACCTCCCAGTCTCATTCATCGTCCGCCGCCGCCGCCACCACCACGGTGGCTTCTTCATCCAGGCACGAGCCTGCAGAGGATGGCGAAGTCAAAGAAGAACACCAAGCTGGCCCTAGCGGCATGCCTTCAGGCCTGTCCTTCATGCCCGTCCGCCGCCCGCGACGCGGTGACACCAACCGCACCAGCGAATGGGACTCCGTTTTCGACAAGTGCTTCATGAAGGCACGTGCGCTTAGGTTCTCCTCGCTCTCTCGGGTAGCTGCGGCACACCCAGCCACATCCAAGGAATTCAAACCCTTGCGGAATCCACCAAGCCCCGTTTCTTCCTATGCGAAGGATCCCCTGTTAATGGCTCGTCTGGAGCTGATCGACTCCCTCCTGCACTTCGTCTACGGTCTGTGGTGCAAGGACTACAGCGCGCGGACGTGCTACCGAGCCGCATGGAGGACAGTAAACGATTTCTTGCAGCCCACCAAGAAGAAGCTGATTGCGGAGAGCCATGACGATCGTGAGAAAGCATTCATCGGTCTGCTGTAAGTCTATCTCCGCTCCGTTACGCGCCGTGGTTATATCTCCTTGCAGTTTCACGCTTGATGCCTACATCCACGGACGTAAGCTCAAGTACCAGGCGACCACGATCGACAGAGAGAACGATTCAAAGATGAACCGCCTCAACATCGAGTGGAAGGCGGAGAAGGCAAAGGCTCAAGCTCGGGCAACTGCAGCTGCGCAGGCTTCGATGTCCAGCGCAACCCCCAACATGCTCCCCTCCCCTGCTAGCAGCAGCTCCGCGAATAGCTCCAACTCGACGCCCCTTGGCGGTCATGGGACACCTGGCCACAATCCAGCGATGGACCTGGGCGCACAGCCAGACGCAGGCCACAGCGCCGGCGGCGCGGATCGCCCTATGGCTGCGCCACCCCCTCACCTCCAGATCCCGGTGACTACGCAGTTCGTCGTTGATAGGAAGTCGCAAAGCAGCGGCTTGCTTCTTTCCTCCCACTACTTGCAGACGGCGCAGCAAAGCTTGAATCTCCCGGTGATGGCCAAGCACTTCCCTCGCACCCTCGCACGAATGATGTTCTCGACATTGGGCCCGCAGGACGAGCACGAGCCCGACTTCCAGGATGACGACTGTGAACTGTTCTGGCCGACGCAGGCCATCACCGGTGAGGGCCTAGGTTGGGTGTGTCTCATGGGCATGGCCATGGTGAAGGAGTTCGGCAAGGAGTATGGATACCAGGGCGTCGACGGCGTTGTTCAGAAGCAAGGCAGCGAGGACGTGAACGGCTTCCCGGAGCCACGGTTCGTTCCTCACACGCGGTAGCGAGGGCACGCCGACCACCACCCGGCCGTCATCGGCTGGTCTACACCGTCTCCTCTCACCCCGCATAGAGCCCAGCGGAGTGCCTCGTTAAGGTGCGCCACTCTGTCAGCGCCACCTCAGTCGCGCCAGCAGCATCCCGGATAATACTCCTGTTCGATGCAACCTCCCCTGGCCGACATGGCGCTCCCCTCGTCTGCCTAAGGCATGCTCACGTCCTGTGTATCCCTATTTATCATCGTCGATCTCGCCGACCTCGCCACATCTTATGGGCTCCCCCGCTGAAGCGAGTGGTGCTCCTGTCGATGCGCATGTCAGCTTGTCTTCCTTGGATGTATCGCCTAATCGTTAACGCTGGCTCCACCTCGGTCTCCTGTACGATATCGCCCCGCCCTTTCCCCCACCACATCGCATGCCTCTCCTGCTCTACCCGGCCTTACCAACATCACACTGTAGTCTCAACTTGTACCACCACCAACGTCGCCTTGCTGTCACCATCTCGGTCATCAAAAGCACGCATCATTTCCTAGACCTCGCGCGGCGCCCGCCGTGCGCGCCGCAGAGGCTTGGGTCATCCTCATCACCAGCGCATCCCATCTCCCACACTCGCATACAACCTCGCATCTCTCTGCCTCTGCCCCTTTGTCTCACATCTCTCGCAGGACTTTGTGTGTTCAGCTTTCGGTGTCGGATCGGTTGGATTAGCCTTATTTTGTTTCCCCCACATTCTGCTTTTCGCTTTCACTACACGCGCCCTGTCGCTGCGGGCCCGGTTTGCTTCTGTCGTTGTCGCCCTCATCGCCCGCCCGTCGCTCTGCGCTTTATCACTACCCCCGCGTTCTATCATACCCGCATTTATTCTAATTTCTATATACGCATACTCGCACGCGCGCCCCGTGCTCCGTGTCCCTCGCACAGCACAGCGCCCGTCCCCGCGCTGTCGCCGCCTGCCACTGGAGCCCTCCGCGGAACTCGGCGCAGGGGGCATGCAGGGGTCGCGCGTAGCTACCGTATCCCGCCTACCGCAGATCGTTGCCCCACCCTTCCTCGCGCCCTGTATCACGTATCCGGCGGCCTGCCGCTGCACATACTGTTACTGTACGGCCTCGGTGTCTGTCCGTGTCTGTGTCGTCTGTGCGGGTCCCGTGGGCAGCCGCCTGTTTTATTTAACCTTGTACGGTTGCTTTCGGAATACAGAATACAGGACGGGCTGCCTGGAGCCTCCTCGGATGATCCTCTGGAAGTCTCTGCGTGCGTGCCGTGCCAGTGCCAGTGCCACCTGCTGCAGACGTCGAGTCTGTCCCCGCGTGTCCGCGTGCGATCGCGCGCGACGTATGTCTCCCCTCTCCAGGCTCCGAGCTTCAGGTTCCGGTCGCGCCGTGACACCGACAGCTGCCCTCTGCCCTTCCTGCGCGAACCAGCGCCGATCCAGCGTACGGCCTCTTCCGATCGCGCGAGGCCTGCATTGCGAGCAGCAGCAGGTGCCCCGCGCGACCTTCGAACTACGCGCGAAAGACCGCGCGCGGCGGTCTCGAAGGTTCCTGCAGATACACTTTCGGCACGGACTGTCCGCGACCTGCGCGCCGCCCGATTAGGGGGTGCGCGAGGTATCGGCGGATGCACATGCGAATCTTCCGCCGCGGGCGTCTCCGTACGTACAAGGGTGGCTACTGTGTTTCCTGTCATGTCAGGAGCCTAAACGGCTAGCCTCCCTCGAAATGCCAGATATCATATATCAGACCGCGACATATGCGCGCCGTACGTCGTTCGGAGAAGGCATCGTCCGGGTCTCTGGTACTAAGCTTACACCGGCCACTCCACAGAGAACGAAGAGGCTCGCGCTCACGCCGGCACGCTTCTAGCAACGACCGCCTCTCGCCTTCCCGTACTTCCATGCTGCCCATGGCGCTACGCATCGCGCGGGACGATGCATCGAACGCGCGGGTGCGCCGGAAGCCATCGCGTAGATAGGGGCCCGCCGCTCAGATCAGATCCAGGCGCACCATTATTGCCGTCCGCCACTGCCAGAAGAACGCGCTCCAAGTCTGGGAGGAGGTATGGAACGTTGGAAGGTTGCTCAGATATGGTGCCATGTTCTCGCACCGGGCTCACCACGGCGGGACTACATCTCGCCGATGACGCGCGGTCGATGCAGCGGGGAGGAGGCCTCGCGCGAGGACAGAGCGACCTGGAAGGAGGTTGCTTGTGCGTGTTGCACGTAACAGCGCCGTAGTACTCGGTGCTGTAGTCGCGCGGGGAAGTATAGCGTCGTTCGCGCTGTGGATCTGCACTCTACGCCACTAGTATGGCTGGAAATGCCCACCGCGCGCAAGACAGCAGGCTGAGGGAGGCCCAAGCCGCTCACAGAAGGCCATACGCGTTGAGTCCATACACCAGTTATGCATCACAACAGGATCCGAAACGTCCGCTATGGCAATTTACCACCGACATCCGGTCGTCCACGGGCGCCGCGTGTACATCGCGACTGTCGTTGCTGTCCGTCGCGGCGTTGCTCTCCGAACCACCTGAGCACTCACTTATACAGCAAGTATCACCGGGTGCTATGGAGCAGCAGCAGTCCGAGCAGCCCAGCGCAGCCCTGCAGCGTCGCAGCTGAGTACGCACTGGTGTTAACCACGCGTGTTACGCCGCAGCGCGTGGAAGGCAACTGCAATGGCCACTCGGAGTCGTCCCGTCCTCCGTCCGGGATTGTCGCGACGCGCATCATGGACATCCGTGCCGGCCTCCCGTCATCCGCGTCGCCGTAAACAACCGCAATGTATCTCGTACGTCCACAGTCGAGATACAGCACACGCGGGCCCGCACCCGCGCTCCCGACAAAATGGCAGTACACATTCAATGGTCGGGCGCCCTAGAGCGGAGATGTCCTGCAGCTGCGGTCTGCATCTGCATCTGCGGAGAGGCGAACACCGCACGTTTCTCGACGATCCGCAGCGCGGCCGCAGATTCTGCACGGGCGATGGCCCCAGGGAAAGCGGGCCCTGCGCGCACGAGCACGCGCCCCGTCAATCAGGGAGAGATAGACAGTGTGGACACGGAAGGGTGCGCGTGTGTGTCGGGCAGGGCTGGCCAGCTCTGGTCCCGGGCGCGGGAACGCGCGAGGGAACCGGCCAAAAAAAGCCCCCCAGTGCGACGCCGGGCCATGCTCAGCCGCCGCGCGCCCATGTGTGCCCGGCGGGCCATGGGAACGAGACGGAGGCGGGTTGCGGGGTCGGGTTAGTAGAACGTTTGCAGAACGATATCGCTCGCGACCACCGTGCGCGGACAGGCGCGGACTTGGAGCTGGGACGAAAACAGTTCGCGCCAGTGCGAGCACGGGTACTGGCAGCCAGGCACGCCGACCCCGCGCGAAGTGTGGGGCGGACGTGACACTGACACGGGATCCGCGCGGCGGGAGAATACGAAGCTGGGTCGGACGCACCAGGGCCAGCTGGCGTTCCCCGTACGCAGGAAGCTTGCGCACACAGCGTCCGCGTTCTTACCAGCTTCCTCTCCGAATGGAGTCTTTCTCCACCACTGGGCTGCAGAGCTGGAGAAAATCCGGGACATCGCGCTCAGGTAGTCCCTGCGCGCGCAGATGCCTCGTGTCATGGCCGTCTCCTGCTCATGACGCGCCGGGCATCCGACCACCGCCGCGACACGTAAAAACGCCGCCGGGGCCGCAGAAACGACGAGCACCCCCCGCGGGCAGCCTCTGTAGATCTTCTCTCGGGCCCTGTTGCAGCTCGTGTCTCCATCGGGTGAGTCCGCGCCATTGACCCTAGAGACGGAGATAGGATTCTGGATTGCTGAGCTGGATTGCATCCCCGATGCCGCGGAGGCGGAACGCTTTCCGAAGAGATCCTGGAGAGGCTGGATGGGGTTTGCGCGGTGCGCAGCATAGGCTCGGTGTTGTGTAGGTTGGGAAGAGACAAGGCGCCCAGTTAAGTTTTTTCGGGCCAAGCCACACGCTTGAATCCTGCATGGAGAAGAGACAAGAAACCTGTTCAAAACCCCAGGGAGTGAAGATCGCTCAGCGGAGGAGAAATGATACAAACGGAGCTTTACGCAGCGTTGAGCAAACTTGCCATAAGCAGACATATGGGGTACATGGTGCGTCATGATAATAGTAGGGAGTGCAACGGCGAGAAAATCCAGAACACCCATATAGCCATAGCTCGGCTCCCCGAAGAGCAAACCGTCTACCGGTTGGACTTGGCCACACGCTCGAGCTCGTCCTTTTTCTGTTTGTAGACATAGTGTGAGTGGTCGTAACAGACGTTGCCTTCGACAGGCTTACCTTGATGGCGTACGAGTTTGACGAGCCCTTCGCCGCGTTGATGAGCTCATCAGCAAGGCACTCAGCAATGGACTTGACGTTGCGGAACGCTGACTCGCGCGTCTATGATGGAACATGAGTATACCTCTCATCCAATCTGAAGCCTGGACGTACGCCGATGGTCAGGAGAGCGATAGCCTGGTTGACCCGGCGCAGAGGAGACACATCGACGGCCTGGCGACGGACGGTACCCTGCGAACCGATACGGGTGGAGTCTTCACGGGGACCAGTGTTGACGATGGCATCGACAAGAACCTGTGGTAACATTTTCAATCTACGCAATGACTTACCTGATACTCATGAAACCTACCTGAATGGGGTTCTGGTCGCTGAGGAGGTGGATGATCTCGAACGCGTGCGCGACGATACGGACGGCCAAGAGCTTCTTGCCGTTGTTGCGACCCTTCATCATCAGGCTATAGAGGATACAGGCGTTCAGATTTGTTCCTCCACCGCATTCCGGTCCTGTACGCACCTGTCAACCAGACGCTCGACAATAGGCATCTGCGCCTTCTTGAACTGCTTCTTCGCGTAACGGCCAGCGGTGTGGGGGAGGTAGACGGCATGACGGATCTGGATGTAATCCGTCAAGGAGATGTCCTTGACCTCAACACTACGAACGAGTATATGACATTAATAGCCTGTACGTGCAGAGGTTTGGGATGTATAGACGCACTCCTGGGTGTCCCACTTTCCGAAAAGCTTGACTTCCTGACCAAGCTTGGAGACGTCCTTGGGGAGAGCTTGAACCGCGGCCATTTTGAGGGGCTTGAGGACTTGACGGAGTGCCGCGGGGGACCTTTTGCAGAGTTAGAGAACGTCGGGATCGATGGCCAGTTGCCGCTGCACGCACCGAGATTGTTTGACTGTGTTGTGCCCCGCCACCCCAAAACAAGGTTTGCGCGCTTCGGCGGCATCCGGTGCTACTGTACAGTACCGCGCAGCCACCTCTCCGGCCCGATCCTTCCGGACACACTTTGACAAGAGAAGCATCGAAGTTCGTTCAACGTGCGTCACCGGCCGACCGCTGCGATTCGAGCGATACACCCGCGCTCACTCTGCGATGGTCGTATGGTGCCTCCTTGGTGCATGGTCAAGACAGTGAAATGAATATTTAGTTCTCTTTCACTCTCTCTCTCGACCGAGCGGACTTCTGATGAACGCTACATTCCTAGAGCTCGCCTCACGCATTCCCCCTACTCGGTACCCGGGGTACTTGATCGAAGTTACGCCGTAGCAGCCTCATCTTCTGTCGATTCGTATGTTTTCCGGGAAGTAACGGCGCTTCCTCCTTGGAGCATCCGAATCCGGACTGGTTCTGTGACGATGGGAAGGGCGCGCGCGCATTGAGTGTCACTGGAAGAGTCCCCCCGCCACAATCAGACAGCGATCGTGACAGGCTCTCCCCGAAGACTTGCGCGATCGCACCTATCTTCGAACTTTGCTCTTCACAATGTGCGCGTATAAGAATGTCGTCGAGCACTTGTGTCGCCGTTTTGTGCCCGCTCCTTTGACCCCGCCTCTCGTGCAACGAACATGTCTTCTCAGCGTGTAGAACGGTCGACTCGCCTTTCCGCCCCCCCTTCACGCGACGAAATGTTTTACAATTTGGACAGTCACGCAGACATGTGAGTGGGGTATGCCGCGTCGGTCAGCTTAACGCAGTGTTGACATGTACCTACTAGCCAACGAGCGCATCCCGCGTACAAGGGTAGCAGCTATCAATCGCAGCCTGGATCCTTGGACCAGCTCACTCCCGCCGACGCGGTATATGATGGATCCTTCTACTGGCCGAAAGACGGTAGTGCGCACCCCTCCGTTTCCGCCTCTCACTCCGCTACTGGATCAGCGAACCTCCCTTGTAAGCCACAAGCCGGTCTTCGAGACGCGCGGGTTTATCCTCGCCAGAATCATAAGAAATCACATTCAAGTGAGTGAGCGGGTATTCCATTCTGAAGTCATAAGTTGACCATGTATGCGCAGCCAAAGAGAAGAGAGGCGGCCTGCGCCCTGCTACGTACGCCGTTTTAGAGCCGGTCTCTCCGATGTCGTCTACGCCGTACGGTGGAGCGCGTCATGCCACACACTCCGTTGCGCGTCGGGGGCAATCCTTGAACGAGCGGGGTAGTGACAAAGAAAACCGCTTCTTCTCCCCACAATCTCCCAGGACCGGGGGCGGGGCTATAGGAATGCTACCCAAGGACCATCACGCTGAGGTCGAGTCGTGGCATCAGCCGCCACCTCCAGTCGTAGCATCATCCTCGTTTTCTCCAGGCGCATTTAGCGGGTCTATCGATGCATCTCCCACCTCTACGCACTTTCCTCAACTCCCCGGTGTTTCTATATATCTTGCCCAGCACGGGCAGGTTGTTCCGGTGCATCTAGACGACCTAGAAACATCCCCTGATGAGATCATCGCTCTTTTGGGGACAAAGTCGTGCCACCCCCTCGAATGCGCAAAGTGGATGATGGTGGCCACTCACTATCGCGGTAAAGGCAACACTCTAGCCGCTCTTGCGGTAGTCACCTCAATGATTGAAGGTATGTTTCCCCGTCGTTCCACATAGCACCATGCTCACTCGTCGATCTTTCAGTGATGTTGGGCGTCGGGATGGAAGTGTCTCAGCTCAAGCCAGCGGCTCTGATGCTTTCAAGCTGTCACCTGGATATCGCGAAGCAACTTCGCGCGGAGGCGGGACGAGATACAACTGAGAGCAAGTACCATTTCAACAAAGGTTGCGAAGGACTACGGGACATCTACGGTGCCTTCGATCAACCGCCGTCAACATCTTCTGAACCAATTCCCTTCTGCTCCTCCTTTTCCTCTGTCCTTCGTCACGGCGATAATGGGCGCAGTAGCCAACAACGCAGTCCTCAGGAGGCCACCCCCGACAGCCACAGCTGCTCTCCAGAGGCAACTCTACCATGCTCTCAGCTCAAAATTCTCGAGGGGGAGGTCCAGTCTCTGCGTAATCGGCAAGAGGATCAAGCCGAGGCGTTGAACCGCGCGCGGACTGCGAAGCGAAAGCTCGAGGAGGACCTCGAAGGGGAACGACATGTCCGTCGCAAGCTGGAGCGGCGATTGGATCAAGCGGAGTCAGAGGCTTCGGGAGCTCAGAAGGGCGAGAAGTTCGCGCTCGCCCAGTGTCGCGCGGAGGTGGAGACCCGACGCCGTGCAGAGGAGCGTGCGGACGATATGCGGCAGGAGGCAGAGGAGGTGCGTACGTCGCTGGAACCGAGGATCGCCCAGTATGGGGAATGGGAGCGCAATCTCAAGGACTTCTTCGGTAAGCTGGGGATAGTGTGCCTGAAGGCTGCGAGGGGCGAGTTTGGGGAGGTGCTGAGCGGGCGGTTATGAGGGTCTGAGAGGGTTCGTGTGCGGATGTGTCTGCGTGCTGGGGCTGTAGAGCTCGTCGGTGATTCATACACTCGGGATTGTGACGTGAATGATAACTCAAACTTAAGCCCCTCTGTATCTATATCGAGCTCGCAGCTGAATGCTTACGAAGATTCAATACGTCGTAGTACCGCGGCGAGTGGAAATCCGCGCTTGCTTGCGAAACGAACAGTTAGACGTTGGTATCGTCCGTGATACTGCGACTACTAGTATGACAATGCTTACCGTTGAGAATGACTCGAGCAGCTAAGTCTTTCCTTTGAAATGGATGAGCATGCCGGTGTCGGGGATTCGGAGCCACGGCCGTGGTCGACTGAGCCGGCGGTGCAGGACCAGCCTGCCGGGTATGGTCAGCCAGTTTGCAAATCCCTAACAGGTTCCGAGGGCTATGGTCGAGGCGCGGCCTCGGGCCATTCATGTTCCCCTTGTGACATTATATGACAAAGGGGTAGGTGTGTACGGATATGTACGCAGATCCTCGGTCGATCGTGGAAGGAGGTGACGATTGCAAACGAAAAAGGCAATGTACATACCAAATGGGCGTTTCAACGGATGGCTTGCGACTATAGGACCGTGTGGATCTTTGCATGGGTGGCTGTAGCGCGGAGGCTGACGGACGACGACACGGCCTAGTAAGAGTCGAAAGGATAGGTGAAGTAAATTATGGTAGGCGAATAGTATAGAGTAGTCATCGACCTGTCGTGAATGGTGATACAGCATGCTGCCGGAGCGAGACAGTAAAAGTAGACAGAGAAAAGAGAAAAATACACCACGAGTAATCAAAACCCTAGCGATACATTCTTCGGCGAGGTGCAAAGATACGTCCCGCGGCGAGCGACCGTACCCGCTAGATCGTCGGCTTGGACAAGGACAGGTGATCAGTGACGGACAAGCAAACAAGAAATACTGCAGACGCACCGTGACCAGCGACCAAGCATTCACCACCTCCTGTATGCGCTGCTGCAGCACGAGCCGACACGTCTCGCACTCCAGCTTGTCCCTCATCGGCTCGAGCATCGCGCGGAGGGAGTTCGGGGAGAGGCCTGCGAGAGACAACGGTGCTAGCTGTGAGCGTTCTGTGCCAGACACATGTGCGCCAAACGGGCCATCGACGGTCTTACTCGGCGTCGCGTCCCACACGATCTGTGCGGAGGCGAGGGCCCACGCCCGCGTCAGCTGTCCCCGCTCCGCCGGGCTGCAGCTCGGGGTCGTCGGGTGCGCGGCCGGCGGGGTCAGGAGGATCTGCTTGAGGGCGTGCATGCGCGCCTGATGGAGGAGGAAGAGCCGCTTGAGGTACACCGGCCCCATCCTCGTCGCAAGCGCATCCGTAACGCGGGAGAGGTCGTACGAGAGCAGGTGCCCGGACACGGTCACCGCGAGCTCCTCGAGCTCGTACTTGCCGGCCAGCGCGTACGTCTCGATCGGGTGGTAGGGGGCGCGCGAGAGGAGGAGTTGGTGCAGCGGCCGGTACCGCGGGGCGGCGTGGATCTCCATCGACACGCCATACTTGATCATCGCCTCGAGGGCGGCCTCGACCGTGTCGAGAGCCGGATGGAAGTGGGTGCAGGAGAGGCCGTACATTGTGTGCAGAACGACGTTGATGACGTCTCCGGACTCGGTGAGATGCAGGGTGGGGAGGAATCCATGCGAGAAAGAGGCCGAGTCGAAGAGGAAGAGGCCACAGAAGAGGTTGAACGAGGCGTTGATGATGCGGTGGCGATGGGCGTAGAAATAAACGTTGTTCGAGGAGACGAGAATCACGTCCGGGAGGAGGTTGTCGATTCGTAGAGATGGCTGGAAGACCGACGAAATCGTGGCATCGTCCTCTTGGTGATCCATGGGTTGAGCGACCTACGCGGGGGGGGCGATAGTAGGGAGCGATTAGGAGATGTGAATACCGGGAGAGGCGCGCACGTACCGGTTCTGCGTCTTGCCCTGCTTCTGACCCGCTTCCGGGGGTGCTCGTGGGATTGGAGTGGGGTGTGTGTACTGGGCCACTGGATGGAGTGGATGCGGGCGAAGGAGGGAGGTTGAAATATTCCATCGGTCGGAAAGTAGGATAATGTCGAGCGGAGGGTGCGGAGGGTTGAGGGGAAGAGGAAGAAAAGCACGGCGACGACGTGTCCTTCAACGAGGATGCAGTGCGTCAATGTTCAGGAGGGCGCTCGCCGTTGGAAAAACCTCCGTAAAATCTAGGTTCGGTTGGCGTTGTTTGCAACCCTATCCTAAATAGGAGGCTGGAGCACGGAGGGCTTCGGAGAATGTCCCCGGGAAAGGACGAAAGAACCAATAAGATAGATTGTTTGCTGATCGCCGCCACCCTACGCAATTCTGCCCGTGTGCGAACGCCGATTTCGAGGTGGCAGTCTCGGCACAGTGACCATACGACGCACGACACGTTGGCCGGCAGTGGTGTAACTGGCAGCTGACACTGAAGTTTTTCAGTAAAGCATGAGATGAGATAGCATGAGAAGGGGTGTTTAGTACATTTCGCGCGCGTTCGCGTTGCCAAACTCCGCTCTCCGACTGAATGGTCCGCTACCTGCATGCAATACGAGGGATAAGTGGTTCACGAGCTTCTTTCCGTGATATGCTTCCCGCACCTGTAAAGTTGAGAGACTTGTTAGCGGGTCACTTGGGACGTAAAATGCTTCTTTTTGAAGAGGCACGAATTTCTATGTGCGTTCCGGCCAACTGTGACCCCGAATTGGCCAATATACTTACCGGCGGGAGTGTCTTCCAGCATAGGCATTGGCTATATATGTATTTTCCCGCCTCCAGGAAAATTCTGGATTTCAGCACGGCCTCACTATACTGGATTACTCACCAGGTAACAATGAAAGTTCGAGGACTTTGTCCATTGAGCTCAACGGCGCATTCGAGGAGAAGCGGCCGAAGACGGGTGGCGCTTGTGGGGGCACTGTGGGGCACCGGCAACTCCCGAGTGGCCGGGAGCGAACGAGCGCTTACTAGGAGGTACGCGAACTGTCGCGGCCCTCGAGGCTGGCGGTGGTGCCTGTCCCAGTGGCTGCCGTCGGACGTTGGATAACTCCTACGGCGTCGGGGATCCGAAATTGCAGTGCTCGCTCTAGTAGAAGCAGGCCTAGCAAATTTCAGATGGCTTCGAACGTTCTAAACTCGGAGTCGAATGTCGGAGGACACGTATACCCGTCCCAACTGTGGGCACCAAGAAGCCCAATCGAAGAGGTGTGTGCACTCGCAGAGACACGAAAGATGGTTATGAAGTAGAAAGGAAAGAAAGTCCCAGCGTTAGCGATACTCAGCCCCACAGTCCCCGATAGTTCTAATCAGCCTTGCTCCGTTAGACTGCAGGAGCACCGCCTCTATCGCTGCTCTGTCCTCCGCGCTCAGTCGGAACCCATAGACCTTCCGATTGTCGTCGGTGTGTTCGGAGACACCCATCCGAGCACCTGCCGAAGAAGACATTCAGCACCTTCTGCCGCAGCTCGGAAGACACTAGGTAACTTACCGACGATGACTGCGCCGACAAAAGGGTGATCGAGCACCCAGCGAGTGGCAATGTTGGCGATGTTCATGCCCTCATACTTGTCAGCAATTGATCGCAAAACCACGAGCAGCGCCTGAAAGAGCGTCCAATCGCCCCATGCTTTCACAATCATGTCTAGGTACTGCGAGTATGATGAGTCAGGACTCAGGCTGCTTTGCTGAGGTAAACACGAATAACACACCTTGCGCTGGGATGGTGTGAGCGAACCAGAATAGAGGTCCGGCTCTTCTCTGCCGAGCCATGTGTCCGATAAGAAGCCGCCGCACTGCGTCCGCTGAGTACACAGAACCTCCGACCACCGGAGACGACTCACCATTGTACCGTAAGTAAGCAATTTAACGTTATGCTTCATGCAGACTTCTGCCATCCCGTATAGTGGTCGTATGTCGACGAGCGAAAACTACGAATGTCATGGGTTAGCGGAGCTGCTCGCACAGCCTATGTTATAGACATCCTACCTGCACTTGGTTGGAGACCACGCCACCGGGGCCAAGTTCTTCGCATATTTCGTTCGTTCTGAGGGAATCAAAGTTACAAAGACCGATGAGCGTGATCTTGCCCTCGTGTTGCAAGTCCTGGAGGTGGTGTAGCGCGGTGAGATAGCCAGGATCTTCGTAGTTCTGCCAGTGGAACTGCGAGTGGGCAGTTGAGCGGTGCCCTGACAATCAAGGCAAATCCCGAATATACGTGCCTGAAGCAGATCGATCCGCTGCGCCTTCATTCTATCTAGCCGGTCTTGAACCGCTGTCTCTACCATTGCGCGATTGGGATCCACCCGTCTGAAGACGCACCATTTGGTGGCGCCAATGATGTGGTCCGAGCGAGGCAGACTCTGCCTGAATTCACCCTAAAATTCCAATGAGCAGGAAACTCACTAGTATGCCCGAGGCACTTACGAAGAGGATCTCGGCGGGACCGTAATGATCGGCTACGAATGAAAGCGCTGATTAGGGTATGAAGTCATTCCGAGTACTGTGGCGTGCGCACCCTAACAAAGATGGGTAGCGAGGAGAAGCGGAAATGAGTTATCTACGAACACCCTATCATCTGGGTTCCATCCTCACCATGTCTGCAAGAAGTCAGCATGCTAATCAGCACACGGCGAAGCTGATGGGCCACCTACCGAATGCCGTGTAGCCGTTCTCAGCGTAGTCGGCCATTTGGCGACGAATCTTCGCAGCCGGTGCGCTTCCCCAAGAATTGCTGGAGAGCTGCCAGAGGCCCGTGAATAGACGTGGGACCACGAAGGAGCCCAGGTGAAACGTTTCGACGGTCTGGGGTTTGGCCGAGGGCGGCATGATCAGCGTGATTGACGGCTCAAGTTGGGTTCGGCGGGTTCTGGGAAAGATGGAGGGCTCGAGCCGCTGTTTCTGGCGTACTTAAAGCAAACCCCGCGCTGTGCTGAGAGGATCCAGAGGAGGGGGAACAACATAAGACGCACGCGGACGGAGCCCGGTTTCTAAAAACTCACCGGAGGCGATGCGGGGCAGCGTGATCAGAACACCGCCGGCGCTGGCAGCAGATATCGAGCCCGGCGCTGCGTCGCGGATGCGTCCGTTGTCGGCGATTGCCTCGCCGCTTCGCTGCGACTGCGCCGAAACGTGTTGGGAACGATGCAGGTCGTCGTCGTCATATTCCAAGGATGGGGCCGCTCGTGCGAGTTGTGTTGCCTCGCTGAACCACCGTGTCACACCCGAGTTCATTTCCCGATTAGGTGTGGCTGTGACAGGAACCCTGTCACGTAAGTAAGATTGAAGCGTCGCGCATTGAACTGTGGCGCCGCTTCAACCTGTATGGGGTTGCTAGCAACTTGATGCGCCGAGCCGAACCTGGCAAAAGAAAGGAAGCTCATCATTGCCACACGTCTGTTACCATTGTTGACCAGCGATGGCTGTGAGGCATGGCAGGCGCTGTCGCTGGGCTTAAATGTGCAAACTGCGCGCGATGTTGGACCGGCCAGTAGCTTCCAGGTATGTCAACCGTTACTATCATCCAAACGATTTTTTGCCGAGTGTGATTTTATCCCAGATTTTTAGGGGAAACGCAGTCCTGTCTACGAACAGCTTTTTGCCTGTGGCTAGCGGCGACCGCCCCCCGCCGCCTGATGCACGGATGAGTTTCTTTCACACTAGCATCGCACGGTGGAGAGCTAATCTTTTGACTCAGCCGGGTTGTCATGCGCCACAAGCTAGCCCTATTTAGTCTATCCCTGGCCCGCGAACTCGAATGGAACGTCCCTCGGCCTCCAAACAATTCCCCACTCTATACAACAAGGCGGATGAGGATAGCCGCATCACCGCAACCCGTCCGACTATCAGTGGATCAGACCGGGAATCCTCGCGGAATATCGGCCCTGAGCGGATGCACGCGCTCTTGACATGCGCAGCTTTGTGGGCGGGGTGCTGTACGAGTCAGTCCAACTTGCCACCGTTGGCGTCCATTGCGGAGGTCTGTTTGAAACGGCAAACGGGCGGGGCCCAAGACTCCCCGGGTCTCCCCCCGACCAAAAAATCATTTGACAGAGGTTGTTTGCGTATGGGCCACGTAAGCCCACAGCTTACTGAGACCACGCAAACTGCTCCGGCACCACTGCGGCGGCGCCCGCGCCACGACTCAGGCTGGGCGACGCCGCGCTGACCCCGCTGCGCGCACTGGCACAGTATCAGCCACCGCCGCTCGACTTCCCGTCTCGGAGCCCTTGACGGCCGGAAAGGCGATCTACTCATCAGCGAGTGGTACACAAAGCAATCATCGCCCCCGCTGACCAACTCGTGCTCGTGCAGCATCGTAGATGGAAACGATCCTCGGCTCGTTTGCGCGATCGGGCACCTACAGAACCCCGGGCCTACTATAAGGCCTAGCCACCGCGCCCCTCTCGGCTCAGACACCCCTCGAACCACCCGCTACCCCTCGCCAGCCATGCCCTCCCCCGAGAATATGCAAGATGCCCGCCCCGTCCTCGGGCATGTGTAAGTACCCCATCCATCCGTTACACCTAGAATGATGATCACCAACGTCTGCCATTCCAGGAACCTCATGGTCGACACACTGATCGCAAACGCAACCCTGAACGAGTAATACAGTTCACCCTCCGCCCCCATCTTGAGCTGCCTCGCGCTGACACGCTACACATAGTTTGCAGGCGTTCGTCCGCACAACCCTCGCTACCTCATGCCCGGCCGTCGCGGGTACATTCACTGCGGCTGCGCGGCGACACCTTGCGAAGACGAACGCGGGAGCACTGCCTGACACCGGCACCTTGTTCGCGACCGCGGACGGCCGCAGGGCCCAGCCCACCCGCGAACTCTTCGCCGTTCTCGCGCGTAGCCGGATGCTGTATGGGGCCGGGATGGGCCTCGCGGGGCTCGCGGTCCTCACCCAGGTCGTGCGAGCCACCGTCGGCATGCAGTGGGCGATAGATAGCGAGTCGGAGGACGTGCTAGCCGCCGTCGACGCCGACATGACGCAGGCGATACAGAGCGCAAAGGAGGAGATCGACGGCGGCAGGGTGGGGGATGTAGCAGCCGCCAAGGAGGCGCACGGTGCGCTGCTGAAGGCCCTGAAGGACGAGAAACAGGACGTCGAGGCTTGGGGCGGAGACTTCCCTTTCGAGCGGGCGTTGTCGAGTGTGGAGCTGTGGAAGGTGTAGCCCTTCATGACTCATTGTATGGCGTAGTATAGGTTCCGCGAGATAGCTTATAGGCCACCGATGCCCCCTAATAATGAACGACTTTGTCTCTTGCCAAACGTTTACGTACATCCGCAGCGTGAGCCCGAGGTGTGACAGTGGGCGCCGTCGTCGGTCTCCTAAGAGTCTCCCGTTGTATGGGCTGCGAACCTAGGAAGGATTGTTGGGCCACACATGGTTGGCCAGCATGACTGGATACTCACGGGAATGCCGTTTATCGCCCGTGTTCTGACCATGAGATCCAGATACAGTTCGCGCTCGACGCTCTGCGTCTGCTTCGCGTGGGCCACACGCACGGCCTAGATGATTGTGCATTGGGGTCAGATGGTATCCGACTCCCAAGGAGGATTATGGGAACACACGGCGCGCGATGCAAAGTTATTTCAGCGACTTGCACGACCCTGCAGCGATACGCCCGCTTGGAAGTCGTTGGTGGCTCTCATGCGGAGGGAGCTTGACTTGACCCATCACATAAACCAGTCAGGCAGAACAGTGATTCCAGATGTGCAGGAGCTCACGCGTCACTCTGACGTGCGCTGGGAACGTCAGGGAAGCAATTGCGATGCAAACGTGACAACGCACAGGCTCAAAACCATATCTTCACTGATACCGCCTGCCAGATGATTATGGTGGGTGCCATGGCTGGCGTGATGGTGGACCTCGGCATGCCTGGGATGGACCAAGCGAAAACAGCGGGCGACTGCGACCTGGTGGCACCCGTATATCTGGATACCAACTTGGCCGAGCGGCGGTCGCAAGCCTCGGCCTTCAAATAATCAGCCGACGTCAGGACCATCTGTACTGCAGTCGCTTACCGTGCCGTCATTAGCCCGTACACTCGTGCGATGTCCATGACCAGCATATCTCTCACTGATATGGACGTGATCCAAAGGTTCGCGATCGCAACGGGGCCCGCGATGTACGTGTCCAGCCAACACGCGCCAAAAGGTATCGACGTCTACCTAACGGCATACCGCCAGAAGTCGAGACAAGCCGGCGGTGACCGACGATCCCGCCTAGGTGCGTTTCGTTGCACGCCATCATCAGCGATGAATGCACAGACGATGTTGAAGTGACGAAGGTGTGGTGGGTGGATGGCTTCCACTTCGGTCTCGGGGAACGTTGATAACGTGGTTGGTGCCCTGGAGGGCGCGGATACAACATCCCGGCGTACTGATGAACCAGACACCGCGCCGAGGCACCCGAATATCGAAGTGAGGGTCGGACCCACTTTGCGTTCTCTTTCTTTGGGTACCGCGCGGTACATGAAGACGCTGTCAAGCGACTAGAGCACGTCGTCTGTTTGCAACTGTTTCATCTGTTCACGGCTTAAAATGTTAACTCTGTGAGCAAATTGAGCAGAATCCTTTGCGCACTCGTGAACGATCAGCGTGAAAAGCGTGCACCCGCCCTCAAGTCAAGTCCCCTCATCATGATCATCCTCGGATCATATGAACACACGTAGCTTCTGCTTTGGTCAAATCAGCTCGTCAACTGCATGCGATAGATGAGTATAGCAACACCGTGCGCACCTGGGGAAGACTCGGCGCCACTCAGTGTCCGAGGGGTTAAGTTTGAGAGACTTGACGCAGTCACGCTGCTCTACTTGAGATTAACTCCACGTGGTTAGCTAATGACAGCTCTCCTTATTTCCTGCGCAGCACTCACTGTTTGCACGGGATTTTTGGTGTGTCGAACCTTGTGCTTAAGTAGGTGACATTGCTCGGATGCCGACCAGACTCCGAACAGGACACACGGCACACGGGTAGATCATAGTGCCAACGGCGTCCAACCTTAAAGCCCTACGCCGCGCTCCGGCGTCGGGCTTTCCTGCCACAAGGTCGGAGTACACCCGGTCCCCGCACATCCGTACCAGTTAGGGTGGAGAACTCACCAAAAGGCCATGTCGACCGGTTCAAACAGCCGTCGAGCACAAACGTGATTGCGTCCTCCAAAGCACGACGACTGCATTGCAAATGTCCGGATAAGTGTATGTACCGCCGCGAGCCGTTGCGGAGAGGCGCTACTTGATAGTGCTGCTGATAGAAAGCAAGTCCGTAACTGTCCGTTCACGAGAACCACGCCCCAATCTGACTTGCGTCCAGAGCAAATACAAGTGCTCAAGCGAGCACGAAGAACGCCGAGGTGAAGGTAACCAGGGCTGACGCAGCGACACCGGCCAGGGGCGCGAAGCCGAACTGCGCGGTGAACATGCCGGCCGCTGCGTTGGACGTCGCCGCCGCAGACGCGGTGCTGTCGGAAGCCAGCTGGGTGACGCTCGCGGGCTGCGAGCCATCTGCAAAGCGCGCGCGATCAATATATGAACAGGGTCCGGGAGGAAGTGCGGCGCGGGATCTTTCCGACTCTCACAAAGGGATGGACATACCGATGAAGGAGGAGCCGCACGTGGTGCTGACATCGCTTGAGAAGCCCGACAGGAGGCCGTTGAAGTTTTGCTCGACGAGGTTGAACGCGGCCTTGGTGCAGTCCGTGCAGGTGACGTTCGAGGGAACGTTCGGGACGGTGCCGGCGACGATCTGGGACGCGACCGCCTCGATGTTGGACACGGTGAGCGTGCCGGTGTACGGCTCGAGGTTGTTGAGCGTCTCGGTCAAGCACAGGGTGTTGTTGTTGCTCGTGCTGCGCATGACGCGAGGTCAGTCCGCTGTGGGAACGCGAGAAGCAGGAAGCGGCCCCGCCGGGCACTCACTCGCCGAGACATGCTACCTGGCGCACAGTGGGGTATGCGGATTGCACGAGCGCGGTGAGGGAGCTGGAGTCGACGTCCGACAGCCCGAGTTGCCCGAGCTCGGTCGAGCACCCAGAGGTCACACTTGAAACAACAGTGGCAAGGGTGGCGTTTGTGCACGCGGGGCGCGAGCACATGCCGGTGAGCCAGGTGTTGACCGTGGGGACAATGGAGGTGTTTGTCGTGCTGGAGGTGGAGACAACGAGGCCGATGAGGGCCTGCGCGTTCAAGCACGACGCGTCCGAGTTCCCGACGATGGTGGCAAGTGCTGCCTGGCATTGAGTGCTGAGCCTGAGGGATGGTCAGAAAGGGTAGTACAGAGGCCATAACGCGGAGAAATCGCGCCAGGATCTGACAGCGCATGCGTGGGACCGAACTCACGATTGCGCAGATGAGCCAGCCATTTGGAGACCGGCCACCAGGGCAGCGGCAACGGCGATTTTCCTGAAGGACATGATTACGAGTAGCGAGCGGGAGTGAAAGAAAGCAGCAGGCGTGGTGGTGGTGAAAGAAAGAAGGGAAGAGGTGCAGCCGGCTGCGGATTCGGAGGGATTTATGTGCGGCTGGTGGTCGGAGGAGGATGACACAAGGAATTGGCGAGCGCCGAGTGCAGCAGATCCCGCAGCCCAAAAGCTGTGCCGCCTCGGCGTCCATATATAGAAATACCAGTGTCGGCTGACTCCCCGCCGCATGTCTGCCTCCTCACCAGGCCATCTTTACCCGCAATACTCACAGCTGCTCAAAGCGAATATTTCGCAAGTAACAGCGGGGCCAAACATATAGAGGAACGCTCAATTTCTGCCAACATACCGGAGAACAACTTCGGAAATCACCACATTATGCGAGTATTGTTCTCCCTTCTTGCGATGCGTCGCTACTGCGCAGCCTATTAAGCTTTACGTTGCCACCGGCAACGGGGGCCATAACGCTCGCAGAAAGCCAATAGTGCACACGAGTACTGACAAGTGAAGCTTATATTGTGCAGTGAAAGGGGTACTTGGCTTTCATGGAGCCTTTCCCCTGTATTGCACAGGACGCTCGGGCCGAGCACGCTTGTCGCGCTCAGCTCGCTCAGTACCGATCATACGTGATCCTAGGAGCCCCGAAACACACTCCAAGTAAGTCAGTCGAGATGGTCATGTAAACGAGCTATGATACATCGTCAAGAATCTGCGCAGTATACGTACAACATAGCGCCACCAGCAACCCGATTTCCAAAGGAATGTTAACACAACTGCGGCCCTCAAGGCAGCCAGGCACCGCACGCGCTCGGAGCGCGCCCGAGGATCGTGTGCATCAACAGTGTGTGCGCGGCGCGAACGGGAATTTCATGTGCCCCTTGGAGTCGTAGATTCCGTACCCCGGCTCTTGGTTGTCCGAGTAGATGTGCGCGAACCAGCCGACGCCGCCCCCGACGACGGTTTTCAGGTCCTCGCAGTGCTGGTCCAGCAGCACATAATATCCCTGGTAAGTGCAAGAAGTAGATCAGCATGCGCGCTCTGGACACGGTGAGCGCAGCCCGGCATGCCGGGGAACAGGGCTGTACGTCGGAGATGAAGGAAGGAAGAGACTCACATGCTCGTTTGGTACGTCCGCGACTGCGTCTGGGCTATTGGGCTGCACGCTGGGTGAGGTCACAGACGGCCAGCCATTCTGTGAAGAGAGCATGTAAGTGGCCGGCGAGACCCATCGAACACGGGCATGACTGACCTCGTCGAAGTACATCTTCTTCCCATTCCCATTGTCAATGAAAAACTGCAAGTCCTGCAGCACAAGTGGCCACGCCTGGTCCGCTGATCCGATGTCAGAACATTCACGCCCTGTCAGCTAAGCAGCACGAATGCACTCACACGTCGACGCCTCCTGGGAGAAGAACGGCAACATATGGATGTTGATCGAGTCGATCGCATCGAGCACGTCCTGCGCGCCCCCGCGCTCCTGGTACCCAAACGCGAGCTCGCTGACCGTGACGGGGATGCCGAGGCTCGACAGGTTCGCCTTCGCAAGCGTGACCTGCTCCGCGAGCTGGTCGTGCGGGAGCACGTTGTCGAACAGCGGCTCCGAGCCAAACTGCAGCACGCGCGTCACGAACTTCGCGAGCGGGTTCGCGTGCAGGGCGGCCAGGAGCGTGTCGCGTCGCGAGATCCAGATGTCGCTTCCGTCGAACCCGAACTGCAGGAGACGTCGTGAGCTTACAGCACGCGCGTGCGAACCCGCCTCAGGGTCAAGCGCTTACCCAGATTAGGGCATGCACGCCGAGTCCTGGAAGAAAGAGGCGCGATTAGCGGTGACAAGTAAGCATCTCGGGTGCGAACTTACTGTTGGCCCATGCAGCGTCCACAATGTCGTCACTGCGCGCACACGGATGAATGTCAGTGCTTGGCTCCCCGAGCATACATGTTATACGGCGACTGACTAGAAGCCTTCGCGATCGCAAGCGCCGTACAGCCGGACATAGCGCGAGTTGAAGTGCTGTCGGATATCCCGGAACTCTTTGTGGAGCTGTGCGCGACTCTGACCTAATTGAAGGTAGATGTGAGCGAACGAAAGCGCGAGACAGGTGCGGACCATGGAAGTAAAACAGGGATACTCACAAGCAGTGACCTCGTAGCTGAACCCCACGAACGCGTACTCTGTCGCGGGATCGCACCACCATAGGCTGTTGTCCAACGGAAGCGCGTCTGGCGCAAGGAATCCGAGCGAGGGGTAACAGAACGGCGCTGGCAGCGCGTGCGACTTGGCGGGCGCGGTCGCGCTCTTGGGTGCATGGCTGACCTGTTCCGTGTGTGGCTGTGCAGCGTTGATGAGCGGGCTCGCGAGGGTGAAGGTGAGCCCCGCGAGAAACAGGGCAAAGAGGAGAGAGAGACGGGCCATTTCCCGGGGAGCGCAAGAATAAGCTCGACCGCCTGCAGTGATAGTATAAATAGTGCCCAGCACACAGACATCGAAATAGACAAGGCCCAAGCGTCAAGGAGCAAGAGCGAAGAAGGCCGAAGCAGGGGGTGCCGTTACCTCGAGCGCGAGCGCACACGCTATTGAGCGTGGAGGCTGGCAGGGGCCCATATGGATCGAGACCAGGCGGGGGAGCCTGTGCGGGTCAGCAGGCGCGCAGCGTGAGGTGGTCAGCATTCAAATGCGCGCGGTATGGCCGGACATCCTGACTATCAGAAGCCGAGTCGAAGGGCGAATTTCTGTCACCGGAGACGATAGAACAGCTCTCTGTCCGACTGCACTCTGCAGAAGACAATAATCCGCGTGGGCCATAGCGGATCCCGCCCGGAGTTATCAGACGGTCGGTCACGCGGCCCGGCGCGACGCCTTGAGAAATAAACCAGCTGAGGTACGCACCGTCCGAATATATACGCCGTTGTACGACAAACGAGCCGAAGACTGGCCGCATAGTACCGCACTCAAGGGAACCAAAACAGTGCAGTTCACAGGTACTTTGTCGCCGCACGATCAGGACGCAGCGCACAATGAAAAACATCCGTGTATCATTGAATGGTCCAGGCGTCCATGCAACGCCACAAGGTTCGACGCGGGAAGTAGCGCAAGGCAGCGTCACCCCAAGTTGGCTGGGGTCACGCCCAGTGGCAACATTGCATGATCCCGAAGTGCCGCAGAAGTCCAAGTACTTGATTTGAGCTGTCCAAACCGTCAGTTCGAAGAATGGTGGGGCAAAGAGGGACAAGGAAGAGCCCCGTACGTCAGATGTGGCCTCGCTCGCAGGTATCAGGTTCATGTGATCCGGTATATTGCCACCGTTCTGAAGTAAGGTTAGCGCGACAGATGGCGATAACGAGCCACCACGCACCACAACGGACACATCAAGCTCCCGGAAGGTGAGCAGAAGGTCTGCGGGTATCTGGGTAGGGAAGATGAGGGCGTGAACAGGTGGCGTAAACGGCCGCGTAGACGACGCCTTCCATGCCAGTGCCTGTTGATGAACAGACAGAAATGAGATGAATCAGATAGGGAGCTGATAGAGGGCCTACATCGGCGACCGTGAGTGCCAGGCGAATTTCGAGTCGGCGTCCTCGCGCTGCACTGCCCACCAGCACGAACAACTCCCAGATGCAATCGACGATGAAGACTGATTGACCAAACTCCGGGTGTGAGGGCAGCACAGAGATCGGGCGAACCTGTCATTATCTTAGATCACATCTTCCTCGCAAACAAGATCACAACCACCTACCACTTCGTTACCCTGGGCACCATCGACCACCCACACTCGGGGGTCGACGGTTGGCGCGGTCGCGCGCCACTGCCAGTAATCCGCCTTCGCGTGTTCACCTTCGCCGAGAATCATCCAGAACATGTCGTCCGCCTGGCTCTCGTCCTCCGTCAACTCAACGACGTTCTCGGGAGTCGAGGCCAGAGTCTGCGCGTATTGAAGTGCTGCGCGCTGTTCAGCGGCTACAGAGCCACGCCCATGCCACACGTAGTAGGTGTCAAGGATCGAGATGCAGTAGCTGTATCCCGAACACAGGTTCGTGATGCTCTGTACAAGGCATCAAGGATGTCAAGCATGTAGCGTTTATTGGAGGTCGAACGACTCACCAAATCAACTTCGTCGATGTAGATCATGCCTTCGCGAGAGCGGACAATATGCATCGCGGTGTTCTCGGCACTCCAGTGCGTTCGAGTACCCTGCCTCAAGGCGAGCTGGCCGCCCAGCACAGACACAAACTCCGCAGGTTCGTGGAACTGCCGCACAATCACCTGTATCGTAAACCCGGTCAGCGCTGTTCACCAGCGGTGAGGACAGATGTACTCACAGGGCTAGCACCGTATCGGCGCGCGAGCTCCTGCAGCTTCTGCGCCTCCCGCTCCCCGACCTGTGCACGGCGCCCATGCCAGCCCCATACTTTTGTCTGCACGAGGCCGCTTGAGCGAACTTTAGCCCGATGGATAACGGCAAGGACTTCAGCGTCGTAAAAGATGCTCGAATCCTTGGTGAGCGCGCTCGCAGTGTTCCCTGTGATCGCCAGTACGTCGACGGAGATCGTGCTCACGTCCGGGTCCGGAGCGTACGAAGGGCGTGGCGCGCGGTAGAGCGCGTCCACGTCAACACGGGGGAGCGGCTCGTCGGCGTGTACTAGATAGGAGCGCGCGTTAGCATCGGCGGTATTCGGATGCAAAAGCAACCTACCCAATCGAATGTGTTCATCCCGGACCTGCGGCTTCACCTCAACAGCTTCGACAGCGACGACAACATCCGCTGCCTTCGGCTTCTCCTCTTTCACTGGGATCACCTCTTCCTTGACGACCTCGGCGAAGGGCACGGCACCACGAGCGAGGGTTCCAGCGGGCGAGGAGACGGGCGTCCTCTCTTCCTTTACGGGCGGGAGGACGAACGAGGAGTACTTCTCGTAGCTGGACTTACGTCGCTCGAGGGCAGGCGCCGTAAGAGCCGGGGCTGCACCGTTATTGCGCGGGCCCCAATTGGAGACCAAGTTCTTGACGCTCGGTGGCTCGTAGTCCTCCTCTTCCTCCTTCACTGCTGACTCCGGTACCAGTTTCGAGTCCACAGTTGGCAGGGGAGGGAGCTTCGACTCGACCGGAGAGGCAGAAGCGGGGCTGCCGGACTGGAGGCTCTCGCTGAACGCCTGCGCAACGTCCATCACGGTTGCGCGGTTCCCCGTGCTCGGTATACGCGTGTGCTTCGCGGGGCTCGCGGGCGGCTTCTGTCCTGAGCTCTGCGGAGGTGTGGTCGACGGGCTCCGCGCAGGCTTGGGGGGAACGAGCGGGCTGACGGGGCTGGTCTTGCCCGGGGTCGCGACTGTTGGAACTAAGACGTCCAGTGAAGGCTTCCTTGGCACGGCGGGCTTGGTAGTTGCGGCCTCTGCTTTGCCTGTGGTTGAAGGCGGAGAGGGGTACTGCGACACTGGCGACGCCGTCCGGACGGGTGTTGCAAGCTCCGGCGCACGGAGGGAAGGTGCACTGCTTTCGCGTTGCACGACTTGAGCTTTCGGTTCATCGTGAGTGGGGACCCCTTCGCGGATGGCCTCGAGCTTCGATCCTGCCATGGCAGGCGTGGTCTTTCCCCTGCGCGGCTTCTTCGCGCGGTCCTTCGTCGGCTGCACCATAAGGTCCAACAAACGTCAGCCCAGTTCACCAAGAGCAGCAGCAGCAATCGAGACAGAGGAGGAGAAAGGGAGCAAGCAAGAAAAGAAATATGATTGTAGCAAAATATCCAACAACTATTCCCAAAGCACAACAACGTCCCAACAACATGTCACCAAAATGAACGCACATGACTGAGTGGCTGGCCCGCCGCGCCCCGCTCCTGCATAAGCCCTTCGCTCATCGTCCGCGTCCGCACGCGCATCCCCAGCTCGTCCACGTCCGGCGCCGGGGCTTCGTGCTGCGCGTGGTGGGGGATGGGCGGGTCGCCGGTCCTCGCGGGCTGGATGTACGTGATAACCGTCTTCGCGGAACCGAGCTTGGGGCTCGGGCCACCGTACCCACTCTCGCTCATCGACGATGGGCCTGCGACCGAGTCTCCTGTCCTCATAGTAGGCAAGGTCGGAAGGGATGACTTGGACTTGAGCGTCCGGCCGGTGTTGTCGGACTTCAGTGGTACGCTGTAGGATGACGCGGTCGGCGATCCAGGGTCAACGGTGAATGACTTCCGGAGAGGCATAGGCTTCGGTTGAATGACAGGCGGCGGAGTAGGTGAACCTGTGGCGTTGGGGTATTGCCATCGGTCCAGCACCGAGCTTTGCCTCCGTCCTCCAGAATCCTTGCGATCAGGAGTCGGAGAGCCCTCAGGAGAGGTGACAGAAAGCTCCGAGGTCTTCTTGACCATGTTCTGCACAAAACCACGGCCTTGCAGTCTGCTCAAGCTGGGAGTCGGCTCCTTCGCGGGAGGTGGCCTGAGGAACGCGGGCGAAGGGTTCTGAGAAGGCGGCATATGCGGGCTTCCTAGCGAGTGCCGGGGTGTAGGTTGGATTGGACGTGCCAGACTTGGTGTGGTGATGGAGGGGGGCTTAGGGGAATGCGTAGGGGATGGCGGAGGAGGTGTGTGGGATACACGATGAGAGGCCGAAGAGAGTGGTCGAGGAGCAGGAGACTTCGAAGTACTATAGGGCGCCGGTGACACACTATTCCCGTACGGTGTAATCGGGCGGACGGTTGGGTTTGGAGAATGTGACAGAGGACGGGGAATGGGTTCAGCTTTCGGCTTAGCTGCTAGATACGTCTCCGCTACGGGACTCATTCGGGTTGGAGTGGCACCAGTGGGTGTACTTATGGTACGCTGCCGAGTAGCGCTCTGAACCAAAGATCCAGTATAGCTCGGGAGGACAGTGTGCTCCTCTGCCTTCTCCACGACAGATCGCACCGCGGATGGTGTACTGATGCGGCGGTCCCTCTGGGCTTGCCCGATATGGGAAGCGGTAGTGGTGGGTTGACTCTGTTGTTCGCGAATGGTGCGGGCTACCTCAGAGGCCCGCCCGCCGCCCGTCATGCCCGGCATGGCCACACCCCCTCGGCCGAATACAGGATGGGGGGCTGATACGTGCGTGCGCTGCTCGAACTGCGTCGGGTCATGAGCATCCTGCTGCGGCGCGTGCCTCGTGAGCTTGGGACCCGTCGCGCGCCCACCAATGAATGCGGCAAGGGACATGGGCTCTGGAGGGCGCTTGGGCTGGCTGGGCGCGACGGAAGGCGAAGGTTGTGCAACGGGCTGTGGTGCCGGGCTCTCCCCCAGTAGCTTCTTGAGAGCATCGTCCTGGTTTCTCTGTCTATCAACCGCAGAGAAGGCAGCGTCTGAAGTACGCGAGCGCTCTTCAGTCCTCGCAGGAGACGCAGTGGTGCTCTGTGCTATTGAAGAAGTGAGCATCACATACTTGCCGATGTACGGCTTGTAAAACTCACAAAGGTCCACGCTGCTGGACCGACTAGCGTAGCCGGTGCTCCTCCGGAGACGAGCCTGCCTCGAGGCTGCGATCTCCGCCTCAAGCCTCCGAGTCTCTGCCTCCTCATCATCATCCACCTGCCTCTGCAGCTCCTTGATCTTGCTTGTCCATTCCGCAAGGCTAGAATCCGGTTTAGATGGAATATTCAGCGTGTTCCGCCGGCTACTCGGGCGTGGTGAGTCCATGGTAGGAGGTGTTGAGGCGAGAGATCCGATAGACGAGGAATTTCCTCAGACACAGATGTCACAGCAACATGAACAGCCTAGCAGGCAGAAACGGGTATAGAGGGTCTCCAACAGGTGTGAAAGCAAGGGCAATGGGTGGAAACAGCTGAAGAGCAGCGCGGGAGTCGCGTCGCTGCGCGGATCTAATGGGCGCCTATGTTCATGACGCGCAGATCGCCGTCCATTCATGCTCTGGTCTAGGCACCCAAGCACCCATACCACAGCTCCCTCTCACTATGAATTAGAGCAGATGTTTGAAAGAGAAACGTTAACGCGCCAGCGGTATATTCGAAGACTGTCCGGGTATAGATACAGCAAAAAGTCCATTCAGGATACGTTACAGCAAGTACTGTAGTGCTATCGAAGTGGGTGCACGTCTACAGCATAACCCAAGAGAAGGCGGCCACAATAGAGGCGACCATGACGCCTACGAGGCCGGGCAAGATGCGCAGGCCCTCGTTTACGGAGCCGCTATCTACGGCTGCAGTGGCAGTGGCGAGGATGGTGCTCCCTCCGACGACGCTCGCGACGAGCGTTGAGGAGTCAGTCGAGAACGCCTTGATGTACGAGATCTCGAAGAACGCGTCGGTGTAGTTCGTGCCGTTGTTAATGACGTTGTCCACGTACTAAGGGAAGCAAACGTTAATAAGTATTGGAGAATCGAGCCGATAAAAGTAAACTGACACAGGCAGACGCAGTTCCGTCTCCGCCGCAAGTCGCTTGATATTCCGAGGCAACACCAGCCCTGAGATACACTGGGTGAGATGTGATTCGCAATTCCAGAACGGCGGACGTACCAGTCACCACAGAGTGTGATGTCAATAACCATCTGCTGAGGCGCGAAGAACTCGTTGATGTCGCAGGACGAAGACCCAAACGAGGCGGACGGGGTACCCCACCCAGAAGGGTCAATAGTCTTGTTCGCATTGGTGACAGAGTCGGGCACGCTGTTGCGCTACCACAGGGGGTCAATTACACGCATCAACGAGAATGGAGAGCAGCTCATACCGTCCAGAACCAGATGCTATAGTAGAAAGCCGCCATGAGTATTCACCTACGGCCACTACAAAACAGACCAGCTCACCTGATCCCGCTCGTCTCGAGCTGCATGGCCCACACGCCACCACCCGCGCTGTTGAACGAGGACCCATAGCTGTTGGCCTGTGTCTCGTCCACCGTGCACCCAGTGCCTGAGGAGCAGTCCGTGGTCCCGGCCTTACCGGTCATCGTCGCGGTGGAGGACAACGAGCAGCCTGACTGGGTGTGCAGCGCCATTTGGTTCGTCGTCATCATGTTAACGCCCTCGAAGATGTCAATCTCGCCGCCCTTCGGCCAGTTCATGCCCTTCATCCAGAAGCTTGGCCACACCTAAGGCGAGCAGGGGCATGGCGTAAGTCGCGTGCTTGTTGTAAGAATACGATAATACCAACTGAGCAGCCAAACGGCAAGTGCGTCGCGTCAAACACTACAACGGTGCCCACGGGGAAGTAGTCTTGGGTGGTGACCCGGACCTGCGAGACTGATTTAGTCGAGAATGGAACGCAATCAAACGCATAACATACCGAGTCCCGCTTGCTGTTGTACGGCACAAAGCTAGTGTCGTCGACTTTCACGATCGCATGGCCGGCGTCGTTGACATATGCGATCTTCGACTGGGTAGCATTGGCCTGGCTAACCCAGTTGACGTCACCTGTACAATCCGTCTCAGTCAATCTCGAACACCCAATATCAACGGAAAGAAACTTGCCGTTCGTGGTGTTGTCGAAGTTGTCATAGAAGTCCCACCCGGAGAAGAAGTTGGTGCCGGAATACTCCTTGACCAAGTTGTACGCCGCCAAGGCGGGGGACGCAGCCAAAAGAGCGGACACGAGCGGGATGGCCTGACGCATCTCAAATATCAACGGACGTGAAAAAAGAATGTGGAGGTAGTGTGCACGGAACCGGAGACCTTGGATCTACCAAAGGTCAAGAAGTTGGGGGTGAGGGGGAGGAGGGGGAAGTGCGTGAACTCCCATTGCAAACATGCGCGGTAATATACAGCGTACGCGCTGGCTATTCCGAGGGTCCTGCTGTCGGCCAATGACGCTGGTCATCGAAGGGCACCGTTTGTTTGCCGACGGGCCTTTGGAGCGGGCGAAGACAGGCATCGCTGTGTTGCAATGGCGACGACGAAGGGTGTTGGAGCAATCGGGCGGATCCCTCGTTCTTCCAGCCGCGCGCAGTCCTCCGAGCGGCGAGGGATAAGCTGTGCCAGCCCGCCGGCGCCGACGAAGTGCTAATAATAATATCGTCAACGGAGGGCACTAATACGCCTGCGTACGCCTCGTTACGAGCTTCGTTGAAGTACAAGAGCTCTAGCGGCTCGGATAGGGACTGCGTGTAGGCATTTATCAACGCCTACGCGGACAGGTCATCGACCCGCAGAGTAGGAATAGAGCCACGGATAGCGAAGTAGCGAAGTCGAGAGGACGAGAGAGTGATCAGTAATGCGCTTGGATACTCACCCCGGAGCCCAGCCACGGATATTAGTGGCGCGCGGTAGATAGGTTCAATTAGCGTCGAGGCAGAAGTGGCTCAAGAGTTTGGTCAAATCGACTCTTCTCCACGTGGACGAGTGAGGATGAGCGGCCTGAAGTCCCCGATGCCGTAGAAGGTGGGCCCGGGGTTCGATATATATGACGAGCGCCCCATATAGCACCCGATGTTGTAGAGGCTCGCGCCAGGTCAGAGCAACGGCGCCTCCGAGTCAGCCGGAGTTGCGGGTGTAATTGACAGACCCGCCTGCTTGACCGACCTATGAGGGCCCATGGACTACTGATGGGCCCTAATAAGACTTCCAGAGAGCCGCTTTGCGTTCCCAAGACCCCCGAGTCGATGGCGGAATACGGGACGGCGCGGCAATTGGCTTCTGCTTCGGATGGACTCCAGATGCGTATAAAAATCGGGGGCGCGGCCAGAGGGTGGCAGCGTAGCTCTCGCAGATACCCTGCCATCCTCACACAAAACCATCATGTCGAAGACCAAAGTCATCATTGCAGGTGCAGGCATCGCTGGCCCAGTGCTAGCCGTGTTCCTCAAGAACAAGGGATACGACCCCATCATCTACGAGAGGACCGATCATCCGACGGTCCACGGCCTAAGCCTGGCGTAAGACACTGAGACACTGCAGTGAAAGCGTGACTGACGCGCACCTCAGTCTGCAGACCAACGGCCTAAGGGTGCTCTCCCTCCTTCCGGGGTTGCTCGACAAAGTCGTGGGCGGGAATGTCCAGCAACTGATCCAGTACTCCACACTGCCAGAAGACCTGGGCGAACTCACGCGAAGCGACGGGCCTGCCCGCGTCAAGGCCGAGTACGGTTTCGGTATGAGAGGCGTTGGCAGGGTCGCGTTCCACCACACCTTGCTCGAACACGCCAAGGAGAACGGCATCCCGATCGTCTTCAGCCACCAGCTCGTTTCCTTCGAGGAGACGGCAGACTCCGTCACGGTCACCTTTGCCAACGGGAAGTCCGACACGGGCAGCTTCCTGGTCGGATGTGACGGCCTGCACAGCAATACGCGTGAATGTCTCTTCGCGAAGCAAGAGCCGACCTTCACTGGCCTTGTTCAGGTACGTCCACATGCGACACGAAGAATGCGTACCATTTTGATAGATATTCGCAGACCGGCGGCATCTCAGAAACCCCAGAAGAGCTGCTCACACCTCCTGTTGCGGTCAACATATACGGCGATGGGGCGCACATGATAGCATACCCCATCAACACTCACCAAACCTCCTGGGCGTGAGTACTGTAGCTGTGTTTGACACGTACTATGTTTGACAGCGACTTCTTGCAGGATCACCACGCAGGAGGCTGAGGCCAAGGAGAGTTGGCGAGCCATGGATGAAGGGGCGCAGGAGGTCTTCAGACATGGGCCTTTTTCTAGTTGGCCGTTCGGAGCTGGGCCGTTGGTGGCAGGCGGAACGAACATCGTGAAGGTGCGTATCCGTCCATGTTGAGTCACGGGTGAGCAGTTTAATGAGACGCTCTGATACAGTACGGCATTTACGACCGACCCAAGCTGCAATCATGGCACAAGGGAAGAGTAGTCCTGCTAGGAGACGCTGCTCACCCTACGAGCCCGGTGAGTCTCGTCCCGCGGGAGGTGTATGAGACTTGGTCAGACTCACCTGAACTATGTCGCAGCATCTCGGGCAGGGGGCAAACCAAGCGTTCGAGGACATCTACCACCTCGTACGGCTTCTGCTCCAGCACAACCCCGACGCTGCCGTGCCGTCAACCGAGCTTCTTGGCAAGGTCTTCAGCGAATACGAGACGCTCCGAATCGAACGCACCACGGCGCTCGTGAAGCAGGCCCGCCACCAAGGCGAAGTTCGAGTTGTCAATGGCGTCGAGGAGTGCAAGAAGCGCAACGACCACCTGCGCACCCAGGACGACATGTTCTCCGAGGGGAGATACCACCAAATCATGGCGTACCCTTTCGCGATTGGCCACAGCGAGATCTAAGACTTGCCTAGGCCGCTTTCTGTGCCAGACGTCGCATACAGAAGTTTAGGGAGCCTTTTTGTATAACAAATGTGAATATAACAACGCATATAGGGCCCGTCGCAGCAGTTGCCGAACTCGAGACATCGCAGTTGTGAGCAGAGGGACCGAGGTCATAAGCGCCCAATGGTTGCGTATTGGCTCGGCGCCGGCATCCTCGCTTCTCGCCCTCCTCCCATTCAAATTCATTCCGTGCAAGGCTTCCGACTCCCTCCATTGACCGTGGCTCCCATGAGGCCAGCGCGATAGAAACCGTATATATACTACGCCGCATCCTGCGGCGAACCCAGGACGTCAGGCATGAAGCTCTCCATCCCGTTCCGACGGTTACTTCCCGCTTCCCCGAGACACTGGACCGCTCGCCATTACTCGACTTCGCCATCTACGCAACCTTCTAGTACCCAGTCGAGGTCAGCTATGCCTTGGGTTTTGGGCGCGTTGGCGGGAGTTGGCGTCATCGGCGGAGCTGGTGCGTGAACTACAATGCTATGATGTCACCAGAAGGGCTAACTCTTGAATGCACGCCCCAGGTTACGCTTGGTACCATCTTTCCGGCGCGAAACGCGTGGTCGATGTGGCAAGGGCGGGCAAGCAGCGCTACGACGAAACGAAGGGCAGCATTGCCGAGAAGCGAGAGAAGGCCGCGGTCATGAGCGCAGCTGCGAAGGAGAAGGCAACCAATCTCTCAGACCGCTTGAAAGGGCGCTACCGTGCGACGGCATCGAAGGAGCAGGATGCAGTGCGTGATTATGCATGATAGGAATGTACATACTGACATTGCTTGGCTAGGACTCCGTTGATGGCGCGGGAGGAGATACGAAGGAAGACCGCCCACCTTCGTGAACACCCCCACGCCTCGTACTACGTGCCTTGCTTTTAATGGTGAACCGCCGCTCCCGGCGCTATCCTGCTTCTTTCTGGCCACCCCTACTCAATACATTGCGTTTTCGCACACCGTAGCAAGAGTTAAGTCTGCCTCCTCGGCGATACTCCCAGTCACCGGGACGAAGGTGGACCGAGGGGCACATTGGACATGATAAGAAATGAGCAAGAAATGCAATGCAGTTACTGCTCCGATGAGACTAATAGCGCCTGGTCGCAGCTGAGGCCCCGGTGACCCCAAAGTACAGCATATCCGCTACCTTGATCACGTATACTCAACCCTCAGGCGCTCGATCTCTTTCCGATGGTCAAACACTCAGGCAGCCGTTTTGTCTATCTTGGCCTCTTCGCGCACGTTTATATGCCTCGTGGTCCCGCAGCCCATTGTATGCGTACTTGGCTTCCCCAACTGTCAACGAAGACAGTGCACGGAAACGCTCAAATTCGCATATATAGCTTCCGGCGAAGTGGAATCGGAGTCGCTAGCAGTTGTTCCCCCCAGAGAGTGAGCCACCCGTATAACTTTCTCACCTCGGACTAATGGCGCACCCCTTATAGCACTAAATGTGGTTGCTTTCTACTGACCACCTGGAGCTGGTCCATTTCGATCGTTTCGATCAAGTTCCTGGCGGATATGCGATACTCTCGCACGTCTGGCAGGCCTCGGAGCAATCGTTCCAAGAGGTTCAGGAACTGCAAATTGCTGGCACGCCTTACGACGACCCTATTCTGTCCGCGAAAATCCGTGGTTGCGTGCAAGCGGCCAAGACGCACGGTCTCGACTGGCTTTGGATCGATGCGTCCTGCATCGACAAGAAGAGCAGCGCAGAACTCTCGGAGGCGATCAACTCGATGTTCAGCTGGTACGCTGAGGCCCAGATCTGCTACGCCTACCTCCAGGACGTCCCGAATTCTTGTCTTCTCAATTCACCCGGCTCCGCTTTCAGAGCGAGTAGGTGGTTCACCCGCGGCTGGACGCTGCAGGAGCTCATCGCGCCCCGATGTCTCGTCTTCCTGTCCTCCGAGTGGACACATCTAGGGACCAAGGCTTCTCTAGCGCCTCTCCTCTCGGAGATCACTGGCATAGATATAGAAGTCCTAACAAACCGGAGGGAGCTGCAGCAAGTGAGCGTCGCACGCCGCATGTCATGGGCCTCCAAACGCCAGACCACAAGAGTGGAGGACGAGGCGTATTCTTTGATGGGGCTCTTCGGTATTACGATGCCTACGATATACGGCGAAGGCGGGGAGGCGTTCAGACGGCTCCAAGAACAGATCATGAAGCACTCGTCGGATCAGACCCTTTTTGCATGGGGACAGGTGCTACCCCCCGACTTGACACGGACTTGCCTGAGCCGCGATATCGGGAACGCCATCGGCACGCTCCTCGCGCCGTCTCCCCATGCTTTCGTAGAATCCGTGGATTATCGATCAATTCCTCCCTCCAGGATGGCTAGTGCGACGAGCCACAGCATGCAAGTCCCTTCCGGCGACTCCTTCGTATGTGTAATCACTCTTATTGAGAAGTGTATGGCCTAACTGTCTATAAAGTACAATCCTGATTTCACCGTGACAAATTCCGGCGTGCGGTGCCAGCTTGTCATCGTCGACTTCACCCCGTTCGTGCTTGCTGTGCTCGGTTGCGAGACCGCTTCTGGAGACTGCGTAGGGCTGCTATTGCATCGACGCCACGATGTGCCTGACGACAACGGCCGCCCATTATACCTGGTGGGTGCCATAGCCAATAGCCCTAGCGAGCGTTCGGAGCTTCCTTGGCGCGGATGGGCTTCGGGGCGGAAGTCTGAGGGGTATCGACTCCTGCGCATCAATCCATCCGCTATGGCCAGCCTTGTCGAAGGCAACGTTCCTGCGGATGAAACGGACTCCCGAATGATCGGAATCTTGAGCAAGCTCTATATCGCCCACAGTCTTTCCCTCATTCCTAAACATCCGTGGCTCCGCCTACTCGAATCCGAAGCACGGCGCTTCGTTCTTCCTCCCTGGTTTGCGACCCAACTGCAACGACATGGCTTCGAGCTCGCGCTGGAAGATCTACCTGGCGGACCCGCCCATCAACGCACTATCAGTCAGTTCCCTCAAACGATCTGCTTCTCCAATAAGACCAAGGGCGAGACCTTTGTAATCCAGTTGGAACAGCATCGAATCTGGCTCTGCGCTTCCGTTTGCATCCGAACGCCTTCACACCTCGCCGACTCTCCGCGCTACCTGCCCCGTCTACTCAATTCCGAACGAAAGCTCCCGGCCCCTCGTGCCTTTGAGGAGGAGTCCCTCAGTGACGGGTCCCACCCAAGTTCTTTACAGCACTGTGTTCGCTTCTGGACCGACGGGTCGAAGAGCTTTGGGGACTCAGACAGAACAGTCCGGCTCACTTGCACCCGCTGGCCGACCCCTGACTCTTACTGCCTTGACATAGCCATCGAAGGTCGCGTTTATGTTCCCGAACCCCGCGGGCCGCACGGCTCGCTCCACAAGAGCATTCGGCACATGTCCCTCGGGCCTGAAACGCGAATGCGGGGCAGGCCGCGATTAAGCACCCACAACTCCCTGCGGCAGCAACGACTCGTACGCGCCATTCATGCAGTAACCGCCACGTTCGTCGAAGAACGTCGTCCGACGCTACTCGAAACGGAGTCCCTTCAACTCACGGCCGCTGACCCTCCTAACCCTGGGCTCGTGCAAGGGCCCTCGAGTGAACTCCTACCGACTACTCCAAAGACCGGCGGATCTTTCATACCTTTCCCAGAACGCTATCCATGGCAGTATTGAGCTTAGTTCGTCGGGAAGGTGAATGAGTTGAGGAGATGGGAGATGGCGCTGCCCCGGGGTCGTACAGTCAAGTGTTCGATCTCGCATTTCGTCATGCCGTAATCTTACTTGAGACTTCTTCAGAATACTTCTACATCACTCATCGGCACCCAGCTGCCAAGGAGAAAGACGATACATCAACATATGTCGGGTAGCGGCCCCAATATATTCCGCGTTGGCAATGGTGCGATACAAAACTCTTTCTTCCGGCGTCAGAGAGTCAGACCACTTAAAAGATGCCTAGTATTGCAAGCGCCGAGCACGATGTTATCGCACTGAAACTCGATGCGTGTGTTCCTGAGTTGGGGACGGATATTGTTTTACATAGTGACGGATATAGAACAATGAACGAATGATACTTAGCGAAGCACAACCGTACACACCGGATGCATCAACCATTAACAAATTCACAGTGGCAACGCACCAAGGAATATCGAAGTCCGTTGTGTGATATTGGAGTCACACGCAACAGCTTGGATTGAGGTGCACAAGGGAACTCTCTACCGGTCAATTCTGTGAGTGGCCGTGCGGGCTGGAGATCTGTACGTCCAGGGAGAACACAGCCAGGTAGTGGGCATCTCCATGGTAGTCGCATGTCAGGGTCAGCCACATCGTCCTCCCCTCATCAGCGTTGCGCGTAGGTAAGACGAAGCGCTTCCGGCGCGCTGTCCCGTGCACACCGAAGACCCTCCAGTGTCTGGTATGCGCGTCGCGGTCGCCGCAGGAGATAACGGGATCGTTAAGGCCCAGGGGCTCATCCGGGGCGTCCGGAGACGGCTTGTTGCGCTCCGGGAGGAGGAATCGTAGATAACGAACGTCGCGGAAGACCCGCCCCCACCATTTGACGTGATGCGGGTGTGGATCCCGTTCGCCGCACGGGTTGGGAGCGCAGGATTGCGCGGACCTAGGGTCCAATGTGTCCACCCCGACGGCGCATCCACGAGGCGTTTTAGCGCAAGCCTTGAGCCACCATGTATCGTCGGGCCGAGGGTCGGCGTGAACGCAGTCGCAGGGCCAGACGTGGATAGTGATCGTATCGGACTCGTCGTCATCCCTGACGAGCAGAAGAGTGTACACCGAAGAGGATGAGGGGGGGCTTGAGGACGAAGAGACGATATAGCCGGCGCGCGTCAGAAGGGCCCAACTGTGCTTGCTGAGATCGACACGGTAGGGACGTTTGTTCGAGCATATAGGGGAGGCATGTTCGGGGAAGCGGCCGTTGAGGGGAAGGGAAGCCCGTACGTTGGGTCGGTAAGAGATGTACACCTCAGCAACTCGCACGTTGAGACGGGCTGGAATTTGTGGCAGACAGCGTGTTGATGCCCGACTCCGAGCGGTGGAAGCGTGGGGCAGCGGTATGCGAACCATGCGAATGTAGAGGCGCGCGACTCCCTCTTCTACCAGTCTCGCAGTCCCAGGTGGTGCCATTGGTCGTAAGTGTTTGGCGGTCGCGATTTGAAACATCATAGGGTTGAGCGTGGCCCCGACCGAGTAAGCGCCAGCAGGAGACTCCTCCCTCAACACTAGTGCAAGGAGACGTCCTTTGGCGTCCTCGCACGCGAGAGGCACGATCTGCACCACGCGCTGGTCGCGATCCCACCCAGTGGAAGGGAGTTTCATGAGGGGGAGTGTCGTTCTGATGCCATGCGGCGTGAGGCTGTATTCCGGAGGAGGCAAGACGACCCCACCTAGCCTCCTTGTGATCTCCTGTCTTGAGACCGTCCGGATGCCGCCACTGTGGATATAGTCCGCTGGGGAGGTTGCGAACAGCACCGAGCTCGGATACATGTCCCCGGCTGAGGACGTAGACCGAGTATAGCACCATGCGAAGATGCTTTGATCGGGAATTTGTTTGAGTATTTCTTCCTGGAGTCGGACGAATGCGAGCGCACCCTCGCCATAGATAGTGGGCAAGTTGACGCCAAAGATGCCCAGAAGAGAGTACGCCTCGTCCTCCTTCCTGGTGGTGACGCGTCCCGAGGCCCAACGCATCCGCTGGGCGACGCTGACGGATTGGAGGGACTGTGTGTGGGTGAGGATTTCCCTGTTCACGCCGGTGACGGCCTGGATCACGTCGGAAAGACCGTCTTTGCCACCCAGCTTATGCCATTCAGCAGAGACGAAGATTACGACCCGCGGTGCTATAAGCTCTTGGAGTGTCCAGCCTCGAGTGAACCATAGACTGCGGCGGAACTGCGAATTTGGGGCGTTAGGGTTTTCATCGCTGCTGACGTCGTGAAGGAACGCGTAGCAGACAGTGGACTGGCTGTACCACTGGTACATCGAGTTTATAGCCTCAGATAGCTCCGCACTGCTGGTTTTGTCGATGCAGCAGGAGTCGATCCATATGTAGTCGAAGCCCTCTTGGAGAGCGTACTCGCAAGCGGCGCGGATCTTGGGAGAGGCCCTGAGGAGGATCTCGTTGGCATGGATGTCGACCTCGACTAGGGCGCGAGCTGGGCGGATTTCTTCCTGCAATGCTACCAGGTTTCCATAGGTCTGTTCTCCCTCTTCAGACCAGACATGAGAGAGGATAGCATAGCGAACTTTCTCGGGATGGTCAACCCAAAGAAATCGACCTGTTCGTGTGTCGAGGAGACGCATCACCCTGCAGACGTACGGTGAGCATAGCTTACTTGAGAATGAGGATGCAAGAACGTACCGCGAATGCACCTATCTCTGTCAGCTTTGCGCGGGGTGCTTAGTAAAAGAGCAACGTTAGGTGGGGCCGGTATGCAAGCAGAACACTAGATGAGGGAGACGATAAGTATATGTGTCGCCCACGATACAGCGCAGCAGCAGCTCGAAGAGGTAGCTGATGCATGATGTTTGAACATCCAGGTATTCGTGCAGCATGAAAAGCACCTAGCGTGTGGCGGTAGCACAAACCGTAGTGTGCGACGCTGTGCTAGGCAGCGTCCTGACAGACCCGTGGGAACGCGGAGTTGCAATATCCAAATATCCAGATTCCACGGGCGTCTATGCTCATGATGCCTGCCTTTGCTCTTGTGCTGCTGCAGGTCTTTCATCTGCTACGTCCACCTACTGTTACTTGATTCTGAAGGCTCTCGACAACTGAACGCCTCTGAGCCTGGTATACGACTCCCAGTCCATGCAGGCTGAACAAGACGACCACAAGTCGGACATAGAGCTCTCCAATGGCCCGGGTGGCTTCCATCCCCTCTTCTCCTCCCCGGACGGCGATGTCGTCCTAGGCTCCAAAGAGCGCGTGCTCTTCCGCGTACACTCCTACACCCTCAAGACGACTTCGGGATGGTTCCGCGCGATGTACTCGCTCCCGCAGAAGAGCGCCTCCGCGTCCGGCGAAGTGTCCCCGGCGGACACGATCTACGTCGACGAGGACGCCCCGACGCTCGAGGGGCTCCTGCGCATGGTCTGCGGGCTCCCCATCCCGCGGCTCGACTCGTACGACGTCATCGAGCCCATCTTGCACGCCGCGGAAAAGTACGACATGTCCGGGCCGATGTCCATCGTGCGCGCGCTCGTCGTCACCCCGCCGCTCCTCTCCGACCCGCTGCGCCTCTACGCGATCGCGTGCCGCTACGGCTGGCAGGACGAGGCACTCATGGCCTCGCGCTACACGCTCACGCTTGAGCTGCACGCGCCCGAGCACCGCGGCACGCTGCAGAAGCTCGGGACCGACGCGCTCCTCTCGCTCTTCCAGCTCCACCGCACGCGGCGCGAGACTCTCCGGCGACGGCTCGACGACCCGCCCTTTGTGAACGACGGTGGGGACACGTCGTGCTCGAACTGCGGCTCGCTCGTCGACTACCACACCTGGCGCGAGCTCAAGTACGTGATCATCATGGAGATGGACGCGCGCCCGCTCGGGGACACCGTGTGCAGCCCCGGTCTCCTCGAGTGGCCCGCCGCGCGCGCGTGCTGGAGCGCGAAGTGCATCAACTGCGACCGCGTGCTGTACGACAAAACCCTCACGATGCGCGTCATCCGCGAGTGCATCGAGCAGCTTCCGACCACGATCGAGTGAGTGCGCCGCCTGCTTCTCGCGCGGTCGTGCCGTGTTGACTGTCCTTCGGGGCGATCAGGCCTCTCCCACCCCCTTATCCTGCCCCTATACTTCCGCGTAGTGTGTCCGAGTAACGGCGTTCTCCCGTATTGCTTTATACGCTCTCTTGCTCTCGGTTTCGCGACAGGAGGATTTCCAGGGATCTGTGGACTTCGGTGTATGTTATACCTGTATGATGGGAATGGATGTATAGATAGTTTCTCCCCGCCCGCACACAGGCGATGCCGCTTTTGCCACACGACCTCAACGATGTACTCGGTGGTTGGCTGCCACTACCTCCTCGGTACAGTCATCGAAGCTTGCGGCACGATCCACGCCAGTCATCTAAGTCAACGCGGGTTGCTACCGCAGGTATGTCTGCATCACGCCTGCGCGCGTTGGGTGTATAAGATAATAAATGCGGATCTCATGATGATTATGGAGTTTTACGTTATAGTGTAAGGAAGAATAAGAGAATAGAAAGTGAACAAAGCGAACGAAAGCTATCCTTCTCCTACAGCCAGCGACTTTCCAACGACGCCCCCGCTTCTCATACTCTGCTGTGCCTTAGCGCGGTTGATGAGTTCGATGAGCCGGGTGCGTGAGGGAAAGGGATCGCTGTCGGGAAGCGCGTCGGAGGGTGTCTGGGCTCGTGCGTCCTTGGGGCTGGGAGGGGCCTCTTCGACGGCGCGTCCCTTGCCCTTGTCCAGCCGTGTTGACTTCGCGGGGGTGGGGAACCGGCTGAGGAGAGCTATCATCCGGTCGCGCGCCGGGCTGGATGCGATGAGCTCGGTGGTTTCGAATTTGAGCCGTGAGGTGGTGCGTGCGGATCCGGATGCGAGATGGCTGGTGTCGAGCGAGGAGCTGGGTTGCGGGGCTCGCCTGCGGGTGAAGCTGGGGGTGGTGTCTTGGGAGTTCCACTCCGGCGAAGCGATGCCTACATTCTCCGTACGGTCTCCGTCCGAACGCGTGGTCTCCGTGGGGGTGTGGATCCGGTTGCGGCGGTCCAGGATGCGATCGCGCGCCGGGGTGGATGAGGTGATCCCCGTGGTATCGAAGGCGAATCCTGAGGTGCTGTGCACGAGTTCGGGGTGGCTGGTGTCGAGCGGGGAGCTGTGTTGCTGGGCGGGCGCGTCGAGGACCTTGAAGGCGGCCTTTGCAGCGGGTAGAGTGGGCTTGAGAAGTTCGAAAGAGAGGTCGAAGTCCTCTGAGTCGGAGCCCCAGTCCTGCTCGGTGTTGTTGTGGGCTGTGGGTGTCGGGCTTGTGAATGTGGGTGAATTGCGGGATGGTACGCCGGGGGTGCATTTATTCCCGGCGTGATCGCGTTGGTGGAGGTTTGCGCTGGGCCTGGCGGGGGAGAGATAGTAGCCTTCTTTGAGGAGGAAGGCTCGGAGTCGACGTTGGCCCTCGCGGAAGTCAGGCAGAGGGGGCTCCTCGTCGGCCGCGGCGTGGGGTTCGGTTGTGGTAGGGTCGAGAGTAGTGGTTGTGCAGGGGAACTCCTTCGCCACAGAGAGAGGGGTAAGTGTGACGTTGGCGTTGTGCGTGGTGTCGGGGTCCTGGAATGTGCTCTCGACGGGGTCGTCGATGACCGCGTTGAAAAGAGCCTCCACCGGAAGGCACTCCTCCATAGTGGTGGACCCGTGACGCTCCTCGGCGACATCTACCTCGACTTTGGTGGGTTGCGTCGACCGGCTGCGGTTGTAGTCGGACACACGAAGGTGTTCGACGGCCGCGCCAGTCTCAACAAACACCACCGGGGTCGAGGCGGATGGGGTCGAAGGTACGTACGTAACCGGGGGTTGAGGAGCACATTCCCAGATGAGGTCCTCGATCGACGCGGGGGAGAACAGGTGCGCGATCGAGGTCCGGAAGCGTTCCTCCCTGGCGGCACTGAAGGGGGAATCCGTCCTGCACAGCGCGTATTGCGCCGCTTGGCGCACCTGCGCGCGGATCCTCTGGCGTTGTTGTTCAGCGGCTTTCTGGAGAGGGAGAGTCGAGTCGAGCCCGTCAGCCCCGTTGTTGGTCATAGGGTACGGACGAAGGTGCATACCTTCTCGCGAGCGCTGTCCCTCGACATGCGTATGCCCTTGCAGATGATAGTGACGAAGACGGGCATGGTGACCAAGACGGCGGCGCCAAAGAGGGTGCGCCAGAAGAAGTATACATGCTTGCTTCGGTATTCTAGTGTCGAGTGGGTGTTGTTGGACATCTCGATCGACGGGGCAAAGAACGCATCGAGGTTGGGACGAGCGAGGTTGAGGTGGTCAGGAGGAAGGACTGCGAAGCCGTCGCCCAGGAATGCTTCCGTAGATGCATCCAAGGTCAGGCGCATGTCCAAGCTGGACCAGGAAGGGTCAGCTGTCTCATTCGAGGTAACGAAGTGCGTAACACGTACCCAGTGAGTTGTAAGAAGGCCACGTTGAACGAGGATATAGACGGGTGACGGAGGTGAGCCAGAGAGGAGAGGATGTCGAAGGAGGCGTGTTGGAGAACGCCCAAAAGGGCGACGAGGCAAGAAATCAAGACTGTGGTGAAGATCATTGTGGTATGAGGGAGAGAGAGGAGCTGCGCCCCGCCAGATTTATATCACCCTCGGGGGATCGGGGGCTGGCAGCTGTGGCGGGGGCGGGGGTCAACCACCACACCTTGTTCGCTTCGTCGCGACATCTCCTGTCACCCTCCCGCCTCACGATCGCCGGTAACTTGAACCGAAGAGGTTCAGATTACCGGCGATCGTGGGGCGGGAGGGTGACCGGAGATGTCGCGACGAAGCGAGTAAGGTGTGGTGCCGGGGTATTCTATGTAGTGTTAGCTCCTGGCCGTACTGCGTACCAGCGACGAAACCGACTCTGTCCGGGATCATCGCTGTGTCAAGATTCCCAGCTTAAAGGCGGCGGGGACACGTTTGCTATGCCGCATCTTCTAAAACATAGGCATTAAGAAACGTCAGATCGAGGGAACTGGATCAAGTCTAGAAGGCGAACACTCACTCTGCTTCTCCGGCGTTCGGGGCATTAATGTCACGGTGCTCGCATCCTAGCCAATCCTGGGCTTCTGACGGTTCGTAACTTCGTGTTCTCTGCCGTCTTCGTTCGGGACCGCTACAGCCGTCCTTCTTAAGGCTAGACCTGGATACGGGTCGATCTCGCAGTCGAGAATATTCGAATTTACACACGTGTGTGGGTCCGACTGGTTGCTGCATTGCGAGCAGAGCACTGGTATCATTACAACCTACTAGCCATATGGCCACCGTGAGTCAGTCACTAGTCGGGCGAATCGGCTTCAAACTCACCAAAGCAGTCACAAGAAGCACATACGAGCATACGCGCACTACATAATCGTACAGCCATCGTCCTTCCTCTCCAACCCCCTCGTAATGTCGTCCGCGCGCAACTCGCGCCCGTTTCCAGACCGCTGGCCGTCCAGGTTGACGATGAGCACTCCAGCATTGTGCTCGTCAAGCTCCGCGACCAGGCCGTGTCTGAAAGGTGGGCATGCGTTCAGAATAGGCAGTGAGCGTGAATGTACAAGAGATAATGCACTTTTGCATGAGCTCCTCGATGGCGGGCTTCAGTTTCGCCACGCCGCCTGACGAGTGCAGGCCTTTGCCTGAGGAGCGAAGTTAGCAGACGTTCGTATAGGCACACAACGCTGACGCTGACACGCACCTGTAATGAAGCGGATTTTGGAGTCGCCTCTCGCTTGCGCCTCCTGGATGGACCTGTCGGTGTAGCGTATCGCCTCCTTGACATACAGCCCATGGAGGTCAACCTCTCCAGGTTGGCTATCCTGCACAGATACTCGCCTCAGCCTCCCAACGACGCGTCCTTGTTCCGCACAAACTCACCGTGTTGTTCTCTGCCGCACACGACGCGTCCAAAAAATCAGCTCGCCCCCTTCCCCGCCCTCGAAGAAACGTGCGAACCTCTGAAGATCCACTCCGACGCCTGCTCATTCAGCCTCTCCATCTCCTGCTGCGCCGCCTTGCCCTTGTTCGAGAGCTCCTTCGCTCGCGCGCCGTCCCCGCGCTCGTACGCCTGGTGCGCCTCCTCGAAGCTGCGCGCCATCTCGTCCCCCGCCGCGTTCGCGCGCGCGCGCAGGTCCACGTAGTGCTCGTTGTGCTGGTTCACCTGGTTCGGGTCCTAGCCCGCCCAGACGCGTCAGTATCACTTCCCCCTGCCCCAGGTACGGGAACGCGTCGCAGGGACAAGGGTGCTCACCGGACGGCCGGGCGACCAAGGACGCGACGGCGGCGGGCTCGCGGGGTGGCTCGGGGCCTGCGACGGCGAGTGCGGCGTGCTCTGTCCACTCTGTCCTTGTCCGTTCTGCCCTTGTCCCTGCGCATGCTGGTCATGGTGCTTCTTGTGCTTCTTCCCCGCAGGATGCTGCTGCCCTTGCCCTTGCTGCTGTTGCTGCTGAGGTTGCTGGGGATGGTGCTGAGGCTGCTGCGAGGGAGGGTACACCGGCGTGGGCTGCTGCGACACCTGCGGCTTGTGCGGGACGGAAGGCGGGAGGTAGACGTCGGACTCGTGCCCGGACGGGAGCGGCTCCTCCTTGATGCCTCCGCAGAGGCATTTTGCGACTGCACCGAGTAGCTCGGACAGGAAGCTCATCGTGGTGGTCAGGCGCGTGCGGGTGTGAGGTCAAGAAGGGCGCGCGGGGGATGGGGGGAGGAGGATGTGGCGTCCGCGTCGAGACCGCCCGATGTTTAAAGCGACAATTCCCTGCCCCGCAGGCACGTTGCGTACGTGCTCGCGGAGGTCCGCGTCGCCTGAATACATAGCCATGGCGGAGTCGTACACGATGCATAGATCGCAGCGTGCAGGAGCTAGCAGACGGACGTCATGGATCATGACAGCGGTCATGGTGTACCTGGGGGTGTGAAAATCACAGGTAGATGGCCAGCCTTGGCACTGACGTCGACAAACAGTACACAAAGAGAAACATATGAATTGGTACGAGCACGTAACACGATACAGTAGATACCAGGGAGAAGGAGCACACTCTCCAGAGAACAAATCCCATCTTCTCCTATGTCGAAATCCACTTCGATGCAACAACTACCAAACGACGCCGTAAACTTTTCGCGAGCGTCCCTCGACCCCACCACACTTCGAGGACCAACCGTATTGACTGAACGTAGGGGCGTAGATAGTGCCCAGACGTCCAGCGAGAAAGGCTCGTTTAAATCTCCATGCCCACAAGGACGTACGCAGCGTCTGTGGGGAAGACGGGCTTAGTGACGACCGTGCCGCCCACGTACATGAGGGAATGGAGGAGATCGCCGAGATCAGGAGAAGAGCGTTCCAAAGCAATGACGAGCGCATTGCACTCCAACTGCTCATCCGCAAGATCCAGCAAGGCGACAATGCTGGATAGGTATCAGCGCATGTCCTATATATATGTCGGAACGATAACTAACGTACCTCTCGCGCAGATTGACTGTAGCAGCACACTTGCCGTCGACGTAGAATGTCTTCGGGGTGCCGGGGAGCGAGAGCACGACGCCTTCAAAGGTAGTACCCTCGCCAGAGGTGGATATAGAGACGCTCTTAGCGTACGGAGCCGCACTCAGAGCGTTCCGAGGGAAGATCGCGGAGAGGAACGCGGATTGCTTCGCTCCGAGCGCCGACAAGCTCCCATCGCCTTCCTCCGGAGCGTCGTCCGGAGTCAACGGAGGGGTGGCCATGTCGGTTGCAGGCTGACGCATATCCGGAATTGCACGTGGAGCACTAGCATTGGGTAGGCCCACGGTGGGCAGCTCCGGCGAAAGTCCGAGAGGAGAACCATCCGAAGGCGGGGTAGGCGGGAACGGATACGAGCGGTTCGAAAAGTTGGTCGAGAAATGAGGCTTGGAACCGAAGGACGAAAGCGTGGAGGCAGCGGAGTCGGAGGAGTTGATGGAAGAGGTGGGGGAGGAGGAGAGCGGGGGGAGAGATGTACGCGCCAGACTGTCTGTCACCCAGTCTGACGACCCTCGGTCAGGAGGGCATTTTGCGGTAGGGGTGTCAAAACCGCCACTGCATGAGGAAAGTCAGGGCGAATAAAATCACAGGCACGGATAAGGCAGTGAAGGCGGAGACAAGATCACAGTCAGCGCACTGCAAGCAAATGAGAGAAGCAGATGTACTCACCCCGGGTCCCCCTGAGAACGTAGTAGAGTAGTAGTACATGGAGTCCGTGCCCTCCATGTGGCAGACTGCAATCACACTAGGAGTCATGTCGGTTATGAAGGCCCCATCTCCAACGGTTTGACGACCGTTGCTGCGGTAGACATGCAAGGTTAGCGAACTGCCGATGAATCTCCTCCCACCCTGTCTATCCGTACTGAGAAGTCCGGAAGAGAAGCGCATCGGACGGACGGGCGGGATGGAGGAAGACGGAGGGACGTACGCGGGGCGAATACTAGATTGCGGTTTCGAGATATTGGTAAAATTCATATTCGACATGGAGTGCCAATTTGTGTTCGGGGTGACGGTCTTAGAAAGGGTGTAGTGGGTGATGGAGGCGAGATTGAGTGCGAGAGCGATGGCAGAGGGCGCGGCGCAGCAGATGCTTAGCAAGAGACGGGTTGACGGTGGTGGCTGAGTCGGAGGCGGCTCGGACGAGTCCACCCTTGTGTTATCTCTCCCCGGCCGGGGTCTCCGTGGGAGCGCATAGCCACTCCGTCCCCGGACACCGCCCCACGTGTGCCCCGGTGCGTCGCCGCGTATGGGAAAACGTTCTTGGTCTCCTCCCCGTTCGTTCTCAAGAAGGCCAAGAATATGCACCGGTGAGTGCCTTCTCTTGGAATTGCGAAGACTGTCGCTCATGAATATGGTTTAATATACGATTTAGGGGCGCGTTATGAGCGTTTCTATGCGTCAGAACCGTCTCCTCGTCAAGTCCCCGCATTCAAACGAGATGCCGAAGGTGCGATTGGGAAGCATAGGGGTCACCGGATCCCCTCACCGTCAAGGCGTGCTTGACATCCGACCATCCGTTACGGCAGCGACGTCAGCAAGAGCTACTGCGAGAGTCCTTTAGTCGCGCGTGCAGTCAATAACCTCACGAACCGCATCCTAAAACTATGATATCTCGCACTCCAGGTGAGCATTGGACTGCAAGAATTCCCATATCTGCTTCACGGCGCTGCCTGCGAACGGATCTACCGGTTGCATGACCAGCCAGGCTGCGGCATTTCGTACATATCGTGTAATCAGTTCAAGACCCCCAAACACTATCCAAATCCAACGTAGAGGCCGACGCCACCGGGCTGGACAGTACAACATTTACTCCCTAGCACTTGAATTCCAGACAATGGACCTTCGTAAAAGACCGCGCGGCGTCATTGAGCTGCGCGCGTGGAGCAGACGTCTCTCGTGAAAATCAGCTCGTCGTAGTCCAACAACGCTTCGTGCCACTCGCCCACGAACACACGCGTAAGACCTCGACGCAACACGGCGGACACGATCTATCGAGGGGAGCAGTGGTATAGGCTAGCACTGCTATAGTCCAGCGAGCGAGCGACCCTGCCATCGTTGAGCACACCTGCGGTTTTGCTCCCCTCATCCAATTTGCTTTGTGATACATATTCGCGGATACTACGGGACTCTATTGCTCAAATTTAAAATATGGCTCGGGGCAGTGGTCGCAGGTGTAGTCAAACGGCTTCAGCCTCGTAAATCATTCTCCGCTACTATTACCAAAAACGAAAATGACAAACTTGCGTTATGCATGATAAGTATCTCAGTCGATAAACACGCTCCCTCTTCCTGGCCTCACGTCCCACAAAATGCTCATGCGCCGCGTTCGTTCGGGGGAGCACCCCTGTTCATAAACCTAAGACGTCCGGGCCGGCCGGGTAGCAGCATTTTGGCGCCGGAGAAGGATGCTTTGGAATTTGTTGGCGAGCGGATGCAAGTTGTCCGCAAACGTCGAGCAAGACTCGCGTCAGCTTCAGCAGGCCTGGTCTGGTCACCCCCCTTGCTCTTGCTTGACACATCTATCTATCTTCTGGAGCACATGTGGAAAAATGTGCTGAAAAACGCCAGGACCAGGACCAGGACACCGGCCCCAGTGCAAAGTCCCGGTATGTCCGTGTCACTCACGAAAACGCGTGTTTTTCTCATCGAAACGCGTGCAGCACTGGCACAAAAGCCCTCTGCATCACACGGGCGTAATTCCTGCCCGTATGCCACGCTTTCCACCTCGTTCGTTGAGCCGCAGCGCGGGATACCACCGGCACCCGCTCGATCCAACAACGCCCCCGGCCCCTCCAAACGCGGCCCCTTCCCCATCAGTTCTGGCCGCAAACCCGAGCACGCGCTCATCGAGGCTGTGAAGACCCTGAAGACGCCCCATCAACTCCGCCAGTTCTTCGTTCACCTTCTGGTCAATGATAACGTTCCCTCCCCTGTCACCATGTGGAATACGTTCCAAGACGCGCTCGCTCAGGACCTTATCGTCGAGAGTGGAAATGTGAACGTTGGCGTGAATGAGACGCTGCAGGAGATCCAGAGGGCGCTGGGAGAACACGGCAAGTGTCTCGCCGACTTCGGTCTCCCCGAGCCTTCCTTCCACAGCCGCGAAGTCGAGGTCGAACTAGCGAAGTGGAAGCCGGATGAACGTGTCTTGTCCTCGCGCTCCGCGACCGCCGTCTCTAAGCTCAATGCTGAGCAGTACCAGATCTACACCGAGATCATGGACGCGGTCACGCATCAGCGCCCACTTTGTGCCTTCGTCGATGGCAAGGCTGGTCGGGGAAAGACGTTCCTGGTCAACACTATCTGCAACAAGCTGCGGGCTGCCGGTCATATAGTCCTACCGACCGCAACATCTGCTTTCGCCGCGCAACTATACCCTGGGGGCAAGACTACGCATTCCGTATTCAAGGTATGTCCCGTTGTAGGCTCACGCTCGATTGGTGGTGGTAACTGTAATTACAGGTCCCCATAGGCGAAGAAAACGAAGCACTCACCTCTCCAATAGAACCGCATGACCCTAGGGGCGAACTGATCCGCGAGGCTTCTGTTATCATCTGGGACGAGGCACCTATGGCCAAGAGTGCAGTCTTAGCCTGCGTGGAGGAAACCTGTCGACGTGTTATGCGCAACGATCTCCCATGGGGCGGAAAGGTTGTGGTGCTGCTTGGGGACTTCAGGCAGACGTGTCCGGTCGTGAGGAACGGCTCCCGCAGCGACATCGTCAACTCCTCCATCATCGCGTCTCCTCTATGGGACCAGTTCAACGTGCACCGGCTCCACCAGCCCATCCGCAATGCAGAAGACCTCTCCTACGCGGACTACGTCGACCTCATCGGCGACGGCGCGGGGCCGCACATCCCGCTCGACATTCTGCAGACGGTGCACGACCAAGAGGCGCTCATCGAGTTCGTGTACCCGCCCGACGTGCTGCGCGACCCCGCGCTGTGCCTCAAGCGCGCGATCCTTGCGCCTACCAACGGCCAGGTGAACGCCTACAACGACGTGATCCTCGCGAGCATCGACGGCTACAACCGTACATTCCACGCCGCGGACAGCCTGCACGAGCCCGAAACGGTCGACAACACCGAGCCTGAGCTCATCCTAGAGGCCGCGCGGCGTACCGCACATCCCGGCATCCCCGCGCACGCCCTCACGGTGAAGGTGCATGGCGTGTACCGCCTCATGTGCAACTTCGCGCCGGACCGCGGGCTGGTGAAGAACACGCGCGTCGTCGTGATGCACATCGGGAAGCGCATCATCACCGTGCGCATCCTCCGCGGGGTCGCGGGCGTGAGCACGGTCGACGCGGAGGACGTGCTGATCTCGCGCATCCCGTTCACGACCGTGCTCGAGTCCGGGCACACGCTCGTCCGCCGCCAGTACCCGCTCGCGCCCGCGTACGCGACGACGTTCAACAGCTGCCAGGGCCTCACGCTCGACGTCGTTGGCGTGGACCTCACGCGGCCGGTGTTCTCCCATGGGCAGCTGTACACCGCGTTGTCGCGCATCCGTCATCGGACCCATGCTAGGGTGCGCGTGCGACGGGGCCAGACCAAGACCAGGAACGTCACATACCATGAAATCCTACCTTAGTAATGATACACCCCCACTCCCTACTGCTTGCTTAGTTTATCCTTTATAGTACACCTTTCAGTAAACTTTTTGCCAGGCCGGCGATTGCTACGCCGTACCAATAGAAGAAACTCGTCATCAGCAAACATGCTTCCCTACCTGGAATCTGAGGCTCCGCTTATGAACTACAGGCGTCGAGAAAAGCGGCATGGCATTACAGAGACCAACAAACGGCATATGTTAAAAGGAGTACTCATTAAGGTCGGCTGGTTTCCTCACTCCGTTCCAAGTCGATGCAAAAAGTGCGGTGTCTCCGCGACCTGCAGCCGCATTCGTGGTTAAGGCGGTCTCGGATGCTTCGCTTCCTGGTGCCTTTTCCTAGACCGCGATCCTCGGACTCGAACCACCTCCATTGCGGCCTCCAGCAGTCTAGCTCGACTCGGTGCTTGCCGTAGCTGCAGGAAGGGACGATTCCATGGTGCTCTTCGACTTCTTCGGTGCGCTTGGGGCCTCGGAAGGATCAAGAAACTGGTCGGCCTCCGCAAGCGGACGTTTCAAGCCGGAGCCCGATGCATTTCGAGGCTCCCTACTATCGGAAGAAGTGAGAAACATGACACGAGGAGCGTCCTGCGGTAAGTGACCACGCGCGGCTGCTTCCCCTGCGAGAATCATGGCGTTTCGTTGGGCCTCCGACATGTTAGGGGGGTAGCCGGGGGGTATAACGCCGACAGTAAGAGGCCCCGGGCTGGGGGGGTCGAGGTCTTCCTCAACATTGCATGGGATCCAATCCTTTTCTGGCCAACCGTCCAGTTCGAGAACGTCGTCGAATATTTGAAGAACACTGCAGTGCGTCAGAACCACTTCATCGCTGTCTTCCATGATGGCTAGGTTTTGCTGGAAGACTAATGCTTTGAACTTCTTCATAAGCGTTGTGAGGGGGGCATTGCCGGCGACGTCAAGATCACCCTTGGGGAGAGCCCAAGAAAATTTCATGGCCCATCCAAGCGGAGAGCTGTCACAATGCTTGAAGCGTGTTGCGCAGACTTGCTTTCCGGGCGTCATCCTCGCGCGCAGGGCACAGCGGGTATGCCGCAAGACCACCCACAAAATTAACCAGTAGAACGATTCTAGGTCATGGTAAGGACGATGCGTAACCGATGAGGTCCCGGGGTCGATGAGGTCCACAGCCATGAAGAAGTAGGACGCCTAAATAGCTTCGTCAGGAAATGTAGACGGATGTGAATAGACATGCTGCCCACTATGCGTCCTGGGAGTCGCGTGGCCTCAGCCCTACCGTCTGATACGTCCTGTGCCGCACTCCCAGTCACTCCAGCCGGCTCCAGGGAACTGTAGTCGAAGTCGTGAATGAGTCCAATATCGTCGCTGTCGTCGTCTACGTGATTGTCCAAATTGATGAGAATGCTGCCGAGGCTGATATCCCGGTGCAACACCTGAGCCTCTTCCCAAACCCGTTTATGACCTGCAGACCAACCAACGAATAAGCAAGTTTACGCTGTGAACTTATACCACATACAACACATACCTCGCATCGCACCTCTGATAGCCAAAACCAACTCACGCGTCGAGCTGAACTTCGTGAGAGGACGTCCGACAAAGTCATTGACACCTATCGTCCTGTGGTTGGGCTTCCGGTCCCAGAACTCTTCTCCCGTAGAGTATCGGCGCATGTTTAGTGTTGCGTATGAGTGGGTGGTCGGACTTGGGGCGATGGCCTGGCCACAGGGAATGAGCGTCTTCATTTATGTACTTCCTGTGAGCGAAGCTTGGTAGCAAGGATGGATTTAGCCACAAGCTAAGCGCGGCAGAGCTATGCTGTGTGGCCTGGCTGCGATGATGTACTCGGACAATCGGCCACAGCCCAGAAGGCCTTTGGCACACTCCGCGGGTATATATATGTACTTGTAGAGTACCTGTGATTGTTCGCCTTATCAGCTCGCGAGATAATGGTAAAAGACGATAAGCAGAGTCCTCGTACCTAAGTGGCGGATCGTTTCAAATGTGCTCATACATGCACGACTCACGTTCAAGTACTAGAGGTTTATGACATTCACACTTCAAGCTAGGCTCTGAAATGCGCTACTTGCGCAATGAGTGGTGGGAGACTACGCTACAACGGCGGATTGGTACAACACGATATATCCAGTTCCGTACATCGGCGCGCAGCGTTCAGTCGTCCTCCTCGACGTCGCCGAACTCGAACATCCCAGCGCGGTCACGTTTGGCAATCGTGATCGCCTCCTGGAGCTTCTTCGCCATCGCGGGGTACGACGAGAGGTAGCGGCAGCCCTTCTTGTCAACCGTCGCGAGACCCTCGCGCACGAGGTCCACGTTGATCGACGCGTAGGGGTCCTGCGCGACGGCCGGGTCGGTGGGATCGATCAGGCGGAGGTGCAGAACTTGGCCTTCCTTCTGGTCGACGTTCGCGACGAGCTTTCGGCCTTCGCACAGGGTGCGGAACCGCTCTACTGCCTCGTCGTGGTACTCACTATCCTCGGGCACGAGCTTCACGAAGCTACACGAGGTAGAGCAGCAGCGTCAGCACGAGCACGCAACGCAGGCAGGTGAAGAGACGGCAAAGTGACGCACCTGAGGCGCGCATCCTGCGCCTGACCGGGCAACGAACGGAACCTCGGGTCAAGCGGGCGGATGTCTTTGAAGCCAACCGTATCCTGGTTGCCGTAGTCGATAAAGGTGACCTCGGCCTCCTTCTTGATCGCAGACGAGCGGCGGACGCGCGCGCGGTACCACTGGCCGTCGGAAAACTTCGCAGACACGAGCTCGCCCGCTTTGGGCACAAAGCCAGCGGCCGCGGCGAGCGTTTTGTGGTACTGCGAGAACTCGCGCATAAGCTTCTCGAGCGAGGCGATGCCTTCCGTATTGAGAATCTGGATCGAGAATGCGAACTGCGGCTTCGTGCGCACGTCGCTGATGATGATGTCCAGGTACTCGGTCTTGAGCGGCCCTGTCGCATCCTCCTTAGGGGCCTCGACGACCTGCTCGGCAGCCTCGTCGAAGTCCTTCCAGATCTGAGTGCGTCGTGGTCAGTGTGATACATCCGATGAGCGACGGAAGCGACCTACGTTGCGCTTTGCCTGCTTCGCCTCCGCCTGGTGACGTCGTAATCAGCTCAGTACGACAACCGTCTCACCAAAGAATAAACGCACCTCCGCATCGTACAGCTGGCCAGCCCACGGGAGGTTCTCCGCCGAGTACCCGTGCACCGTCGCGAGACCCTCCTTTACCAGCGTGACCGCAGCGTTCTCGGTCTTGTTGTAGTAGAGCGCTCCGATGAAGCCACCGGACTTGTCCGCGTCATTGATCTCAATCTCCACGTCACGCTGCATGTACCGACGCGTGGCGAACTCGGCCGATTCGTGGCCATATGGTTCACTGGCTTCGGATGAGTTCCGCGCGGTGCGAGGGGCGCGGATACCGCTCAGGACGAGGGTGAGCACCTGGTTGTCCTTCGGCAGGAAGATTCTGAGCGCGATAATAAGCTCGTGCACGCGACACGCTCCGGTGCGACCTACTTGAAACGGGACCCTGCGGCGACGTATTCGACGATAGCAGGAATGCGACCTAGACGCTTGAAGCCGTTGACGAAGGTCGTTGCCCGATGCGCTGACTACCGCGCGGTCATGTCAGCCAGATGAGCGTTTGAGGCGGTCATGGAAGCCTTCCCAAACCTACCTCGGAGATGTTGAGCGGTTGTTTGGGTGCGGGGATATCTTTCCCCGAATGCACCCCCCGGGCCTCCGCCGCTGCACTGTCAGGCAAACGTTTCAGTTCAGCGACCTATCCGGGACCGAGGTGAGACTCACGCCTGCTCCGCGGCCATGAGCTTATCATAGTCAGGAGAGCGGTCCTCATCGTCCCGCTTATGCCGGACGGCGGCCGCAAGACCCTTTTCGATTAGCTGCTCTGCAATGTTCCTGTGCAGCTTTCTCAGCTCATTTGCACTATGTATAGACTCGAAATAGACTGACGAGTTTTGTCCGCCGTATCGCACAGTCGCGCACTCACGCTCCTCGAAATCACCTTCGCGGGGCCTGATGAAGTCGACGTGCACTTTCACATGCTTGCCAATGAGCCTCTTGCGGAGGAACTCCCGGGCTTCCTGAGCCCAATACGCCTGCTTCGGATCCGAAACCCTGTGACGCAGTCAGACAGTGAAACATGCATACTTGACGGTTTCCCACTCACCTCGGCCCCCTCGTCGAGCTCAATTGTACGCGGCGTTCCTTGCCAGTCTCCCGATCGACAACGGAGATCTGGTCGGCGCTCCAGACCCGAATGACCGTCGCGTCGAAAGCCCGCGAGGCGCCATTCACAGCCGTTCCGTTGCTTTTCGCAGAAGGAGCAGATGCGTTAGCATACATGTACGCGCGTTTCTCCTTGGCCACTTTCTCCGCCGCGCGAAGGCGTTCCATGCCGCCACTGCTCGCGAGCATGCCCGCATGCCAGTCCACGACACGTGCGAGGCCAGCGGATACGAGGTGCTCGGCGACATTACCGGCGGGGTGCAGGACTGTCAATACGTCAGGGGACATGATGCAACTGCGCCAAGGCACAACCCCTGACCTGTGCCAATGAAGATGGATGCGGATGGGGGAGCACTTGATGTCGCGCCAGCTTGGAAGGGTGTCGGTGCGGCGTTGGGTAGGGAGAGTAGATGTACCTTGACGTAGCGTTGTAGTAGGCGAGATTCGGTGAAGAACTTGGCCTACGCAGATACATGTGAACACATTCGCCATTGGTTCACGCGCGCATGCATGTGACCTACCTCTTCACCCCACTGCTCGGATACTTCACCAGGCTTGCCGCCAGCACGCGCACACCGCACTCCAGCAAGCGCGATGTTGATAAATTGGTGGTCGCCGTCGGGCATTAAGAGCCGGATGCGGAGCGTTGAGCCATCCTTGACCTGCTCAACCAGGCCTGCCAGGATATCAGCAAATAGGACGCGTCTTATATGCGGATATATTACCATCAATCGGACGGCCCTTCCACTCGGTGATGAATGCTTGCGATTCTGTGGGCATCATGTAGTTTGTCGTGCGCGCCTGCCAGACCCGCTTTTGAGAAGCTGGCGGAATACACAACGTTCGCGTGGCGTACCTTAGGCCCGTGAGGGTTCCATACGCCCTTGCCCGCCGCGCGAGCCTCAGCTTCGATATCCTTCTTGCGCTGGTCCTCTTCCGTAGGCTCGCGCTTGAATTCTTTGAGCTTCGCCCATCCGTTCTTAAGCAGTTCGGATGCAAGGTCGACGCCATTGAACTCCGCAGAGCCTATGTCGCGTGGAACGTCGTCGTTGGTAGGAAGGGAGTGCGAAGATGTGAAGGATACGGGTTTGCCGACGGTGAGAGCGCGCAAGAACTCGCGAGATTCGAATGCCCAGTCCTAAGTCGCGATCGGGTAAGCTGCTGGGAGTCTTGCATGACTGTGTGGGACATGTCAGGCAGCACGCACCTCATCGTCGCGCGACGAAGTTCCCATGCGCGGTGCTTGGATATCGGCCAAGTGCAGGACGCTATTGCGCGCGCGGTCCAGTATGTTAGTGTACACGCGACCACCGACTGGGCACACACGATCACGTACCGCTCCTTAGGGATCTGGCCCTGCGGCCCCGGGTTTCCGCGCAGGAGGAGGGAGTCGCCAGAGATCACGGCTGAATACTCGGCAACGTTCAGCACAAGGCACAGACATTCGGGACGCGTTTGGAATCCATACATTTCACGATCTAGCAGCGCATGCCACCGGGCATTGATCAGCTTCCACGTACACATCGCGATGCGCGTGCGTTGCTCACCGCTTTCATAGCCATGGTTGCAGGAGTATAAGCCGGTAGATACACGAAAAGCTAAAGTGGGCGGGAGGCGGGAGGAGGATGTGGGGAGATGCGTAGTGCTGCCAGCGCTGCCAGAATAGACGTGCTTTTCCCGCCCACGTGGAAACATCGCTGTGGGTCCAGCTTTCCCACGGGCCATTTCCTGCAGAGCTCGCGGTCGCTGCAGGCGCCGATGTCCTGCTCGCCGCCACCATGCCCTTCTACCAGCTCGTATGCATCGCCGCCCACTACCCCGAATATGTCTGTGCCACTTTCTACGCTCTGCCAACTGGAAGGCTGACTCCCTTGTGACGCGCTGCAGAGACACATCAAGGACCTCGTCACGCGCGCGGCGAGCCACGTCCTGGACAATGGCGGCGTAGTGCGCAAGCTCGACTCGTGGGGCACGCAGACCCTCCCTCAGCGCATGCGGAGAGCGAAGGTGTACCACCAGATTGGAGAGTGCGTGTGCTACGTTTGGTTTACGGAGGCATGCAGGGCTCACCTTCTGCAGCTACTGGACGATGCAGTTTGACGCGTCTCCAACAACCCTCCGCGAACTCAACAACATCATGCGACACGACCCCCGAGTCATTCGCTGGACGGCACTAAAAGTGGGCGAGAAGGTCGACGATGTGCTCGCACCCGACCAGAAGACGATCAACCGCGACTGAGCCCCGCCGTCCCCCCGCACGCCGCTTCCTCTCGGCTCTTCCGCACCGAGTGCTTGTGGTTCGACATAGAGGGAAGGACCTCATATACTTTATTGGTCGGTCGATGTAATACTGCGACACTCTAATCACGCAACCCCGGAGAGGCTGTTACGCCCTCGCACCCACTCCACGACTTGCAATAGATTTGCAATAACCTCGACACCGGTGAGATCTTCTCCCGCGTCCTTCCGTTCTTCCTCACCCTCGGGGCCTGGCCTGCGAACGAGCAGTGCATGAAGACCACAAGCCTTCGCACCAAGATAGTCACTGCAGGATCGGTTCCTCGTTGGACGCATACTCGCTGTGGCATGAATTCGGTGTGCACATACCTATCTAACTCGTCGCCAACATGGACTGTCTGTTTTGGCGCCACTCCTACGCGTTCGTAGGCTCTCTTAAAGATCTCTGGCGAGGGCTTTTCGACACCCTCTTCTTCGCTCAGCAGCACGGCATCCAGGTGCGGAATGAGCTCCAGATCCTCAATGACAGCCCCTGCGAGCGTGTACCTCAGTCCAGAGTCGTCTTGCAGTAACGACAAGCCGACGCACTCATCCGTGCATCCGTGTTGCTGACCAGTCCAGTAAGGATGTTCATGTTCCTGAGGCTCTTCACTGCATCCCCAAGGCCGGCTCAACTTAAAGTGACCATTTCCCCAGTGATGCGACGTACATGTTGGGATAGAGTCGTCGAAAAGCGTGTATCCCTCGCGCGAGCTGAACCGCTTGAGCAGCCGGGGCACGATCTCCCCAAGCGACGCATCCACCGCTAGAGAACCACACCCATCGTACCTCGTGCTTTCAAAAACCCCGCGACTCACTCACATTTCGGATCCGCCCCTGCCCCTACCGCAGTCCTGCGTATGACGTCCCCCCACCAGTCGTGCGCCCCGCCGCGGTAGACCGGCTGCTCCTGCTGCACCTGCTTCAGCGCTACCGCACCGCATCATTCGCGCCCGGCTTCTCATGAGCACACTGTTACCGAGGGACGCGAGCACGACCAAGTACCGGATTTAAAGGCGCGCTTGAGCGCGGCGGGGTCCAGCGCACCCAGGTACGGCTCGAACGTCTGCGCGTACTGCACGTAGACCGGGAGGCGCGGCGTGACGAGCGTGTGCAGCGCGTCGAAGGTGACGAGTCGGATGGCCATGGCGCGTCGAACACACAGAAAAGCCTAGAGTGCTGCGGATGTGCCAGTGCTAGTGGGCGTATGATGTCGAGCTGGAAGCTGGGAGCACGGAGGGAAGATGCATCGGCTGGCTGGGACACACAGCTGCGGGCGGTCGGGCCGAGCGCCCGGACGTTGTGTTGTTCAACTTGTTGGGTTAGCGTTGTTGTGCGAGCTCGATATTATTTCATTCGTGACTTCGACGGTGCGCGTGAAAGTGCAATGGGGTTTGCATTGCTTATCAAGTATCCAGATAGTTAATGACAGACGACAAGTGTCTAAATGCGTGAGGCGGGATTGTGTATGGACGCCGTGCGGCACATGCCCGACGGACAAGGCTTGCATGAAACCGGAAAGTACAACGAGTATCATCGAAGAGAAGACAGAACGATGATACTCATCCTCCCAAACTCTTCTTGCAACGCACCTGGTGATGTTCGCCATCCAGTACACATGGTGTTCGAATACAAAGCTGCACGTACGCCATCTTCCGAGTCAATCACCAGATACCGCACCAACGAAGTTCCGGCGGCACGGTGTTCACGTAAACATCCAAGGCTATTTGCAGCACGATTCTTTAGACTGGTATGATCATCGGCGGCGGGAAAACGCTGTACGCGGGTGCAAGCTACCGCCGTTAGGGCGCAGTTCTCCGCTGAGATCGTCGAGCGGTATGACTTACTTACCGGCGGTGTGCTGTAATCGTGCGGCGTCCACAGCTCTCTAGGATTACACCCTAGACTCCTTGTGCGCCTCCGCCGGGACAGTGCTTGAGCACGGCTTCCCTATGATAGGGGGCTCCACGAGTGGGCCTAAGATAGATGGCATCACCTTGTTAGACGGTCGGCGGGACTTGCGCATGGCCAAAGGGGCTTCGAGCTCGACGTTATCGCCGCCGGGGAAGCATAACTGTGCGGACGCACGTCTCTAAGTCCGGAAACTAGGCGAGCAGCCGCGGAGACTGAGTTCGAGGGTTGCACTGAGCTCATAGCTTCAGACAGTTCAACTTGCGGTTAGAGCACAGGTTCTCACCATGCAGAGCGGTGGACGTCCGAGTGACAACCGCAATAGCTGCACGCCACCGTCGGAGAGCCCGCGCCCAAACCTGCAAGGGCCGTCAGCGTCGGATACGGTTACTTGGAAAAAGCGCTCACAAACGATGATGGGCCCGCCGACTGCTCGCTGCGGTCGACCGCCGGTAAAACGCAAACACCAGCGCACGGCGTACAACTGCAACGATGGATGCACGCCGCCGCACGGCTACGGCAGCCCGCCCGCCCAACGCCCAACGCCCCGCCGCGCAATTGGCCAGCGCCGTGCGTCCTATACGCCGTGCGTCCGTGCGGAGCCAAGCCGTAATCGCCGACGACCCAGATCCCGCCGCCCACACGATCTCCGAGCGCCTCCCCAGAAAGCAATTAATGCCCTCCCCCGCCGGCTACGCGCACGCGAGGCACGCGGCCCTCTGCCAGTGGGGCGGCGACCCTGCAGAGAATCTCCCGGGGAGCAGCCTCGGGTCCCCACGCCCGCCCCTGCACGCAAAATTGCGCTCGCGTAACCCCCCGCGCTCCCGGCGAGCCTAACATTTGGTGCCCCCGGAGGGGTGGTACGTACAGCGCAGCTCGCTCATAGGCCGGCGGGACGGGGTGCAGGGCGCGGGCGCTCGATCGGGCGGGCATGCGGTGCTGGGAAGGGGTGCGTGCTCCCCCGCCCGTGGCGTTGTGCGGGAGAGGCGACGCGGGGGAAGACAGCTCGCTCGGACGCAGATGGCGATCACGCTGGGGATCCTGCTCGGGTTTCGCGCCGACTCCAGCTTCATAGCGCCTTGGAGGTATTTGGGAGGGATTGGGACGCCGAGTTGGTAAAGGGGAGGCAGCGGAAGAAGGGGGCGCGCCGTAAACCTGACGTAGGCACTGGGCTCTGAAAGGCGGAGGCCTAGGCGATGCTGTTGACGTCCATGTTGCCGCGACAGGGACCGGGCGGGCAGCATGGCCTAGGCAGTCGATGCGCCGAACGTCGTCTTGAGGTTACGTAGCGTCCGACGCGGCGTGTCTCCGTTGCGACGGGTGGCGGTCGCCCGCGAAGCTTGTTTGCTGCAACGTGTCTTGGAGCACCGGCCTGCCCGTCGCCCTCCTCTGCACCGTGGGGCGCACGGGAGACCGGAGGCGCACCGGGCATGGTGTTCGGAACTCTGCGCACTGGCACGCGATGGGCGCGATCGAGACAGTTCGCATCGTGATCCACCTGCGATAGATCTGGAGTCTGCCTATAGACAGGAAGCGCTGTCAACGTACGTCAGCGGCAGTTACTAAGGCAAATTTTGCATTACGGGTTGCAGGGCAGTCGAGTGTGCAATCGACCGGGCGTACGTACGCTACGTACGCCCTGCGCAGCGACGAGGGTCATGGATGTTGCGCCTGCTTTCCAAGATGAAAGGCGACGCTTCGATCTTGGATACATGTCTATCAGCGGCGCGGGAGACCAATATCGGAGTGACGATAGAGATAGAGTGCAACGGTGTTTGAATCTTTCTAACCGGGAGATTGTCGCGACCAGCCTTCTTGTTGCCACATCTCGGTCCGTGGACGCAGACGTCTTCTTTGCAATGGAAGCGAGCAAAAAGGGTAGTTGTGCCTCCCGTCCTGACCCGCTTGCATCAGTGTGAAGAGGGGCACTAAAAGAAGCAAGCCGGGTGAAGACGAGCTTGAACGGTGGAGCACACGAAACGCAAGCATCGCGATCGCTCTGAGTGTCTCGTTGACGTGATTTGCGACACATCACCCAGTATAGCACGTCGTGCACGGTGCACGGCCGCCTGAGGAATTGAAAAGCGTGGCCAGATGTGTGTGCACGATGAGGAGAATGGTTGGACGAACGTTGGACAGGATGCGGGCCAAGCGAGGCAATTGTGGCGTGGGAATGTGTCAGGGCTGCTTCTGTTTTGGGCAGCGAGAACGGCCTCGATGAATTCCTTCTGTCAGGGCGCGACAGACGCTCGCGATTCTTGTCAATACTGTCAACGCCGGCTATGAATAGACTTTCCTGGACAGACTCTCGCGGTATTCAGTTTGGCTAGTCTCCGTGCTGGCCTGGCGGGCGGCCCGTCCGCTGCAAATTTTTCTACGGGTCCGGGTTGCGTCGGCGGATGACACTGAGCTCGTGTGGAGACGAAACTCGGGTCCTCGCTTGGTCTGCGACCCGTCTTAGGCACTGGGGAAGCTGGATTACTCGGGGTGCGCTATGACCGGAGCCTGCTGACCGCTAGGCCTGCAGCCCTTGCGGAGAATATCCGCGTTGCTGGTAGACTGAAGGGCTGGGATCGTCCGTTGCGATCGGTCTGGGCGTGTCATATCGCCGAGGAAGAGGATGGGGAGAAGAAGGCTGTCACCGGCGAGCCCCGCAAGGTGGCCGTTGCGGTTGCTGTAAGGGCTGCCATTGGCGCAGACCGGCGCCAGGCGGGCAGAGGGCCGGAAGGAGGAGTTCCCAGGCTGGAGGTAATGACGCGCGCACATGGCGGGCGGGCGACCGGGCGGGGTGCGGGGTGTCTCCTGCCAGAAAACCATCGCGTCGGGCTGGGATCCGCGCAGCAGAATAAAGCGCAGAAATGCATCGACGCCGCTTCGCCAGCAGCTCGTCTGGGCTCGTTACCCGTCCGCACGCCAGACACCCGTCTTCTCCTTTGAGCGCCGCGCGCCCGCTTCTTCCGCCGCTCCCGCCCTGTCCATCTCGCTCCTCCGCCTCCCTGCCGTCCTGCTATAAGGCTGCATCTCGCCGATCAGCCAGAGTAGCATCCCTCCTTCCCGCGTCCACATCTGCGCCCTCCTGCTCTTGTGTCTTGCGCTCTTGCTTTGTGTGGTCACCGCCGCTGCCTGTGGGACCTGCCCTGCCCTGCTTGTTCGGCTCCCTTGCCGCCCATCGTTGCACGCGTAGCGGACCAATCAGTGATAATCACTGCCATTCCTGCCCGCTCTCCTGATTCTCTCTGCTCTCGTTGCATTGCTTTGGCCCGCCATGGCAAAACATGCCGTTCCCTTCCCCACCACTCATCAGCAAGAAGAGGTCAGTACCGCCTCGCTTTTTCGCCATCTTATCATCTTCTCACGTTCCGTTACCGCCCATTACTCCCCAGCCACTGTCGTTCGTCGGCGGGCGCCCTCCTGTTCCGCCCCGCTTACATTCTACTCCCTCCCTCCCTAATCTCGGGTAAGCCCTCCTCGTATTCGGCAAACTATCAGCTCTGACCTAGTCGTTGCCCGGTTTCCTAGGATTCCGCATAACTACGGCTCCTCGCCAGGTTCCCCGTTCCCCCCTCAGGGTCCCGCCCGACACCGCCCTCACCTTCGGCCCCTCGACTTGGCGTCTTCTCCGTCGTCCTCGCCCACCCCTAAAAAGGACCCGTCCGAGCACTTGCGCCGCCCGCCCATACTCCTCACGCCCCCCCTTACGCCTTCATCGTCCTTTAACTCTAACACGAACGACACACCGTCTACCCCGCCCGAGCCACGATCGCCTCTCCGTTGGTTGAGCGCATCCGATCGCGAACGCGTCTTCGCTGCCGCTCATTCCACATACGCTGCCGGAATCAAGAGTCTTGCGAGCGTGTCCAACTCCGTCGGCTGCAACAACGCCGGCTACCTTACCCCCACAAGCGCCCACTCTCAGTCAATGTCTTCCGACGACGGCTCCGGATCGGCCTCTGGCCCCGGGACCACGCCGGAGATCTCTAGCCTCGCGTCTGGTCTTGCTAGCGCGGAGATTACCCCGAGGGAAGAACGTACCTTTGTGCTGGGTAGTCAGGTGGATGCTCCGCTCGACTTGGAGATTGGAGAGAGATGTAGCGAAACCCCTACCAGGCTGCTCATGGTGAGACCCAATTTCTATGACTGTATGCGCGCGTTTAGACGCCAACGCCGGGTGTGGGCAGGTCCGTCATATTCCACCGACTGCAGCCTCAAGCGCTCTGCTCGACTCCTTCTCCAGCCTCGGTGACGTAAAGGGTATCCTCGCCCGCTTCCAGGCTACCCACGGTGTCGTCATCTTGGCCTTTTACGATACCCGCCACGCTGCGCGGGCTCTCAGGCACATCGCGGGCCACAAGTTTCCAGCGCTCGACAATGTCCGCCTGGAGGCTGAATTTGTGTCTCCCGGTCGTGTGGAGAAAGTGAGGGTTTGCGGCAGCTTGTTGTTCGCGCGCCGTATGCTGAGGAAGAATTCGTAGATGACGGCCACGGAGGATTTCATCTCTGAGCTGGACGGTTCCTTCTTCGTAACGGTAGAGGGCCGCGCCGTCGAGCCGAGGGATGTGCAGAAAATGCTCGCGTCGTTTGGCGAGCTGGCCTCATTCTCCGCGTCAGGCTCGGACTCGTGCGATCAGGTATGCATTCTGTCCCGAGGACATGCATGTGTGGTAAATTGACGTATAGCCCCTGTGTAGACCTTCCACGTGGACTTTTGCGACTGCAGGGACGCCACGAACGCCTACAGGGCGCTCAACAATCGCACCATCTTCGGTGCCAGGCTCACCCTCATTTCTAATATGGACGCGCTCGATCACCCTGCTCGGCTGATGCAAAGCGGTGCGCGGAGCTCAAGCCCGGTACGCCAACTAACTGGGATCATGATGGCTGCAATTGACCGCGCTTTCGTCAGGACGCCGCATTGCCGCGCGGCGCGGAAGGTGAGACCATTCCTCGACCGCCGGTGTTGACGGTAGGGACTGATGTGTGCCCGCGTTTTGCGTCGGTCTAGGCCGGACCCGCCCAAGGAGCGTGAGTGCGAGTGAAGGCGTGGGCACCCCAGATGCTGTGAGGCGGCTGAGAAAGGCGAAGGAATCTTCCCAAGACCACGGTAGGCGGCCCTCGAATGACCTGTTCTTTGACGCCGTCGGCAAGGTACGTTGCTACTATACTAGAGCCACTCAAGTACCTCACTCTCATCGCTTCCCCTTCAGGCTCTCGACCCCTCTTATCCCGCACCGTCGAGACCTCGCAGTATCAGCGCCAGCGCAGAGGATTTCGTCCCTGCCGCTACTATGCAGCCCCCCGTCAATGGATATGTCATTCCCGGCCCTCACTACCCTTATTCCGAGCCGCATTACGGCTACGCCCATCCAGGAACTGTGGCCCCCATCTACGCCCCTCATGGAGCTGCTCCCTATGCTTACCCCGCCGCCTACCCCCCCGGTATGCGCATGTACATGGGCGACACCAGTGCCAGTGCCAAGGGCTACTGGACCTACGCCGCCGCGCCGGCCCCACAGGTTGAATACTACCTGCACGACGTCGGGCGACCCTCTCTGTATCCGCCGCCCATGGTCCCCACCGCCTCGCCTCGCGCTGAGTCTCAGAGCCGAACGCCGGAGCTCCGTGTCAACGACCCGCCTCGCGTCTGCCTTCCTTTCCCTGACGACCAGGCCCACTCCCCATCTTCCGGAGAGAGAGCGGGCGAGATGCCGCATTGTGGCCAGCGCGCTCCGGGGACCAAGAACGTTGTCGACATCGCGGCCATTGAGAGTGGTGTGGACACGCGAACCACGGTGATGATCAAGAACATCCCGAACAAGATGAGCGACAAGGACCTCTTGAACTTCATCAACCGGGTCTGCCCGCGCCGTATCGACTTCATGTACCTGCGGATGGATTTCCAGAACGGTGCGTCCCCTTAGTGGCAGCACTGCTGTTTCATTGCGGGACCCGGGCTGATATCGCCGGGCAGGCTGTAACGTGGGCTATGCATTCGTCAACTTCATTACCGTGCAGGATTTGTTGCACTTTGCGCGCACGCAGCTCGGCGTCAAGTGGTGAGTCGCGGTGACTGGGCTATGCGCAGGGCGGTCTGATATTGATACGCGCACAGGAACATGTACTCGAGCGAGAAAGTCTTGCAGATGTGCTACGCCACATACCAGTGAGTCGTTCACCTGGTGCGTATTCATGGGCGCATGTTGAAGTCCTTTCAGGGGGAAGGAGTCGCTCGTCGAGAAGTTCAAGAACTCTTGCATCATGGACGAGCGCGAGGCCTGGCGTCCGAAGATCTTCTTTTCGGACGGAGCGAACCAGGGCATGCCCGAGCCGTTCCCACCGCCGACGCACTTGCGCAGGAAGGAGCGGAGCCAGAACAACCGCGGCGCCCTCTTCGTTCCAGGCACGCACCACCAGGCCTCGGGCGGCGGTGGTGGACTCTACCACCATCGTCCCCATCCCCTTCGCATGTCGGGCCGGTAATTTCCGCCACCGCCGACGCGGAGAAGATGTCCTTCCTTCTCATCCGGACGCCGTGACGTTCTCTGGCTTCTCAGTAGACTCGTATCGTTGGACTCACTGCTCGGGTCTGGAACCCGACGTCGTCGGACTATCGTCTCTATCCCTCTTCCTCGAAGTGTACTAATCCCCCCGTCTGTTGCTACATTCCGCTGCCCACGTCGCTCTTTTGACTCGTCCGAGACTCACCTTGCAACTGCTTTACACGATCGCATTCCTGTGTATTCACTCGCTGACATTCGCCTGCTCTTCCTCTGTCTGTTGTCCAGTCATCATCCCAAGATGCATCACTCGCTGTGTCCTGTCCAGTACCCTCGCCTCATCTCATTCCATATCCATCGCTCTCTCCAGTAGATAGTACTAGCTGTTTATTTGCATACGTTCTCGGCATTCCCGCTGTATAAGTTTATTCTACATCCGTCGCTGTTTGCCACATCCGTGCTCTTTGCTTCGAGCGCCCCAGTGGCCAAGTCGTCCTTTGTTCCGATTCATGTAATCGTGCCCCTTATTCCATACACTCGTTTCCCATCTTTCTCCGCCGATGCTCCTTCTATTCACGGCGGCCCGATGCGACTCCCGCCTTCGAAGCCTCGCCAACCGCACAGATAGCCGTTGTGGTTCATATATTCATACCTCGCGCCCGTCCGCAACAACGCCTGAGATAGGAACGGACTTGACCGACATGCATACGTTCCGTACCCGCGCTGATTGAGTTAGTATTGCAAATGCGAGCATCTCCCAGGCGTTCTCCCATCTCCCATCTCCGAGCCCGCGCACGGCGACAGCCGTTCTCCGTCTTCCTGATCGCAGCAGCAGCAGCAGCACGTCCATGGTTCCGCTTTCGTCATCCGGACCTCGATGCGGAACAAGAACCCCCGCGCGGGTACAGTAGCGTCGCGCGGTGCAGGAACTTGCCGTGCTTCACGCGCGGACGGGCGATCGCCGAGCAGCCCGCGCGGGCGCGTTTCAGCGCACCCCGCGGTGCACCTCTGTGGGTCCCGCCTGCAGTGCCAAACGTGTGCTATCTTCAGTGGGAACGGGCTCAGGCGGCTCGGGGACTCCCACTGGCGTGCGCCGGCGACGCGGGGCCCGACTTGCGGGCAGGGCTCGGCCGGGGGTTGTGGGTCCAGATGTAACGCGTGTCGGCGCGCGCGGACTCGGAACGCGAATCTGGCCGCGAAATCTCGCTTGCCGCGCCATCTGCCAGCAGAAAGGACAGTAAGAGTGCGCGACAAACACACGCACTTAGTGCGGTGCGGCCGGTGGCAGTAGGGACGTCAGTGCAGGCGCGACAGGGAATCTGGGCGCGCGGCAGATATGACACGCATACTGCGAGGCGGGATACGGTGGAGGTAAGGTTCCTTGAGTCAGCGTGGACTGGAAGCCGAGAAGCGTTTGTTGGAGGCACAGGAAGACTTGACGCGCCGCAAGGCGTCTCCGATGCGTGCATAGACACGGCGCCCGCGGTGTGAGACGTGGGATATGGAGACGGATAGGTGTGTTGTTACTCGATGGAGATATCATACATATGCGGAAGACAGGAGGCAGGGGAACGGATGCAATGCAGTTCGTAATAAGTAATACATACACAGCACATCACTATTGTGAACAAAGCTGGTCCACGTCGATGTGACGCCCGGTCGCGGGGCGCAGGGGATTTGCTGTTCGTGGTTGCGCCGACTGTGATATGTACCACAGCGAGCGCGGAGGTCGTCGTCGGTCGCGTCGCCGTCTCCCCACCGGGCGCCGCTGGTTTTTCGGGGCAAGGGCTACACAACGGCGCCGATCACGTCTGCATCGCACCCGCCACCATGCATAGATCCAGGGCGCGCGCGACTATCGTGAGGCCCATGGGGCCTGGGACATTGCTGTGTAAGCGGTGGCGCAGTGTGGCGACGCAAGCGTCGGCTCGCCGCCTTAGTGGTAATCCGGGAGGAGCGGGACGCCCGCCTCCTTTTCGCTGTCGTGCTGGGCGTGCGCGCCCGCCGCGGCGTCCTTCGCCTCCTGGGGCCGCCGGAGGCCGACGTTCACGACGAGGTAGATTGACGCGAGGGAGACGATGACCATCTGCACGAACGTGCCGCAGGAGTCTGCGCGGCGATGTGATGTGGTCAGAACACGGCGCCCACAAAGCGAAGGCGGGGCAGAGGGGGCACTCACCCAACAGCAGGCCTGTGCAGAGACGTCGTATCAGTCAGCAAAGACCAATGCGCGCGGGTTGGCGGGGGCAGAGGAGACAACGACGCACCGAAGTCTGGGGCGCCGACCCAGAGCGCGCGCAGCGCGGGGATGGTGAGGATGACGCTGACGGGGAGGAAGAGGACGCCCTCGGAGAGCGGCAGGCCCTCGTACGCGGAGACGGCGATGTAGACGACGACCGCGGTCAGCAGCCAGTTCACGACGAAGAGGACGACGACGAAGAGCTGGCTGAGCACCGTGCGGTGGAAGACGTACTGCACGCCGAAGCCGGCCGTCGCCGTCGAGTTGTCCACGATCGGCTTGTTCGTGTGGATCTGCGCGTTCCCGATGCGGCCGAGCTGAGGCTGGAGGTTGTTCGTCGCGTCCGCGATGCGCACGAAGAGCGTGGGGAGGGACGTGTTCGTGGCGGGGTCGAGCGCCTGGAAGTATGTGTCCAGGACGTATTCATCGAAGGGGTAGGCGTACTGCTGGTCCTGCCCGTACCAGGCGGTCACTTCGAGGAGATGCTCTGTTTGGAGTTCTACTGTCGCTTGCACGCTGAAGCACACGCCAGCAAGGGGTGTTGTCAGTACAGCATCACCACTAAAGCACGAATACGCACTAGAAGAGGCCATCAGTGTCGTTTCGGTGTAGTAAAGACGTGTCGGGGTCGTAAGAGAAGATTGAGGCTTGTGCGCCATCGAAGTAGAAGTCTGCCGCCGTGTTCAACCTTCCACAGTTCGTCGAGTCGTAGGTGCCGACGGTTGAGGCAAAGGTGCCACAGCCCAGGATGAGCCATGAGATCTGCACTTGCCGCGACGGCAGGTCGACGTCATAGGCATGTCCGAGAAGCGCGAGCTGCAGCAATCAGAGCCATAGAGTCAGGAAGCCAATAGGTTTGCAGGCACTGGTCAGGCAAAGAACTAGACTCACTCCGTTCCCCCCTTCAGCAGCCCTGTCGATGATCTTCCCCAGATTCGACCTCACAAGCCCGGCGATCAAGAACGCCCCAGTGAAGAGCGCGCAAAGCAGCACGCAGAAGATCGTGACATATATGAAGACCCTGGACCGGCGCGAGAGACGAGGGGAGCAGCGTCTCCTATGGCGGGCCATGACGGGGTATAAGGATGTCGTGTGCTCACTGCCGGGGGCGCAGGCTCCTGCGGTTTAAGACTGGCTGGAATTTGGGAGCTGCGCAGCCACTGCGTACGTCGTGGAGCTCGCGGCCTCCAGCATGCGGCGGGCCTGGCGGCATCGCTTCGTTTAATTGCGTTGGTGGTCAGGAACCCGGGCCTTCCGAGGCGATGATGATCAGCGGGGTTCAAATATACATACCTGGCTAAACACTTTTGAAGGTCCCCTCGAAGCTCGATGCCCAAAGGAGGGTGCCTACACGATGCACCTATAACTGGCAGTGGTTTCAAGGTCTTTTGGCTGTTGAGATCTCAATGGTGACCGGTCATTTTCGATAGGCATACCTCGAATGCATCTGTGAATGCACCCACAAGGCCCAGATCGTCGCAGATAGCTCTTGAAGACAGAAGGAAACCAGATTGTAGGATGGCACGCGCGCAGCTTGGCAACCTGATGGGGGCTATTGATGGTAGGGAGGATCAGTACTACGTACTTACCAATCTGAGAACTGTATCGATCTGCAAGGCGATCGCACGAGCCTCCGTGGTCTTCGCAAAAGCTAACTTACACTCAAATTAACATTCATCTATAGTCAGAATACAGATAGTATTAGCATCGCGTTATCAATCGAGACAGAAAGAAGCATCCCTTGGTCTTTGGAGTAAAGCGAGCTTCAAACGAGAGAAATCTCAAGTGTGTCTGACTACCGAGAAGCATGTCAGTGCGATTTCGAGGCACAGCGGATGATGAGTGTACGAAGCACTCACCCCTGCAAGTCCATGAGCCGGCGGAAACGTATGTTGAATGGAGCGCTGGGATACTGACGACTCAAAATCGATGGTTGACGCGTGACAGAGAGGCCAGGTCCTTTCACCCACGGGCCCCTTGGTGCACAAATAGTGCAGGAATGCACCCAAGATACTGCTTCCGGTAGCAAAGGGGTGCGCACCAGCCACTGCAACGCGATCAAGCACGCACTGAGGACTAACCGCTCAAGTACTGCTTCGGGCGGAAGTACACGCACGCCTCCCCCGCTCACCTATTTCGTGAAGGACGCGCGACCGGGCGAGCCATGTCGAAATAACTGATCCGTGTATTACAGCCATCCAAATGCACCTAGAAATACAGCCAACGAACACGCAATACGTCGTCGTCGTGTATACCGACTGCGCTCGTCCTCCAACCCCGGAAGAAAACCCAGATCCCAGAAAAGAAACAACTCACCAGCCCCGCAAACCCCCTACGCCTGCGCCCGCCGATGGTCAAACAGGCGGTTGTCGAGCTCGAGCTCGAGGCGTTCCTTGCCCTCGTCCGTGCCCCACACGTTGCGGTCGGACAGGTCTAGCGCGCCCGTGCGGAAGTCCCAGTGGCGCTCGCCGCAGCCCTTGACGTGCTTGAGCAGCCCCTGCAAGAAGTGGTCACGCAGGGGCGCGTCGAGTGGGCGCGTCGTTGGGTCCGCGATATCGTCTACTTGTAGCACCAGTCCTGCGAGGTCGCCGTGCCCGGATACAAATGGCGTGATCGAGTACCCGTTCTATTCAGTCACGCAGATATTAGCAACGGCGCCACTGTTGAAGTGGCGGCGGACGTACATCTGGGTCGACACCGAACTCGTAGTCTGCCCATGCGTTGTGCAAGTCTTCGCGGAGGAGGAGCATGTTCTGTAGCGATGCGGACTTGTGGATGCCCGGCCGATGGAGCGCGGCTGGAGGCGAGGCACAGGGCGAGGGTGTGTGCGCATGCTACGGCTTGGTGAGCTGCGGATGTCAACAGCAAATGTTCGCGCGCGGAAGGGACCCCCACCGAGAGCTTCGAGGGGCGTTTCAAAGGTAGAGTCGGAGCGCGCGACCATCCGGTTCGAAATTGAATGCGCACCTGGTAAGAACGCGAGCTCGAGCAGATATGCGCCGCCTGCAGTCTGGACCACGACATCTCTGTTCCCATAGACAAGCGCTTGCGGTCTCTGTCGCGTGCATGCTGTAGGTTCAGCTCTCCCTTGCGGATGCGGCCAGACACGTCTTGCCGGCGGTGCGCGCGCGTGGACACGAGATTGACGCGAAGCGGCGAGTGGTCTAGCGACATGGTTCAAGTCTATGTAGCAAGAATGAGGGCCGAGGACAAATCCTACCTGGAGCGAGCAGCACGTATTTACCCGGTAGGGCGACTGCGTCTGTGGGCAAATATTGCTGATCCGCCGTGGAGCGGTCACCACCGACGATGATCCATGGGTCGGTGGTGTCGAAAAGTAGATCGAGCCAGCTGTAGAACGTCTTCCACGAGACGGAGCCGTACTGGTAGAATCCTTGCGAGGGGTACAGATCAGAAAACTGTTACTGCCGACGCCCGACCAACTCAGAACGAACCTGCAAGAACAACGCCGTCGTGGTCTACGAGCTCGACATTGCGCGTAGTCGAGACGCGGGCTGGCATGTTGTTGAGAGGGGCGGACTGGGCAGGGATTCGTGGAAGAGGAGATGGATGTCATCGTTCGAAAAGCGCAGCCTAATAACGCGCACATGAACGCGGCGGAGGACGGCGGTTGCTTCGGATGAACCGATAGGTTGGCGGGAACCAGTAGCGGGCAGATCAGGGATATTTCGGGCTCGGCATTGCGTACCTCGGCGTCGGCGCGTCGTTCAGCAAGTACGCTGCTCATCCATCTTCGGAAGATGCATAACGGTGGCTACAGTGGACGCGGCGAGTATACTTGCCCCACCGTGACTGAAGAGGTGTTGTGCGAACTCGAAGTGGGGTCTACTAGGTGGCCAATGGCCATAAGCGCCATAGCCCTAATGCGGGTACGCGCCCATCCCGGCGCGCAAATCTCGCCCTGATAAGCCGCGTGGTCGGGAATGGACAACTTTGATAACGATTCATCCAGGTCCCAGCAATTTCAACAAACAGACAACCATCTGCTACGCTGTTGACACCGTAACATAGGCGACTGGTGGCACCCGAGATGGTACTCATTATCCCTCACTTGAAACATCGAGGAGATGGTCTACGGGTGTTCTCGTACGCCTCGTATACTCGCACCGGAAGAAAGCGGCGGTATCCCTAGGCTACTCGTTAGAGCAAGGCTCTCCGGTCTCACACGAGAACTCATGTGAGCTACGTCATAAATTGCTCATGTAGACATGTACTATACTCCGCCCTGACCTAGTATCAACTTAGAGCCCACGAACACAAAGACCCATGCGCTACAGACGAGCCAGGATCCGCGCCAGCCGCCCTTCGTGTTCATGCACATGCAGTGAGCGCATGATACAACCGCTCGGCGAGCTTACGAGCATCTCTCGCGTCACCCGGCAGTATCCTCCGCGTGCTGTGGGCGTGAAATGCCATGGTGGTTGGTGAACGCTCTCGTTCACCATTCCAAGCATATGACTCTGTCAGGCCTTTCACAAAAGCAGCTTGTCCTCGGTCTGTCTCGGCAACACTCCGTGGCACACACTCCCACCGCGGTCACGCCAACACCACTTGGCAAGTTGGCACGTTGATGCACATGGGCGAAGTGGATGCCACTCTAACCATGGCCAGGTCAGGCCTATGTTTCTCTACTGGTCGCGCCCCCAAGCCGATGTCGAGTCGCGGTGCTCAAATGGAAATGGCAGGGTTCCCCGTTCCTCAGTATAAGTTCTCTGCTGGAGAGTCCACAACCCGTCTCCAATATTGCCTCACGCTTGAACCGTCGCCCTTCACACCATACTGGACATGTCGCAGACACGCGCGCATATCGTCGCGTACCCATTCCCGGCGTGGGGTACGTTTCTTCTGGTCTCTGCTTACCGCACTCCGAATCTGACGAACCAGTGACATCGCCTCAGGCCATGCCCGCCCCCTCATTAACCTCGTTGCACGGCTTGTGAAGCTACGGGCCCTTGATGTGACATTGTTAGTCACCGATGACTTTCTCGACCAGGCCTTCGCAGAGCTCAGGCGCAATATGGGACCCGACGAACAGGAGCACACCGCATCGATCAGGTTGGTCTGCGCCTCTGCCATATTCGTATATACTCACCAACACTCTTTTCGTCTAGGATCCTTTCGCTAGGGGCGGGGCACTTCAGCAGATTGGCCGAGCTCGATAAGGCGTTTGAGGAGACATGGACGCAACTCGTCACCGGGGAAGAGGCGGTATGTAGGAAGACGGGCACGCGCATCGCCCCTCTTCAGCGGCCCCAGGCCATCATCGTAGACGTGAATTTACCCTCTCACTCACTCATACTGTCCACGAATATGCTCATACAAGCTCTCCGTAGATGTTCGGGATCCAAGCATTCGGAACTGTCATGGAGCTGAGCGGCGACACGGTGAAGGTACATGTGTGGTGCTCAGGGTTGACAGCGGCGATGTTCCACCTCTTCGGTCCAGAGGAGTTGGGTGGGAAGGGCAACGTCCGTGCTAGGGCCGAGGAGGAAGCACGCCAAACGGGCGTGTCGTTGACAGACATCATCATGAGGGTACGTGTCCCATATTCTCGTCTTCGTTTCAGATGCCGCGTATCCCCTTGCTAACATCAGGCTTTTAGGAGTACGTGGGCACGAAAGGCGAATTAGTTCGTGTACCCGGGATGCCACCCATGTACGACTACGAGTACTACCCACAGCCGGTCAGTCCGTTAGCTATGTTCTCACTCTCGTCATGTTCACTGACCTGTTTGTGCTACAGTCGCGCGTTCCGCCGCAAGTGGTCGTCGGCGTCTTCGCTCGCCTCTACGAGTATGTGCCTGTATGAGCGTGCCTATCAATCGTACTGATAGGGCTCCACAGGATGCTGGAGGCGTGCGATGGTATGCTCCTCTACACCTCCGAGGCATATGAATCCGAAGCGGTGGCGGCGATGAGGGAGTGGTTCGGCAAGACCTCGCGCGGCATTTACGTCACTGGGCCATTGGTGCCCATCGGCGTCCAGACGACGGGCCAAGAACGGGAGCGGTCGGAGGATGCTGACAAGATACAGGCATTCCTGGACTCTACGCTTGCAACTTTTGGCGAGCGGTCTCTGCTTTACGTGAGAAGCTCGTGCGAGACTCGCTGATGGCCTTGTGCTGACGGTGCATTCCAGATATCGTTTGGGACCATGCTCCACGGCGAAGACGTCGTCGAGAAGCTGTGGGCGTTGCTTGATATCGTTATGGAGCTCAATATTCCCTTCGTGAGTCAATGATCTCATGCTTGATCATCTCTAACATTTGTGTTCATGACGAACAGGTCATGAGCCACGCTTCTTCTCCTGGCACTGATATCCCGGATGACGCAAAGGCGAAGATCGACGCATACTCTAAGGGACTGTTGTCGCCTTGGGTCCCTCAGCAGACACTCCTCGAACACACTGTATGTTGTTGACCTCGTCGACATTCCCCGTAACTGACCATTTGCGATTTGCACGCTGGACATCGCAGGCCACAGGATGGTTCCTCACCCATGGTGGGCACAACAGCGCCATGGAGGCAGTCGTGGCGGGAGTGCCCATGTATGCGCCCCACCTTTCCCCGACACGATACAGCCTCTGACGTCCACCCATTCCACAGGATATTCTGGCCATTCGGAGCCGACCAGCCTCTCACCACCGTGCACGTCACCGACAACCTCCACGCAGGCTACGAGCTCATCGAAACGCGCAGCGGTCCTGACGGCCTCAAGCCCATCTACCGTAACGGGCGCCAGCCCCTTGGAACCGTCGAGGCGTTGAAGGCTGAAGTGCGCGAGGTGCTTCAGAAGGCTTTCGGCGAGGATGGCGGGGAGAAGCGCAAGAATTTGCCCAAGATCTCGTCGGTCGTCCGGTGTGATTGGGAGGAGGGTGGGGCGGCGAAAAGGGACATATCTGTGTTTCTTAGCAATCTCTGAAGCTGTATATGTGGTAGTTGATGGTCAAGTTACCTCCTGAATCCGGTCCGTGTTTTTCGAGCTATATAATCTGGGTTTTGGTGGTATGCAACACGGCAGTGGCCCTCCGAGCACCTGGAGGAAGGACCAAAGGAGGCGCCTACACAATCATGAAGCGCCCGCATTAAATAGGCAACCACTTCGAATTCGGGCGGCGAGGAGTCCAGCTTTCTTCCCAATTCTTCCTGCCACCACTTCGCTTTCTCAGTTCGATCACCTGGGTGGAATATAGCTCCTCTGTCCGAACCTGTTCTACTTCTCCATCAAGCTACCTACCTTGGGGCTTTCTTAGCCTCAGAATACTGGCGTTACTCGCGGTTGCTTGTAGCTCGTCTGGATGCTTCACAAAACCTCTTCGTCTTCCCCGACACAGGCCAGGACAAACGCCATTCGCCCTAGGATCTCCCCAGAATTAGAAGATCTCAGTCTCGCTCGCAAAAGTAGGCCGCACAACTATGTATCCAGGCGACCACTTCTGTCTCGCTTGGATCTCTGGCTTTCTGGCTTCGCTCCTGTGACCATTCGCTCATGGCTCCTAGGCATTCCGGGACTCACGACTATCGCACTGGTGTACTGTCTTTTGAGCGTTTGGGTGCTTTCAGGCTACCTATGCTGTGATCTCTGGGCGGTCACGCCTTCTAGCACCTCCCCGCTAGGTCAGTCATACGTGGTATGCTTAAATTGGTCGCTCATGCGTGATCAGATACCTCCGTTCTGGAAGGCCTTCCACTGGACCAGCTTATGGCAAAGGTCTCTTCTCTGCACCCACTGCCCCCAGTGAGCGCGAATGTCCTTTCGGTAGCCTCGAACAAGCCTACGCTGTCTGCCGCTTTGTGGACCGCCGAAGAGGAAGTAGAGCATATCGAGAGCTGGGCCGCTGATTGGAGAGGTCCGAGTTCATTGAACAACTCTATTCTTGCACCGCTGCTGATGCATTAGCAGGCCCCATAAGCCTCCTTGTCACAACGACGGCGGCCCCATCCTCAAAGCAACATACGGCACTGGTGACGAAGCTGGCTGCCATCCAACGCAAGCACCCTCCCCTCAAACAGACGTTCTTCGTCCACCTTCTTCACATAGACCCGGCGACGGAGACCCATCCAAACGCCTTCCTCAACATCGCGCGCCTCCTCGCCCCCAGTCCGCGCGTGGTTCTCTTCCCCGGCAACCTCTCCGCCGTGCCGCCCAAGACGCTCCACAGCCTTCTCCTCCACCAGCAACCCACCTCCTCTTCCGCGATGACCTCCCGGGGGCGCCCGCGCGGGCGCAAACCAGCTGTGCTCACTGACGACGAGCGGACGTCCTTCCCGTTCGCGGCGCTCGCGCCCGTCGTGCTCGCGCGCGACGACGCGACGTGGTGCTCGGAGCGCTTCTTCGCGGACATGACGCGCGCGGGGGACTGGGAGGAATGTCTCTGGCAGGTCTGGCTCGCGAGCTTCGGCGATCTTGAGGTACGACCGGTGCCAGGTCTTGCGGGGGTTGGCGTCGATACGACGGACAACGCAGCGACCGTGAGTGTTAAATTTCTATCACTGAGGCTGCAGCTGAAGTTTCGTTGATAGGTCAAGCTGCATCGCAGGCTGGTCTCGAAGTTCAGGAGCGAGACGTGCGGGCTGGCCGTCAGACGGTTCGCGGCCCTGCGCGATCCGAACAGCAGTGCGGACACGAAGAAGGCGCGGTGGCTGAAACGTATATGTCGTGGCTGGACCTCCAATTGACCGACACGTTGCGCAATCAATGGCTCTTTGGTTTCATCGATATCCAATGTGGCTGCCTAACTCGACTGGAGCATCCGCGTGCATGATCAGACACGCATATACGCTCTCCGATCTCTCCCGCCCCCGCATAGTGATTTCCACTCCCCGAGCTCAGTTGAACGAAAGTCCGCACATGGTGCACCGGTGCTGCACGGTCGACATCGCGCACCCTCGGGGACACGCATTTAACCCGCCCGTTGCCACGGTCACAGTCGCAGCGCACGCAAGTTTGTGGATGAGCCGTCCGAAAGTGTCCGCGCACTCCTTCAGCTCGCCGCGCGCGAAGCGGTCGATCCAAGTCGGCAGCTCGACGGCGATGTGGGGGTGCTTGAGGTGCGCGACGACGAAGTTAAGCTCCATATCCTGTATTTGCGGGTACCTGTTACCCGCTGCTATCAGACCCACCGCTTCGCTCGCAAATAGGTGAGGTGCGGTGCTGACCTGGCAGTGAAGGGCGAGAACAATTCCGCGAGTACGTTTTGCGTGGATAGCTTTGACGCGATGTCGTCCCCAGCAAGCCGTTCGAGCTCTGTGTTGCCGTACTATGCCCGCAGGAGTCAAATCGGTGCTCCGCGTACAGATTGCTATACACGTGTGACTGACCTTCATTGCAAGACGATACATTGATTTGGGCGAGCAAATGGGAAGCTGAGACGGGTCGTCTTCGTCCGCAAGTTTGAACGGAAGTCCTTGAGATCGCAAAGGGGCGAACGCGACCCGATACGTGTACGCATAGAACACGACCGCACGCCATCTGCGCCGTTCCGAACAAGGCGTCAGTTAATGTCATCAATTAGGACCGAGGGCCAGAACGCGGCGAGAGACGTACGTGCGATAGGCTGTATCTATCGCAAAGACAGTACGGGGCCCCTCCGACCCGGAGGGGGAGTACAGCGCCACCCGGGCGTTGGTGTCAGGAAGCTTGAGTGTCGGTTTACGTGGCGTGCTTGCCCCCGTCCGCACCTGGGGACCCGGGGTTGTCGCTGGCTTTGTGGTCGTGGCTGTGTTCGCCGATACGAGGTCGCTGGCTTCTGCTTTCACCCGGGGACTGCGGGCTTCTGCGGGAGCGGCGGGCTGCGTGAGGGATGAGTTGGCGATATGGTATGAGGTATGAGGGTAGGGCGGACCCACCGCCGCGGACGGGTCAGCCACATTGCTCGTTGCTGTAGGAGGTGGAGGCTTCGCGTCTTCAGCGGCCTGGTGCGCGACTGGCCTTCGCTGGGTATTATTCTCTGGGGTTTCGTCCTCGTCCTTCCGATCGGAAGGGGCACTCTCCGAGTCTGTCTCGTCCTCGGAGCTCTCAGATCCATCTGACTTATCGTCGTCCAGATCGCTGTCATCCCCGTAGCCGTAGTATGTGGCCGATACTGAAATGTCGTCACAGAGGGCCAGTCCCGCATCAGAAACCTCGTCAAGGCGTTCGTCTTCCCCGATGGTTAGCACAACGAAATTGCCGCACACATATTGGACAGTACACACCCTGGAAGAGACTGGGCAGCGCTCGCGTCACAAGTGTGCTATTGGCGTACATTGCGCGTGGTGCGCCAACGCGGTTGGGTGAAATGCGTCTTGAGAACGCGAGAATCCTAAGGTCTTCGAATCTCCTAGAGGATATGCTCGCGTTGAGTGCATATTGGCCAGCGTCTTCCAGTATTGTGTTTGGGGACATCTTATAGGTGAACGTCGTGTTATTCACCGTCTCTGCTGTCGTTTCAGGGGGTGTTTGCTGCCGAGGCTCTTTCGGTCTGCCTCCATCCTCGGTAGACAGCGATCCCGCGTCGTCCTTCTTGTTTTCCTCCCCTTTGGCTTTTGTGACGTTATCGGTCTTCTCCCAGAATGGAATTATCCTGGGCTTGTCCCAGAACGGGATGATCTTGCTTGTTGGACTTGCCGTTGGATGGCTTTCCGCGAACGGCACCGGAAGGCTCGCAATCGGAAGATCTGACACCGGCGAGGGTGCGCGCTCCGTGTTTGGAACATCGCCATGATTGCCTTGTCCGCCGCGTCTCCTTCGCCCCATTGATGTGATATGAACGGTGTGGCAATATGAGCGTTGGACCGCAGTGGGATCGAGTTGTTGACTCAAGTGTGGCGTATACTTATAGAGTCCGGAGTCGGCCGCGACTCGGAGGCAAGTACTCGAAGGGCGCCTATACTCTCGGCTGGCGCAGATCCTCCTTCTGTATTGCCGAGTGCTCCGAGTCAGAGTACTTATATGAGGGTGGAGAGTTTGGTCTGACGAGCAGAGGACTCCTCGGTCTAGCTAGCTACTGCGCGAAAGTAGACGTAAGGAATTCGAAGGGGTACAGCTCGCGGGCGCCTCTGCGGAGGAGACACAACTCCACAAGTTTCTGCATCAGCGAAAGTGCACACAAATATGCACGACGACGTATAGAGTTGCATATATGAGAGTGCGTTGCAAAAGACGCCTCGCGCGGCGAAGGTTTGTAGAGCGGTTGCAACAATCAGCCCATAGGCGTGCAGACCTTGAGCGCCCATTGTATAATTGGCCTTGCCTGGTATAACTCGGCCGCGCGCGGCGAAAGCATACAGAGCTCGTCGGGTATATGCAACGTGCGGTGGGGTTTGCAAACAACATAGTAATATATTCCGATATTTTCTTGATGCTCCACTTTTTCGCTAGCTAGTAATCGAGCTGATGACGGTCACAGTGAGATACATCGACGAAATATATCAATTTCTACATGCCAACTACATCGAGCAAGACCAGCGGCGAAGGAGGAAGCATGTGGCACAAGGAAGTGGACAGGAAGAGACAGGAAGGGGCAGCTCAGGGTGCTCGAGGGGGAATAGCATGGGCGTCGTCGAGCAGAGTCGAAGCTCCCTACCTAGGATGCATACATGTACTCACCAAGAAGCTAGTAGCAACGAGACAGTGGCAAACGGAGGACGAGAACCTAGCAGATAAGACGAGCTCAACCAAGCAGAGAAGCCCGAGCAAGCCTGAGTAACCCAAGAGATATGAACCCCCAGAGGTTTGGAATAGCTATGCGAGAGCGGCCAGCACCAGAGCAGACTATCAGTACCACTTACATATAGGATTCTCAATCTCAGGCTCCACGGGCGGAATCGAAGTCGGATAAAACCAACGTACCTGAGTTGATTTAGAGCAGGTAATTCTAGACGAGTGTTCCGGACCACACAGGTGTAGTACAGGTGGTGCAGTTAGGAGGGAAAGCGACGGAAGGCACGAAGGGAACCTCAGTGTCGACGAGGGGGAAAGGGAAAGGAGGACAGAGGCACGAGAAAAGTTCCGCCGAAGGTCATGCATCCGACCCCGGGGCATCACGTAATGTGGCGAGGGAGTCCCGTCTGACGTGACAGGATGCATGAATGCACGATGCCCTGCGGCGTGAGCGTGTGTGCATACACAAAAGTAGAATCATAGGGCAAGTCGGTATTGGAGGTCATACCGCCGATGGTCTTTGACTTCAGATTTATTCCACGGGAGCTCGCACGCCCATGCTACCCAAAACCCACACAGAAAAGCATATCCTGCATATCATTGTAAACCTTCACCTGAAAGGGTGTTCATTCGTATATATGGCATAGCCGGGCAAAGGTATGCAAACCCCCGCCGCGCAAGGCGAAGGTTTGCATACCGCCAACCTGCCTTTTCGGGATATGCACATGTGGCCCGGCGCTACATAATCATGCAAAGTTTGTGCACTTTCGCTGATGACTGCACGCCGTGCGCGTGATTTCCCACCTAAATAACTTGAATGCACGCATCGCAGCCACTGCTCTCCTGGCAAGTAGGTTAAAACATCCGCGGTGGCTGGACGTCTAACTGACGCTGCCTCCGCGCATGCTACCAGTCACGGTAGTAGTGTATGCCTGCTGCGGTTTCGTCAATACCGATCAATGTAAGTAGACGATATTTGCACGCAGTTCAGAACTGCAAACGCGGTTCAATTAGTCAGCGAGCTCAGTTCGAGCAGGCGGGCGCGTCTGCGCTGGAGCAAGCCCCACTCAGTACTTCTGCGGGCCGGACCTGGTTCAGTTCTTTATGCGTTGCAAATATTGTCTAGTAAGACATCCTCGTTCAGATACGCATACACTCAACCCCCGATCCAAATCTGTCATGCGCCGCAAAGCGCCGATATCCATCTCCCCAAACTCAGTTGAACGTAAGTCCGCACATAGTGCACCTGTGTTGGATGGGCGACATCGCGCATCCCCGAGGACACCCATTCACCCCGGCCGGCCCCACAGTGACAGTCGCCGCGCACGCGAGCTTGTGAATGAGCCGTCCAAAAGTGTTAGCGCATTCCTTGAGCTCCCCACGTGCGAAACGGTCGATCCAGGTCGGCAGCTGGGCAGCGATGTCCGGATGCGTGAGGTGCGCGACGACAAAGTTGAGTTCCATGTCCTGGACCTGCGGATACCTGTAACTGTGAAAGTCAGCCCTGTCGCTTCATTTGCATGCGGGGGAAGAGCGGGACTGGCCTAGAGGTAAAGTGCGAGAACAGCTCGGGAAGCGCATTTAGCGTCGAGAGCTTCGATGCGATGTCGTTCCCGGCGAGCTGTTCGAGTTCTGCATTCCCGTACTGTGCCCGGAGGGACGTGAGTTGATGTCCCACAACCTGTGCGCACGCAACTGACCTTTGCCGCAAGCCGATACATCGACTTCGGAGAGCATATGATAAGCTGAGCAGGGTCGTCTTCGTCGTCTGTGGAGACGAAAGGGAGTCCCTGCGATCGCAAAGGGGCGAACGCAATTCGCCGTGTGTATGCATAGAACACGACTGCACGCCATCTGCACGGATTTGTGTCAGGCGCTGGCTCTTGCCTCTACTGACATGAGAGGACGTACGTGCGATAGGCCGTGTCTGCCGCAAAGATTGTACGGAGCCCTTCCGATCCTGGACGGATGAACAGCGTCTCACCGGCGCGGGCACTACTGGCAGATGGGTCGAGTATGGGCTGTTCTTGAGCCATCTCGGGACCTGGCCGACTTCCTGACTCTGTGGTGGCAGTACTTGAGATTGGGGGCAAGACACCGTCGGTTCCCACCGGGCCTGGGGCACCCGCAGCACCTCCGGGCTGCGTGCTGAGGCGTTAGTCAACTTCTTGACGCAAGAGAAAGGTATACTTACCTCTGGTGAGCCAACAATATTGCTAGGTGGCGGCGTCTCCTCGTCTGCGGCATGCGCAGCCTGGGTCGGTTGAGGTGCGATTGGCACGTTCTCGCTTGGAGGGCTCCGCTCAAAGGGGTGTTTCTCCTGATCAGATACAGGTATGTTCTTCCATTCGTCCTCCTCGGGTTCCTCTTCCTGATCTTCCTCCACGTCGCTGTCGTCGCTATAGCCGTAATATCCGGTCGAGACAGAGATGCCCTCGCAGAAGGCTAATCCCGCGTCGGAAACCTCGTCCAGCCGTTCGTCTGTTTCATGCCATACATCAGTACACCATTGCCGAAAGCGCGTATACACTAGACAATACGCACCCTTGAAGAGGCCGGGCAGGGCTCGCGTTATGAGCTTGCTGTTGGCGTATAGCGCTCGCGGTATACCGACGCGGTCGGGCGGAATGCGCCTCGAAAAGGCGAGAACTCTGAGATCCTCAAATCTCCCGGAGGATATGCTGGCGTTGAGAGCGTACTGTCCGACCTCTTCCAGGGTCGCAATGCTCGGAGGCAGCTCATAGGCAAACGTAGTGTTCTTCACTGTGGGTGTGGGCACTGACGTCTGAGGGGGTGCCTGCTGCGCCTCGGGCGCGTTGGGTAGCTCGGATGGGGTCTCGCCGCTAGTTCGACTTGCTGCTGGTTTGGACTCCGCTGCTAGCAGTGGCAGAGGAGAGGCTGGCTCTGGAGTGCAGGGTTGCGCCGGGGGGGATGGCTCTCCCCTCTCAGGCTTTTTATCACGATTCCGTGCTGCGGGATCCTTGGGGCCACCTTTTGCCATGTCGACGATATGACGAGCGTCGGGCTGCGACAGAGGAGGGGGATGGTCGCGGCAGAAAGCTGGGCTGAGCTGCTGCGGTACACCCGATCGCGCCGCCGAGGATACGTATAAGAACACCAAGGCTGCAGCACGAAGGTGAACGTAAGGAACTCGTGGGTGGCGCGCGGCCGGTTAGTTAGGCTTCTGAACGTTAATAGCCGGGGACGACCTCTCGGCGGTAAGTCCACTGCCAGAGGAAGCTGCCAAAGGTTGAAAGCAAAAACTCTTACCAAGAAAAGAGATCTGCGACATGCCAATGGCCATTCACGAGGACTTCTTTGTCGCAAGGGGGCGCACGCTGCATGCGGCAGACGTTCATGCTTAGGAATACCGAATGCGAGTTGCGAAGGTATTCTCTTTTATCACCGGGATGTTCGTATACCTACGCACCACATCAGTAAACAACAGAATCGATTAAAATGTATACATGTACAGATAAGACAGTTTGAATCACACCTCCTTCTCACCGTCTGCATAACAATGTGCATGCTTTCCGCTCAAACGTGAGCTGATCGCTCCACGCACACTGTAACACGCATATGCTCAGCCGCTCTCCCCGCATCTTGGAAGTTCACCTTGTTCTCCCATACCTCAGATGAAAGTAGTCCCACACATACCACACCGGTGCTGGATGGTCGCCATCGCGCACCCCCGGGGACAGTCATTCCGTCCAGAGGGCGGGGCAGTCGCCGCACACGCGAGCTTGTGTATCAGCCGCCCGAAAGTGTCCGCACACTCCGGCAGCTCCCCGCGCGCGAAGCGGTCGATCCAGGTCGGCAGGCGCACGGTGATGTCCGGGTGCTTGAGGTACAGGAGGACGAAGTTGAGCTCCATCTCCTGGATCTGGGGATGCCTGGAGGTGAAGCGCGAGAACAGCTCAGTGAGCGCATTCTGCGTCGACAGCTTGGACGCGATATCGTTTCCAGCAAGCTGTTCGAGCTCCTTGTTGCCGTACTGCGCGCTCCGAGTTCAGCGCCGAGCGGACAGAGAAGACGATCGACTCACCTTTATCGCGAGCCGGTACACCGACTTCGGCGAGCAGATCGGCAGCTGGGACGGGTCGTCGTCGAGGTCCATTGGGGCGAACGGCAAACCCTGAGATCGCAAGGGGGCGAACGCGATCCGACCTGTGTAGGCCCAGAACACGACAGCGCGCCATCTGCTCAGTTCGGTACCAGACATTAGCACCTCGCATTGTTAGTCAGGCGCCATAATACAATATGAACTGGACATACGTGCGATAGGCTGTGTCGGTCGCAACGATAGTACGCTGCCCGTTCGCTGCGGGGCGAGAGGACGGCGTTGCACCGACGTTGACCTCGGGCTGCTTGGCTGTCTGTTTCTGCCTATCACCTTCCCGTCTGTGCTCTTGTTCTTGTTGTGGTGTCGCCGTCTCGGATACGGACACGAAGTCGTCGGTGTCGGCGGGACTAGGAGCACGGGCTGAAGACGCAGCGGACTGCGGGATGCGTGAGTTAATTAGCTAGGCGTGATTTGGAGAATGTCTACCTCCGCCGATGAATGCGCCGCTTTGCTTTGTGCCTCGGGTTTTGTCTGGTCGCGTTCGTTGGTAGAGTGCGTTGTCGGTGGAGTTCGAGTCGACCGTGGTGGATCCGACGCGACTGTGTCGCCCGGGACGCGTTCAGCTCTGTTACCTTTCACGTCTCGAGCACGACGTGCGCTTGTCGTTCGTTCCTTCTCGGCCTCTTCAGGTTCAAGGTCGTCCAGGTCGCTATCGTCGCTGTAGTCGAAGTTCGCAGCCGAGTACAGGATGTCTTCATGTGCTGCTAATTCTGTGTCTGGCACCTCATTGAGCCCTTCGTCTGTCGTGTTATGTCAGTATACAGCCAAGGAAGCTGGGACGGATCGCTGTGGCGCAGCAACACGCACATTGGAAGACGTTCGGTAGAGCACTCGCAACCAGCCTGCTGTTGGCATACAATACCCGCGGGGCACCGACGCGGTCGGGTGGGATGCGCCCTGAGAACGCGAGGATCCGCAGGTCCTCAAACCGTCCGGAAAGGATGCTGGCGTTGAGCGCGTATTGGCCGACCTGTTCCCAGGACGCGCTCACGGACTTCGCAGGAGTGTATGTCGCACTTTGCGTCGGGCCTGTCCGCGTGTTCGCCTGCGGGGTCTCAGTGGGTCCCTTGTCCTTTCCAGGGATTGAAGCGTTCCCTGCATTAGCTTTGTTGCGTTCACCACCGCCACCTTGTGGGTTAGCCTGGGTCGACGACGCCTTGGGGGCGGGTGGGGCCTCTGGACGGAGCGCCGCTGCGGCTGGCGCTGGCTGAGGCTTCATGGTTGGTGCCGTTCCGGAGGTCGCGGCTGGCGTCGCTCCGGGGGTCGTGGTTGGTGTCGGACCCGAGTTTGTGGCAACTGGTGTTGTTGCGGGTCGTGTGGCGGTTGGTGTATTTCCGGGTTTCGTGGCTGGCACGCTTGGAGGAGTTGTAGCATGCACTGGTCGAGGATTCAAACTAGGAGCCGGCGGACGCTGAATATTTGCAGCCGGTACGGGTTGGGAGTTCATAGCTGGAGATGATTGAGCATTCGCAGTCGGCAGAGGGGGCAGTGAGAAGCTCCAAGCTATCTTGCTAGCTGGGTTTGCAGGTTCTCCAGACGGCGGTCGAGGTTGAGTGGTGTGCGTAGGCCCATGTGGTGTCTTCGTGGTTTGGTCCATGCTTGTAAAGCCCTTAGTGTAGCAATGCTACTCCCCGCGTGTGGACGCTTCTGCCTTTGTCCCGAGGGTCACTGCGAGGACAGAACACAACTTGGATTTGCTGGAGTAAGAGAGAGTAAACACGACTCGAATGGGTGGCGTAAGGATGAGCGAATTGAGTACTGTGAGGACCAGAGTCGCATATACATGGGGAGAGAGAGGAGAGCTCGAGAGCGCGCTCGCGTTTGGACGCCGCCTTGGGTCCCGCGGAGTTCAAACCCCGCGTCGTCTTTACGCGACGGGCGCTTCTCTTTTAGCTCACGTCCTCTTCGACAAACGACGTTACTCACCTGCTCAGCTTTTACCTGGCCCGATACCAGTTGCGAATACACGTTACAGGTTCTCCATGCTACAACTGTACACTAAGACACATACTGTGAGTCGAGTCTTCCCCTCCCCACCCGTTACGTGGACTCCCAAAAGTTGTTCCCCATCCAGCCTCATCCAGCCCGCGCCTGAGCGATACTACGTGAAAGTCCATGCCCCATCCTCCCGACATACCACTAGATGGACAGAGATGCGACACCTTTGCCAGCGGAACCTGTCGACGCGGCATCCGCAAGCTTGCCTATGAGCCGTTCGAATGTATCTGCGCAGTCCTTGAGCTCGCCGCGCGCGAAGCGGCGGATCCAGGATGGCAGGCAGTCCGTGATGTCGGGGTGCTTGAGATGCGCCAACAGGAAGTCGAGCTCCATATCTTGGATCTCGGTGTATCTGTTTCCACAGAGAATCAGGCTCACGTCGCGTAGCGGCAAGGAGGCTCAATACTAGCCTGGAGGTGAAGTTTGAGAAGAGCTCGGTGAGGACGTTCTGCGTCGAGAGCTTGGACGCGAGGTCGTCACGGGCGAGCTGCTGAAGCTCTGCGTCTCCGTACTATACTCTGGTCGTAAGCTCAAGCTTGCATGTATCACGCTCGACTTCCTCGACTGACCTTCACTGCGAGTCGATACATTGACTTGGGCGAGCAGCTGGGTAGCTGCGCTGCTCTGCCTGTAATAGTATCGCGCTCGGACGTGGAGACCGCTTTTTGTGATCGCAAGGGTGCAAATGTGATGCGATGGGTATAGGCATAGAAGACGAAGGTGCGCCAACTGCCCTCCGTCATAGTGAGAACGCCGTGCTCTGTACAGGGCTATAGTCTACTCACGTTTGGAAGGCAGTGTCCGTCATGATGATTGCAGGCGTCTCGTCGAAGCGTAGGTACGTTCTTCTCGCGTTGACCTGCTGTTGCTCATTCGGACGAGATGTGCTGGCCGGCGCGCTCGTTCGCGTCGATCGGCGGTCGTCTTCGACGACGTGGTCGTCCTCATCCGACGCAGACACCGATACAAAGTCCTCCGCTGGCGTTGCGGTCTCGGATCCCTCGCCGGTGTGTACAAGGCGCGACGGGGTGTCATCGCTTCCGATAGACGTCTGGTCGCGGTGTGAGTGTCTTCCCCGCTCGTGCTCTCGTTGTGCTGATCATTGAAGTCTTCTGTGTCGTCCTCCTCTTCAAGATCGCTGTCGTCACCGTAGGGGTAGTCTCCAATGGATTCCATAGAGAGCGTATCGCATGACTGAAACGCCCCTAGTTTATCTGCAAGCATTGAAGAGCCGACAGTGATCGGGATGTTGCTCAATCGGTGAGAAATTGCTCCGCTCCGATGCAGAGGTCCTCCACTCACAGAGATGCGCCTTTTCTAGAGCTCGTTCCACCAGAGCGCTACTCGCATACATCGCCCGCGGTTCTCCAGCACGTCCGCTTCGGACTCGTCGAGAGAATGCGACGATGCGGAGGTCCTCGAAACGGCCCGAAAGGATGCTTGTATTTAAGGCGTGTTGGTATGTGTCCTCCCAGCTTGGGGACGGCTGTGCCGGTACTTGTGGAGGTACTGGCAGCGCGGCGTCGACTGGGATGGTAGGGACGTCGGGTGTGACCTGCTCATCGCCGGCAAGATGGGCTGGATGATTGCCACCGGGTACAGACGAAGTCGTAACGGCCACCACATCGCAGTTCAAGGTAGTGCCGTGTTGCTCTTGCTCTTGGTTGAGGTTTTGAGTGCCTTGGGCAGCCCCCCCCCCCCTGAGGCTGGATTTCCCTGGGACGTCGGCTGTTCCAATGGCAGTGCGATGCCCAGCCTTCGTGAGTGGCCCTCGGCTGTTGCCGTCCGACATCGTTGAGCTGGAGGATAGCAAAAGGCACACCGGTGCTGCGGTAGGAGTTACTCATCCGACTGCCTCATAGAGGCACACGAAGCTTGTCTCGGATGCAACGTGTTGGTCGCGTTCCGTCGGCAATCGTTCTTCGTCGCATCGTCGGACTTCGGACCTCTACTAATCTCAGGCTCCCATTACAGGTGTACACCGCTCATAGCAGTGCCACGCACGGTGCGGCCCACTTTCAGACATGGCATGTCGTCGAAGAAGCTGGCAGCGTTACATTGGGATGTCAGTGGAAAAAAGGGCTCATATGGCAGGATCCGGCGACTGGCATGACACTCTGGGCATCATGTGGCATTTGATGGTAAACCAGCAGGTTGTAAAGGCTACGTATCACATTCAAGAGTAACGGCCACAGTTGGGACAATATGTCTGTGCTGACACGGCTACACACCCATATCGACACTGCCAGCGCTTAGGGACCGTAACATCCGTACAGAGTTTGGATATGAGCAATGAGATGATTTGCGACGCTCCCTTCGGCAGACGGGCCTCCTCCATCGCTTCGAGCCATGTAGGAAGTTGATCCCGAATCCCCTGTCCGTTCGAGACTATGTGATTTTGCAGAAACTTGACTTCGAGCGCACGTATCTCGGGGTAGCTGTATAACGGCATGACTACACGACGAACGGAGGGCAGATTGGCACTTACAGGCTAGTGAACATAGAAAACACCTCTTGAAGTATGTTGTGCGCAGAGAGTCTCTTCTTGATCTCCTCGGCCGCGAGTTTCTTCAGCGGCGCTATATCATACTGCGAAGGTCGCGGTCAGCATAAAGTGCTACTGATACATTCGACAACGTGAGCGTGTCACAAGATGGAATACCTTGTCTGCCAGCCGATACATCGATTTCGGGGAGCACAAGCCTGGTGCCTTGCTTGCAGCGCCGGACTCGGACGTGACATTCTTCGGCTCGGATTTTAAGGGGGTGAAGGACAACGCGTTTTCCCCTAGGTAGGCATAGTATATGAATGCCTTCCATCTACAGGCATTTTAAGTCAAAAAATACAATGCCATTCACGAGAAAGTTGGGAACGGCGTACGTCTTGTAGGCGATATCGTCAAGGAAGACCACCCTGCCAGGCTTCCCCCTGAATGTAGAAGCGGTAAGATGGTGCACGGTAGGGCCCGTCAAGTTCCCCGAGCGTTCCTCTTCGATGTGACTGGATTCCTTGGTCGTCGCTGGCGCCGCGACTCGGTCCTGCAGGGCGATGTTCAGTCCGTCCGAAGAGTCCTTGTGATAGCGGATATCGAAGCGCGCCACTTACTTCGGACTCCTCGTCTTCAGTTAGAGGAGCTTCGACTTCTTCGACTTCGAGATCGCTGTCCGAGCCATAGTCGTAGTCTTTCGTGCTATCCGGACGTGTTGATGGATAAGGAGCGTCCATATCGGTGACACTGCTCTCCGAGAATCCCTGGGTACGGACTAAGTGATCCCGTGGTCAGGCAACGCACGAGCAAGGACGCAATATTGCGGTAGTTGCTTACGATAGCTGAAATGAGAGGAAGCTTTCCGGATACACGCACTATTTGCGAGGAGCGGTAGAGGCTGGTCGATGATGCCGCCCTTCCTCCGGCGAGAAAACGCAAAGAACTTGACGTCTTCGAATGGCGTGCCACCAGCGCTCGCCAGCAGAGCCGTCTGGAAGAGGGTTTCCCGAGTGGCAAGTGGTATCTCGGGGAGAGCTGGAGTAGCCATAGGTGTCGAGCCCGACGCGGACGCCTTGCCCTTCTTCTTCTTCATCTTCCCAGTCTTTCGTTTTGAAAATTGCGGCACGTCTGACGCCGGCTCATCCTCCCAGTCTACGGGATCTTCTGCCTGGTCCATGGAGTAAGAGGTACAAAGAGACAGTGTGGACGATAGAGACGTAAGAGTATAATGGTAAGGCCTGAAGGTATCAGTACCGCCGGGGTGAAGGAGCCTCGCCGATGCGTGCACCATATATATGACGACAATGCGGCTAGCCATGGGCCTGAGCGGTAGATCGCTTGACACAGACGGCACCGAAGGTTTCTTGCCACATGTCTACACATGCGGTGACTTACCGCAGTGCCAACTTCCCATGATAACTACATGGGAGAATTCTGGCCGTGCCCTTACCGCAGCAACCACACGTGGATTGCAGCTGCATCGGCCGCCCATGTTGCGGAGAAAAGTTGTCTTCACTGTATACACGCAGCACCGTGTGAAGGTCACCAGGCCCCAGAGATCTGCGAGGGGGGTTCTGTGTATATGTAAGTACGTCGAGGTGCGTCGGCTGGTAATGGATGCGAAGTCTCCTGAGAAAAGAGTTAGGGACATCGATATCGAGACAAATTAGGAGCACATACGGATGAATGATCATAGCATGCGGCTGTCAGTTATCCTCCCATCTGTACTATGTAGTCTGTTCGCGCAGCTTACATTGCCTCTCTCGTAGACTGGCGTGTAAGCATCGTCGTACGTAGATGCTTTGAATAACTAAATAAGCGAGTTGTGGTTACTGAATACCACACCGTATGTTGCAGACCGGAGAGCATGTCGATATTGACGGGCGACCGGGAACGAACCGTGTCGTCATAGACAGTAGCACGATTCAACGCTAGACGCTGCGGCTCGAAGGCATTGGCTTCGGATCCTAACAAGCGCAAACACTTCTCCGCCACCAGCCATCTCCGAACTCGTCTCGCTCAGCGCACTCCGCACTACTGTTTACTCAACTCTTTACTCCTGCTGCTGCAATACCCCTTCCACAGGGCATTCGTGTCTATCCACTTGCTTAACTGACTCAAAGGCGCAACATGTCTGGAAAGCAAGGCGCATATGGCGCGCGCGCACAAGACACCGACTTCCGGAAGAAATGGGATAAGGAGGAGTACGCGGAGAAGGCGCGCAAGCGCGACGAGGAGGAGAAGGAGCGCATGAAAGAGAATGAGGAGCTGCAAAAGCAAGGTGCGTGCGTTTCCGTCCGCCGCTGCCTGCTCTGTGGCCTCGGCTTACCCACACAGCGTGACCAGGGAAGAAGCCGCGCAGGGGGCCGAAGAATGACCTCCCCAAGCCCACCGAGCTCATGAAGCAGCGTGAGGGCCCGCTCGACCTTGACAAGAACCTGGGGAAGACGATGGTAGTGCAGAATGCGGGGACGCGCGGGCCCGGCGTCCCCGGTTTCTTCTGCGAGGCCTGCAACCGGACGTACAAGGACAGCTCTGGCTACCTCGACCACATCAACGGCCGTGCACGTAAGTGTTGTGTGTGGCCATCCATCGGTCGACATGTCTAATTCCCCAGATAGATCTCCGCGCGTTGGGACAGACGACGCGGATACAGCGGTCCACTCTGCAGCAGGTCCGCGCGCGAATAGCGTACCTGCGTGAGAAGACGCGCGAAGCCTCGAATGCGAAGGAGTTTGACTTCGAGCAGCGTTTGGCAGAAGTGCGTGAGCGCGAAACAGCCTTGCGCGAAGAGAAGAAGGCGGCCAAGAAGGCGCTGCGGGAGGCTGCCCGGGTGGAACTCGTCAAGGACACAGCAGTGGCCGCGGGGGCGAAGCAAGGAGACGGAGACATGATGTCCATGATGGGTTTTGCCGGCTTTGGAACGACGAAGAAGTGATTCGGATATCTGGATGCCACATTGCCACTGTACGATGACCCGGACGCACTTGTACTCTAATTCACCCTGCTGTAATTGACACTCTGTTTCAATCATCCCAAAGCACAACGCACGCTCTAACTCTGTCACTACGTGTGGCCATGAGCACCAAGAAAGAACGTAAGTCACGCAGTGAACACCGGCGCCACTACTACCCATATCAATCGTGTCCGTTCGTGTGCTGTGTCTGGTTCTCAGCATTGACAATACGGCCTTTTTTCTCTAGCACATTTCAAAGCTAACATCCCGAACGTGAGAGACATAGGCATGATCGTATTCTAGATGCACACACACTACTGTAATACACTTCTCGTTTTCGCTCTCTTCCCAAAACCTAAGCCCGAGCCCCCAAGTCTACCGCCACGCAAGCGACAGCACGAACTTCACATCCGCGATCTCCTGCTCCTCCTCCATGAGCACCTTGCGGCCCTCCCCACGCTCGCTCACGTCGCGCGGCACGCTCCGCACCGTCTTCTCGATCACCTCCCGGTACGCGTCCATCGCCGCGAGCACGTCCTCGCCCGCGCCCTCCTCGAACGCATAGTACACGTCCACGTCGTCTGTCGCTTGCAGCCCCGCGCGCTTGCGCAGCTTCTGCACGCGGTTGATGACCTCGCGCGCGAGGTACTCCGTCTGCAGCTCCGGGTGGACCTGGATGTCGAGCCGCACGACGACCTCGTTGTCCGTGTTCGTCGCGTGCTGCGCGGACCCGCCCGCGGCCTGCTCGGGCAGCTCGATGTACCGCTGCACGGAGAGGTCGCCCGTGACGAGCTCGATGCCGTCGACGGTCAGCTTGCCTGTGTCGACGTACTGCCGCACGGCGTCGCTCGTCACGGACGGCAGCGCGTTCTTCACGCGCCCGAGGTCTTTGCGCAGCTTGCGGCCGAGCACGGCCCAGTCCGCGACCGCACGGTACTTCACACCGGCCAGTTGCTCGTCCGAGGTGAAGACGATGTCGCGGAGGTTCAGCTCGGACTGCACGTAACGCTGCAGGCTCTTGACGTCTTCCAGATAGGTAGGGTCACTGTGGAAGACAAGGAGTTCTTGGAGTGGGGTCTGGCAATCGAAGGTCAGACGTGAATCGCGGTGGTAATCGTGAATATATTTACCTTGAGGGACAAGTTGTGTCGTTCACGAACATTCCGCGTGAGCTCGATGACGGTCTGCATACGCTTGACCTTCCGCTCGATCTCCTCGTCGAAGTACTCCTCCTTGACCTCGGGGAAGGGCAAGAAGTGGATGGAACGCGTGTCACCAGCTTTGGGATCCTCAGGGATGAATCTCCTGAGCTCCTGGTAGATGTTCTCTGTCAAGAAGGGGGTGTATGATGACTACACAAAGCACCAATGTCAGCGAGCTGATCAGTACAAATTCACTGAAAACCATACCATCGTCTGGCAGAGTGTCAAAAGCGTTTCGAACAGCGTGTTGAGGGCCAACACAGTGTCCTCCTCGCCGTCCTCGCCCTTTAGCCGCCTGCGGTTGAAGCGGATGTACCAGTTTGTGAGCTCATCGATGAGCTCGAGTAGACGCGGGATAATGGTGTATAGCCGGTATGCGGCCATCTCCTCGCGCACGAGGCGGATGAGCGATTGGCATCGCGCGAGCACCCAGCGGTCCATCACGTTCTGCGACACGGGCGCATGCGCGTGGTATACAAATGCGCGCCCGGTTGTCTTCTGCAAGAGCGCAGCCTGCCCCAGGAAGAAGCGGAAGGAGTTGAGCCACGGGAGGAGTACACGTGAGACGACCTCGCGGACGCCAGCTTCCCGGAAACGCAGGTTGTCGCCGCGGACGATAGGCGAGTTGACGAGGAACATCCTGTTTACGACTTAGTGACCACTCGTCGCAGATATCTGTGCACGCTGCCTACCTTGTCGCATCGGCGCCGTACTGGTCGATGATGAGGTTGGGGTCGGGGTAGTTCTTCAGGCTCTTGCTCATCTTCTTACCATCCCTGTGATGGCTGTTAGCGGAGGTGTTTCGATTGAAGATGACCGTGCGCTTACTCTGCAAGGACGAGACCTGTGACGATGAGGTTCTTCCATGGCGCCTTACCGAACAGATGTGTCGAGAGAACAAGCAGGGTATAGAACCAACCGCGCGTCTGGTCGATTCCCTCAGAGATGAAGTTTGCGGGGAACGTCTTCTCGAACAACTCCTTGTTCTCGAAGGGATAGTGAAGCTGCGCATAAGGCATGCTATGCGACTTAGGTGAGCAGTGCCGTAGACTGGTTGAGGTTGATTTCGCTCACCTGCCGGACTCGAACCAACAATCGAAGACTTCATCGATGCGCTTGAGCTGGCCCTTGCCTTGCTGCGAGGGGATGGTGATGTGGTCGATCTTGTCACGATGCAGGTCTGTGACACCCTTGACACCAGACAACTTCTCCAGTTCCTCGACGGACCCAACGCAAACGACCTAACAGACACGCACAACGTCAGAAACCGAGTGACGATATTCCGTGGTTTCCTTATGCCTACCTCCTCTAGATCATCGCTCACCCAGAGCGGCATTGGTGTCCCCCAGTAACGATTCCGCGAGACGTTCCAGTCGCGCGCGTTGGAGATCCAGTTGCCGAAGCGGCCGTCTCCGATGTTCTGCGGGACCCATCGCGTCTCCTTGTTGTTCGCGACCAGCTCGTCCACAATCGGCTGAACACGAACGAACCACACCGGAATAGCCCGGTAGATCAGAGGCGTGCCCGACCTGGGGGGTGGGGTAAGTTGCCAGATCGCAACAACAGGAGGGACCGCCGTACCGCCAGCAGAAGGGATACGAGTGGTTGAGGGTGGACTGAACGATCAGGCGGCCCTTGTTCTTCAGTACCTTCTGAATCTCCTTGTCGGCCGCCTATATGCAAGCAGGATGAGTGGTCGAACAACACAGCAACCCGGAAAGCACGTCACCTTGACATGCATGCCGGCGAACTCCGGAACTTGCTGGGTGAATCGGCCGGCATCATCGATCGGGCACGGGGGCATATCCTCTTTGCGAAGCACACCGTTCTCGATGGAGATGCGGTGATCATCCTCACCGAAAGCGGGCGCCTGGTGGACAATACCTGTACCGTCATCTGCCGTGACGTAGGTGTCGTTCAGCACGCGGAACGCCTTGTCCTCGAACTTCGCAAGTGTTCAGTATGTGATCGTGTGAGCAAACTTTTTATCACGCGCACCTGCTCGGTAAAATACTCAAATAGAGGGACGTATCTCCATCCCTTCATGTCGGAGCCCTTGAAGGTGGCCACCTTCTTGAACTTCGCCTTCTTCGGGTCTTTGTAAAGTGTTCGCAGGAGGTTCTCGTGGATGATGAAGTTTTGGTCGCGCTCCTGGTCGTGGATCTTGATGTATGTGTAGTCGGGGTGTACGCACAGAGCAAGGTTGGATGGCAACGTCCAGGGAGTTGTAGTCCAAGCCAGAAGGGAAGTAGAGCGGTCGTCAACCAGGGGGAATGCCACGGTCACGGCGGGATCATTGACGTCCTTGTATGCGAGGTTGGCCTCAAAGTTTGAGAGGGGAGTGAGCAGGCCCGTCGAGTAGGGCATGACCCTGAGCCCGCGGTAGACCATGTCCTTTTCGAAGAGCTGCTTGAACGCCCACCAGACGCTTTCCATGAAGGTGATGTTCAGCGTCTTGTAGTCGTTGTCGAAATCGATCCAGCGACCCATGCGCTCAACAGTCCGGCGCCAGTCCGCGGAATAGCGCATGACGATGGCTCGACACTCGGCGTTATATTTGTCGATCCCCAGCTTCATGACATCGTCGCGGCTGGTGATCCCGAGTTTCTTGTCGATCTCGTGCTCGACGGGGAGCCCGTGCGTATCCCAGCCGAAACGACGCGTAACGTGAAACCCGCTAGCGTGCGCATGTCTTGTCACGATGTCCTGCAATCGCCTCCCGTCGTACCTGCATCGCTCACAGATCGCGGAGGACGTACTTTGATAGTTCCCGCGAGCAAGTGTCCGTAATGAGGCAGGCCGGTAGCGAATGGTGGACCATCGTAGAAAGAGTACTCCGGTCGCCCTTCGGACAATTTCAAGCTTGTTTGGAAGGCATCTATCTCTCTCCAGTATGCGATGACCTTCTCCTCCTCCTTGGCGAAATTGAATGGCGCCGACACTGCCGCCACATTCAGTCAGCTGCGGCCATGGACTCCTGCGGCTCACTCACAATTGTGTGGTGGGAAGGACATTATTTGTGATGAGCCCCGAGGTGGTCCACCCCGAGTATTTGAGGAAACGAGGAACAGAGAGCAGAGAGCGGAGAGGAGTCAGTCTCGGTCACTTCTGACTTTCTGTGAGTACTGCAGATGCAGATAAGCGCCAGGAGGCGATCAGATCATCTCAGATCCAAATCCACGTGCAATGGTGGCTGTGTCCATCCCCGATTCGGACTTGGCTGAGGCTCGGGTGCTCCGACCAGTCGACGCTCTGCCAGCAGGTCATTCGCGCTCCGGCTCGCTACCAGTTGTCTGAAGGCGCCATAATCATCTCTGCTTCACCTCTGCTTCATGTAACTCGCAGGCATGCGTGTAATATCGACGCCGAAGCCGACATACGACCGCTAGCCCAAGTCTTGAGTATCCGGGAAAACTCAGCTTCCATGAAGCCTGACTCGCTCGCATAACAAGGACTACATACGACCACTACCAGCTACTCCACGATGGGCCTACTTACGATGCTCTTAGACCCTAGCGTGGGCAGTCTATCTTCATAGAGACTCCCAGAGATCGAATCCCTATGATAGCCCATGCGGAGGAACGTTGCTGCGGTAAAGAAGTCGCGAACCAGTGCATTAGGTTCAAAGGGCTGCTGCAGCGTACGTAGTGTTCACAGGGCTCCTTTCCACCAAGCCTTCACGACTCCGTGCAGTCTCTGGACGAACGCCATCTTCCCTTCCCTTCGCAATAGCTGCCACAATGGACGGCATGGAAATCGATGCTCCTGCCAGTCAATCAGTCGGCGACGGTGAGCGATAATCCGGTCACTTACCCGGTGTCCTGAGTCCTCAATATCCACTCATCACTCCTGTTTTGGTGTTGTCTTCAGCCATGAGATTTCACTCGGAGCATGTAACTGTATCGCAGGCGTTCCGATCAGCCTTCGTGGCAAGCATGGAAGGAGGCAATATACTATTCGACGTCAAGCTCTGGGCGTTTACAAAGCGAAGGAGCGACGATGCGGGCACTGTGATCCTGTGCCAGCCAAAGGCGATATTAGCCAATGCTGCGTGCTTGAGAGACACCACGGATCATTTCGAAAAAGGTGAATGTCGTCGTCTCACTCTGCGGCTGGTGCATGACCAGGCTTAGTGATTCCGATTTGTCATATATAACGTTCACTAGTGAATTCAAGGAGAGCCAAATGGTCAATATAAGTGGAGACTACCCCGACAGTGTCTTACATGCGAGCAAGGCCGAATTCCGAAATACCATTCGTGCGACAAGAACATATATTTATCACATCACGAGGGACGTATGCAGCTGCGGTAAACGGCCTGTCTGCGCTGCGGTAAGGGGGCCCGCGTAAGTAGACACTTAATTCATCCGCTGACCCTCTTCGCAGGCCATCTGGCTGTATGGACTGACGCCATGGGATCTGCGACAGTCATCTTGCCTTGACGTTTCTGGTAGTCGTCCATCATGCCACGGGCGAAGTGAAGGAACGGTGTGCATTGTTCTTCGCATGCTGCATGTGATGTCATCTAACACGCGTTCGTCGCGTTTTCTCTCATTTTGGCATTCCTTCCTCTTCGGCATATAAGGATAGCGGGGTGGATCCTCGAGCTCTCCACTCAACACTGACATTCCCGTCGCGGTCTCCCTTCTCCCCTCCGCATCATATCATCGCATTCCCTCTCTATCACTCTAAGTCTTTGGATTTGAGTCTCCAGCTACTCGAGGTCAGATGGACACTGGAGGTACAGCACAGGTCAAAGGTGCGACCGACGACGACGGAACAGCTTCCTTGAAGGGCACAGGGAAGAAAGGAAAGAAGGGATCCAAGAAATTGACATCAAAGTCCTCTTCGAACCGCGTGGCTCTTCCTTCTTGGTCTCCAATTCTTCCAGTGGCGTCCTCTTCCCGCGAAGCTATTTTGAAAGCATCGCTGCTAGCAAGTGCCACCGGACGCTCTTTCGAAGACGTCAATTTCTTCGTTTTCTCTCGCCGCAGACTTGATGGGCTCGTCGACCACCCCCTGCCGCTTCGTGCGAACAGCTCGCTAATCCGCAAGGCGTCGCCCCATTTCGACTATCGTGAGTCTCGCGTGCAGTCATTAGCTATACCGCGCCGACGCAATGACAAACTGATGATGAATCGGCAGTCTTTGCGCAAGGTTTCGCGGAAAGCGGTATCATGGACATGGCCGCTCCATACCCTTCAACGCGTGCCGACAGTACAGACGAGTATGCCTATGGCTCGGACAGCGATCTCGAAGATGAGGAAGACACCGAGACCCCCCGGAAGAAATCAGACGACGAGGTAGGCTTTCCTGAGCGGCGACTGGGTTCAGAGTCGCATTGAGGTCGTGTCATATTTCAGGACATCGTCGACTCGACTCGGGGTGATTCCACTGATCCAGGTGGCTCTGCTACTGAGGAAGAATTCAAGCCTGCTGTCGTCCCGAAGAAGCCAGCCAATGCGCTCCCGGGACATCCTGGAAGGGTAGTCTTCCTTGATGACATTGCTTATAAGACGTACGTCGCATACAGCAATTTGAAGGGCTCGCGGAATGTGACGTAATACCCGGCAGCTGGAGGGCCTTCATATTCTACGCCTACCTCGGGGAGAAGGAGCTGTCCTTTGCGCCGCTGAGGTCCGAGCAGAAGAGCACCCCGAATGAGCTCAAACCAGACCAAGCCCCACCGTGCTCCCCAAAATCGATGTATCGTTTGGCAGACAAGGTAGTTACCAAACTCACGCTGACTAGTTGCTCGGTTAGCATGCATTATGGATCTGACTATGGTTTGGCAGTACGACATAGCGCCACTCAAAGAGCTGGCTGCCGCCGAGATCATGAAGCGGCTTTCCACGCACAACATACTAGAGGAGATCTTCTCAACTTTCACCTCTATGTACGTGTACACCATGCCGGTAATGTTCTCGGGTGCTGACAGGTAGACGGCGCATAGGTATCCCGATATTCGGACGAAGGAGTTGGATTTTCTGCGCCGGAACATGCATGTGCCGGACATACAGAGTCGTCTTCCGTCCTGGATCGAGGCTTTGGAGGACGGACGTCTGCCGAAGGGAGCGGGGCGCATCTTGACCCTGTTGCTGTCCAGTGCACGTTTCAACTGACAAGATGCCATCCCAATGGATGTACTGGCAGGGTGTACTTCGGAACTACGACGTTTGGGGCCGCAATGTACGCACAGTGTCTTACGTCCTCGTGAAGCTACAGCGAATAGAATGAACAATTATCGTTACCGGAGAGCAAATGTGTGAACGCCACTCACGGGCGAACAAGAAATCGCCAATGTTAACAAGCATTCGTCGTGACGGACATAGCTTTCTAGATGCGGCCGAACCATCTCCACCGTTGGACTACAGTTGCCTGAATGTGCACGGGCAGATGGCACACATTCGTCTTCTATACTCACACCCGCCAGGTCGCATGTACACCCTTGGCTACACACGCCACGGATGCGAGGGCTGATGAGAATATGAACCAATAATATACCTAATAAAAGTCCAAAGAGCAACCTCAGATATGAACATGGAGAGCGAGTTTGCGGGGTATCAGGGCGTGGCCAGCGCAATAAGGCGCGCCTGTGCAGCGTGTTTAGGCTGCTGCTTAATCAGCCCAGACCCAGGTCATGCCGTAGAGACGGCCAACGGCCTCATCCCCGATCTGATCGAACGCGGAGTAGGAGAAGTCCAGGTCCGTGAGCGCACATTTTGTGCAGCGGTCGGTGATGGCGACGGTGACAGACTTGCCCTGGTCTGCAGAACAATTGACATCAGCGATGTTATCACCGGGGACGAGCACGCTACGCACAGGTCGCTGTGACCTTGCGGCCGCAGAGAGGGTTGTTGTTCGGGTTGAGACCGTTGTAGCCGCTGTAGAGCAAGGGCTCGTTAGGGAAGTCCCTCCGGAGTCAGACTGCAAAATTACGTACGGGTATGTGTCAAAGAGCAGATGGGACACCGCGGCAATGTAGTCGGTGTCCTTGTTGGTGACCCCGCAGGCGGTGAGACCAGTCATGTAGAAGGTAGCTGAGGAATCGTTGTTAGCGCCACGGCACAGCATCGCTCATATGAGATCTTGCTTGTAGCATACCTTCTCCAGTGTTGGTACCAGGCAAGAAGTTGGCAAGGGCGCTGTCACCACTACTAGAGCCGGTAGCATGAGTGGGCGCAGCAGCCTTGGTAGTAGTGTGCTTTGTAGTCGCGGGCGCCGCCTTGGTGGTTGCCGGGTCGCTCTCGACGTTCAAAGGCGCAACCGTCGGGGAGGCTGCTATGCTCGGGTGGGCCTTGCAGCGCCCGGTGTCGGCGCGCCTGCGAGCGGACGCGACGACGGGCTCGGGCTGTGCGAAAGGCATGGCAGCGCGGTGAGCGATGTCGCGATGATGGACGCCACGGGCCACATGACCGGGGCCGGCGAGGGCGGAGAGGGCAACAGAGAGAAAGACGAGGGTCTTGGAGAGGAACATGTCGGCGCAGGGAGCGGGAAGGGAAGGGACAGTAGAGTAGCTAAGAGTCCGGTGCAAGAGGAATGAAGAGAAACACGCCGGAGCCACGAGCCTCTAGCGACAGAACGGGGGTCGTAGTACTAGAAGAAGAGACAAGCAAAGCAACGAGTCCCTCACGCATCGTTCGGTCCCTTTGGAGGCTGCGTGCCCTGCTCATGTGCGCAAGCTGTCCATCACCTGCAAATCAAAAGTTGATTCAGATCAGTACGTGTCATGGGATGTCCCTTACATCTTTTTCGGCGGCTTACTTACAGGCAGGAGCGCACTCCAGCCACAGCTCTTATACCCTCAGCTGTTCATCTTCCTCGCCTATTCGTTGGAGCTTTCCATGTCGACCCGGGCAGTTGAGCGGGTAAGTGGTACCCATGGCAGCCTCAAGCCTGAGCGCCGCCCCGCGGCGATTCCAAAGATTTAGAAAGCGCCCACACCGAGTGACCATATGTGCACACTGCAAGGCGGTCTCTTTGATCTCAACGCCCTCTCGTCATACCTTAGCTGAATTATTGGTGAATTTAGTGGATAGTTTGTAGTCATGGAAGATGGCAACTCACACGACGGGATGAGTTTGCCGCGTGGCGTATACATGTTTGTGCCTGTTAGGATCCCAAGCTATTGGCCCCCAGCACTTGCCATTTTGGGAACTCCTCCCGACCTGCGACTTCTTCTGTCATGGTCGTGTGCGCGAAGTGGCACCGTGAAGAAAAGTTCCGACAAGCTATATCTCTATCATCACACTCCAGTCATGTCTCCTATATGTCTTATCTTCTCAAGCTTCAATGTGCACCGACCGACCACCAGCTGCCAGTCTCTTGCCCAACGTCCGGGCATGTTTGATATGTTGGTTCATACCTGCGGCCGTCAAGAAGAATAGTGAAACATATAGCTTAAAACCGACATATACAGGTTGCTCGCATACCAAGACTCTCCCTTTGACAGCCCATGACCGCGATGATGCCACTAGTTGCACGCCATCAAGCATTCGGTATACAGAGGGTCCGGGGCGGAGAGGGCAGCGTGGCAGTTCACCTGGGTACGTTGTGGACCCTTGTATGTGCGACACGTGTGACGTCATGACGTCACTAGCCCCCACTGACGACACCGTCCGGCATTACATCGTTGGCGCCCACACGACGCGTCCTGCGCGGAAGTATATAAACCAACCGGCCGCCAACTCTGCCGTCCATTCTCTGCCCATCTTCCGTCGCCCATCCATCCTCACGCCCTCCAAAGAACGACCCATCAAATGTACGCCTCTACCCTTCGCACAACATCAAAAGCCGCCCCCAGCGCGCGGTACGCGTTCTCAGCGCGTCGCGTCGCGGGCAAGCGCACCTTCCAGCGATTCCAGTCCACTGGTCCCTCTTCGTCTGTCTCGCAACAAACCAGCTTCGGCACCTCGCATGTGGTCGCCGGACTCGCCGGTGGCGGCGCTGTCCTCCTTGGAGGTGCGTGTTCCCCGCACCCATGTCATCGACCAGTTGACTAACGAGCGACGGCATAGGGTACGCGTGGTACCACTTCTCCGGCGTGAAAACGGCGGTCAACGCGTCGCAAACCGCCACGAAGTACTACCAGGACACGAAAGCCGCGATAGCCGAGAAGGCTCCGAAGAACCCGAACGAAGCGCTCGAGTACCTGCGCGGCGTCGCGCGCTCGTACCTCGTCCTCATCCCTGGCGCGCGCCCGCACGTCGATGCCGCGTTCGACACCATTGACGAGCTGCGCGAGTCCCATGGAGAGGAAGTGAACCGCATTGTGTCCGACGGGTACGAGGAGGTGCGCAAGATCGTGCAGGCGAGCGGAAGTGGGGTGGATGTCGCGACTGCGACGAAGGTCTACGAGGTGCTCCGGAAGCGGAGTGGAGAGCTGCAGGCTCTTGGGGAGAAGGCGGGCAAGGACGCGTTCGGGTCGCTGAGCGAGAAGTACCCGCAGGTGTCGGAGAAGCTCGGCGGTGGGTACGACGAGCTGAGGAAATTGGCGCAGTCGAAGGGCCCAGAGGCGAAGAAGTTGTATGATGAGACGAGCGACCAGGTGCGTACCATTCCACTGTCATACGTTTACCAGCAGCTCACATACCCTCGATAGATCAAGGAGATTTTCTCCAAGGGCTTCTCCCAGGAAAGCCTCGACCAGGCGCGAAAGCTGATCCAGTCGAAGACGGCTGAGATTCGCAAGATCGCAAAGTCGTCGTCGCAGGACGCGTGGCAGAAGGCGCTGAAGGAGGCCGGGCCCTACCTCGACAAGCTCCCCGACATCAAGAAGCTCCTGGAAGAGAACCAGGACAAGTTCATCGCCGCCGGGGCCGCGACGCTCACTGGAGGCAGCTCGAGCGCACAGGAGATCTTCAAGCGCGTCAAGGAGGTTGCAGAGGGCGACAGCGCGAAGAACAAGGAGAAGCTAAAAGAGTTGCGAGACTTCGTGCAAAAGCAGGCGGAGGAGGCAGAGCAGCAGGGCACCGCTCAGCTGGAGAAAGGGTGGGAGTACCTGCAGGAGTGGCTGCGAGCCATGCCTGGCGGGGAAGAGGCGCTGAAGCGGGTGCCTGACGTGAAGGTGTTCGTTAAGGTGTCACAGGATAAGCGAGAGGAGGCAAAGAAGCTGGCGCAGGAGACGTATGAGGCAGTGCTGAAGGTGCTCGAGGAGAAAGGAAAGAAGGCGAAGCAGCTAAGCGAGGAGGTAAAGGAGGACACAAAGAAGAAGAGCTCGTGAGATCATGGATATCCGGATTCATGGACACTTGCAAAGATGTTGTAGCATAGCCTCATATGTATTCGTGTCCACCCTGTAATTGTCAGTCCACCACCACACACACACACCACAATTGGCTGGTGCGATCAACTGTTTGTGACCTATCCCTGTGCACGCCTCGCGACGTCTGATGAAGAACATGGCGGCAGCGAACGTTGTGGTATCGTTGATCCCTTTGTTGGGCCAAATTGGGCGTCTGTTTGTACGCATGGGGGGTGGGACCGGGCCCAGTGGCCCGGGCCCGCGGTTCGAATTCCTACCTCCCCGATCCCACGCTCAACCAACTTGAACCAGCGCTCCTTTCCCCGCCTCCACCGCTACCATGCTTCGCTGTCGCCACACAGCTACGGGTTTCTAACCACTGTGGTACCGTCACCTATCGAGACACGTATACACATCACATACGCCGAGTGACGTGGGCTCGACAAAGTGGCGATCACTGCCGCATTCCACAGCTGCTACGACCAAGCTGGAAGTCCTGTTGTCACCGACCTTTCTCAAATCATTGTAATTGTCTGTGGCTGCGCGGACGCGGACATTATCCGTGCATCTCTGGCTTGTCTCGGCCTGTCGGCTACGGGTCCCACCCCAGCCCGGTATATATAATATCGCTGTCGTCGCTTTCGTGCTGTGCATCCATCGCATCTCTGCTGCTCCTGTTCTGTCTCCGTCTCCAGCTCTCTATCGCTCATAAGTGCTTCTACGATGGCGTCTACTTCACACTTACTGTGAGTTCATTTACTTCGACTGGCAGCAAGATCCGAGCCATCTTATGGTGTCTGCTTCCTTCGCACAGGGAATATGATATCTCTGGAGCTTAATGCAGTCTCTCCCAGAGCTGTTTGAGGTTCTGAGGGTGGTGTATTCTCTGTGCTGGACCCTCTGCCACTCAAATCTCTTGATTTTGCTGTCGGTCACCGCGATCGCCACACAAGCTGACATTGCTGATCAGCATGCACAACTCCCCTGCTGTCTTCAAACTCCCCGCCGAGATCAATCAGTCCATCTTCAGCTATCTGGAATGCGGTAGTCTGCTCTCTTGCGCCTTAACCTGCCGCAGCTGGGCCGTCTCCGCACAATACCTATTATTCCGGTTCGCCCGGGTGTCCAGTCCTGCATCCGCACAAAAGCTGAATCGCACCCTCCGCGAATCGGCAACCCTCCGCCAGCTCGTGATCGACCTCACGGTCTGCGGCAAGCTGCGGGACACCGTCAAGCCGTGGTTATGCGGAAACGTCGACCCCCTCGCACTCATCCCCAACCCGAAAACCCTGCCCCGCCTGCGCACCCTGCGCATCGAGCACTGGGACCGCGTGCACTTCAAGCCCGCGTTCTGGACGATGCTCCGGCGGCTGAAGAACGTCAGCGAGCTGCACCTCCGCGCCTGCCACTTCCACACGTCGTGCCACATCGAGGACTTCGTGTTCGCGTTCCCGCGCCTCGCGGCGCTCACGATCGACTCCGTGCGCTGGGCGGGCGACCGCGAGCGCGTGTTCGTGCGCCGCCCGGAGTACGCGGAACGCACGCTCGCGCTGCACACGCTCCGCGTCTGCAACCCGTTCGAGTACGGGCCGCTCTTCCAGTGGCTGTCTGCGCACGGCGCCGCTGCTGGCGTGCGCCACCTCGCGCTCGTCCGCTTCGACGTGCTCAACATCCGGCCCGCAGAGGCGTTCGTGCGCGAGCTCGGCCCCACGCTCGAGTCTCTTACGTTCGGGATCTACCTCCCCGCGTGCTGCGACAAGTCCGGTAAGCAATGCCTGTACGCTCTTCTATCCGTCCTTCCTTACTGAGGGCAGGGCACATGCAGCACGCCGACTGGACCTCGCGCACAACACGGGCCTGCGCACGCTGGCGCTGCAGATCTACGACGTCGACGACTCGTTCGTGCGCTGGGTGGGGAGCGTGCTCGACTCCGCGGTCGCGCTGCCGCTGCGGCACGTCGCGCTCTCGCTCACGCTCGACCACCGCAAGACGCTCTGGGGCACGGCGTGGGGCGCGATCCACGACGCGCTGACGACGTACTGGCGCACGACGCTCGAGGACGTCGTCGTCACGCACTGCGCGGTGCCCGGGTTCCTGCAGGACGTGCAGCCGCTGTTCAAGGAACGATTTCCGGAGCTGCTGCAGCGCGGGCTGTTGTCGGTCGTTGTGGACACGCAGGACCCGTGAGTGAATAGTAGTCGTGAGGTTGGGTTAGCTGTTGTGGTTCGTCATTGATTTGGTGTGGTTTCCTTGTTGTCTGTCTGTGGTGCTCATATACCCCTTGCATATGTAGTGTCTCCCTCTTGCTTTACTTTCGACGTTCCTTCTATATATTTATATCGCACTCGCTAAAACCTGATTCTCACCGTCTCCGCTATCTACGAGCTCATCCGAGGTATAGCCAAGCTCTACTACATTACGACATTACACCTTCATGTCCCGTCCGGGACAAGATACATCGAACTCACTGGGTGTCGGCCACTCGCTAGCCTTCTGTGAACCGATGAGTTAGAAGCACGTCGGCTATCGACGCCGGGCTCCCACTGCTCACAGACTGATCAATCGGGCCTTCTACCTCAGGTACACACGTAACAGCTGCAGCCGGCGTGCATGCAGCATGGCATACTTCCAAGGCTTGACGCGGTCTGCTCAGACTGCTGCGGTAAGTACATGTGCTGCGGTAGATTACACGTGTGGCCCAAGCCTTCGTGCCCGTGCCCTTGGAGAGGCGCACATAAATGCGCGGACGGCTCCCAACTGACTATATTGCCTTCATTAGGGAGTCGCCCCCTTCCCATCATCCCTGCATTGCTCAACATCCGCAATGCCGCCGAAAAATGCGAGAAACAATGTCAAGATGGGGCGCGCCACGCCCTCAGGCTTGCTGGGCACGGCTACCAGAGAGCAGATCTCGGATTACACGATGCTGCAAAGCATCGCCACAGGGACCTTCGAGGACGTCAAGTTCTACCTGTTCTCTCGCCGCCGTGGAGGCTCAGGCTTCGTCTATGCTCCTCGGCCGCTGTACGCGAACAGCGCGCTCATCTGCAAGGCGTCGGCGCACTTCGACTTCGGTGCGTCTTACATGCAACACAACGAATACTTACGTGGCTGACTATAAGACTGGTTGGGGCATATCTCGATATAGTGTTGTCGGCGGGGTTCTCCGAGGGCGTGGAGACGGACATGAACGCGCCATTCCCCCCGAACCGAAAGTCTTCTACGCAAGAATATGACTACGCATTGGACAGCGACCTCGAGGACGACGGTGGGGAGGACGACGAAGACGCTGAGTGGGATACTACTGTGCAGCCCGTCGCGCCGCGCTTGACCGTCGGGGTCACGGATGGCGACAAGTCTTCCGGGCCCGGGGCTCCTGCAGTTGATATAGGACGACCCTCCTCGCCACTGTCAGAAAAGGGGGCACTCGTACCCAAGGTATAGATCATCCATACCGCCATCGTCTGCTGCAGAATCAAAATGACGAGGTAGTTCCAGGGAAGCACATCTTCACTCCAAGGTGGCAAGGAGCCCACTTCGGTCGCGGAGGACACGGACCACACAGTCGCCGTCCGCCCATCGAACCCTGCCCGGACGAAGCCAGCTCCTCGGAAGGGTCGCGTCGTGTTCATCGAGGATATCGCCTACCGAACGTAAGCTTTTACATCGTCTGCCCTCATCAATGATGATGACCCACAATACGGCTACGATAGGTGGGAGGCGTTCATCTTCTATGCGTACTCTGATCGTGTCGCATTCGCTCCTTTGACATCACAGAGGGCTCCCTACCCTACACGCAGCCCGTTTGAACCCCCGCCCTGCTCGCCGAAGTCCATGTACCGCCTGGCGGACAAGGTACGTGCGAATATACGCTCGACATGCCACTTAGTGTCTTCATCAGCGTTGACAATGTGCACAGTACGGGATCGATGCCCTGAAGGCACTCGCACTTGATGATTTGAAAAACAAGACGACGCGTCACAACATCCTCCTGGAGCTTTTTTCTCCCTTTACGTTCACGTATGTCTCTACCTCACCATGATTACCTTTGTAGATGTACTTAATCCGGTTCACAGGTATTCCGAAGTTCAGGACGCCGAACTTGCACGTCTCCGACGCGACCATATCGCACAGGATGAAGTGCTGCGGGATATTCCAAAGTGGTTGCAGGCCTTGGAGGATGGTACACTGCCTCGTGGCTCTGTCGCTCTCTTCTCGAGAGTGCTCACCGGCACTGCTTCGCAAGGGAAACGTGGGTGGTGAGAACAAGCGCTCGAGCTGGTGTACTAGGACGTGAGACGGAAACAATCAGAGCACGGACGAATAGTACCCTTTGAGCTCTGGCTAACATCGATTGCGGGTTTTGGCGGGCCGAGTACATGTCACGCAATATCGCAGGTAGTTCACTTTTAGTTTAAATGACCCCCTGACTCGATGCGAACTTCGTTGAAGCCCTCAAGTTTAACAGCTATTAGGGATCATCCACGACAGAATTATCAGTACAGCAAGAGGGCATGTGCGGTACTAGTAGACGTAAGTGCCACAGCACACTGTGGCCCTCGAGGTCGTTTGAAGCATTCACACGCTTCCCTTCTGTACGTCTACTTATCACTTTCTCCGCTGATACGTAGAAGTCGGCTGGCTGCGGTAGCTGCACGGAATGTTGCGGCTTGGCTGCACTAGCGGTACCGATGTTGAGGTCTCCAAAAACATCAGGTGTGCGATGCATAAATACCCGCCGTCGACTCACCGTCCCCCTACCCCACTCACTGGCACTATATTCAACGTCGACTAGATGGCTACCGTCAAGAAGGGAAAGAAGGTAAAGAAGGGCTCTGCGGCACCTAGTACTCCGCTCGACGCCCCCGACATGTACATTCGCGACAGTCGACTCCGCCGGCGTCTGCCTAGTAACGCTACTAGGGAGCAGGTCTCGCAACACACGATGCGCCACAGCATCGCTACGGGGACGTTCGAAGACGTCAAATTCTTCCTCTTCTCGCGCCGCAAGCGTTCGGGCATCGTCTACGCCCCTCGCCCGCTGTTCGCGAATAGCGCGCTGGTTTGCAAGGCGTCGGCGCACTTCGATTTCGGTATGTTTCACGCGATTCGCTCCTTCATTATCATCACGGGTTGACACGGGCGCCCACCAGTGTTCGCCGCGAGGTTTGTGGAGAGCGAGGTGACAGATCTGAATGCACCCTTTCCCCAAACCGGGAAGTCCCAAACGTCAGACTATGATTACAGCGTAGACAGCGACCTCGAGGATGACAACGACGACGACGAGTTAGATGTCGCTTCGGGCGCTTTCGGGCGACAACCGACAGGCCGCGTCTCATCATGCGGTGCCCCTTCCTGCTGTTGTCACGGACGACCTAGAGGCTTCAAGTTCTCCGGTGGGCACGTTGACTGTGTTTACTGGGGAGGAGAAACACAACCAGGCGCAAGTGAAGGCGGACGAAGATACGCTCGAGGTGCAGCACAATTGTGCTCGTGCGCTGTGTTACAGACGCTAACCCTACGATGTCACCATAGGATCGTTTCATCCAACCCTTAAGCGGTGAGGGCGCCGCAGATTCAGCGGTTCAGATATGTAAGTGCATATATAATGCAGCAAAAACAATCTCCTACTACTTTTATAGGCCGGAGGCCCGGACGCGTGGTGATGATTGAAGACATCGCCCATCGAACGTGAGTTCCCAGCTCTCTCCCCGAACAAATGTATGCTTTCTTGTTTTGAGCGATATACTACGATAGATGGGAGGCATTCATCTACTATGCCTACTTCGAGCAGGTGTCATTTGCGCCGCTCGGATCTCAGAATCTGGCTCGTGTCCCTACCAAGCCCTACCAAGCCCCTCAGTGCTCGCCGAAGTCCATGTTCCGCCTCGCGGAGAAGGTGTGTGTCACGGCAAACACCGCAGGATATCAGGGCCCCGGAAAGACTTTCAGATCAAGAAGCAAACTATAACTGTCATCTAATCCTTTGTCCCCGTACAAAGGGATTTTTGACAGTCATAATTTGCTTCAAATTCCTGGGCCTATCTAGAGTCCTGATATCCTGGGATGTTTGCCGTGTGTAGTCGTTCGTTACCTACCACACTCCCCTGATCATATCTCGATTATCAGTATGGCGTAGAGAAGCTCAAGCAGCTCGCCGCGGCGGACTTGCAAACTAAAATGATCGCCCACAACATATTCGTCGAGCTCTTCTCTTCGTTCACGATGACGTGCGTCCTCATTTGCCGGCCCAAACGATGCTCCTCGTAGTCTTCAGTTTCTCATCCGATCTACTCCCAGATACCCTGGTGTCCTGGATGCCGAACTTCAGTACCTCCGCGACCACATCGCTGAGGAGGCGGTGTACCGGCAGATCCCGACATGGGTTCAAGCTTTGGAGGACGGGACATTACCTCACGGAGCTACAGCCGTATTATCGAGGGTGCTCAAAGGGCTCGCCACCGGCGCCGCTCGTTACGGCCAGCAATGGTGAAGCGGCTTCGTTCGCGTTGGATCGAATAGATGATTGCTACCTCGATGCTCGAAGGTCGACCGCCGACAGGTGACCCTCCGCGAGACTGCAGGACCTTTGTTCAATCACATGCGTAAGGTACGCCGGTATTCCCTGTACAAGAAGTGCGCTCAGATTGAGCCAAGGCTATGGTGAGTTAGAAGAATGGTACAACACGAGGCTGAGGCGAGGCCCATTACCGCAGCACGTAATAATGGAAAGTACTTAAGTAGTAAGGGTTTCTGTCGACTCCTGAAATATCTTGGAAGACTCTTCTATCTTTCACCACTCGCCGTCACTGAAACTTGAAGCGGCAGCCTCTAATGTCTATAAGAGGAAGAGGCTCCGGCCTGCCAGGGAGGGGACGGGGAGGTGCCCAGGCTGTGCCAACCCCACCCCCCGCCGTTCCCAGTAGCCCCTTTGGTAGTGAGTTCTGAAGCATTTGCATTCAACGATATAGCCCTGTTGAAGCCTGAGGATCGGCTCCCACCAGGCTTCTTTGGGAGTCCGGCTGCACAAGTTGTCCCGCCCCCTACTAAGCCTGCGAGCCTGCAAAAGTCAACGCTCGCAATGCTGGAAGCGTCTTTGACGACGGGTATCTTCATCGACTGTCTCTTCTACGTGTACTCCTATCGCACAGCGGATGGAACCGTCAACACACCACTTCCGCTTTATGCAAGCAGCGAGGTTCTCAAGAGGACTGCAGAACACTTCCAATCGCGTACGTGTGCGCGCTCCCTCGCTGGCCATCTATAGCCTTGATTTTGCTCTGCAGTTATCTCCGGAGGATTCTCGGAGAGCTTTGAGGGAGGTAGCGCGGGAACGTCAGTCAAGTTGCTCACCATGATTGCAGCAGACGAGTATGGATACGACTCTGACAGCGACCTGGAAGAGGAGGAGGAGGAGGAAGAAGAAGAGGAGGGGCCGAAGAAAGAGGAGGAACTAGTTCACGAAGGCGAGCCCTCTTTGAACGGCGGTCTCTTCTCACCGGCACTCCAATCCGTCAACGAGAGGGTCCGGAAGGACGTATCAGTGGCTACTGAACCTACTGAACCCTCTGCGGCGGGGCCGCCATATGCGGGATTGCTCGTGCCTCCGGGAGAATCGCCAAATGGCCCCCAGGTGAGAACTTCGGATCAGCGCTCTTTGTATACTCTTTGTTCTATACACTCAACGCACCTACGCCCCAGTCGAATGGCGTGCATGCCGCAGCCCAGGAAGATCCGGCTGGCTCATCTTCTACGGCAAGCGTCGAGGACGAATTCCAGCCTATCTCCACCGGCATTCCTGTGGACCACGTCGTTGTCATTCCTGATGTTGCCTTCAAAACGTATGTGAGAAGTATTCAAACGAGCATCATGATAACTTACCGGATGTACTCTCTCCAGGTTCAAAGCCCTGATGTACTACGCCTACACGGGCGAGATCAGCTTCGCAGCACTGAAATCTGCTCGGCTTGCCTCAGGTCCCGCTATCTCTCCAAACCCTGCGCTGGCATGCTCACCGAAGTCGATGTATCGTCTCGCAGACAAAGTGAGCAACTTACATGCCCGATACTCTGATACATCGCTGACGCCACTGTCTAGTATGGAATGGTCGAGCTTAAGGATCTCGCGGCGAAAAACATTCGCTCTCAGCTGTCTTCAAGGAACGCGATGCGCGAGGTGCTGTCAGACTTTACGGCAAGGTAGGCGCACCATTTGAGCTGCACTTTGCCGCTGAGAACAAACGCGTACCTCATTTAAAGGTACCCTGAGGTTATACGCATCGAAACGGACTTCATCTGCGGATCGAATGCTAGGTTGAACTGCTTCTCCGAATTGCCGCAGTGGACAGAAAAACTTGTTGGAGGCGAGCTCCCGCATGCGGGGGATGCCCTTGCTGAGCTCATCCGAAAGCTGGCCGGTGGATCATAGGAAATCAGTAAATCTGCTCACAGACAACCCTACACCGCACAGAAATTATACACTTGGAACGGTTACGCCGCAACGCAGTTCACCTACGATAGATGGAAGTAAGTCCTTACTGAACAATCGTCCGACTGTGCGAGAACACAAGTCATCAAGCTTCCGGTCATGGTGGGTCGATAGCACAAAGCGATTATCGTGGTGAATGGTCGCATGCCAGATTGCAGCGCAAGCAGATGCCCACGGTCCGACGTTACAACAGCGAACGGCAGGAGCCATAATGCAGGATAAAGAGCATGCGCTAAAGGTACATCGTCTACTCATCTGGGACCTCGATCTCCCCGTTGTCGATCGCCTCAATGATGTCGTGAGGGGGCTGGCCGTCGACCGTGCACCCAACGCTCTGCGCCGTGCCGAGAATCTCCTTCGCGCCGTTCGCAAGGGTCTTGGCAAGAGATTTTGACCGCATAGTGCGCGCAATGTCAAGGATCTCGTCGAAGGTGACGTTGCCGGAGTGCTTGATGTTCTTCTCCTTCTTGCGGTCACGTGGGGGCTCTGAAGAAAGTGCGAGGTCATGACCAGTACGGCGTTACGTATTGCGGGGCAGCACGCACCCTTGAGAGCCTTGATGACGAGGGAAGATGCGGAGGGAACGACGTCGACCTTGGCTTGTCGGTTTTGGATGGTGAGTTGGACCGTTACGCGGAGACCCTTCCACGCAGAGGTAGCCTTGGCGATATCTTCACCGACCTTCTTCGGTGACTATTGGGCAGATTGTTCAGTCATCCGCGCGTTATTGCAAAGTACAGAGATGGTGCGTACGAGACCAAGGGGACCAATTTTGGGAGCAAGTGCCGAGGAGGCACCTACTTCACCACCCGTAGCCCGCAGGTAGATGATCTTGATTTCATTGGGGTCCTAGAGAGCGCGCAAGTTGGTGAGCAAGTTGCAGAGAGTCTAGCAGGTCTTCCACGCACGAGCTTGGGGGCCATGGCGGATCTTGAAGAGGAGGGGAGGGACGGCGGCGGAGATACACAGAACGACCAGCTAGATCGGTTTAGTCTCGCACCCGCGCGTATACTTTGGAATAAGGTTTGGGCGCGGCGCAGGTGCTATACAGTACGAGTGTGGCTGCAAGTCCCGTGACCTGGCAGCATTTGCACCAGGCCCCGGCGCGGAGGCTGGGAGATCGGAGATCTCTGACTGCCTGATTTGCGCGATTGTAGTTTGGCGTCGGCCTCGACTCTCGACTCAACAACTTTTGCTTTCCCCGCACTCCCTCCTCGTTCGCCGCACATCGTCGGGAACAGCGAGCATAGGCCGGGCTGGTGGCGGACAGTGAGACCGCAATGGGTGCATGGAATCTACAGAGCGGGTCGAACTTCCGGCTTCCTTCGAGGACGTCGATGTAGATGTCCTCGTCCAACTCATAGGTCCGTCCAAGCATCAAACATGTGCTCTTTTTCATCTTATGTATCATATACAGGCGACATGATGGATCGTCTGATGGCTCACAACGACCAGATACCACTCTCGCCGTGCGTCAGCCACTGCAGGCTCCGCAGGAAGACGGTGTAGCAATAACTTTCGAACGCACAGTGAAAGTCTCACGCGCTTCCACTCGCGCACCCCTCCAGGCATCGCCATCCTAGACTATCTGCGGCGCATCGTTCGTTTTACCAAAGCGGAGGTATGTCTCCAGATTGCCTGTCCACTGCCGTCGCCCAACGTTAACACAGGGCGGACAGCGGTCATGCCTGTTAATCACTCTGCACTACATCGATCAAATATCCGCACGGATGCCTGTCTTCGTCCTCTCGTCTCTCACCTGTCACCGCTTCGTAATCGCCTCCATCGCGGTATCCAGCAAATGTCTCTGCGACACCTTCTGTAGCAATAGCGTCTACGCCAAAGTCGGCGGCATACCCATCGGCGAACTGAACGTCCTGGAGCGCGAATTCCTCCACATGATCGACTGGCAGCTCACGGTTAGCATCCTTTTCTTCTGTCCCCTCCGCATGCTTTCCCGCGTCGCCTATGTACACCGACTAAACCCACATTTCGCTTTCCCCTGTCTCTCCGGACATCCGGCCCGCTCTCCTACCCGGCCGATCTTCAGTGTACGCGCGAAGTCCTGCAGGAGTACTACGTCAACCTCGTCCGCACCTACAGCACCGGGCTCTACGTGATAAACGACGCGCTCTCCTCTAGCGGCATCTCCTCAGACAGCGACATGGACTACGACGCCACGCCCTCACCCGTTGCCTCGCCAGCGCCCGACACCCACTCCCTCCAACAAGCCCGCGCTCGCACCAGCAGCCCGACCGCCGCACGCCGCGAGCCGTCCACCATCCTCATCGACGCGGGCGCGCTCGCACCGGAGGCCCGACCTCCTCCCACGATCGAGCAGAATATGGCTTTCGCGGCGTTCCAACAGCAGCATGCCATGGACATGGATGCGGGGTGACCGCGTCCCACACGCGCCCCTCGGTTCCGCCCCCTGGGGCTCGGGTTGGGGGGTCTGGGGCTGCGCATGTGCATTCACACAGCGACGGACATCGGGACGCGCACATCTGGGGCTAGCCGTGGGGGGTTGCGGACCGGACAACCGTGGGCAGCGGGTAGGGAGTGCGGAGACCGGACGAGCACGCATGTGCATGTAGACGATAGCGAGATTAAGATACGGCGCGCGTACTTGTGTAGTTTCTTTAGCCGGTACTGTAACACGATGACTACAACGCGACGCGCATTGCGACCGCGTATACTACATGTATGTTCGGGGAGTCAGTTCACGCAGGCCCCAAGCTCTCCAAGGAGTCACCACCAGTCGAAGAAAAAATTGCAGTATGGAGTATGGATGGAGAGGAAGAGAAATGATGCTAACGAGCGGGTACTACTAGTACTACTGGCGCGACTGTCCAACGATCCGACCATGCGCTTGGTGTAAACGAGCGGAAGAGTTCGTGGGCAAGGTTCCGAGTCCGACGGCGACTATGCCCAATATGTACTACGAATCCGGAGCGTACGGAGATGCGAGAGCGTAAGGAGCGAGTGTGTGCGACGCGGTAAGTAGCGCGAGCGAGAGCAGAGAACAATATATACTATACGGGTCCCGAACCAGCGAAGACAAGGAGGAAGAGGACTGCGACCATCGCCCCGATGACGACCGAAAGTGCTTGCATAGGAACTACGTCCAGCCAATGTATTCACGACGACGGAGGTATCGTACAGGCAGTTGGAACATTGCTGGCTTGTCTGAGTACGCTACGGTAGGGCGGGCAGGTCGTCTAAGCGGTGAGGGGTGGAGAGGCAGGTCAACAGTCCATGCAAGGTTCGCGCCGCGCATCCTGCGTGGAGCACGCGGGCGAGGAGTAGCGAGGGGGGTGAAGAGGGTGAAGGGGGGAGGATTACAACCCGACGGGCGGGGCAGGCGGTATGTTGGCAGTTGGCGACGACGGGCGAATGAGCTGAAGGGGACATGCATGCAGGGAGGGACAGGCGCGATCGAAGATACGGAGCGGAATGAGTGTGCACTTCATGCCATGCGGCAGACCGGTGTTTCCACTGGCGAGACTGGACCGACTTTCGTGTCGATACCAAACCGGCGCGCGCCTGCCTGATGGCGGGCGACCACGCATTATCATACAGCTAGCATCGGGGGCCCGACAGGCAGCAGAGAGCAGCCCATCGGCCGCGATGACATGAGCTCCGGGAGCGGGTGCCTGAGGCGCACACGCTCACCGACGCAACGCAGACAGCATCTTCGCGAGCGCATTGATCTGGCCCTTCTGCACCTTGCGCGGCGAACCATCCTGCGAGCCAATGCTCTCCCCGCTGTCCGCAGGGCCGAGATCGGTGGTGCTCGTCGCCGCGTCCTGGCGTTGGCCGAGCGGCGACTTGGGGTTCGGTGCGGGGCGCTCGTTGATAGTGTCCAGCGTGAGGTCCTTCGGCTTGTTCGCGCGGCGCTTGCGGGCGGGTGGGCCCCCAAACTTCGCGTCGTCCGGGTTGGGGTACATCTGTCGCGGCAGCTGGTACAACTCCCACGGCGTGCCGGTGATAACTGCGAACCCAAACGCGGTGTCAATACACGACGAAACCATGATGCACGCGGTGCAGCAGATTGCGGAACTTACACTTGACGTTCGCCGGCATGGGAGCGCCGTTTTGGTCGTGGGATGCCTTGCTGCCCTGGCTGCGCCAGCTCTGAGCAGAAACGCTCGTCGCTGCTGTGGACACGCTGCGTGCGCTGTTGTTGCTGTACCGGGTGAACGCCGATGTGGATGTCCCTGCGCTCGACATTGAGCTGCGCCAGTTGCTCGAAGCCATCGAGCTCGCGCTCGAGGCAAGCGGACGGCCGCTCCGGGTACTCGAGGGCGAGATGCCACGCTCCGACCTCTTGTCTCCGCTGGTTCCCTGCTGTCCAGGGTAGCGCCGCTCCGGGCTCCCGCGCGACGGTCCAAAGGGAGAACCAGAAGACGGGCCCCACGTAGCAGTGCCATTGGGGCTAACCGTCGCCTGCTTCGGGCGACGACCACGATTCCACGACGCAGCATCATCGTCACGGTCAACGAGATGCGAGGCGGGCGCCGGCGCAGTCTTCGACGACGGGGGCGGCGGTGCGTTGAGACTCATGAGCAGACTCGTGACGTTGCTTGCGGTCGCAGACATCTGCTTGCCTGTCGGCGCCTCAGAGGGCACCGATGCTTCCTCGGAGACAGCGAGCTTGTTGCCCGAAGCGACGCTCGCCTTGCCGAAGGAGAGCTTCCACTTGGACGGCTTCTTCGAAATCGACGGTGCTGCGGAACCAGGGGGCGGGATGGAAAGAGGAACAGAAGCATTAAGGAGCGAAAGCGGCGGCAACGCCGGGTTGGGCGAGACAGGATACGGCATCGGGTGAGCATTGGCGGAGTGTGTGCGCACAGAGTCGAAGCCGGTGGAGAGAGCGGGGACTTGAGAGTGGCGTGACGTACGCGAAATCTCGCGCGCGAGGGCCTGGGAGGCGTGCGCGAGGGTCTCGAGCGTTGCATCGTGCGCGGAGGCGGGGGTGGTCGGGGACATCGCTGAACCCTTACCCTTGCGCGCCCCTCGCTTGCGCCGCTTCTGTGTAGAAGCGGAACGCGAGCCAACTTCGCTTTCTCCGTCCTGATCTTGGTCGTGATGGTCATTATCATGCTCCGTGAGGGCAATCTCCTGCTCGTTCTCGCGGTCAAGGACCGGCGGAAGCATGATCGGGCTATCGAGCGCTTGATGCTCATACGCAGGCCCGAGGGAGGGCGCACGAGAGAAGTTGCGGGAAGCACGACGGGAGATAACCTCGCCAACAACGGAGTTGCGCAGCGAAGGGCGGCGGGAGTGGGGGATGGAGGAAAGGCGATGACCCTGCACCGAGGTGATCGAGACATTGCGAACGTGGCCCGGGCGCACCATCGGAGGGCAAAGGAGGCTCGGGAGGTCCTTTATCCAAGCACCGAAGGCGCGCGCGGAAATGCGCTGGGAGTCGTCCTTCGCACTGTCCAGGATGCAAAACACGTTGCTGGCCAAGAAATCCGCAACGGGGTAGGTCATGCCAGTGAAGCGCTGCATGAAAAAGTTGACGGGCTGCCGGCGGTAAAGCTCGAACGACGAGCACACGCCTAGCGTGGTGTCCGTCCAGGGGTTATAATGGTACAACCTGGACAAAGGATCGAGTCAGTTTGTGCACTTTAGGACTAGGCATATGCGCAACTGACATATTGATAAGCACGATACCAAGTGACCAGACGTCGGCTGCTCGCGGTGAATAAGTAGGATGTATGTTATTCCGGCACTCTGCATTCCTCAACTGGTCAGAAGATGAATGACAATGAGTTGAGATATGAACACGCACCGAAACTCATATAGGGAGCACTGCCACAATCCATATCCGCTGACTCAACGTCGGTGGTGGACAGGCCGAAGTCTGAGAGCTTGACGATGACCTTACGCTCCGAGCGTCCGTCGGGCAGCGTAGTCCATCCGTCCGTGACTATAAAGTTCTCGGGCTTGATGTCGCGATGGAAAACGGAGTGCTCGTGGCAGGTAGCGACCGCCTCACACATCTGAGAGAACATGGACGCGATGAGGCGGAGGCGCGTGCGCGAGAGCAGTTGCGATGGGTTGAGGGAAGACAGCAAACTTGGCGTGGGTGGCGTCCGGGAGGCGCAGCTTGAGTCCGAAACCGGGGGCGAGGTTGAGAGGTCGGTCATTGATGGGTCCATTTCGTAGTGGTCGCGAGCTTGTTCGAGAAAGTAAAAAAGATCTTCGCCGGGGACAAACTCGAGTAGAAGAAGCAAGAAAGAGGGGGTCTCGAGAGTGCGGTGAAGAGTGACGATGTTAGGGTGGGCGGGGAGCGATTGATGTATGGTAGCCTATACGGACGAGTCAATATTTGCTACGTTCGATACGTATATAGCAACGCACCTCGAATAGCTGGGCTTCCAAAGCTTCCTCGTCAAGGTTCGCTTTCGAGAGCACTTTGATAGCATATTCGCGGCCATACTCCGTAGACTGGTTGCCGGGCGATCCGTCGTCCAGGTCCATGCGACCGATAGTGATTGCATGGCCGTCGTCCGAAGGCTGGGGACGCGAGAGAACCTCACGCACGAGGTAAACGACAGCGTAACTGCCGGAACCGAGCTTCCTGACAACCTCGAACTCCTTCGCCGGTTCATCATCGTCGACCCGCGGCTCAGAAGAGCTTATCGGAACCCGCTGGATGACCTCGCCCTGAAGGGTCAAGCCTTCCCCTACCAAGTCACCCTGAGTAAGCACATCAACGATGTACGAAGAGATCGAAGAGGCTCCGCTCGACCGGGTGTCGAACGAGGGCAAGTCAGAACGGAGGGGGTGGGGCGAGCGAGGCACGGGACTGGGAAGCTGCCGAGAGGAGGAGACGAGAGGAGAGCGATGGATCGGTTTGGCGGGGGTTGTAGAGATGGGGGAGGGAAGGGGGGAGGGGTAGGTGGAGACGGACGAGGAGGAGTTGCGAGAGAGGGCGATAGAGGTGGAGAGGGGGCTTATGGCGAGGGAAGGGGGGCGGGGGGCGACGATCCTGTCATGAACGGCGAGCTGAGCGAGGCGGGAGTGGCCATTGCGACGGTCGTCGAGATCTCTGTCTCGACCGGGTGCGGCGGTGCGTTTCGAGGAGGACAGGGAGAGCGGGGGGAGCTGGACTGGGTACTGCAACATTAGGAAACAAGCTGTAGGTCGTAAGCCGAAGGTGACGGGTCTGCGCTCTGTTCTTCTCGCGAGGAGAGGAGGGGGTAGGGCGAGATGTCAGCTGGGGAAGTCGTAGGCTACAGACGGACGAGGACTGGCTCGATATGCATGCAGATGGAAGCGGTGGGCGCGTTGACCAGTCTACGGGGGGTGTGGCTCTCTCCTATGTGCTCCTGTCAGACACGAGGGAGACGACGCCCCAGGACGTCTGCGAGCTTTGGGCAAGCCTGGCTTGGGAGGAAGCGATAGGCAGGCAGACTTGTGGGAGATGGCAGCAGGAAGCAAAGCTAGCGGGCGGAGTTGGAATGAGGCGCGGAAGGATAACGCGGACGGACGTGATGCGCGCGGATGAAGGGAGCACGTCAGAGGGCTGCTCGCTGGCCACCGCGGATAAGCAGACACGACACTCACCGCTGCAACAACCACGGAGACGAGCTGGGGGCCGGGACGAGGGCGGGAGGAAGAGGGGGGAGGAGAAGAGAGAAAGATGGACGGGCACGAGGAGATTAGGCTCTGGGGATGGGCACGACTGGCGCAGCACATGGTCTTCGCCTTCCACGCCCGCACGCGTGTCTATACCTTCGACCATTATTATTCCTCAGCTTATTCCCGCACACTGCAATCAGATTCAATTCCAATTCGAGCACCATCAGCCCCCATCACATCTATCCATCGTCCCCACCGTCTCTATTCCCGGCCGCGTGCTCCCAACTCCATGTGCTCCTCCACCCGACCCGGCCATTTCCCGTCGCTTTCCCGACACATGCGCACCTCGCCTACCGACGGCACAACATACACACTGAGAAAGACTGAGAACCGTCAGACGTCGCTGCTGCTCGCCGCATGCGCCCGCCGCCGCCCTCGCGCCAGGCGTATCTTCACCCCTTGACAGCGTCCCCGCCGCTTCCTGTGAGAACAGGCGCACACCGGTCCTTGTGCATCCTGATCACGGCCCTCGCGCTCTCCCACCTCCCCACACGAACGTTCGCTGCAGTCTCCGTCTGCTCGGCCTCGCCTGTCAAAAAACCCATCCTCGGTGCCCTCACCCTCGCGGACGCGTTGCCCTTCCCTTACCTAAAGTCACCGGCTCGCGCCCAACGCCAGCCTTGGCCGTGTCCGCGGGCCCGCTCTCGATCTCGAACCACCGGCGCCGCGGCGCAGCCTCCCCTCCTGCGCCCACATGCTCCCAGTCAAACGCCAGGCACGCACGCTGTGATCCACACCGGGCCTCAGCGATCTGTGCGACTCCAGGAACTGGACTGCCCCACCGCCGTCGGCATGGCCCCGGCCGCCGGAACTGCCACCTATCTGGACATTTGCCTTCCCGGTACCACAGTGACAGGACCCCGTCGACTCATTCCGACGCCACACCTCGTACTGAACCAGCTGGTGGGCTGGACGATGCTTTGCCAGGTTCAAACCCACTACGGAAATTGGTTTGGTCCGCTGACTGTGCAAGGACCATCGAAAATGAGTATTTCACTCGATTTGACGCGAAACCCGGTGCTGAGGCCTATCCTGAGAGTTGGTCAGCTAGTGATACAGGCAATGCCTCGCGCGTCGGTAAGACCCTTCTCAGTCAGCCCGATGTGAGGTAGGGATTAATATTGCTATGTATACGGCGAGCAAAGTCCATATCCAGCGGCACTCAAATGACACTACTAAGTATCTGTTCGGCTTGCTTACATGCATTCCGGGAGGGTACACGAATGTTTTCTGCAGTAGGGGGAAGCGACATATCTGACTTATACTCGTATCATATCTAGCGTCCCCAAATGCACGCGTACACATGAAGAGGGACTGGGACGGACCCATAAGTTGTCTATGCTGCGGAGATAACACAGATACCTCGCGTCTCTTCAAGCAATAGTCCTTTCGGTCATGACAGACGGCCAGTCCATTCTAATATTTCGCTGATCATCTAAACTTACAAAGATGTTGCCACCATATGGACGTAACGTAGCTGTTCGCTGAACATACCGCTGAAGCCGGTCGAAAATTCAAAGCAAGTCAGACTGAGACTAATATCTGACATATTTCAGTACATCCGGATAGAGCTTTCGTCCACCGTGACAGGGGTCCTGCATCGACCATTGACGGACGCACGTATCCGTCCGAGAAGCCGTGCTTACGTTCCCACCAGATGCACCTCTCCTCTCACCGCCGGCATCCTTATGCGGACATCCGAGAACCCGGATCCAAGCACGGTCACCGCACTAAACGCATCGGCTTCCCTGCTTCGAGTTCTTCCAGATATCATACTACATATAGCTAGCGGTACACGGAATACCAACCGTCACCGGACATGCATATGTGGCGTGCCCCACCGAGTGCACGCCCCCTCGGAGTCCATTTAGACCTCAGACATGGCGGTGCATCCGTCACCCAACTTAGAGGCCTAAATTAAAGCAATAATCCGCGTGGCCGTATGACAGCATCGCGCCGATATTAAGCACACGTCTACGTAGAACTTTTGAGCTAACGCCGAGCGTCGAAATGACACCGAAACATACCGCGCGGAAGATCCTACGGCTCTTCGCCCGTAACATCCGCGCCGCCGTCCTCGACGTCCGCTTCTGCGTCCGCGCCCTCCTCCGCATGGGCGGGCCCGTCCAAAACCGCCTTCCACCGCCGCTCGACCTCTTCTCCCGCCTGCTCCCCGAGAACGCTCCGTGCGCGCCCCACAACAGCGACCGCCTCCTGGCTCCTCCCACTCCGCAGCAGCCACCCGGCCCACGCAGCCGTGGCCTCCACCCCGTCGCTCTGCCGCCAGAACTCGTAAACCGCGCCAAGTACGCGCGCGTCCGCATCCGGGCCCGACGCGGGAGGATCGGCGTGCCAATTGCACTCCTGTCGAAACACCTCCGCCCACACCCGCGCGGAGGGCGTGTGCACGGCCCCGAGCCGGCGCACACGTGCAATACGTGCCTCGGCGAGGGCGGTCGGTGGCGCGGGACGTTGTTGACCGCGTTGTGGGGTGGCCTGCTGCCCTTGCTGCGCAGCACGATCGCGTACGCGTGCACGGCGACCACCGTCGCCGTTCGACGCGGGCGTGGCTGCACCCGCAGTGGCGCGGCCCTCGATCAGATTGAGATGCGTGTCGTGCTGCAGCAGGAGCGCGCGATGTGTTGCAGCTGCGTAGCGCATCAGCAGCACCTCGTGAATCGCGCTCGCTGCCGCCGGCTGCCGGATACGCTTGCTCTCGGGCAGGAGATGCTGTGCAGATCGAATAGGCGCGCCAGGAGGACCGCACCGGTACCGGTGAGCAGCCGGCTCGCTAAGGAAGGAATACGCCGCGCACCTCGAGCACCGCGACGTCCTTTATGACATCGTCCTCGATGTTTGCCTCCACCGTCCCGGGGGCGTCTGAACGTCGTACGTCTTGCGACCCGAGGCCCCAGAGCCAGACGTCCTCCAGGCCGTCGCCCTCGACGGTCTTCCGGGCATCTGACCAGGCGCGCGCGACGTCTTCTGGCTGTGCAAAATGCCTTTCTGCATCTAGACGTGCCAGCCACATGGGCGCGCTCGATGCCGCGCGGGTGGCGTACTTGCGCGAGACATGCAATATCTTTTCTGGGGTGTTCACCTTCGGCGGGAGGAGAGCGGGCCCAAGCGACGTATGGTGCTGCACCAGCAGCCGAACGTGCGCCGCAAGCAAAGCCGGGGGGACGGGGGAGGATAGCTGCTGGATCAGGAGGTGGAGGGATGTGACGAGGTACGCTTTCTGTCAGGAGAGCGCATGTGTGAGCATCACCGTCCATGTGAAGTAGACAACTTGAAGAAAAAGCGAACGCGCGGAGCACGATCTTGGTACTGATGGACGGCCATCGACGAGCAGCTCAGGGGGGGCCGATCGAAGGCGAGGCGTACATGAGTGCGTGAAACCAAAAATCGACGGGATGCGCGAGGGCAACAAGAAGCACCGTTGACGGATCGAAGTGATGGAAGCGAAACATGAAGCCGGCGGAGCAAGGGCCATCGTCTCAGACAACGGCATGCAAAACCGGTCAGACCTTCCGGGGGAAGCACAAATAATTTCCCAGCACCAGAGGGAGCGGAGGGGAAAAGGCGGGAACTCACCAAACTGTCACCGACGGCTTTCCCGCACCACTCGCCGATAAACTCGGCGTACACACACGCCACGCCTTCTCTCGCTTCGCCCGTGCTTGTTCTCACGGCCTCGGAAAGGACATCGTTGGCATTTTTCAGCGCGTCCACGAGGTGTCCGCCCGTGAGGTCATCGGAGAGGTGGCGTGTGGCAGCAAGCTTGATGGCAGCGGGGAGAGCGGGGAGGGTGTCTCGAAGGAGCGCGTGTAAGTGGTCGAGGAGGGATTCGCGCAGGGAAAGCGGGGAAGGGTACGTGGAGATTAGTCCGTGAAGGGAACTGAACAGTTCAATTTTGGGGATCGCTGTGAGAAGGTTAGGACATCCTTGGCGCTGCCAAATGTCGGCGTAAGAGCGCACCTTGCGTTGCGTTTGAGATAACAGCTTTAACAATTGCGCCGTCCATGATCTGTTTGCGGGCAGCTTCATCCTCCTCAAGCTCCTCTCGGGTGTCCACCTCCATAGCATCCGCTTCGACGATATTCTCGTCCTCGAGCCCGCTCTCGTCTTCACTACCTGGAGGATTTCGCTGCTTGCCCTTTGTCGGGCTCGCTTCCTTGCCTTTGCCCTTTACGTCAATCCCAAGAACAGACCACCGCCGCCGGAGGCTTTCAACGAAGTTTAACTCCATCTTCACATACTCCCGCCACATCTCGACACTATCAGAATTCAGCCGGAGCCCACGTTGCAGCAGAGCACGGGCGGCCGATGGGGACAGGTGTTCGAGTTCATGTGACGCGGCCAGGACGTAGAGAGCCGGGACGTTTGGGTGTAATTGCAATGCCCTGGAGAAACGTTAGGCACCAAACTATCCACGATGGGCTGAGCACCCTATCACCCCCATTGAACCGTATGCCCGAGACCATTCTCCTGCCACCGCCGTGTTTTGGACCGGACTCACACGCGTGGTGTGGGCTTTGAGCAGTAATGGCCGTTACGACGGCCGCCACAACACGGCCCCGATCCAGAACACGTGCGGCGACAGAGGTACAGTTCAGACGAGTTCCCCACCCCGTTCAGCGGAGGGAATACAGCCACTGCCCGCGGCGTAACGCCATCACATCGAATGGAACGTACCTCGCAGTTATCCGCCCCACAAGAGCCCGCGCGCCTTCCCTCTTCGCAACCTGGACATACTGTATCCACAGGCCAACGTCGCCCTTAAACTTCTTCAGGGCGCGCTCAAAAATCTGGAACTGTCTCCGGACGAGCGCGTAGTCGGATACCGATGGCGGGCCCTTTGGTAATTCTGTAGCCCGCAAGCGATCGGTTCAAAATCGTCCCACAAAGTCCGTTTAAGGGACGACGTACTGAGGCGTTCCACCCGCTTTTTCCGCAGCGCCTCCAGGCTCATCTCGTACGTCGCGTAACGCAAGAAGTCGGCCTTCTTGGGTATCCGCCGGACTAGGGCGGTCTCGAATGCGGTCCGCTTTTGCATGATCTGTTTGACCTCTTTCTGTGCGCGCGACGCTGTCGGTCAATTACAACGTAGCTCTATAGAGACGTCGAGGGAAACGGGAGCACGCACTTGTGAGAATAGACCCTTCTGGACGAGGTCCTTGAGCTCTGCGAGCATCTTTCGAAGCTATAAGCGGCTGATGACATTTAACTTGGAACGATACGCACCTGCTCCTGTTGGAACTGCACTCTCTCCATGTTGCTTCGTGTATGCAGATATCTCAGAGGGTGCCGGGTCGGGACGTAAAGCAAGCAGGAAAGTACTGAGCAAAGTGGCGGGCGCCTCGCTTACTCGTTCGCAAATTCTTGACCCGACCACGTGATATTACCTCATAGGGCAATCGGCGCTTCCAGACTCTGCTCCGCGTCGGATATCTGAGCCTTGAGGATGCCATACCTGAGGCCTGAACCGCAGCTCGTTCCGTCGTGCGGCGCTCAGTAACTGTCAAGTAACCTAGTGTTTTGCCACATATCCGTGGCCTAGGCAGATCTCCGCGCCACCACGTCCCACTAGGTAATATACAAGGAATAAATAAGAGAAGTATCATTTGAAGCGCCGACAACTATTTCCGGCAAGTCCGCTCCGAGACGCTCGCGGTTGTAAGCGCGAGCTCTCCACCAGACTCTCTCAACTTATCTCTTCTCTCTCTACGTCCATCATGCCTGCTAAAGCTCATCGTCCTGGCGGCCAACTTCGCTCACATGCTCGCTCGACCTCCGGGGGCTCTTCCAAGCTCGGGCTGAACCTGCAGTTCACTCAGAAAGAACCTGTACCCCAACGAGTGGCTGATAAAGCGAAGAAGTCCTCTCACTTTCATCACGAGGTTCGTCCCATTTTATACATCGCCGATCATCCAAAGCAAACACTTACGGAGCGTGTTGATGCTGCACCGCGCACAGCCCGTTGCACGCAACTCCAGCTCCCAGTTTATGCGGACAAACAGCGGCGTTCGTGTACAGCCAAGAGACAACATCCAACCCGCGGCGTTACGGCGCGCACCCACTCCAAATGGCGCAGCGAAGCAGAACGGGTCGAAGCAGAAGGCGGGCTTCTCCATAAACAGTCCGGATGAAGGCGAAGATGACGACGAGTGGATATCCAGCGAGAGCGGCGCAGCAACACCCCTCGACGGCTCGGATCCGGAGACCACCCCCGTCGAAGAGCTCAATCAGCGGCTTATAGCCCTGCCTGCATTTGCACAACCTGCCCAGCCAAATGGTGCCTCTGCTCACGACGCCGTTCACGATGTAGCGACGCCCAAAGCTGCGCCGCCTGCGCTGCCTCGTGTTGACACCGCACGGCCGTCCCAGCAATCGCTCGCTCCAACCACGCGCGATTATGCCATTCAGGAGAGTCCGCCGCAGGAGAACTACTTCTCGGGCCAGATGCAGCCTGATCAGCGCCATCCAGAACCTGCAATAGCGATCTCCACACCCACGCCCCCTGTCAGCAAGGCCCGCTCAGAAACCCACTCTCCCCCGCGCAGGTCCCCTGATAGCGCACCTTACCGACAGTCCATGACTCGCCCCCCTTCCACCCATTCGATTAACAGCAAATTGGATGCACATGCGCTCAGGCCACACCCGCTTATTCGCGGGCACTCATACGGCCAAGGCTTCACGGGAAAGCCCGCGCCTTTAGCGCCTCTTACCACAGTGCTACCGGACTCAGCCTCCGGTCAGATGTCCGCCACGCCTTCGTCTCCCTCCAGCTTGCGTGCGGGCTCTCCAACGAGCATACGGACCACATCAGCCTCACCCATCCTCCCCTCGCCCTCTTCGTCATCACCGGCCCATAGGCAGCTGCGCCGCACATCGACGTCTTCCACACGCTCCACCGCTACTCTCCCTGCACAGCCGTCGATGGCCGACAAGAACGCGAGCCGGGTCACGCACGACCGGCAACGCACCCTCTCCACCATCTCATCGAGTTCTTCGATCGCTGCGCTCACGAACTTCACGCTACGGTCCACGCCATCTCCGCCACGAACCCCTGTACAAATCACGGCGTATTTCTCTCCACCAGAATCTAATTCGACGCTCGATGGCATCCACCCACTTCTCCCGCCACCATACCTCAGCGCGCACCTTACCGTGCTAGCCTATCGCAACCCAGTGTCGGAATCATATGACAGGGTTATCCGGGCGAAGCTGCGCAGGTGATCGCCGCGCCCGATGTGCGGCTTGTAGGAGTCGTTCATGGGATACGGTTAGGTGGATACATGGTGCGTTCTTCTTCGTAGTTGTCACGCTTCTAGATCGTAGCTGACGGTACCCGTGGAGTAGATGGACGGACGTTGTGGTGCTCGATTCGGACTCATACAAGCTCTAGCTTTGCTTTATATCTATCTGTACAGTAATCTGGATCTGCTCTCGAGACTCATGGCAAGCGATATAAGTAATGCAGACTTCTTACTATGGAATGTGGCCACGGCTTATCGTCTGCACCTGAGTCAGGTGTTCTTCAAGATGATGGAAGCCCGAGACTGCTGCGCTGCTCTCGCCACTCGCCATGGCGACATTGACCGCCACGCTCGCAGAACATGGCATCTTCGAGGTTCGCCGGCCAGTGCTCAAGATTAGACAATGTTGAACCTAAGCCCACAAAGGTATCGGCTCCCTTTTCCACGTAAGAGATGGTGATGTACTGAGGTCACAGGTCGCGGGGTTCGCGGCGCTCCGATATCACAAGTTTTGCACCTTCACAAGTCTCGACGTCGGATGGCCGGCCCTTGTCTTCACCGCCCAAGTGCACGATACGATCCAGGCCCCCGGGGCCCCGGTGCACGAATATGGCGAGCACGCCCTCAAGAGTCTAATGTGACGAAGTCCACCCGGCCGCACGGAGATTTCTCGTCAGGACGCCGCTTCTGTATTCAACGCCCCGTCCTCGCCGCGTGGAAGAACGGGTCGCAGCGCCGTTCTTTCGCATTCTCGCACATTCTCCATCACGACACCGCAGGTCCTCTTTCTGGTGCGCTGAGTAGGGCAGCTGTCGGCCTCGGAGGTCGGCGGGCGCGCGACATGCCAGCGATGCTTCGAACACTGCGGCCGGCGCTGGTTCGTGCTTCCTGCGCTCGTCGGACGCCTCATGCTGCCGTTCGTGACTTCGCCGCGCGGTCTTTGGAAGGCTGTCGGACGGGCGTCGCGATATCCCGCCCCGCCCTACTCGCTTCTCGCCCGGTGCGGTACGTGTGGCTGCGGTCAAGGTTGTGCACATGAACCTACCTCGACGCGCGGACCGCACCACGTACCGTACCGTGCTGTTAGGTGCGTCGAGAACTCACCGATAAGTACCTCGCTCTTGGCGAAGCGAACAAGCACCAACAGAGCAGTCGCGATGCGGTTGTTTTTTGCGGTGTTGTCGCCTTGTCGCAATATTGCTAAGTCTCATATGATTATCTATCCACTTAACGGCTAGCTGCTTCTTTGTAGGTCCAAGGTGATGCACACGGGATGCCCTGGCCGCGTCGCGTGGTGTCGCATACCCGGCCACGCCGCACCAGGCGTGCAGTGCGCTCCCAGTGCTGGCCGCCGGTACCTGCAACGTGCGGGAGCGTACAGCACGGCGCAGGTACCATCACCACTCGCCTACAGTCAATAAAGGTACCGGGATCGTGAGTTCATGCCTCGAGACGACAATAACGGCAATCTGACTGCTGAATAGTTTTCATAGAGGTGTGCGTAAACGACTATGATTGAAGACAAATAAAGCAACTACGACAGTTCGCCGTTATCTCGGACCCTCACTCTCCACCCTACCAGCGACTCCAGCACCTTCTCAGTCGCCCGCTATTGTATCGTTCGGCCAAATGTCCCCACCTACCTTCACTACACATGGTCCACCCCGAGGTCTCGGCTCGTGGTACCATGCGCTATGGGATCGATCGAGCGCCAAGTCTTGTGGACGGTGCGCATGCAGTGCCTATACACTTCGTCAAACTGACCAGCTGACCTGTGGTCTTTACCTATCTGACCCTATGTACTCCAGGACCCCAGATGGCATCGTTCTTCGACGTACGTGCGAGATTGGACCGCTACATTCACAGCACTGCTGGGCGCGGCGGTGGCCTTGGCTTCGTCGGACGGCGACTCGACGCCGCTCTCAACTCACGCCATTTATGCTCTTTCGACCGGTCTAGTGTCCCGAGAGACCGCCTCTAGGCACTTCAACCCCTTGTGATATTTCCGGGATCACTGCGACGAGGCAAGTAGCTCTACCACATGACAATGCTAAATCACTCCAGCAGGTTCGTGGTGCACGATAGGTAACCTTTGCAGTCATATTCCAGCGCAATTTGTCACAAGCTCTACCCTGCTGATATTCCTAGGCAACTCCGGTGCGTGTCGGACAACGTTGCAAGCTTGTTGACCTAGTACCTATACCGTAGCAGCAACACCGTGTCGCTCATGCTGCCTGTGATCTAACGAGACCACGCTGCCGTTCAGGCCAGACTAACAACACCGCGTGGTCTCCCCTCGGCGCATCTGTCCAGGAGAGGTCATTGGATTCCGGTTCGACCCCAGCATGCACCCTTGTCGACGCCGTGTCTGAAGACCGGAGGTCTTGTTCGATCACTTGCCCTGCGGAGGGCTCAGAAGGCAGAAGCGTGCCGGCAATACGTCTACTACAGGGTGTTAGTTTGTCCATTATCGACTCATGTTGCCGTACTCATTGAACCGTCTGGACAGGTACAGTTTGCCCTAAGCGCCACACCCCGTAGCAATGGGAGCATCCAGGTGGGATGTTTTTGCCGACTTCGCTACTAATATCTCATACAGGTGCCATAGAGCGACCGCGACCGCAGCGTTCAAGCTTCAACGTTTCAACCCCCAAAAGGTTTTTTAGTCCTGGGTTTGTCGACATCATCGGGGGCCAACATTCATCTCCTCTTTAGGTGACGGTGGTTTGTTATGATTCATCAGATTTATACGGCGCTGCTTCCTGTCGGTAGATTGGATTTCCTCTGCGCATGATGCGAACGAACCTTACGTTGGGATACTGGCGGGTGGTAGCTGGTACGCCCGTCAACTCTACACTGCTACTGACTATGACTCTTTCGTATGGCAGGTCGCAATGGTCTACCATCACCTGTAGTGGCCACTCGTCCTCGTTCGTTCGGAACACGATGAACAGCCGTACGACTTGTACATGCGCCATATCACTCGACGATAAGAACTAGTGAACCTGCAGTACTAGGAAAGCCCTGCACGCAAACCCATCCGACCTCGCGAAGTGGCACACCGATGCAGGTCACATCGTAGTTCAACGATCAAGATGCAGCAACGTAACATGCACCATCCGCGACGCAGGCCCACACATAACTGCAGCTGCTATGAACCCACGTACGCGTACAGGTCACTTCTTTTCAATTCGTATCGTCCATCGTCAGAACCATGCTGATTGCTTTTCCTTCCCCCAAAGCGCGGACAAGTGCCCAAGTCAAACCCATCTATGATGGCCGGTCGTATCGTGACAAGAAATCAAGTATCGTGAGACGTGAACGAAGACCGTGCATGGTGGCAAAACTACGGGCAGGTGACGGCGCCTGGGGTACGTATCGAGTATTGTAGGGTAAGCGTCCATCGTCCGTAACGTGGAGGAGGAAGGGTAGAGTAGACGGCGAGCAGCAGGCCCGGCGCCACCGGGTGGCCAAGCATGCCACGCTCATAGCTCCTGTTGAATGACGAGACTATATCAGAAAGGCTCAAGATTATCACAGCGCGCAGACGTACGATCATGTTGAGGTTACCAGAGAGCAACCTGTTCTCGAGCACACAGCCATCGGGGATGTCGATGCGCTGGCCCTCGTTCGCGACAACGATGACCGTGCCGCGGAGGGTGACGTTGCGCCCGAAGTAGACGTCGCCCGTCACGGTGAGATGGTCGAGCTCGATGATCTTGGGGATCTTCTTGAAGCGCTTCTGGAACTGCTGAATCTTCTTGAAGTGGTCTCCGAGTTTGATGACGGGTGTCGTCTCGAACATGCGCTGCGGGTTGATCACGAGTTGACCGTGCTGCAGCGAGTAGATGTCGCTCTTGATGAGCAGCAGATCGGAGCAGCTCTTGACGGGCAGGAAGCGGCTACGCGGGACGTTGACACCGTGTGCGTTGTTGAAGTGCTTGATCGCGGCACCGGCGGCGGTCTCGAGTTGGATCACGGCCTGACCATCGTCCGTCGTCTTGGGGTTGACGATGATATCGAGTTCCATGCCCTCGGTATCCATGACACGCTTGAGCGCTGTGCAGCAATACAATCAGCGCACATCAAGGATGAGACCGGTACCATACGAACCTCTCAAGTTGATCCACAAGTTGTTGGTGTTGAAGATCTTGAACTTGCGAACTGTTGTGTTGTCAGCACTGCCGCCCACATGCCAAACGCAACATAAATGGAAACATACCAGACTTGAAGTCCTCAATGTGCTCGTTCGGTACCTGGGCAACCTCGAGCAGGCGGATGTGACCCTCGTAGTCAATGAGGGTACCACCCTTGATGTCGGCCTTTGTCTTGTCCGTCACCTCCATGATGAACTCTGACTGCGAGTCAATCATGTGCTGGAGGATGCGCTCGTCGACGCTAAATGGTATATGAGCCTTTGCATGCACCTTTTTAAACATAGCAAACTTACACAGCGCCCAGGTTATCCGAGTTCGACACGAAGAGGTACTCCTTGCCCTCCGAAAGCAGCTGGTCAAGGACGCCCGAGTGGGTCAACGCGTTGTACAAGTCACCGTGGCCAGGGGGGAACCAGTGCTTCTTGTCATCGTCGGCAGTGCGCGGGCAGGGGAGGAGGGTCTCCTTGAAGATACGGGGGTAGCGCGACTGGTTGAAGGTGGTGATGCGCAGCTGCTGGTTGGCATATTTCTTGATGATACGGAGGGTATCCTCGTGGGTGTTGAATGACGTCATGAGGATGAGGGGGACATCGACGCGGTGGGTGGTGTTCAGGTGCTCGATCTGGCGTACGGTGAGGTCGAGGAAGGTCATGTCGTCCTTGACCTCGAGTGCGCTCTTCGCGCCGGTCATGCCTGCGTTCAATCAGCACTGACAGCTCGATGGAAGCAAGATGCAGGTGACGTACCCATGGAGGTTCCGAGACCACCGTTAACCTTGAGCACAGCGAGTTTGCTAAGGTTGGAGGCATCGGCGGTGGGGAGTTTGGAGTAAGGAACAATCTTGTCGTCGGAAGGCGATGCGATGCGTTCCCAGTCACTGTAAGAGGCAGATTCAATATATAGACGCGCGCAGGCGGAAGGCGAAAAACGCGTACAGTTCTTGGCTGCGCGCGCGTTCGGAGAGGTAACGCGTGAAAAGGTAGAAGAACGACTGCATCTCGGTGTCGAAGGCCTGATATTGCCCGATCTCAATCATCTGGACAATTGGTAGGGCAGGGAGTCGGGAACGCACCTTGCGGGTCTCGGGATCCTTGACGGTGTTGACGAGCGCGGAGAGCTCATTGCGCATGGCCTTCGCGGCGACGCCAGTAGTGGCAGTCTTGAAATCGATGTGGGACGCGCCGCGTACGCGGGCGTTGAAGGACTCCGTCCTGGGCATGAGGGAGTCTGCGGGCATGGTACTAGATGATTGATGGGTGGTGAGATGGTGAGCGCAGGAAGCAAGAGGCGCCTGCACGGTGCACTCACGGATGGTTTATATGAATCGGCCTGGTGGTGTTGGTCGAGATGAGGAGGGGGAGGAGAGGAGCGGAGAGGGAGCGGACGGGGGGAGCTCGTGGCCTGTGATGACGTTTATATACGTCCAAGGCAATGTCCGAAACGGGCGAAGGGAGGGATATCGATGCTCTCGCTTTGGACGGGCTGGACGGCGCCGTCTGAATCTCGTCCTCGCGCTCTCTCCAGCTTCGAGTCCGTGTCGTCCGCCGCTCCTGCTCCGACTCGTATCCATCGCGCGATACGGACTCTCCCCGGCTTGGCGAGCTCTCTTCCCGGATGGGCTCGCAGATAGATCGTCGGTGTCGTTCTCGTAAACTCGCCCCATCTTCCACGCACGCGCCCCCCGCCCGCTCTCCTGCTTTGCACAACGTGCTCGGTCCTGCAACCGACGACCGACCCCGCTCGCCGCCTCCAAGTGACAGCCGGCCAATCGACGAAGACGTGCTTGCCTCCGCCAGCGGCCAGACCACGCCCCTGCCCCGCCCCGCCTCCGCAATCGCTGACCAACGTGCGTGCATCCTGCCAGTATTTCCTCTCCCAGTGCCAGAGCGATCAGCACTTTCCGGCCGCGGTTCCGTTCCAGTTTCCCGAGATCCCTCCGTAGACAGCGCAGAAGTCGTGACAGAGCAAAGCAGATGGGTATATAGCGATTTAGCCGATCCAGACAGTAACCAACAGGCGTGCGGGGCGTGCGCAACCCCACCTTATGTACTCCTCCTCTGGTCCTCCCGTCCCGCCGGGCACGCCAGTTTCCGTGGCCGTCGAATATATCGGGCCCTCTAACATCGACTTGTAGATCGGAACTCTAGACCGCTGATGCACCCATCACGCTTGTAGTCGCCCCTTGCCGCCGCATTGTCGGCCTTCTTTCCCCTTATCAGCTAGGCCTGTGCCTTCCTCCTGCCCCTCCCCTTCCCTCTGCGCGCGCACCTGCTCGCTCTTGCCAGTTCTTTCTGAGTTCCTCTTCCTCTTCCAGTCCCAGGGCGTGTGCGCGCCCAAGCGCCGCCATAATGCCCTGCTTCTCAGCGTATCAATCGCGTCATTCACGCCCGCGTCCACGTCGTCGAGATGTCCACGTACGTACTTTACCCCGAAACATACATCACCCGCGCCGTACTTACGCGCCCCCACGCGCGTGCTTCCTCCCTGTTCGCGCCGCGCGCTGGCACTGCTGCGCGCGCGTACACCGCGCTTATATATAAGGTGTCGCATACTCAGGCGGATTACGCTGGCGAGGTGAGTCGCCGCTGAGTGAGCTTTGAAAGTTGAGCGCTGAACGCTGTTCGCAGGTCGCGCTCTCTGTCGTCCCTGTTGTGCCTACCGTCAGCACGCCGGTGGAGAGTGGTGGAGCTGTCTTCTGGTGTCCACTGTCTGCGCGCCCTTCTGGATGCTGTCCAATGTGTCCTGGGCCTGGCTGGTGCACGCCCCTGTGTCCCTGACAGATGCCGGTGCGAGTGTCAGCCCGTCCCAGAAGCATGCAGCGTCTACTTCTATCTCCGGGCTACGAGCGATGTCGCGTTGTTCCCTTGTCCTCGTTGTGGCCCATTGCAGTACACTGACGTGCGCCGCGCGCGCCGGTGCCGTCGCATATGAAGAAGTTTTGTTCCTCGGTGCGTGACAGGGAGGCACGTAGCGCTATCATGGCGGCTCCGGGTGGCAGATAGAATGGCGAGTTTCTGAAAGGTACCGAGGAACATAACATTGCTGCCGTCTACAGATGCAGAAGATGCGAGACCGCATACGGTTTGCAGTAACGACACCGGGGCGTGCGCTGCGAGAGCGGGTGGGCTGACGCACTCGGGCCACGTTTCCCCTGCGAGTCGAAGCACCGGATCTCGACCTCGTTGGGTGGTGACAGAGCCTAGCTTTTGGCGCCCATACAAAACGAAGGATCGGTCGTGCGGTCTGGTGCTATGTCAGCCCACTTGAACGATATAATCTAGGTGCGGTAAGCTCACGCTCATGGGAAGGGAACACGAGAAGCTGACCGATTGCGCTTGCAGATACTTATGACGTTGTGCTCCGTGTCCTTCGCCCGACTTCTAAAACGATACAGCCTCATGCAATAATCCCGCGTGGGTAGCGATGTGAAGTCCGGCAGGCCTACCAGAGCTGCTCCCTCTGGTCCAGCCACAACGGCGCCAGCCCATCTCCCCGTGCTCCGGCAATTACTCAGGAACTACGAGATGTTCTTTGGTCATCACGTCATGCCAAACTGTGTTCGTCGTGTATGATAAGTATGGCTTAGGCACAGACCCTGGTGTATCGGCATCGATCGCCGGAGGTTGCTTCAAGCTGTCAACTTAGCTAGTCAGATCAGTATATTGACTTGGAATCCAGACGGCGACGATAAAGCATCATCACTAGCTACTTAGTGGACCGGTGATCGGGACCCATATGCACCCACAACCTCCACCTCGGCGAAATCCCATTTCAACATCATATGCGAAACTTGCATATTGCTTGCATTGTTGCTCGGAGTCGAAACCATCCAGACTATGATTAGCGCCCAATTTGTCCAAGTAAGACTTAGATCACAACGTCCATGTACCACAACGCCTGACCACACCGGACGCCATAGACTATCCAAACACGGTACACAGACCGGTCTAACGCAGAAAGAAACAAGGGCGGGAACTGCCCGTACGCGTAGTGTTTTCTCGAAATGCCTCAGCAAGTCGAATCCGCCGCAACCACGAGGCTCGCATCCATCTCTTCCGCGTTGCTCTCGCGCAAGGTCCGGGTAGCCGGGTGGTGCGTCGATTCAAGAATGTCGAGAGCTCGTGTTGACCATATGCCCACAGGTTGCTCCATTACGACGCCGACACTTCGATGCTCATGATGCACGACGGCGAAGACGCGCTGCTCGTGGACATCTCGCTGTGCGTTCGGAACGCGTGGCGATCGCCGCGCTGGGTGTTCGAGTCCAAGACGGTCATCATGGTCGTGGGTTACGTCGAGTCTTCCGTCGTAAGCCGTGACTTCTTCCCCGTGTCATTGCCGGGCACTGACGTCGAGCATCACAGGCCGCCCTCCCGCTCCCCGTTCTGTCGGCACATGCGCCACTTGTGAATGTAAATCCCCACCTGGTCCTGCGGGCGATCGTCGCGGAGGAGGCGCGAGACCTCGATATGTCTGTGTGGAATAGCGCGATCGAAGCTCAGGAAGAGACTCTTCAACGGTCGGCCAAGCAAGAGTGATATCCTGGGATCGCATACATACAGCACATACAGCACTCGAGCATACGCAGCGCAGCAAGCCACCTCCAGAGAATTCACCACACCCACCACGCGATCAGTACAAATAACGCGAGCGGCGCCCATGCAACATCCCGTATGTCGAACAAGAAACCCTTCAGAACGCTTCTCTTCCTCCGGCTCTCGTCGTCACCTGCTTTCCCACCCGTCCAGAGAAATGCCTTCAATGGCTCAAGCAGCGCAGATGGAGCAAGTGTCACTCGCAGTCGACGCCCGCTGAAGGGGACAGCGAACGTGCGCGACCAACCTGGCCGCGGGAACTCCTTCGAGCGCCATGCGCTTGGCGGAGGGAGGTCGTAGTCGGGCTCAGCCGCGTCATTAGGGTCCAAGGATGTCCACTCGCTTGACCGCGCGGTGGATGTAGAGTGGCGGGTGCATGAACGTCGGATGTTCGACAAGAGGAGGATCGCCAGACTCAGGACGATGAGCGGGACGTAGATGTTGAGATAGATGCCGAGCTGGTCGGGTAGAAGACACGGCGTGTGCGCGATCGTCTGGGTCTCCGGGAAGGCGGCCGGCGGAATAAGGGAGAGCAGCTGGTAGCCAGGCCGTCGGATGCCCATAGCCATAGAGAACGACTTCACTGTTATCTCGGGTATCGAGGCGGGCGGCGACGGACGCTTCGTATCCACGGATGGAACGGTGTGGACGTATTCGCAGTAATCGTGGTCATCTCCGCTGAGGGTGCGTCAATGGGCCGAGCATGTGGCGGGATGAGATAGAGGAGAACTCACCCGAAGATGATCGCCGGTCGTATGTTCTGCAACAGGAATTGCGACGCCTGGGGAGTGAGCAAATTTTGGTACCCCAATCCTCGGCCCTGGCGAAGAGTGCCGCGCTCGCGTAGGGGGCCACAAGACGTCCCTTCGGGCCGGGACAGCGGGACGTGAGTGAATAAGATGAGGCCGTCGCTTTCGGAAAGATCTGCGTCTAAAGACGATAGCGGGGCGCTTTAGTGTTCTTCGAAATACAGGAAGATGCCATGTTATAAGGTCCGTCGTCGGATGGTGGACTCACTTCGGCCGAACGCTTGCACGAATGCAGTGGTGCTATCTGAATGTGCTGCTGCCCATTCAGAGTACGATGCGCCCGAGGCTGTACGCGCTCGTTCTTCATCAACAAGACTGGGCGCATCTATCAGCAGCACTGTGTGATTGCCCAAAGTGATGCGCTGGTTGAGCGGGCCGAAGGAAGAGAGGTAACGCTCCCGGGCAAGGTCAGAAAACCGATATGAGGGGGACGACACGCCTAACCTAAGATAGGATGAGTAGGTGGTAACGCGTCGAACATACAGGGAATGTACCCTATGTCATGGTTCCCGGGCATGTAATGCATGGCGAGACGCTCATCATGCGCGAAAATGCTCCTGAACCTACGAACGTAGCGACCGTACCTATGGACGTACCGTTAGCTCTGAGCCTCTTTGAAATGCCTACAGATTGCGGAGTTCAAGAATCGCTTGATTACTCACTCATCGTCAGACATGTCCACCCTACCGTTGTCCATCATGTCTCCAAGAAAGACGACTTGCTCAGGACGGCGTCGCAGCACTGCACGCCAGCTCTTCCTGATATTCAAGTCCACGATGAATTGGCTCAGGCGCATAAGCCATGGTGGGCGCTCCGGGTAAGAGCGGTGGTCAAGAATCTGGGGGTCGGCGACCAAAAGAACATGTGTTGGAGGTACGGTGGAGGTGCCCTACAATACGAGGACCATTTCAATGAGTTCTTGCCTGAACACTAGGTATGCGAACGTACAGACGTCGCAAGTGTCTCATCTGGCCACGCACAGCCTGCAGTATGGTGGTAGAAGGTGCCAAGTTCGTACCATGCTACTGAGAGTAGCCATACAAGCCTGAGAAAGTTGACAAGACGTGGCACGGTGCACGAGCGCACGATGACCATGGCGTGCTGACGGTGAGGAGAGGAAGGCAGAGTGGCTTCAAGGTAGCTTAGTACGTCTTACAGCATAGCCAAAGCCCCAGACGGGTGGTACGGTGTCGGCCAGGTATCAGATCACTAGCAGAAGTAGTGTATACAGCAGCAACAACAAGCGTGAGATAGGGAAAAGGTCAGCTCGACGTGGTGGAGGGAGGGAGGTGGCGGGAGCTTATGCTAAGCGCTCCGTCATTGCCTTGCTGCCGATCGCACTAGCGTGGGAATAAACGAAGACTGCGGGGCGCGACGCGTCGGTGTCCCAAAGCGGTAACCCCCGCTTTCTCTTACGCTATCATCCCCGACCACCTCAAATCGCGCATGGCTACAACGCATATATTCGAAGTAAGCGGCAGTTTGAGTTTGGCGCGTAGAACACGCATTTAACGCGCGCAAAACAGTATAGCAAGAGTAGTCGCGCGACGTGCCATGGTCCGCCACCCTGCAGGGGCTCCCCCATAGAGCTTGGAACGCTACGGTACGGACAAGTTACCAGCGGTCGTTACGGAGAGACGGTGGAATGGAGACACTGGTATGTCGATGCCTGACCGCAACGTCAGGCTATTGACTGGTGTACAGGGGATGCGTGACTCCCGACATCCTGTCGAAGCTTGCCTTAACAAAGGTCGAAAGTGTTCCAGGCTTTATGGACCTCTAGTGAGCTTCGCGACTTCCATGCAAGTACTCATGGCGCTCATATAGTTCTTCACAGCCCCGCAGACCAGTCCAAGATCAGACTTGCTGTGGGTCTTCGTCGCGTAGACCCTGAAGACATCCCTACCACTGCCAAAGTCCCTGACCCTGTACTATCTACCCCGGGTCCTAGCCAGAGGAAGCGCAAACTACAGTACGAAGCCTCCTTTGGGGCCTCGCAAGGAACGCCTCCCAGTTCCTCTCAGCCCGCTCTGTCGCAAGCTCCTTCATCGTCCCAACCCCCCTCCTCCCAACCACTTCGCCGTATCTCTGGCTTGCCCGCCGGAATGCCTTACCCGCAGCGAGTAGAAGAAGAGGTCGTGGAAGAAGTTGTGGAAGAGGAGAGCAGGGATGAGCTCTATCTCATGCTCAAGACCAGTATTGTGGGAATACAGTACTACAAAGGTTCGTATTGGTCTTGCTCTGATCATTCTATGTTCACCGTGCTTCAGGTTTGGTTGGGCCGGGCGAACAAGTGCGGCTTGTTCGAGAGCCCCACAATAAGTATGATCGGTTAGTGTGTTCGACAGAATATCAAGTACGCCGGAGAGCTGAGAGTCGGTTATAGGAATGCTATCCAGGTCAAAAACATCGGAGGCACGCAAGTAAGTGCAATTCTGCTCGGTATCTTCTGGGTGGCAAGACTCATCTCGTTTAGGTTGGTCACATACCGCGCACAGTGGCGAGCAAGCTTGCGCCACTCATGGACAGCGGTCTTATAACTGTCGAGGGTGTTATGCACGAAGGCAACCGTATGTGTTACCCTTCACGCTACAAATTCAGGTGTTGACGTTTACTACGCCTCAGTCTCTGGTTTTGCCTATTCATTGTCCATGTATGCATATCCCCTTGCAGGCCAATTAGACATAGTGCTCACATTGCATCTTTACTAGGACGTTGAAGGTTTATGGCCCTGCCGACAAACGTCAAATCCTGGAACCCAAACTAGTGTGGGCAACTCCAGGTCAGCGCGGGTTTCCCAAGCCAGACGCAAGCGGCATGCGCGCCATCCCGGGAGCTCCTACGCCTCGTGCCGCTCCAGCTCCTGCCCGCGCACCTGCGCCTTCTCAAGCAGGCCCGAGCTACTCTCAGGCGCTCTCCGCCCCAGCTGGGGCACCGGGCTATGCTAGTGCAAGCCGTAACGCCGCAGCATCTACCCAGCGTGCCAGGGCCACCGCCGCACAGCAAGAAGCAGTGCGCAAACAACAGGAGGCTCAGCGCAAGCAGCAAGAAGCATACGAGAAGGCTATGGAACTGCGACAGATTCTGAACAACCTGGAGAAGGTTGACGACGAAGGCCGGAGAAGCTCGCTCCTCGATACTCTGTGCTCTGTGGATGATGTACTCAGTTTGCCCGAACACCCGAACCCTCCTGGGGTCAGTACTGGCGATTTGACGGTCAACCTCCTGAAGCATCAGGTAAGCTCAGGCACATAGCAGCTGGAACCGTGGCTGATCGAGAATACAGAGCCAAGCCTTGAAGTGGTGCATCGATCATGAATATCCGGAGCTCCCGAAGGCGGAAACAGACAAACCTGTGCAGTTCTGGCAGCTCCGCAAAGGTGTCAGCGGCAAGGTGCGTCAGCACACACATCTCTATGAACCGACACATTAACGACACTCCTATAGCCCTATTATTTCAACAGTGAGCGCAGGACCATTGTTCTTGAGGAACCTACTTACCCCAGAGCGCAGTTGCTACAAAGACTCCTCAAGAGGCATCTCCCGCACTTGGACGCGGTGCCCTCTGCGCAGACAGCATGGGTTTGGTGAGTGCAACATGCCCGTACACGTAGGTGTGCTATCTAACGGAGTTTACGTTGCCTTCAGGGCAAAACCTTGACTATGATCGCTCTGGTGCTTGCGACGAAGTCTGACACACCACTCGACCACTCGGACTCTACACTCATCGGTCAGTCGCATGCAACATTGTCATACGCCATCTAACGTGAAGGACAGTCGTCCCGCTCTCGGTGATGTCCAACTGGGAGAAACAGATTGAAGACCACGTCAAGCCCAACACGCTGAGTTACTGCGTGTACTACGGAAAGAACCGCTCGCTTACGCCCGCCGAGCTCAAGCGGTATGACGTAGTAATCACTACGTACCAGACCGTCGCACTCGAACATGATCTCGGTGCTTCCTCGAAGGGCGGCGCCCCGGCTGCCAAAAAGCAGAAGGTGGACAACGCCCTATTTGATGTGGCGTGGAAGGTACGTGCGACATATATAAAGGAAGGAGATCAGAGGATGACGATAGATCGATACAGAGGATCATCCTCGACGAGGGCCATATCATCCGCAACCCGAGGACAAAGATGGCTAAGGCGGTTTGCGCGCTTCCTGCTCAGCGGCGTTGGGTCCTCACTGGGACGCCGATCGTGCGTACCTTTTTCAGCTTCCCTCGAAACGCGCTGACGTCGGGATCCCACTAGATCAACTCGCCGAAAGTTTGTTCATATCGTGTAGATCAATCATACGATGTACTCAACGCACATTGCAGGATTTGGGATCCATCCTTACCTTCTTGCGTATCTGTAATCCGCTGGATCAGGAGGACTTCTTCAAGCGTATGTTGCTACGGCCTCTCAAGGACGGCGACCCCGCAGGTGCTGAACTTTTGCGGGTGCGTTCGCATTCTACTCCACGCGGTGCTTGTAAACTTACGAATCTTAAGGCGTTGATGAGCCACATCTGTATCCGGCGGACGAAGGAGGTGAGTACCGAGTCCTTCTGGTGTCGACCATTGCTGACAAGCGTATCGTAGATGCAAGACAAAGACGGGAAACCCCTTGTCCCTTTGCCACCTGTCAGTCATGGCATGCATGCTCGCTGCTTCTGTTTCTGACTGCGATATCAAGGTGGAAATGACCGTTGTTCCGGTCGCGCTCACGCCCAAAGCCAGAGTAAGTAACCTGCGTCTTTCGTACCACTTCAGGGTCACTCATGGCACACAGGAAATGTACGATGCAGTCGAAGAGCTGTCCAAGCAACGTGTGGGCAGCCTACTTGCGCAGCACGGCACTATGCAAGCGGCCGCTGTAAGTGCCTCGACTTCAAGCCATCGTTTACTCATGCGAACCGATATCAGGTGCAATCGAACGTGCTTAGTCTGCTTACTCGGATGCGCCAGCTGGCCCTTCACCCCGGCTTGCTTCCTCCCAACTATCTTCAGCAGCTGGAAGGCAGCGGTGAATCTGACGACAGTGATGCTCCAGCCCCCGTACAGATCACTCCCCAAGAGCGCATTCGTCTGCAGAACCTGCTTGCACAAGGCATCGAGGACTGCGAGGAGTGTCCAGTCTGCTTCGGCGAGCTCAACGAGCCACGGATCACTTTCTGCGGACACATGTTCTGCCTGGCTTGGTGGGTCTATATCGACTCTTTCACGGTCAATAGCTAAGTTCTACGATTCATAGCATAACTGAGGTTATTGCGCGCGATCCCAAGTGCCCAATGGTACGGTGACTGCGACGTAACCTTTCAGTGTGACGGCTGACATGCCATTTTTCTAGGACCGACGACCTCTCGGCGTGGCAAACCTGATTGAGCCGCCGCCCCCTACAGATCTGACTCAAGCCCCGGTCCGTTTCGATGACGATGACGATGAGGAGGACAGCGATCTGCGCAACGGCTCTTCTGCCAAGATCGACCAACTCGTAACGCTGCTCAGGTTGACCCCCGAGACAGACAAGTCCCTCGTATTCTCCCAATTCACCGGATTCCTCGACAAGGTAAGCGGGCCAGAGCTTTTCGTGATGGTCAGTCTCTCATGTTGTATACCTTCCAGATCGCCGAGACACTGGAGAAAGAAGGGTGAGTGTAGGCGTGGGCATTGCTATACGCTTGCTAACCTTAGCATCAACAGTATCCCTTACGTCCGCTTCGACGGCAAGATGTCGGCACGCCGCCGCCAGGAGACTATCGCGAGGTTCTCTGTACCGATCAAAGCCGGTGAAGTCACGACTGCGCCCCCTTTGAGTCAAGTAGCGCAGCTGTCTTCCAGTCAACCCTCCGAGCCCGTACCGTCTCAGCGTTCGACCCGCCGGCGCACCCGTTCTACACAGTCGATCCTTCTGGACGGGTCTCTTGACGATGACAAGGACGACGACTTCATAATGGTTGATCCCTCTAGCGATGACGACGACGATGACCCCTTCATTGACGACGAGAACGTCCCTCCTACCCGCACGCAGGCGGCAAAGAAGGGCAAGGGTAAGGCAAAGGGTGGGGCCAAAGGCAAAGGCAAGAAGACGGCGCGTATGAGCGACCTGGTACCTGAGGAGTTCATGTCTGCCTCAGACACAAGCGATGTCAACCCGCGCGTCATGCTCATCTCGCTGAAGGCGGGTGCTCTGGGCCTGAACCTGACGGTCGCCAACAACGTGTACTTGTGAGTGTCTTACACAGCTGACGGGTGGTCAATCACTGATATCTTCTGGTGCTTATAGGATGGATCCGTACGTCTCGATTGATCATATTGGAAAGTGACTGGTTACTGACTAGACACCGTTAGCTGGTGGCAGGAGGGTATCGAATCGCAGGCTATCGATAGGTGCAATCGGTACGTTATTGATGTATCTCGAGAGCGCACATGTGCTGACTATGTTCTACAGGATTGGTCAGACGAAGCCTGTCCATGTGTACCAACTCATCGCCGAGGACACCGTCGAGTCGAAGGTAACTTTCAAGAGTTCTGTCGGGAGCCGCGGTGGCTCATAGCCATGTACAGGTCATCGAAATCCAAGAGAAGAAGAAAAAGCTTGTGCAAGAGGTGAGAGAAAAATCTCCTTCGCCTCGGCCCCGGCATGCATCAGTCTAACGCCTTTGTCCAGGCCTTCGCAGGAATCAAGAACGCCGAGACCCAACGCCAGAAGAAGGAAGCGCGCCTTCAAGGTCAGTTGAACCTCATGACTAGCCGTCCCAACGAATCTAACTCGACGTCTCTTTACAGAGCTCGTGCACCTGTTTGGTCTGCAAAAGGACGCCCTGGCTCAGAACAACAACGGCAGTGCCGGCGAATCTCAAAATACCCTAGATCAATTCCGAGCCTGAAGCCTGAAGTTCGCTACCCTCGCGCTCGCATTATACCTACTCATCACCTATCAAGCCCACGGCCCGCACTGCTCTAAAATCGGCCTAATGTCTACGATAAGCTTGCTGTATAGACCCCCTATATCATCCCATGCTGTATGTAGATTATCGTAGCTCTCGAGTAAGAACCAGTTCCTCAGTTGTTATGTCTGTGCTCGCGTGCAACTTTGGCCGAAAGAGTAAGATAGTAATCAACAACAACACCCGAGAGGTTTGTCTGCTGTGTGCGTGTGCACTGCAGTAACCTCTGACTGGTACTTGGTTCCCTAACAATGGAGGTCGCTACCAGGAGTACAGCGTGTGTCACATACGAAGCCCCGCCACCATCCCTCAACGCATCGCGCAAGGGTATCAAAGCTACACAATGGGTATACCAGATTCATCGTCCATATCGAATCCAGTCCTTCTCAAAATCTCCAGTTCCGCCTCGTCCGCCTCGATCCATCGGACCTCCTGCGCCTGTAACCTCTGCGAGTTCCTCGTCCGGCGCGTACCCTCACGCTGCCCGGTCAGCGCGAGGCTCGCCGCCGCGCGGGCGTCGTCGATGCGCGCCATGTGCCGCACCCACGGCTCGTAGTCCATGAACACCGCGCTCGCGTCACGCACGAGCAGGTCGCGCGGGACCTTGAGCTTGTCGAGCACAGGGCACAGCTCGCCGCAGTGCCGTGCTTTGAGGGGGTGCAGGTGCGGAGAGGGATCGCGATCGCGCAGCTCGGCGGGGGCGGGGTAGTCGGATGCCGCGAAGGCGAGGAGGTCGGAGGCGATGGCTTCGTCCCACGGGTAGGTAGAGAAAGTGACGGCCAGGTGGGAGGTCATGTCGGACGGCGACGCGACGAGGTGGCGGTACCCGAGCAGGTCGTCTGCTGGGGGAGAAGCGTTGTTCGACAGTTGGTCCTGCGTTGCCGTCAGTCATGGGCGTATCATGAGCGTAAGGTGTTCACTCACCCGTAACAGCGCATCCGAAGGTGGTCGAAGGTTACTGTCCACGAAGGAGCTGAGCTCGATGCATCTGGCGATGCGGAAAAGCCTCTCGATAGACTGGTCCTCCTGCGTGATCCCCGATGGAACTGGCGAACCGGTATCTATCCGTAGTGGGTCACCCAACTGTAGTTGATTGATCACCTTGCGAAGATCCTGAGTGGGTCGTAGTATGTGGTCCGGGTGTAGGGCGGAGTCTATGCAATGCTCCTCGGTAGGGATCTCAGGGTATTCGTAGAGTCTCTCGATCGTGGTTTGGTCTGTGTGACGTCCCTCCGCAAGGCACAGGGTCTGAAGATAGGAAACCGCCAGTGGGGCAGGACATGGCCGGAATTCTAGCGTCGTCTGGAGGGGTAGATCTTGAAAGGGGACCAAGGAGGTGTCTATAAAGGCGTCAGCTAACCGAGTTGTAGTGTATCAGGAAAAGAAGTTCACCATTGCAGGTCAGAACGATCGGTCTTCGACACTCTTTGATGATCTTTAGGAGCGCTGGCCAAAAGCCCGCATCCTCCTTGTACAACACGTCCACTTCCTCCACGAGTACGATCGACTGGCTGGCCACTGACATCATTTCGGCCTGAGGCTTCGGCTGCTCGACCTCCGGTATCGGAAGCGCGTTCTGGATCAGCGTTTCCTCGCCCTCGTCGTCCGAAACCACCCGTTTAGCGAAGAAATTAGTCTTAGGACGTAGTGGCTTCTTTTCTCGGATGTCGGGTTCGGGTGTCGCTTGTTGCTGGTTCTGCGTGACGAGGTGGTTCTTGCCCACATCGCCGATAAGCTTGTTGAGTGCTGTGCCGCTACGCTCGCCAACGCCGGGGTACACTTCGAAGACGTCCCACCCGAGCTCCTCCGTACAAGCGTACACTGCAGCAGTCTTCCCACAGCCACTGGGTCCGGAGAGAAGAATAGTGCTGTGCACCTCGCTACCGAGACGCGGGGGTTTGTAGGAAAAAGTTGGAACCGTGCTGGACCGCTGCGAAGAGGCGTATTCTTCAGTGGTCTGGGAAAGCGTTGGTGGACTTGAAGGTGGGTCGCCGATGGTTTCGTCCGTCTCCGCGCGCTTTAGTCGCGACAACGCCGGAGGGTAGGGATCGTCTTCCGATCCCCAGACGACCTCTGGTGGGTGTTCATCGTCGGTAGAGTCTTCAGCCAGCCAAGGCTCCTCCGGATCTTCAGAACCCACTCGGCGGCGCTTTCTCTGCACTTCCCGGATGATGCGACGCCGTTTGGTCCCTTTACCCTTCCGTTTGCCCGTGTCGTCAGATCTAGATATGTGCAGCTTCAAAGCCAGGAGCCAGTCGCGGAGGTAGAGTGCAGACCGCTCGTTCCCAAGCACTTGGTCGGCACGCCGCGGCCTCCATTTATCGTTCCACAGTGTGTGAGACGAAGCTGAGCCACCGGACGTTTCGTCCGCATTCTGAGGGTCCTTTGCTAAGAATCGGCTGAGGGCGGGGTAGCTGCGATGCGTCTCAGGGATATCGGCGTGGAATCGTTCCTGTGTGACAGCGTCTAAAAGGTGTGAGTGGTCGGAAGAGGGAGCTGAGGGGTTGAGTGCAGTGTCATGGGCACGTTTTCGCGTAAGACGTGAGTAGTCGAAGGCTTCTGCAGGTTCCACCGCATCATTTCGCCGTAAACGGGGAAGCGTTTGTGAGGGGGACGAGTGGAACACGCTTTGAGGACCTCTAACGTGTTGCATGGCAAAGTCGGGAAACGATGCTACGGATGCAGTGGAACCTCGAGGGGCGGGCGTCTGCGACGATGACCGGTCGTCTGGCCGCTTTCGAGGTGCGAAGATGGAGTACAACGGTTTGGGAGGATGTTGTGGTAGCACTTTGCGAGGGCGCGCTGGAGAGCGTAATGGCGAGCTGTCGACTATGATGATGGGAACATCTTTGCTGCCGTCTGGAACACCAGTCATTCAACCAGTCAAAGCAAGACGAAATATAGGACTCACCAGAGGCAAGCTCTCCCTTCTCATTTGAGCTACTGCCTTCCGCGGGATATGGGTTGGACGAGGCTGGGGGAATGCTCGAGTCTTCCGGGACATGCTCTGCGTCAGACGAACATATGTCGATGACATCGTCGGCTGGGACAGACTCGTTCTCCGAGGTGGCAGCGGACGCTTGTGGGGTGTTCTTCTTGGAAGAGGACTTGATGCCGAATGCGTCCCACAAGGAAGTCTGACGCGACTATAGCCGGGGTTGAACGATGTTCAGGTTATGATCTTTTGCCGTAGAAATTGTTCGTACCAGGCTGTCCTTTTCCTTCGTGGGCTTCCGCGTGCGTTTCCTCTTGGTCTTGGAAGACTGCGACATGGTGGTAGAGAGAAGGGAAAGGGGAAGAAGACGAGGGTGGGACACGGGAGAACTGAAGCGGTGAGAGAGGTGCCAGTGGTAGCCACGGCGCGCGTCTTGACGCGTCGACGCGTCTGGGGCACGTGAGACAGCTTCCAGACCTGCCCTGAAGCGTTCCTTTATCAGCGCAAGCGAGCGCCTGTTGCAACTCTCCAATGGACTCGTCTGTAGCAGCCACGGATGGCTCAGAGGCAGCGAGATAACCCAGGTTCCGGTGAGCTTCCTTTCTCCATCCGGTCCTCACTCTCGCTCATCCTTTTGCAGCCGTGCACTCGGGACGCCGGGAAGCACCAGTGGCCCAGAAGCCCATCGCACGAGACGATAGGGGCAGCGGCAAGGTGCTCGGGGCAGTCCAGTGACGAGCGGCAAGGGCGTCGAGTCAGTAATCACCGTCCTCGTTTCTTGTCTTCTTTTCTGACCAGCGTCATTCACAGTGAGGCCGGGTGGTTGGCGAGGTCACGCTGTCGCCCGATGTGTCGGTACCATCTGCGTCTAGGATGACCATGGTTGACACTGGCCAGCGTAGAGAGAAGCGGAGTTGCAAGGTGCAGCCCGCGGCCATAGAGATCCGAGAGAAGCTTCGTGTACGTATCTTTGTCCAATCCGTTGGCGCGCGCTCGAAGCTGATATCTGGTCACAGCGGCGCAAGGTGTAGCACCGCCGTATGGTGTTGCACAGCCGGCCGTATTGGTCATCGACCTTACAGGTCAAGAACCCGGTCGAGTTTTTACTTGGCCGGGCGTGCTGGTGGCCGAGTGTGCGTCAAGCGTGGCGCGTACTCGATGATCAGACAGAACACAAATCAAATAACCCAGGACATCCCGGCGCACGCGCTCCTCGGCTTCGCGTGGACTACTGTACGGGCCCCGATCGTTAACGAGCAGGAGGACATGTGGAGGTCGTGTGTAGTTTGTGCGCCACTGTGCACGGCGCGGTCAGGTCAATTGAATCGTCGTTGCGCACTATTTGTGTTTAAGCTCATGGATCACTGCGGCGAACGTAAGACTGCGCAAACGACAGTTCCATCGACACGCTGTCGCCCCCTTCGAACCGATGCTGGCGCTGTCGTACGAGAAAATTACGCTCTCGCCACCAAGCGGCCGCGCGTGTAAACCTGCCCCTCCTGCCTACAAATACAGGACCTGTCGGCTTGTTTGTTCCCCCATGGACTCTCTCAACCTGAAGTGACCTCCCGTTTGCGCGAGGTCGCCGCGCTCCCCTAAACAAGGGGGGCTCGATTGTGTGGAGGTAAACCCACATTCGGTGCGTTCCTCGATCCGCTCTCTCCTGCAAGCAAGGACTCATCCTAAAAAAACGTCTCTGTACAGCGCGCAGAGTGGCACTCACTACAAGTCACAGGGCCTCACGCAGCCATAGTCAAGCTGAGGTACCTGGCTTTGTTCGGTGACTGCTTTGCGCACGGAGTAGGACGTTCGAGTACGTGCATTATCCCCACTCCCGCCCCGTCCGTCCGTTCTGACACGACAGCCCCCTCTGCGTCGCGGTGAAAGCACGGTCAACCGGGGTGGCGCGTCGAGCGATCTCGGCCGCCCATGTCGTGCGGGCTCGGAACCGGCGCGCATGTCTCTCGCGGGTGCGCCAACCCACCCCCTGCTTGAGGTCTGTGCGTGCGCCCCTCCCCTTCCCCACCCTCTGTCATCCGCATCGCCAGGCTGACGCTGCAAGCAGGTTTAGGGCCATCGGCGTCCGGCGAACGGGAGCCCCTCGGAGACGGGGGTCAAGCGTTCGTTAGCCGGCCATTCTGCCACAGAAAGCCGTCAATGCGTCCGCCCTATCAGCTGCATGCGATGTGTGTGCGGACGGGCGAGGCGCGACGGCCGGAGTCGCAGAGGTCGTGAAGCAAATCAAATATCCCAGGACAGCAGCGGCGCGCACGCGCGCCGTGCACGGCATGTATCGCAGTTACGTTAATAGAGCTGTGTTTGACGTGTCTTCGAGTGCTCGTGCAGTCTGCGCACGGCTGGCGAAGTGTTCGAATGAAGGATGCCCGCGCAGTATTTTTACAAGCTTCAAATTGCGCTGATTCGCAAAGCCACTCTCTCTGGCTTTGCCGATTTCGAAGCACGTAAAATCTCCACACACTGCGTAACGCTGAATGGCACCAGGGCACAAAGGCTAAACTTAAGGGTCAATGTCCGAGTACAACGAGCAATGAGTCAAGCCATATGACCATGTCCGACCACAGGTCTCAGGCATGAAACGACACGCCCATCGCCATCGCGTAAAGCTTCTCCTTATCACCGCTCTCGTCCACCAGCGCGCGAAGCATACCCTTCTCGTTCTGAAGCAACTCGCTAGGCTTGCCGAACTCAACCTGCAACGCGCCAAACGCATTATACTTAGTCGGGTGCGGGAAAATGAATTGCTGGGAGAGAACTCACGATACGCCCTGTATCGAGGACCATCTGCAGAGAAGTTAAGTAAATTACGAATGGTCAAGCGGTGAAAAGGTCAAACGCACGATCTTGTCCGCGTCCATGATCGTTTGCAGACGATGTGCGACCGTGAGCAGCGTCACATCCTTGCCAAGCTCGGAACGCAGCGAAGTTTGAATAACCGAGTCCGTCTCGTAATCTGCCAATGTGCGTCATGGTTTGCCTCAATGCGCACCAGTAGGGGTCGGAACATACCAACCGCAGAGGTCGCTGTAGGAAGCAGGGGTCACCAAAGCAGTCCACGTCTACACGCCATTAAAGACGCACCTTCATCGAGAATCAGCAGCTTGCTCCGCCTCACGATAGCCCGAGCGAGAGCCAGGATCTGCCGCTGTCCTACAGACAGGTTCGCACCTCCTCCCGCGATCTCTGTGTCGAGCGTGATGCGAGACTGGTCGTCCTCGTTCTGCAGGTTGAACAGGCCGGCGGAGGGCAGGGCGCTATTTAGGACGGCGTCATCGTGCTCCGAGAACGGGTCGAGGTTCTGGCGAAGGGTGCCGCTCAGAAGCTCCGGCTGCATATATAATGTCAACACATAGTGCCAGAGGGTCTGCGAAAGGCGGATGACGTACCACTTGGGGGATAATGGTCATGTTGGAGCGCAGGGCATCCAGGTTGACCTTGTTAGTCAGTAGCCCCGGCCCATCGTACCGGATGTTGCCCTCCGTGAGGATACAACGCAGCAGCGACAGCGTGAGCGAGCTCTATATTTTGATGAGCCAGGTATTGGAGCTACATGGGTCGGGAACCACACACCTTTCCACTTCCAGTACGGCCGACAATTCCGATGCGTTCTCCAGAGGCTACTTCGAACGAGATGTCTTGTAGCACTTTCGGGCCGTCCTACAAACGGTGTAAAGAGCGTTGTCATTGTCGAGCGCAATGAAAGATCGCACCTCAGAGTAACGCGCAGAGAGTTTCTTTCTTTTTTCTTTGTATCCTTGTTTATTGCCCTCGAGGGCCGAGCCCTATGGTAGGCAATACATCGCGGGTGTCTACGGGATGGGGTGCGGTGGAGATCGTCGAGACATGTGTAGGGGGGTGGGGGGGTGCAGCGGCCGGAGCCGCCGCGAGCACAGTAGTATGAGTGTAGAGGCAGCGAGCTAGAGAATACAATAGTAAGCGAGCAAAAAGGAAAAGGGGGGGGCCACACGCTGCGCACACCGCGCCGGCCATACCATGGCAGGGCACCGGGTTACAAACCTATCCGCACTTTGCAACAGCGATTACGCTGCCGGGCACAAAGCCTCTTGCTGCGGGAGGGGTACGGCCGCCGGGCAGACACCCGGCGTCGTCGGAACTCCCCCGGTCCCAGCGCGGAGGTTATGTTTGCAGCGTGCCCGTATAAGTACAGAAGGAACAAGCAATATGCGAAAGAAAAGGTGGGGTGCGGGTGAGAACGGCGGGAGAGGAGAGGTGTTAGGCGTCGTCGTCTTCGTCGCTGTCGGGGTAACCCGAGCGTGGGCCGACTAGAGCACCGACTACCGTGCGGAGCCGTCCGGTCGCATTGATGAAAGTGAAGAGTGGGCGAAGGGTGTCCTTGCTGTTGAGCAGCATTGCGAGAGTGCGGCCGGAGAAGCCGAGGGGGCCGAAGTGTACTGCACGGTGGAGGGAGTAGGTGGGGCAGGCGAGGAGGTAGTGATGTACGGTCTCGGGTGCACCGCCGCATGTCGGACATGTCGCAGTCGGCGCCTTTCCTATGCGCGCCAAGTAGGCCTGCAACGGAACGTGATTAGTACGGAATTGAACGAGGAGGTTTGCATGCCGTCTGGGTAGCGCAGCGATCAGCACGCCGTATTTCTTCGAGGGCATCGTCCCGTCCACTTCAGCCATACGCACGCCGCGCACGGAGGTGCACCATCGTTTCGCCGCCCGACGGTCGAGCACTGCCTTGAAGTTCTGGCGTGCCCGTGTCGCACTGAGCGGCAGCTTCGCCCGGAGGGACTTCGGGAGGTGCTGAGTGTCTGACGAGGTGCCTTGGGCTGCTTCCTTGGCTGCAGTGTTGGCCGCCTCGTTGCCAGGGACGTCCGTGTGCCCCGGGACCCATCGCAGTGTGAGACGCAGGTTGGGGCGCACCCGCTCCAGTGAGGTCTCGTACGGCTGCATGGAAGATGTCAGTCAAATAACGCCCGGCACCCGCAGAACGTAGCTTCGAGGCTTGGATAGCCGCCGTGTTGTCAAGGCCGATGGAGGCGTGCCGTGAGCAGAGGATCGCGCGCCTCAGCAGTTCCATGCCGAGGATCGTCGCCACGATCTCCGCCTCGTAGACAGTATGCCGGGAGGACGGGCCCAGATGCAGCTGCAGGACTTCGGGCTCTTCGTCCCCGGGCTTGTACAGGAGAGCGGCTGCGCCTACCCCCCCCTCGTAGTCTGATCCATCCGTGTAGCGCGGAGAGTTTCTCAACCGAAAGATTCCCACTTGCTGGCCAATACGCTGGCGGCACACCCTCTGGAGTATTCTTCGGCTCGTGTTCGATACGCAGATACTGTTGTATACATTCCAAACTGCGAGAAGCAGAATTACTGTACCATTTCGATCAATTCGACATGTCACGGGTCACAAAGCCCTCTGTCGGTCGAAATTTCCGGTCGTGTCACAGGTCACCAAAACGGCCGTCGGGGGGGGTCAAACGGGCGCCAAATTTCCGGCGCGCTGACGCGCGCCCAAATCGGTCGAAAGTAGCGGTCGGTCACACCGCCCGCCCGGCGCCGTCGAATCTGTCGGTTGTTCGAACCAGGTCACCGGTCACAGGGCCTGTTGAATTGATCGAAATGGTACAGTAGTACCGCTGAACAGATGAGACTCGCACGAAGGTGACTGGACCTGTTGCCTATCGCCAGATATATCAGCGTCAGAATGGCCTCCATTCAGAGTATGCACCCACCTGCGACCTGGACCTTGTTGAATTCTAGGATCACTCGGAAGATGACAGTGCTAAATGCCGCTAAATTCGACGAATGCATCAGAACGGCGGTCTAAAATCACGAGAGAGACGTGTGTACTGACTGGCCATGTTCAGCGAGAAACCAGTGTCGGATGCGTTCATTTTGGTTATGTACGTCAGATAGATGGCGAGGCTGGTGGCGAAGATGGTCCCAATGAAGTCTATCCGTGCCCAAACCCACCTATGCCTCACAAGTCAGCAAGGGCGGGTGGCAGAAGACGAGTGCAGCCTACCGGTTAAGATTCTGGTGGGTCACAGCTACACGAGTATACCTATCGATACGAGCGTATGCGATTTTCTTGAATGCCTCCTGTGCGCCGTATGCCCTGATCGATGCTGTAGATCGGTAGTGAGTACAAAAAGTACACTCGGCCCCTGAAAATATACTCACTAATGCCGCTAATGGCTGCGCCAAAATGGCTCAACACCGGTGCCTTGGAGGTGCTCAACTCGCGCTTGACAGACAGCTTCGCTTTCATAAACACGTTACCACATGCACACCCCGCTAAAGCAACCATGATAGCAGGGACGACGAAGACAGGGGAAAACAGCACAACTGCGAACATCTTCAGGAGCATGTAGATGGTGCTGTCCACGAACTGCTCCGTCGCCCCTGCGATTCCAACGTCCACTGTAGACACAATTGTTGGTGACCTGGGGCTGCAGAGCAGACGGGAGAGAAGGGACCTACATGCTTGAATATCGCCCGTGCATCGCGCAATGATGCGCGCGGTTGGAGTTTTATCCAGCCAGCTGCAACTCGAGGCGATCAGGTTTGCGAACTCGCAGAAGCCGCATGGACGAACCGTAGAGTAGTCCCTAGAACGGAAGTAACGAGCTTTTGATGAACGATCCTCGCGGACCTGAGGCTGCCGAAGACGTAGTAGACCATGCAAAATGTGGCAGCTGCCATTCCCGCTACAACCAAGAGCGTGTACACCGTAAGGTAGCTGTAACATGTTAGTCGAGAAATGTATTATCGCCTGCGACACAACTCACTGTCCAACTTGGACCTCACTGGGAGGGTGTGTCTCATACTGGGAAGCCCAGTACCCGAGGTACCACGTCTACAGCATATAGATCAGAGTATGCTTTGATTGATGCTCGTTCGTGTAACTTACTTGGACGTTGACGAAGATGTGGCGCATGGCTTGACCAGACAAATATATGAGCCAGAAAAATAACGGCCTCTTCGACATGTTGCCAATGTACAGCTTGACTGTGACATGACATGAGCGAGCTTTGCATGAACAGAACAATGGTGGTACTCACAAGCCGTCCATCCAACGTGTCCATCTTCCATTTCCTCTGCAACGACGAGCTTGCCGGTGCTTTTTGTGGCCTTCAGAGTCTCGGGCTTCGGCGTGGTGACTTCTTGCTCGGCCTTCTCAATTTCTGCACGCTCCTCCGTGATCTCCTTGAGTAATTCCGAGTCATGTTCGAGCGTGCTCGTGAGGGAGCCCTGGCTCAAGATGCGCCCATCCGAACCCATAGCAACGACGAAATCCGCAACAGGGCTGACCATGGCGACGTTATGTGTCTGAAGAGAGGCATGTTAGTTGTTCAGCTCAAATTCTAGTTAGACCCGAATATTATACGCACAACTAGGATTACCGTACGTCCTTGCAGGAGCTCGCCTCTCAGGCACCGCTCAACAATCCACTTTGAAGTGTGCACGTCTAGCGCAGCGAGTATCTGTTGTGCATGGGTGAAGTGAGTACTCAGACAGCACGCTCTAACAAGTGCTACCTACATCATCTAGTAGAAGCACTTCGGCCGAAGAGTACACGGCTCGAGCCAGCGTTATGCAAGCTTTTTGACCGCCACTGTGCACCTAGAGTTAGCAACAGACGAGGGACTTCAGTTGGCGAGGGTGCAACCAGCTACGTCTATTAGACGTAGACCCGGTTGCAACTGCTCGCCCGGCATTATCTACAAAATACATCTCCACTGTATCAGACAATTAATGCCACTGAAGGGGATTGAACCGCGCTTCCGAACATTTGGGACTACAGTACAGTGGCGTGAACCACTACACCATAGAGGCTTGTCAAGTATGCAGAACCATTGCAATATATTGGGTCTCTTTTGGCGAGAAGAGGACCCGCCATTCAGGCTCCCTCCCCTCCCTCGCTGCGCTCGGGGGGTCCCCCGAACCGGGAGCCTTCAGGCGGGCACACTAAAGCCTCGTTCTCGCAATTTCTACAGACCGGCTCCTCTCAGGGGAGGGAGGAAGTCCATATATTGCGCTACCTAACCCTAATCCCTAACCCTAAGCCGAACCCTAAGGTAGCACACAGCCCTAAGCCAAAGGAGAAGTAACAAGGTCTAATGGTGTAGTGGATTGAGAACGGTCGCAAATCCCGAACTGCCGCTGCCCCCCGCAACCCCCGTACGACCCCCTGCTACCCCCCGGCAAGCGCCGAGTCGGGAAGCGCCCGTGAGTTCAGGCCCCAGTCGCGTCGCTCGCGTTCGTTTCTGTTCAGTCCTGTACATACGCCGCCATGTTATCGCTTGCCTCTCTAATACACGCTCTTTCTGGCTCTCATGGTGCTCTGGGGGCATCTCTTGGAACACTTCTACAGTTTATACGTCTCTCTTCGAAGCTTCTGCCTGTGATTCTGCACCGGATGCCATCCTCCTGGAACCCGGACGACCCTCCCGCCGAGCTTCCCCCCTACATCCTCGCCTTCGTGAGCTGCCGTCTGGGCGCGTCTGAGGACTGCGTTCAGACGCTTTGGACTGCGATTGGAGCCTGGATTTGGGCCGAGGGAGCAGATATTCTCGAGGACAGTGCCGCCGGCGAAGACGGCTTGGTGGACGGATGGCTCACCGAGGAGCCGGATCAATTGTTGTGTACGTGCAATCCCCTCATCCTAATTTCTCACCTCACGTAGCATGGCAAGCGGAGCATATGCTCTACCCCTCCCCCCGAGTCTGTACAGACCCTTCATGTGCCGGCCACGGACGCGCTCTTCGCCTCTATGATGCCCCGAATCCCGTCCAGGTATTTACGATGACGCGCGGTGCATACGATGCCCACGCCGTTCATCTCACCTGTAAAAGTAAGGGACGGTTCATGTTCGTGAACTCACTCGTCTTAATATCTGCCATAGAATGCAAAGCGTTATACTATCCGAACTACGTCGTACGAGACGAGATTCGCCAATACTATGCAGGAGTACCCGAATACATACAGGTATCTGGCCGGAAGTACATCGAACGCGCCGTACTCGAGCATTTCACCATGCTGTCCGTCCTCTCATGGACTTCTTCCACGAACGCCGCACACATATATCACCAATCCATGGCCAAGCTGAGCAATGACGTGCCCGAGGACTCCCGCTTCCGCTTGCAGGGAACTCACACATCGGACGGGCTGCTCATTCTAGCACTACTGCGCGACAGCGAGGATCGAGGGCAAGTGCTCGAAGTACCGAACGGCGGGCATCAGAAGGATAGATTTACAGCCGCCATGCGAGCGCGCACTCGCTCCATCCAGCGATCTGGACAGCCGGAGCAGGCCCACTGGTGCACTAAGTGTGTCCGCCGTTTCGACGACCCCGATGGCGTAACACGTACGTGCTCCGTTGTTACTGCGCTCATTAACTGACAGGGGTTTCTAGGTTATGTGGACTGTGTAATCACGGACGGCATCGACGTCGGGCGGCCGTGCTGCGGAGTCCACAACTGCCGCCGGGAGCTACGGACGCCTCAAGACCGCTGGTGCCCGGGTCACCAGAGCTGGGAGCTTCTATGTGTGGTGGACGGCTGCTCCGTCCCTCATCGCCTAGGGTGTCGCACCTGTGAGCTCCACGCGTCCGTTGAGGAGCATTTCTTGGCGACCAGCAAGGCCATATTCACACTGCGGGCGCGGCTGCAGCGGGCGCAGGTTGCTCATCCCACCGACGCCATCGCCCCGGATGCCGCCATCGACGAAGACATCGAGGCCGAGGTGCCCGGGCCTTGTCCTGACAAGACGGCGGACGGGAACCACCGCGTGCGCGCACGGTTCGGACGGCGGCGGACTCACAATGAGCAGCTGATCGTCCGTCCGTGCGGCATCATCACATCTCGGGAGACGTTTTATGGGGCTGAGAGCGTTCCGCAGGTCGTGGTACGTGCTTTCTCTCCACGCTTACCGTGTTCTAATACTTTGCCAGGACATGATCAAGAAGAAGCACTTGGTTCCCGGCTCGATGCCGCGCTACGTGTGGTACGACAATAACTGCGGCCTCTTCAAGTACTGTGCCGCGCGCGCGCGCGAGCGTCTCCATCTCGATGTCGGCTTACCGGTGGACGTCTTCCACTGGAAGTGCAAGCACAAGAAGACGGACATCAAATGCTCCTTCCACTGCAACCCACACCTTTTTCAGGAGCTCCTCAAAGACGACAACACGTGGTTCTTCAACTCGTCGCGCGCCGAACAGACCAACGTCTGGTTCGGGGGGTATCACGCAATCGTCCGGGAGATGGGGGCAGTGAAGTATGAGTTCTTCTTAGATGAGATGATATTGCAAAAGAATAAGCTGACGCGGGCGAAGCTCGAGGCCGAGGGATGTATCCCGGGATACCGACGAGAGCTCCGGTTTGGCAGTACTGTATTATCTACATAGTCTGAGGGTTACTGTACACATACTCGTTGTCTAGTTCTCCTTGTACGCCACCGCGCTGCGGTTCTCGCCGTGTGTCCATGCATACCCACCTCGCCGTCGCGTCGTTGCGTGCTCGTACAATGCATACCTTGCTGTCGCGTTGTTGCGCGCTCGTACACCGGTGCGCCTCCTCACCGCCGTCGCGCACGACGGTGCACGCGTTGTCATGAGCACGCCCGGTCCGCCCATACTCTGCCACCGCGTTGTTGCGCGCGTGAATGCCCGTTCATACTTGTACACCGGCACGTCGTGTTGCTGCACGCCCGCTCATAGACCGCCGCGCACCTGCTCACGCATCGTTGGCACAGAAAATATGACAATCTAATTCAGGTAGTAGACAACAAAACGACAGATAATGAATGAATGCTATGGATTAGGCATGTACTCCCGCATCCTCCTCGTCATCATCCAGCGTGAGATCGATGTCCACACGCTCTATCTTGATGAGCCGGCGCGGGTGCGGTGTGGTGATCCGGCGCGGTGGGGCCTGTGGGGGTGGGGGGACTACATTGTCGTCGTCCGAGTCGTCAAGCGTGAGGTCGATATCGACATGTTCGATCTTGATTCGGGGTGGAGACAGCCTGTTCGGGAGTGAAGCGTCGGACTCGCTACCGCTGAAGGTGAGGAGAGGTGCATCTCGCAGTGTGGCATCGGCGTCGAGAAGGGCTTCCTCCTCATCAGCGTCTTCATCAAACAGACTGTCTGGTGTTTCTGAGCGCATAAGAGCGATAGACGTGCGCACGACAGCGAGCATCTCTCGACCGTTGGTGTCGAGGTATGGGCTGCCCTCAGAGGGGGGTGCGGGCGATAGGCGATCAAGATCAGCGAGCAACGCGAGGGTGGAGTCGCGCAGTGCCTCGTGTGCTGACTGACCGCTGTCCGACAGGTTGCCCCAAGGACTGCTAGCGCGTGTGTCGAGGGCCGCCGCGGTATGTACAGCCTCAGCACGAGAAGCTTCGAGGGCCGCCAGATATTCATCGTCGTCGTCTTCATCCGTGTGGCTACAGTTCTCGCAGCCCGGGTGTCCCGGTTCCATGCAACGGAGGATCGATTGCGGCAGGGACATGTCGGAGATGGATGCCTCCAGCGCTGCCTGCAGATCGTCTTCGTAGCTTGATGGTGTTTGTGAAGGGCCAGACGCAGGCGCAGACATAGTCCCAGATCCTGACGCCACAGCGGGGACCCAGGCAGGAGTGGACAGAGAGAGCCGTACAGACGAGGGGCCGGCACCGCGGGAGACAGAAGGGACAGTGCCATGCCAGACAGACGACGGGCCAGCGCTGTGCGAGATAGATGTTGATGACGATGACGCGTGAGAAGGCGGAGGGCCGCGTGAGCATGAGGACAAGGTAGTACCAGCCCCGAGCAAGACAGAAGGGACAGCACTGCGCTGGGAAGAAGTGCCAGCGCCGCCGCCGCCCCGCCGGACAGAAGAGCCAGAGCCAGTGCCACGCCGCATAGACGAGCCAGCGCCGTGCGAGATAGATGATGATGATGACGGCGCGTGGGATGGCGCATGGGCGCTGTGAGAGACCCTGTCGGCCAGCGACGCTTGGATTGCTGCCTTCAAGTCGTCATCCTCCTGCGAACTTGGTGGAGGAGGTGTTATTGTAGGGCGCGCTACCTTCCGCGGCCGCCCAGAGTCCGAAGACTGATCGCGCGCAGGACGCTTCATCCTTGCGCGCGCCGAGATCGGGGGCTCTTCAGAAGATAGGTCGTGTGCCGGACGCTCCGGACGCTTCATTCTTGAGCGCGCGGAGGCCGGGGGGTCGTCGGAGGTGTCGCTGCGCTCTGCAGCACGCGAGGCCCGCGCGCGCGCAGAGGTTGCGTGCCCGGCAGGCTCCTTCCCCATCGCCCGCGCAGAGGGTGCGTGCGCGACAGGGTCTTGAGCAGGACTTGTGTACTCCGGTGTTGGGGTTGACCTGGATCATAGGACAATGTCAAGCCTTGTAGCGGAGGAATAAAATAGGAACGTACCGCGGGGACATGGACGCGGAGGGTGATGATGTGGGTTGGACTCCGAGGATATTCAAATCCCCCTCGCTGAGAGAGCGATGGAGGTCGCAGCCTCCAGCGACCTCACAGTGCTTACGACATGACCGGCGTCCGCATCGTCCGGCGACGCGCGAGGTCCCGCAGATGGGGCAACGCGGTTGTGCGCCGGCTTCCCCTGGAGACGTCGAACGTCCTGCTCTGTGGCGTGCTGCTGGGCCTGCTGGTGCACTCAAAGCGCGAACGGGGGGCTCTCGTGCGTGGTTGCAATACCGGAAGTATGGCGAATGCCCCTTCGACCGGCACCCTTCGCACTGTGTATGGGGTGTGAGTGCAAAGCCCACCAGCGATAAGGCAACACTCACCGCCACAAAAAGTCGCAGATAGTTTGCTTTGTTTGGATCGAGACATTGCCGGATGACAAGCTTGCGTCCGCAGTGGGGACAGCGCCAGTCCTTTCGTGTAACAGGGCCCCAGCGCTCGTCGCCCTCGTCGAGGTAGTCAAGGTCGTCCTCATCTTGTTGGCAACATGAGCAATGTCGACGAGGCATAGCAGAGGCGGGGAGCGGCGGAGGCGGAGACGCGGCGGAGGCGAAGACGGAGTATAGAAGATGGGGATGAGGATGGACGGGGAAAGGGTGTCGCGGGTGGGGTAATGAGAGGAGGGAGGAAAGGGTGAAGGTGTGCGCGGTGCGCGAGGCCGCTGTTTAAGTAGGCCACTCCGTGTTTCACAGAAGCTGGTTGACCTGGGGGACATCGGGAGGGCTGGGGGACATCGGGAGGGCTGGGGGACATCGGGAGGGCTGGGGGACATCGGGAGGGTGAGGGGTGAGCATCGAGAGGGCGGCGCACTTCTGTGACCGCCGAGCGAGCGGTAGCTTATTACCATCCTGGGATGATGGGGTAATATACATAAAATGGCAACGACGGAGTACATGGGCACGAGACAGAGACGCAGTCCTGACAAGCTATTGAACAGAGAAAATATAGACACTTACAGCCGCGAAGCTACTCCAATTCCTCATCCTCACCAGCGTGCTTACCCTGTCCCCGCTTGTGCCCGTTCTCCATCTGCCAACCGTCGAGCTGCTTACGCGCCCGCGTCCAGGTGGCATTCTTCGTCCGAGGCATGTTAGCGACGTGTTCGCGCTGCACCTGCGAAGAGTTGACCCAAGCGCGACGTGAACGCTGGTAGGTTGTGGATTTGAACTGCCTCCCGAAGACGTACTCGAACCGCTCGCCCAGCGTGATCTTCTGCTCTGGGTCCTCACCGCCAAAGTCATCGCCGTCGTCGCCGATGAATGTGAATGCCTTCGCGACATCGCACGCGTAGAAGCCTGCGGGCCATGCTTGCGAAGTGCGCGGGGCATAGACGAGTTTGTGCTCCCAGTGCTGGTCGAGATCGTCAACAGCAAGCTTCGGTAGTTCCGGGCGCCGGAGTTTTGGACGCGCGGGATGATGCGGCTCAGCATAGACAGGTGTGGCGGCCGCGGGCGTGTCGAGAGGGTAGACATGGAACAGGGGAGCCGGTGGTGTTAGCATGAGAGCGGGCGTTGCACCGTATGGGACAGTCGGCTGAGCGGGGGCTGGCGGCAGTTCAGATGTGCGCGGAGGGTCGTATGGTAGCCCAGAGCCGCCTAGATCGCCGACGTGTGTAGACATCATCGACTGCGCTGATGAGCGCGACGACATGAGACCATCCGAGGTGAGAGACATAGCCGACGTAGCAGACGTCACCAAAGACATCAACGAGTCCGTACTAGGCAGCGTAGGAGGGGTCGCCACAGAGGGAAGCCGAGTGAGAGCCGTGTGCGTCGTAAGCCTAGGATCCAGCCAGGCACCGGGAGAGATCGCCCCAGTGTACGGGGCGGACGGGACACCTAGACGGGGCACATAGTACGACTGTGTCGGGTGGGAAGCAGGCGCCGTGAGCGGGGCCACCATGCGTTGAGGGTTCCCAAGCCCGTTCAGGCGGCCTCGTATGCCCGACGCGCGCAGGCACACATCGTCGAGGTCGACGCAGTTTACGACGCCGATACGGCGAATGAGGACATGTTCTTGGGAGCGGACCTTGATCTTGTAGGTGAGCTGTAGATTAACCCACGAGCGCGTCGCGAGGTTGAAGCGTTGGACGGCGCGCTCATTGACGAGGCCGAGGTCTTGAATCACATGAGATAGTTTTGCGAGCTCGATAGTCGGCCACGATGGCGGTCCTTGAACCTGTATCTGAGTTGATACGGAACCATCCTATGACGAATAGAAGTCAGTGTGAATTTGAGTTAGTCTAATGGTAGCCCGGGATGTACTCACAACCACCCACGCTTCAATGTAGAACGTATGCTCGACCATCAGCATGTTCTCGCGGCGCTCAGCCTCTGCGTGGTTCTTCTGAAGCTGCCTTCTCATCGCGGCGTCCCAGTCCGCCTTGAGTTCGTCCGGCATGACTGCGCGGTGAACGCGCGCGATGTCCGCCGGGCCGGTACTGTGAGTTTGTGGGTCTCCTGGTGCGCCGCCGCCACTTGGCGCTGGTATGGACGGGGTTGCTGGCTCAGGGTGAGAGAGAGAGAACATGTCGGAGGCGGGGGGAGTCGGGTGCATCGCCAGAGCTTTGCGTTCCTGGTCGTGTGCCCGAAACCCGCATGGCGTAGGTCGGTCAAGGCAGTGCTTCTTGCACCGCTGCCGGGTGCATTTACTAGCGAGCTTCTGGCCTGACCTACAACCAGGTTCGGCGCAGGTGTTGCTCTGCGTCTGGGAGACCCCGGTGGAGGGCATGGAGTATGGCGTAGCTACAAACTCGTACCGCATATGAGGTGAGCCGGCCGCTTGTACAACGGGCATGGTAGCGGCTGTTGTAGGCACCATGGGAGCTGGGGTAGGGTTGTCCATCATGCAGCGTAGTGGACGTATGTAAAGTAGAGGCAGCATCGCGCGCACACGAACATGAACATTGGAGGGACGGTCTTCTACTCGGGAGGTGAACAACTCGATCGCGCGGGGGTACCGGACATGCGGGCGCTTAATGGCCGGCGCTTGCCGGGGGGCATCGGGGGGCAGTGGGGGCAGCGGCGAATCGGGAATTGCTGACTCTCTGAGTGGATTAGTGTGTCTCTTCCGTTTCGGAGATCGCTAGTTCAATGCTGCACATGGGCATTTAATTATTGTTCGACGTTTCGGGAAGCGGTTGCAACCGGGCCTACGTCTAATAGACGTAGCTGGTTGCACCCTCGCCAACTGAACATACTGAACAGACAATGTAGAAGATGTGAAGGTTAGAGCCGATGCGGGAGCTAGGGGAATAAACGAATGTCTCAGCGTTCGGGGGATACGAACGATTATGTATTGAGCTCGTAGCTACCTAGGGGAATAAACGAATGTCTGTGCTACGAGTGAGTAAACGTCCGTGGTATAGTCAGCGTGGAAGCTCACCTCAGCGTTCGGGGGATACGAACGATGAGGGAGAGCGAACACTGGGCGGCGAGTATATCAGACGGCCGCGAGGCCGGCGCTATCAAGATCGTACCTAGAGCCCATCGATAGGCGAGAGAGCGAGCGAGAGTCGGGCTCGTGCCGTAATGCGCGAGCGGGAAAAGTCGGAAATAGAAAGGCGGCCGCGGGCGCTTTGACCCGACGGCAGTAAGTAGACCTGCCGGAAACGGAAAACCACAACAGAAGAGAGTGTCCCGGTCTAGTATGTGCCTCAGTGTGATACCCTTCTCGCCAACTTCCGTCTGGTCTCCAGCGTCGAACAAGTTGAGGTCGTGCTTCAAGGCGCATTGCTCGAGGACTAGTAGCGAGGAGTGCATGTCAGTAATTGCGACTCACGTTGGTATTAATCAGGTTTCACAAACATACCTTTGTTGTACCGAACTTCGTCGTAAGAAGCTCCGAAAGTTACGTTATTCTGCGAGGTTTTGAGTACCCGTTACTCCGCCGAAGAGCAACGCACAAGTAATCACATACCTTGATCGTGTCGCTCTGTACCCAAGACTCTTGCGCAGCGTACGCCACACCACCTGCTCTCGGAAGGCTCAAAATGAGTCCAGACTGGAAGGGATATAGTGCATCTCCCCTTGGCAACCACAATCGCATGTCAAGACCAGTCTCATAGCCGCGCAAAGTGAATATAGAGCTCACCAAGCAAGGCCATCAGCAGAGATGTCTTCCCGGTACCAGTAGCACCTGTGATCAGGTTAATCTTCCCCTTCTGGAAGACCAACTCTTCGTCAATCTTGAGCACAAACGCGCATCTGCGCGTTTCGCCCTGTGTCTCTGATGGCGACATGTCTTTTGACCAAGTGAATGCCGCCTGGCAGATGCCGATAACGGCGTTCATATCGTCAGGGATCGTGTCTAACAAGACCTCGGCAGCCTCGGAATCCTTGTCTTCATCGAACTCGTCGATGAGCTCTGTCTGGTGGGACGTCAGTCTGATGACAGAATCATCCTGAACGAACAACACTTACGTTCCGCAGGAAGTCGGAGAGCCTCTCAATTGAAACTTTCGCTGTGACAGAGAAATATATAGTCAGCGAAGGAGAGTGAAGTAAATTGTCTAGAGTACAAACATTGAAACAGCTGAGGGATCATATAAAAGGTGGCTTGCAGGTCGATACGAAGCATGTCGAATACTGTGGACTCCAGTTTAGCTATTAGGACTAGATCAGTGTGTCGCTAGAGTGCTCACCGGACATGGAGGAGAATACCCGGGATGCTATAGGGAGATTAGACGACGTCAGGGTGGGAAGTTGCACACTTACCCGTTAGTTGCTGTTTCATGATCACAGTCTGTATCGAAGGTTAGATCTTAAGTTCGCACACAGCTGCTCGCAGAAAACTCACGTAAGTGAAGAAAGTCGACATCATAATCACCACTGGGATTAAGAAGCTGTTGTAGTATCAGCAAATAAAACTCGCAACACTTCTCAACTGGATGTGACGTACTTGAAGAGGTTGATACTCAAATTGAGCAGCTTCGTCTTGCGCACCGCCACGAGCTCCTCCTCACGTTTCTTGTCAAGCCGCTCAGCCATACGTGGCTCCCATCCGAACAACTTCACCATGCGTATGACACCCATCACTACAATGGTGACAACGTGAGTATGCCATTCTCACAGATAAAGGAAGCAAAGTCTTGTCAAGCGTACTCTCTGTGACAGTCTGGACACGAGCATTGGTCTGCAGAATGTCAGTCTAAACGCGTGGCGCTGACAAGAAGGACGTATCTGTTTCATCTTCTCCTGTTGTGCGCCCTGAATGTGCTTAGTCAAGTATCCAGGTAGCGGCAGGCACATCAGCATCGCTGCAAGCCCAACGATGGCGCTGTACATGGGTTCGTGAGCTTCTACACGGTGTCAAAATAATTGATAGTAACGCACCTCCAGCCGAGAATCTGGTACAGGAAGACGATGCACAGCGCGATCTGGAAGGGCGACTCGATCACTGGGCAGCATTTCAGCCGATTGTTACGCTACTTAGCTGCACGCGACGACGTACGGACGAACACTACACATACTGTACCATTTCGATCAATTCGACATGTCACGGGTCACAAAGCCCTCTGTCGGTCGAAATTTCCGGTCGTGTAACAGGTCACCAAAACGGCCGTCGGGGGGGTCAAACGGGCGCCAAATTTCCGGCGCGCTGACGCGCGCCCAAATCGGTCGAAAGTAGCGGTCGGTCACACCGCCCGCCCGGCGCCGTCGAATCTGTCGGTTGTTCGAACCAGGTCACCGGTCACAGGGCTTGTTGAATTGATCGAAATGGTACAGTATTCCGACGTTCTCAAAGTTGGCGAGGTCGCTCGAGACCAAGTTGTTGATCCTCCCGATGAGATGCTTGCTCTCCTCCTTCTTGGTGTCGTCTACATTAACGGACTCCGGTTCCTTCCCAGCCTCAGGCTTCGAAGTGGCCTTCGCCTTCGCCTTGGCGGCATCGGGCGTACCGAGCGGTCCTGCTGTACTCGAGGTCGCGGCTGGCGAGTATGCTGCTGATCCGTCACTGTCATCGTCACCCTGCGAGCCGTGGGCGCCAACCTGAGACGCGTTGTCGGGAGTCGCAGCAGCCGTACTGACGCCACTCGACGGCGCCGAGTTGGATGTTTCCGCCTTCATGCGCACGCGCAAGGCGTGCTCGAATACAAGCTCGGTGATGATCGCTTGGATGCGCACACACAACCTTGTCTGTCCGAGGTGTCAATATTATAACTTAGAAGGAATGGGGATTCGTAAGAGCAGTACCTCGTGGAACATGAACCACTGGTCGGAGATGTCTTTGAACACCTTTCCCAAAAAGAAGAGCACGATCCAGAACCAAGGCCGGACATGAGTCACTGTCCTGTCGGATTCTAGATAGCTGCATTACGGTGAAGACAATAGGGTTAATCCGAGAGAGAAGATCTGGGCTTGAGTGACATACGTGAGGAGCTGGTTGATGCTCAGAGGCGCGGCAAATGCAGCGAGGACCTGTAGACGGTCAGAGTACGCTAAATCTCGACAATGCATTACACTTACAGCAGTGATCGACATTGCAGCTAGATTGAGCAGCTCATATCCTAGAATGCGCATTAACACGAAGCGAGCGAAATTGTGCCATATACAACTCACGGAAAACACTGATGAGGTCGAATGCGAGATGTCTACGTGAACGGTTTTGCAGCGGGTCTAAACGCTATATAGTAGGGATAATCAGCACCGATGTCCCTTGGAAGCGTGGTGAAGCAGGGAGACGCACATGGAAACTCCGTCCAACCAGGCTCTTCAGGCGGTCGTACTCGGGCAACGGGGGGAGCATCTCGTAGGTCAGCCGTGGGACGCGCCACGCGAGCCAGATCAGTGGCTCCACAGAGATATAAGTTAGTAGCGTGAATAGAGAGGCGGTCTGTTCTGGATGCAATTCTAGCTGTTCCTATGGGGGGAAAGTAGTTCAGCGAGCCACCATCCTTCGGAGACATGCCCACATACCTCCGGGTCAATGGGAATGTAATTCCTCGGGCAGAACAAGGGTACAAATACTCCACTGAACGAGAGCAAAGCCACTCGCATCCACAACAACGCCCCGTCACTCGCATCCACCATGGAGAGGTCCACAGTTGCCAAGGGCCAAACGTCGCGGTATATGTATACACCCCAGACCACTGAGAGAAGCAGCGACAGGTGGACAAACGCGCGGAAGACGACCTTCGTGCCACAAAACGTGGCAAGAGTGCCGAGTATCGACAGATAAACCTTTGCAAGAGCAGTCAGATATGAACATAGCGTTACGGATGGATCCACGTACGTAGAGGACCACTTGAACGACGTCGACTACAGTGAATGGGCCCACAATGCGTGCGTGCGAGTTAGTGTCGTGCAGAGGTGTAAACACTGACAAAGCGAGCAGCGCAATAATGCTCAGGAGTTGCAAGAATCTGAACACAAAGATCTTGACGCTTCCCACAGAGTTCACGCATCGGCGAAGGGAGTAAGGTTGCGCATGTGCCTGAGCACCCGATTTTGGAATGCTATCTTCGACATTTCTTTTGCGAAGAGCGTTTTTGACGGCAGGAGAGATGAACAGAACGCCAGAAAGGACGGCGCAATATGCTGGTATGACCAAGGAGTCGAACCACGGGCTGTGTTGTCTGTCAATGCGACTTCGCGCGCGAACACCACGCGAACATACCTTTGAACGACGGACGTGATAGCGAGCTCCGACGCATTGAGTACTTGCTGATTCTGTTCAAGCCAATCCAATGAACGGCTCATGGCACACGAAGCCCTGGCGTAAGTCGTGGTGGTGATTGATAACCAAGGTCGGATCGCAACGACGGACGGTGTCGGCGATCAAATAGGTCCTAGCCTTGATATATGCCGCAGTCCACTTTTAGACGCGCGACATCTGACCATGGAGTGGGTGAGTGCAGAGATGACTGGATTGATCTGAGTTCACTCACCTAGTGGTAGTTAGTGCATATCCAGGGGTCTCACTCCCAGTGCCTGGAGGCTGGGTATAGCCGTACAACACTGTAGGCACCCGAGTCTTCCCGTTAATGTTGCCGAGGAAAGCTCCTCAGGAGGTGCCCACTTGTAGGCGGTTCCGATTTCTCGCCAGCCTTGTCGTAGGCAATATTTGGGCCGCGTGTGCCCTCGTGCGCCTGCAATGCTGAGCGAGCGGGCCAGGCAAGTCGTTTCGATGGCAGTGCTGCTGAAATGGGCATGCCGGTGATAAGCCAAGCGCTAACCGACGCCACGTGGGAATATTCATAAAACCTGACGTACGGGCGCGAGTCACTCGTAAATTTCTTGCCTGCTCACCACCTGCTCACCGCCCTGCTCAACACCCCCGCCTCAACCTGAGCGACTCCGCTCGTACATGACTTTCACGCAAAACACTCGCGACGAGTACGCAATCTCTTTTCTTCGTGTCGTTTGCTTGCACTGACACGCGTTCGTTCGCACCACCAGTTACCTCAGCGACCTCGTATTCTCTCTGCTCAGTCATTAAGTTTGACTTCGACAACATGTTGGCCCGTAACTTCACTCGTATTGCTCGTCTCTCTCGGGGCTTTGCTTCCCATGCGCCATCTACCTCGCTGCCCGCCGCGCTTCACTTGAAGACAGGCCAATCGTTCACTGGCCGCTCCTTCGGTGCGCCGCGTAGCATCTACGGAGAAACCGTGTTCTCCACATCTATCACCTCTTGTGAGTAATATCTATGCTGGTCCATCGACGGAGTAGCGTCTTGACGTGGCATTTTTGCAGACACGGAATCTATGACCGATCCCTCCTACCGTGGTCAAATCCTCGTGTTCACCACCCCTCTCATTGGGAACTACGGCGTGCCGTTGAACAAGACGCCCATCGACGACAAGGACGTCGGTGTCGTGCTTGAGTCGGAAAAAATACAGTGCTCAGCTGTGGTCGTAGCCGATGTCGCGGAGAAGTATTCCCATCACAGCGCTGTGGAGTCTCTCTCCTCCTGGTGCAATCGCAATGGCGTCCCCGGCATCACCGGTGTCGACACTCGCGCCATCACTACTCTCCTTCGTGACCAAGGCACCACCCTTGGCCGCCTCGCTGTCGGCCCCGACGCGTCTCTTGCTCCTCCCTCCGCTGAGGAATACTGGGATCCGACCACCGAGAACCTCGTCGCCCAGGCCTCTACCAAGGCCCCCTTCGAGCTCAACCCCACCGGTGACGTGAAGATTGCCGTCCTCGACTTTGGTGCCAAGGCAAACATCCTCCGTGCACTCGTGCGTCGTGGTGCTGCCGTCACCGTCCTGCCGTGGAACTACGACTTCAACCAAATTCGTGACCGCTACGACGGGCTCTTCCTGAGCAACGGTCCCGGCGACCCGAACCACTGCATGGACGCCGCGATGCACCTGCGCCGGACGATGCAGGAGTGGGACAAGCCCATCTTCGGCATCTGCATGGGCCACCAGGTCATCGGGATGGCCGCAGGGATGGAGGCGTACCGCATGATGTTCGGCAATCGCGGGCACAACCAGCCCGTGCTTGCGCTGGCGTCGGCGGGCTCTATCAAGGCCGGCCGTGTCTACGTCACGAGCCAGAACCACCAGTACGCGCTGAAGCTTGAGGACCCCTTCCCTGCTGGGTGGGAGCCGTTCTTCATCAACTGCAACGACTCGTCGGTCGAAGGCATCAAGTCTACCGCCGAGTCGGGCAAGAAGGTGTGGGGTGTGCAGTTCCACCCGGAGAGTGCCGGTGGCCCGCTCGACACCATCGAGGTGTGTATTACTCATATTAAACTGTCCCTCGTGGCGTGGTTGATTAATCCACATTGCAGATGTTCACGGACTTCCTCTCCGAGTGCCGCGCGCACAAGCTGCAGCTGAACATTCCCCGTGCGCAACCCATGGATGCTGCCAAGGTCGTTCCAGGTCTCGCGCATGAGATCCCTCAGCGAGTAGCCGTCGCGGCCTGAGGAGGCGGTTGGGATGTGGATATGGAAATTACCTGGACAATCGTAAAACTGCTTCATGCTCGTAACCACATATTGTACTCTAGATCCAAAGTTTGTGCAACAAGCCGTTTTGTTTCATTTTGTTTGCGCCGCCGCACGTTCCTGAAAGACGATGATGGTTCTTGAGGCTTCAAGCGGCCCAAGCATCGGTGCTGATCATGTATTGCCATGCAGCTGGTGCTATCATGGCAACATGGCCGAGCGGTCCAAGGCGTGTGACTCAAGCGAAAGCTTGCCTGCTTCAGCGGGTTTCTCATCTGGGTATCCAGGCGTGGGTTCGAACCCCACTGTTGTCAAGCTTTTTTGTCTGTTCTTGCTATCATAGCGTGTCCGAGAATGCTCAAGTTGCGCGGAATATCGAACAGCCCCGGGGAGCTCAGCGCTCAGGAAACATATGGTATGCGTTGCCGTAATCAGGCCGGCGCCTATGTTCCTGCTTGATTGAACCCCGACCGTCACCCACCATCCGGGTCGGAGGACCGTTCCTTTGTACCCACCATGTCCAACAAACGTTTATGTAAACGTTCATACTACTTAGGTTCATATCTCAGCCTCCGCCGCAAGTTTCTAGCAGACCGGTCCCTTCGGAGGTACGTGATGCAGTCTTGGATTGCCTTTCGCCTAGTTCACCGCTCCACTAGATCTCTCAGGCCGAATGCCCAGGAGCGCGGGTTACCACGACTGCGCATTGGCAAGTGACCATGGCTTCCTGGCCTCCGAGCACAATCGGCAGTACACCACAATGCACTGCGATCGCGCGCGGCATCGTGGCGTCGCAGCAGCCCGAAAAGGCTGCAGCGGTACCACCTTATGATCAATAGGGAGCGAGGCCGATGTCGAAGCGGTACCCGGTTTGACAGGGCTCTCGTCTGGTGCCGCTGGGGTGCGCTTCTCGTCCACAATGCGATCGCGGGCGGCGTCGGCATGATGGCACGGATATCCAGGTAGCGCGGTCGTATATATTGGCATGCGGAGCTCGATCCTTGCTCTTGAACTCCCCGTGTGTATATGACCTCTGTCCCCTCCCACCCAAGTCGGCCTAGGCCCCGCGCAACATTCAACGCTCTATTCGGGACTATTCATTCCCCTGGAATCGACCCCAACTCACCACGCGGGATGTCTGCGTCGTATGGCAGAACAGGGCAGACGAGGAACGAACCGCCAGGTGAGCCTTCTCGCTCGACTGTACAGGCGTGTACCTTCGTGGTTCTGACCAAAGCGTACGTGTAGGGTGCGTAGTGCTGCCACCAAGCCAGCCTATGACCGAGGAGCCTGTCTCATTGCCGCATACGCCCTCGAGGTCGCCGGTAAGGATCTTTGGCCGAGGTCTGCTCTCGCTTCCGCAGCAGCCGGGCACAACACCCGTATTCGTCCCACTCAATGCAACTACGGACGGGAATGCGGACACGACACGGAAGTGGACACAAGAAGATCAGGACCAGACGGACGAGAAGGCGCGGAGGAAGGCAATGAGCGAGCTGGTGCAGTCTTGGATGGATAGGCTGCAGCTCATAAGCGTCATCGTAAGTTTCTCTTATGACCCAACATGATGGACGCAGTCCGATAACCTCTATGTCAGACAACGTTCTTCGCCGCGATGGAGGCGCAGTTGCTTGGCACCACGATCCCCGACGACCCAAAGAACGACCCCGTCATCGACCAGATCGCGAACGCTGCGCTCACAGGCGCGCTTGTCGTGCACGTCTTCGCGGCCATCATCTCCTTCCTCGCTGCCTTCTTCCTTATCCGATACAAGCTCACCGCGGCGAAGCGCGAAGAGCACAAGGTCGAGTCTGGGCTCGCAAACGCGGCCACGCCCGTGGAATCAAGGGAATCGACCCAGCCCACCTTCCCACCCATATTTTCGTCGGACCCCCACTTGGAGCAAGTGGGCCCATTCCGCCGCGGGCAGCCCCCGACGCATCTGCTGGATCACTGTCACTCGCTGTCCATGTGGCTCGCGGCAGTGGGCTTCGTGCTCGCGCTAGCGGGCGTGCTGTGCTTTACGTGGGCCCGGTTCGCGTTGAGTAGCAGCGTGTTCGCGACGGTGTGCGTAGTCGTATGTCTGGTGTCGGGCATCGCCGCGTTCTTCTGGCCGGCATCGTCTGCGCATGCCTGAAACGTAGACGTCAGATTGGGCGAGGCGCGCTTGGAGATATTTCTGATTGCACTGTACCACTATCACTGTTTGTACGCCATATACCTACCTGCATGTCGCACCCCTGTGTTATACATATACACTTCCGTTTCTTGAGACACACGCGGAAGAGGAACGTGGCGTGGGGTGCTTCATCGTGAGGACGCGATCACGTGCAAGGGGCGGGGGATTTAATATTGACGTGTGTGATGGGATGTGTTGGCGATGGCCGCGACACTGACCGGACCCGCTCAGCTCTCTCGAACACAGAAGAATGATCTGTTTGCGGTCCCAGGTCCGCATTGCCCCCCTCCTTGTCTTCGCCTTCCGACCGCTCTGAGCTGGCACTCCGCCCTCCGCTTGCTACCCCGACCCTTCTCTGTCCACGCCCACGCCTCGAGGCCGCGCTCCGAGTCGCTCACTATCGCATCTGCCACACGCTGCTCTTCTCTGCGATGTTAACGGCATCGCGCCGGTCTATCCTCCGCCGAACCCGCGACGCCTGCCTCGCTAGGTGGGGTCTCCTCGACTGGCTCAGGCTTCTCTGGTGCTCCGTCGTTCTCTGGTACGAGTTTGGCACCTTCTACGTCGCCCTGTGGTCTTGTCCTTGGCCAGACACCGCTCTACCCACGGTGAGTGTTCTGTTCTTCGCTGTATAGTGGACACATGCCGACGGAGCCTGCCATCCATCCAAGCATCACGAAAAGCCAGCCCATGTGCTCCTCATCGCAGATCCCCAGGTCCGGGATTTGTCCACATCCCGCCGCCTTGGCTTCTCCGCCTTCCGCCAGTTCCTTGTGGATTTCACCCTCAAGCGGAACTGGCATTTTGCGTCCCGGCTGAGACCGCATGTAGTGGTCTTCCTCGGGGATCTTCTCCCGTCTTGGCGTTTCATCAAGTCCGACGACGAGTGAGTCTTTGTCCGTGTTCCGACGAGACCCCTCCCGGAATCGTGATAGACAACTTTGCTTCGGCATTCAGATACGAACGCAATTTGCGTCGGTTCAAGAGCATCTTTCACCTCCCGGGAGGCGTTACGTCATTCTATATACCGGGGAATAACGACGTCGGGTGCGTACCGAATTTGATCGCTGTGTGATGGCCGAGCCAATATCGTTCGCATTTTAGATTAAACATAGAGCCCGCGTTCGCCCGCCAAGCCCGACATAGGTTCACGACACACTTTGGACCGTTAAACCAGGCTGTTACATTGCGCAACCACACCCTGGTCATGTTAGATGCGGCAGGCCTCGCCGAGGAGGATTATGTGCGGGCCGCTACATACACCGACTTTGAACAGTGGTCTTCCGTCCCGCACGGGCCTGTAGAGTTCATACGCTCTCTGAAAGACGGTAGGATACATGTTCACTGGGTATATGCGCTGAGCTGACCTTGAATATTGACAGAGGCCGACACACAACCTACAATACTGCTCACCCACATACCTCTATACCGTCCAGACAGCGCGTCTTGCGGACCACTACGTGAGAAGGGTAACATCCGTCGGGGAGTTGGGCCGGGATACCAAAACACGTTCGGAAAGAAAACGTCCGCATTCATGCTACAGACTTTGCGACCAAGTTTAGTGTTAAGGTGTGTGCAATTCATAATCCCATAATACGTTGGGCTCAACGAGTCACGGCAGCGCGGACGACAAAGATTATTGTGAATACGTTCACGTTGCCCCGAAACACGTTGGGACTGTTACAGATACGCCCCAGACGAACACTGCAACAAAGCCCGTTCGGGAGGTCACTATCAAGGCCATTTCACCCTCCCCCAGTATACGCTACCCTGGTTTCCAGCTGCTCTCTTTGGCAACACCATCACACCCCGGCCAACCTGCGCTCTCAGACTCCCCTTGCTTCCTCCCCGACTATCCTCATGTGTACTACTGGCGCTATCCTCCACTGTTACTTCTAACTGTCGTCGGCCTCGTCGTCCTCCGCCTCCGCAAATCACGAGCCTCTCCGCTCCCCATCCACGCGCGCCGCCACGGCTTCCGGAAGTCGTTCTCGCTGCATACCCTCCCGTCCCCAGCGCCCTGGACGAGCCTCCCTCATCCGCCGACGCCCTTTGAGCCCGACTGGACATTCCAATCTCCTAGCTTTGACACTCCACAGCGGGCGCGATCACCAGGGGTCACTCAGAGCCCCACCGACGAGATCCCGCGCTCCGTCCGCACGCCCTTCCCGGGCGACGGCAAGCACGGCGACGCGCAATTTGGCTCTGGGACGCCCACGACGCCGACGTTCCGCGCGACGACGCACGCGCGCGACAATGGGCACACGTCCTCTGGGCTCGCCGCGTTTCCCCCGCGGCTCGTCGTCTTCGATGCCGACGCGGACGAGCACGAGCACGACGAGTTCGCGCGCGGGCTGCATGACCCGCGCCGGCTCACGCGCGCGGCGCGCGGATACGACGGAGACGTGGAGGCCCCGCAGGACGGCAGGGACGCGCCGCTGCTCGACTTCACGTTTTCGCTCCGGGGGCATCGGAGGCGCGTGTCGGTCGTGAACCCGATGCGGTCGTGGGCTAGGCGGCTGAGTCTGCGAACTTGGGAGGGGGCGGGGTTGAGTGTGAGGAAGGGGTGGAAACGCGCATTAGCCTGGAGGGTGGGGTTGGATCTGGGGTATATCGCATGGCCTGCGGTGTTCCTATGGGCGGTGTGCGCGTGGTGGTTGACTTAAATCGACCCCGCAGCACGAACCTTTCCGTTTCATTGACTGGGGCGCGACGCACGACTGATGGACCTTTGACGGCTTCGTTCGTTTCATGGGGTATACTTTTCCGCCCACCGCCAGGACCGTATACCGAATATTTAGATCTTGGGTAGCTCAAGCACCCGCCGGGACCATGGAGAGCGATGTGTCGCTCCGATTAATTATAAGTAGCTCGTCTTGCCATGTAGCCTTGACTATGTATCGTTTAAAAACACTGTCATGTATGCGCGTTGCGCTAGCACGTAGCACGTATAGTATTTGTATGTATGAACATTCCTTCCGGATAGGCCAGGTGCTACCCATAATTGACATAGTGGGCGCCATAAGGGTGCTCGAGAACTCGTACGTAGATGTAGCATACTACCGAAGGTGAACTAAGTAGGGCAAACCCGATTTGAGTCGTAACAAAGCCGGATGATCAATTGATTAAGAGAACGGTAAAGGGCAGTTTATATCAGTTCTAACAGTGCCTTCTCTGGGCGATCAAGTGCTGCGCGCGCGGCACGCCGCTGAAGTAACTTGAATCTACACCAAGCTCTCGCACTTCCGCCTCTTCAACGAACACATACCTCCCTCTACCTTATGACACACGCGCTACCGCAATGAACTTCTTCGACGCATACGATGTCCCTGGAACGGCGACCCCACCTGCAGAAGCTGCGCAGCCGAGTCTGAACGAGGAGGTTACCCAGGTCGTTGGGCAGCTCAGCCGGCTGTGGGGCGGGTTCAGGAAACAAGTACGCCTGCACGTTGCTGCTATCTGACTGGAAGTGCTTGACACACGCCGCGCCGGTCTCAGAGCCAGACGGCGTTGGAGACCGCCCGCAAGGATCTCGGCCAGGTCGTGCAGCAAGCTCAGAAGGAGCTCACCAAGCTCACAGCAGAGGCGCCGCCCTCAGATGCTCCCGATGCTCCTGAACCCAGTGCCTCTGCTACCGAGCAGGCCGCGTCCCTACCTACCGAGGCTGAAGCAGCAGCGGCCTCTGCTGAGACATCCAGCTCCCATAATACCTCCGAAGACTCATCATTGCAACCGCAATCGCCTTCCCAGCCGCAAACGCTCTTCGCACGACTGCAAGCCTCCCTCCCCCCGAACCTAGTGGCCACCGTCCAGACACAGCTCCCCGAGTCCCTGCGCGAGACCCTGGAGCACGCGCGCGTAGGCAGCGCGAGCCTCTCCGCGCTCGACTTTGCACAGCTCCGCAGCACGATCACGTCCGAGCTGCAGCGCGTGCAGGGCGCGACGGAGGAGTACGTGCACCGCTCCGAGGACTTCCTGCGCGAGGCGGGCGAGTTCCTCAAGGACGCCGTCAAGGTCGTGCCGCCGCAGGAGGGCGACGACGGGTACCCGGGCCTCATCTGGGACGGCACGGACGTGTGGATGCTGCCCTCCTCGACGGGCCCGACGACGCCGTCGGGGGACGCGAAGGGCAAGGGCAAGGAGCGCGAGGGCAGGTCGTCGAGCAGCTCGGGGAGGCCGTCGGTGGACACGCTGCGCGCGGTCGCGACGAGGGCAGAGTCTATGCTGAAGCAGCTGCGGCACGACCCGGAGGTTATCAAGGCCGATCCGCACGAGGACGAGAAGGTGCGGGAGCTATTTGCAGGGTGGCTCGCTGCGGAGGTCGCGTCAGAGGAACATGGACTTGGTACCGCCGCATGGAAAGAGAAGGTCGGGAAGGCGTTGGCAGACTCGACAGACGGCGCTGCATTGAAGGCTACAATGGACACATTGGGTGCGTTCTTGTATTCTGTGGTGCGTGCCGGGTGCGATTTGACACAGTTTTCCGGGGTTCCGCAGTCCCGGAGCTCTTGACGGAGGATGAGTTTTGGACGCGCTACTTCTTCCGCGTCTATCAGGTTGAGCGCGAGGAGGCTCGCAGGAAGGCCATTATCCAAGGTACATACGCCGCACGTAACAGGTGTTCACAATGTAACACTCATTCCATTCAAATTACAGGCACCAACGACAATGACGAGGACTTCAGCTGGGAAGACGAGGAGGAGGACCCCACTTCCCCCACCACAAAGTCCACCCCGAAGGATTTCAAGGTTGCAGCTGCAGAACCCCCGACGTCTGCGGAGTCACCTCTGCATCTTAGCGCGTCAGCGGCTGAGACGAAGTCGCGCGTGTCAACGCCGGGGAATATGAGTCCGCGGCGGAGCAGCGAAGATAGCTATGATGTGGTGTCTTCGCAAGTCAGCAACAGCGGCGCTGCGGAGGCAGCCGTCGATGCTGCGACGGCCAAGGTCCCGAGCGCTGAGAAGTCAGAAGAGGGCGATGATCAGGCGGAGTCGGAGGATAGCGATTGGGAGTAAGCGCGATGGCTGTGGCTGGGACATTTTTTCTGTGTACTGTAGGCCCGACACCGATGGCATATTCGATATCGCCCGTGTCTTCGCTGGTTCATCTTCAACGACCACCGACGGGCTCATGCGCCGTCGAAACGGTCGAACACAGCAGTGGTATGTGGCTGTGTCGCGGAGGCCTCTGGGATCAGTGCGCAGACGCGGGTGCGCATCGCCGAAGCGCAAGGGGTGCGCTTGTTGGGATAGAGTTTGCGAGTGATCGTCCCGGCGGAGGGCTGTGCGCTACTCATTCCAGGTTACACCTTTCTCCAAACCGCCATCTGCTTTCCAGGCTTGCCGTGCGCATCGCATAAAGGCTGCCTCTCGACTCTCCATTTGAGCGCATACACCCACCCCTTCCCCACTCCCGAGCCACCCAGCTCAGAATTCGACCATCAACTATGGCACAACCGCCGTTCGGCCCGGATCCCGGCCAGCTCGTCGATCCCGGGAGCATGAACTTTGCGTTCCACGAGCTCTTCTCGACCGCGACACAGCCAGCTATCTCATTCCCATCTCCAAACGAACCAGGTCCGTCCAATGCACCCAACGCACAGCCAGGAGGACGCAGGACAGGCTCAAGCCAGGCATCATCGACTGCCTCCTCTCCGCCCTCGGGCAATACATCGTCTCGCAGGAGAGTGCGCCCTAAGATAGCACTCGCCCCAGGACAACCGCCAACGGCGCGAGGGAACGACCGCATTCGCGTCTACGTTGCTTGTCATGAATGGTAAGGTCATCCGGCCCGCGTTAATCATACCGCCTCACCTAAACAATGTTCTCTATACAGTCGCTCGCGTAAAATCCGCTGTGATGGCGCAAAGCCCATCTGCGTTCAGTGCCAGAAGCGCCCTCCTACGTCAGGCGCTTGCAGTTACGACGCCGCGCCTAATAGAAAGGGCCATGACAGGCGCGGTAAAGGCACATCTCGCAGTGCACCCGGTCCCAGTGCCGCCAAACGAAGACGGACGGGTGCAGGACTAGCGCCGTCGGACCACGCAGACCAGTCGCGTTCATCCTCCGAGTCTGACACCGAGCAACCTGATACAAGCTTACCGGCTTCCAGCGATGACCCTGAAGACGCCGAGGCTCTAGAACACATTGACACTGGCGCTCAGGAGATATTTGACTTCAATATTGACGTATGTACCAAGGGCGTTTTCAGTGCGCTAGCAGCTCTGATGATTCACACAGGACGCGTGGGAGTACGACCCGTTTCCGCTTGACCCGGACAACCCAAATCTATTCGAGCTGCCCCAATTTCCTCCCATAAGCCCACCGCATTCGCATCATAGCCAGGAAGATCAGCAAGACGAGTCCATCCCATCCCGGCCGAGCGTCCAGTTTTCGCGCGAGACGTGGTGGGATGCCCTTCTCGCCTTCTATGCCTCAGAGCGCGACATTACCCCAGACGAGATGCATGCGATTTCCCTGACCTCTGACCAGCGCAACCGCTCGATGCGCTACATCATTTCTGACCTCCGCGCGGTGTTCCAGTCTTCCGCGTCATGGATGAGCTTCTTGAACCTCCCTAGGTTCTTCGCAACCGTCTTAGATCCTTTGCGCAGGACAGAAATGCAGCCGAGTCTCCTGATGAGTATGCTGGCACTGGGTGTCCTATCGCAGAGCTCAGAACTGGAACGGGGATTGAAAGGCCGTCAGCGAGCGCTCAAGCTGCTCGACATGGCGCACGGCGCGCTGCAAAGCAGCCTTGCCGCCGGATGGGTCGACGTCGGGCTGGCACAGAGTGGCTGGGTAAATATCTATGACCATATGCGGTTTATCACAAGCTGACAGCCTTTCCAGATGATCATGTACTTCGAGCTGAACTCGCATCCAATGCAATCATGGCAACGCTCGCAGTCCGCCATGCTCCTCCTCGACTCCCTCGTCCGCCTCTTCTCGCTCACCACTCTGGACGCCGGCCAGCACCGCAAAGGAATGGCAGGGTCTAGCGCACTGGAATCCCTGAGGCACAGCATCTCCGGAGGCCCCGACATCATGATGTATCCCCCGACGACGTCAATATCTGAGATCGCCCCGCAGCTGCCGAATAATTTGTGGCCCCCGCAGGCGCAACCCAGCCTTCCACAGTTCAATGCACACGGGCAGTTCATTCCGCAGCCCACCCCGCAAACGTTGCAGCAGCCGCAGCCTATTCCGAATCCGTTCTACTCAACCTCTCTCGACCCTATAGACCCTATCCTTCCGCGTGCCGGCAGGCCGTCGACGATGCCTCCCGGGGCTACAGCGTCGTCAAGCGGGCACAGATCAAGCCCGCCACATACGCACACGCACACTCATACCAACCAGACAGAACGCGGCTGCGACTGCGCGCGCCTCTCGCTGAAGGCAAACTGGCCGTCGGTCAAAGAGTTTGCGCCGACTTGGTCGACGACGATCATGTGGCCTGCAAACCTGTCCGAGGCGGAGTTCCGCAGGGAAGAGTGCCGGCGACTGGTGTGGTCGAGCGTCGCGATGGTCGCGAACATGAACGCGTATGCCAGCATCACGCCGCAGGGGATCATCGAGACCGGGGTGCTGTTCGTGCGGGAGTTCGAGGACGTAAGTGGGACTTTACTCTCACAGTTTGAGCGTGATACTCACCTGTCGTACAGTTTGCGCTCCAGACGCCGAGCGAAACGCTCGCACTGTCGGGCTTGCCCATCCAAGTGGACGACGTATGGTCGCTGAACCTACGAGCGATGCTGCTCCTGCACGCCTGTCTGCGGGTGCGCGCGAGCCCGACGCTCAGCGGCGCACAGCGCGCCGAGTTCGCGGTGCGTGCGTGGCTCGAAATCGACGACATCGAGAAGCGACTCGAGCGCCACACGTGCGGTCTGTCGAGCAACTATGGCTTCGCGAGTGTCGAGATGCTGTTCAGGTATGTCCAGTTAATTTTAGGCCCATCGCAGCCGGGTCGATGCTGATCAATACGTGGGGCGCGCAGCTTGCGGTTGTGCGTGTCGTATGAGTTCAAGCGCTTCATCCCGCAGATCACCACGTAAGCCGTCCCCGCTCTAGCTCCTTCGCAACTTGGGTAAGCATCTAATCTCCGCGTGTATTCGTAGCACCGGGAGTGCAATGTTTTATCGGGACAAGGCCGAATCCTACCGTACGTCGGTCTTTCAGTGTTTGCTCGCTTTTCTTTTTGCTGACGTTGTGCGCTTTTGATACTCGCAGTGCGATATCTGAACGTGGCCGCCAAGAGCGTCTGGGATGGCATACGCACCGCGACGCCGGGCGATAGGGAGCTGAACCATCGCAAGGTGCTCTTCATTTTTTGGTTCATGTCCGGAATCAAGAAGTGCGTGCCCACTCCCTCTACCCACCTCCTCCTCCGCCCCGGAGCTGACCGGCCCATGGCACCCCCTTTCCAAACACAGGTGCCTCGTGCTGTGGGAGGCAGACGCCACGCTCACCCTCGCGCTCACCGTGGCGTGCCAATCCGCCTCGTACCTCGAGTACTTCCTCATGTACTGGCCCGCCACCCGTGCGTATCAGCGCGCATCTATACCTTCTCCGTGGACCGGTGCTGACATGCCATGATGGGCCACACACACAGGTCTCAGGCAGATCTGGCAGGGTATCCGCTACCAGCTCGTCGAGGCGTGCATGAAGGCAGGGCTGCCCACGCCATCCGCTGCGATTCCCCGGCCGATACCGCGGAACGACCCCGCCTCAGTCGCAGCAGGCACGGCGCCGTGAACGCGCGTGATTTACATATGTGGTGATATAGACCGGTTGTTTGCGGATTTAGGATGCCTCATTGCTTTCATATCTTATTCTAGATATAGTTTTTCCAGTCCATTATTAGAGACACTCAAACGCCACCAGCCTGAAGGGAAAACCAGTTCCAATTTCAAAACGAGGCGGGTTTACAACAAGCACTGATCATACAACAAACATATTCCTACACGCGCGCCGTGCGTCACATCCCGGCAAGTTCCACGAGGACCATCGACCTGCCTGCAGCCTCGCACATCAGATCTGCGGGTGCGCGAAGCGGAGCGGCGCGAAGCTGGCGGTCTGCAGCGCAGATGCGTTCGAGCGCGCCGACACCTTGCTGCGCGCCTTCAGGAACGCGCGGGCGAGTTTCTGCGAAGCGGTGCGTCGTGGTCAGCCACGGTCATAACGTGAGGAGGGGACATTGGAGAGGGGCGCACGTCGCTGTCCTGGGGCGAGAGCTTCTGGCGCATGACCGGGTGCTGCTCGTCCTCCTCTTCCTTGCAGTGCGTGAGGAAGGTGGTGACGGCGCGCGCGATCACGGCGGCAAACTCAGGCTTGTCGACGGCGGTCTTGCCGGCGGCGTCGACGAGACGCTCTATTTCAGCGTGGTCCTCTGCGGCGGGGTGTCAGCGGGTCGGAATGTGTAAAGAGGAAGGGGCGGGACGTTACCCTTGTTGTGGTCGGCGGCGAGCCCAAGGATGCTGTAGTCGAGGTACACGGATCTTTCCCTGTGAGGGAACGCGGTCAGCGCGAGGATATACGCGTAGGAACGCTACGCGGAGAGAAGTACACACTCGGCATCGCCGTGGACGGCCATCTCGCGCACGAGGGTGTGCGCGAGGGAGGCCTTCTCGGTGAGATCGGTAGCGGCCGTGAACCTAGATAACGCGCGTTATCAGATAAGATGATCTCCGCCGCTCGGGGTGCACACGGACCTGTCGAAGAGGTCGCGGACGTTGTCGTGGTCGAGCTTGATCTCCTTCGTGACGTCGAGTAGGGTGGAAGACATGGTGTGCGTAATTTGGGGGGTCTTGGGGGTAAGAGAGCGGTTGGGGGGCGAGAGGTGGAGGACGGGTGCTGGTGAGTCCCCTGCTCAGCTTCGCCGGTTTATATGCACTCAGACGGGGTGGCCGCCTGTCTAGAACCACCAAGTGTTTCCGCGCGCATACAGCATGGGATGAGCATGTATCGGTGATCAGACAAGGTATGCAGCAGAGTAGCGAGAAAGGGCCATCGATGTCTCGGACCAGGCCCTGGTGTCCCGCTCCAAGCTCCTCGCTGCACGCTCGTATACCAATGACATGGGTCGCACAAGACATCCGTGGGCGGTGCCGTTCGTACACGCATGATGTGGCCGACTTCTCGTCACCGGGAGATGCTTCCAGAGGGAGTGGTTCGTCAGCTTCGACTGCAAGACGGAAGTCAGCGGATGTAGATCGAACGTCCCCCTTTTGCGTGGTGCCAGCCCGCTTGTTTGGACGCGAATCACTTCTCGTAGATTATATAAAGAAATGCGCGCACTTTTCATAGAGGCGGCACCTCAGAGCGTGTTCTTCCGTCAGCTCTCTGACCGTTGCTTCAGCGTTCGCCGGGCCCAAAGAAGTTCCCCGCCCGCCAGATGTTCCTTATCATTTGAGCAAGGAGATAGCTTATAAGTTTGAGGGATATATATTATTCATAGTCAGGCTCACCTGCAGTCGCAGGATCCGTGAACGAAGGCCCCGGCGAGTCTGTGATGTCAGACACAACGCGGTCACCTGACCGCATCACGACGCGCCTTTGCCGCGGCGCCTGTAAAATGAGGCCTACAGCCCGTCTACTTCCGTTTCATCCGAGTTCGTTGTCTGTCAACGTTCTTGCAACACTTTGCACTTACTCTGACGCGACACTTCCGAGCAATCCACATTTCCAGCGTACAAGGACAGTCAATCGAGTGGGGTGTAGAATGGTAGGTTGTATCTCACAGCATAGACTTCAAAGGTTTGACTCTCGGCCCAACAGCCACTTCAGTCCCTCTACAAGGTCAGCCCGCACTTTAACCGCCATCTCGGTCTCGGGCGTGCTGTAGTGGAACCCGTGCGACACGCCTGGGTATCTATCGATGTCCTCATTGTCAGAAGCACCCCAAAATTGGACAACGTGAAAGAAACGCACTCAGTATACTTCGCGTCCACACCGGCCTGGCACAGAGCCTTGACGTATACGCGTGCATCGTCGCGAAACGAGTCGAGCTCCATGCCCTGCACGTACGCGCGCGGGACCCCGGTGTGGGAAGGGTACAGCAGCGGCGAGAAGCGCGGGTCGAGTGGTTCTGGGTTGTAGAATTCTGCGGGGGAAGTGAGCGTCAGCTCGAGGAGAGATGTTTGGAGAGCGCAAGGAGGCAGAAGAAAGATCATACCCAGCACAGCGCGCACAACGGGCGGCGGGGGATGCTCCTCGATCGAGCGCAGGTCCGCCCTCCATCTGTGCGGCGAGTCAGCTCCTCTTATACCACAGCCTTGTATGCGCCCGCTCTGATGTGCACTCACTCCCCAGGGTAGAAGTCGGGATGGATGACCATCGGCTCGCGAAGGAGCTGGCCCGTGAGCTGCCGCCCGGGTCCGCGGAAGAAGGGGTCGTTGCGGGCCTCGTGGGCGAGCACGGCGGAAAGGTTCGCGCCTGCGGAGTGGCCGGTGACGATGAAGCCCTTTGAGAGATCTGCCTTTAGCAGAGAGGCGTTTGAGACGACCTAGGAATACGCAGGTGTGTAAGTGAGGAGCGCGCGAGCAGGCGGAGAGGATGCGCGAGGGAACTGACCCATTTGAGTGTGGCGAGGCCATCGCTGACGGGAGTGGGGAAGGGGTGCTCAGGGGCGAGCCTGGTTGATATGTCAGCAATGATACGCTCCGAAGTGCAAGTACGTCGAACGGCGACTAGAGGCTCACCGATAGTTGACATTCACGACAGAGAGCTTCAGATCGACTGCGACCTTGCGGAGGTGGTAATCATCGAGCTCTACGTCACCCGAGCTCCATCCTGGAATGATCATTAGCCTTCTGGCAGCCGCCGAATGCCACTACACAGCATACCGCCGCCGTGCACGTTCACGAGCACAGGGAACGTCTCTTGCTTATCCTCGACCACGGGGACAACGCATCTGACGCTGAACTCCCCGTCATCGACCGATATCGTCCTGTCCTGCACGGTGTAGGCCGCTTCTACAGAAGCAAAGTCGTTTTCAAGTAGCGCGTTGGTCAGTGTGATGGTAGCGAACTCACCGGAGGGGAGGTGTTTCGCGGAGTAGGCCTTGAACGGAGTAGTCAGCCAATCTACGAAGAAGGCGCGGGCTTCAGCGATCGAAGTGGGTGCCGGTGCCGGCCCTTCAGCTTGCTGGGCGGTGGTTGACATCACGATGCTGCGTGCTCTGGCCTCGGATCAGTGCACTTGTTGTGGCTGCTTTTTCTGCCCCGCATTCCATGCGAGTCTGCGCTTTTTGAGTACCTGGGCACCGTAGGCTCGCTAGCATATGCACGGCCAGGATGGCCACCCGTGATGGTGCTAACGTCCATGGGAACGCGGCGTGCACATAATGGTGTCCTCAGCCAATCGCTCTCTCAATCGTCCATCGTCACCTGTTCAATGTCAGATTATCAATCAACATAAGAGGGAGGTGGACGACATACATAGCCCGAACCCTCGGGGGACGAGAAGCTACGGTTCGCCTCCAACTCCCGCGAGCCGACAGTGTTCGTCAGGCTTCCGCAGTCAGCGGCACTGACAAATACACCGATGCCGGCGTTCACAGAAATATTCTCGTTAGACACAATTGGAGAGCCCGTAGCAGACCGTGGACTATTCAAGGGAGGGATCAGCATAGCGATGACGAGGTGATGCGCGAATTTCGTACCCTCTCGTCAGCCCTCGCCCCGCAGTCACCTACATGTGTACAAAGACGTCCAAACAAGACCGGAGACTCAGAGCTCCTTCGAGATAGAACCCTAAACATATGTTTACTGTACTGACGCGTGAAAGTACTTTGCATCCCATGCCTAATTAATGTCAGTGCCAGTCGAGGCTATACACCATCAATGTTTGACTCTCGGCCCAACAGCCACTTCAGCCCCTCCACCATGTCTGCCCGCACTTTGACAGCGAGCTCGGTCTCCGGCGTGCCGTAGTGGAACCCATGGTCTGCGCCTAAGTATCTATCAGCGCGCCCTCCATAGTCAGAAGCAGCCCCTCATCCAGACAAGGAATTGGATACGCACTTCTTATACTTCGCCTCGACTCCGGCCTGGCGTAGAGCCTTCACATATACGCCCCCCGAGTCGAGCTCCATGCTCTGCACGTAGGCGCGTGGGACTCCGCTGTGGGACGGATACAGCAGCGATGAGAAGCGTGGGTCGAGTGGATCCGGGTTGTAGAATGCTACAGAGCGGTATGAACGTTAGCTGAGGGACGTCTGGCCCCGGGGAGAGGAGCGTACCTAAAACGGTGTGCACAATGGGCGGCAGGGGAGGTTCTTCCTTCAATCTGTACGAGGGCGTGGGCAAAGAAGGGCGTTGATCAGCGACGGTGGCTAGTGTACGCCATGCAGGCATGCACTCACTCTTCGGGATAGACATCAGGATGGATGACCATCGGTTCGCGGAGGAGCTGGCCTGTGAGCTGCCGCCCGGGTCCGCTGAAGAATGGGTCGTCGCGCGCCTCATGGGCGAGCACAGAAGCGAGGTTGCCGCCAGCGGAGTGGCCACAAACGATAAAGCCTTTAGATAAGTCGGCCTTCAGAAGAGGCGTGTTCGAGACGACCTGTGAAATCGCGGCGGGTAAATGAGGGGGCGATCAAGCGAAAATAACAGCAAACGGAGCGTACCCATTTGAGTGTGGCGAGGCCGTCGTTGACAGCAGTAGGGAACGGGTGCTCAGGAGCAAGCCTAGTGTATGCGTGTATATGTTAGCATCGATGCAGCGGGTCGAAAGCACGTGGAGCAGCCGGTTGGACGCACCGGTAGTCGACATTCACGATGGAGATCTTGAGATCAACGGAGACCTTGCGAAGGTGATAATCATCGAGTTCTAGGTCGCCAGCGCTCCATCCTGCAAAACCCGTGTCAGCGATCTTTATGCACTGGTAGGAAAGTCACTTCTGGTCAAGCTTACCACCGCCGTGCATGTACACCAGCACAGGGAACGTCTCGTGCTCATTCTCGACCACGGGGACGATGTATCTGACGCCGAACTGTCCGTCCTCGACAGAAATTGTTTCGTCCTGCACGGTGTAAGCCGTTTCTACAGAAATATCATGATTGTATCAGGATCGTGCCGGTGGCGGTAGGTAGTGACAGGAAGCTCACCAGACGGAAGGTGCTTGGCGGAGTAGGCCTTGAACGGAACGGTCAGCCACTCTTCGAAAAAAGTACGAGTTTCAGCGATCGAAGTGGGGGCGGCCGCCAGCTCTTCCGAACTAGCTTGCTGGGTCACGGTGTTGGTCGTCATGGGGCGGTGTGCAATGAAGAATGCGTCGGTCCCCGTAGTGACGGCCCTTTCTGTGTCGCGCTTGGCCCGAATTAGAGCCTTTTATATATTTCACAGGCTGGGCAGTGGGTTCAGCGCATGCACAACTAGCACTTGCTGGCTACGGGCCATGTTGGTGCCAATGTTACTAGGCATGTGAACTGTCGTTGAGACGATACTTCCGATCGCTCTCGTCTGGCAGCGTCACCTGTTCAGCATCGGATTATCAACCAACGTCAAGAAGACCTACCTGACTGTATGATAGTCCGAACACTCGGGGAACGAGATGTTTGCCACGGCAGCGACTCGGAGCCGACGCCGGCATTCGTCGGACCTCTGCAGTCAGCAGGCACTGACGAATATACCGACGCCGGTGTGCCCAGCAGTGGAGTTTCTGCTAGACACGGGCTAGACAGCATGCAGAAGACCTCCGACCCTTGGGAGATATCGGTATAGCAAGTAGAGAGCAAGTAGTCGTCGGATGACGAGATTGAGGCGCGAATTTCGTATCTTGTGGCCTGCGCAGTACATGTGTACAAAGACATGCAAACAAGGCCGGAGAGTCCCCGTCGCGCAAGCCTCTCCGAAGTCAAGATGACCCGATGGTACTCGAAGTGTAATATATATCTGGTCGATGGATGACATACCAGCAAGGCGCCTGCGTCCACTGGAACTCGGATATTGTTCAGACGATTAGGTGTGGTATGAACTGCGTTGCTTCCTAACATAGGAAGATTAGATTGGTGCGAAGTAACATGCTTTCATGGATCATAATGCGATGTGATAGTGGATCATGGGACGGATGAATGTGCGTGCGAAGAACCTACTAATGTCTGCTTCTACTATATCAGTAAGCAAGATGTGTGTGGACGGAACGCATAACCAAGGAAGAAACATAAAACCCTCTTAAGCATACGAAAGCAAGGTCTTCTTTTTCTTCTGCACTCCAGCACCCGCACGCCGCTCCTGCGGGATGTGTGACTTCTTCTTTCCTGCGTCAGAGTCCGATCCGGAACTAGAACCGTCGTGGGACTCGTCGTCATCATCATCGTCTTCCTCCTCCCGGCGACCATACGCCGCACTGCTCTTGCGCGGCTGCGACTGTGACGCGGGAAAGAGCATGGGCGACGGGATCTGCGACGCCGGGAACAGCTGCTGGCTCGCGATATCGGAGAGGCGACGATACGGTGCAGTTGTCAACCACTCCCTCGGGCGACCCTTCGCCTGCTTCCGCACAGTGCCCTCGAGGTCGGCAGGTACTTCATCAACGTCTGCGTCGCTTTCGCTCACGTCTTCGAGCGCGCGACCGTTGCCGTACGGGGTGCTCTCTGGGAGGCCGTCCTCGGGAAACGGTGTGTTGGGGTATTGGCTGCTTGAAGGGATGAACAGCGGCTCCTTCCCACGTCCGTGAGGTTTCGGGGTCATAGTAGGCAAACTGTCGTCTTCTTCTTCAGCGACACGATCTTGAGTGATGGTCACTTCGCGCGAAACATCCGCCTCCTCCTTCTCGGTGGTGTTGGTGGTACGCGAGATGGGCTCGGGGGAACGTGAAGTACGAGCCACAGATCGCTCCGGGCTGCTCGGTTGGAGTTCGTCCAACATAGAGGACTCGGCATCAGCTACGGACTCGGTCTGTGTCCGCGGCTGTGTAGCAGGGAGCGTGGTCCACGAAACCTTGGAGAATCCTGGGGTTGACGCGGCGGCGGCCGTTGACGACTCTCCGGACGCGTCGTGGTCCTGTTCCTGAGCGTGTTCATCTTCAAAGGGCTTATCGCTCTCCACACTTGCAGCAGCGCGTGAACGCGTCGAGATCGGTTTGGCCGAAGCAGCCTTTCCCCTCGTCGCGCGCCCCTTGCCCCTCTTCGGTGCCTCCTTCTCTTCCTTCGCTGCTAGCTTAGCCGCCTCCTTCGCCTCTTTCTCGGCGCGCTTCGCAGCCTCCTTTGCTTCCTTCTCCGCCTTCTTCTCAGCAGCCTTTGCCTCCCGCTCGGCTTTCTTCTCTGCAGCTTTGCGGTCGCGCTCAGCCTTCTTCTCGGCCTCACGTGCGGCTTTCTCCTCTGGAGTGAGACGACCTCGACGCTTAGGAGCGGCCGCAGCAGCAGGCGCAGTGGACGGCGGGGCGGGTGCAGGCGTAGGGGTGGAGGCCGGGGGCTCGGGAACAGAGGACGAACGAGTCATTGCAGAGACGCGCCGCGTGACGCGGGTTGTGCGCCGCGGTCTTGTCTCGAGCTCCTGGGGCTCGTCCGCTTCCTCATCTTGAGTCTGCTGAGAATGACCACTAGAGGCTTCGGCGTCGTCCGCTTCGTGTGCCTTGGCTTCCTGCTGAGGCTCATCCTCATCATAATGCGCCTGCTCGGGCACAGCGTCTTCCTCATCGCCGTCAGCATCCATCTTGACGTCCACCTCAAGCTGTGGCAACTCAAGGGAGCCAAGTAGCTGCTGTGACAAGCTCGGCAACATTGTAGAGGGAGACCCGTGCCCAAGTCGCCCGTACCGGTCCTTCATGCGCGACACCGTCCCAGGGGTGCGATGTACTGCGGGCGGAGGGGTGCCTTCATGTAGTCCAGCCAGCTCCGCCGATGCGCGAGTGGCCGTATCCTGTAATTGAACGGCCTCGTTCTCGGCATCTGTATCCTCGATAGGGTCGTCATCGAGTGCGCGCCGGCGCTCGGAGACATCTGCGAAGGAGCCGAGAGACTCGATTGGGTCGGATGGATCCTCGCCTGGGTGCAGGTCGATAGAGCTCGCGTGTGCGCTGGTGTCCGCAGGCATGTCGACGTCTGCATGGACGAAGCCGGGTCCGGGCTGCTGGAGGGGTGGAGGAGATGGGGTTCGCTCTGGCTCTTGCTCGACTTCCAGATTCGAGTTGGATTGTTGCTCGCCCGCTTCGGGAGAAAGCGCGCGCGCCGCGGAGGCGGTGAGGGCAGTGGTTTTCTCAACCTCCTCATCGTCCTCAGACGCTGAGTCGTCGGAAGCCGGCTCATCGGCGTTCTTGTTCGCCTCCTCTGTTGCCTCTACGCGGATGTCCTCATCCTCCGACGCCTCATCATCTGCAGCAGGCCCCGTCTCCAACTCGGGTGCTTCCGTCTCCTCAGCCAACTGTACAGGATGTTCCTGTGAGAGGGAACCGGATTCGTCAACGTCGGCGGTAGGCTCGACACGGCTGCCGTCACCTCGGTGCGTCGAAGGCTCCTCTGTCTCGGACTCAGACTCCTCCGAGTTCTGGTCCAGCACCTCCACCTCACGCACTGGGGACTGAGGCGCTGCTACATCCTCCGCGTCACTCTCGTACCCCTGGTCCGTAGCATCCTTGGCATCGGGGGCGTCGAGCTGCTCATCTTGCTCATCCTGGACCGCAGTGTCTTCGGTATCGTTGTCGTTCGCTCCCTCGACGTCTGCCTGCCCGCACTCAGCATGAGCCCTACTCACAACGCTGGACGAAAAAGGCCTACCTCCTGCTCGGGCTGCGCATCGGCCGCAGAGTCTTCTGTGTCGGCGTCGGCGTCGCCAGCCTCGGCGTCAGGCTCGTGTTCTTCATCGGACGACGAGACCGCGGCGCGCTCGAGCTTGCGCGACAGCCGTCTATAGGCGAGATCGTCCTTGTCCTCTTCTGATAGATCGACGTCCGAATCTTGACGCGCGTCCTCGTCAGAGGACCCGCCATCGTCTTCTGTCGTCGACGAGGACGGGATTTGACTGAGGACGCTGGCATGCGATTTGACGGGACCACGAAGGAGTGCCTCGAGGTCGATCGAACCGAGATCAGCGCCTCGCACGCTGTTGGATGCGAAAGGTACGGATGCCGCCTTAGGGGCCTCGGAATTTATGGCGTCCTCGTCCTCGTCGGAGCTTGAGCTTTCGTTGCTGCTCCCCTCGTCTTTGCTCTCGACCGCGACTTCTGATATCTCGGAGCCAGCGGGTACGCGGGGGAGGGGTGATGGACGTGCAGCGAACGATGCAGCGCTGAGCGGGAACACAGGAGATGGGGTGGACTCTTCGGATATGGTCGCAGCTACCGAAGGGATCTGGAGGGGCGCAAGGCGATCCCCCGCACTCTTGCGTCGGCGCTGTGCCTCCTTGAGGAGTACCTCGAGCTCGTCGATGAGCTCGTCGTCGTGTCCCTCTTCCTGCAGCTGCGCGATGCGTTTGCGAATAAACTCCGGACCACCCTTCACAACAGGGCATTGAGCGCGCGAGTGCACAGATGCCTTGTCGCATATCGGACACGATGGTGCGCTGGATGGACGGGCTTTCTTCCCTTCGGCAGCCTTATACACGACCTGGGCGGGTTCGCCGGGACTGAGAGCGGTCGCGCTTTGCCCCAGGGAAAGGTCAGTTTCCTGGATGGCTGCGACGGAAACGGAGGACTGGTCGTCGACTGAGATGTCCTCGGGGCCCCACGCCTGCCGCAGCTTCGACTTCCCAGCTTTCCGCTTGCGAGTAGGCAGGACAGGCTCGGGTGCAGGCGCTGGCGCAGGCTCCGGAGCTGCAGGGACCGGGGCTGGAGGCGCGGCCGCAATCATGTTCTTCGCCAGCACCGCTTTCACTGCGGCCTGGATAGCAGCAATTGCTGATGCCGAGTCAGAGCTTTCTGCCGCTGTGATAAGAGTCAATTCAAGTGAACAAGACGGCCGCCTAGCGACGCTCACCTTGCGATGGGCCGGGAGCAACGCTCTTTTTCCTTCCCCGTTTCTTAGCAATCGACGCACTTTGAACAGAGGACGACGCCGCCTCAGCCGTCTGGCTTGCATCCGCTTCTAGATGTTACTACTTAGTCTAATGTTGACAGCTAAATTTCGAGCACATACCTAACACAGCAGCTGAGGACACGGTAGATGCGTCTGGATCAACGGAAGTATCTGCTGATACAGTCTTTCTCCGTTTCTTCTTCTCTGCATTGCAAGAACGTCATTACAATGCAAAATTGAGAATCAAGATGACATACCCTTCTGCTGTACCTGCGTAACGGCCTCTGGAAAGCTGGAAGGGCCTGATTCGGATGCTATGTTAAGCCACCTCAGATATACGCTCCTACAAAGTATGGGTAGATGTACCTTCGATAGGGAGGGTCGTCGTTTCGGAACCTTCAAGCGAATCGTTCGTCGACTCAAGAGCCTTGCTCTTCGATGTTCGCTTCCTCTTCACCACCACAGAAGGCGCGGGTTCAACCGTTGCTACACCGTCTGGTGAAGGTCCTTCCTCCAGACTGGCAGGCTCCGCGACCTTCTCCACTTCCTTCCCCTTCTTGCTCTTCTTCTTGTCCTTCTTCAGGGCTGGCGCATCCGTACTTGATGTAACCTTGGACGATTCTGGTTGAGCAGCCGTCGCGTCAATCACTTCGACCGCGGCGGCAGGGGCGACTGCAACGTCTATGGGTCCTTCAGTCACCCTACGTTTCCGCTTCTTCTTGGACGACTCTGCGGAGGGCGCGGACGCCTCCTCCAAGTCCGTTGACGGAGTCTCCTCGGCGACGACCTTCTTCTTGTCCTTCTTGTCCTTGTCCTGCTTCTCTCCTTTCGCCTTCTTTGCAGGTTTGTCCGTGAGGACGTTGTCTTCAGTGTCGGCGGTCTCGCCTCCGTGGATCTCGTTTACCTCAGTCGTACGCGAAATCGATTGAGCTGACTCCGCGATCGCGTCGGCTTTCCGCTTGCCCTTCCGGTCGGGCTTGGAGGAAGGCGCGGACGAGTCGTCCGTGGTATTGATAGCCTCATCTGTGGGCAGCGAACGCTTCTCTTTCTTCTGCTTCTTCCTGGTCGGATAGGATGGAGAAGCCGGACGCGATGTAGGCTGCAGGGTAGGTGGAGGGGGCGTTGTGGGACGATCGCTGGGAGCTGCCGAAGCCTCAGGAGAGTCGTGGCGTTTGCGCTTGGATCCTAGAACGGGTGCAGGAGACTTATGCTTTCCCGAGTTCTTCTTCGAAGGCTTTGATGGACCTGCCTCGGGCTCTTGCTGAATAGCTTTGGCGATGCATGAGTAAAGGAAAATGCTTTGCAGAAAAAATACTGACATTGCGCATCAGATGCGTCTTTATTGCGAGGTTGCGGCTCTTCCCTGCGTTTCCGCTTCTTCTGGGGAACGCCGTGGCCATCCAGGGTGGAACTGGAAGGCCGAGGGGCTGTAGCTGAGGAAGGAGTACTTCGTCCCGACGCTGGCTCTGAGTGAGCGATGGACAAACGCTGGCCGACAGCCTTCTGTCGTTTTCGCGATGTGGACTACAGGAGGTTGGCAATAGCGCGGATGTGTGAGCAAAATATGAGACGTACCACGGCCTCTGCCAAGGGTTGCTGAGAAAATATGGGAGGCTCGCCGTTACCGATAAAAACGGACACGTCAAGAGTCGTCACGTATCGCGCAAGATGGCGGAAGGCTTCAAAATCATCGTCTGTGCAGGTTGAGGCATGAGCGCATGTGTGTACGCGGCTGTGGCTAACGCACCATCCTCCAGATCGATATGTCTCCCTTCGTGTAGTCGAGAGAACCGGATTGACGCGTCCTCCGAGAGACCAAGCTTCGTGCGCACCAATGTTTTCGTCTCCTCCAGAGACTGTCCTGTGTAAGATCGCGGAGAATATGTTCTGTTCAGTGTTTATTACGCGCCCTACGCTCAGAGCAAACGCACCCTTGTAAACCCTCTGGAATGTCCTGTTAGATGTGTAGAATGTTACGACAGTGCCGTCGTCGTCTCTCTTGCGCTTTGGAGCGTCCATGTCGCGAAGAAAGTGGAGGCGACGCGCTCCGTGCTCGAGGTGTGAAGAGAAGAGCAAGAGCTCGAGGTGTGGCTGAAGACGAAATTGAACAGACGCCCAAGAAATTCCGGCTAGAGGCCCGGTGACGCGCGCCATCAACAAACACAAACACCTCCTCGATCCTCCCTCCACCATGGCTGGTCAGCACGGTACGCTCTCCTGCTCGATGGTTTGCGCGGACACTCGCTCATGCAGCGCGTAAGGCTCCGGGTTCAACCCGCACCTCCCTGGCTTCAAGCACAAGTTCCTCGCGACCACGCTCGGTGCGACCATGTGGTTCTTCATCTTCTACCGCGCCAGGTGCGTCTGCCGTGTTCCTCCGTTAGCCATGCGCTCATTCCCGCTGCAGGAAGGACGGTGCGAAGCTTTTGGTATGTGCATATCTCTCCTGTTGCTATACGTTTGCTGAATGCATGGTGTATATAGGGCTGGAAGCATCCATGGGATGGACATGACGACCACCACGGCCATGAGGCGGGTCACTCGGAACACCATTGACACCGTAATGGCATAGATTCCGATATAGTGTTAGTGTGATCTCCCTTTGCGTGCGGCTATGACGTTTCCATTTCAAAGACTATCAACAAATCCCACATACTGTGGTCGCGCTGGAGATGTAAAGGACGGGGTTGCCACACCCATTCTATCAAGGTAAGTTGCGTGCATCCAAAGTATCCCATCAAGACATACAGGATCGCGTTCAGTTCGTATTGAAAGCTCAGGAAGTACTCTTTGGATTTCGCACATCCACAAGACGTCAGTTTGCAAGAACGCTCGTTGAGCGTTACCCCAGACATCCCTCAGACCTGAGAATCCGAGCTCACCTATTGGTTCCCTTCCAGCCACTTCTTCCCGGGTGCACGCCGCAATGACTTTATGCTCAGGTGTGAACTAGGTTATTATTGCTCCCCTACGGCTCCTGTATACCTTCGAGGGAAGCCAAAGCGGACGAGCGAGGATCCGCGCCTTCAAGTATGAGACGTATGGCATTTACAAGACCCGGGGTCGCCTACGCGTTCCTAAGCCAAAACTAATGTACAGCGGTACGCGAACACGAGCAGATACTTTTGCAGAGCTCTCTACCCTACTTCGACGGGAGCGAAATTGACTATGATGTACAGTACGGAACGGGGTCGGGGTGAGGATGGGGTGGCATATAAGGCGGCAGCAAATAGCGACGGAGCACTGGGCACGCGCGACAACAAGGTTGATAAGTAAAGCAATAAAGCAAGAGGATTACGGAGCTTGGAGGGAGCGGATGGTCAGCGAGCGCCGTGTATGGTGAAGGGTGGGGGAGATCCTCGCTATAGGAGCGTCGTCTGGTGGAGGATGTCGACGAGGATGACGTCCCGGACTGCGACGGGTGCGGGTCAGAATATGAGTAGGCCACTATAAACCAATGACTTACTGCTATTCAGGACGGCAGACATAAGGCTGGGATCCTGTTCGCAGATAGTCAGTTTCCCTGCAAACATGCGCTCATCGAGCAGTCACGTACAATGGCACAGGTGAGGTGTACATGCAGCTGTCGCTTGCGTGGAGAGTATACACGGTGGACGTCCGTCATCTCTTTCCGGATGTCTGCGCGGACTCGTCAGCAAGTCGGTGAGAAAATATCGTGCGGGCTAAGCTTACAATTTGAGACCTCTTCGACTGTGTTAGGCTGCTCGCGGTCGTAGTTCATGATATAGTCACTAAATTGGACACCTGGTCAAAACGAGATTAGCATGCGGTCCGGGCGAGCTGGGGACGGCCTCCTTACCTGCTTTGAGCTTCGAGCGCAGCAGATCCGCCTTGTTGAGCAGTAGGATGAAAGTGGCCTTGCCGAGGAGCTTGTTGCGACAGACGGTCTCCCAGAGCTCCATCGAGTCGTACTGGACACCCACGCTGTCAGTACAAGCTCGAGCACAACCTAGGGACGACGAGGTACGCACTAGTCTATTTACAGACTTATCCTCCGACAGTCGTTGGTTGAAGCCACTCATGGGGCACAGGAACATCATTGCATTTACTGCGCGCCGTTAGTCTCCTGCGACGTCGAGCTGAAACACAACTCACCATCTTCGAAGTACGACGCCCACGAAGCTAATCCCTACGGTCAGCCCCGCTCGCGCGTGAACTTTTAGCCGGAGCGCACTCACCCCTTTGGCTGCGCTGACCACCGACGTCGTAAAAGACCCACTCTGCACCTTTCTCAGCAGCTATCGGGTCGAGGTATATTGTTAAGATGAGACGAGGGACGCGCTGAAGACAAAAAGCGACATACCAGTCTCCATTGTCATCCGGTACTCCTCCACGCCCACCGTGCGTAGCCGTGCACGGAGGATGTCATCTGAAGATGTGTAAGGTAGGCCACGGGAGTTTGATCTCGATGTAACTGACCTGTCGTTGGAGTGTACTTGATGTCCGCGACACGATCAGCGTGTTCGACGAAACTGCGAAGTCTCAGCGATCGTCTCAGAAAACACAGCCGCTCAGGACTTACTACCGCGCATGATGATGGAGGTCCACGCCTTCTTGTTCCAGAGCGCGGATCGCAGGACTCTTCCATAGCGCGACGATGTCCTCCTTGCACGCGTCCAATATTCGGCGAGCATCTTCAAGATCGTCCACGTTCGCCAAGACCTTTGACTGCGACCCGCGGCGCCGACGCAGGAATGACTTCCAGCCGGTGCCGCCACGAATTGATACCTCTGTCGCGCTCTCACTGCGCAACACCGGTTTGTCCTCCGTCGGGGTGGCGATCGGAGAGCTCTCCGCAGAGAGGCACCGTGTGACAATGAGCTCAACTTGCTTGAGCGGCGAAAGGCGCATCTGGAACATGCGGTAGTCCCGGGTGGGGCCGGTGTTGGTGTTGGACAGGACGTAGAGGAGGTAGTTGACGAAGCGGGCGAGATTGAGATGGATAACTGCGCGCCATGCCTCTGTTTCGGCATGGAAGGAGGAGGGGCAGAAGTAGAGCTGGAAGTTCTTAATCATGGTCGACTTGCCCGACTCCGCTTGCCCTACGGTGAGCGACGATTAGCTTCCATGCCAGACAACGGAAAAAGGGTAACATGCCTAGCAAGAGAATCCTGGTCTGCGGGCGGCGTTTCCGGAGCTCCTGCCGCTCCTGCTCGAGAGCGCGGTCGATCTCATCGCTACCCAGGTCGCATGAATAAGTTGAAGAGGCTCTAAGAGGGCGGCGATGGCGTACCTGATCCTCTTCGCCTCCTTCTCCGCGGTTAGCCGAGCTGCTTTCTCCGCCTCGGACTCGTTCTTCGGAGGTAGGGGTGGCCAGGAACGGTTGGACATTTACAAGGCAAGGTACGCGCGACGCGAGCGGGGGCAGGGATAGTCTCGCAAGGGAGAACTGAGAAAGGGGTCGGGCGACGACGTCAGGGGACGGCGGACGCGTCGGGGGGTGAATGTGGGATCGGGCGGAGGTGGACATGCTAAATTCTGCAGAGTATTGTATCGATGTGTGGCGCCTGTCGGCGACGACGCCGTTTCACGAAACGGTGCTAAAACTGTGATCTGGTCTTGCGGCGTCGCGCAGCTGCGATTCGCACTCTGCCTTCTGGGCTGAACAGTTGATGCGCCGCGTACCCGACCCGTACCCGATCGCCTGTTGCCCTCGCCCCCCGCGTCGGCACCTCCAAAGGCGCCCGGCGCGCGCTCTCTGCCGTGCCTGTCGGGCCCGGCACACCGCGCGCTCGTCTGCGTCGTTACCGCAACGCCCTGCAGGCGTGTGAGGACAAAAGCGTTGCAACGAACTCACCAACCACACACACCTCGTGCAGGCAACACGACCGCTTGAATCCCCAAGGCGCCGCAAAGGGGAATTCGCGAAGAGATTTTCAAGGCTGCAAGCTGACAGACCAGCATCCATGTCCGGGTCCCCACTTTGATCATCCGTCCCCAGCATCCCCGCAAGCTCGGTCCTGAGGCCCTCCGATTCGGTGCTTCAACCGATTTGGCACTCACCGAAGATGCCTGTATCTGGCCCGGCACCCTGGCACCGGGGGTAGCATCTGTGCAGAGTCTAAGAGAGCCCGCCGCACTGTGCAGGCTGTTGCCTCGGTTACTACTGAACTCCCCCCTGATTTCAGTAATAACGGTGACACCGGCCGCGTTAGCGTGCACTAACTTAAGGCAGGAACGGCTGCCGCCTGCAAACTAGTACTTACTAGAGCGGGGTGCGCGGTTACTTACATCTGCTGGGTATCCAGGAGCATATGAGTGCCCTGGCAAGCACACTGCACCCGCCAAGCTCCCAAGCATCCCGCCCACATCGGACCGGTGTAGCGAGTGGAGGCTTGGAAGACGTCAAAGCAGAGGACCCCTGAAAATGCCCATAGGGCTCCGGCCGATAGACGCCCGTCATCCGGACGGCGTCTAGCGATTTTTGGGCCTTAGGCCGGCCAAAAAATTGCCAAAAATGGCCAAAGTCCGGACAAAAAGTGCAAAAATCGGTTTTCTGGCCGGCTGCTCGTCCGGACATGGGGCTCTCTGAGGGCTCAGTTCCCGGCGCTAACCATCAGACGCCCGGCCCCGAAGGGGCCGGCCGCAAAAATCCGGACAAAACGCCGCGCTGTTTGGGCCAGAGGCCGGCCGCGATCCGGACATTTTTGGCCTTGAGGCCCAAAAAATGTCCGGACACGAAGGCCCAAAATCGAGGGCGTCTATCGGCCAGCCTATTATAGGCATTTTCAGGGGTCCTCAAAGCAGTCATGGACAGCGTCGAGGCTGCAGATCGACACGGTAATCTGGATCAGCCGCGGTCAAGGAGATCGTGGGCGCCGGCGCCGCTATCAGACTCCTCTCTCGAACGCCACACCTTCCTGGAACAGTCAGGATGCCGCGGACCTCCCCTGGTACCATTCCGAACGGAGACAGATCGGGGGCAGCGTCCATCGTGGATCGAATGAAGGCGGATGTTGCCAATGTCGGACTTCAAAACTCCAAGTCGGGCGCATCGGCCATGTGGTTGTTGTACCCAAAGTTTCGTAAACGTTACGGCACGAGGGGCACAGCATGAGCGCAACGGGCGTTTTGGGAAAAGAATGCGGCATGTCCATGGATCGGACGGCCGGTGGGTTTGCTACGTACGCGTATCTCGTGCGTATCGTGGACAGCGGGCCACGAACAACCATACGTCGACGTCTCACTGCACGGTGGACCTCGAAGTTGTCCACAGTGCACGATGTCATCGTTCCCTTGTCCGCGGCGACCTAGACCACACCCCCATGGGCCATTCGCAACTCGAGTATCCAACCACCGCTAATTCGAAATGGTTAGACTTCGAGATCAGCGAGGGTGTCGTGAACCGCATAACGTACGAGGAATCGGGCATCGGGACGCTCTTGTCGCTCAGGCTTCTGCGCGGGACTCCGCCGACGCAGATCGGCGTAGCGGGACTGTAGCCACGCTTCTTCGCTGCGATCACCCCATGGCGTCCACGCTCGCAACGTTTCCGCGCGAGAGCAGGGCCCTGCGTCGGCTCCGAGTTAACGTTCCTTTTGTTAGAAACGAGTATTGCATCCGCACGGTGTGCGTTACGCGCGTTATGATTGACGCGGGAGGCACGACGTGTTTGCCGGATGGTAGCGAAATATCACTCAAGAGCGCATCCCTGACCGGCGCATTTGCAGCACCGCGGGAGTGGTTGAAGCGACATTCGCGGGAACCACCAACCCAGCAGATGTGCTGCTGCGGCTACACCGTGTGACGCCGAGTTCGCCGCCGGTGGCGATGACTGACAGGGACGCGCTCATGTGAGTGCAGTTCGTTTAACGATATTCAAGGTCACACACCTTTCTCAGTCTTCCCGTTGGTCTCGACCTCGACCTCGGTAGTGCGAGCTGAGAACGTTAAGCACATGGCACTGTACTCACCCGCTATCGCTGTCGAAGGGAGCTCCAGGTGCGTCTCGCCAATATACGCTGTGGGCGTTCTTGCGACAAACATCAAACCACCCCGCTGCATGGCTGCGTCTGGAAGTACCCACTCGACACACCGACGCCGCAAGATGAAGTGACTCTCACACACGCACCAGCTGACGGATGTATCTCATCGCCTCACCCAGTACCGAGGTGCGGGTAGTTTAATGGCGCGTTCCCCGTGCCTACTTCGCGTCGAATTTCCCGGGAACCGCGGCGGTGGAGTACGGACCATCGAGTCACAGATACCTAAAAGAATCTCCCTGTGTAGTTGTGTAAGCGATATACGTACGGAGACGCATCGGTGGAACAGACCTGGGCCGAGAGGAATAAAACGTACGCCACTTACTTAACAAGTAATTCCTTGTGCGCGGTCATGGCGCCCATGGGCATGAAGCGCACACGTAGCGAGAACGTTGCTCGACCGTGATCATTCATAGGCTTGTGATTGTGCCCACCCCGAATGAGAGTGTCAACCCCGGTGTAGATTTTTATTTGAGTTTTCACGTCGGACACGAGGGTTGAGCTCATGATTACACATATTCCTATCAATGTATTTTGGTCAGCTCGTTTATACAGAGCCGTACATAAATCCTGACACAGAAAGCGGGGGTGGCAAGGTTTTCCTTCGGCTGTCGTTTCCCTGGTGGCCGCAGAATGATTCTGATGAACCTTCGCCACCCCAGTCTCTGTTTACCGGCGCTGACTTCGTGGACACTCTGAACACGGGGACTGAGTAGTGCGTCGTGAATGAAGACGAAGACTATCATTATGTCTGGAGTGGACTCACCGTCTCCAAGCCTGTCGACGGAAGCCGGCGGCGGGTACAGAGCCTCCCGGCTACTGCCTGGCCTGAGGTCAGCAGTAAATGATATTTTCAGAGTAGGTTACTCAACCATAAGGGTTCCAAGCCATGTGCGCGAAACGCGCCATGCACTGCAGAGAGTTATTGCTCAAAGGATAAGTCTAGGCTACGCTAGTCTTTGAAGCGCGTGCCTGAGGTCAAACGAGCGGTATCGTGGAAAATTTCTCAGAGGTGGTGACAGAAAATATTGAGCTGAGGTGTTCAGAGCATTGTTGCAAGGTATGGCCAGTGGCACGCGCAAATTGTGTAATTTGGAGCAAGTCGAAGGAGAACTTAGGGTGGTTTAGACGCCAGGCGACTCGGAGAGGGTGATCCGAATGGGGAAAGGCGCCCGGCGTCTGCCGGTGGCCCAGCGCAGACGTGTGTATCGACCTCTCGCTACCGCCCGCACGCAACACAGGCCCTCAAGACAATCGGTGAGTACCGTTATGCTGCTGGAATCGCTGCGAGAGCCTCGTACGGACACGGAGGGATGCTTGGAACCGATGTTGGGAGAGAGGAACGGGATTTGGGGGCTGGATGGGATCGCGCGACTCTGGATGAAGCTCTGTAAGTGCAGTTTTGACTGACTCTGGTTCTTCGCCCTCTAGGTCACCCCGCCGCCGCCCATCATGTCTCTCGTCGTGCCCGAAGCCCACATCCAGTTCCAGGTGCGTTTCCAGTCCTCAAAGCAGCTAAATGGCCGGGGACTGAACCTATGATTCAGCACATCCTGCGTCTCCTCAACACTAACGTTGATGGCAAGCGCAAGATCATGTACGCCTTGACCGAGATCAAGGGTGTTGGTCGTCGTTACGCCAACCTTGTCTGCAAAAAGGCCGATGTCGACCTGAACAAGCGGTGCGTCCCATACCCCTTCATGCAGGACCTGTCGCTTACTGAGGGATAATTCAGCGCCGGCGAGCTGAACTCGGATGAGCTCGAGCGTCTCGTTACCATCATCCAAAACCCCACTCAGTTCAAGATCCCCACGTGGTTCCTGAACAGGCAGCGGGACATCGTCGACGGCAAGAACTCGCAGATCCTGTCCAACGGTGTCGACTCGAAGCTCCGTGATGACCTTGAGCGCCTGAAGAAGATCCGTGCCCACCGTGGTCTGCGTCACTTCTGGGGTCTCCGTGTCAGGGGCCAGCACACCAAGACGACTGGTACGACTGACTTTGTCGCTTGCTTGGGTCCATGTATTGACTTTTTGCAGGTCGTCGGGGCAAGACCGTTGGTGTGTCCAAGAAGCGCGGCTAGACGCTTTTTGGTTTCCTTGCCTATCGCATTTTTTCATCGACGGCGGTATTATGTCCACTATGTGATGTATTTCTCCATGCAATAATACCAACGAACCCATGACATGCTGTCCCTGCTTTCGCCTGTATTTCTACCAGTCCGATGTCCTGAGCAAATGAAGTCACCCATAGAAGGAAGGTCTCACTCATTCCGTAAATGGCACAGAGACGCTAGAACGTTCTGGGATAGTTTGAGCGCCTTCTGGACCTCCGCCAACATAAACGCAGGACTTCAGCCTTTTCCTCCTCCTTGTAACTCTTCCACACCACACGCATATAATGGCTTCCGCAGCGTCTGCCTGGGCAAATCCCTACGCTCTGCACCCCTGGTTCAAGATGCCCTCTCTGAAACGCAAAGACGCGAGTAGCGACGAAGAGGACGCACTCACCACAACTTCCCCCGTTCGCGGCGCGTCCTACGAGCCGCCGCGACGCTCACTCTCGCCCGCCCCGAGCCCCAAACGGCGCAGGTGCGACGTTCTCGAAAGTGGTATGTCGCAGCTGACCCTCGATGGTCGGCCCATACCACCGTCCCCAGCACACCCCGGCCAGTTCCCGCCACAATACTCCCTCCCCGCTGCAGCCGGCGCGCCCACGATCCTCTTCCCCATCACACCGTCGACGTCGACGCAGTCCGTAGCCTCGCAATGGGCTGACGGCCTGCAGGTGTCCCCGATGCTTCCGGTCGTGAACACACTGCACACCTCGGTCGTTTTGCCTGGGTCCGTCGAGGAGCCGACGTCCCCCGAGGCCCTCGCGGCCGCGGCTATGGACCCGGACGTACAGGACGTGTCCATGAAGGTGCCCTCGTGGTACGAGATCGAAAAAGACCGTACGTCCTCTCCCCCTTCCCTTTCGCGGTCCCTGTATGCGCCTGCGCGCGAACCGCCCGTCTGTCTGCCTGTGGCTGACACCCGGTCGCGCCGCCTTGCAGGGATCGTCATCACCGACCTCGAAGACTCGGACGCCGAGGACGGCGATAACGGCGACGCGCGCACGAGCGAAAGCGGTTCCTCCGCGGACGCGCCGCAATTCACCATCTCGTCTGCGCTGCTCGACCGTCTTCCCAAGCCGTCATCCGCGCTCGGCCCGCTCGCGCCGGACCCGAACCCGAACCCCACCAACGCCCTCGTCCTCTACCGCCCGCTCCCACTCCGCCCATCTTCGCACGAGGACAAGGACGACGTCAGGGACAGCCCGCGGTGGAGTGAGAACGCATCGAGGATCGAAGAGGTATTTACGGAGGACGAGCCTATCATGGAGGACACGGAGATGCCGGTCGATGAGGACCAGTTAGATTTTGCGCCAGCAGTAGGATCAGCAGGGGAGCCTGCAGACGAGCCAATGGACATCGAGATGCTTTGACCAATCATGTACTTGTTTCCGCGCTGTATACAATACGACAGGATGGACGTAATACCAGTGTAATACCGTGGCTGTGTTCGAGCCGGACCCGGTTGACGAATCGCGGCCAGGTCTGTAATATTGTGGTTATGTGGATTTATGTGAAGGATTCGCTCAGCGTGTGCTGACTTCTATGTGGGGCTTTCCTTTGTATGGACATCGGACATGTGGGTAACGGACTACACGGCCCCATGGAGGGACCTTAGCTAACCAAGCCTTCGAGGGTCTAGGAAACAACAAACAGACTAAAAAAAAGGCAGACGGCGAACACGAAGGAGGGGGCAATAGAGAGATTAGAGGAATAATTCAACGCAAACTGACCGAGAATGAGGATGAGACAGAAGGCAGGAATGATAATGACGACGGAAGGAGGGGCACATACACACAGACCCAGATGCCTACTTTTGGTTCGCAGAGGGCGGGAAGTGCATCATGTCGCTGCCACGCCGCTGCATGTCTCCCTTGATTCCTTCCGCGGAGATGTTCATGACGGTGTGCTCGGGCGCGGGAGCCCCGTACAGGCGCTCCGTCCGGTTCATCAGCGTTGCGTGGTGGCGCGCGTGCGCATGCGGGTGAGGGACGTGGTGCATTTGCATGGCGGCGTGGTACGGCGGGCGTAGCGTGAGAGGTTGTTGTTGTTGCTGTTGCTGCTGCTGCTGCTGTTGCACCGTGGCCTGGCCCGGCTGTCCAGGGTGGATGTGATTGTGAGCGGCCGGGCCTGGTTGACCGGCATGGGCGTGGGCGTGGGCATGGACAGCGTGGCCTGGCTGACCCCCGTGAGCATGGGCATGAGCGCCGCGACCAGGCTGGCCGGCGTGAACGTGTGTATGAGGGCCAGAGGCAAAGTGGCGGCCGCCGTCCTGAGCCTGAGGCCGGCCGTCATTTGAGGGCACGTGATCAAAAGGGTTGAGCGGGTCGCTCATGGTAGGCGGCGGTGAGAGCGGGGTGGACGGAAAGCCGACGTTCATCAAGCTGACCGGGGTCGTACTGTGTCCGAGGGCGAGGTACGGCGATGGAGAGGGTTGAGGAGGATGCGGCGACTGGACCGAGGGTACCTGAGGCGATTGCGCATGCTGCGGCTGAGGCATGGGCATGGGCGAGGGCGGAGGTCTGGCCTGCATCTGGGGCTGGACCCGTTGCTGCTGCTGCTGCTGCTGCTGCTGCGTCACTATGGGCTGTTGTGGCTGAGGCTGCGGCTGCAGGTTCATGGGAGGCTGAGGACGGGGCTGCAACAGTGGCTGCCCGGGAGCGATAGTAGACGGACGAGTCTCCCGATGCTTATCGGCCTGCTGGGGTTGAGCTTGCAAGGCAGGAGGTGTCGCGACATCATGGGGAGAATCGATAGTGAGTTGCAGATCTCCGGGAGAGTCCATGATCGCATCTACATCCTCTTCGCCCTCGCCGTCGATGGACGCGGTACCGGAGGGGCCCGCCTCTGCCTCCTGATTTGCCTTTTGCGCCGCGATCTCTTCTGCGGTTAGGAAGCGGCCGCCCGGTCCGCGAGGACGGCGCATAGCGTGTTTGTGCCTGGATTCATGCAAATACGGCTGGGCGAGGGATGAACATGTGCACAGAGGAAGCAGATGATTCTGTACGTACCTTCCTCTGCTTGGAAAGCCGGTGCAGTTCCTCGAGGCGGGCCCTTGCCACACGCCGTTTTAGGATGCGGTAGTACTGCTTCGCGTTAACGTAGAGCGGCTCCTCGTCCATCGGGGCGTCATCCTGGATCTGATCTACGGGTGGCTCCGGCTCGCGCGGCTGCGGCTGTTGCTGCTGCTGAGGTGGAGGAGCCTGTGGCTCAGGCGGCGGAAGATGGTGCTGCAGGAAGAGATGCGGGGAGTGAGGGATGGGAGTTGTTGCAGGCGAGGGGCCCGGAGAGGCATGTCTTGAAGCATGTGGGTGCTGGTGTGCATGGGGATGTGGGTGTTGCAGCTGCTGGTGTTGCTGGTGCGGATGGGGCTGCTGATGGGGGTGCTGGTGCTGGTGAGGGTGCTGGAACTGATGGGGGTGCTGGTGGGGGTGCTGAGGGTGTTGCTGGTGTTGCTGAGGCTGGGGATGGTGCTGCTGCTGCTGGGAGTAGATGCCGTAGAGCGGGTTGGTTTCTGGGACGGTATGTTCGGGTGAGCGGCCGCGTAGGAAGGACGGAAAACATACGATAGTCGTGATAAGGGTTTGAATTGAAGAGATGATTGACGGGGTCCATGATTATGGGGATGAGTATATGATTGGCCGAGCGGAGGAGACGGACTGCAGCCAACCAGCTGCAACAACGCCCTCGCCCAGTAAGATGGCGTCTCCACCCCCTTACCCGATTGGTCACCCCCCTGCCGCCCCTTCCGGATTTGGACACGCCTCCTTCCGCACACCCACCACCACTCGCATTCATGGAGTCTAAGCTGTCCGTGCCGGCCTCTTCGTCTCCCGAGCCCGCTCGCTCATGCACAGTTTCACAGGAAATCCCTCAAGGTCGTCGACCTCAAAGATCTCCTCAATAAGGCCGGCACCCCCATCCCAAGCAAGGCCAACAAGCAGGACCTCATAAACAAAATCCTCGCCACTCCTGCCGCAGTTGACGTCTACAACCAGCAACACGGCGGCGCGCCCGCGCAGACCACCTCAAAACCCGCCTCGAAGGCACAGGAGAAGCCCCAAGCAGTGCGTAACATCCCATGCCCTTTGAACTCATGTTGAACATACGCGCTTTACAGCAGCCACAACCGGCAGAAACGTATGTCCCAGTCGATTTCATGACACTCACCTGGCCTCACCGTCTCCTGTAGCACCTCCACTCCGACTTCTCCTCCAAAACCCTCTAAGCCTGCCTCCGCCGCTCCGGCCGCATCTGCAAAGCCCGCGTCACAGGCTGCACCGGTACGTGCCACAACACAATCCAAGGTCCCTAACCTCATGGCCAGTCGTTTAGTCTGAAGAACGCGCGCGAGCTTCGGAGGAGCCTACTCTTTCATCAACGTCGACTGCCGACACCGCCGAGATCATCGCTGTACAGGATGAAGAGGCAGAGAGACGCAAGGCTCGCGCCGCACGCTTCGGCATTCCGATAGTTGAATCCCCGAAACCCCAGCCAGCACCGGCTCAGAAGAAGGAAAAGGCCGCAGCGAATGGGAAGGCGGCAAAGATTGCAGTTGCCACCTCTCCGGAGGTGAGTTCTCTCCCGGAATTACCGAACCTCATTGTCTCACTCGGTCAACAACCACCGCTCAGGACCTCGAGAAGCTCTCCGCTCGTGCAGCACGGTTCGGCATCCAGGCACCGGTAGCAGACGCTACGAAGACTAATGGGACGGCGAACGGCCGCAAGCGCGCTGCCCCCGCGCCGGATCCTGTCGATGACGAGGAGCTTCTCCGGCGGAAGAAGCGCGCAGAGCGGTTTGGCATCCCCATTGTTGTGCGTGTCATTAATGGCACATACTGTATCGTATACTGACTATCTCATGTAGGGTGCCAGCGCATAGGTTGCTCATAGCGTTGCCGCGCCACCCGTTCCGTTCATGCTTTTGGACCGTGTTGTAATGTATATGTCTTGCTATCTTCCCCTTCAGGAGGACGTTTAAAGTTGTACATGTTGTCAGTCGGTTATGTATAGCCGTTTTCCCTCAGGCGACAGTTGCTCGAGGCCCCATTCCGCCCCACCATTCTCGCTGTGTCAGTGAGTGCTCTACTCCGCGTCATTGTGCGGTAGCTAAGACAGGTAAGACTCAGTTGTATGATTCAAGGTCTAGCATATATATCGTCCACACCGTTGTCGATCTAGCACTACCGGCAGTCCAATGCGTTCTAATAACCCGACCCCCTCGGTGATAACCCGAAACCCTATTTGATGCCCGCTGTTTACGATCTCATGCCTGGATAGCGAGCGGGTCCACGCAGTTCTCCCCATCCTGCGAAAGCACATATCCGCGTCCGCACCTCGCTGCACACCAAAAGTCAGCGACCCGAGCGACCCGAACGATCCAACTCGACACGCACCAATGACACAAACACCGTTCTCGCACTTCACCCCATCAGCATGGGGAATCGCGCTGCAGTCGCGGCCGCCCCCAGCGGTACGTTCTCCGAAGGGCGAGTCGTGCGCGACGCACCCGCCGCAGCTCTCGAGGTCGCGCTGCACCTCGACACACTCATACCCCTTCAGGTACCCGCGCCGACGCAGCGTCGTTCCGTAGACGGGGCAGCTTTGGGAGCCGCTCGGGCATGCACGCCGGACGGGGCCGCGCCGACGCACGGGCGCGGCCTGCGAGATGACGGCGCCTCCAACGGCCGCTGCGGGGTAGGTGAGTTCGCTGGGTGGGGGAGAGGACGGGAGAGGAGAGGACGTACGACAGCTGCCGTCGGTGGTCGAGGCTGCGCAGGTGGCGAGACCGCCTGCGACGTCGGAGAGGCATTGAGTGGAGCTCGTGGCGCCGGGGGGTGAGTAGGAGCCGCTAGCGGGGCAGCTCGTGCACGACGTCGACCCCCCGTTGGCCTGTCGTGAACATACATCGTCAGTCGTTGTCCATTGTGTCATCTCAGGTCGCATAGTATGCTCACAGAATAGAAGCCAGCACAACTACATGTTCGACGACCAGTCAGCACTGCTTTCAAGCACAGAACAAACGCACGTACCATGAGCAGCACGCCGTCGAGCCTGCATACGTCGCGAACGACCCCGCGGGACACGCAGTGCACGAACTCTGCCCCGGGACGGAGGAGTACGTCCCAGCAAGGCACCGCACGAAGCTCGTCTGACGCGATCCCGCGCAGAACGTACCGGCGGGGCAGGGCGTGCACGCGCCCGCATTCGCAGTCGCCCCATACGTGCCCGCAGGGCAGCTCGTGCACGAGGTCGCGCCTGCAGCGGCGTACGTGCCCGCAGGACAGCTCGTGCACACGCTCGAGGCGATGAACGAGTACGAGCCCGCGGGACAGACGTTGCAGCTCGACGCGCCCGCCCCGGCGTACTTGCCCGCCGGGCACGGGTGGCACTGGTTCGACCCAACGGCTGGGGAGAACGCGGTGAGTGAGTGGCGTGTAGGGCTCCGAGAGCGGGGTGTGCGTACTGTCGGAGTACGTCCCGCCGGGGCAACTCCAGCACGGTGTTTGGCCGCTCGACGAGTACGTGCCTGGTTGACAGGCCGTGGCCGCGACCGAGGTGGGAAACAGCGCGAGCAGGAGCCCGGCGAGGGCGGCGACCGAGAGACGCGTGCTGAGGACCATCTTGGGCGGTGAACTGACGATGGCGACGAGCGAGGAGGAGCGCGACGGGGAACGCGCGACTCTCAGGCTGCTATCTTTCGCATCGTCCTAAGTATCTGGACGCGTCTCCGAAATTTGCGGACGAGCTAGCTGGCCAGGCCCGCGGTGGCGCGGCCGCTCCTGAATTGTGGCCAATGGTGGCTAAGGTGTCAATGAGAAGACGGCGCAATGAGGCGGCGCGCAGGGCTCGGAGGCGGGGAGAGCTGGGGCTGGAACTCGGCGTGCCTGAAGGGATCAATTTCATTGCGCCGTCGATCTACAACAGCTGCCTTTTCGGGACGCGTGTGTGCCGGTCGGGATCTCGATCAGGTCCGAGACCCCCGCCAGGTCAGTGCTTCGACGTGCATGAGTGCTTATGCGCTTTTATGTCCGTCGGGACTCATTCAATTCCGTGGATGCTTCGCCTCTCCGGCTCAACGGCGGGCGGTGAGTGTGGCAGATGCTGTGGTGCTAAGCTGCCGCAATCTGACCTCTACAACACCGTACGCGCTACTAACTAGCGTGTTTCAGCTCTCATTTACTCACTCAAGACTACAGGGTCATATATCAAGACCTATACGACCAGGGCTAAGTCTGTGCCGGAATTCAACAGTTACCCCGGGCCGCGCACCTCAAGAAACCGACCATCCAGCGACCGACCAGCCGTACTAGCGCACTTCACCATTGACTTCGACGCTCAATATAGCTGTCTGGGCACCATATCTACAACCCCTGACTGCCACATACTGCCTCTAGCGCACCGAGTCAAGGGCACGGAAGATAAGGCCAACGACTCCGCCATCTACTTAGCCTGCGACTCGGAGAACTTCCTGAATGTCTCCGCTTGCATGTCGAGGAACTTGCGCACAATGGGCCTGCTGACAAGCTTCTGGTGCCACCTAATCGCCGTCGCCGTCAGCATCTCCATCGCGTTGCAACACTGGCGAAACCTGCTCACTTATAGACGTTTGGGAACTCCTTCTGCACATCGCCGCCCTCGACGCCCTCGAGCCCCCACCCAATCGCCATCTGGTTCCAGCTGCGCCGCCGGTGAGTCCTGTGCTTCCTCTCTGGTCAAACATTCGAAGCGAGGACGTACGTGATGAACGAAATGTCGGCGACGGTCAGCTTCCCGCCGACGAGCCACTCCTGCTTCGAGAGCACGGTCTCGAGCACGCCGAGCACGCGGAGGATCTCCTTCTGGTAGCGCTCGATCGCGCTCGGGAGCCTCTCGTGGTGGTAGCGCATGAACCACACCGCCTGGCCGAAGTACGGTCTGTGCTCCAAACTCGGTCAATTTTGCACCCGCGCAAGAGGAACGGAAACATAGCGGGAGACGCACCCCTGGCCGGAGGCCTGGAAGAAGAGCCACTGAATGAGCTTGAACTTCTCGTGCACGTCTGCGACGCTGAGCTTGTGCTCCTTGTCGTAATTCTCGACAAGGTACAGAAGGATAGCGTCAGACTCCCTATCATCCGAACACCCCTCGTCAGTTCTCGTCGATTACGCAGAGATAGGAGCGGAGGTAGGCACCAGATGGTGAAGTCGCCGTTGCTGTGATCGACGAGCGTGGGGACGCGCCCGTTCGGGTTCAGCTTGAGGTACTCTGGATTCTTATGTTCGCCTGTCCGGACATTGATGTTGACGATGTCATATTCCAGACCAAGCTCCTCGAGCACAACCGCGACCTTCCTGTATGCATCAAGCCATCCGCCAATTAGCTCGGGATAACGAAGCATGCGTCGCAACAAAACATAGCTCACAGAGGGTTAGGCCCGGTAACGTCGCCGTGAAGGGTGAACTGCTTGCGCGAAGACATTTCGAATAAGCAAACCTGCTTGAACGATAAGTTGTGAGGATGGTAAGGTTGGTTGTTGGTCGAGAATGCTGCCCACGGCCCCACCCACCTCCCATCCTTTATACCTTGCGTCGCGCCGTTCCCACCTTCAAGATTCCACGCTACTCGCTCATGCCTTTCTCCATCATCAGCTGCACACGGAGGCCATTACGCCTCGCTCTAATGCACAAGCTATCCGGACGCATACATCCACTCGATTCCGTCCGACGGGATCGGGTGCTGCGGGCCCTGTATGGTGACGCGTCCAAGGCGGCAGGGTAAGTCGGCTTCTGTAGATGTCAGTGAATATATTGTGATTAACTCCGATGTCTCCAGTGCAGCTGGCGAGCGCAGGAACAAGAACATACCCGGTGATACTCGAACAGCCTCTTACTCTTCGTGAAGTCAGGATATAGCGACGCTGGCAAATCGACACGGTCCTGAACGCCTTGGTGGATTGTGTCTCACGGTGAAAGAGCTTGTTCTAATGCGATTATGTGACATATTCAAGATACAGCTAGCTATGTGAGACTACGTATATGGAATGTTTCCAAGTTACTCACATTGTACATACAGCTCACAGAGATGTGCATATTGAGGCGTATGACCCCGATGCCGTCGAAAGGCTACGTAGACCTCAGGCACGACACCGTTCATCAAATATTGAACCGATGTGCTATATCCGCATGGCTAGGATTGGAGTGGTACAGCACATCCACGAGGAGAGGACGCACACTCACCACAACACCCTCCTTCCCGCGGACGGAGGAGACCGTGCGAGAAGATTCTCACACACTGTGTTCAACGGCGTTCGCGAGGGCGAGATCAGGTCCTTCAGGTGTGGGCCATAAATATCACCTCTGGACGTCATGGAGCACACCAGCGAGGGTCCTGCTGTTCTGCCCACACCCTTCACGCTCGCCGCTTGACTCTTGATGTCCACATATACCGCCGGCGACCGGACTCTCTCCAGATTGACGTGCAAGGAACAAGGCCACCGTCTCGCCCTCGAAGCCCCACTGAGGATTTCGTTGGGCAGGCGGTGCATAGGCTGGCAATGAGTGATAGACTGTTGTCTACTCGCCACTCAACCATGACGCTGACGCTGCTCGGTTCACTCCCCGTCTACTGCATACCCTAGCACTCCCATGGTCTCCTTATGCAAGTGTTCTCTTCATCAAGTCACCTCCACCTTGTTGATTTTTAAATTTGAACCCTAGCTCGAACAAGGTTTTGACGCGCCGAATGTGTGTCTCGCGAGTCTCAGCCTGCAGCTGGCCGTGTTTTCGAAGGTGCGCTGGGATTGTTGTCCTGTCTCTCCGGTATTTACGCTTCGTGTACTCTATCCATACGTCAACGGCCGCTTTCATCCGGATGAATTTTCCAGCTCGCCGCGTTGGCACTTCGGGCCAGGGGAGCGGGCGCGTTGCTGCCCGGGGGAGGACGTCGGAGGGCGAAGAGATATCCACAGAGCTCCAAGTATTTCCTCGCCGCGACGCCGTACGTGCGCATGCTTTGTGCGACTCAGTGAGCGTGTGGGCACAATAAATTTATCATCTCAAAGATCCACCGCCCGTGGCGAGCCGCTCCCAATACACGATTTGCACAGTCTGCGAGTGTCCGAGCAGCACGATTCCGAACGAGTCGGACTCGAGGCTGAGTGTGGCCCCGGTGTGGTGATCGGCGGGTGATCGCCCTAAGTGTCGGTTTTCCGAGTCCGGTTCTCATACTTACAGTAACACATGCCATCACTTGAGCAGCATGCAGTACTCGCCACCTCCGTGCACTACAACGTGGTGCACAGTGTGCATGCAGGCCCCACATAGCTTGATGCCGATGCAGGTCTGGACCTCCAGAGTACTCACCAAAGAGTCATCTCGGAACTATGGCAAGATACCGGGCGTATTGTTTATCTATGAGTTACTCTTCTAACCATTCTTGAGTGCGGTGTTTTTGCGGTGTTTCAAGCGGTTTCAAGCCAGTACTGGTGCTTTGTCCGACTGTTGCTATGTGGCTTACCCACGCACATCGAGGTGACCAAATCAGTCTCAGTCATCTTGCGAAAAGCATGGCCCAGAATGGCAAGGACGACCCTTATTACACATGCTCCGTACAGCCACAAGCCACCCAGACGCTGCGGAAGCAGTCAGAGTCCTTCAGAGTCGCGCTGAAGTTGAAAGCAGCCACGGATGTGCGCCATATGTTTTCCGGCGGCCGAGCACGAGTTGCACCCGATGTTTTACTGGCGACTCATGGTGCAGGGGCCCGGGCATGTGCCACACGCAAATCGCCGTGCGTATGTCGTATTGATGTGGCTATATGCATCCGTCCAGCATGCCAACGGGCCTAGCCTTAAGGGTGCACTCGGATATGAACAAAATACCGTACGACGTTCCGAAAAACAAATACGCCAAGGGTTCTTGTGTCAGACGCTCACGTTATTGCTGGGGGGTGCGTCACGAGTGCGCGTTCTGCGATAAACATCCGACAATGGACAACAGCGAAGCGAGAAGGTCGCTAAGCGATGCTGCGCAGGGTCGGGTGATGATGCAATCCCGGTCGTTCGAGAGGAACTTCTGCGAGTGCGTTGAACGTATCAAGCACCGCGCGGCTTCCTAAAGCTTCACGCGTGTCTGCCACACCGACGCGCGCAACCCCACGTGGGGTGCATCTAGCTCGGAATCTTGCGCACATACCTCCGTGCTATAAGTACGAGCTGAGCACGGACAGAGAACGGTGTCAGCTCCGAGACACGCTCATCCCCCTCGTGCTATCCGCCGCTCACCCGCAATGCAGTTCACCGCATCCCTCCTCGCCTTCGCAGCCCTGGCCCTCGCCAGCGTCGGCACCGTGGCTGCGGACGAGCAGCTCCCTGCTAAGGCCGCGCCGCATCCCGAGGTACGTAGCGCAGTGGCTGTCTGAACACCGTCGGAGCGCTGACTTCGCTGGAACAGCACGCAACGACCATCTGGAAGCCCACGGCTACCAACGTCGTTACGCGCACCTTCACGGGGTCGCGGGTCGAGCAACACTGGACCACCGTCTCGCCGTACATGTACACGACGACCGTCCCGATCACCTGGACGCAGACACAAACGCAGACGCAGTACACGCCGATAATCACGGACGTGCCCGCAGCCCGTCGTCATGCCCGCGACTTCGGGAGTTCTTAAGGTAAGCCAGACCGTGTCCTTACGATGATAGGAGGTTGGCTGATCAAGGATGACCAGTTGTCGTCTTAATGATTTGTGATGTTGACCCTTACTGTATGGGATCGGAGGATAGGTTTCGGCTTTCAAATGTATCATTGTACGCTGTTAACGACGGTAGCGATCCGAGACGTGAGACCTACAGTGGCATGACTGCTCATGACAGTTAGCAAGGCTCCATGCAAAGCAGAAGTGGGGCGCATCTTGGTGCAGTCTCATACGCATGCGGTAACATTGTGACAGGCATACACTTTCACTTGAAGGCTCTTGAAGGCGCGTTACAACGAGGAACGCGCAGGAACATACTTAGTGAAAGATCTGTGGAATATGTCCTTGATTTTCGACGCACGGCCTGAAGCCTAGGACCACGGTACGTGGACTTGGATAGCCTGTCTTCAGAGTAGTAGTACACCCATAGTTTCATCAGACAGGCGCGTGCAGAGTGAGCGAGTGCAATTACAAGATGACGGCAGAAAGCAGGTTTCGTCGATCGACGCGGAAGCGTACTTAGCGGCGGTTAACCTTATTCAGTCACGTGGGCGAATATTTGTAGCGACTTTGTAATCGGGCGCAGAAATCTCTTAGAGTCGATCGTCCGCCGTCCCGTTCTACACCTCTCTTACACACCACCACCACCATGGCCGACATCATCGTAGCCCATCCTGAGTCCCAGTCGGGTCTCTACACCTGCCTCTCATGCACGATCGCATTCCTTTCCGCGGAAGAGCAAAGTGAGCATCTGTTTTTGACTTGCTCGATTCGCACCAGGACTGAGCAGTGGTCCAGGGGAGCACTACCGCTCCGATCACCACAGGTACAACATGAAGCGTCGTGTGGCAGGTCTCCCGCCCGTAGGCGCTGCGCTATTCAACCAGAAAGTCCTGGACAGACGGGCGGAGACTGCGATCATGACTTCCCCGAAGGGATCGGCATGTGAGGTTTGCGGGTAAGCACGATCCGTCTGGATTCCCGGGCTCGTCCCTGACGGCATGTACAGCAAGAGCTATACCACCGAGAATGCGTACAGGACGCATCTGAGCTCGAAAAAGCACAAGGATACCGAGCTTCGTGCCGCAGCCAAGGCGCGGGCTCGCGCTGAAGCTCCTGAAGAAGCGGAGGCGGTCGAAGCGATCCCCGAGGCCGGCCCATCCACACAACCCGCTGCTCCGGCATCGACCACGCTAGCGACCGTCGAAGAGGTCTCCTCGCAGCTGAAGAGTGTCGCGCTGCAGGTCGACGAGGACGCCACGGAGGAACAAATAAATCAGACCATCGACGAAAAGATCGCGGCCGCCCGCGCGCGCATCTCCCCCACGCAGTGCCTCTTCTGCCCCGTCTCCTCCGCCTCGCTCGACGACAACCTCACGCACATGTCCGCCGCGCACTCGTTCTTCATCCCCGACGCTGAGTACCTCGTCGACCTCGTCGGCCTCATCACCTACCTCGGCGAGAAGATCGCGGTGGGCAACACGTGCGTGTTCTGCAGCGGCCGCGGCCGCGAGTTCCGCACGCTCGAGGCCGTGCGCAAGCACATGCTCGACAAGGGCCATTGCAAGATCGCGTACGACAGCGAGGAGGATCGGCTCGAGATCTCCGACTTCTACGACTTCACCGCGTCGTACCCGGACGTCGAGGACCGCGCCGCGCGCAAGGCCGCGCGTGCCGCACGGCGGGCCGCGAAAGCAGCCGCAGAGGGCAAGACCCCGGAGGACGAGGAGTGGGAGGACGACGAGGAAGTGGACGACTCCGACGTCGACGAGATCGTCGAGGAGAGCACGTCGGACGAGAGCAGCGACGACGACTCGGACGAGGAGGAGCCGCTCGAGAACGAGATCGCGTACGGCGACTCGCACTTCGAGCTCGTGCTCCCCTCTGGCGCGCGGATAGGCCACCGCAGCATGCGGCGGTACTACGCGCAGTCCTTCCCGGGGGCGCCGCGGAACGGCAAGCCCGAGGACCCCAACTCCGGCGCCGCGCTCGTGCGCAGACTGCTGGCGGACAAGAACTCCGCGCTGGTGCCCAGGGGCGGCGGGTTCGGTGCGTTCGGCGCAGGGTTCCAGGTCGTGAAGGCGCGGAATCGGGGAGAGGCGCGCGAGGCCGGACGTCATGTCCGCGAGCACAGAGACCAGCGCAGGAAGGAGGACTTCAAGACGAAGGTTGGCTTCCGCCACAACAACCAAAAGCATTTCCGCGACCCGCTGCTGCAGGTGCGTTGCTGCCCCACGTTCGTGCTGCTGACTGCCGTACTGACACACCTCCACAGTGATCTGCCGTCTGCTTTTGCGCTTGTATTATGTTTCGTACGTAGTGTATGCCATATGACGACATGGGGGAGGTGAACAGTGAAACAATGATGAGTCTGCGAGAAGTGTGGCACGAAAAGTCTGTGAAAATCGTCATGATGGTGATAAGTAGGAAGCTGCTGCGCGGGAGAGGGAGATGTTGGGGACTGGGGATGGATGGGAACGAGCGACCAGAGGTCGATCTTGCATCTCGGGTATCCGGACGACGTACGGGGCAATAAATGAAACAATGCGACGAAAGCAAGCTCAATGACAATTGATAACCCAACCAGGACGAGTTCGGGGAATAATAACTCAGTACACATACGACGCCGGCACCACGCCCTCCTGTCCCGTACGGGCGTCGCGCGCGTACCACCATCTGAGAAAGATTCGTTGTTGTCAGCGATATGCTACCCCGGGACAGAAAGCGTACTCACGCGTCATCTCTATCATCTAGAATCTCAAGCTCCTGCCCCGCCTTGACAGGCAGCTCGCCCTCGCCATCGCCGTGGAAGGAGTACCGCGCGTACGCCGGCCGACTCTGCTCTTCAGGACCCATACCGCCACCAAGCGCGTCCGACGGCGTCTCCGCACGCAAGTAGTTGCTCGCGTCGGGCCCGCTGAACGGATCGTCGTGCACAGCAGCGCCCGCGGCCGCTGCACCGCCCATGGCCGCGTAGCCTGCCTCCTTCTCCGCGTTTGGCCCGAAGGGGCTCGAGCCGAGGATCGTGGAGCGCGTCGCCGCGTTGATGTGTTCGAGCAGCGAGGACGGGCGGTGCGTGGAGTCGTCGTCCGCGTCTAGCTCACTAGCGTCGAAGGTGTTCACCTTGTCGTCCCGGCGTGCGAAGAGAGTCCAGAGGATCTCGATCAGCGCAAGCAGGAACACGATGCCGGCGGCGATGGCGATCGAAATAAGAATGACGACGCCGGTGGCGAGGAAGTCTGAGAGCATTCGGGTCAGCGAAGGTGGTAAGTAAGCACGCATTCTTGAACACTCACGACGGCGGTTGAAGTTGATCGTCTGGATGGAGCGGAACAATCCAGCGAGGGCGCCAGGCGTGCCGGACTCGGTCGTCGACACAACGAAGGGCGTGAAGGTCGAACCGTCGAACAGCGCCGCGGATGCGTTACCGAATGACGAGTCCGTGAGCGTACCAGAGACCATCAGGACACGGTCGGACTCGATGATGCTGTTGCCGTCGTGCGTGTTCTGCACAGGGACTATGGTCAGCTGCGCCACATCGGTCGTGCCCTGGAGGGTGCCACCTGAGGCCATAGTCAGCAAACCATGATCGCTCGCAGGTGTCATTTATGCTCACCGACAGAGCTCCAGGACTGGCCGTTCCAGAAGTACAGGAAAGGCGAGGTTCCGTCCGTCGTCCGGCCAGCAGCGAAGATGCTGTTGATATTCCCAGCGTTGACCTCCGCGGCAGTGACCGGGCCAGGGAGGTCGCTACCACTGCCGACGGCGGACCAGGTGGTGTTCGAGAACGCGTACGACGCGACGTTCGCGGGGGTGTTATCCGCCAGCACGATTGAGCCCGCAGCAATCAACGCATTGTTCTACCAGAGACAACGGTGTTAGTTTGCATGTAGAGTAGAAATTTTAGGAATGCTTACCCCGGCATACACGACGGTCGAAACATCGCCCTTGATGCCGTTCCCGAGCGCGCTCCACTGCTTGTTGGTCGTCTCGAATGAGCAGATGGCCCGGCACGGCGTCGACCCCGCCTGGTCAAACGAGCCTGCGACAACCACGACGTCGTCGCTGGCGGGAGACGCCGTAATCGAGCGCACAGTGACACTACCGCTCGTCGCTGAGAGCGGCTGGAGACCGGCCGAGTCCCAGGCCTGGGTCGCGAGGTCGTAAATCGCAAAGCCGCTGCCTTCAATCCCGGTAACGGAAAACTCGCCGCCGATGAAGAGCGAATCGCCCTTGACGAGCAGGCTCCGCACCGTTCCGTTCGGCTGGTTGCCCTTCAGCGGAGTCACGGTCTTCGTCTTGTCGTCGTAGATCGCGACGTTCTGAGCCTGTACCCCGGACACGCTGTACGAGAAGTTCCCGCCGATCACGACAACCTGGTCACCCGACGAGCTGTTCGTCCAGAATGCGCCCGCGAGGACTGCGGGTGCAGGGGCGGGGGCAGCGCTAGGGAGGGGCGCGAGGTTGGACGCAGCCGACGTCTGTCGCTTGAAGATGCTCAGCACGTTGAGGGTCGGGATCCAGCCAGCACCGGCACGACGGTGGTGCGAGCGGCGCGTCTTGGCAGTGGTCGTAGCAGCGCTGGTGGTAGTGGGCGCGTCGAATTGAACACCAAGCGGGGAGACCTGGGGCTCGCCATCATCACCGTTCTGTACCATTACGAAGCCAGAGGCACCGAAGCGCAGAGAGGCTGCGACGTTGCCGCCAACGAATTGTTGTGTGCTCGATGTGCCATTGCCGACGAACGACATAGACCCGATGAGGAACCCGCCGCTGTTGACCCAAGAGCTGCTGGCGATATCCCACGCCGCGAAACCATCGGCGTTCTGGCCCTCAGTGCTGCCCGCAGAAGATAGGAGCGTGGTGAAGTTCCCGGCGACGAGGATCTGGTTGTCCGAGGTGTCCAGCGAGGTCACCGCACCGTCAACGCCACCTTCTAGTGCAGACCACGAGTTGCCCGAGACGGAGTACATAGCGATGCTCTTCAGTGCGCTGTTGGAAGACTGCGCGGTGTCGGAGAAGGAGCCGCCCACGTAGACATTGTCGCCGCTGATGACCAAGGAGGTGACAGGGCCGTTCAGCCCGTTGTTTGACAATGTGGCGAGGGCACCATTCTTGAACACTGCGATGTTGGACGCGCCAGAAGCAGAGCCGGAGGACAGAGTGAACTGACCACCGAGGAAGATCGCGCCGGATGAATGGTGCGCTACGGCAGAAATAGCGGGTACAGACGCAGAGGAGGTGACGGAAGTGGCGCCGCCGAGGGCGGTCAACAGGTCGAACCCGATGCTATCGAGGGAGGTTACCGCCGAGGTAGGTAGAACGGTGGACGCGCTGGACGTTGAAGACGCGCTGAGCGGCCACTCCAGGAAACCGAACCCACTCTCCGCCGCGGCCGTCGAGTTAGTAGTAGAGGTGGAGTTCGCGCTCGACGTCAAGTTTGCGCTGGTCAAGACAAACTGCACGCGGTCCGCGACTAGCTCGTATTTGCCGTTCTGACCGGTACCCTCAGGTGCATCGGCCAGAGTGAGTGCGATAGTCGTCTGGAACGCAGGGGACGTCGGGACGATCGGACCGCGGTAAATGAGTGTCGACTTGTCCTCCGTGTTCTGCTGGGAAACGGTCGTAACCCACGGTTGCTGGCCGCCTCCAGGGAAAACGACGACCTTGACGCTCGTGCGGAGTGGGCAATCCTGGAAGTTCGTGCACCCAGGGACAAGGATGTTGACGTCGTACTGGCCGGACGCCGAGACGTACGGCATCCAGGTGAAGCTGGGACCGGCAGCGGCTGACGTGCCGACATCGACAGTGGATACCAGCACCGCCTGCGTGGTGCCCGGGATGGATGTGTCGGCATCCTTCTCCAGCCAGGTCCCCGTGCGTTGCGTGGACGACGACTGGGGCGCAAAGCATGACTGGCCATTCTGGGAGTCGATTGCGGAGGCGAATGCTCCCGAAGAAAGCAGCTGGAGGATATGTAGGCCGGGTCCGGCACCCTCCCACTCGGAGAGCGTCAGCTGGAAGCCAGTGATGTCGAGGTCAGAGTTGAACAGGAAATCCTGATACGGCACGGCCGGATCTGTCAAGAGCGGGCACGAGTCGGTGCAGGTCTTGTTCGTGTTGGTAGTCGGATCGAAGTACTGCAGCTGCTGGACGGCATTATCAGGGATGGTGGCGATGCTGCAGGATGCTCAGCCGAATAGTACTACAAGAATACATGGTCACTCACCTGAAGGCTGTAGTGCCACGACCGCTCAAGAATGTGTTGCCCAGACGAAGGCCTCTCGCCGTAAGGAACGTGAACGTCCTCACCGTGATTACAGCCTTGTTGCCGTCGGCTGCGAACCACGTATTTCCGGCACCGTCCGCACCTGCGGGGCAGAGGATGTTCTGTATATCGCTGAACTGACTGTCCGTTGAAGATGGCGCAGCAGACACGTCGGAAGCGTTGAGCGGGACGGGGACGAGAGAGGACGAGAATGGTGTTGCTCCTGATGAGAACGGCACATTGGGATTGTTGGTGTCGTTGAGAGGGACGGAGCCGTTGCCAAAGGACGATATGAAGGAGCCGGAGAAGAAAAGACTGGATTGTGACGAGTTGGTCGTTATAGACAGGACTTCAGCTGCCGCGCCTGTCAGCCCGCCGAAGGGGGCGGCAGACCAAGAAGACGATGCGATATCCCAGACCGCGACGGACGCGCCTGGGGAGCTGAACTGACCACCGGCCCAAATTTGCTTCCGTGAGGTATCGCAGAACAGCGCGCGTACAACTCCGTTGGGTGCATTGGTTCCAAGAGCGGATATTGAACCCGAAGAAGACGTATACGATGCGACGTTGCTCGCGGACGTGCTCCCGACAGATGAGAAGCTACCTGCGAAGTAGAACACGTCGCCGAGCGCACAACCTGCCAGGATGCTGCCGCCGGTGTTGGTGGACGCGACCTTTGACAGAGAGCCGTCTGAGGATGACCGAGCGAGAAGGGACGCGGTGGAGGGGTCGAAGGTTACAGAGGAGGAGTTTGTGACAAGATCAAGACCTGCGAATGCTCCGGCGAGGCCGACCTTGCCCATGAGATCGAAGTCGACGAGAGGGGAGCTAGCGAGGGCCGCATGGGCGCATATAGCCAGAAAGAAAGCGGTTATCATGAGGGGCGAGCATGATCTGCACGCCATAGCGTGCTGGGGAGGGGTATCTTGCACGACGAGGGGGAGAAGAGACAAGAGTCTGCTACGAAGCGCGTGGGCAGGGCGTTGAGTGGTTGGCTACGCGACATCAACGTGCACGCTACTCAACGTTTGCTTATGTCAGCAATTCTCACGCCCGTTATATCCATGAACGCCTACACCGCCTCGGATGCTGCAGTGACTTCAACTTTTGATCATCCTCAACAAGTGTTTTGTGTCTTGGCGACAACTTGGAGATTATTGTCGGCGTCGCTCTCTATGAATAAGCTTGCCTTAAATACGTCCTCCCAACGTAAAATAGGACGTTGTGACGATTTGAATCAATACGTGGGCTAAGTAAGGCGCTGCGGTCCCCGCACACCCGCTGAGAATGATCCCTTAAATTGAGGCAGAGACGGGTAGGAGCGGTACTAACGACGTGATATGCAGCCGCGAAGTTCCGAGTCGACTCGGACACTGCGTCGCAGTAAGTAGTATTTTAATTTTAGCTCGTGGCTGTAACGTGTATGATTTGACATTGATTGGCTCGGAAGCCCCTGATCTCTACGCCTTGCGAGCAGCAATATCTCGATACGATTTTCGCCGTAAGACGTAGGGACATAGTAGGGACAGCACAATAAGTGCACTGATTCGCTGGCGTGATACGGTTAGGAGAGACACGTGGATGCCACGCGAGCTATTCCCATACAGAGACCGTGCGAAGAATTGTCGCGTTAGAGGTACAGCCACACAGCGAAGGGCCCAAAAATCCTCTACCCGGGATGATAAGCCGAATAATCCTACGGATCATTCTCAACTGTCGCAGTGGGACTTGGATGACATGTACTATCTAGGACAAGTATCCTGTTCAATAGGTTGTGGTGACCCTCGGGTGACCCAGCAGAGCTTCGCGCCGCCTGTGACCCTGCCACCAGTGCGCGCGGATATTACACGTACGGTTATCGACGTCGGGCATCTGTTCGAAAGACGCGAATGTCCAAGATGCTCTTGGTGTTACTGTTCGAGAGAAGTAGTAGGTGAGGATGCGTTCATGTTGAAGGAATGTTCGACAAAGTGGCAGATCCCGCCAGCCTTTACACTTGGGCGTCCTGTACGGGTTCATCCTTCCAGGAAGCTGAGAGGGAATAGGCTATTATTACCTTGCAGCTTGTGAGAGTCATTGGGTGCCGCTACTGTACGTGATACTATTACTGATGAACCGGCTACCGAGGTCTATAAGGTAGGCTGTAGCAAATACGGTATATACGTGCCTCGCTTCCCGTCAGTAGCATGTGCCGATGCGCTCATTTCTAGCTTCTTCTATATGGCGGCCGGACGGCTATAGACTCTAGTGCGGTCAAGTCTGCTCCAGCTGCCCCGCACGGTCACAGGACATGTTCTCGTGGGACCCTCCGTGCCCCCTGACCCAATCGGTGCGGCAGAATTGACCCATGAATCAGCGCGGCCGCCATGGACCCCTCATACCCACGCCTGCTAGCCAGAACACACGCCGCGGCCCGCGCGCGAGAGTTCTGCATGGACGCGCTCGCTTCCGCCTGCCTGCCTATCGCGGTCCCGGACGCCGCGCCGCCTCGTATAAAGCGCGTTCTGTCTCGGCTGGGAGTCGCCATCCCACAGCACCGGACCACTGTGACCACCTTGACCGACTACCACGACCGCTGCTGCCGTCATGGCCTCTGAGCAACAGATGAAGAACCCGCTCCTCGTCGGGCGCGCGATCCGCGCACAGCTCGAGAACGAGGTCCCGCAGGACCTCCCGCTCGAGCGCGACTTCCGTGAAGACTCGGACTACACCATCACAGACCAGTGTGTACCCTTTCAATGTCGTGCACGAGATCGCGACGTTGACAGAGTCGCGCAGTGTGCAGGGCCTCCACAAAAGCCTCTGCAAGGAGCCACGAACGCTGGAGCTCGTCACCTCCCTCGTCTCGCACCTGCACGCGTTCGCGCGCGAAACACAGCTGACGCACGCTGAGTGGACGACGGCGGTCAAGTTCCTGACGCGTGTGGGCAAGGAGAGCACCGAGTACAAGAACGAGTTCGTTCTACTGAGCGACTGTTTGGGCTTCAGCGCCCTTGTGGACGAGATCAATCATCCGAAGCCTGCGGTGGGTCGCCATCGTCGTATACACGGTGCGAAAGCGTGTCTGACTCAAGAAATTTGTAGGGTTGCACGGACGGATGCGAACCCGGACCCTTCTATACGGAAGACGCACCAGTGGTCCCATCCGGCTCATCTCTCGCCAAATCCAACACGCAGGGCGAGTCAATGGCCTTCGTCGGCACAGTGAAAAACCTCAAGGGTGAGGGTATCAAGGGTGCTACCGTGGATGTGGTTAGTGTCAACTCTGTTGCACCACCCGAAAACTATATTCACTCACCTCCTATGGCAGTGGCAAGCCGATGGAGACGGTGTGTATGACATCCAGTACCCCGACCGCGAAGAGCCAAACGACCGCGGCAAAATTCTCGCGAACCCAGATGGCACGTTCAGTTACCGCGGAATATTGCCCACAGCCTACCCCATCGTACGTATCTCCCAGTCGGCTTTCGCTACAATTTGGTTTGAGCGTGACTGTTTCGTAGCCGAGCGATGGGCCTACTGGAGACCTTTTACATGCACTAGGTTAGTAAAGATCGGGAAATCAAAACTCACTGCGGGCGTTGTTGACGCATGCTAACACATAGGCCGCCACCCTCATCGCGCGTCTCACATTCACTTCACAGTCAAGGCCCCTGGATATGACGAGTGCGTCTTATGCACGGCCGTCCTTCTGATGCATGCGCTAAAAGTGACTCACAACATACAGCCTGACCACCGCGCTCTACCCCTCACACTCGCCATTCCTCGGGACGGACCCGGTATTCGCTACCAAGAAGTCGCTCATCTGCCAGCTCGCTGAGGAGAGCGACCCGAAGCGATGGACAGAACTCGGCTTCAAGGATGGCGAGGTGCACGGGGGGCGGGTGTGGGTGTGGAAATTCGACTTCGTGCTCCCGACTGCTGAGCAGGTCGAGGAGCTCAAGCAGGCGCGCGCGAAACAGTCCAAAGCATGAGTCGGTGCCGATGCCGTGGAACTTGTTCAACCAAGTATTGTCGACAGGTGTGGAAGGTTGTGTACGATTGCAGTGTACAGGAGTGTGCTTCTAGAGTGTGCCGCATAATTCAATCGTCTGGTTCGATCGTCCAATGGCGGAAGGGGTATTCCTGACTTCGTTGATCGGGTCCTGCAACTCACCAAAGGTCATACGCGACCACTCTGAGCACAGAAGACGCAGCGATCAAAGTTGTGAAGTTATGAGGGTGGATGAGGGAAAAGCGATGATAGGATTATGCAAAGTCTAGCCTCTCTTTACAGCAACGTCGCTGGCGTCGAGGTGCAGGCCCACTGGCAAAGAGTGCGGGGAGTACATGTCAAGTCTCCTATAATAGGGAGATAGAAGTATATGTTAGCCTTGCATGAGCCAAGACAATGACCGGACAATCCACCGAGCATGAGACAAACGTACTGGGGGAAGCGGTAGCGGTGCACGACCGGGGGCTTCGCGTCAGTGATGAGCAGCGTCTCGTCCGAGCCCTGCGCCGAGAGCAGAAGGTGCTTGAACAGGATGTCCTTCCACACCTCCCCGGAGGTCATTGTCCGCGAGACATATTTCGCAATCAGAGTGTCGTCGCTGGGGGCGGGAGCGAACTTGTAGAACGCGACGACACCAAGCCCGGCGATAACGGCGGTGCGCCAGAAGGGGGTGTTGAACACTTTATACAAAGCCACATATGGTGAGTCTGAGTAACTCACGGAGAACATGAAGACATGCGCACCTTCAGGCGGGTACACGTTCGTATCGTGGTACTCCTCGTGGTGCTCGTCGTGATGGTGCTCGTCGTGAGCATGCGAAGATGCCGCTCTGCGCTGAAGAAGAGAGGTGCCAGCCCGTTGAGTTGGGCGCAAAACGGCCCCGGCCGCCCTTGCGAGAGACATGTCGCTGAGGTCAAGGATGGGGTGAGGTCAATGTCCAAGAATGCGTTGAACGCCGTCTTTCCGCTCGTTGACGCTGTGTGTGCTTACGTAATATGGCGCCCACTCCGAGTCCTCGCGCGAGGGCCGCAGACGTTCCCATCTCTCTGTGAACCATCATCTTCGCGACGTTGCTCTCGCGCGCGACCCTCCCGCGGACCTGGCTTCTAGCTGTTTTCGTTGCCTATCTGCGTGCCTGCTCAGGTTGAATTCCAACCGCGTGCCCTGCTCGGCTCTATCTTCGCGACATGTCAGCCTCTGAAGACATGCGTCGTGTCAGCCTCGGTGGCCTATATAGCTCACGACGCTGGGTCCGACACTCCCTAGCACTCTAGCATACTGACCATCTATTCTCGCGACTCTTCGCCGTACCAAACTCACCGACTCACTCCTTCAACTGTACCTAAATCCCCGCGCGCCATGCCTTACACCACCCGTACTCGCGCACCTCTCCTCCCGGTCGCGATTTCCCAGTCTCCGCTCCTATCTGGGACGCTGCCTGCCGACCTGTTCTATAACCTCGCAAAACCCCTACCCATCATTACCATTGGTCCGTGCGACCTCGGCGCCGATCGCCCTCCCGCTCAATCAGACGCTCGGTGGCCCTCACCTGCGTCCTCATCCTCATCACTCTCTTCCACCCTCTCTTCCCCCGCGTTGATCTCCCCCAAGGACGTGATCTCGCTCCTCAACCTCCTCGAAGCGATGGACAATGACGTCTCGACGGAGGTTCAGCGCGTGCGGCTCGGCATTCAGGAGACGCGCACGCTCGTCCGGGAGTGTCGGGAGGAATCCAAGGCGCGCGCATGCGAGTTGCAGAAGAGGCGGGAGAAGGAGCAGAGCGATACGAAGGGAGCGGACGATGACTTCTGGCTGGGTATGTAACCTCGACTGTTTGTACGTTGAGTGTTGGGGCCGTGTGCCCAGTATAGACGCTATTCGCGCCACCATGAAGTTCATGACTGTGCGTGATTGCTAGAGGTGAGCATACAGTCCTTGCAATGCCTTAACGCCAGAGCTCGGACAGTATTGAAGGGCCTCATAGGAAGGTAAGCTTACCGTACAGTGTGATACGAGCGCCCTGAGGAGGTATCACAGATGTCGTAACTCTGCTGTGCCGCCGGTGGCCTCCTCGAACATCGGCCGTTCTAGCGAGTCGTACGGGTTGTGTCGATCCCGCGTTATCAACTCTATCATCCCTGATGCACAGTTTATTTGACATTTGACTTGGAAGTGCACAGCCTATACTCGGACGCCTCATATATCACCGCGACCACACACGCCACGAGACGGTACCCCAGTCCAGAGCCCTACTTCCGTATGTTCAACTTCGCTCAGAGTATGAACCGCACCATGATTGGAGCTAACTTCGACAAGTTGATATACCACACAGGCTATGTGGCTCCTGGACACTACGACCGGGAAGCTGCATCATATCGCAGACCCGTCGCGCGAGAACTACGCTATCCTCTCACACGTCTGGATCACGGGCAAAGAGCAGTCGTTCCAAGAGTTACAGGCCCTACACGCACTCACCGCGCGCGAAGCATGGGGCGTCCGCCTCGGTCGACTCGCCGGACGCGCGGCGCCCTCGCCCCTCGCGAAGGCGTCGGAGAAGATCCGCGAGTGCTGTGCGTTCGCAAAGGCGCGCGGGTACCGCTGGCTATGGGTCGACACGTGCTGCATCGACAAGACAAGCAGCGCGGAACTCTCGGAGGCGATCAATTCGATGTACCAGTGGTACGCGCAGGCGGGCGTGTGCTACGCGTTCTTGCACGACGTCAGCGACGAGCAAGATCCCCGCGTGCGGGGCTCGCAGTTCCGCCAGAGCCGCTGGTTCCGGCGTGGGTGGACGCTGCAGGAGCTCATCGCGCCGCGGGAGCTTGTGTTCATCTCCAAGGAGTGGCGTCCGTTCGGGACAAAGACGAGCTTAGCGGACGTCGTGGAGGATGTCTCGGGCGTGGAGCGGGCGATTCTAGGGCATACTCGGCCACTGAGCACCGTCAGTGTCGCGCGACGCATGGCGTGGTTCGCGATGCGGAAAACGACTCGAGTGGAGGACGAGGCTTATTCTCTGATGGGCATATTTGGCGTCAACATCCCGACCATATACGGCGAGGGCCGCAACGCGTTCTATCGACTGCAAGAGGAGATCCTAAGGCACACCCCAGACCAGAGCATCTTCGCGTGGGGTCCGCTCGTCTTCGAACGGTACGGGTGGTCGTGCGACCAGTTCCTAAAGGCACCGCTCCCAGAAACGACCAGCGAAGACATACCGAACGAATACCTCTTCGCGCCGTCGCCCACCGCGTTCGAGCACTCCGGGGGCATCACGCCGCTCCCGCTCGACGACTTCGAGCGCGAACTCTCAACCAAGGTCCCCGTGCCCGAGTACACCATCACGAGCTATGGCATCCGCACGCGGCTTCCCCTGGCGACGCTCTGGCGGCCCGTGCCGCTTTCCACGACGCACCCGCAGCTCACGGTGCACGTCGCCGTCCTCGCGTGCACGGATGTGAACGACGGGCTTGTCGCACTCCTCCTTCGCTCTCCCCTAAACCAGAACCACGAGCAGTATGAGGTCGGATGCCGATACCCCGCCGGATTCGTGCGTGGCGCGACGCTGCGCTGCCTCCAGGAGAGCTTCGCGCTATCCCCTTCGCATAGTATGTCAAAGACGCCGAGCGGTATCAGCTCCGAGCTGGCGTCCGTGTACGTCCCGTACCGCCCCTTCGAACAACCTGTGGTGTCGTATGCGACCCGGCACAACATACGACGGCCACCTACAGAGCGTAACGGCGACACGCCCGCGCGCACGCTTTTTCTCTGCCCGTGCGAGGTGATCATCCCCCAATGGACCGTGGCGCACCTGCTCAAAGCGGACTATTGCATCTCTGCGGCACCTTCCGCGGTTCGAACCGTTGTCCACGTTCCGGAAAAGGGTCCGCTGGTCTGCGTCGTGCTCTCCCGCGGAAGCGGTAAGGACGGCATCTACATAGGACTGGGACCTTGCCCGGTGTCACACTCTTTATTCATGCCCCCATACCTCACTGCGCTGGTGTCTTTCCATGGGCCGCCAGTCCATCCAGAGGTCGTTGATAGCGCGGAAAGGAGCATCCATCGGCCTAGGCCAATGCCGGAGTCTTGCAAAACGACACACGTGAACGAATGGCGAGACAGCTCTACTGAATGCGTAAGCGAGACGGGGATCCGGGTGAAGCTGGCGTTCGGAGCGTGGACGGACTATATGGACAGCGGGAACCATCGCGGGTTGTATGCGCTGACGATAGAGCTAGAGAATATCAGCTCGGGCGAACGTGGTATTTAGTTCACGAATGTTGTATTGCAGCTCGCTATGAGGTGTCTCACCCCATTCTCGATGCGGGGATTAACGGATTGCTCGATGACGTTTGATGATGGATGGATTGGTATGTCTTCTACTAAGGACACCCGTGAACGCAGCGGCTCTCCATAACGGATCCAGTCGTAGCCAAAGAGAAAGGTCTGTCGATTCGCATTGGTATCTGCAAGTCGGGGCCACATCAGCGCAAAACTCCATACCTGTACTGCAGGCGACAAGGTTCCGTGAACTATACCCACGACGATCGTATTACACCGGGGTGGCCCATGGCGCGATTTCGTCCGCACTATAAGCTCTATCAATATTGAGATCCAGCATGTGCTAGCGTACAGCCGCGTCAGATCGTAAGTTGGTGCGCATGCATAGTGACCCACGTTGTCGTTCGCGGACAGGACAAGATTTTCGTCCAGAAGCATGCGCTCCATCACGCTCTCGTCGAGCTTCTTTGGGTCTCCGGAGGGACACGACCCTCTCCCCATGTTCTTCCAGGCAGAATGTGCAAGCCACCGACCACGCTTCACAGCGTTATGCATCGACCTAGGGGCCACGACCCGGCTCCCAACACTGAGAAAAACGTATTGCAGGGATGGGACGGCGTCCATTTGCTCCTTAGCAGTCTGCTGGTGGTTGAGGCTGGAGATGGCGCGGACAAAGTCCTTTGAATACGGGACTGCGGTGTTAGAGCCACGCGCGATGTCGGCGATGTCGGCCTGGACGAATACGCGTAGGTGGGTGAGGCGCAGCGGACGGATGGCCTCGACAATTTTGGACTGGGGCGCGGGAGTCTGGTGGTCAGTACGCAGCTTGGAACCACGGACATAGGTGATGGACACGCACGAGCAGATCTTCCCACTGCATAGTAGCGATGGGCTCTCCTTCGGCGACCCTGTCTTCTATTACCCGTATGGAATAGAAGAGCGCAAGCGCGAGGTGTGTGAGCCGCGGGACAACTTCCGGGGGGAACAACTCTGGGCGCACGCGAGGGCCGTAGCACAGGGCGATCGTCAGTTTCAGATGCGTAGGCGGCGTCGTGCGCAAGATGTCCACCAGGTGCTCCGTCAGGTGTAGTGTGTAGCACACGTCCAGCATGAGGTGACGCACGGGGCATGTCAGGCCGAGAACAAAGACAAAGAGCAGGTCCCCCATGACGCGGTCCAGATGTGCCCATGACTGATGCTGCTGTCGCTCCTTGTTCGCCTCGCGAATCCGCCAATGGTCCGACACGTCCTCTGTGAGCTCGTACATGGGGCCAAGGGACAGCGTGCCGTCCAGAGAAGGGAACTTGTACGCAAGGATGTCTGTGCGCATCATACCTTGGTCCGTGCATATACCTATCTTGAGCGACCGCAGGGCGGGATATTGCGCGCCCCTTTCGCTGAAGAGCGTCGTTCGCTCTGTGATATCGAGGACCTCGAGAGTAGGTGCGAGAGGGCTCATAAATGCATCGAATGCGGCGGTGGGGACTCCAATTTCTCCACCAAAGAAGGGAAGCGAAACCAGCGAGACAGGGAGGACACGCAGCGACGAGACCGAACGCGTGGCTTTGATAATCGCCTCCGCCTCGTCGCACTCTCCTAGGAGCCCGAGCTTGCGCAGCGTCGCTATACGGGCGATGGCTTCGGGTATTCGCGGATCCGCGAGGCATCTGAATGTGTACTTGGGATGAGGTAGCGTGAGGGACTCGAGGTGCGTGACGCGTTCCAAAAGGTCCAGTATGCGTCGTGCGACGTCCTGGCGAGCCTGTTCATCGACTTCAAGGACGCGGATTTCCAGAGCTCGCACAAAGGGGAGGCGAGACTCTGCGTCGGCGACAACGAAATCGTGGAACGCGCGGACCGATCGCTCATCCACGAGAGCGACAGGCCTCATGCGAAGCAGCCGTTTCAAAGCCACCGGGTGAAGGGCGTGTGAAACCAGCGCAAATGAGAGCACCGTCGCTGCGTCGTCGAGCAATTCGCAGACGAGTTCCAGGACATCGAGGTCAAGTAGTTGCTGCATTATTCGTTCAGATCCGAGATTCAACGCGTACGAGTCCTATGCTTGAAATAAGTTAAAAGATAAAGAGGCATCAGCAAATTTCACTCGAGACAAGATGACCACCCCTACCTCTACTGTGCTGCGGCGTGAGTAAAGTTTGGTGTGGATGGAGCCTGGGTGGGAGGAAGCACCGTGCCGGAACATCGATAGGGTGCGTCATGCATGGGGGTCGAGCCACAGTCCGCGATAGCTACGTCGCGAAGCTAAATGCCATGCGCCGGTCACGGGTCTCTGCGGGATCTGGACCTGTTAGCAGCACTATAGAAACACAGATGGATCATGCACGGGCGGAGCGCGCTCCTCTTTCTAACCTTGTCTCCTATCCCTCCAACCCTCTCACCTCTCGCCACCAACCCCTACCTGTCCTCCTGCATCTGTGGCCGATTGACACAATGTGTACGTCCATGCGCCCATCGCACCCCAGATACACCACTTACATGCTGTGCTGTGTTTCTGCGCGCATATATGCGACGCATATAGCTACCGCAGCGGCGACCCAGACACCCCGCCCACCCCTGCCGACGCGCAAGTCGTCAATCGATCCCGAGGCTGCGCTTAAGCTTGAGAAGAGTCTCGCACAGCGGCCCGACAAGCATGAACTCATCGATCGCAACATCCTCAAGGGTACGCCCGCACTCCCCGTCCTCAGATGATTGCTCAATCATGCGAGGGAGCTTAGACGACACCGTCGCGCCCTCATTGCAGGCTGCAAAGGAGAAGCTGCAGCGTTCCCAGCTCGAGGTGAGCATGGGCAATCGGATGAAGTTGTTCGGAATCTGAACACCAGAACACCGTCAGGACAAGCTTGAACATGCGCTGCAGGCGCGACCCAAGCCCGATGAACTCGTCAAGGAAGGGATTCTTAAGGGTGAGCCAGGTCATTGTGTCGTGAGGATACATCGGCTGAACATCAGACAGATGATGACGCCCCTCCAGCCTGAGTCGGCGTCGCATCGTGATGATTAGGGCTTGTGGGTTGCGCTCTAGGCTATTGGCATGTATGAGTAGTGTATAGTGTTTCCTGTACGATGACCGGCGTGTGAGCAGACACCTAGGAGGATATTTATGATCGAGTTGCAACTCGACTCACCATCTCTGCTGGAAAAGGCTCCGACGAGCGAACGCCTAGATGAGCGTCGGCCACGGCCAGCGTCCCGCTCATTCCCTATCGCGCCTGTTCCGGATCTTCTCCCGGACCTCCTGTGCAGCCCTCCGAGTGCCGGCGCTACCAGCCCAGCCTCGCGCCCGGAGCCAGTGTACGAGCCTCGGCGTGACAGCGGCGGTCAAGCCGACGCGGATAGGCAGGAAGAGTGTTTTGTGGATGGTGTAGGCAAGAACGATCATCGCCATGAGACCTTCATGACCACCGGAGGCGGCGTGTGAAGCCGCGGTTTCCATCTCCTCGCGACCAGGCTCCGGCGGTGTTGAGTGGATGAGGCCAGCGAAGTACTCCTTGGCCTGCGCGGCGACTTTGGACACGTGCTCTGCGCCGATGACATTCACGGCAGCGAAGGCGACGGTGAAGTCGAGCGTGGAGAGGACGATGTACACGCCGAGTGCATACCACCCGTAGGACTTTATGAGGTGTTTGAGGCGCTGCGTGAGTGACGCATCGGGCGGCAGAGAATGGCTGGAGGACTCGGGATCGTCTGGAGATCGTGGCGAGGGTGGTGGTGAGGCAGAAAGGCGGGCGGGGAAATGAGAGAACGGTCGTGAACTGGAGGCCGCTGCGCGGGGGCCGAGGCGAGTGGTGAGCGGGAGGAGTGGTTGCGAGACACGCGACGCGAGGGCGCGCACGACCGGGATGCGTAAAATGAAGCTTCGGACCATTCGCGACGGCAACAAAGTGGTGGTAGGAGACGAGAGAGAGAGACGAGCAGGAGGCGCAGCGGACGACGAGCTGAGGTTTTGCGGCAGAGACGAGCGCGTCGGGGGCGGCGAGGACGAGCTGCGTCACGCCCCGGCAATCACCCGCGCGCTAACCAATGGGGGGACAGCCACCGCACCTTCCGCATTGGGGGCGTCTATCGATCGCTCACTTTTCGAATTTTGGGCGCTAGACGTTTTGAGCCTCCGGACTCTGTTCCTCCCCCCCAAGCCATCCCTTTCATGCGTCCAGAGATCGCCTACTCTTTCGCCCGCCACCACCGCCCCAGATAGCGTGTTGTATACCACCTACTGCTCAACCATGATATCTGCCGAGACCGACTTCGAGCCGGCCGCAAACGGCCCGTTTGAGGGCCCCGAAAAGCTCCTCGAGATCTGGTTCGCGCCCTCCGCCGCGGACTGTCTGGACGCTACATCCAGCACGGATGGCAAGTTCGGCTTGCGCAGGGTGCCCAGGGTGGTGTGGGAGGAGATGCTTGACATCGTCAAGTGCAAAATTCTGTCCGTCGTCGAGGGGACGGAGACAGATGCATACCTCCTCAGGTGCGTACCTTCCGTACCTAACCCACGACCGATTGCGGTTATGTACGCCGTCGTCTGCTATCTTGCCGATCGAATGCACTATCAATGAGACGCCTGTGGCGCGCTACGAGTAATGGCTGCGTCTCGACTCGTTGGATCACACCATGAGTCCGATTGCTCGCGTGCTTTGTGGCTGTCTGCACGAATGCTAAGGGATATGCTGACAAGTGCGTTGCTCCTCCAGTGAATCCTCCTTCTTTGTGTCCCCCCATCGTCTCATCCTCAAAACATGCGGGACGACCCTCAATCTCTTGGGTGTACCCAGGATTCTCGAGATTGCTCGCGACCACGCGGGCCTACCCTCCGTATACCGTCTTTTCTACTCCCGGAAGGCCTTCATGTTTCCGGAAAGACAAATGGGCCCCCATCGCGAGTGGAGGACCGAGATCCAGTTCCTCGACAACCTCTTCCCCAATGGATCTGCCTACACCATCGGCAAGGTCAACGGCGACCATTGGCTACTCTACCTCACGTCGCCATCTGAGGGCGGTTCTTCCACCGGCGGCACAGCACCGAGCTCTCCCCATCTATCGCCTGTCGATGTCGATCATCCCGAGCCTGGATCATCGAACCTCAACGGGAACACTTCTGCGGAGGACAACGCAGACGGAGATGACTTCTTCGAGTCCGATTATACCATCGAGATCATGATGACCAACCTCTCTGCGGAGGCCCGTGCGCCGTTCTTCAACCCAGCACCACCAGAGGAGGCGGATGCAACGGCGGGCGCGGACGGCATGGCGCTGTCGTCCAAGCTTGGGATCACGGAGATCTTCCCTCCACACCTCACCACCCTCGATGCCTACTCCTTCTCTCCATGCGGATACTCCAGCAACGCACTGATCAAATGGCGTCCAGACGCTGGGCAGGACCCTGCGCACCCGGGCGAGGGCTACTACACCATTCATGTGACCCCGGAAGAGGGCTGGTCCTACGCGTCGTTCGAATGCAACGTGCCGCTCCCGCACTCGCCCACGGACAAGTCGACGAGCGTGCCGGACCTCAAGACGCTCATCCGTCGCGTCGTGGACATCTTCCGCCCTGGCCGGCTCACGCTCACACTGTTCATCTCGTGCAAGGACAATGACCTGACGGAGGAAGAGGAGGGCGAGAGCGCGGTCGAGTCCGCGCAGCGTGCGTTCAAGTCTGCGCTCACTCTGCCCGCGGGGCGCGCGGAGCGCGCAGAAGGTGCGGAGGCGGAGTGCGCGCGAGACAGCGCGTTCGCGGGGCTGTACAAGCGGACGGACAAGATCAACTACGAGTTCGGCGGATACGACCTGGCCTTCGCGAGCTTCGAGCTCCGCTCCTCATAGCGAGCCTCTTCAGGCACGACGTCGATCCGGCGGTGATTGGGGGCGGGCGGCAGACTACTCTGCACGAGCACAAACTAGGCGGGCGGTATTGTAGACGGGTTCCTAGTCCATTTCCGAGGATGCGCAGGAAACAGCCTTTACGCGCGGCAATACAGATGTGTATGTACCATCCGGGCGAAACTCGGCGTTGATAGCTCCTGCTCCAGGTCCTCTGATGCCTTTTCTGTTGGCCGCACCACGCATTGCGATCAAGGTCGGGAATTCGCCTAGGAATCCCGTATTCACCGCTTAAGGCAATACAGTGCGTCCATTGTATCACCTCCATACAGCAGCAACAGGATGCGCGCACCCCAGTTTTGACGAGTCGGCCCACAACGGGCTCGTCTTTTCTCTTCTGCCATATACCGCTGCCTGCCCTCAATGCCCATCGCTTGGCTATCCATGGATAGAACCACCGCGCAGCACTCAGAATATTCCTGTTGCGAGCGCCAGCTTCACGGAGTCTCCGATATACCTTCCCCGCAGAACGTCTGCGGTCAAACACGGCCCGCTAGGCAACCTCGAGGGCGGGGGAAGGGCTGACAGCCATCGATCGAAGCATCGGCCCCGGATGCGCACGCTAGAACCACGGTCACGCCCCGCGCCGATAGAGTTCTGCGCATGGGCGGTCGAGCGGGGAGGACGTCATCCTCCCTAGCGCGCTGCAGCCACGGCCGAGCCCGTCTCCCCAGCGCAACGGTCGTTTGTTCTGCGAGGAACCACGAAGGTACCCGTCAGGCCTCGTTCTACGGGGCTCGCAGGGTCGCTGAAGCGGCGGTTGCGTACCCGAGTGGTCGCCGCATGGGGGGGCCTGGCTCTGCGCGGTGCGTGTTCGCGACGGCTCGGGCACGGCTGTGGGGCACCCCCAGCCTCAGGCGCCCCTGCACTCTCTTTCGTGCAGGAAAGGGAGCGATTACGTACCGGGCCTGCACGGACCTCCGTGGAGCGCGACGTCGCTCTTCCTTGATATCATCTGCTGGGCTTCCAAGAAGTGGGCGAAGCCCTGCGCGCCCTGCGCGGCGTGGTCCCGCTAGTCAAGCAGCGGGTCATGCGCCCCTCCACCCGGGCGCGCACAGCGACATACGCCTGCCTGACAGAAAGGTGCCGGGGGCCTGGGGTGTGCGGCGTGCGCCGCGGGTGTGTCGTCGCGCACCCTCGATCTCGTGCACCGCGGGAGGGGAGGAGCCACCCGTGCATTGAGTTCAGATCGCGGACGCGGTATCTTTTGACAGATCAAACACGCTCTGCGGCGATTTCGAACGCCCTCGACCGCTGCGACGGCAAATTCCTGCACAGCTCACGCTCCTCTGGGCCGGGCGGACACGGAAATTTGATTCAGTGGCGACATTCGGAAGACAGCTGGCTGATAGATAGATGGCCATTCGGACTCGGTGTCCGTCCGCTCGCTTTGTCTCGGCGAGGACAGTCGAGGGCGGAATTTCAGACGGTCGGCTGCAGGTGCAGACGGCTCGGCGCGCGCGACGTGATGTTCCCAAAATGGCAGCCGTGGTGTTCAGCTACGTACTGAAGCGATGCGGGGACGCCCACGCCCTCGAGATCGCCATATGCGCCAGCCTGAGAACCCATTCGGTCTCTTTCGAGGCCCCCGCTGCTTTTGGACCGCGCGTACTCAGGCCCTCCGGCAACTCAGATACCCTCTTCTTCGCGGCGTGTCCGCGGCTGCTCGCTGACGGAATCCGGCACGCGGCCGATTCTCGTCGGGAACAGGCTTTGCATTCAGTTACCGGGCGTGAGCACGCCGCCAACTGCTGACGACGGCCCCCGGGCGTTCTGTAGGGAATGCAGTAGCCGCCTCGAGGGGCCGGAGCCTGATGTCAATCAGCCCATCGACGCCTTCTCGCATCATGGGCGCAGTCATTCAGTATCATAAACCCCCGGCGCTCCGATCCCAGGCAGAAGAAAGAAAGCCTCGCCGATTGCTCAGAATGAAGGCCCCGCGCGGCGGCGCAGGCGACATGTGTCCCTTCCCTCTCCGTGAGATCCATCTCCAACGCCTTCCTTATATTCTTGCCAGCTCCAGCGCGCGGCAGAAGTGGTGAACAATCTGTCCGTCTTGTTGCAGCGCCCTCTCTCTCGCCGCCAAGCTATGGACCTCCGTGTGATTGACCTCACACCCGCAAGTGAATCACAGCTGCAGCGCACCCTCGATGAGGTCAAGGACTTTGCTACGACGGATATGGACCGCGGCGGTCCCGAGCGCTGGACATATCGCATGCTTCCTGAGCCCGCGGTAGCTGAGGAGTTGAGGAGACTCGCGTGTCCACAGACGGTGGCTAGTGTCGACGCCGTGTCGTTGCAGCCGTGTAGGACGTGGCATTATCGCAGCCAGGACCGACATAAGGTTGAGCAGTGGACACTCCCCTGCGGCACTTGGACATACACAGCTGTGTTTGATGGTACGTCCGCTCATGCCGGCCTTCTGTGGCATATTTGATACTGACAAATCGTCATCATTCAGGTCATATGAACCACCATACTGTCGACCACATATCAGCTGCGCTCGGGCCTTACTTGAAGGATTCTTTAGCCGCTGCGTTACGTTCACGGCCTCCCGACCCCAAGATCCCCGCCATCGTCTCTAGCGTCCTGGAACGTTCCCTGGAACACCTCGACGGCACGCTTGTATCCGATTTTCTCTCTGTCTTCCCGTCCACCAAAGCGGAAGAGCTGCGCGGTCTCCACCCGTCGCGGGTGAAGCAGCTTCTGAGCGACTGCCCTCCCGGAGAGAAGGGTCTATCGGGGTATATCAGAGCCGCACGAGCGTTCGGCGGAACCACCGCGCTTGTCACGCTCGTAGATCCCACAAAAAGCCATTTATGGGTCGCCAACGTAGGCGACTGCGTCGCGGGTACGTCCCCCTGCCCGCTACTGCCGCCGCGGCACGCTGACAGAGCCAGCCAGTTCTTGGACAAAAGGATGCCGCCGGCAACTGGCGCGGCACCGTCGTCAACTCTATTCACAACGGGGGTAACCCCGGCGAATTGGAGCGCATACGGTCAGAACATCCAGAAGAGGCGGACTGCACGTGGAACAACCGAGTTCTGGGCTTCCTCGCGCCGACGAGAGGTGCGTCCGCCGTGTCCGCCGCTGCGCCTTTCCGTCCGTGCTTCAACGCCCCGCCCGTGCAGCCATCGGCGACGCGTGGCTGAAGCTGCCCGCCGTGTACGCGGAGCTCGTGCTCAAGCACCTCGACGCGGACTGGTTCTCGCCCGAGGTCATGGAGCCGCACGTTCCGCGCATCCGCACGCCCCCGTATCTCTCGAACACGCCCGACGTGTACCACATCCCGCTCCGGGACAAGGACGGGGGTGCCCAGGTGAGGGGTAACGCCGCGCCTCAGAGGATACTGATCCTCTGCTCCGACGGGCTCTCCGACTTATATGACGGCTACACTTTCCAAGACATGGCCACGGAGTGGGTGCAGGTCGTCGGCCAGGAGCTGGACTCAGCGGCCGCACCTGGCGCTGCCCGCGCGCACACAAACCTGGCATTGGCGCTTCTCAGGGAAGCCATAGGTGGTAATGATGCACAGCTTGTTTCGCGGAACCTGACGGTCGAGATGGAAGAGCGGTGGATGGACGATACCACGATAGTTGTGCAACGTCTCCCTTGACCCTTGACGCACGAAGGGGCTCGAGATGGACGCTGACTTGATACCCCTTACCCATACACGCAGTTCCAGTAGAATGTATAACATCATCTGTACGCAATACGGCGGCTAGTGGTCGTGTTTCGGCGCGTTAAGCTATATAGTATTACAAAAGTGTACAGCAACCATAAGCCCTAGATAGCAGGTACAGCACGGATGCGCTACACCAAAGTCCCGGATTATTGAAGATTCGATATGCAACAGCAATAGAGGTTTTAGGCGACAGATGTGAACGAAGGCGCATGGATGAAACGAACGACAAAGGGATGAGCGCTGAGCGCTCGACTATCGCTTGACCGGAGCGGACGCAGGTCGGAACGATGAGGCAGACGGAGAGTCCTCGTCCGCAGCCGGACCACGGCCGGTGCCCTTCGAACGCAATTTGCAAAACGGACAGAGACGAATGAACAGCTCCACCATCGGCCAGGTAATTGTAGCCTGCTCCTCAAGAAGTCAGCTGCGAATTTCCACTGCACAAGCCGCGCCACTTACTATACCAATGCGCCGGGCCTCGAAGAGCATCGTCGAGGAAGAGCCGTGAGTCCTGTGCGTGTACACCAGCACATCGTATATCTGGTTCTGCACAGGCACACGCTCGAAGACCGCCGCGGACTGGAGCGGGCTCAGGCCGTTCTCGGCCAGCTTCTTCGCGCTCTCGCTGTTTTCCTCGCCGTCGGCTTGCATGACGTAGTTGAGCCGCAGCTTCTCCTCGTCCTCCCTGTTCATGTTATAGAACGCGTCCCGCGGGAGCAGTATCAGGTGGCGCTTCGACGAGCCGGAACGCGCGTGGTGACACGAGGTCCACATTTGCAGCCTGAGCGACAAAGATGGTTGCCGCGCTTCCGATATTGCTCGGGAGACCTCGGCGTACACCTCTGCCGGAAAGGTGGCCGTCTCCCGCAGTTCCTGTGACAGGCCCGCTAAGAACTTGTAGAGCGCCTCCTCGAACGCGTGGCGCGAGGGCATCTCGATAGCGTTTACTGCGCGGAGGCCTCGGAGAACGACGTCTGGCAGCGGCACGAAAGAGGGGTGCATCCACGGATCGATGTGCGGTGTCGTGACAATCATTCCCTGCTCCAGTCGCATTCGGACGTCAGCGCGAGAAATGCGGGCACACAACGGAAAGCAAATTTACCCATGTGAAAGACCCGTCAGGTCCAGACTGCTGGAACGATCCGTCAGGATCCTGCTCCATCGGCACTTCTTCGTCGATGACCGCCCCCGGTGGCAGTGAATGTGGAGGAACATATTGCCTAATTAGAGGCTCGGTGCGCATCTCGCCCTCATACATCGGTCCGCTGGAGGGCCCTGCGGGCGAGCCATTCTTCGGGGATTCCTCTTCAGCAGGATGCTCGTTGACCAAAAAGGAGGCGGTCTTGGAAGCATATGGTGCTACGGGACGGTCGCGTGCGAGACCATGGTCCGAAGGAACCTTGTGCCGCTTCTTCGGAGTATAATTGCAGTCCGTTTCGTTGTCTTCTTGGCAGTGGTTGCATACAGGGAGATTCCGGTCGCACTAGAGTGGCACCTATAGGCACAGACGGTAATAAGAGGTCACCGAAGGACATACCTTGAGATTCTTCAGGCGGCATCTGTCGCATCTTGGAATGCCACGATGTGCGGGAGTAGGCAGCGGCGTATATTTGCATTCGCGTCCGGCGGCCCAGCAGTGGTTGCATGTGGGCAATACTCGGTCGCACTGCCCCATTATATAGCAAACGAAGGAACATAAACGGAAAAAGGGACGAACCTTGAGGTTATTTAATCGACAGTGGTCACACCTCGGTTTTCCCCTCCTGCCCTTCCATTGAGACTGACGAGCCATGTACACCTTCGGGTTCGGAATACGGATGGTGAGCTGACTGTCGTCCCCGGAATCGGCCGGAGAGTCGCTCTGAGCGGCGGGAGAATCCGCCATGGTGGCTGTGAGTAGGTATGAGCTGTGTGTTAACAAGAACGGTGAGTGGCTCTATAGTTTGCGATGTCATGTAGAGATCAACGCACTTAGATCCTTGATATTCGTTCTGAAAGAGCGTCCAAAGCTAGACGATTGTGATGGGACGCCGAAGGATGTCGAGAGGATGACCGTTCGAACGTGGTACAGAGGATAGCCGAAGTGGAAATATCAGCAAGGAGGACGAGAAAGCAGCGGTCGGGGGAGGTCGGGCGGGGCAGAGGAGGCAAGAACGACGAGCGGGAGTCGCTCTGCCGATGTGAGTTTGTACAGACAAGAAACCAAATCCGGCCAAACGAACCTAGTCAGATGCGTGACTGTGACCGTACCTCGTCACACTTAGATCCGTCGAGCTCACGCCATCGCTCGTCGCTCGCCCATCCTGCGGTCATCTGCTCTGTTCTGCGCTCATTCATGCCTCCTGACCACCAGAAAGCTGGCGATACCATCGCTGCATGTAATCGACGACGGCGCATGGCCAGACAACACGCTCCTGAACTCCGCGATACACGATGCCACGAAGCAGCGGCGGAATCTCCCGCCACGTTTCGCCCACGCTGATTACCTTTTTGGGATCGACACTCCGGCTCCTACCGACCCTCGACGTTCTCACCAACACCTGTTGTCAGACTCTGGTCCAGTAAACTGGCTTCTTTACGGTGGTGTCTTGCCTTTGAAGGACCTCATCGATAGGTCCATGCCGTGCACTGCACTTCTGCATCTTGACGACCGGTGCCGGCGCATTACGCCAACGTAAAGATTCTGCGGCCATACTATCGCCAGTGCCTTACCAGCTCGAGACTCTCAAGTGAGTTTTTCGTCATCGTCTCATATGTCCATGTTTACAGACTGTCTACTTGTCAGTCTACGCATCAGGCGCTGTGTCTCCCTGCTCGCAAACAAAGGCGCCCTGTTCAGGCCGCTCATCCCGAGAAAGCACGTTGCTAGCCTCAGAGCTTATAGCAAAACCAGAGCTAAATCCGGAGATGCGTATCCACTCCAGCTCGTTAGCCGCAGTATGCATCACCCACACACGAGATTTGAAAATGAGTTCATCAAGCCTCGTACCGGCACATTGCCCGAGGATGGCAGTTCTGAAGGTTGATGAACGTGTGCTGGATAGCGCGGAGACTCACATGATACAAACGTGGTTGCGAGCCGTACACCGATGCGCCCGTGAATACGTTCGTGTGGCACCAGGAAGCAGTCGGTAGCACGCTGAGTCCGCTCAACATGGCAAACCCCGTGTGCGCGTGATCGGCGTCTAACCCTGTTTCCGCCAATCATGGTATCCGTTAGGCGTTGCCGGTGCACCCGGAGCACCTTCTCCCGTTCATCGTGCTCTGAGGCACGCACTCTCGGAGCGAAGTTCAGTTCTGCTCGGTATAGAGCACAGTCCACATGGCGATTTGCAGCGGCCAGTACCATCACCGGGTCTCACGTTACCCTTCTGAACTTGACCGCTGTTTCGGACTTGCACTCGCCATGTGCTCCCCGCTGACGTTGGCAGCGCTTCCAAGAACGGACTGGTTTCTGGCGGTCTGCCCCCTTCCTTTACCGAGCTTGCCAGCTATAAATGCCGTCAACGCTGCCTGGACATACCTCAGCCCCCGGCCCCTTCGTGCACCACCCTCCAGCGCACCTCGCCAGCCAAGATGTTCTCCAAGCTTGCCGTGCTCGTACTCGCCGCCGTCCCTGCCGCCTTCAGCGTGTCAGTGCGCCAGACTGCGCCCTTTGTGAACCCCGTGGACGGGGGAGGGTCGATGCTCATCGACGCTGGCAATGGCTTGGGAGAGCCGTTGAACGTGCGTATTCGCCATGCCCTCGTATCACCGCAGTGTCTCACGGAAGCTATATCCGCGCAGGTCATCATCTCTGGACAGAGCTCGAAGTCTGTTCTCAACGAGGACGGCATCATCAACTACGCGAGGGCCATCGGGTTGTAAGCAACGCCTGATTATGATATTGAATTCGTATGCATGCTAACCCAACATCCAGCTCTACCGAATGCTTCGGCATCCACCTCGGAAACCCGTTCTCGGCTAACTTGGGCGATGGCCACGGCGCCGTCAACCAAACGGTCGAGCTCCGTCAGGACTTTGGTGACTCAGACGTCGGAACCTGCTTGGAGAGTCTCATCGGCGGGAACCACTTCAGGTACACCGGCGTCCCCGAGGCGCACGCTGTGCGATGAACGTGCGCTGAGATGCTATTTTTGCAGGGTGTACTTCCAGAATGGCCCGTCCGCTGATACCGGCGCTGCGTTCCTTGCGTGCGTCCGCGCGGTTTCCCATCCGCTTCCTCCTGCGGGGTCTGACACAATCTTGTAACAGGGTCTCGGCGGAGAAGCCTGCGACGGACAACCACGACATCGAGCCTGATGGGTACGACGTCGGGCGGTGAGTAGCCAACCAAACATACAACTCGTCATCCAGTGTACAGTGGTTGAACCCCGCTATAGTAACGGGCTTGTCAACGCTGCTGTGGGCACGACCGACTTCGGCGGCATCACCTACAACACCGTCGCGGAGAACATTACCGGGCTCCTGCCTGTTGGCTCTAACGGCGTGAACCACGGTGCGTCTCTCTACTGCGCAGTCTGTTGTGCTTCTCTCACCGATTTTACGCATCTTGACAGGCATCGCGATCGACGGCATCGTCACGGTTTTGACCGTCACCATCGAATGAGGGATTTTGACACTTGTGGCTGCCTTCCATACTTCTCGGTTCTGTTTATGTTGCGCGTACGGTATCCAGTCGCAAGCGCGAAGGGTGATTGGTATGATGGCGGTCTCCGGCATCGTTATGATTGCTGCTGTATGTATTTGTAGTATACCCACATTGTTCCGTAACAGGGCGTATAACGTTCATCGCCGTTCATGATCCGCAGTGCTTCGTGCCAGCTTCGCACCACTGGCAGGGGCTAGCGGGATGATTGCAGGGATCACGAAGTGTGCATGTGGTGGCTACGAGGTGGACGGCACCGTGCCCGCTTTACCGCCGTTTCACTAATGCACTTGGCAGATACGAAGGGTTGCGCAGACATCCACCCGATAGCACCGGACTGGCTGGCTCCGCCACCACCCTCAGTAGTAGGCTGTCAGTGATTCAGAGTTTCTTCGTGCCCCCGATGAAGAGAATCACAGCCGCTCAGGAAACCGCCTTCATTGCATCGATTGGCGGGTGCCAATACATCTCTTCTCTGTCGTGTCCATCAAGCCCATCATTGCACCCGACGGGCACCGGGCTCCCGCCGCACCAGCGTAGTACCAGCGCTCCTTATTGCTTCCCTAGACGGGTACCATCACAATTCATTCACATTATAGTCAGTGTGTCAGCCTCGTGGGCACGCTCCTGACTGCTGATGTATGATATTCGAGCATATACCGTGAAACACCACAAGCTATGCCTATGAGCGTGGAAAGCGCATTCTTGGGCTGTGTTTTCCTGCGCGCGACACTCAAGTTTGATGGTGGTATCGAGGCAAGAGCCAGTAGAACTGATATGTAAGCTTGGTTGGTTATAAAATCCAGGCTTTCGACAACACAACTGCTTTCAGTAGACCATGCGCTGTTCTAGATTGTGTGAGTTTGCAACATGCATGGGATACGGACTGAAAGCAGCGCGGTCCGCGGCGTCGTCGCGTCGCGCGTCAAGAGGCGCCCAAATGTGGCAAACGCGATCACGTGCGCCGTGGGATGTTTACCTGAGCGGTTGAGCGCTCCGACAAGTCCGGACGGGTTCAAAGCCGCCACACACCCTTCGTGGTTAACGTTCTTTTCGCCGAGGGTGGTAGTACGCGGTTCGTGGCCGACTACGACACTGACTCCATGTTATCTAAGGATATATCACTCATTATACATCACTCATCAGATGCTTAGAGTCGACCGCTGAGGATGACCGCCGGTGTTCAAATCGCGGCACCAGCTGGTGAGCAGCAGGAGCGAGAGGTATCAGTACATTGTGTGTGTGCAGGTTGTATGTGAAAGAACCAAAGAGGTACACGATACGTATGGACTGTGAATACGTGCAAAAGAGAGTGCAACGCGTATGTGAGTAGAGCGCGAAGGTAGACGCGTCGGGCACGCGTTATTTGTTTGGCCTGATCAACCATTTGTTCCGTCACGCGTCTCTTCACGGCCTGCCTCCACCTGCCTCGCCTGCTCTCGTCGTCCACCCGACCAGCTTGTCTCCTTTACACCTCTTTCTTGCATCTTGCATACACCCATCGTACACGAGCCAGGGCGGCTGCACACGCCCTATAATTCGACGCACGCGTTCTCCGCATGGCGACCGCCCTCATCCGCAACCCGCTAGCCACACGACCTCAGCCCCACAACACCGGCATGTCCATCTCCCCATGCCGGACCGCGCTGAGGAAGTCTTCGGCCTTCAAGAGGCCACTCTCACCAGAGCCTGCCGCCGAGCTGGCCGACCACAGCTCGAAACGAGCCAGGACGACTGCCCAGGCGGCGGTGGTGGAGCAATCGCCCACCCCGGCCCTGTCGCGTGCAGAGGCGAAGAAGGAGAAGGAGCGTAGACGAGAGAAGGACAGGCTGGCCCGTGAAGAAGAGTTCAGAATCAAGTACACGCGTGCGTTCCCGAGCTGGGTCTTTTATTTCGACCTCGACACCGGCAACCCCGAGATCGCGGCGACAAAGGCGCACCTGGAGAAGCGGGTTGCGTATATGGGTGCTGTGAGCATTCTATCTATCGTTGTTTGAGCTATATCTGAACAGGTCTGCGACTGAACCCTTCGTACTTCCTCGCCGCATCATGCTCCTCAGCGCATTGATGACTTCTTCTCGAAAGACATCACGCACTTCATCACCCTCCACGACGTAGACGATAAGGAGAACGCGGAGAAGGCTGCGGCTAAGGGAGCAGCGCAACCCTCCGGATTGCTTGGTAGTCCGATCAGGCTTCGGGGCCGGTACGCACACATAACCACTCGTTCATTTGCAGTGGGGCTGATCGCTGTTCATAGGGCAATGGCCGGCACTAAGACCGCCGCGTCTCTCGTGCAGAAGGCAAGATCGTTCAACATGAAGCTCTGGTCCGCAGAGAAGCTCGGCAACATCCTCGACCGCTGTCAGGCTCCTCGTGTATCGTCCACCACAGGCTCCCTGCCCGCACGTGCACAACAGGTGTCCAAGGATCGTAATCTCGCTCGCCTGCTTGAAACGGAACGACTGCACGGCACCACGGAACGCGATCCGAAACAGCCTCGCCACGACTATATCTATTTCTCAAAAGAGAGCTACTTTGTCCTTGTTGAGGATCTCCGACAAGAACTCGCCACGATCGCTGCCGCCGAGTACCCAATCACGAAGAACAGGGACGGGAGCGAGCGTGGCGCGTGGCCTGTCCCCCACTGCCATCCATTGTCTCGCGGGCCGTTCTTGCAGTACGACGAGCGCGAAGAGCGCCGCCGACAGAAAGCGGAGAAGGCCGAGCAAGACCGCAAGGCGGAGAAGGCACGACGTAAAGCACGGCTGCAGCAGAGCGAACGCAAGCGTCGGGCGCAGGCACACGCGCGTATACAAGCGGCGCAACAGCAGCACGATCTTCGCCGGACCGCCTCGATGAACAACATGCAACGTCGCGCGACGTTCCCCGCGCCCAGCATGGAAGGCGGCTTGGTTGACCTCGACGCCGACTACGGCGAAGGCGACCAGATGGAATCGGCAAACGCATCTGGATACCTTGCTTCCGCTGCGTACATGGCTGCTTCTGGGAACAGCGTTGGCATCACGTCTACGACCGGGACGACCTCCACTGCTGGCGCCCCCTTCCGCACGTTACAGCTTCCTCCGGCGCTGAAGGAGAAGCTGCAGCAGCAGGTGACGACATCCCGTCGTGCGTCCATCGCGGCCTCCAATCTGCAACGAGATAACAAGGAGAACGTGATGGGCCCGCCAACGACGATCCCGGAGCGCGCGAAGTTTCTGCGTAAGAGCAAGAGCACGAACACGCTCAAGCTCCCGAAGCGCGACGAGGCCACCAAGCCGGGCTACTGCGAGTGCTGCCGGGTCAAGTTCGAGGACTTCAGAAACGTGCGTCCTCATCTCCCCTCATACTTCCGTTCTTGCAATGCTGATGGTGCGCGTATAATAGCACGTCGTGAGCAGGAAACACCGAAAGTACGCAGGGGACGACGCGCACTTCGAGGGGCTCGATCGCGTGCTCGCGCGCGTCCGCCGCCGGACGGTGCAGGAGGTCGAGGAGGAGAACGCGCGCTTCATCGAGGAGGCCCAGGCGCTGGCGCTGGCGATGCCGTCGAGCGAGGGCGAGGACTCCGAGGCGCTCATGCAGCAGGTCGGCGACGCCGCCTTCGGGGACGACCTCAAGTGGGACGACTGGGTCGACGCCGGGAACTGCGCCATCGAGGTCTGAGGTTTCGACCCCCCGCCTCTCCCGCCCTCGGGCGAACTGAAGCCTGCGCCGGTCGCCTGGCCGCCCATGCGTGGCGGGCAGGAGACCGGGACTGGCGACGAACACTTGCAAAGCTTATCACGCTCCGTTACGTTTCTTCTCACTTGGATTCGCGCGCTCTCGCTACCGCACACAACACTGTACAATACCATATGACATATCGCCCGCCGCCACAACGTCGCACGACGACGTCTTGTCGCGTTTTCGTTTATACCTGGTTGTAGAACATGCGCGCAATCACACATGTTTCAATGCCGCTGTCGGTCTCTGCATGGCTGGTCCAGGTCAGCATGCACCGGGTTGATACTGCGCTGTGGTGAACCAAGTTATGGTGGAGTGCCTCTGTGCACATGCATTGGCGGGTGCTAGCTTCGGCAAAGGCCGAAAGCTCGGCGCTCGTCCGGCGTCTCTCGCCAGTCGCGTCTCTATTCTGCACCACCATCACCCCCTCTCTGTGGCCATCCGTGCTTAGCCAACCCTGAATCCCCCAGGACTGACAATATGGCACTTCCAGAGCGCCATTTCACTCGCCAATTTGACGACACACTCCTCGAAGATGCTGGTCCCGCTACCCTCCACGAAACGCTTTCGGATCTGCAGCCCCGGTTCTTCATACCCCGTCTCGCAGACAAGCCGCAGAACCCCATCATGGATACTCTGAGGCTCATGAACAACGCGCAATACGTGAGGCCGGCCAACACCGTATCGTTGTCTATACCACTCGAGCTCGGGCTCCTCTCGGAGGATGTCGCTCGGTTTGCTGCAGAGAAGCACGCCCACTTCGATGACATTTGGCAACGGGCCGCAGTACAGAGACATGGGCATAAGGTTAGAGTCTGTATACTACCTACATCTTTTTGTTTATACGCGGCTGGCTCCTTTAGAATCAAGTGTTATCATGGGATGCCCTGCGCCCGTCTAACAATGCGAATGTATTACCATCGCCTTTCCTCTCGGAGCAAGCGAGCGATGTGTTTGCGTCTGCGAGATATTAGTATGTTTCTCTTACTGTGTCTTGTTCGCGGTAATCCAATAACGCCTGGGTGCATCAAGCGTCCGCCCACCACTCCAGGATCCCCGCGCACACCTCGTGTATGCGCGTGTCTCGGAGCTCTTTGAATCGCTCATTCTCACCGTCAGCGGAACCTCATCACACTTGCACATCTGGGACCCCGGGTCGCAGACATTTGTGTTAAGGAATTTGCATGGGAAGGAGCAGGGCCACATCGTCATTGTGGGCAAAGATGAGGTCGTTAGTGCAAGGTTAGCCCACGGGATGCGCGCTGAATGCACGCTGATACAGTTTGCAGCTTGTTGCAGCGCTTCCTGACCATCGGAAATTTAATGAGACGTCTGGAACTACTTGCAGAAAGTCGAGAAACAAAGTATGTTCATTGCACTCATGCGCTGGTCTGACACTAAATCCGCAACAATTCTAGACATGCGACGCCAATATCGCATGCGTTCGCCCACTCGCTTTCCTCCATCCTGGCCTACTTGCGCCAGCTCGCGGAGGCGATTCCCATGGAGTCTCACACTGCGGCCGGGGAAGACGCACGGCTCACTGCTTTGTGGGTACAATATGAAGATATGGAAAACATATTGAGAGCGCTCGCAGCGCTTTGTGGCCGGGTGAGCAGACTTTGTACAACCGCTACACACTTGAGCTGACGTATGGACTAGGATGAGGACGTGTCGCCTTTGGACTATATACCCGTCCCTTCTTCGCCCTCTGCTCTGCTCTCAGCCATCTACACGCACCTGTCGGACCACTATGAGCGCTCGTCCCCTCGCATTGTCACCGCCGTTCTTGCGTTCATGCTCACAACAACCTCGCGGAACTACTTCCAGTCCCTGAGTGCGTCTATTGGATACAACACGCCCGGGTCGCGTGCGCGTGCAGTGCCATCCCGCAGTGCTTTGCGATTGGACGAGGCGGACCGCGCTATAGGTGGCGGTGCGCCACTGGACGACACAATCTTTGAAGAACAAGAGGTGGACGACGGGGTACCCGAATTCATCAGCCCTGATGTCGCAGAAGTCCTCTCCCGCGCTCGGCGCTCGCTGGTGCTCCTCAGAGCGGCGGATTCGGGGCATCCACTCCTGACTAGTACGCACATGCACCGGGAGGTCGAGTGGATATGGACCGAAGAGCAGATCGAGAATATGACAGACGAGCAAGCGTTCGACGGCGCATCTCTTAGCCTGTCTAAAACCCAACGCGAGGAGCAGAGTGATGGCCCCTCCCGTAGGGCCAACGTATTGGCCGCGTTCAAGGTATTCGACCTCGTCCCCGGGGAACCCTTGCCTACGGCCGACACGAATTCCACCACTGGCCCCGCCCCCGGTCTGCTCTCCGGCGCGCACGGGACTGTCGCGCTCTGCGCCTTCCTCTCCGCCTTTCCCGCTACACTCCCCTCAGCGACACCTACGCTCGCACACCTCACCGCACGGATCCTCCGCCCCCTCCTCACGCACGCCTCGGCGCTCTCCGGCGCGCTCGTTTCTCGCGTGCTCTCACCAGAGACCCCCCTACACTTACGTGCACACCTGGTTCTGCTGCGCGGGTACCTGCTCCTCACCGCGCACGCCTTCAAGGCGCGCCTGCAGGACGCGCTGTTCTCGGACGCGGAAGATGTGTATTCTCCCGTCGTTGGGTCTCGTATGTATGCTGCACGCGAGGCGAGGACGCGGACACGGACAGAGAGCGGGCGGAGCAAGAGCAGGAGCCGGGCCCCGAGTGGGAAGACGGAGACGGACAAGCAGGGTCCTGGGCGGCGTGCTGTAGGGCTTTCGCCTGCACTGACGGTAGGTGACCGTTGGCCGCCGGGCGGGACGGACTTGAACTTCCACCTCCGGACGGTTATCGTGGACTCGCTCGAGGATGGCCGAACGTATGATGAGCAGCATGATGACGAGGAGCAGGCATGGGCCCAGCGTAAGATCGTGGAGGAGGCGGAGTGGAGGCTTGGGTTCGCGATCCGCGACCTGCCGGCTGGAACGGGGAAGGAGAAGTGGTTGAACCCCTTATGTGAGTCGCTTTTATACTGCTTGTACAGGCGAATACTGACCGCGTATCCGTGCAGCTATTGAGTTCGTCGCTCGCGTATCGCCTCTTTCATGAGAGATGGTTACTAACGTTTCTATAGGGCGTTGGACTTCTTGTACATGCACTATCAGCCGCCACACCCACTGGACATCGTCATCACGCCCTCAATCCTTTCCAAGTACCACCGCATATTCGCGTTCAACTTGCGGCTCATGCGCGGTACGCTCCCCCGTCCCCCGACTGCCTTCCGCCAGACACCACTGACTCTGTTTGCGCAGTGGAGAACGTTGTCCGGACGCTCTTCCGGCTCACGCGCCACGCCGCCGCACCGCTCTTCCCCACACTCACACCCGCGAACAAACGACTGCTGCACTTCCGCGCCGTCGCACACGCCTTCGTCATGGGCCTCTCCGCATACGTCTACGACGTCGCGATCGGCAGCAACGTCGACGCCTTTCTCGCCCGCCTGCCCGCCGCCCGCCAGCCACCCAGCGCGCCGCACATAATACCCACCAGCAGTAGCGGGGACACGCTGCGCCAGTCCGCGCTCGGCCGCCCGCCCCACGGGGACGACGATGAGGACGCGGCGTTCGCAGACGTATTCAGTCTGGCGGAGCACCACTCGCGCGTGCTCGACGACGTGCTGAGCGCGTGCCTGCTGCGCTCGGGGCAGAAGGCGGTCGGGGACCTGCTCCGGCAGTGCATGGAGCTCGTGCTCGAGCTTGGGGTGCTCGCGGGCGAGCTCAAGGACGGCCACGCGGAGGAGTACGAGGCCGCGCTCGCGCTCGAGGAGGTGTGGGGCCGCTTCCGCGCGAAGATGACCATGTTTGTGAGTGCTATTCTCTTGCCTTTGGCTTCGGGAGCGTTTTGGGCTGGGACTGATGGGTGTGGACGCGCAGGTCAAGGTGCTGAAGGCGTTGGTGGAGAGAGAGGCGGACAGCTCGGGGCTGGTGTTGAGCGAGATCCCGCTGCATATGATGCAGGGCCACAGGCGGGTGTCGGGCACCACAGCGAACTTGCACCAGTTGCTGCTCAGGCTGAACATGTCAGATTGGTGGACAAAGAGTGATTCAGCCAGGACGACGTGACCCTCGTGTATGGATGTGCAAGTTCTTAGTGTAATACGCGCTCGGACGCTAGGGAGTTTCTTGTGTATGTAACTTCGATATATTGCTTGATTGCTTGGGTACAAAACGAGGGCTTGTGACAAAACTACGACTACGGGGGTTACTGCTAAACTACAGAGCGAGAGTACTACAACTACTGGTGGCACTTGGATCCTGAGACAGAGCACTGGTATGCGTGAGGATCCTGGGACGTGACATGATTCATGAGACAATGGATATGGACAAATCGATGCAGAACAGACATAGACGATGGGGGATGTGGATATCAGCAGGGAACGAGCATGGGTAGTGTGTCGAGCATATATGCATGGGGGAGGAATAATGGAACGAAATAATTGAAAACAGAAAGATGCAGCGTTGCGGACGTCCGGGGCGATGCAGAGAAGGGTTAGGACCACCTTAGTCCTCCATGGCCTCCTCGAATCCGGCAACGTCGACGCGGTGAGTCTGGTTGTGAGACTTTGCCTCACGCGCGATACGAGCCTGCTCGCGCTGGTACACGGCACGGACCTCCTCTTCACGAGCGTCAGCCGGAGCGTCGTCGATGCCGAGGCCCAGTCCACGCGCGACTTCGTCAAGACGTACGCCGTCAACAAAGCGGACCTCCTGTGCTGTCTGGTTTCCGCCGGCGAATGAGGCCGAGCGACCGAAAACCTTCTTGCCGGGCTTGCGGGGCGTCGACGGCAAGCTCGCGCAGGACGACAGAGTGAAGAGGCCGACGACCTCGAGCACACCAGCGAGGTCGCCAAACTCGCTCCGAGATACGGCGTTGAATACTCCGTTCTCGACCCGACCAAGGATCCCACTGTAGAACGCGTGGAGTTGTCCCAGCTCGAAGCCGCTCTGCTTGATGGGAGACGGTTGTACAGCGGCGATGGATTGAGAACGCTTCAGCCCAGAGCGCGCCGGCGACTGGCTCGGAGAAGACCCGTTGAGCGATACGTTGACCTCGGCCGACTTGACGGCAAGCAGCATGGCCAGAAGAACAAGGCGCTGCTGTAGTCCAAGTTCCCTGATCTTAGTGACGGTTTCGCTGTCACTGGTCTTGCGAGGAAGCGATGGCGTCGAGGGAGCGACTTGTGATGGAGCTGTCTTGCCAGCAGGCGCATAAGCCTTCAGGGCAGCGAGGATGTGGCCTGGAGTGACCGGAGGCGTAGGTACGTTGAGGGGATCTTGAGAGGAAACACCGGTGACGGCGATATCAATGGCTCCGCGCAAGACCTCGAAGACCGCACGAACATCCCCCGTCTGAGCCGCAATCTTCTTTGACAGCAGAGTCATCGTGGGCAGGGGCAAAAACTTCTTCGCACGCTCCGCGTAGTTCGGATCTTCCCCAGTGGACAAGGGAGCAAGTCGCGTCTTGAGAATATCAAGCAACTGCTCCGGGGTGTATGGTGAGAAGTGCAAGGTCTCCACACCGACCATGGACTGCACCGAAAAGGTTGTGCATGAGGAGGCGGTAAGTGTGTGGGTATTAGCGATGCCGACAAGTCGCAAACGGGACGAGTAGGTGTTGGCCAGCGTAAACAGGGGGGCCAATGCTTGCGTAGAGGACGCGATGTGATCCAACTCGTCCAGTATGACAATGCTGATACCAGGCTCAGCATGAATACAACACAAGATGAAAGTCCGACTCACCACTTCTGCTTCGACGCTGTCAAAGCCTTCTCGACGACTTGCTTGGAAGTCTGCTTCGACTTCTTTCCTCGTCCGGAGGCCTTGCAGCCGCTCCCAAGGATATCTGCAAGCCGCTGCCACACTGCGTCGACACCGGCCAACGCCATACAGTTGACTGACAGCACCCGGATTCCCTGGGCCTGGAGCTTGGCTTCCATCGCGGCCAGGACAGCGTTGACCAACGCGGTCTTGCCAGTGCCAGGCGAGCCCGATACGTAGAGCGATGAAGGTACTTCCGTCTCGATTTGGTCCGCAAGGAAGCTGATGAGAAAAGATTCAATCTTCTGCCTTTCCGAGGCACGCCCCGCAAATTGTGGCGTATCATTGCAAGTAGGTCGAAGCAGCGCCCGAGCACGGACATGGATAGGAAGGAGGCTTGTAGGAGGAGTGGGCGGTGGCGTCGCCAAGGAGAGAAGGGACAAGGACGAAGCCGGAGTCGCGGCTGAGACCGCGGCCTGGCGGAGGTCGCTTGTTGACGCATATCTCCGAGGCGCTAAAACCACGTCAGCGTCGCCCGCAAAATCGATAAAAACGACGTACTGCTAGGAGAACGCGTGGAGGTACCCCCAACCATCGTACTCGTTCGCCGAAGGGAGCGAGTGAGGCGGGAGGTGGAAGGGGAGCCATTGATTGGCTGGAGCATGAAGGGAGCGATGTTCTCCTTATTGTGATCACCGTCGAGGACGGTCGTTGTGGTCTTAGCACGCTTTGGATTCGGCGTTGAATCGGGCGTGGGGAGGTTCGCAATGTTTTGAATATCGCATGCAAGCGAGGAATCCGAAGTGTCGACCTGGTGCGACCTCTTTCCGAGGACGGACGCACCGATTTCGCGAGATGACTCCATGTTTGCGGTGAGTAGACTGTGTCGACGCCTGTGTGTGTTACCCGCACACGTCTCGGGGACGTGAGGGGAGGCGGCCGGGATAGAGGAGAGTTGGGGAATGGTTGTGGAAGGAAGAGTGAGACGCGCGCGGCAAGCGCTTATGACGGCCAGACGCGCTTTCGAACTCCGCCCAATCAACGGCTCAACGAGACGCGTCGTGCGCCCTGGGCACGTGATCGACGCGTCGCGCGTCGTGCCGCGGGCGCCTGTGCCACCGACGCGCCTCTGCCCCGCGCATGCAGCATGTTCCCGCGGTGTTAGTGCGGTCGTGCGAGTCTTCCGCCCAGCGTGCGATTGGCACCCTGGGCCTCTTTCTCTATTTCCTCACACTGATTTCGACCCAGCCGACGGGCCGAATGGCACCAATCGTGCTTCGCAGCGAGGCGATGCGAACCAGAATGCAGTATATACCGTGAGTGTCAGCGGTGCGTCCTGCCCGCCCGGCTTGCCTGTTTCCTCCATGCAATTGCGGCTCCCCTTGTGGTACATCTTCGTCCTCCTCTGGGCGTTCGCCCTCAGGGGTCGAGCAGCGCCCGCATGCCGGACCTCCAAACAAGCTCGGTGAGACCTTACCAGTTCTCCGGACATAAAGCGTTCTCAACCATGTGTCCGATTGTCTACAGCGACGACGGGGACGACGATGACAGCGACGATGATGACGACGACGATAACAACAGTAGCAGCAGCAGCAACCAGCATAACGCCTGTGGACAACACAACGGCGTGAGCGGGGGAGCTGTCGCCGGTATCGTAATCGGTTGCTGTGAGTGGCATTATCCACAGCAGCACAAAGGGCGATCCACTCACAGTACACAGTGATATTCCTGCTCCTCCTATGCATCCTCCTGGCATGCTGGTATCGGAGGAGGACGCGGTCCCAAAAGCAAGTCATCTTGGCGGCGGCGGCAGTGGCCCCAACCCCTCCCATGAAGGAGCTCAGCCCTTCGTTCCGCTCCAACGGCGGTCACCCCCCTTCCATCCAGCCTTCATCTCTAGTGACGCACTCCTCGGCCTACACTGTCCCAGGACCCGTCATATACTCCGACACCATGGGACGCGGCCAGACGCGGGAGCTCCGCAACCTCCCCCCGCCAATCGCAGGCTCTGTCGACTCTATCGCGCTGCCCAACCCCTACGAGCAGGGCACCCCACCGCTTCTGCCCCCGCGCGACGACGACGCTACATCGCCAACCTCCCCCGTGTCACGCTACGCGTCAGTGTACTCCACCTCGTCGCCGACGGAAGCATCGGGCTCGCACTCGCACGCGCGGTCGTACTCGTACTCGGTCGCGCCGTCGGCGTGGACGAGCGACGACAGCGGGGCGCCGCTGCTCTCGCGAGGCACCACGCAGGCGTCGCGCCTCACGGCGACCTCCAGCCTGCACGAGGAAATGGCCGGGTACCAGAAGGCTCTCGAGGCGCATCATCAGAAGGAGCAGGATGACGCGCAGCACCGGGAGAACAGGATCGGAGAGGGCTCCGCGGTCCCGGAAGACCCGCCGCCGGTCTACCGTGACAGAGAGGAGGGCGAGTCGTGAGCGAGTGCGCCGCGCGAGGGAGAGAATCGAAACATTGGTCTCTGGCGGGTAGCACCTGTACGGAATGTCAAGTCGTCGTGACGGCATGTGTATACCCATCGATGTGAACATTATGTATGTACAAGCCCGTCTAGGCGTCGATCGAGTAGGCGGGGGGCCGGCGTATCTATACACTGCGTGTGTCAGCCACAAAGAAGCAGCGAGGGCGGAACGTGTGTACGCACTCACGCATTGAACGCAGTGGATCATGAGTCGATGTCAATGTCAGCGCCCTTACGGCGCGCGGGATCCATCCCTGCTACGGATTGACAGGGCGCGGTTCCCCGCAAGCCGCCGATATCTTGGCGAGCAGGTAGCGGAGCAGAGGGATCCCGGGATTGCTGGGTTCTCCGGAGTAGCCATGCCTGTTCAGCGCAAGATCCGCGACGCAATCCGCGGTTGACCGGGCAGAGCTGAGAACCTCGATCTCAGCCTTACGGCGCGTGAACAGCATGCGCTGTAGTTCCTTTCTATAGGTTGTCCGGACCGGCAACGTTGCACGCGTGAGTGTGCCATAGTAACACAGGTCGCGCGTTTGAATGGTAGTGCACTCACCGCCAGTCCGAGGGAATGCCTTCCCGCTTCAGCAGAGAACGAGCCTGATTCGAAGTCAGCGTTCAATATGAGAGAACCTCAGAAGGGGCCCCTGGAGGGATAAGACTCGCCTTCTTCTCATCGTGCTTCGTGATCGGTATGAGTGCATCTTTCGGAATACCCAGCCTGTCGGTAAGTTCACAGACCTTTGGTCACCCTGAGCATCGGAACAACACGGTTGAGGTACTTACGCGGCGAGCTCACTGGACCAAAGGCCCAGCCATTGGATCCGCGCTGCAGCCAGCTGATCCTTTTCGTGCTGCATACTGGTGCTGCCGAACTTGTACACGGATAGAATGTCGATTCCGTACGCGTCGCCGTCCACGAGACACAAAATAGGGATGCTGAGAGCTTCCGATGAGCGTGAAGGTCGCCAAGGAAGGGAAATTCGTTACTGTGGAGGCAAGTTCGCCGAGAGCGCATTCAGGAGTTGCCGGGTCGCGACGTCCGGGTAGCCCTTTCCCTGTTCACAGCGCGTCAGGCACGCAGCAATAAATGCATCGCACGAAGGCCGTACGGTGATCACGAGCCCCTTCCCAGGCAGGAGAGGATGGGTGCCCAACCTGAGCCGGCACAGAGTTTGAAAGACCGCCTGAATTTCGTGCATGAGCGGCAGCGGGCAACGAGGGGACCGGATATATGCGTACCTCCTTCTCCACCACGAGCACCCACGCCAACCCTTCGTCAACATCGAATTGTTCTATGTCCTCGGACAGAGGTATCAGCACCGGCTGCGGAGAATTTGTGAGCTTCTCCCTGATCAAGCTGCGATACCGTAGGCTCACCTCGCTGTCACTCAGCTCCACAGTCTCGCCGCTGTGAAGATGTATTCTGAGCCCTGACCCACATACTAGCCCCTTGGCGGATGCCCGCTATTATGGTTCTCACTCAGATGCCGGCGCGTACGCGCGAGAAAGTGCAGGCATACCACGCTCAAATCGGAGCGGCTCAATTGGAGAGTCGCCGCAAGGTCATCGACGAGCTTCGAGAAGTGAAGTAATGAGTTCCCCTTGCAAATTTCTTTGAAGTCGAACAGACGTACTCGATCAACCGTGGATTGTGATCCAAATAACTCGACATCCTTGTAGTACATATCTCTGTTTTCCCGATCAGAGGGCACGCTTCAATGGACGGATGGTGACGGACCGTTTCGTTGTGGGAACTTGGTCCAGGAGAGCTTCGTGCATGAGATCAACTGTCTTGAAGAGTTGTGCTGTGGAATGTCAGCATATATGCTGTGAATTCTGAGACTAGCAGATCAGCACGAACCAAACGGCCGTGCACTCACTCCCCTTGACCGTTGAGGCATGGCCAGAGTTCGCATAGGGGCGTTACTAGAGTGATCGCTCTTAAGAGGACTTCCTAACGTGAAAGATACCTATGCACTTACCCCGCAGTATATTCTTTACGTCTATCCGCCAGTCCCATGAAAATTTTCTTGCCGCTGGCCCTCTTGGAAGTATCTAGCGGGCGGTGTGGGCTTGGGAGTGCATCGGCCAGCTGCCTTAAAAAGGACAGAGTAAGATCCTCTAAGGAGCTCAAAGCCTCGTCTCTATGTTCCCGGGGTTAATGTACGAGCCGCACAAAGTGTTTAATATGGCATACCCAATGTCTCCATCTTCAGTGTCCTCGTCGGAAGCATCGCCCAATGCCGTGATATCTTCCAAGGCGTGAGCTGCATTGTTCTGTTGACTTGTACGGTCATCTTCTAGCACCAATGTGTCTTCTTCATCGTCTGAAATTGTTAAGGGGATGTCGAACTCCTCGTTACCGTCCAGGCTATCCAGTATCACTTCCTGGAAGTCGCAGGCAGCGCTTGTATGCAGGTGGCTGATAGGGTCGTGCTCTGACATAGCGTGCCAAGGATGATGGTGTAGAGCAAGGGTGTCAAAACGGACCCCATTCTTTCTCGCTTCCACACTCCGGAAGACTGGCAGGCTCGTTCTAGAAAGGGAACAGTAGCGAAGGTCCTTGGACGTAGCAAGCCATCGGCGTTCGCGGCGATATGGTCAAAACGCGTGGGGTCACATCGTGACTGACCGCGTCGCGTCACACTAGGAATGCGGCATCGACGCGTATGACCCGACGCCTTTCCGCCGCACCACCTTTTTGCTTAGGAAACGCCTGGATGTCGTTCGCAGCCATCGGTACCAACAGTCTCATTGCTGGCCGCGGTCTCGAAGAGACTAGACGGCCATCGCGTGTGCCTTGGCCGTGGTCGTCAAGAGCTAGGCATTGCGCAGCGATCCAACGCCAGCAGGTGCAAGAGCTGTGTGCACCGTGTTACGCTCTCCAATTTGTGTAATACTGACGCTAAACTTCGTCAGATGCTCAATATTGTCTTGAGTACGACCTAGTACGACAAGTACTTCTGCAAATTGCCGTCCCGCCCTCGCCGAGCCTCACGGCATGGCGGGAATGTATTCACCACCATCGTGTACAGAGCATCCGCTTAGCCATCATCGGTGATGTCTCCGCTGATACTCAGCTGATGACTTGCATCCATCCAATTTCAGAGCGAAACATCCATCATGCGCTTTGATGGCCGCCAGTATATCCGCGTCAATACACTGCCCTTTCCGATGGCGGTCGGGCTCGACCACGCTCCGGGCAGCACGAGCGCCCCTCCGTGCATGGTATAAAAGGTGCGCACACCGCTCCTCAGGTTCCTCAGTTTGTAACTCACCCACTCTCACTTCCATCGCATATCCACCTTCCGGCCCGGTGCCTTCCCCCCTTTCGTACTCTCTTTCATATTCACCATGCGCTTCTCTACCATCCTCGTCGCCGTCGCCTCCGTCGCGACCTCCGCATTCGCCGCATCCTCCGGGACCGGTGATGGTGTGTCCCCTCGCTGCTCCCCGCAGGACCAGCATGCTGATGCTCATTTCGTTTGCAGCTACCTTCTATGAGGCCGGTCTCGGCGCGTGCGGTATCTCTAACACCGACGCCGACTTCATCGTCGCCATCGATGCCCAGACCTTCGACACCTTCCCCGGTGCTGGTGCCAACCCCAACGCGTGAGTACCCCGTTCGCTCGCTCCCCTTCCCCCCGAGCTCGACACTAACCTCGCCACCCTTTCTTAGGAACCCGATCTGCCACAAGCAGCTCACCGCGACCGGCCCCGACGGCAAGACCGTGACCGTGCTCGTGACGGACCGCTGCGCCGGCTGCGCGCCCGGCAGCATCGACCTCACGCCTACTGCGTTCCAGCAGCTCGCGTCGCTCGACGTCGGCCGCCTCCACGGCGTCACCTGGACGCTCGCCGCGTAAGCGCGCGCCAGGTGGACGGGAGTTTCCAGAGGATTTGCTCATGATGTTTATGACCGCCCGTGATGATGTACGACTTAGGCTACTGTTTAATGGATTGTGGTGGAAGTGAAAGCTCAGTGGGCGGCGTGGCTGGCCTGATGACTCGCAGCGTGAACGGTGCTTGCCAGGACCATGCTCGTCCCGCTCGCACCTTTCTATCGGGGAATGAATGATGTGATCCAAGCCGTATAACATACAAAAAAATCAGCCCCAGTTCTTCACATCCAACTCGAACCAGGTCGGGAGCTGCCGCCAGAAGTCCTCTCGTGCCGCCTGCACTACCGCAGCGTAGTCCAGCCGACAAGCCTCGCACGCCCGGTACGCCGCCTTATTCTCCACCCCAGGCTGGTCGTCCCGCGTCTGCATAAGCACGCTGTCCGCGATCGTAAAGAGCGGGTCGGTGTTGCGGTTGCACACCATGCCGTTGACGTCGCGGATGAGCTCGAACGTGACCGCCTCGAAGGCCATCTGGCAGGCGCGCTTGAGCGCCGGCTGGACTTCGTTCCGGTGTAAGCACTGGACGGAGGGGCCTCTGGCCTCGAGCTCGGTGACGATGAAGGTAGAGAAGAAGCGGGCGCCCTGCTCCTTCCCGCGGAGAACTTTGCAGAGGTCGTCATCGGTGAGGTGGTGATGCACGCCGTCGGGGCCTGCATGACCCTCCATGAGTTGGCTGGGGAGGTAGCGCGAGAGGTCGTAGAATGCGGATGGTAAGAGGGTGGGTTCCTCAATTTCTCTTGCCAGGTTAATGAGCAGGCTAAAGATTGAAAATAATCAGCGTCATATAGCTTGAGAAATGTATAGGGCGTACATGGGATGAGGGAGCGAGGGACGCGGAGCGTACATGCCGTCCGCGCTCGTAGCGGCCTTCTCTCGTAGTTCCCAGAGATCCAGAGTCGTGGGCCAAGACACAGACAGATTACGGATGGCAGTCTCGCGCAAGCCGGCGATCTCGTATTTGGTCGAAAGCCGGAGGATGGCAGAAGCCACCGGGAAGTTGCCGACAGAATTGTCGTAAGAGAACCTGCTTAAATCGTGTATTGAGTTTCTTGCTCATGGGAGGTGGAGAAAACGAAGACTCACCCGTACAAAGCTCGGAGGAAATGGGCGAAGTCGGTGGGGTCGTCGTCAAGGGCTAAAACAGTATGTCCCTCAAGCAAGCCATGATCTTCCTTCGAGACGGCTACCAGCTGTTTCTCGAGCACTTCCGAGTGTCGACAGAGGAGACCGCGGTGAACAACAAAGTAATGGGAGCCTGTAACAACCGCGAGGTTGCCGTCGTCGAAGCATAGATCCGGATGACGGATAGGCGCTTGAAAGCCTTCCACGGGCGTGGAGAACCTGTTGGAGCTGAATTCGGAGTCCATGTCGTCGTCGGAGTGCGAGAGAACGAGAGATAGTATAAGTTACAGCGCGACAGTAGTCTTACCAAATACCCTCGACGGCAGTCAGCCATTCTTGCGGCTGCCGCTGGCTGACCAGGCACTATTAGAATTCAGCCAGTGCGCCGTGAGTTCCGTAGTACGAGGAGGCTATCTGCAGGCCTAAGTCAAATAGATATACCCTTCACTTGTTAGCAAGCACCGGAGCATTGATCATAAGAGCAGACGAACTTGGGAAGCCGTCTTGACGTATCAATGGGGCGCCGTACACTCGGCTTCTAGTGATAGACGACGCTGTAGACTCATACACACGCGGGCGCACATCTAGAGGAGACGCGGGCTGTCCTTCTAGCTTCTAAGCATGAGGAAAATTGCGACGTGGTCAGACGACCGGCCAACTGCATGGGAAGTCCTATCCATAGACGCGATCGCATATATAGGTAGCGCAAGCGTGTTTGCAGTAGCCCAGTATCAGGTTGGTCGCATTCTTCGTTCGACAGGATTGTAAGTTCCGCAGAGTTCATAAGAACATGCACGTTAGCGCAAAGTCCGCATCGTCGTGCCTCTGCCGCAGTCGAAAACAAGGAGAGGATGCGGGAAAGGCGCCGAGGCCGAGGCGGCGCATCGAAGGAGAGCGGTGACGTGAGCTGCGTGGGAACGGCCCCGACCCCAGCTCACGCGCACCAGCTGCCTTGAACCTTCTCTCCAACGTCAACGCCAACGCCAACGCTGCAGGCCTCGCGTCCCCTTTCATCGCTTCCCATCGCACTCCCAACATCCCAGCCAAACCGTGCACCATGCCAGAAACCGTCACTACTACCCCACGCGTAGTCCCTGGTGCCCCGCCCCCGCCTGCCCCCTCCAAGTCGCAAAAGAAGAAGCGCAAAGCGGGAAAACCCAAAGAAGCTAGCGAGTCGGACGTGCCTGTTGCCGTGCCCGACACGGCGACTGCTGCGTTGATTGAGAAGGCTCCCGAGGCGAGTGATGTCAAGGAGGGTGCAGTCGCACCGCAGCTGGTCGCCCAAGTATCCGAGGAGCCCCAGACCCCCGCAGAACTCAAGCTGAGTCCCATCGTGGACATGCTGAACAAACGGTTGAAGGCGAACGGAAAGAAGATTGTGAGTACATTGGCCGCGGCAGCCATCGGCACATCGTGTGCAAAGAGACTACGTCATGCCTGCTGGCACCCTCATCCGCGTCGCGTGGCGGTTGTACTAAACAAATCCTCGTGTAGACCCGGATACAACTCTACCAGAACGAGTCTCCTGAAAAGTTGAACGACGACCAGAGGCGACTGTTGAAGACCCTCCCTACTCTCGAAGCTGTAAGCAAGGAGCTAGAAGAGGTCAAGAAGGCCATCGAGGTGCGCAATCTAGGGCTGCATTCCGATCGTTCGTGTTAAAGCTTTCGGCAGGTTCATGAGGCCGAGCTCGGCCAAGAGATTGCCTTCCTCAAGGCTGAAGCCGCTCGCGCCGAGGCTCAAAGGATACGTGATGCTGTTGCCGGAGCCCAGGTAAGTGACAGTGCGAAGCGCTGCGTGTAAACAAGCTCATTACATGCACCCAGGCCGAATATCTCGACAAGACGGCAGAGCTCGTTACCTTCCTCCGGCTGCACGGCATGCTGTCCAACAGCCATCCGGATGCTCTGGCCCTGAACCTGAACGAGGCGGAGGGTATTGCCGTGTACTCGATTACCGAGACCCTGCTTCATGAAGTCAACGCTGGGAAGACCGACATGATCCGTTCAATATTTACTGGCGAGGGCGAACACCTCGGCATTCCTTGTATGTGGTGTTGCTGGCTTTCCATAGTCCTATACTGACCTTACACGCAGATTCGCGTGTTGTTGAGATCAAGGAGCGGTTCCTGAACCCTCCTCCCGCGCCACCAAAGGAGGCTGAAGAATCCCAGGAAGCCTCCACGGTATCCGAAGAAGCACCCACGCCCATTTCCGGCATCCCGTCTACAGTCGGAACCTCTGGAGCAATCAACTTCATCTTGACTGATGAGCTCGCGGAAGCCGAGGCAGAAAACGCACCAGATAGCAATGAATGGGTAGATGTGCAAGCTCAGGCTGAGCCTGAACAGCCCACCGAGGTTGAGATCAGCGAGACCGTTACCGAATTGGAGGTTAACGGGCACACTGTCGTGGAGGACTCCGTGACGATCACGACCACGACTGAGGTACGTGCGTATATGCGCCAGAGATGACTTGTTCTTGACAAAGCACCAGGTACCTACGTCTGCCTCGATCAATTGGGCCGACGAGGAGGATCAGAATGAGCTGCCCTCATTAGCGAACCTACAAGCCCACTATGGCACTTCTGGCGACGCCTCGCCTGCGATACAGACGCCTGAAGCCGACGGCGCGGTGCCTTCAGTTCCTGGAACCCCTCACGCAAATGGGCACGGTGCCCTCGTTGATGATGACGGTTTCACACACCATCACAGAGAGCACAGAGGCCGTGGCCGTGGCCGGGGTGGACCCAGGGGAAGCGAGCGGGGCGGATTCCGCGGTGGCTTCCGCGGCGGTGAACGTGGAGGTCCTCGCGGTGGATTCCGCGGTAGTGATAGTGAGCGTGGTGGCCACCGTGGTGATGGAGAGCGTGGCGGGCACCACCACCACCGCGGTGGCGATGGAGAACGTGGTGGGTTCCGGGGTGGCGACAGTGAACGCGGTGGGTTCCGTGGCGGCTTCCGTGGTGGCGAGGGCCGTGGTGGCGAGGGCGAGCGTGGCGGCTTCCGTGGCGGTGAGGGCGAGCGTGGTGGTCATCGAGGAGGCTTCCGTGGTGACCGGGGCAGTAAGCGTTTCTATCACTTGTCGAAGTTGAGGCTTGACTTCTAATGCGTTGTACTAGGTTACCGCGGCGCACCGGAGGGTGATTGGCGCGGTGGACGTGGTAGGGGCCGTGGACGAGGTAAGCCCATCACACATTTTGCTCTGCTCGGGTCGTGTGTTTACAGACACGTCGGACAGGATTCCACGAACCTCGCGGTGGTGCTCCCCCCGCGTAGGCTCTATTTTCTGCACGAGGGTTCCCAAAAGGCATGGGGTAGTCGTTCCGTCGGACTCTCGTTACTCTATAGCTTGGTCGCTGCCCACCTGCTCTCACCTGTTGTTGTGTTGTTGTGTTCTGTTTTAACAGTGCTCTTCCCTTTTGCAATATCCCGCATCTTGCTAATGGTTGGAAGTAATATTGCGACTCCGAGCGCCAAATTGCTTTTCCCGAGCAATTTCCGTTCATTCCGGAGCCACTTGCCACGTGGGTGTATGCAGCAGCAGATGCAGGCAGATCGCCCAGTCGACGACCTCCGCACCAACTATCGCCCTGCTTGAATCCGCACACTCACCACCTGTGCACAACTTACACTACACGTCCTCTCGTTAGCCGCATACTACGCCTCTTACACTCTAGACTTCACGCGGCCTTTTGGATGCCCTTCGTTCTCTCGCTTCTCAGTGTTCTCACATCATGACATCACCTCAGAGCAGCGCGCCTGCCCTGCAAACCTCGCCTTCCGTGAAGATGGTGGAAACTGAGCAGAAGAAACCTGTAACAACCTGGCTGAGCCCCCAGCTGTCGTCGTACTTCATCGCCGGAGGTGTCGCAGGAGCCGCGTCTCGGACCGTGGTCAGCCCGTTGGAGAGGTTGAAGATTATACAGTGAGTGACCGCTTGCTCTAGGGTTTGGACGAAGCCGCTAAATAATTTCAACTCTGCGTCGCAGGCAGGTACAACCGCCATCCTCGGACAAACAGTACAAGGGGGTCTGGTCCAGTCTGGTTCGCATGTGGAGGGAGGAAGGTTTCAGGGGATTCATGCGGGGTAACGGCGTCAATTGTATGCGCATCATACCCTACAGGTGAGTGGGGTTCTTGTGTATGCTGCGTCGGAAGTGGACCTGATGTGTTTTCGCAGCGCTGTTCAGTTCACAACATACGAACAACTGAAGAAGGTACGTGCTCCGTCCTCCCCGGGGTCCATCACTGCTGCACGAGAGCAGAGGCTGTTAAGCCTCTACGGAACGCGCTTGGATAATTCCGAAATGCGATCACCACCGCTACACCTATGTAAGACTCAAGGCCATGAGCAAGGGTACAGGTCAGCAGCGAGGAGGTGCAAAGGATATGTATGATTTCTGGGCGCTCAAAGGCGTTCATGCAGAAATCATACTTTTTCGGCCATCATGCGCGAAGGATGAACGTTTGAACCCCACCTTGCGTGTCGTGCCGGTTAGATTCAGTTCATCATCAACTGACTTGAGTTCTGCAGTGGTTCACCGGATACGGAGCGACTCCGCTGGACACGCCCACACGGTTGTGCGCTGGCGCACTCGCCGGAATCACATCTGTCTGTATGTAACTACTGAAACGGTCTCGCGCGGATCCCGTCCCGGCTGACCCTATCGCGTTTGCAGGCAGCACATATCCTTTGGACCTTGTTCGCTCCCGACTATCTATTGCAACGGCTTCAATACCGTTGCAAAGCCCCGTAGTATCTTCCAGTACCGCTCAACCGGCCCTCGCCTCCGCATACCACACGGCTTCCACGTCAGTGCCTCGACCAGCTGCGGCTCCCTTCTTTTCCGCCCAGGATCTGACGGTGTGGGGCATGACGATGCGAGTTATGAGGGACGAAGGAGGCGTTAGAGCACTGTATCGCGGGTTGGTGCCGACTGCGATGGGCGTCGCGCCCTACGTTGGTAAGTATAGAATTCACAACCTGATGAATCGAGAAAACTGATAGAGTTGATCCATTCCAGGCATCAACTTCGCTTCTTACGAGGCGCTGCGAGGATATATCACGCCTCCTGGGAAGAGCAGCGTGCACAGGAAGTTGCTATGCGGAGCGTTGGCGGGTCCGTATGGCCGTGATGCATTGTTTGATCATCGGGACTGACAATGCGTTTGCTAGGCTCAATATCACAATCCTTGACATATCCCTTCGATGTGTTGCGGCGCAAGATGCAAGTGACAGGGATGAACGCGCTTGGTTACAAGTATAATGGTGCCTGGGAGGCCCTGGGAACCATCGTTCGGACCGAGGGGATAAGAGGGCTTTACAGAGGGCTCTGGCCAAATCTATGTATGTCCATTGCGTCATGCGCGGATGTTTGGATACTCACGTAAATTTCGGTGCTCAAGTGAAAGTCGCGCCGAGTATTGCCACGTCGTTCTTCACATACGAGCTAGTGAAGGATGCACTCGGTGCCTCATAGGCCCCATGATCAAACCGTGATGAGCGTGGCCAAGGGTGTGGGACCGCGCGTTTTGAGAATACCAGCAGACTACCGTAGATAGACTAGTACATCCTATAGTTATATTTCGCCATTGTCCTCGGAGTGTAGATTACCATTCAGCGATCGAAACGGACAGTCGCAAATTGCAATCGTTTTGAACGGACGAGTGGTGCGGATGCATATGTTTGAGGCCAAGGCCCAAGGCACGGGCAGCTTTGATTGGCCCAAATCGGAGAATTCCGCGAATACTTGTACCGCGTCGCCGCACCGTCGCTCTCACCTCTCCCTCTCTCCCGCACCACGACGTCCAGGGTCTCGCTCTTCCATTGCTTGATGATCTTCATCTGGGCTTAGGTGGTTGTACCGTTCTCGGTGAGTGTTCCTAGAGCGGCAGCGCGAACGATCACCTCACCTCGCCTGAGCCTCGTTGCGCTGGCCCCACTTACGTCTGTTATCTGACATTGACCTCCAGTTTCTGGCGTTGGCAGGCCTTCTGCACTCAGTTCTCTTCGACCCGCATATCTTTATCACTTTCTTCGAGCCCTTCTCGGCCTGGGTCAGGTAAAATGCCCAGAATGCCGCCGTCGCAGCCACGGACCACGGATACCCATGCCTTCTCCAGCAGTGTCCCGACCTCCCTCTCTTCCAGCTCCCTCTCGTCCTCGTTGTCTTCTTCAAGAGCTTCGTCCGACCTCCTCCCCGCAGCACCACCTTCCAACTCCAGCCAATCCGATATCGCAGCGTCCGATCGCTCCGTGTCCTCACTGTCCTCGTCCTCAAAGGGCCGGTTCTTTCCCCTGGTCCTTACGTCCGCACCCCCACGCTCGGCCTCTCTCGCTAACATGGGCCAAGGCCAGTCTCGGCCGACTGTGAGTCCACCACCGCTTTCCCCGGCACCGAGCACGACGTCTAGCACCGGCGGGCGCCTGAAGCGCGCATGGGCAGGGCGGAGGAAGAAGTCGGAGGACATAACGGCGCTGTTCTCGAGCTCGCAGCGGATGGAGAAATCTGCATCGGCACCCCCGCCGTCCGCCATGCCTGATCTTGGTGAGCCGAGATTAGAGCGACCCCCGTCTCGTGGAGCGGGTGGGCCGAAGCTTCTGAACCTCCAGAACGTGTTTGGCGGGAAGAGGGCGGCCCAGCAGCCCAAGCCAGGCAAGTCCTCATCCCCCGTGCCCCCATCCCCACCGCCAAAGCCTGTGTCCGGGTCATCAGGACAGCGTATTCCGTCGTTGGCCCCACCGACCACGCCAGCCAAGGATGCGCAGTTTACTCCCGCAGCACCCATACCGAGGCCTTCTACGTCTTCTCGATCCCCTCCGGAGCAACGGCACTTTCTAGAAGGTCGTGAAGCTACCGCTTCTGCTGTCGCCACGGAGAAGGCTGCCGGGGTGCAGGAGAAGGAGAAGACCAAAGAAGACTGGCGAAAGAGCGACTCGACAATGGCTAGCCACAGCACCATCCGGCCTGGTGCTCTCTCGGGCAACCGGTCTCCTCGGCCAGTGTCTCTCGCTGAGTCCTCGCACTCCGCGAACACTATCGTGGCCCCGGTCAACAAGCGTTTGAGCGCACTGATCACCGACGCGGAGTTTACTATGTTCGAGGAAGCAGATAGCGGCGCTGCGGATGAGACAGGGTTTCGTCCACCAGCCTCAGGTCGTCCATCCCCTACTGGCTCGATGAAGGCACGGAATAGGCGGTCTGCGTCGCTGAACCTGGGTAACCTGCGTAAGGCAGCACACCAGGACACACCGTCTAGACCCTCTGGCCCGCACTCCCCAGGTCGAATCATGAGCGATAGCCCGCTCGCGTTGTCCCGCGATACGCCGACCCTTACCCGCGCCGCGGCAGCTGGGATCATAGCTCCTGTCAATGCAGGTGGCTCGGCTCAGGCCACTGGCAACAACATTCGTGGTCACCTCGCAGCCTGGTCCGCGGTACCCAACCCTCCTCCCGCTACTCGTGCAGAGCGCCCATTACCTGCACCTCCACCACCACAACCTCGGCGACCACCCGGTGCCCCTCATCCTCCACCAGTCAATCCGACATTCCGTCAAACCGCCGTCAGCATGACCGGCAGTCTCGCACCGGCCGCTGGCTTCGCAATGGGTTTCGGGAAACGGGCCGTTGAGAAGGTCGGGCGTGCCTGGGGAGGCTTCAGTTCTAGCGCGTCCAATCACTCTGGCTACTCCTCGTCTTCTTCTACTGGCGGTGCTTCCACATCCAGCGTGAAGGTCTCGGACGCTAATTCTGGCTATGCTTCGTCGCCTCAATCCGGACCGTCAGTCTGGAGGGGACGGCGAAAAGCGCCGCACGGATTTTCCGGCGGGTCGAGCATATCGTCGTTCACGTCCACGTCGTCGGAAGACCACTTCATGCCTTCCGGCCCACAGCTCGGTCGTCGGTTACGTGGGCCGAAACTGTCAAGTTCTGGTGTCAGCATCGCCGGCGGGTTGGTGTTCAAGCGCGACCTGCCCACATGCGTCCGCGAGACCGCGATCGACGACGTGCAGATAAGGCTTGCTCACGGCGATCAGGACCTTTTTCCTCATGTGGGATTCAAGCCCTTGGAATCACGACTGTTGCCTGCTCTCGTGGTGCGTTGCGCTCAGCATATCCTACGCTGGGGTGTTGAGGAGGAGGGTTTGTTCCGGTACGTTCATCTGTCGTCCTATATGTCAGGGTCCTGATGCAAGTCCTGCCCCACAGTGTCAGCGGACGGTCGTCGCATGTGGCCAAGCTGCGCTCGGAGTTCGACGCCGGCGCTGACTATGACCTTACCGAATGTGAACCAGGCGATCTGGACCCACATGCGGTTGCGTCTATATTCAAGACCTTCCTTCGTGAACGTGAGTCTCGCCACATGTATCGACGATCACTATACTGAGGCTGATGATACTTGATAGTGCCGGAGCCGCTTCTGACGAGCGCACTCCTCTCTTACTTCGAGTCGGCGCTATCGGAAGACTACAGTGGGCAAGAGAGCAACGGGGACGCTTCGCAAACGGCCGAGCCCGCAGCGAAACCGAGGTCCGCTACCAACTTGCCGCTACGGAAGCCTCCATCGCTATCGACGCTTGCCATGCCCTCATTCGCAGGCCTGCGTGCTCTCTCGGACGCTCAAGTTAACGCGCTGTCTTTCCTCATCTCCAAACTTCCAGCGGAGAATCGTGACTTGCTATGCACGGTCGTTGAACTCATCAAGGTCACTGCTGCTCGCTCCCGAGATACCAAGATGCCGCTCGGCAACCTGCTTCTCGTCTTCTGTCCTAGCTTGAACATGAGCCCTACTCTGCTCCGAGTGCTTTGCGAGGCTGATTCGATCTGGAATGGCCCTCCGGCAGAGCTTCTCCGTGAAGAACCGCAGACAGTACGCCTAGTCACAGTTGAGAAGGAGGACGAGACAAGCCAGGCGAAGTCGGCAGCACCAGTCATCGACTTGCGGCTCCCAGTCATCGAGCTCGACGACGCGGAACCCAGTCCTCAGGAAGACAGCCCTGGGGATGATGCTGTTTCTTTCGTGTCGGCACTAGAGCCCTGTTCATCCGGCCCAACGCGATCCCCGAGTCCCGCTGTGTACAGCAGTCCGATTCCTCCCCTCTCGTCATCCGACTCCCTCGACTCAGCGTCGTTTTCGGACGAGCTGGCGTCGCCTGAACCTACACCTTGCAAGGCTGCTAGTGCAAGTAAATCGGATATCGGGTCGACGCATTCGCTCACGATTCCCGAGACGACGGACCTATCCCTTCCTGCCACACCTCGCCTCATCACCGCCCCCGTCCCTTTCCCTTCCGCAGGTGGCAGCGTCCCGACTACCCCCTCCGGCCATGCACCCCTCTCCCACCGCAAATCGTATACCCTTCTCTCCTTCCCGCATCTCCGCTCGGAGTCGAGCCCCGAGGTACTCTGCAACGCGCAAGGCAAGCGGCAGAAACGTCCGTCGCTTCATCTGCTCTTCTCGAAGAAATCAAGCTCTTCACTTCCGTCGGGTTCAGACTCTACGAGCCCATCGGTCGCCGCGGTGTATCCCAGTAGTGGGAACATTCGCATCAGCGCTCCGAGGCCAATCGTTACGCATGTCGCTAGCTCGCCGCCACGCCTCGACACTACGATATCCTCTTCGCCTATCACTCTGGCCTTCGAGGAAGCCGCCAACCAGATGAAGGGCAAAGATACGACGCGGTCTGCTCCCCCCATGGTGCACGACGGAGGTCTAGAAGCACCGGCTCTGAACATGCGTTCGGACTCCGGGAGTTCTTCGATCTTCTCAACACCTCAATCGACGCCTATCGCCGACTTCTACCGCGGTCGTACGACATCGCTCTACGTCCCCGAGACTTCTGGCGAGCACGAGCTGCCCACAAGAGCACGATCGGCGACACAGGTCTCTGAGACCCCATCTCTGAGGATCAGCGTCGCGGACGCGCAGCAGGATGACTGGATGCAGAGCGTCCTGCTCGCCGCCCAGGCCGGAGGGAGCACAAAGTCGTCCTGAAGTCCCCTCTAGCGGGCTGTATGTTGCACATAGTTTAGTTTGAGGCCGGATCAGCCATCGTCGCCGTCGCAGGCGTGCGGTTGCGTGCGTTCCGGCAGACCACCATTCCCCCGCCTCGTTCTCCATATGTTCTGGTCAAACATGGACATGTCGTTCTTTTGCTTAGGTACCACGATCAGTCTCCGTACCGTCTTGTTGCTCCACACGCTGTCTCCCGCCTCATGGTCGCTCAACTTCAAACTCTCATCACGTCGCATCACCATTTTACCTAGCGTATCGTAACGTCTGTGTCGTCTTCACGCGCCCAGCTTATGACAGTAATACTATTACAATCTATCGCAATACATGCGCTGTTGTGCTCTTCTACATTATTGTCGCACCAACGTTCCCATCTGCAGAATAATTTCCCTGGGGACGTCCCCCGCACAACCCCACATTCCGGATTGGGCAATGACGTCACGAAGTCAAAGATGATGTATGCGATCAGGACGCGACGCGTCTGCAGCGAAATCCGAAGAGAAGACGCCCGCCCGAGGGTTCACTTAACTGGCCTTCACCCGGTCCCTCGCTCTCTTCCTCCTCCCATCACCCCCATCCCCACACCAGCGATGTCACAGACACCGCTGAAGAAGCTGCAGGCCAAGATATTTCGCGGGCAGAATGGCGAGGACGCTGCCCGGGAAGACAAGCCTACGCGCTCCTCATCCGACCCCGCCCTTACAATCAACATCCCTAATCCCAACCTGAACGAGTCTTCTCAGCCGGGCCCTGCGCCCCCCAAGATGGCCAAGACTGAGTCTACAGGCCCCCACGATGCTGAAGAAGATGCACGCGCAGACCCGTTCCGCCAGAGGCTCAGCGAGAAGCTTGGCCCGGAGTACCATGGTGCAGAGCGCTTCCGTCTGGATCAGGACGGCCGCAGGGAGCACCACTGGAAGAGATGGGGTCCTTATCTTAGCGACCGGCAATGGGTATGTTGTGTCTTCGCATCGCTTGCATTGTACGCGTCCCCTGGCCCTGATCAACGCGCATATAGGCCACCGTACGCGAGGATTACTCGGCGAATGGCGATGCTTGGAGCCATTTCCCGCACGAGCACGCCCGCTCGCGTGTATATAGGTGGGGCGAGGACGGTCTCGGTGGTATCTCCGACAACCACCAGCGTCTTTGTTTCGGGCTTTCGCTCTGGAATGGAGAAGATCGCATCCTCAAGGAACGCCTCTTTGGTGTCACCGGCCATCAGGGAAACCACGGCGAAGACGTGAAGGAGCTCTACTACTACCTCGACTCCACCCCCACCCATTCGTACATGAAGTTCCTGTACAAGTACCCGCAGAAGGCGTTCCCGTACGAGGAGCTCGTGCGCGAGAACCAGCACCGCGACCGTAACGTCTCCGAGTTCGAAATTCTCGACACCGACGTGTTCGACGACGACCGCTACTGGGATGTATTCATGGAGGTACGTCAAATGATTATACGCGATGATATACGCGCATATACTCACCTCATACGCAGTACGCCAAAGACGAGCAGGACCCCGACAGTGTCTACGTCCGTATCACATCTTACAACAGAGGTCCTGAGCCCGCGACGCTTCACGTCATCCCTCAGTTTTGGTTCCCCAACAGTTGGTCGTGGTCGGACAACCCACCGTCTCGGCCGTCGATGTGGGCCGCCGGCGACGGAGTGATCACCGCTGTTGACCCTACGCTTGGGAAGTACAACCTATACTGTCTTCCCTCCCCGCCTCCAGTGGACAACAAGGGACAGCTCAACGTAGGCGAAAGCGGGGAGCCGGAGGCCGTCGATGCCAACCTCCTGTTCACTGAGAACAACACGAACTTCCATCGTCTTTACGGCGGCCAGAACGAGACGCCATACGTCAAGGATGCTTTCCACGACCATATCATACCCGCTCATCGCCCTCCGCCTACCGATGAAGGTCACCCAGGCTTCTTCTCTACGAAGATTCACACCGGATATGCCAGCCACGGCGGAGGCGATGACACTCCCAGCTCTGAGGAAGAGTTGGGCCCTCGTACCCCGTTCCCTGCAACCCCGTCTTTCGTCAACCCCGCTAAGAGGGGCACGAAGTCCGCCGCTCACTATGTCTTCGAGAACGTCCCCCCTCGTGGCGGGTGCGCTGTCGTCCGCCTCAAGCTTACTCCTCGCACGCCCGCTCAGGACCCGAGTATTGAGGATGAGGGCATCTTCGACGACACCGTGGAAGAGCGTAGGGAAGAAGCCAACGAGTTCTACTCCGGACTTGTACTAGGCCCTATCAGCGACGATCTCAAGCAGATCATGCGTCAGGCTCTAGGTGGCCTGATGTGGACGAAGCAGTACTACCAATTTGTTCAGAAGGACTGGCTGAAGGGCGACCCGGCGCAGCCTCCGCCGCCGCCAGAGCGCAAGTGGATTAGGAACAAGGTGTGTTCCGCAACTTCACATGCTAATTTATCCGACACTCAACTTCCTGCAGGACTGGAAGCATCTGCATATCGCTGACATCTTGTCTATGCCCGACAAGTACGTAGCTCGACACTCGATCTTCACATGTATTGATCGAGCTCAGGTGGGAATATCCCTTCTTCGCGGCATGGGACACGGCCTTCCACTGCATCCCGCTTGCAGTTGTGGATCCCGCGTTCGCCAAGAAGCAGTTGGATCTGTTGACGCGTGAGTGGTATATGAAGCCTGACGGTCAAATTCCGGCCTACGAATGGAACTTCGGCGACGTCAACCCACCTGTGCATGCCTGGTAAGTCATAGCACCCATGGAGGAACGCATGCGCCCTTACACCGATGATCACAGGGCCACATTCCGCGTATTCAAGATCGAACGCAAGTTGTATGGGAGAGAGGACCTCAAATTCCTTGAGCGCGTTTTCCAGAAGTTGCTCCTTAACTTCACCTGGTAAGGTCAATTCAAGCGATGGGCCTGTCACAAACTGAATTGGCGATACAGGTGGGTCAACCGTAAAGATCAAGGTGGAAACAACGTCTTCGAAGGAGGTTTCCTTGGCCTGGACAACATTGGCGTGTTCAACCGTTCGGAACCGTTGCCAACGGGCGGCACTCTGCGTCAAGCAGACGGCACGGCGTGGATGGCGTTCTACTGTTTGAACATGTAAGTGCCTCCTTTAGGTGTTCTGTAACTAGACTAATCATCCTTCCAGGCTGAACATCGCCTTGGAACTAGCTAAGCATAACGATACCTACCAGGACATCGCCTCAAAGTTTTTCGAAGTTTGTCGCGATCTTTCCGCTTTTTTTGGTTGAACTAACCTTCGTGTTTGCAGCACTTCATCTTCATTTCCGATGCCATGACCTTCCGCGGCGGAGGTGACGATGAGCTCAGTCTGTGGAGCGAAGAAGACGGAATGTACTACGATGCTATCCAATTCGACAACGGGCATTCGATGCAGCTGCCGGTTCGCAGTCTCGTCGGGCTGATCCCTCTCTACGCTACGCTAGTGCTCGAGCCATCCACTGTCAACCGCTTCCCCGGGTTCAAGAAGCGCATGGAATGGTTCATCGACAACCGGCCAGGAATGTCGGAGCGTAACATGGCCAACATGCAGAGTGAGCTCCACCACTTATCATGATGAATGCCTCTCATATGTATGCGTGTCGATAGCGAGAGGTCGTGGAGAACGTCGACTGCTTGCCCTGGCGAGCAAGGAGAGGCTCGTCAAGATCTTGGAGAAGATGCTTGACGAGGACGAGTTCCTCAGTGAGCACGGCATTCGATCGTGAGTCCTCCCCTTACTCTTCACGACGTTGTACTGATATTTCGATCGTATTCTAGGCTGTCCAAGAAGCACAAGGATCAACCTTGGGGGATGGATGTGAATGGCGAGCGTTACGAGGTCAACTACTGGCCAGGTGATTCCAAGTCCGGCATGTTCGGAGGCAACTCGAACTGGCGTGGTCCTATCTGTAAGTGTCCTCTGTACTGTTATACAGCCTGATTGATCGCTGAGCTAACTCCGCATTCAGGGCTTGCCGTCAACTTCATCCTCATCGAGAGTCTCCAGCGTTTCTACCAGTTCTATGGTGACGAGGTCCAAGTAAGTAGTCAAAAACCGAACCTCGCAAGTCGCCTTCTGACAATTAGCGAAGGTCGAATGTCCGACCGGCAGCGGGGATTATATGAACCTTGTCCAAGTGGCAGAGGAGATCCAGCACCGCATTATCCACATCTTTGGCAGGGATATGGAAGGGAAGCGCGCTGCTAACGGCGGGAACCCGAAGCTTGACCACGACCCACACTTCCGTGACTACGTGTGGTTCCATGAGGTATGTGGCTTGAGCGTTCCAATTTATCAGCTGGATCCTAATGTCGAATGATACAGTTCTTCCATGCCGATGACGGTCGGGGTCTGGGAGCCTCCCATCAGACTGGATGGTATGCCCGACTGCGTGCTCTTCACAGCATCACGCTCATACTGGTTTCAGGTCTGGGCTCGTTGCCTACCACATCTTGCAGAGTGGAGCGAACTGCAGGTTGCCCAAGACACCGAAAAGTGAGAGCTTAACCTTACGTGAACCCTTACCAACGCTGACCGCCCTATGTATAGCTCCTCGCAGTCTGGCTCACCACTACTTCGACGTACGTGATCTTGCGTGTCCCTGTTATAGTATCGATCACTGACGATGTCGACATGCAGGAGACCATTGATGCGCAATCTGAGGTTGGGGATGAAACACGGTCCCTGTACAGCGCGTACAGCGCGGCGGACCTCAACACTCTGGGTGACATCTCGCCCGACGCGTTGTAGACACGAGAGGAGAAGGCATAGATTCCATGTCTCATTAGATGGCCCGCTTTCCGCTCCCAGGCAACGGACACGGACAAATTTCCCATACAAGTGTTAGAATATTCGTGTATACCATGCCGCAGCGCAGCCCCAGTCTCCCGGATCCATCATCGAATAGCAACTAGCTCTCTCTCTGTAGCATGAGTTCTCGTTGACAATATACGTATCTCGTTGGCCTCCCGACCGCGGTAAACCCTACTAGTCAGCAGTTCTGCCATCTTGGCTCGGGTGGTAAGCGGGGCCTGAGCTCATGAGCCCAGCTGCTGGGACGTCATCCTCCCACAGCTGCTTGGAAGTGAACAGCCATGACGACGCCGTCCGACACCGTCGTCTTGCACGCCCCCGACTTGCATAACCCTCCCATCGACTTGGACCTGGATAAGTTCATGGGCACATGGTTCGTGATACCCCCGTGAAACCACCGAATCATGAGCGAGACGCTGATGCACCAAACAGGCATGTCACTTATTCCACATTGCCGCTCTGGAAGGTACGCAGAAAACAACGACCGGCCTACCAGAAGCTCACAGGCGCCACGAAACGCACGTCTAGTCTAAGAAGGACGTCACCATCACGTACGCGCTGAAGAAGTCGTCCGGCAGCGATGCAACGGTGCAGTTCGACGACACCGTCGAGTACCGCGGCGCCTCCGACCCCGCGACCTCCACCCGCAGCCGCGTCACCGGCGTCGACACACTCGTCACCCCGGAGTCTCAGTCCCCCACCGCCGCGAACTTGGACGCACGGCCCCCCGCGCCGACGCGCTACAAGTGGCGCGGCAAGGGCTGGCTCGCGGTCGCGACGTCGCGCTGGCAGGTGCTGGGCTGCAGCGCGGACACGTCGCCCGAGAACGCGCACGCGTGGGCGGTGACCTACTTCGAGAAGACGCTCTTCACGCCGCAGGGGCTCGACATCTACGCGCGCACGCCGGCGGGGCTCCCGCCTGCGCTCGTCGTGCAGATCGTCGCGCAGGCGAAGGCGCTAGGCGGGGACGTCGCCGCGCTCGCGGACGCGTTCTTCGAGGTCGGCCGCAGCGGGGTCGAGCCGCCGGACATGACAGGTAACGCATAATTTCTGCGATATTCACTTACGTCGTGGGCTTACATGTGTTCAAGTAACTCCATAGTGGTCGCGTTGACCACGGACCCGGTCCGTCGCGTTGGGTGCCACAAGATCGACGACCCTACTCACGTCGCCCGGATCCCCACTTACCTGATCCTATACATACGCGCCTGGACCTGCGCCTTACCCATGTTGTCGGGTTTCTTGGACAGCCCAATGAGTAACGGCGTAGTCATCTGTAGTCATGCACGGGATTGTTTCTTAGATGGGGCGTGTAGCGCTGCATAACGACGACCCCACTTTGTCATATCCTGAGAACATCCGTCTTGAGGGCGAACCCCACAGCACACACCGACGGCTGGGAGATTCAATAAGATAATATATTCCGTAAAGGCCAGCCTAAGCAAACGATCAACTCTAGTAGATGATACACATAGTAGCCTGCACAACATGGTGGCGCCGGAGGACATCCTACACCCCTGCCACCCGTCGGATCCGGTGCGCTGCGCACTCCACAGTAGATAGAGACCAGTCACGGAGATAGATGGCAGAGATCGTAGTACGGAGACATGGGTAACGTGGTGCGGGGGGAATATGGTGACGAAAGGAGCGGCTCGGGGTGGGTGGGGGCCTCGCGCCCCCCGAGACGCACACACGGATACAGTTGTAGGCGTATCCTGGTGACGTACGTGGAAGGGCGGACAAATAACAACGCGCGTGCGCACGAGATCCAATGCAGTAGAGTAACGGGAGAGGGAGAGAGAGATGGGGAAGGCGAATGAGAGTCAGAGCGTAGGCCGGGAGAGAGGAGAGCGCGGAAGGATCGTGCGGGTCGTAATACAGACAATGGGCGAAACAAGAAACGGAAACAGTTCAAAAACGAATGTGCGCATATGTGTGACCGGGTCCCCAGATATAAGGATAATGCCAGAGAGTCAGATGTAGGATACGAGAGGTGTGGGTCGTGAGCAATGAGGTGGACATGCGAGGGCGGCGAGAGGGGAGAGGTGGATGGGGGTGACGCAGGGCGGAGAGGGCAGGAGGCGGCTGGTAAGACCGCTCACTGCACGTAGAGTGTTACTTGGTTGCCGGGGCGGAAGGACTCGAACGCCATCTGAACGTCCTCCGTCGACCCCAACGATACCAGGTCGCCGTCCTCGTCCTTGTACTTCACGCGCAGGGGACCGTCGTCTCGCCTCGGCCCGCAAAGTCGGATCTTCTTGCCGACCTTGTCGACAAGCTCGGCGTACTCTGTCGATCGCGGCACTTGTATGACGAAGATGTCCTCGCCAAAGTGCACCTTGATCTTCACAGGCGGAGAGAGACGGAGCTCCTCCTTGAGCGGTGGCGGGCCCATTGACGGGTCCATATGGGAGCGGCCTGAGCGACCCATAGATACGCCTGCCAGTGACGACTCGCTCGAGCCGTAAGGAGTGATGGGGGAGCTGCTCGTGTGAGGAGAGTAGTCGGAGCTGTCGCCTGTAGATTGGCTGGAGCCGCTGCCACGCTTGCTGGTCGGGAGCGAGTTCTGCGACCGGTCTATCCACGCAGACGTCGGAAGGGGCGGAGGGGGCTGCTGCGAATGGTGGTGGTACGCACTTGGCTGGCTGGCGCTGCGCGAGCGCATCGGCTGGTGCGTCGGCATCGGGCTCGCTCCGCGCGAATCCGACTGCTCATAGGCAGCCGCCAGACGCGTCGAGCTGAACTTGCTGCGCAGCGTCGGTCGACTCTGCACGCTCGGGGCGAAGCTCGCTTCCGATGCATAGCTGCTCGTTGAGCGCGCAGCTGGGCGGGCAGACGCAGGGGGCTGGAATCCGCCCATACCGCCCGAGAGGATGGGAGAGGACGCTTGTCCGCTGTTCCGCGCGCTCTGCGGGTAGGGGAAGTCTGGCCTCCGCTGCTGTCCCATAGGCGTCCCACGTCCGGACGCCGAGTTCGCGCTGGTCGGCGGGTAGTCTTCATACTCGTCTTCGGGATCGAGTTCAAACCCATCGTGCGGGGGATAGCCCTGAGGACCTCCCTGCACGAAACCATTGCTGAAGTGACTATGCGCGGATGCGGAAGGGAGCGCGTGCTCCTCGTTCGCGTACGGGTGCCGCATGCTGCGCGACCCGTTGATCGTCGCCGAGAAAGGGACACCAGACGAGTAGCCGGTTGACTGGGAGAACATGGAGCTGCGCTCTTGCGCGTACGAGTTGTGTGCTGACCGTATCTGTGGGGACGGGTTGGTGCTGTTTGCGACCTGGGCGAGGCGGGAGACGTTGCGGTCCGACGTGCGGCGGCTCGCGGTCTCCTTGATCAGCCGGTTGAGCTGATTCTCCCACATCTTGAGCTGCTCCTCATTCCGGCATCGCAGAGTGAAGAACTCCAAATCGTCGTCACCGCGCCACCACACGGCGAGCGAGTATTGGCCTAGCAAGACTGGCGTGAGCCGAAAGCTTCATCTCAACGTCGTTTTATGACTGACCTGCAATGTTCTTCGGCACCGCCTGGGTGACGTTGTTCAAGAAAATGCGCCCCTTTAGCAACAAGGGAGTGCTCTTCTTCTTGCTACCGCTCGGTCCAGGACCGAAAGTCGACGAGGGCGAAGAAGGCTTCTTGAGGATCGAGTTGCTCTTGCCGACCTTCTTGCCGTTGCCCGGTTGCGGTACGTACTCTTTGCAACAAAGAATGATCTTCTCGAAAAGGAAGACGTGATACTCCCGGTCGACCTCGGACTTAGTGACGCTGAACACGTCGTCCAGGAGCAGAGAGCCGAAGTTGGAAATGTGGTGTCCTTTCCAGTCCTCGACGCGGCCTTCGAGGTTCTTCACCGTTGCGTCGTTCTCCGCCCGTCGCTGCGCCTCGTTGATCTTATCAGTGATACGCTTTGCTGCGCCGACTCCGGCCTTCAGCTCTTCGACGAAGTTATACTCGGTGTTGTTCACGGCTTTCAAAAGCGACTGTGGCGGGTCATGTGAGCATGCCTGCTTGATCCGAGGGAACTGAGCCTTACCTCCAAAAGCAACGGATACTTGCAGATGCGCTGCACCGGCTTGATTAGGAAGGCGGGAAGTTCGCCCTTCACATTGATGATATGATTAAGCGCCTAGGGTACCGCATACAGTCAGCGCCTGATGCAACCAAGGAGACGACGTTCGAGAGCGCGACGGAAGAGACATACCGTCAGATTCAGCTCCTCCTGGATCATAATCTCCGACGCCATAGTGTAGTTGGCGCAATACGGCTCATACACAGCGAAATCTTCTTCCTATTGTTCCAGAAGCGGATGTTGAGTTGTCAGCGGACACAATAGGTCGACAATCGCAATTCCACATTCAGTATCGACCATGCGCAGGTAGAATGGAGCTACTCACGTTCTCAGAGAATAGAACACCCCATCTCTGCTCGTTCCATGACAACTCGGCGATGCTCTCGACCTTGATCAGAAACTTTCGCTGAAAGTTGAGAAGCTTGTTGAGGCCAGGGAAGAGCAAGTGCAACGTGTCGCGGTCGATATACTTGACCGCTTCATCACAGTATCTCTGCAAGGCATGTGTCAGTATAGAACCCCAGCAAGACGCGCTGTAAACCGAGCAATATACCCCTCGTGAAAGTCTTTCGTGCTCGCACAGCAGACAGAGGACGAAGTTCACCTGCCGCGATAGTCATGCGATGGCCTAACACTTGAATGTCGCAAGCCTAACGTGCGGTTTGGCGAACTGAAGGACACGGTAGCTTCCCCACCTTGCCCACCGTGCTGGATATGGCAGCGACGCTTCGCATGGGACGACTAGCAGGTAACAGGCGCTGCGAGGATATACGCGGGCCTTGGCTGTGCGTATATGCTCGCGTCGTCTTTGCACGGCTCAAAAGTATCTTTCTCGAGGGGCATATCGTCTGATAACAGCCGGAAGCGAGACAAGCGCACCTGCATGACTTCCAAGTCTTGTACGTACTTCCGCTCCGTGTCGACGAGTTCCTTGATGATATTGGCGCGCGCACCGCCCGGCTCGACGGTTGACGCTACGAGAGAGTTGTCGGATGTAAGCGATTCCGTGGATGCCAGAGCCGACGAGAGCTTGGGAGATGCTGGCGGTGTCGCCATGAACAAGTCATCGGGCAACTGCTCGACGAGGTTGATGACATTGCTCACGACCTGGAGCCTGGTGAGCTCGACGGAGTAAAGCTTAAAATAGCGGCACACACCTTTACGAAGCCATCGGTAGAGTTACGGTCCCAAAGATCCCTCACGGTGAATCCCTCGCATCCCGATACTTGCTTCACGTTCATAGAGAAGAGGGCGATCGCGTGCTTCCTCGTGCGCTCGTTCGAGGGGTCATAGCTTTGCACGTCAGTGTTCACTTGGATGGGGGTGGTAGAGGGAAGGAGATTGAAGAGGTAGCACAAGGGGACGCCGAGTGCGAAAACGTCCCAGAGTTGGGTTACGGGGTCGGTTGATCGCCGTGAGGAGTCTGGCTGAGCGGCGGCAGTGAACCAGTCTGAGAATCCTTGAAGATGCATAAGGCGAGTGCGTAGAGAGGAGCATTGCTGATAGAGAGAGGTGGACTGAGAGGCAGCCTTGTTGAGTAGAGTATTGTTGGCGACAGGCGAATCGATTGTGGGTGGTGCGCCGATCATGGACTTTTTGCGGGCCGCTACGGAGGCCATCAGGGGCGAAAGAGAGGAAGGGGAGGCCTTGGGCGAGCAGGACGGCGGCGGGAGGGAGGGGGTCGACGGTTGCTTGGGATGGGAGGAGACGGAGAGACGGGATCCTGTCCAGAGCTGAGTACAGCGAGACGCCCGTCCAGTTCTCACAAACAGTCCAACTCCGATTAGTGTGTGGTCGTGTTTGTACCCCATCACCCGGCTTCCCCTTTTGTTTTCCCACTTCTAGATCTCAGATCCATCGCCGGCAAATCTCGACAACCGAGCCCAAGGTGCCGCAAGGGTCCTCCTCCGAATCCCCCATCCGCTCCGTCTGTCCAGGTCTGTCTGGCAGTGCTATCATCCATTTCTTGCTCGAATGCTACCCCGGATCTGCTACGCATCCCAAGACACACTCGCCCCTCTTGTCAAGATATTCGTTTTGCGGCCATTTGGCGTCCAGATGCGTTCTCATGCTACTCCTCCTTCTCGAGCCGATAGAACTGCCCAACATCCGCATTTCCGTGTATTCTATATCCACGCTTGGCCCAGGTATCCAGATTCCAGTGACCGGTTCACGTCGCTCTCACTTACGCCCCCATATCGCGCCCCCGCGGACCTCGTCGCGGATCTCTTCCCTGTTCCCTGCCATGGCTATCGCCGCCCACCCCCGTAACGTAACCTCCACATCCATTGACCGCACCCTGTGCGTCATTGCTAGAGATACCCGACTCTCACCCTTGCTTCTATAGCTGTCATCTTTGAACTGCGCTTGTATGATCCTAGATGCGAAGGAAGCTTGACAGCTGGCCGTGTCCAGAAACGCATGCTGCAGCGATGAACAGAATTCAGCAATCATACGACGCACATCGAGCCCGCCCGTGCATCACCACCGTGATCCCGTTCGCACCCTGCTGCGACCGCCTCGCCCTTTATAATTAATTCAGCGTCCGTCAATGCATGCATGGTGAGTAAGTCCCCACCAAACTCTTTCTTTCGACCGATTGCTCGTTCCACTGAATGTCTGCAGACATGGCGCAAGTGCTTCCGCCCACACAGCCCACCGGACGCGCGTGCTGCCTCCGTCTGTCGTGAACAAACCTTCCGCATGCGCCGGTCGCCCCGCCTTATCGGTGCGCATCTCACGCATGATTTAGGCACTATTCACCGACATGCTCGCACGGCATTCCCACCCGTGCCCGCTTCTGCTTCTACAGATGCTCACGACACCGGGCTCGAAGGCAACTCCCGAGAGCCCCATTCAGCCTGCGCTGCCGTGCCGAGCGCGAATGCCTCCGTGCCGCGGACCCGTTCCGTGGATGCATAGCGATCCCAATTTCGTTGCGGACACGAGGCTCGCACGCCCCCGCTTCGTCACGCTCCCGCCAAAGTGCGCGCATCGGGGCTCGAAGGACCGCAGCGCATACTGCGTGCCCGGCGATACGCGTTTCCCAAGGAACCCATGCTAGAAGGAGGGCTGTGGGCTGTGGGCTCGTCGCGCACGGCCCTCCGTCTGTGAACGCGGACGGGCCGGTGTCTCTGGAGCGCAGCAGTCCCTATGGAGACGCCGTCTTCCTCAGCGTCCTGTCCAACATCTTCCCGATGGAGAAGGAGGACGAATACCGCGTCCGACGGCTTCGTGGCGCAGCTCCTTGGTCGCAACTGCCAGCCGGAGGGTGTGGTGGGACGTGGCGCTGCCGACCGTATGGGTGCGACTCATCTCCGTCCGCGTTGGGCGAGCGCAGAGCACGGTGGCCGCTGTCACCGACGGGCTGCGTCGTGTTGGGCACAACTCTAAATTTGACGAAACACGGCTCTGACGTACTCGAGGCTTTGCGTACCGGGTGCACGCGATACGCGCACAGGCTTGCTTTGACATTGACGACAGAAGCGCGTGTACAAGGACGCGCGGCGGGCCCTGGAAGATCGCGCACAGCGGTGCCGAGCTCTTCGGACAGCTGTTCATGGTGGCACTACTGCATAAGTCTATTGCACTGCTAGCTACCCGCGAGCAATAATTATGTTAATTGAGACCTGCGCAAGGGCCCCCCTATTATATGGATGTCCGCGTATTCGACGCTAGTCCGATCGAGGCCACAGGCACAGCAGAAAGCACATGGAGGCACGTAGATCAGCTGTACGCGAGTGCCTCTCTGTGCCTCTGCATCAGAGCCAAATCAACCCTTGCTTGCCCCGCGCTGATGCGGACGCCGGCGAAGGCCTCGACCGACTCCGCATGTCCGTATACAAGGTTTGAGCGAACGCATGCTATCGAATTCTTTAGGACGCAGGGAGGAAGGGGATGTGCATACGACGGACTTTGAAGCCTCAGGGAGAGATGGCGGGCAGCCTTGGGCGCGATAGCGGCGGGCACACACCGGGCTTCTGAAGATTGAGGTGCTAGGTCCAGGACGCCGGCGACGGGCGTGCATCATTGATAGCTCTGGCATGGGGAAGTCGAACTTGCCGTTGAATCGAGCGTGCTAAAGATGTGCAGTGACATGCCCCGCACTGTCGCCGACTGCACCCTCGCAGGCCCTGTATCATGTATGGGTGCGTCCCTTGATAGTGCCAAGGTGCCTCGGACGTGCAAAATGGATAGGATGCGCGCGTGGATATCGGAGGGAGACACTATCGGACGTCGGTGGCGCGAGGTCGACGCTTCCACTGGACGCGGCGGCGCAGTCGCGCATCCCGAGAGCCGCGCAACATGCATCGTACATGGATGTATACGACGCTGCGATGTGCGCGCATGACAGGTCCTGCAACGGAGGCGTGCGGATGTCGTAAGCCAACGAAGTCAAGGTTGTCAGCCCGCGACTGTCAATGTCATGCGTCCTGAGAAAGTATCAGGATGGCGGGTACAGACGGCTTGATATCGACTCTGGAAGGAGAAGTACAGAGCGGTTGTGCCACCACGCGTTCATATTGAGGGCGAGCTTCCTCCGGTCCTGGACCACCTTGCGTTTGTATCTACCATTTAAGGCTGCAAGGGTGCCCTGGAGGTTGGTCTTGTGCGAAGTGCGTGGTCGAGAAAGTGATATCTCGTATCATGCAGAGATGGACATAAGCGTCTGATCCCTTGGCGAAGTGTACCTCGTCGGTGTGGTGGAGCTTATGCCAGAACAATCTTTGGACGTGAAGCATGCAACGTTCGCGCATATCCGTATGTCGACAAATATGCCGCTGTTCATGCGCATAAACCGTGCAGGGCCACGTTGTCACATATGGGCACATTGCGTACACATAAGTCCCCCAGGGCTTGCTGATGTTGAGAGAGGGTCCGAAAAGGACGTATCACTTCGCCTAGGTTCCAGTGGACTGGTCGGTCCTAGCACCCGTCCGATTCTGCAAGAAAAAGCAATCACGAATTAGGGGCCCGGCTTTCTATCTTTGAACGGGGACGTACTGCTGAAGCGTGATGCAATGATACAAGCGCGCTGCGAGATGGCGACCGCGTGCAAGCGCGTGAGTGCGCCGCGACTGCTAAGGACTTGCGAGCATGGGTTCCCGCATTGAGAATGATGATCACATTGTGATGGAACAGGGCGCGAAGGCACGCTCGACGCTCTGGCGGAAAGTACTTACTGAATGGACAACGCGCTTCGCCCGGCCTGCGAAGCGACCTCAGCCTTCGCAGGGCCCCGTCCTGGATGCCTTCAGCTTAGGCATATCCCCGTTGTGTTCGCTAATTCTGACGAGGGGATGGGCGAGTGTTGCCTTCGTGGTACATCTGCCGTGGACCGCCCCTGGTCGGCCCGCCGGACGATATACGGCAAAGGTGTGGCGTTGCGGGCCGACGTAGGTGTCGGCGCGGGGCCTCCGTACGTGGATGGTGGAGTCGGTCCAGAATCAAATGGACGGAGGGACCGCGTTCAGAAAGCGCACCGTGCCCATACACCACCATGCCATTTTATTGTGACTGCAGGGCCGTTAGGTCTGACCGCCAACCTGCTCTTCCGCCTTGATGATTACAGTCTACCACACCTGCTATGCATCAGTATGCCTGCAGGTTCCATGATTGAGCAGAATAGCAGCATACCTATTGAAGACCCGCCATTAAGCAGTCACATAACCCAACCGTGAATGCATTTGGAATGTAGCGGCGAATATCGCCTTCAAAAGTGCGGGGGCCAATCGCCACAGTGCGTTGATGATTTCAAACCTACCTTCGTGCATGCCTGGGACTACCATGGGTTTGGCAAGATGAGGGATAGACTTGTAAAGCTACCGTGAAGCATCAGTATGCAACGAGTTTATAGGTCAGTCGTACCAATTTATATTGGACCCGCAAAGACACTTAGGCTTTTGCGATATGGCGTTTAAAGAGAGCACCGGATAGTCTCGAGGTTCTGCCAGGTACTTTCCAGTCAACGACTAATCGAGACCGGGGCTGAAGAAAAAGGCAAGCTTCTGCACTCATAATGTCTGATAGGTTAGTGCGCTTGAAATATCGTGCTGCGTGTATGTTGGAGTATCTGTGTGTTGTTGTCAGGATCTAGAATCTGTGGCTTGGTAAACTGTATGGGCGGAGAGGAGAATTTGAGGGGCCCCGGGCAACGAAGGGACGTGTAAGGGTATTTGCCTAGACTCTGTCCAGGCTGGATTGTTGTTTGTGGCGCAGCCGACCGAGTGATACGGCCTCGTGTACGCGTATGCGAACGAGCAACGCCCGTGAGCAATTGAAAATGGTGTTCGGGTACCCATAGAAGCACACGATGCAACAAAGCGACGTCGACGAAGATCCTCATTGAGGAAGCTGGGAGGAAGAAAGGGGCAGGCGGATTGGTGGGCGTTGAGTAGCGAATTGAAACTCCGCGGGAAGAGAGGTTGAGCGCCGAGCCCCCTGAAGACTCCTTCCCCAAAACCTCACCCGGGGGCAAGACCCATGGCACCAGCACGCTCTTCCGCACACCGCGCTCGCCGCGACCAAGCCCACCATGCACCTCCACCGCACAATATATCTCCTCCCCTCGACGAGCAGAACTCTGCGGATGGCTTGTTCCTCGACCCGCTCATGGGCACGCCGCTCGCTATATACGTGGAAAAGGACGTTGAGAACCGGGATCAAGTCATCGAGCTTGTTTTGGTACGTCGAGCCTCTTCACGCGAACTGCTGGCTGTGCGACGCGTTTTTTCGCGCATAAATGCCTGTCAAAGGTTGGGTGTTGTATATCTGTCATACCGGACGCGTTGCTGGTCAACCACACGCGCATGCATTGCGAATACCAGTTCACGTATGGCTGACCTAAACGGATTATAGCAACATGGCGGTATCGTGTCCCCCAGTTATAGCGGTGTATCATATATTCTAGGTAGGTCTCTCGTTCAGTCATGCACGGGCATATAGGATTGGAACGGCGACGTGTGTCGTCCATTCCTTGACTAACGCTATGTCTCCTTCGCAGTCGACCCACACAAGGAGTCCGGGCAGAGTCTGTACCGCCAATATGTGGGCAAGAAGGGAAAACTCGTGCTCAGCGCGCAATGGGTCATCCGGTGTGTCGAGGCTGGTGCACTGCAAACCTATCACACCAACTTTGGCGGTTGTAAAGTGACAGGGACTGAAACGTGGGTAGTCCTCATGGCACCAATTGCCAGCCTACAAAGCTCATCTCGTCACGCAGAGTGGGCTCTATACCTCAACCTCCCCCTCCTCTGACGGAGGCGGGGCCTTCGGTGCAGCACATGTCGCAGCCCCTGCCGAGTATGGTGCACCAGGTGCCGGAGCAAGTCGCGCAACAGCCGCCACCTCCATCTCAACACCCCCCGCAATCGCAACCTGGAACATCGTCTCAACCACAACAGCCGCCACAACCTCATACTCAGCATATAGCGCACGCTCATCCCGCCCCCCAGCAAGGTCACCCTGTCCCGCCGCCTCCAGGCATGCATATGCCCCATCCAGGTCATATAGTTCCCCACCAGGGACCTTTCCCTTACCCCGTGTACGGTGCACCGATGCAGCCGCCAACATCCGGTCCACCTCAGACATGGCAAGCAGCGAACGGCATCGCCCCTGCTCAGACGCATATTGCCCCCCCTCCGCCGCCTCCCCCTCCGGGCCAACCAGAACATGCCATGATGGAGCGTCATCCAGGTTATGCAGAGGACCAGCAAGCCTGGAATCAGGCGTATCAGCACATGCCCCCGCCGCCCGGCATGGTACCACCACCTCCGCCTGAATACGCTTACAGGTATCGGGAGGATCAGCCTGCTAACTGGGTTCCGGAGGGGTATTACGGCCAACACGTGCGTCCTCCAAGAGCCATCTTCGCCAACGTTGACCTTGACCGCGCCACCTACAGTATGAGCAGCCTTACACCGAGGCACCGGATCAATACATGGAAGAGGCTGGACCTTCCAATTCGAACGAGGAGCCGTCTACCGCAGAGCAGCCGACCGAGAAGCCTCGGGGACGAAGACGCACTAAGACGCAGGTAGGGAGATATCGTCTTCTGCGCGAGCATCGCACTCATCGCGATATACCTCACAGCCGCAACCTGCACCACCTGCTTCTACCCTGGTGGCAAACCGTCGCAACCCTCCTGCACGGTCGCCGACTCCGCCTTCGCGTGTCATCAAGAGCACTTACGGAGGCAACCTCTTTACGTCTGACGACATTCTGTACCTGAAGCGTTATATCGATTATTGCCAGGAGCAGGGTCTTGTTCTCAGGTGATATCTAGCGCCATATAGCTTGGCCCTGAACGCTGATTGTTCTCCAGTTTGCGTGAGATCTGCGAGCGAATAGCCATCAAGGTGTGTTGTAGTCATCCGTCATGTTGTTGAGCGTTCATTCTGACCGGCTGCGGTTCGCTAGGCACCACACCACACGTACGCGTCCTACATCGGATGTTTATTTGCTAGCAATTGACAGCATACGTAGATTTTACTCTTGGCGTCGTTATTGCAACAAGCACAAGATTCGACTCGGAGGGTATGCAATGGACTTCGGTGACGACGGAGAAGAGCCGATGGTGCCGGAACCCCCAGAACCGGAGCCTGGTCCCAGTATCCAGAACGAAGGGCAGGAGGAACTACCGCCGCCCGTCAGTCACGGACCTGGCGCTATAGCTGCGGCATATCGTGTCGTCGCTGCGGACGTCCACCGCACACGGTCACCAACGCCTCCTCGGGCGTTGTACAGGAGTACGACGGGTAAGGGTGTGGCGTTCACCGACGAGGACGTCGTTTTCTTGGTACGCTTCCTGGAGTATCGAAGTCGACAACACGATGGCAAGCTGGACATGGTCGTATTCTGGAAAGACGTTGCTATAAAGGTGCGGACCTCGAGGATAAGGTGTTGCAGCTGATTGCTTACGAATGTTGGCCCACAGGCACCTCACCATTCGCGAGCATCCTGGATGAAGTTCTACAGGCGACACAAACATGAGCTGCACCACACAGCCGGTGATGAACCATTACCTGCCCCGCCAGAGAAGAAGATGCGTTACAGCCGTCAGGACGACGTTCTCCTCGCCAAGCACTTCATCACCAAACCCGAGGGCACCTCCGACAAGATCTTCCAGAACTTCGCTCGACTGGTGGGTGTATCCATCTCGCGCTGACGTTCGGCTCACCTCATGTATATGGCCAGAACCCACATCATCCATGGAAGGGATGGCAGGAACACCACCGCATCCACAAGGCGAAGATCGACCATCTCATGCAGCGACTCTCTCAAGGCGAGAATATTGATGACGACCCGGACGAGTAGCCGATCTTTGCCTCGGCGCCGTTTCTTGGAACTCTGCTTGCGATCACCGTTAATCATCTTGTGATGGACCTTACGAACATCATGTTCGCCCGTTATTGGCTGCAATATTATATTCATGCCATGCTTGCCCCTCTTCGTTACCGTTGTCGAGCCTCACGCGTGCTCTCACGCGTGTCTCTGTCCATATTTCCCAAATCTGACGAGTTTCCGAACTCACATCCTTGCGGGACGAGCGCTGTATTCTCTTTCATTCGCACTCTGTACTCACCTCGCGCGACACCTCTCCCTACTCGTTACAGTACTGGTCGATTTTGTCTCTCGCCTGCCTTCACGGGATAATTCCCGTGTCCGTGCCAACTCTAGTACAGTAAGTGCTTCGGTTTATCAACGGGTTTATCCTTACTGACTTGTTTTTTTGCTCATGCAGCTGCAAAGCTGTACTATTGCAGGGCGGCCGCACTAGACCACGCCTGTCAATGGCTGGAAGCGCTGATCTCAAGAACGACTACGCAAGCATAGTACTCCAATACTGGTAGAGCGCGCGTTCCTGTCAACGAAGCTACTCTGGAACTTGAAGCAGTAGCTTTACTATCTCTCTCGTGAAGAACCGGTACTGAACCACCTCTGTCGACTCAACATGCTGAGCAATATGGAATGCCAGGATGTCTGCAATCCGTCGCATACCATGTGCAGATGAGCGTTAGACGTATCTCCCCGTCAAACATGACAAAGATGCCATGACTGACTAAGCTGGTGGCTCCAGGTACGAAGTTCATGCAGACGTCTCTTATGGCATTCAAGGGTTAACGAGGCGGATCATTAACCAATTCTTGCAGCAGATGTGCCTGTACTGTCGAAACGGCGCTATATCGTGTCCGAATCGACCGGAGCCGTCCTACGTTGCACTAGCTCTCACCAAATCTTTGGACCCGGTCCCTCCGGTTTTAGCACTGCAAATCCCTTCCGGATACTGTCAGGCCGCGATCCTCGGCCTATTGCGCACACCATCGGCACCGGCTTTAACTGCTATAACTATTGGGGATATGAAGTATGCAGATGCGGGCGGCGCGATAGCTGACGTCCTCTAGCGGGTATATAAAGCTATCCTTGGAGGATGCCGTCTTCGAAACCTACCTCACCCCCACCCCCCGTCTGGAAACATGACTTCCACTGTCTCCCCAACTCCCGTCGCCCGCTACCGGGTGTCTCTCCTGGTCACTCCTAAGCCTGGCATGTCCCTGGAAGAATTTCATCGCTACTGGGCAGAACACCACGTCCCCCTGTTCCGCTCCCTCGCTATCGTCAAGAGGAACTTGCTCAAGTACGAACAGGTATGTCCCCCGGCATCCCTCAAAACCTGCGCTTTTTACTCAATTTGTGTATATCCCAGTTCCACATCGATGACGCAGATACGGCCACTCTCTCAGCGACGTTCACCGGAAACGCTCCAATGCCCTATGGCGGGGTAGCGGTCTTCGAAGCCGAAACCCTGGAGAAGATCCTCGAGATATTCAAGGATGAAGAGTATCTTCGGGTTGCCGTCCCCGATGAGGAAAAGTTCGTCGACCGTAGTGGCTTCCACATCCTGGCAGGGCACTACTCTACGACGTTTAACATTGAGTAGGCTTGTAGCATGTGAAGACGTCCGAGGTGAGTATGACTGCTGTATCATTCATGAATGGGCTGCGCTGACTTGGATCCTTTTCACAGTTGGCGGATATTGCGGGTGGATATCGTTTGTATTTATATGCATTGTTGCAAATGTCCGTCTCCTTTCGAGTCTCAGCATCACTGTACCCAGGATGTCGATCAAATGAGGCCTGCTGTGATGATGGTTCAGGAGACTGCGGAACACAAATTCTGATGTATGGACATACAAGATCCTTTCGACTCCCTCCATATTCTTCCTCACCGAACACAATTCTTGGCATACAACATTGAGAGCTAACGGGTGAACATGGTGTTCGTAAGGTCTCTGACGCCGCCCCCCCCCCCCCAACGAGATAACAGTTGCTGTGCTCACTCGGTTACCAAAAGAGAAAAGCGAGTCCCAACCACCTCTCGACGAGTCGAGTCATACTACGCAGACTTCTATGCCTTTAGAAGACGGCACGTGCTCTCACATGTGTCCTCGCTCCTTAAAAGTCCTTTCATCTTCAGGCTACAGCGGGATTTAAACTTGCACCTCGTTCACCTGAGCACTACTTTCCGACGCTCGAGCTTTTCCGCAGGTGCTTTTCCTATCCCCTTGTCTTCTTCACAGATGTGGTTGATGTAGGATGATGATTGGGTGCATCATGTACATATGTATCTTGCGTGCCTAACGCGATGGCAAAATTGCCTGACTGAGCCAACGGCTCAAGCTCAAGCCTCAAGGTTCGTTCATCTAAAGTATCTCTCGGCATTCACACGGCAACGTGCCTGTGTCGAGGCGGCGCTACATAGTGTCCGAAGTACTCAGAACTGTCCTACGAGTCACTAACTTCGTAGCTTTTCTAGGTCTTTGGACCCGGTCCCGCTGGACATATCCCCGTCAATACCTTCCGGACATCAAGTCGCGCTTCCCAACCTAATGCGCAAACCATCGGCATCGGTTATACGTGCCTCAACTATTGAGGAAAGGACACATGCGGATGTGGGCGGTGCGATAGCCAGCATCTTCTATCGAGCATATAAAGCCGTCCCCGCACGTCGCCCCAAAGAATCGCCCCGTATCCCCCTCGTTTAACAGCATGACCTCCATCGAGTCCGCATCGCGCCCCAGCCGCTACCGGGTGTCGCTCCTTGTCACTCCCAAGGCTGAAATTTCCCGGGAGGAGTTTCACCGCTACTGGGCCGAACACCACGTCCCTCTGTTCCGCTCACTCCCCATTGTCAAGAAGAACTTGCTCAAGTACGAACAGGTATGTACGCCGGCATCATTCCGCTGAGCCCGCATGTACTTAGTCTGTGTGTACTTAGTTCCACATCGATCACGCAGCTACGTCCGCTCACGCAACGATCACCGGAAACGCACCAATGCCCTATGGAGGGGTAGCGATATTCGAAGCCGAGACGCTGGAGAAGATCCTCGAGATTTTCAAGGACGAAGACTATCTGCGGGTCGTGGCTCCCGACACAGAGAAGTTCGTCGACCCCAGTGGCTTTCACCTTCTAGCGGGGCACTACTCTACGACGTTTAACATCGAGTAAGCTTGTGCTCGAGGTGAGTGTGGCTATGGTGCCATTTATGAACGGGCAGCACTGACTCGGGTCCTCTTTGTAGTCGATAGATATGGCCTTCCGCTATCGTTTGTACTTCTAGTAAGTATGCATCGTTCCAAATGTCCGTCTCCTTTCGAGTCTCAGTATCCCTGTACCCTTACCGTAACGAGTATGCCGATCAAATCAGGTTTTCTGCGATGATTCAGGAGACTGTGAAACACGAATACTGCTGTATGGACACGCAATATTTTTCCGATGCCGTCCATATATCCACCCAGCACAATTCTTCGATGCATCCTCGTCGAGAGGTGGATGAGATATTTACCCTTTTTGGTATTCGAAACAGCACAGCCACTGTTATCTCTCCGTGTGGCGGGCGTAAGAGATTGCTACTTACTCTCCACTCACTACGTCGATTCCAGTTGAGACATTGCCATCTTCTGGGAAAGGTCTGTATACTGCGATAACTCTAGTTTGAGACCAGAATCAAATTTCGCGAAGCCCGCCATGACTCAAGGAAAGCTCGGATACCTCACTCAGGAGCAAGTGAACCAGGTGATAACGCATGTCGATATGTAATGAGAGAATCACCCGAACTCATGCGAGAACTCTCACAGTTTCGCACTAACGGGTATGACAGTCGCTATGCTGCTCTTGTATGCATGTACTAAGCCCAAAATGGTTGACTGGCCAGGTACCTCCGGCTGCGCAGCTTCCTCGAATCAGACGAAGTTGAGGCGCTTCTCACCCGGACCAAGCAGTTGCTGGAAACATTCAGCATAGAGGACCACCCACTAGTAAGCATGTCCTAGGAATTATGTATCGCCATCTCGACTCTGATTATCACTCGAAGACGAAATTCACGACGAGCGATGACAATCACGTCGGCGACGAGTACTTCCTGACTTCGGGAGACAAGATCCGCTTCTTCTTGGAGGAAGATGCGGTGGATAAGGACGGGAAGCTCAACAGGCCCAAGGAGCGAGCCGTGAACAAGATTGGACACGGTGAGCATGCACAGCATGCGGCTTTCCGCCTGGCTCGGACTCACGTTCGTACGGGGCCAGGCTTGCACGAGCAAGACGCTGTCTTCAGGGCGGTCACTCTGGAAAATGAGAAGATGAAGGCCGTCGTCAAAGATCTGCAGTTTCACCATGACCCCGTCGGTACGTCTATATATATATATATCTTGCGATATTCTGTAACTTATATCTCTCATACAGCGCTGCAGTCAATGGTGATCTGTAAGCAGCCCCATATCGGGGGAGAAGGTATGCACTGCGCAATGTCCCTAAATTCGTCAAAGCACAATACTGATGCACACCAACGTTCTAGTCCCGGAACATAACGATTCGTGCGTACTGCATCCTTGATTTCTGGGCCAATAAGTACTGATAATAAATCGCAGGACGTTCTTGGTACGTCAATGTTGATCGGGAGATATTGCCCAGGTCAGTGGCTAACGAACCGGCGTCTCGCAGTATACCAACCCTCCCTCCGCTGTGGGATTTTGGATCCCCCTGGAGAAGTGCACGCCTGAGAACGGCGCGCTGTCTTTCCTCCCGGGCTCTCATCTGAAGGCACCTATCACAAAGCGTTTCGTGCGCATGCCCGGCGGCGGAACCGGGTTCGAACAACTCCTCTCCCCCAAGGATGCCCCGAAGAACCCTGAAGGGAAGTACGTCCTCGAGTGCTGCATGCCCGGTACGTTCACCACTCGTTCAACGATTATATGTAGAACACGATGCTAATATGTACGAGGACTTGAAGGCGACCTGGTTATCATCCACGGCAGCGTCCTGCACAAGTCTGAGCGCAACACAAGCCCGAACACACGATTCGCATACACCTTCCACATGATCGAGTCGCCGCCGCACGCGGAATACGACGCGAAGAACTGGCTGCAGCCGACACCGGAGACGCCGTTCCCGCACATCCTTGACGCGCCGAACCCCACAGTGGTCTCCGTTGGGGCTTGATCCTGTGCTGGTGATTGGCAGCGCTGCGGGAAAGAAGTGGGTGTAAAGCACATGTACACTAGAAGAGCGAGAAGGAAGGTTTGATATTGTCTATGCTTCTACAACTTTCGTGATACAATTGAGGGTGCGTTCGTCTACACACTCACAGGACAGTATTCATAGTATATTACACCCACTCGCTGTACGCGCAGCTGAATGGGGCGCAGATCGTGATGTTGTGATACTTCTATCTCCGACGCTTCAAATGACTTCGACCTTGGCATACTGCGCCAGCTTCTCCGGGGTCAGAGCCCCCAGCTCGTCGATGAACGCAGGCAGGAACGTCCCGCTCCCCTTGACGTCCGATCGTACCCCTGCAAGCTCCGATGCGATAGTGACGGCCAGTACACTGCCAAACGTCAGCGACGAGCACGGACGAATAGCGTTCCAAAGCGTGTCCTCACCCTCCGACGGCAGCAACGAGCATGTCTCCTCGCACCAGCTTCGCGTCTTCGGGCTCATCCCCACTGCGTGTGGCGGCTGCGGCCGTGCTGGCCCCGGCGCAGAACGTCGCGACGGCTGTGCCGACCATGCATCCCGATCCAGTGATCTCACCCAGGAGCGGATGTCCGTTCGACAGGCGGACGACCGTGGTCCCGTCCGAAACGTAGTCCGTCACCCCCGTCAGCACGACGATAGCACCTGGAGAACATCAAAATCAAAATCAGCAGTGCGCGGTGCGCGGTGTGCGGGGGCGCCGGTCCAGGGGCGTACTCACGCTCTTTGCGCGCAAGGCTGCGCACGAAGGCAGCCGGGTCTGCGAACCCCGATCCGACGCTGTCGACGCCCCTGGCTTGGACCTGTGCAGCAAGAGGGTGTCAGCGCTGCCGCCTATGACTCGATGTCGGCCGAATGGGAGCGCACTTCGGTCGAGTTCGCGAGCGCACCCAGCTCAGCGGCGTTTCCCTTGATTACCGTTGGTTGCCACGCATTGAGTAGCGCGCCCGCGGACGTGCGGCGGTACGCCGTCGCACCCACGCCTACGGGGTCGAACACGACTGGCTTGCGGGCCTGGTTGTAGTGGTAACCTGCAGGAGGCGAGTAGCGCGTTGGGTCAGCATCGCCGATCTGTCAGATTTGTGGCCGGATATGTGTCCATATAGAGATCGCGCACCGGCGGCGAGCATCCCATCCAAGTTTTGGATCGTGCCGAAGTTCACGAGAAGCGCACCCGCCGCGCTGCTCAGATCAGACATCTCCTCCGGCGCGGTGGCCATGATGGGAGACGCCCCGAGCGCAAGCGTGGCGTTGGCAGACTGCGTGGTGACTACGTTGTTCGTGATCTGGGAGGATGGTGCGGGACGTCAGTGTGGGCGGACCGTCAGTGTGGAAGCTGCTCTGAGATCGCGCGTACCTGATGGACCAATGGCGAGTGGCTACGGACTGCGGAGAGCAGTTCGCCTACGCCTTTGGTGAATGCATCTGCAGCATAAGAAGACGACAGAGAGAACGTCGGGGCGGGTGCCGCTTTGAACGCTTGCACGATTGTTGCGATCCGCTTCGCAGCGGTCAGTGGGTCCGTAGACGCGACGATGTCGCTGACAACGGCTACGCCATCCAGTGCTCGTCCTGCAGGCGTGACAGATCCGTGCAGTAAGTGGAGCGCATTCGTTGACTTGATTCCAGCTATGTAATGTTGTAGATTTCCTATCATTGACGCATCGAACGGGGAGATCACAACGCACCAATAGCAACGGCTTTGACTTCGGTTCCTTCGAGCACGTCGAGCAGTTCTCCGAGGCCCCGAACGCCGACGACCGGATGAGCGACCTTCTTAGTCTGCGTAGCCCACACAGGTCCTAGGCCGACGTAGTCTACACCGTCTTGGACTGCTTTTCTGACGTGCTCTAGCGTGTTGCACGTCATGCCGATGATCGCGTTCGCGGGGAGCAGCCTCCGGGCGACGTCCACAGGCATATCCGTCTGGCCGATATGCACGCCATCCGCGCCCATGGCAAGGGCAATGTCGATACGGTCATTGATGAGGATCGGAACACTGTACTTGTGGCAGATCGCTTTGGAAGCCTGGGCGATCCGCAAAAACTATTCCGAGGAAGTTAGTATGAGGCGCGAAGGGAAGCGGCGGATGAATGCACCTCCCCCGTGTCCGCATTCTTCTCGCGAATCTGGACGAGGGTCACGCCCCCTTTGATCGACTAAAAAGAGGTCATGAGAACGAGGATCACGACGAAGCGAATTCCTTTACTTCTTCCAACGACTCGAGATAATCCTGTGGTATGGGAATGTTGTTTGTAAGTCACCATGTAACGCTGGTGGAGAGGATAATCAGACTTACCTTGCCTGGCGGTAGTAGCTCCCTTCCTGTGACGAGATAAACTGAGTAATCCACGGCGAGGGGTTTGGTTGCGGACATGGTGACGGTTTCTCCGAAAGATGATCGATAAAACTCTGGGGCGCTGTAGGGGCAAGGGTGGGTGGTCGGACGGTACGCGGATATCAATATCCAATCTCAAGCCAATCGTCAATTAAGAGCTCCTGGCCGGGCCAAGGGCCTCCAAAAGTCGGGGGGATTTCTATAGCTTAAGATAACGTCATCGCCTGATCATCGCTCCTGTGTGCCGCTTGCCTTTCGTAGAGGAAGGGGGTTTCTCGAAGTACGAGCGTAGCAATTAAACATACAGCTCTCAGAACATACGACGACGAGCTGCAGAATTTGAGACAAAAATAGGACCATAGATGTCCTGGGACCTGGGATGAATCGGAAGGGCCGCTTTCACTGTCAGGCACGCCGGTAGCACCAGCACAGCAAACTGGCGCCCGTGAACGATGTTGGTCCGATTCGCCCGCCTCCTCCATCATCCATGTTCTACAACCCTGCCTCTGTGGTCCCATCACACCCCTCGCACCGCCTTTTCCAGACATGCGGTATGTCATATTTTCACCAACGACTACGACCCAGAGGTCATTTATGCTCATAAGTAACGCGGTTTCCGATAAACTAGCAGTAAGTCAATTGTCGCTCATGCTATAGTGGACAGAATATTTAGAATGCCACATCATCATGTCTGGCGAAGAAAAACCGGAACCGTGTTACGCGCACTACGTCTAACCGCATAAGCTGATTCAGGTGTCGTCTAAGCAGCGGGACCTCGCAAGAAATCACGAGAGCCATTCATCCTCAGAAAGACGCCGACGTTATCCATCTAAGCTCGTATAGCACTCTACAAAGCGTTTAGACCTCTCGTAGTTGTTGGGCCGAGCCTAATGAGGTGATTCGTAGGTATGTCAACCTTGAAGTCTACACATGTGTCCTCACCACATCTCCAGAATGGCTATGAATAGTACTTGTATATAAGAAGGACTCATCCATCCTTCTTCTGATATCAACCGTAGATGCGATGGTCAAAATGGTACATCCGATAATCTTGCCTAGCATGGTGCCCAATTGGATGCTGACCGCATCTCCGTTAGAATCCGAAGGTCTTGCGATTGGAGGGTTCAGCAACGTATCGGGTGCGCTCCAACAGCCTGAAGTGTCGCAACCGCGTCGGTTGGGCTTGGGCGCATCGTTCCGCTTCCTTCCGTCAAACTACCAGCAAGTAGAACGAACGATGCACCAGGTTCCTGGATCATACGCCTCTCAACGTGGCAAGTGACGAACGATCTATGCCTGAGGCTATAGTTGTGTGTGCGCGACCGTCAAGCTGTGATCAATCGCAGCTCACTGCCTTCGATATCATGTGAGAACTCTTCATGCATGAGTCCCTCTCTCCCCAGTGACCCTCTTGACAGGTGGCTTCTTGTTGAGCGTTGCTCTATGCTACCTTCCCTCTCGACATGATGGCGTTGCAAAAGCCAAACCAACCACGAGGCCACTCCGTCGGAGTAGTGACCCCTACTTCCACATGGAGGTCTGTCGCTACAAGAGGCTGTAGTGATGTACCACCCCCTTGTGAGCCGAACTCATCACAACGAACACCGCTCAACGCAAGAAAGGCTGTATACTGGCCGACTGATTGAGTTCTCATGTCGGTCTCTCCGCCGATGGCGGCGGCGAGCGTCACAGCCAAAGATGGTTCTACATATCTAAATTCCGGCATCCTCACATCCGTATCTAGCACAGGATATTCCTCGTGTGACCACCGCTCCACCCTATAAGAGCGTTTTCTGTGCCTCTGGAACGGCACCCCCTCCAGCCTCACCCTCCTCTCCTGCGTGTTCACTTTCGTTCGTCGCGGTCTGGTATCGCCTTCTCTTTCTGCTTCTTCACGAAGGACCCGGCGTCCCTTTCCATTCCGCCTTTTCACGACCTTTTATTTCTATCAATTCGCGCTTCATCGTCATGCAGTACTCCGTCTTCGTCGCTCTCTCTTTGGCGCTTGCCGCCTCGGCCAGGCCGAGGTTCATTGGCTCCCGTGCCGAGTTCACCCTGCAGAACGGCCAGACCGCCCTTGCACAAAAGTGAGTACCCATAGTCGATTCTTATTTTAGCCCACTGCCGCTCACACCATCTTTCTATCTCAGCCAACAGTTCGCATCATTGACCGCGAGCTCGCCCTGCACGGCCGGTCAGAACGCCTGTGTCGGCACCCAGTTCGCCCAATGCGTGAATGGCCACTTCGTCCTCACGCCCTGCGCGGGCGGCCTCACGTACGTCAACCGTCGTCCGCGATGATGGAAAATATCATCCGTTGACATGTCTTTTATTTATATCTCACAGCTGCGCCGCCCTGCCCCTGGTCAACTCTCCGGGAACCAGCATCACCTGCACAACAGCGGCGGACCGCGACGCGCGCATTGCCGCCACCGGCGCCACGGGTACGGTGCAGCGCCGCGACGCCGACCAGGGCCCTACTGCTGACGTTCGCGCCGGGGCGAAGGCTGCGCCGCCTGCGAAGGCCGCTCCTGCGAAAGGCGCCGCACCCCCCGCGAAGGCCCCTGCTAAGGCTCCTCCTGCGAAGGCTCCTGCACCCTCCAAGGCTGCTGCGCCCTCCAAGGCGGCTCCTTCCAAGGCTGCTCCCTCCAAGGCTGCTCCCGCTACGTCATCCAAGGCCGCCCCGGTTGCGTCCTCGAGCGCAGCTGCTAAGGCTTCGTCTTCTGTTGCTGCCGTCGCCTCGTCCGCGGCACCGCCCGCTGCGTCTGCGAGTGTCGCAGCTGCCTCCTCGTCCGCTGCTGCTGCCGCCACTAGCACTGCCGCTGTGCGTAGTTTAATGGCGCTAGAGGATTATTTCACTCACATTGTTACGAGTAGGCTACCGGCGCGGGGGCCAACTCGGCCAGCGGCGGTGCTGCCGCGGGTGGTGACCCCCAGACATCGCTCACGCTGCTCCAGTCCTTGCTCGCAGAAGGGTTCACTCAGGATGGACAGGCAGTGTAAGTATCTGTGCGTGCGCCCTGCCTATCCCTTCCAGCTAACGTGCTGTATGTGTTACAGACAAGAAGCGGGCCAGGTCCCGTCCCAGACGTCGTCGAACAACTTCATCAACTTCTGCGCGACGGTCCCGAACCTGCCCATCACGGACGGCAAGCAGGTCATCGGCGGCTCATGCAACCCGGCGCCGATGGGCGTGATCGCGGCGAAGACGAACATGCCGGCGGCGAAGTTCGTGAAGCCCGCGAACCTGGACACGATCCCCGCGAACACGAACTTCACGGTCTCGCTCGCGATCAACCACCTCGAGACGGGCCACTTCGTGAACGCGGCGACGAACTACTTCGCCGCGCCGCAGGTCGTGAACGCCGCGGGCGACATCCAGGGCCACTCGCACATCGTGATCGAGCACCTCACGGACATCAAGCAGACGACCCCCGCGGACCCTGTCAACTTTGCGTACTTCAAGGGCCTCAACGAGCCCGCCGTTAACGGCGTGCTCTCGGTCACTGTTGCTGGCCTCCCTGCGGGCGCGTACCGGCTCGCGTCGATCAACACCGCAGCGAACCACCAGCCTGCGCTTGTTGCTGTGGCCCAGCACGGCTCCCTCGACGACATGATCTAGTAAGTGTCTATGCTTTTCCATTCGTGGAAACTACAGTTTCTTACTATCCCCTCCATTGCCAGCTTCACCGTCCAGTAGATAAAACACAGTGTTGCAGCGGAGCCAGACTGGTCCTAGCTTACGCGATATTGTACATTTAATCGTAGAGATGGTGGCGTAAGGCGAGGTACTTAATATCATGCCGACGTTGTCGTGAAAGGTCTACAAGTAAGAATGCCACGACAAATAGATAACACAAATGGAATGGCTTGCGGATAGTAGGCGGAGTACGCCCACAGCTCACTAGTGATCGATTTTCATCGCTATCTATCACGGGCAGCAATGGATTCTAGAATGTATGCCAGTCGAGCCAGAGTCCCTCGTTCCCGTAGCGCCGGCGGTTCGGAGGCGCTCGCGATCGATGAGGTCTTCGAAGTCGCGTCAGCTCGTCTCTCTCTCTCCACCTCTGCGCGTATCTATTCATGGCCTTGTGAACACCTGCTTATAATGCTAGAAGGTAAACCCGCACATAAAGCACATCGCAGCATGAGTCGACCGGCGAACTTTTGCCGAGCACCCAGTGGCAGGCGGCGCGCCCATCTCCGCTCCGAGTTTTTCTGTGGTAAGGCTTTAGTGTCTCCTTTGTCTCCCTTTGTCTTATTGATCCACGGCCTCAACAGATTTCAGCTCTCTTTGCACCAGCCATGCGCTCGGCCGGAGCTCTCTGTTCATATCAAAATTGACCGGGGATCTGCTACATCCCCAGGCGCACCATCGCCTCCACGCCACCTATCCAGGGCTCAGCGGCGTAGCGTCTGAAGGCAGCTTCGCGAAGTCTTGTATTTGAAAATGGTACGTCCTAGACGCATGAGCGCATGCTGCGGTCACCGCGCGCCTGTCCTATCATGTTTCCTTCTTTACACATTGTCCGGATTGGCAGTCTGGAGGATGCGTTGAACGAAATGCTAACTCTGAGTATTTTTCTATCACAGGGTCGCTAGACATATGCGAGCATCTTGCATGGCTTCAAGTTGTACAATCAACGCACGGGGCTTCACCACCGGGGACACGCCGCTCGGCGAAGCCTTGTGGTATGATCGTCTTGTCGAAGCAGCGGCAGTTTTTTTCGCAGTCTGTTTTTAGTTCGATAATTAAGTGGCATCTTTTAATGTAAATCTTGGTTTACATCCGCCTTCCGTTAATGACCGAACTACGTACCTTTGATGCGCGTTCGATTATCCCCGATGCCCCGTCTGGATTCGTAGAGATCATGTTGAGTATAGAACAGGATAATCCGCTCGATTATTGAAACGATTATCCGTGCGGCGCAATCGTCATCCGCCCGGCAGAAAAAAAAGCGCGACGAGGATTCGAACCCGCGCCGTAAACATGCCAGCTTGCATGGTTAACCACTCAGCCAGTCTCTCTTTGATAGTGAATAAATACAATATTCTATGTACAATACTTTCGGGCCCCCGCAGCTTAAACGTTGAAACATAGTGCCTGATTACAGCCCGGTTTCCGATGTTCTCGGAGTACATTGTATGCGTACCATTATTCGATACCGCTGTTCGTCCTACGGTACAAAACAATCGCTAAATTATGGTCGATCCTTGCGCCAACGCGAACGGCTTCTTATTGCGTCGTACGCGACCCGGCGTCTAGCCGCCCACATACACGCGCGTACCCCTCCCTCCTCTCCTCTCCTCTGCTTTCCTCGCCCTCCACCTGCCTGCTATCCCACCACGCTACCCCGCGCGCACCCCATTCACTACGGAGACATTCCGGCGCACTACCTAAGAGAATCCGCGCCATCAGCAAGCGCAACTGGCGCGATGTCCGCCCACTTACACCGCCGGGCTACCCCGCGTACCGCGATCCCTCCAACCACTCCTCAAACGCGTAGCGGCGTGGCGGGAGTTCCAGGAGAGCCCAGGACGACCGCGGGGACGTCTGAACGTCTCCTCGCGCGCACGGTGAGCCCCACTGCGTCCTCAAACACGCCGCAACCGCCCTCCTCCCCCCTCCCTGCGTCCCCCCTCGCCTCAAGCACGGCTGCTGGTCCCCCAGCAGCCGTGGCGATCTTCCCCTCCCCCCGCGTCTCAAGCCGAGCTGCCCGGGACACGCTCCTGTCCCGGCAGCGACGCCCCGTCCCCGTCCCCATCTTTCCCCCCGGCACCTACCCACCGCCGCCCTCCTCCCTCCTGCCGCCCTCCTCGGCCACCAGGGCAGCTGCCGGGGCCACACAGGCGTCCCGGCAGCTGCCAGGGCTCCCCATCGCCCCTGGGGG